GAAGAGGAAGAGGAAGAGGAAGAGGAAGAGGAAGAGGAAGAGGAAGAGGAAGAGGAAGAGGAAGAGGAAGAGGAAGAGGAAGAGGAAGAGGAAGATGGATGAGGAGTAAGATTGTTTCTTGAATAGGGGGAGTGAATATTCGAGAAAGACGGTTGAAGGTTGTTGAAGGTTGATCCCATTCCGATTCCAACAGACACCGCATGGCAGGAACCAACACTGACGAATCCATGATCCCTCCTTCAACCTAGACAACCGACGGGCTTTGAGTTCCATTATGGGACCGCACATCAGGAAGGTGACCATCTGCGACGTCAGTATGGAGGAGTGGGAAAGGATGGAACGGAGAGCTAATGTCTCTAGCGGACTTTCGGAAAGTATCATAGTCATGTTCGAGGGGAGGGAGAGATCAGCGGGTAGTGAAATCGTTGAAGGAAGGCGTCACGCTCCGTGACGAAGACGAGACAAGGAGCGTAGGCGGGGAGAAGTCAGGAGAGCGTCGGTTGTAATAAGGTATATCCAACTCCACGTTCCGATTTTCCCGATCCATGATTTTTCTAAGATGCCAAACCGCTTAGTATACACTCTCTACAATGCTGGTGCAGATGGTTTCCTCACACAGATACACGCCCTCCTCTATCCAATGGTATCATACACACACTTGTACATACACGCACATCCCTACACCTTTCAATGCCTTACGGCTGCGCTCCAATCGACTCGCCCGTGGGCTTATGCTCCTCTGGCACAGTCCCAGCCCCTGCAGCAGCCTCGTCCACCTCCCCAGCAAACAACGGCTCCTGGCCCTCCTCGATCCACTGCCCAATCCCCTCGTCATGCGGCCCAATCATCTCCTCCTCGTGTGGCCCAAGCAGATTCCTCTCCTTCTCCTCCACCTCGGCAGCCAGCTTCCGCATGCGCTGCCGCCTCGACCGCTGCTGCTCCGGCACGAAGCTCAGGCTCTCGAGGTGGCTCGCAATCTTCTCCTCGACCAGCTCCTTCACCTTGAAGGCGAGGTTCTGGCTCTGGAACACGCCCTGGTAGCGGTAGCTGAGCCAGAGATACATGGTGATGATGTGGTGGAGGGACTCGAGCTGGTGCAGATACACAGCCTGCTCCGAGGGGATGGAGGGGCGAACCTCGTCGAGGATCTCGAGGTTGATGACGTCGTCAAAGTCGAGAAGGTGGCCTCCCCCCAACTCGGCCACGCACTTGGCAAACGCCTGCAGCGCCTTGACCTGCCGCGGGTCGCGCATGCTGACGGGAATGTTGAGGAAGACGCAGCGATCCGACACGCTCAGGTCGAACGGCTTGATGACCTCAGCGATCTCGAGCGCGACGGTGAAGTCGCAGAGGTGGAAGCTGGGGGACAAGCGGCTCATCTCGCGCAGGCGGGCGAGCACGAAGCTGATGGGCGTGCGCGGCGGGAAGTACGAATGGAAGCGCTCGATGACCGAGGGCGGAGGGAAGAGGCCCGCCGTCCGGATCGGCTCGGCTTCGGTATTGAAGGCTTCGTTGATCATTGGGAGGTCTTCTTTATCTAGCGCCGTGACAAGTCCCGGCGCGGGTTTGGAGGTGTCCCCGGCGATCTCCTGCGCGGCGGTCCGGTAGCGCCCTGCGCGGCCGCCAATCTGTCTGATCTCGGGCACGGTGAGTGGGCGGAAACCGATGCCGTCGAACTTGAAGCTCGACTCGAAGACGACGCGCTTGACCTCGAGGTTCAGGCCCATGCCGATGGCGTCGCTGGCGACCAGGAAGTCGTAGTCGTTGTTTGGGTCGTTGAATAGCGCGGCCTGGCTGGCACGCGTCTCGGGCGGGAGACTGCCGTAGACGATGGCGCACCTGCGACCCGTCGCCTTTTCAATACCCGCTTTCAGCTGGTGGATGCTGACGCGGGAGAAGGCGACAACGGCGTCTCCCTTGCGGAGTTTGCTGAAGTCACCGTTCAAGCTTTCCCCCATGGTCTCGAGGGGATTAAGGCGCTGGTAGCGATGCACGATGCACTTCTCGCCGATCCTGGCGCACAGGTCCTGGATGAGCGGCACCACCCTGTCCTCTCCGCAGAGATGCACCTCCTTGGCCTGGACACCGAGGAAGGCCTGAGTCCAAGCCCAGCCACGCTCGTCGTTGGCAATCATCTGAATCTCGTCGATGACGGCGACGTCGACCTTTGTGTTGAGCGGCGTCATCTCGACGGTGCAGCTGTGGAACCACGTGTCGGCTTCTGTCGGTATCCTCACTTCCTCGCCCGTGACAAGGGCGCAAGGCTTCTTCTTAGCCACGAAGCGGCTCCACGTCTCGTGGGCCAGCAAGCGCAGCGGGCCGGCGTAGACGCCCGTGCGGGCGTTCTCAAGGGCCTTGAGGGCGTTGTACGTCTTGCCCGAGTTGGTGGGGCCGACGTGGAGGTGGATGGTGCGCTGTAGCATACGTGTGGCCGGGTACCACTCGTAGGGAAAGCGCAGGTCGGCAAGGTCCAGGTGCAGCTGGTTGACAGCCTTGGGGAAGCGCGAGCGCATCAGGAAGGTCTGGAAGGCGTACTTGAGCTCTCGACCCAGGCCGGCGGCGTCGAAGCGGATGAAGGCGTTGCGCAGGTTCCAGAAGAGCGGGTTCTCCTGGCGGGCCGTCTTGCCGCCGTCAATGGCGAGGTCGAAGGCCCGGTCCAAAACCATCCTGAACAAGCCCAGCTCGCGGTCCAGTTGGGGCTGGCCGTTGATGCCGAAGGAGCGCCACTCGTCCTGGTTCTGGGCCCAGGCGCCCATCGACTCGATGACATGGGAGAAGCGCTTCTCAACGAGGTTTTGAAATAGGTTATAGTTGCGGTTGAGGATGAAGGCCGGACGCCTTGCGCCGCTCGGCGAGGGGTCATTCTGGAGCTGGAGGCGAGACCTTAAAACCCTTGGGTCGACGGCTGCTGGAGGCCTGTCCCTACTCGACTTGGTCGACTTGACGCGCCATCGGCAGAACACGCGCACTGCGCTTTTGGGCTGTCTCCAGGCGGTCCCGAGCAACGACTTCATGACCGCGTCCAGGGAGCGGTTGGAACCATGCTTGTGAGTTGGTGGGTGGGATTGCTTGCATCCTTGTCTGGAGCATGGTCGGCAACAATTTCGATTTCTTTTGCTGGCTGGAGTACTTATCTTATCGGAAAGCGCCACTGCATCCCTGCCAAGAAACAGTGTTTAAAGTTCGGAAGTCTTGGCATGATTTCCCGGCCCCACTCCAATGCCGAAGATGTGGAGTTGCGAGTTGGCGCTAGCTCCGTCATCCATCATTGCCAGGCTGCCCTTTGTGTCTGGCCTTCGCTTTTCCAACAACGATCCTACCCATACTCAACCAAACACCTTTGAAAAAACAATACAGCTCAATATGGCATCGTCCTCTTCGCCGGCGTCACCGCTGCTCTAGTACGCTTCTCCAATCAAACCACCCTCCGCGCAACCGTAACTAACCCGACCCGCCCAGCGCCTGCATCGCCCACAACAACACCATCCTCTCAGAATGCATCACCTCAGCCTCCTCCAACACCTCCTCCCTCGCCTCCATTATCCTCCCCAAGATCGACCACTCGGCCCCGCAAAAGCTAACCTACACGCATGGCGCCCACCACATCCACTACATCGCTTCCGCCCCGTCAGAATACCCGTCCAGCCAGTCAACAGCAGGCGGCCTCACCTACCTAGTCGTCGCCGACTCGTCCTCTGTCTCGCGCCGCATCAGCTTCGGCTTCCTGGTCGAGCTCCGCCGGCGCTTCCTCGCCGCGCACCCGCCCGAATCGACCGACTTCTCCGACTTGCCGAACTATGGCTGCGCCGCGTTCAACGCCGAGATGCGCGGGCTGATGGTCGAGTACGGGACAACGGCGCACGGGCGGGACGACGCCATCGGCAACGTGCAGAGCGAAATTGAGGACGTGCGCGGGATCATGACGCGGAATATTGAGGGCTTGTTGGAGAGGGGGGAGAGGATTGATTTGCTGGTGGACAAGACGGATCGGTTGGGGGGTAGTGCGAGGGAGTTTCGGGTCAGGAGTAGGGGGTTGAAGAGGAGGATGTGGTGGAAGAATGTCAGGCTGATGGGGTTGATGGGGTTTGTCGTTGTCTTGATTGTGGTGACCATCGTGGTATCGGTGAAGAACAGTGTTTAGGGAGTTGTGAACTTGGGGTTTCAAAGGCGTCTTGCGAGGTCTGGTTGACGATGATTTGAAATTGTAAAGGTATTTATTGTATGGGCTTTTCGATCGGGGAAGCGAGGAGCGTTGTGAATCTTTGTCTGATTAATAATTCCATGGGCTTGCAATGACTTCTGCCCTGGCGCGTTGCTTCTTGCGTGGCCCGCGATACCGAGATCAGGTACTCAAATACACCTAACATCGCGCGCCGGCCTGCGTGTCGAGCATCATTGCTCAACCAGACCTTCTTCAGACTCGCTGACCGAATATGACAACCCCTCCTCTAATCACAACCGCGGACCAGCCGACTTCTTGCTTCCCCCTGGCGCATCCTGATAGACATAGCCATACGCAACCGGGCTTAATTGCGCGCCCGATAAGACGTTGAATGGTGGGCGGCGCAGCTTGGCTGTGAAGAAGACAGGGTGGCAATGGGACGGGTTGAAGAGCTCGGGCTGAGCTGTCTTTGCCCAGATTGCCTGGCAGGGGACAATGAAGTCGTGTACCGAAGTTGGCCGTGGTGCTGGCGGCGGTTGTTGTAGAGCCGCGGCCATGCCTGTCTTGACCCCGAGCCGAATAATGCCGAGATTGTCGAAATGCTTGTCGAGCTGATCGTCTCGAACAACAAGATGCTGCGTGGAATGCATCGGCTGATATTCGTCGAATTGGAGATGGAGTCGGGTTGAATCGAATTGTCAGAACGCGCGTTGAGATGCGATGGAAGCTCCTGTCCCGACAATGACGTCCTGTCTTCCAGGTTCACATGCGGTCTTGCAGTGCCGAATGTAGCCCCGCTTGCCGGCTCCAAACATGCCGACGGCTGGTGGGTCCAGGACCGGCTTACACCCAGCTCCGGACATGCTCTCACCGAGCGCCGAGCTGGCGATTCAGGGGATATAAACAAACGCGGATTGGAAGGGCTTCGTAAATGCCAGGCAACCGTCTACTTGGCACTGTTTCCTGTGAATTCCGCCTTCTTGGTGTTTTTCTTGGATGCCTCCTTGGATTTTCCCTTCTTGATTGCCCCGACAAGAGCCTCGATCTCTTGGACCTGCGCCGCCTCCTTTGCTTCCTGTTCCTTTTTCTCCTGCTCTTTCTTCGCCCTGGCCCGCTTGACGGCCTGCTCCTTTTCCACACGCTCAATCAGCCTGTCGCTCGATTCCCACAGCTTCTTGGCCACCTCTTCGTCGTCCACGTCCTTCCTCGCGCAGTCCACCTCCATGCACTCCTTGATCAGCCTGCCTCCGGCCCCTCTACCCAGACTACCGTCCATGGCCGCATAGAGCACCGACTGCGCCGCCATGTGCGGGCTCTTCAGAAACAGCCAGGCAAAGAAATAGAACACCAAGTACAGCAACAGCCCCCAGAGTGACCCCCTTGTAAGCCATCTCCTCATGCTGACGGTGCGCGCCAGGCCCGGGTCCACCAGAACCACCCTCGCATTCATCGGCAACTCATCCGGTCGCTTGTACGCATCCAGATGCTTCTGGTAGGCCTTAGCAAACACCATCATGGCGAGCTTGCTCCTCGCATACGCCCGGCCAGGCACCCAATCCTCCAGGTCGTCTCTCCCACCCGTCACAACCGCCTCCTCGTCCAGTTTCGGCGACGCGATATAGCTCGAACACGTCGGCACGATGATTCTCACCTCGCGATCAAAGGGCTGGGCGCGGATCGCGGGGCTCAGAATCCCCAGCAAGTGGAAATTCGCAAGAAAGTTCACCATCCACGTCAGCTCCACCCCCTCGGCCGTCTCGACCCGCTCCCCGCCGGGCGGCACCAGCGTCGACGCGCACAGCACCACCATGTCCAGGCGCCGCGGCGGCGCGTTGTCGATCCACCGCGTGGCGAACTGCCGCACGCTGTACAGGTCCGCCAGGTCGACCTGCTCGGCGTAGATCATGCGGTTGCCGGACCGCGCGCGCAGATCGTCGACGTACTCGACCAGGAAGGGGTCCGAGGGCGGCTGGCGCGTGAGGAGCACCAGCTGGGCGCCGCGCCGCGCGAGCTCGAGGGCCGTGGCTGCGCCGATCCCGGAGGTCCCGCCCGTCATGAGCACCACCCGGCCGTGCATGTTGCGCTCGGACAAGTTGACCCGGCCCGAGGCGTACCATTTTGTCAGGACGACGGCCGTGAGCGTCGTCATGGCTCGTAGGAGGCGCATCGGGTCGGGGAACCATGGCGGTAAGCCGTCAAAATAGACCGAGGCGAGGAATTGGAGGGGCATTATGGCGGTATTATCGGCGCATTGGTCGTCGGGTGCAGTTGTGGCGCTGTTGGTGGGGGTTGGAGTTTGCTTTGCTCTCGGAATGTCTGGAAATTTCCAGTGGAACGGAGCTTCATCAAACTTGAGAAGAATGCTCAGCTTGGCCGCTGCTTCGAGCCTGGTCGGAGATGTGGGGCGGGCCATTTTTAGCGGTGATAAGGTTGCGTCTCCAGCGGGCCGATGCGCTAAAACCGCGCCCGAAGCCCACCCGACCTGCACCCGACCTGCCAGGCTTGAGGCGGCTTTCAGCCTCCCGTCATCAGCCTGCCCATCTACCTATCGCCACTCACATCGTTCACGAGCGACGGACATGACTGTCTCATCTCGATGACAGGCCCTCGTGTCTTTTCTCTTTTTTAGATGAATCTAGTCCAAGACGACTTTCAGAGGGGATCGTATCCTGAAAGATTTCAAATGGGCTCGCCCAAAGACGACAACGACGACGACTATGACGATATCCCTCTCCAACACAAGCGCCCGTTTGGTGCCGGACTGCACAGGAAGCCGGTAGCCTTTGTATCTGCATCTGAAGGAGGCCAACTACAGTCGGTCGACGATGCCTCCGTGAAGAAACCACATCACGACGTGGCCGACCTCTACCTCAGCATGGTCCTGCCGGACGACGTGAAACGGTCCAACTCGGCACCCCCCACAAACAGCCCTACCAAAGACAGTAGTCCATCGCAGTCCAATCTCTGCACAGTCTGCAGGCTACCTTTCGATGCCGACAAAACCACCCATGCGCAGTCCTTCGCGCACCAGGTCTGCCTGCCGCACTCGCAGCCCCCCTCAGCCCAGGACCGCTCCCGCATGGGATTGGCCTACCTCTCGGCCTACGGCTGGGACCCAGACGCTAGGAAGGGGCTTGGAGCTAAGCAGCAGGGTATTCAGTTTCCCATCAAAGCCAGGCTGAAGGAGGACAAACTCGGCATCGGCATGGAGGTGCCCAAAAGCCTGCCCCCGCCCAAGAAAAAGGAGCAGTTGCTTGACGCCAGGAAAGTCAGGAAGATGGCAGCTGAGGAGACGAAGAAGGCCGATAGGATTCGGCGGGAGCTGTTCGGAGACGGCAGGCTAGAGAAGTACCTCGGCTCGGGCGCCACCTGATGAAGTCTCTTTCTCTGGCCCATTCCGAAACTGTGCAAGACTCACCCCAACGCAAACGTCTCAGCTTAGCCATACCTCTAGATATCGAGCGCTGTTCTCTATCACCAGGTCTAACCCGGTCTACGGGAAGACATGCCCATCTCATCCAATCTCCCCGGCATCGAGGCTGAGGTTGTAATGGCAGTTCGACGAGCAACCTACCTGGTATGTAATTTCCAGAGGTGCATAAAAGGGGACTTCAAGCCTCAAGGTACCCGACGAGGCATTGATTGACGAATTGAGTCAACCATACCTTACCTCGCATCTTTGTCCGTCCTTGGAACGTTCAGCCTGGACAGCCGAATTAAACACTATCCGCTGGCAGACGCATGGACGGAGAAACAAATTTCCTTGGCTCCTTTGACATCAAGGGCGAGGAGAAACTGCCCGTGAGAAGGGAGGCAGTCTCCGTCAGGGGCATGCGCTTACACGCGAAGTGTCCCAAGCGCCACTCCCTTTAACACCCTGTGTTGAACCGCATACTCTAACATTGTGAAACGGCCCATAACGGTTTGAACCATAGAAAACTGGGAAAAGGTAACCAGGCGTGATCCGGACGCGGAAGATGCACAGGCAGTTATGGGCTCATCTGCTAGCGGTTGACCGTCCTCCAGCGCAACACTGCATGATGCTCAGCGTCTACGTCTCCCCGTTAGGGAGTTTAGCTCGCTCATCGCTCATCAAGCTCAAGAAGGTGCCGCAGTACGAATTCATATTCGACGGATGAACATATACATCGTTGATCTCATGAATATCCCAATATATGCTTTGTGTATCCCATCCAGATATGCGTCCCTGCTGCCCAACCAATACCCGCCCAGCCAACTGCTTCCCCGTATAGTGATTGTTTCTTATAGTGATTGCCCCTAGGGAATCTGCTCAAAACTTTCGAAACTGCCTCTCCCATTCCTCAAACCCTTTCAACATCTCGGGCGTGATCTGTCGCTTCTGGTTCCGTATCGCTTTCTCCAGGTCCTGCATCATGATCGCTCCGATGCCACCTTCCTCAAACCGATCGTACGCCGCAATGCCGGCGGCGGCACAGATGCCCTTGATTTCGGCACCAGAGTATCCTTCTGTTTCTTGGGCGAGGCGGTCGATATCCACGTCTGGGTGCATTTGCCGCTGCGCAGCAACCTTGGAGAAGATGGCGCGGCGAGCGTCCTCGTCGGGCGGGCTGACGTATATCAGCTCGTCAAAGCGGCCCGGCCGCAGCAAAGCCGGATCCAGCGCTTGCGGCCGGTTCGTGGCGGCCAGGACGACCACGCCGTGGAGCGCCTCGAATCCGTCCATCTCATTGAGCAGGGTTGTCAAGACGTTGATCCCGCTGTGGCCTGAGCTGCTGGATGAGGTGGAGGAGTGGCTGAAGCCGCTGCGTTGGCCGGCAATGCTGTCAATTTCGTCGAAGAAGATCATGCTCGGGCTGACTTCGCGAGCCCGCTGGAAGAGGCGGCGCACGGCGCGCTCGGACTCGCCGACATACATGTTGAGCAGCTCGGCGCCCTTCACGGCGAAGAAGTTCAGCCCAGACTCGGTCGCCATAGCTTGCGCGGCCATGGTTTTGGAGCAGCCTGGTGGGCCATACAGGAGGAAACCTTTTGGGGGACGCTCGAAAAATCGAGAAAGCACGTCTGGTGGCTGGACTGAAAGGCGAACGGCGCGACGGAGGGAGAGCTTTACCGACTCTTGGCCGCCAATGTCATCCCATCGAATTGGGGGCGGTTTGAGGTTAATGTCATGCATAGCAGATGGCCGAACCAGGCGGAGGGCTTCATGGTAATCGGCAGGTTGGAGGAAGACGGCTTCTGGGGCGGACGGCTTGCTTTCTTGCTGTTCGGTCTCGTCTGAAAGAGGAGTAGGAATGCTCGAGTCGGGAGGTGAGGATGTTGTGGTTTCACGATAGCGATCAAATCCCAATTGATGTGCCTGATCGACTAGGCGGCAAAGATCCTTGCCGTTGTAGGCGTGGGTGCGCTCGCTCAATTGCCGGATGAGGTCCTCTTCTTGACTGGGAGCAACGTCAAGGTCGAGCGAAGCGAGTATTTCCCTCCGGCCATCGGCATCGGGCATGGGGAGGTAGATCTCGCTTGTTAGACGATGGGGTTCTTTCAAATCCGCGGGCACGTCGGTGGTATAGTCCAAACAGGTTGCTACAACGACCACCTTAGGCATCTCCGTCTTGGCGGCTCTGTCTGCTGCAAGAGAATCGAGCGCCTCGCAGAGGGCAAGGATAACTGCAGCCCGGTTGTTGCGTTCCTTGTCGATCAGTCGGTCGAGCTGGTCGATGAGCACGATGCTTGGTTGCTGTAACTTGGCCCTTTGGAGCATTTCTTGGACGTCTGAGAGCTTGTCCTTGTACTGAATGCGGATAACGGTGCCCCAGCCTGTGCTCGCGATGCCATTTAGGAGCATCGTCTTGCCTGTGCCGTGGGTGCCGTGGATGACGATGCCCGAATACGACGGCATTACTTGGCGAGGGACATTGGCGTCAAAACCGGCCAGGATCCTGTTGAGCTGAGCGACCTGGGCGTCCAGCCCTCGAATGCCTGTAACTTTGAGTCTTCTCGAGGGAGTATTGTTGATCTGACCCCCAGCGGCGGGCGTCGTAGCAATCCTGACGGAGGTCTTCTCATCCAGGTAACGAGCGTTGCCCGTCCTCTTCCCGTTCACCGACATAACAGCAAAGGACCTCTCGGGTCCCCTGCAGTAGAGGTTCTTGAAGGTTAAGCCGGCGTAGACATGCTCCATCTGAGCCAGGCGGCCGGCCAGAAAGAATTCCCACCCGGGAATGTGTTCGGGGGCAAGAGGATGCGGGACAGCGCCGTCTTGATCGGGAAGTTGCTCAAGGATGACTTCTTCGGCGTCTGGCAGGGACCCGCCCAACGACCTGATTCGGACTGTCTCGCCCAGCTTGTAGTCACAAGCATCCCGGAAGGAGTCGTACATCTGTGCGATGGACTTGTCTAGCTTCTCAGGTGCCTTCCAAAGGGTGGCCTCATGTCGGACTAGGGCCTCGTCGGCCGCGACTTTTTCAACGGATACAAGCCTGCCGCCATCGAGGGTGCCAACGAGTTCCAGCATGGCCAGCTCATTCACGTAGATGCGTGAAGGCTGCTTTTTCTGCAGCCGTTTCTCCGAGTCGGTGTTGACATAGAGTTTCCGAAGGCGAAATTCGAGATATTCCGGCTTCATTGTGCGTGATATGAGAGGGAAAAGCGGTATGGTTGCCGAACAAAAAAAAATATGTTGACAGGAAAGAGAGCGAAACTCGTTCAAGTACAATTGCGTTTGCGGGATTGGGAAACCTACCACAGACCCAACTCGACAAAAGCGAGGTGATGCGAGTCGGGATGGGACAAAAGCAGCCGAGATTTCGATTTTGAACTATCGGTAACCCACAATCGATGATATTACCGAGTCAGCAAGTTTTAGAGGTTCCTTTCGTTTATATCTGGGGTCAGCATTGTTCGTTCATGCTGGGAGAAAGGGGAGGAGCCGTCGATTCCCGTTTCGGACTGGACAACGGGTGGGACGCCACTGAGGTGCTGGGGTAAGCCTTCTACTTGACCCTAACCCTAGGCTGTCCTTGACCTTCAAACTACAACCCGAATTCATCACTCATGCTCAGTCAATGTGGGCTCATTGAACAGACGAAAACCGGCCGCTCTCTCGACGTCTTCATGCCCACCCAGCCAGATGCTCGCAAGGCGGTTGCGGCTGCCGCAGTTCGCATTCTGGAAATATCATCATCCTCTAGACACGGTCGCACATCACTCGACGTCCCGCCGACGTGAGAACTCATCCTCTTCAGCAAATGATCCTGCACAAACCTCACCTGCACTCTCATTATACGACAAGTTATTCTCCAGCAAGCCCACCGCAAGACCAACGAGCCCACGACATGGCCGTCCGTCCTCCGGCCTCGAGTCATCCGTCGAGTCCACTAGTCAAGAAACGCCGCGTTCGCTGCAGCATTCTCTGGACCCAGAAGACTCACATGCTGCGAAAGATGCAGGAAAGTCAACCGACGCATCTGAAATGAACGGCTACATTGATGACCTCAGAGCTCGGCTTCGGAGCTTCTCAGGCCTAATCCACCGTCGCCTTCAGATCAAGGAGGACGATGGCGAGGAGACCGTCGTCATTTTGTCGTCCACATCCCGCTCCCTCCTCGAATCGGACCTCTACCGTCTCGCCCAGCGGGGAAAACACGTTGCCGGCTGGACCAACGGCATCTCCAAAGTCATCCAGTCCGTCTCCCCCGTCACCAGAGAACCCCGGGGCCAATACTTTGTCTTTTTCGACAACCCCGCTGCCGCCCGCGTCTACCATTCCAGGCTCATGCGCATCATGCGCCAAACCGAGCACCACGATGAGAACCTAAAAGACGAGTCACACACCGCTTTATACCCGCTGGAAGTTGGCAACGTGCCAGAAATCATGTCGGCCACCAAGCTCGCCAGCATCGTGGCCGACGTCGAAGCAGCCGACATAGGGAAGCCACAGCGGTACGGGCCCTTCTCGGCGAGCGCCAGGGTCCCGCACGGACTGGCCACGCATCTGAGCCCGGACGCCGCCACCACTGCCGGACTCGGCTCGCCCGTGCTAGTGCACCTCATCGGCAGCAGAATCACGGCCGAGGCCATGATGGAGGCGGTGCGGGCCGACGGGGAGGATCGCGGCCTTCCCTGGCGGCTGCTCGACGAACCCCCAACCCCCCAATCGCCACATTGGCCGCGGCCGCTGCGGTGGCTCCGGGCGGGCAGCGCCGAGATTAAGGAATCAGAATTTGACAAAGAGGCGGTCGACGCCACCACCCAGCAGAACATCGACGACTCGAATGAGGAGGACGCACTGAGCATCGATGAGAAGAAGAAGACGAAAGGACGCCGAGAAACGCGGCAGTATGGGTACACGCGCTTCGTCATCACATTTGCGGATTCAGTTGAAGCCAGGCGTTTCGCGCGGACGTGGCATAAGCGGGAGATGGTGGATGAGCGGACCGGCCGGACCATGGTTGTCAATACCGCTGTGTTGATGTAGGATAAATGGGCAGGGATTGTATCGTGCTCTATTGTCATCAACGGATCTGGGTACCTGAATTTGTATACCGTGAATCATACCATGTATCGTCTTGTGTTGGTGCTGCCAAAAGGGTTTGACTTTTTCGAGGTCAATTTCCATCGATACCATGAAACTGTTTCAAGCCACCCTTGAACTGTCTCATTCTGTGAGCAGCAGCCCATCCATTACCCTCCTAACATCGGAACCGTATCCCTAGTAGGTATCTCAAACAAAAACAGAAAGGTATCACGCGACAGGCCCTCAAGGTAGTCAGGATTTCAAATACAACCCAGAAGAACCAGAAAACAAAGGGAAGGAAATAACCATCGCGGACAGCAAAGGATGCCCTCGCTTAGCGAGGTAAAGAGAGTCAAGAATTGAACACACGTCCCAGACTCCCTCGCGAATAGCCTCCAGCGCCTGTGAACATCCGATTTCACTCGGCAACATCCAGCACAACCCTCTCACTCCTCCGATCCCCGGCTATCATCGTCATAACAGGCGTCACCCTCCCCTTGACTACCCCGCCAACCATAACCTGCTGCTGCTGCTGCTGCTGCTGCGGTGTCCCACTCCCTACCGTCGCACTCCTTTCCCTCAGACCATTCCCGGATGCGCGGCCAAACTGAGGCCTCATCAGCATCTTCCTCTGCTGCCTCGAGATGCTAATTTGCCGCGCAATCGATATCTCGACGGCGGCCTTCAGCGCCGCGTCTTGCTCGTCGACCGAGATGCGGGTGGACGAGCCGATGTCGAGGGATGGGCGCGACGAGAGGGTGGAGGAGGATGAAGTAGACAAGGATGCCGAGGTGGCGGTGGAGGCCGATGGGGAGCGTTTGGTACGAAACAGTGTTGTTGTTGTGCTCGTCGAGCTGGCTGTTGGTGCGATGCTGGTGTTGGCGTGGGTCGGTTGAATGGAACCAGGGTTGGTGCTGGCTGATGTGGAAGACGGAGGGGTGATTATTTCCCATTGCGGTTCGGGGAGCGATGGTCTTAGGGAAGCGGGTAGCTGGCGCAGACGGTGGGTTGTGTAGTCCACTTCGTCTTCGTCTTCGTCTTCGGAAGAGGACGGAGACGAGTCGCTCACTGGGGAGTCGAGGATGAGGCTGGATTCGTTGGGGTGGAAGTGGAAGCTTCCCCCTGTTTGTATGTGAGACCGCTGCAGCTCGCGGAGTTTCTCGACCTGGGCCGTCCGGTGGAACTCATCCATGGTCCGCGGCGAGACGATGGTGACCGTCTTCCTGTCCTTCTTTGCCTGGTCCGGCGAACCATGAGGCGGCGGCTCGAGGCTGGCCCTGGATGGCGACGGAAGGTAAGCGGGCGACGTGTTTGACCTGGTGAGACCACGGGCGGGTGCCAACGACGTCGTTAAGGCCATCACCGCCCCTGAGGAACCGACCATCCCCGACTGCCTGGTAGGCGTTTGCGGGAAGAGTGAGAAGGCAGGCGACTTGGTGGGTTGTGGCGATGTCGCCCTGCGCGGTCTCGTCTTCTCTTTTACCTCTTCGGTTTCTATTTTGTCGCTGAGGGTTTTGAGTTTCTTCAAGGTAGCCTGCCGTCGTTCCAACAGGGACGATTTGGTTCCGTTTGGATTCAGCACGCCGCTGAACATGACGCTGTACCGCTCTAGCCTGATATCTGGAATGTCGACGTTGAGGAACCCGACACCACTATTGGAGACAGAAGGAACGGATTCTGAGGGGCCCTGCCAACTTGAGTCCTGGGCAACTGGGCCCGATAGCTCTATCGTCGGCTTGATGATGATGGGCGTGTGCTTCGGCGTCTTCCTGCTGGCGACAGTGCTACTCCTGGCGAGAGCGGGGTTCTCCTTAGGTATAGACGAATTGCTGCGACTGAGCTCGGAAGCTTCCACTGGCTTGGGTGGTTCTGTGTTCTTTCTGCCTCCGAACAGTGAGCCAAACAGCCTCCTCTTTTGCGTCTTTGTCCTTCGCACTAAAGGCTCTGGCGTCTGTAGGGGCGAAGGCACAGTGCTGGTGTGGATTGATGGCTGCGATCGCGGTTGCCAGCCGGCCAGGGGTCTGTCAACATAAGGGCTCCCGGCATTCTGAGTCGAATCCTGGGTTGGGCTCCCCAACGCCATCCCAATCTGAATCTTCCCGGACACCGAAGACTGAGGTGTCGGAAGAATGGCGGCCGGCGTTATGATGGGCGAAGGAGAAGCCATCCGCGACCTTTGCGGACTGGGCTCCGCGCTACGCACCCAGGGAACTTTGGTCCCGTTAGAGTTCGGCTGTAGACCCTTTGCCTTGCCCGCACCCATCTGACCAGCCAGGGCCATGTCGTCCTTAGATAACCTTTTGTCGAAGTTGAACCTCGAGCCAGCTGATTTACTGAAACTGGGCCCTGAAGATGTGCTGGGTCTCTCCCTCATGGTGAATGGCGTTGTGCTGGCACCGACAACGGTATTTCTTGACGGCGGAGGGGGAAGAGGACGGTCGAGGTAAGGATTTTGGCCTCCGAGAAACGTGACGGGGGGAATGTCAGCATTATGAGGTGGGAGTAAACCCCGTCTGCTGGCATCCTGTGGACGCTGGGCAAGATCTGATACAGGGCCTTGTCCCTTGTCAAGGGGGATTGCTGCCGAGCCATGCAAGAATTCCTCATTTTGGCCACTTACACGCGCAACCACAGCTGGCGCATTCGCTGTTCTTGCCCCTGTTCCCACCCACAGCGGGTGGCTGCGCCTAACCTCTTCCATCATGGCGCCCTCTGACCATGCGACCACTCAACGGGCTGCAACGACTTCGTTCCACTGACGTGGTGCGGCAATCCGCCCTGCCCTGGGATCGTTTCGAAATATCGTTAACACGCACAGGGTCGCCGTGGGCGAATCGAGAGCGCGATCCGCTAGCTGGGAACCGCCGACGCCGCAGGAGCGCAAGAAAGGAAGAAAATTAGATGGCAGCCCTATGGCAGGGAGGGACCAAAACTCCATGAGAGCGCTCGAAAAGAGCCCTGAGTGGAAGACAGCGGGAAATTACCACTTACATATGCTTACACATTCGTCTCATCTGATATCATCTTATTTCACTTGAGATGGATTTGAGCCTGAACTCTCTTTCGACGCTCTTGGCACGACTTTGTCTTGCTCACACAGGGCAAGCCTGGTTTGAGAAGCACGGCGGTTAGTTCAAACCAAGGTTAATCGCCAACAAGGTTCGGCAAACAGAGCAACCAGACAGTATCCGTACGCAGTAGGCTCCATCCACTTCGAACCATCGAAGTGGTGCAACTGACCCCTGTTGGGGGGATGCCGGAATGGTGTTTTTCAAAATTGTCTCAGGAACCCGAGAGGCTCCGTTCTCTGTGGTTGCACTGCTGACCCGATGCAGATGCAGGACGGGGAGTTGCGCCGCGGGTGAGGAAGCGCGTGGTTGAGAATAGGCTCAATACCCTTGGCGTGCCAGTGTCCATGAAAGTTACCTTATATGGATAAACTGGCGAGACTGGTTGCAGACTTTCGGCCTGACCGTCCCGCGACCACAATCACGTTGGGTTCGGGTTGTCAACCTTCCCTGGCAATCCCTTGACGAAACGTTCCCTCCACCACTGCGGGGGTTGCACTGCGCGATCGACTTTGATGACTGCTACTTCAAGGGGCGGCCACGCTAGCAGGCGGGGCGTTTCTGATGTTGGACCGCCAAGCTCTGGAATGTCCCGAAGCCCTACCATGGTCGATCATTCCAAGGCTGTACGGTTGTTGTGTTGAGATGGCAATCAATCCTGAGTTTTCGCTGCAGCTTTGCGACGCTGTCGAAATTAGAGGATCCGGGGGGTTACATTTGCCGGTTCAGGGTCATAGACCTTCCAGAACCTTTCGAAGTACGGACGAGCCGTTTGATCTTCAATACACCAAGTGCCGGAGCAACGACTTTACGTTTCGAAAGGATTCGTCGAGACTAGGGAGACTAGGGAATTCGACTAATTCCAGATTACCGTGGTACGTTGAAGCAGTAACGTTGGAGGCCGACAGTCCAGGTCGCGTGTCGCGTTGAATTCCGTCGTCTGATCTTGCCGACCGACCTTGAAGCGGATGCCAAGCGCCTTCGCATCGCCGGTACCGAGAGGGACAGGGGTTGCATGTGCCGCGAGGCTAACGTTGAACGTTATGTACGTTACTCCGTACGTCTCAGAAACTCAAATCCTCACGGATATCGTTGGCTATCGGCTTGAGGCGGTCAGGTTCAGAGGGCGAGGTCGGGAGGTCGGCGGCCGGTAAGATGGATGTCATGTGTGAGAGACCGTACCAGGCGGTTACCTGCTCAGACGGGTAAATCCTGGGCTCTCTCGACCTTCTGGAAGTTGGTTTGACCCAGCTTAGTGATGGTACGAGGTTGGTGATGTGCATGAACTGCCTTTGGATGTCTCGGACTCGTCCCCACCGGGCCGCCGCAACAAGCATGCAGTTCAAACACGCGGTACGGAGTACGGGGCATGCGGAGGCTCCTCGACCTGTGCACAGTCACTGAACCCTCGGCGATACCGGTAGAAGTGTGTTTGCGGCTGGAGATGGAACAGAGCCCCTCGAATATCGGATAAACGGTTAGTACCATGAGACTTGGAGTGTGCGAGTCAACAGAGAGGGCTTGGTTGTCGGGACAGAAGGATTTCACCACGCGAGCTGCAAAAAACTCAAAAAGAAGGTTGTCGGTAACGGCGCAGATCAGGAAATCAGAGGATCGATCGGATAAAAAAAGGGAATGCCATGTGGATGAATTTGTCGAGCTTCGCTACTACGATCAAATGCCCCTTGGTTACTTACCCCCAACGTTGCGCAGTTGCCAGCTTTCCAGCGACGGGAAAAGCACGTCGAGACTCAATGACAGGTGGTGGAAACGTTCAGCTTACATAAGGTAAAACGCAAGCCATTGACCCCTCCCTTTGTTGAGCTTGCCGTGGTGGAAACCGTGGAATCTGCCCAGATTGGCGGGGTTTCTCTGAGCACGACCCAAACCGATTGTCCAACTACCGACAAACTTTCGCAACACCGCCAATCACTATCCCAACTTTAAGGAACCTTCGCTGCCCTACGCATTCTCCCGTTCTCCCTCACAAGCCTTGAACACATCGGTGTTCCTCTGATCTGCAAACTCACCCCGCCCATCATGTCCTGGCAAGGTAAGCGCTGTCACCAAAGTCGTGGCAGCTAAACCCCACCTCTTGCTCAAGATCCAGGATCGGGAGCTAACAGCTTCCCGCAGCCTATGTTGACTCCAGGTACGCCGTCGAAACCCCGTAACCCCGTGTCAAGGAGCAAAGACAGTCTATCTTCGACCGTGTTAAACCCCGATAGCTAACATGTCCCCAAAAGTCTGGTTGGCTCCGGCCACATCGACAAGGCCTGCATCGTCAGCGCCGCCGGCGACAGCACCTGGGCTACGACCCCCGACTTCCAAGTAAGGAGGAAACTCCCCATTCGGCATGGTTAAAGCCAAGAGACGAGTGAACCACGTCCTAACCTGCCCCTTAACCAGGTCAAGCCGGAGGAACTCAAGGCCATTGTGGCCGTGCTGAACGAGCCAGACAAGACCAACGGCGCGCCAGTAGTCACGGCCTACTCGGAGGGCCTCCACGTCGCCGGCGAGCGATTCGTGGCCACCAGAGTCGAGGATCGGCACATCTACGGCCGCAAGGTACATTCCCGCTCCCCCCGCAACTACACCACCCCCCCAAGGTCTTTAAAGATCAGCTCCGCTGAGATGTCGAACCACCTTTTGCGAAACGCATACAGGAGAAGACAGGAATTTGCATCGTCAAGACGAAACAGACCATCCTCATCGGCCATTACGGCGAGAACGTGCAGGCCGGCAACGCGACACAGACGGTCGAGGCGCTCGCCGACTACCTCATCAACGTCGGCTACTAAACATGTCCGCAAGTGTTTAAGGACGAAGTAAATCTGGGTGCGTGTTTCTGGCACGGATGGATAGTTAGCGGGGGTTCCATTATGAGGCCAACCTTGCTCTTTTCTTTAGTGACGACTTGGAAGAGGAGGAGCTGTTAGTACAATAATAGACTCGAGCGTTGCGGGAAGAGGGATGACGCTGATTATGCGCTGTGAATGCCCGGAAGAGGAAGCCTCTGGACCAGAGGAAGCTCGATAATTCGATGCTGCAGGCTGTTTCGCAGCAAACATGGTCAGAGATCCAGAGGCTGCGGAATCGGCATTCTGCATACTATCAAATATTCATCTTGGCCCCTGTACTTGTTGGCTTGCTGGTACATCCAAGTTTGATGGTGTCGTGACCGGACCGTGCGTACAGCGCTATTCTGTCTCTATACCTGGTCCCCCACGGTTCACGTACAAAGAACTGCAATGAACGCCAGGACCACCCCCTTTCTCGAATCATGGGTTTAAGATCGCCCAACGCCGCAAGGGTGTCCTCGAGGACGAGCCGGCCAAGGTCCCTTAGAAAATTATGCCCTTCTTTTCTCTACCCCTTATCTTCCCTGGGCCGAGCGGTCTCGTTACCAAACCGGCACGATTGAAGGCCTCTCTGCCTCACCCCTCCCATGTATATCTATACCCATTCCCAAAAGGTCATCCATCTCTTTCGTTATAGCGATTGGTCGTACGTTAGCATGTTCCTCATCCCATACGCTCGCCAGCCAGCGCCTGCCGGAAATAAACCATGACGCATCTTTTAAACAGGCAACTCTTTTAAACAGGCAACTCGGCATTTCTCCGCCATCCCAAGCCCGCCCGGTCGAGTACCATGCCGATATATGGCCCCACCACGGGCACGTTGCGCGCGAAACCTGCGATGGTCCCGAGGAAGTCCCCAAACAGCACTATAATACCGTAGAGCTCGACCAGGAACCCGACCAGCGGCCAGCGCAGGAGGATCAGGGCTAGCCCCGCGAAGAAGGCCGCGGTGCCTTTGAGTTTCTGCTTGCGCGCGAAGAAGAGGGCGGTTTTTTGTGGGCCGATTATTATGGTTAGGCCGATTAGGAAGAGGATCTGTAAATCAAGAAGAGGAAAAAGGGGAGAGATGTTAGCGTGGTGTTTGAGTGAATGGAGGGAGGGGGGTGCGCAGGAAAACGGACATTGCCCATTGCTAGCATGGCGCGGTCGAAAAAGAGGAGAACGCCGCCTATGAGGAAGAAACCGCCTGGAATAAGAGGGGGTTCTGTCAGCTGGTTCTATGGGGTCGCATCGAATTTAGGGATCTTGGTTCGGTGGTTGTTTGAGCGGATGTCCTTGACAACGTCGGCTGAAAAGAGAACGGAAGATTCAGAGGGGTATGCGTACCGCCGGAGCAGAAGGCGACTCCAATTTCTGAAGGTTCATGTTAGCTTTGGTTCTGCGAGAGACATTGTGCAAATGCGCCGCCCTCTCCCAGGGAATTCTCGTGCATAATGGAAAGCGCATTGAGGAGTCGTACTTTGGGAATCTGATAACCACATGGTCGGCATCTCGTCTTGTGTAGGGACTGAGGAAGTACTCCTATACAGGGAAGGCAATTCAAATCTTGAACAAGGGCAGAAACTGGTTGAAGTGTACTCATAATATTTGTTGCGTCGCGCAGAAGACGGACACGAAATGGGCGAAGAAACCGCCAAGGCATAGATTGCCGCTTGGCGCTGACTGCCGGAACCCTGGTGCGGCAGGCAAGTCCCGCCTGTGGAAATGGTGGTCCTCATTGGAATGGTTGGACAACGAGGTCCCGCCAAGACGCAAAAGAGGAAAGTCGCAGGGTAAGAAACTTCGAATTCGAAGTAGCTCAGTACTCCGTACATTAGCGATATACGGAGGTCCCTACCAAAAGTCTTGCCCCACCGCCTTAAAATCACAGCGTTTCTGCTTGGCAGAGAACCCTCGTATAGCCAATCAGCTAAATAGTCGGTGCGGTAAAGTTCTGATAGGTACATCCGTACATACGAAGGTAGGGGGCTGAAATAACAGCAGTGGGTCCGGTACCGACAAGGGTAGTTGTCGGGTCTCTCTTTGTACCCCACCAACACAACAAAACGCGATCTCTTCAACGCGCCTCTTCAATGTGCCTCTTCTGACCGAGATGGAGCCCTCCGAAGATAATCCAGAGCTGCGACAAATCCGGCAGACTATAGACCGGATTGAGTAGCAGCAGCGGCTTCAACAGCAGCAACTTCAGCAACTTCTTCAGCGACAAGAGGAGCTTGAACGCACAATCCGACCTTCCACCCCTCCTGGGCGCGCCGGTGACTTGAATCGGGATCAACGCCGTGAGATACGCCTGCTACGAGAGATAGGATGCTCCTTGGAGAGGATCAAGACCTATACTGGGGCTACAATGGGCCAGGTTCGATATGCGATATCTGCAGCACAAGCAACTCCTCGAAACGATCTGGCCGGCATGGTATGTTAACTGCGGCCCAAATTGGCGAGCTTATTGAATTCATCACCTCTTCAAAGGAAGGTCGACGGATGCCGTGGAAGAAGCTACCTGAAGCAATGGGCTGGAATGTCACACATTACGCTGTTCGTTACGCGCTCCGTCGTGCTGGTTTCAAGAGATACGTCGCTCGTCGAAAACCACCAATCTCAGAGGCAACCCGAATCAAGCGGCTCGAGTGGTGTAAAGAGCGAGAGCACTGGACAGTTGAAGATTGGGCAATGATTCTTTGGAGTGACGAGAGCTGGATTACCGGTGGCCGGCATCACAAAACATACGTTACACGACGACCCGATGAAGAGCTTGACCCGACCTGTATCGTGGAACGGGAGCCTAAGCGGCGAGGTTGGATATTTTGGGGTTGCTTTCTGGGCATGCTGGCAAGGGACCTGGGATCTTCTGGGAGAAAGATTGGGGGTCGATCTCTTCGAAATCATACATCCAGCATACTATTCCTGTCATTGAAGGATGGTACAATCTCCACGAAGGGCACATCTTCATGCAAGATGGTGCCCCAGGCCACGCTACACAACCAACTAAACTGGAACTTCTTGAGAGGGGCATTGAAGTCCTGGAATGGCCACCATACAGTCCCGATATGCACCCGATCGAGAATGTATGGAACTGGATGAAGGACTATTTGGAGAAAAACGTCCCAGAAAAGATGGCATATGATCAACCTCGCATTGCTGTGAAAGAGGCATGGGAAAAGGTCCCTGAAGACTGGCTCTTAGAGTTAGTCCATAGCATGCCCGACCGCATTCAAGCAGTTATCGCGGCAAATGGGCTCTATACTAAATATTGAAGTAAATGCAGTATGGACTGGAATGCGTCGATTGCAATATTGGGAGAAGGGAAGAGGTACAAGCGAGATACCACTGTCGGTACTGGACCCGCTGCTGTTATTTCAGCCCCCTACCTTCGTAATTTGGGGTTTGGCTCTAGCGTCTTGGCGAGACCTTGGTATCCAGCAGCCATTGGAACAAACTTCCCTCCATACGGATCGTACTTTCTCCGATTTTCTCGGTGCTTGCTTTTGAACTCAGCCCCATCGACCACTAAACGCAATATGTGAGGAGGTCTGTTGGCATTGTTTGAGCTCAGGTGACGAACTTCAATAGAGGCATCCCAAAGGATAAGATTATGTCCGACCATTTCTTGGTCGAGGTTCCTAGACGAGACATTCGTCGCTAATTCAAACATGGAAGATGAGGATTGCCAAGTCGTGTCCTCGACGAAGAAGGTAGGTGATGTTTTCCTGTCTCCTTTTCCTCAACGAGTTTGCCGCGACGGCTCCAGTTCTGCTGGAGCAACCGAGCTTGGTTCTCCCCCATACTCGCTCGGTGGTCTGTCGAAATATCACAAGGCACATAACAATCTGATCACGATTAAGCCGGAGCGTCAACTGTCATCTTGCGGCCGAGAGGCAGCGAGTGCGTAGTTGGGGTTTGACTTTGTTGGTCGTACACACGATTACAAATATGCTGTTGAATGAATGTACCCTCGTCGCCGTGATCCTGACCCTCGCCATGCCCGCCCCAGTCCCATGCAACTGTAAACGCCGGGCTTGTTTCACAGTTCCTGGAGGCATTACGAGACAATGCCCCCAACTCAGCGTCTCGTAGGAACGCGTGTCCTCCCCGTTAGCCCGTCACATGCCGGAGGTATTCCCAGATTGGCAACGGTGGCCAGCCGAAGATGCTCGAGCCCGTGACGACGAGGGCGGCGAGAACCGACATGAGACTCGCGTACCAATACACCGATGCCTTTTCCTTCCCAAGCATAAACTCATTGGCCCCCGTCAGGACTTGGCGCCACATTGGCTTTCTAACAACCGAAGATCAGTCAGCGTCCGTTTCGAGCCATGGGATTCAGCGAGGCTCACTTCGCATATTCGTCATGGCGGGGATGATGGGTGGGCACTGGCAGAATCGGGGCATTCGTCGGCAGCAGTGGTATGTTGGTTTGCACACTCGAGGGAGTGCTGGTTCCGGCCGGGGTGAAAGAAGTATGTCGTGCAAAATCCTGCGTCTGAGTCGGGGTGGGTGTCTCTTGGGTGGACTGCCGAGTCTGAGTGGGAGTGGGAGGGGGAGTTTCTTGAGTGGACCGGGGCGGAGTTGCGAACGGCGACATCACCTCCATTGTCGGTTGATGGATGTGACGGGTTGAAATATGAAATGATGCGTTCCGTATTTGCTCGGCAGTGCGACGTTGCTCTAAATAAGCATGACCGGATGTTATCAATACACTTGCGAGTGTTAAGCTCAGCTGTTGATGCCCTCAGACAACAGCAGAGTGACAATAGTGGAAGAGCCGTCTACAAAAGTGTCTGTCCGTGTGCTGATAATGTACTGTACCGGCCGGGCTCTTTGGCGTACGGCAGGTGCGATTGGTTCCGAGTCCGAGTCGTTCAGACAGGCGGGAGCGATACAGACTCAGACTCATCGGTGGAAGCAGCAAGACAGGCAGCTGTGCTCCTGCCCCGGTTGAGCGATAGTTGCGATGTCTGAGAACCCAACACGGACGAAACGTCCCTATCCCACCAAATGCTTGTCCCCAGTATCCAAGCCCGTTTACTTGAGGACCGTATGGGCGCCTCTCGCCTCCAAGAATTGCTCGCCTACGCCCTGCGGCAGATTCCGGATCATAGCAAACACCTCACGATTATGATAGCGCATCCTCGTCTTGGGGTCCATGTAGGGCGCGGGCAGACCCGTCACGTCGCAGTAGTGTTTCAGCGGAGCCAGGCTGGGCGCGCTCTCAATGTTGGTGTAGGTTGCTGTGGGCGCCGAGGACGCGCCGTTGGCCGGCTTGGAAGATGCAATCAGTGACTTCTCGAGGACGAGCTTGGACAAACTGCGCGAGGCCTGGGCCAAGTTCGGCTGCAGGTTCGGGGTGCCGCCGGCCGAGGGGTTCGCTGGGGTTGAAGTGCCGCTCGTTGAAAGACCGTCGTCGTCTCGCGGCGCGGGAGTCGCAGCGCCGCTATCGTCCTGTGGGGTGGCGATGACAGAAGCTTCCTTGCGAGAGGCGTCGCCCAGGATGGTCTTAATGTTCTTGTTGCGCCGGATGTTGGGCCGCCACTGCGGATTCCGGAAGGTCTTGTGGATCGAATGAATGTCGAGCTGCTCCATGAGCGCTTGATGTGCGGCCTGCGCCGCTTGAGCTTCGGGGTTGGACATTGTTGGGCGACTGGTGTAAGCGGTCGTGTTCTTCTGTTTTCTTGAATTGACGATGGCTATGCGGTGGAGAGTGATTGCAGCTAATCTTCACTTCTGCCCCTCTCACCGCCGACACATAAGCCCCAGATACGTCACACTGTATTAATACTGTGTGCTTTCAAGTGGGGCCTTGGCTCTGATGATGTTCCATGGAGTCGACTCAACAACAACAGCAAAAAGTAAATGCAAGAGTTCCGCCAGCGAGATAGAAATCTAATAGGATGGTATGAGACCTCCTATCATCAGGCACTGCGTCCAACACATTGCTAACCCAACGAAGGAGAGCCCACACGAACACCAGCAGAACTTGCTGCTGTCGCGCATCATCACCAACGTCGTACGCCAGATCGGTGTTAAGGTCTAGTCAGTTACCATGCTTATTTATCATTTCGCATTGATAGGAGAAGTTGAACGAGGCTATCGTGGTGATGAATAAGACTCTGCAGGTAAGAGAAACTCCCTCGGTGTCACACTATGACTGAGAGTCGCATGCCTGACATGTTTCAGGAGATCAACAAAGAAAACATGAACATTGAGCTGGTGGCCCAGATGTTCAAGAACTACCAATCCAATGTGCTATTTCATTTGGAAGGCGAGTACGATGAAGGTTTACGAAGAAGAGCACCTACTGACTCCACTCCTATGTACTAGCAACCGACAACTTGAAGGAGCCAGTATGAACGAGAACCCCTTTTGGGAGTCGCTTGTTGGTTCTTGTGATGATGGTCCAGCAAGATAGTGGGCCAGAGATAAAAACCATTAGCCAATGGATTACGTGAGCTTTTGGGACACCTATCCTAGCTGTATTTCGTAAAGACCTGAGGTGTCTGAGTGAATCGAGATAATCTGGTATTGACACTCTCACTCATGTAGACATCGAGGTGGTCGTCAACGTATTCCTGAGGTTTAGGTACATGTAACAATACCTCATACCCCGTTAACCACATGGCTGTTTACCTTGGCCCCACACTGTGCGCTGCGCCGTCCGACGCATGTCCCACAGTGAGACGCGATCCCTGAGCTTGGTTCGATGAAGCATACTTACATAGCAACCGGCAAGCTGCGCGGCAGCAATTTCTTGCGCACTTGCAATCCTCTCAATCTTTGCCACAGACGGGCAGCAACTTGCGGCACGCAGGCCCGCGCATATCAAAACAATGAACCGTCAATAGAACATTACCACCAACCATTCTGTCAACGAGTGCTACCTTAACCATTTGGCAGTTTTGGGCCATTGAAGGAGCATGGCGCCCTCTGCGATAGACGAGACGGTCAGCCGAAGGGACGCCTGGCAGAACCTTCCCCCGCCAAACGTCTACCCGGTCAAGGAAGCCAAGTTCGAGAAATACCTACCGCCACAAATAGACGGGAGGGAGCGGGCGCTGGCTCAGCCTGCGGGACAGGCGGCCATCGTCATCGACAATGGTAGGCAGCCCAAATCCCCTGAATCGCGTAATGTTTGTTTCCCAATAGTACTGACGAACTGATGGCGTTATGCAGGCTCGTCTGCGGTGCGTGCAGGCTGGTCCTTCGAGACCAAGCCACGGCTCGCCATACCGCCTATCATGGCCAAGTACCGCGATCGCAAAGCGAACAGGACCTTCTCCTTCGCCGGCCAGGATTGCTATGCCGACACTACTGCACGAGGACACATCCGTAACGCATTTGAGGCTGGCACTGGCATCGTGAGCAACTGGGACGTCATGGAGCACGTCCTCGACCACGTCTTCATCAAGCTCGGCATGAACGGCGCAGAGGGAGGTATTGACATGCCCATTGTCATGACAGAGGCTGTCGCCAACCTCCCATACTCGAGGAAGAGTGGGTTCATGCCACATCACCGCCCATTGATTGCATGTGTCGCTGACTTCGCGTAGCCATGAACGAGACCATCTTCGAATGCTATGGCGCGCCGAGTGTCGTCTACGGCATTGACTCGCTCTTCTCATATCGACACAACCATGGCAAGACGGGCCTTGTCGTCTCTTCGTCCTACAGCGCAACACATCTGATACCAGTATACGACTCCAAGGCCATGCTGTCGCAGGCGATAAGGCTGAACTGGGGTGGATGGCACGCCGCCGAATACCTCCTCAAGCTCATCCGACTCAAATACTACACGGGGTTTCCCGGTAAGCTCAATTCCTCACAAGCCGAGCAAATGGTTCGGGACTTCTGCTACGTGTCGTTGGATTATGATCAAGAAGTCGCGCGCTACCTGGACTGGACCGGGCTAGAGGACAGGGAGCGCATCGTCCAGTTCCCCTATACAGAAGAAGTGGTTATTCAAAAGACCGAAGAGGAACTGGCGCGGATTGCGGAGCGGAAAAAGGAGAGCGGGCGGAGGCTGCAAGAGCAGGCCGCCAAGATGCGCCTGGAGAGGCTTATGAAGAAAGAGCAGGAACTCGAGTACTACAAAGACGTCCAGCGCCGGTTAGTGGATCAAAACAAGAAGGAGACGAAGCGCATACTGGATGAAGCAGAGCTTAAGGACGAGGCGGCCTTGGAGCGAGTGATTCGGGAACTCGAAAAGTCCATCAAGCGCGCCCGTACAAAAGACCTCGGTGGCGAACAGGAGGAGGAACAAGAGGTCCCCGACTTCAGCCTCCTCGATGTGCCAGACGACCAACTGGACGAAGCGGGCTTGAAGCAGAAGCGTCAGCAGCGTCTGCTCAAATCGAACCACGAAGCCCGGGCGCGAGCCAAGGCCGAGAAGGAAGCTGAAAAGGCCAGGATAGCAGAGGAAGCCCGCCTCGACGAAGAACGGCGGACCAACGACCTCGAAGGCTGGCTCGAAGGAAAGCGCCAGGCCCGCCTCGCCAAGCTCGCTCAAATCAAGGACCGCGAGCGGCTCAAAGCCGACCTGGGCAACCGCAAATCCCTCGCCAGCCAGATCCGCATGAAAAATATCGCCAATCTCGCCTCCGACGCCCCGACTGGCGCCGCCGGAAGCCGCAAACGCCGTCGGGGAGGCGACGACGACGATTTTGGCGCCGACGACGCCGACTGGGGCGTGTACCGCAGCGTCGCCATTGGCGCCAATAAGGGCGACAGCGATGACGAAGAAGACGGCGAAGAAGACCTCGAAGCCGCGGTCCGCGCCCTCGAGGCCGACCTCCTGACCTACGACAAGGACTTCTCTTACAACGAGACCCTCGACGCCCAAAAGGATTGGTCTAAGTCGCTGCTGCACGCCTTCCGCTACGGCCCGCGGCCTTTCGACCCGTCCTCGCCCGCCGAGACCCACCGCCTGCACCTCAACGTCGAGCGCATCCGCGTGCCCGAGGTCCTATTCCAGCCGACCGCCATCGCGGGCATCGACCAGGCCGGCATCGTGGAGATTGCGGGGGATATCCTCACGCAGCGACTGCCGTCAATCCCGGGGCTGGAGAAGGCGGCCAGGGACGAGGTTTTGAGGGACGTCTTCCTCACGGGCGGGAATACGCTCTTTGAGAACTTTGACGAGCGCCTCCGGCGTGGGCTGACGGCCCTGCTGCCTGCGGGCGCGCCGCTCGCTATTCGCCGGGCGGGGGACGCCGTGCTGGATGCGTGGAAGGGGGCCGCCGGGTGGGCGGGAACGGAGGAGGCGCGGCGGACGAGGGTCACGCGGGAGGAATGGCTGGAGAAGGGCGGGGACTATATCAAGGTGAGAAGTTGACGGACATAAAATTTTTTTGGTCCTTCTTGGCGAGATTGCTGACTTTGTTCGCTTGGGCAGGAGCATGATTTTGGGAATGCATTTGCTTGAAAGGTCGTCGGGGAGGATATACGGGGACGGCCTCTCTCTAGCCTTAGCAGGGGGGAGAGAATCCACGGAAGCCTCCCCCAGTCTCGGTGCCCAGTGCGGTAGACCAGACGGTATACCTGTCGCTTAGTTCAGCAATAGGAGTTTTTCGGCGGCAGGTAGGTCGGGTTAGGGGGATAAATGGACTTGGTGTGATTGATGTGCCTTGCTTAGTGTCTCTTGCTATGTGTATAGGGAGGCTGTCGAGTATGGGCCCCTCCGGATGCTGTGTGCCTCTCGCGACGCTGCGGCTCAGAATCTCGACTCCAGTTCGAAACCCCAACAACGGACTCGGGCGTGCGCCGTCATGACACGCCCTGGTCCATCAGCAGCGAGCGAGCTCAAGTATGCTCAGAAAGCTACTTCAAAAGGAAAAACGGCTACCAGTTAGTGAAGAAAAGGGCCTGTATTGCGATCTTTCCATATATCCAAACAGACCGTACCCCTAGCAGGGCGACATATGCGGCGGGCAGTTTCCTGAAAAGACTATCTCATAATTATCATAACCCTCTCCACAACCTCAGCGTCTTCTCCGCTCAAACAACAAGACGCAACAAACACCTACGTACACCAGTCACACAGCTGGAAGGAAAAAGCCGGCCCTCAACCAGCCACAATCACCTGCGCCAACACGCCTGACCGAAGATCAGAACGCCGAAAGGGAAGTGCCTGTAGCAACCTCCTGTCTCCTGGGACAAACCCTAATCACCCGACCTTCGCCGGGTGACACGACCCCCCAGAGAACCCCGACTGGCCCCAGGAGAAAAGCGTCCCACCAGGCCCTTCACCACACGCTCACGGGCCACGTCAGCTCGAGATTAATCACAGGCGGGATTCAATGTCCCAGACCAGGCTGTCCAGACTGTCCAAACTGTCCTACATTGGCGCGGCAGGCAACCCATCCGGCCCGCCGTCCGACTGCAGCTGCCGCGTAATCTCCTCAGCGGTCCTCGCATCGTCGTCGGTGCGGGCGGGTGCGTAATTCTCGTTGCGACTGAGCCCGGCAACCGCCTGGGCGGCCACCTCGAGCGGATTCGAGCTTGGTGCGGGAGCGGCGTTGGTTTGAGGCGCTTCAGGACCCCCGGAGGTGGGCTGTGCCGCCTGGTTGCTGGGGTGGGCAAGGTTGATGCCCGCGGGCGGCTGGGGGTATTCGCCGTGGGTGTCGAGCAATCGAGACTGCAGGCGAAGGACATAGTCCCGTAGCGCATAGTTCTCGGCCTGGAGCGCCTTGAAGGTGATCTCCATTTCGCCGTAATCTCTGACTTGCTGCTCGAGCTTTTTGATGTATCCCTCCTTGCGTTGACGGAATGCCCTCTGTAGTACGGAACGGCTCAGTCAGCATTTTTCGTAAGATAGGGGCCTGTTTACTAACTTGAGCGGCCCTGTTCTGAGCGGCGCGTTTGGATTGAGATAATTCCCTCTTGGCTTTCCTCCCGTCCGCTGCTTCTCCAATCTGTGCTGGCCCCATCGCTGGAGCAACAACCGCAGAAGGGCCTGACATGACAACGGCCGGGTTTGCTTGCGGCATACCAGGGCCGGGGGAAATCATGTTGGGGGCAGGCGCGTTAGATGGGGCGGCTGCAGGCTGCTCGTGGCTTGCTCGCAGTTCCGGATGAATCTGGGCCTCGCTCTGTGGATTTTGAGATTGGCTATAGCCATGCGGAAAAGAGGGCGCAGTTGAACCGGACGAAATCTTATTAGCCCCGGCCCCTTCAGGCGCCGGCTGCGAGTGATTCGCAAAGTTAAGAGGTTGGTAGAAGGGGTGATCTGGCTGAGCAACTGTAGGTGCTGCAACCCCGGGACGCTCGCGGGAACTCTGCTCTAATAGCAAAAGGGGTGTCAGTACGATAAGAAGAAGAGCAAATAAGATTGGGAGTTGTCTATGTGATGGGGAATAAAGAGATCTTATCGGGGTGCGGAAGGGAAGCACATGAATGGAGCAAGTCGTCTGTTTGATCAAGTTGACTGGCGTAAGTTGTTAAAGGAAACCCGGCCTGCAACTTAAACGCCAAAGGGCCAGGGGTGACATTCGGAGTCTGGACTGTAGGAAAGGAGTACATGTAACTCGAGAGGAGTCATGCACCGGGATGCGCCTGAAGTCTTGGGAATTGTGTCGACAGATTATAAATCCGATCGGGACCGCCGACAATGGGGTTCTAAGGTGAGAAGCGGCAGGAGTGTGTTTCTCACATTGAAGCGCTACTTCTTCGCTGTCTCTGAAACCCTATGTTCCAGTTTGTTCAAAGCTTGGAGCTGGAAGACATATGTGTGACAAGAGAGACGTTAAGGCAATGGAAGAAGGGACCGCACTGGCGTCTTGGGCGACTTACACCGACGATGCGGCGATGAGGTGCGCAGAGTCTAATTGGTAACTGAGGGGAATTAGGTAAGAAAGACGGCGGGTGAGGCAGGGATGGGATGCAGCGGTTCTTGTACCCCAACAAGCGGAGCAAAGCGCCGGGGGTCCGTAAGGGTAGGACATCAGGGGGGTTGGGAGTTGATTTGAATGGCCCTCCGGGATGATGGTACGTGGAGACCACCGGCCGATATCTTGAAAGGATGTGTGTTAGGCAGGGCCATTCCTTTTGAAGAGAGGAAAGGTAGCTATCGTCTCGATGACAGATTGCTGTCATGGATGGAGTGGCGCTTGGAGATGGACGCGGCGGAATGCAGAGTCGGCCTAGCCATCCTCTTGATATTCCATCGCCCTTCCAGGTTGTGGTTCGATATCGTCACTCAAAACTCAATGCATGTTGCAGGCTGGCGACAATTGCTGGAGAGTCCATCGTTGTCCATGCAGTGCATGAGCTTGAGCGCCTTCCCATGTAGGTGGTGCCGCTGCGAGGGCATACCCCCAAAGCAGACTGCAAGCTGAGAACGAAAAGCGAATCACTCACCGAGCTTGATGTTGCTGGACATCTTCTGCACCTCGTAGTCTGACTCAGCAAGGGCGTGGCCACCGAGAATTCCCAGATTGAGCTTGGGCTAAACAACTCCTTAGGTAAGAACTATTTCTGGCTGCAAATGGTCTTGTCCCAACGTTATGTCAGCATCGGATCGAGATCTCTGAGTTGGATTGACGGCGCCAGTTCATGAGTGAGAATGCGCCGTAACTGGAGGCTAGCTTACCAGTCTGGGGAACGAGAAAGCCGAATGGCCGATCAAGATGCGATGCAACGAGTCTTCCTCCTGCTGCATTGATGGATTGTTGTAGGTTTCTGGGAGCCAGTGGGTGGACGGAATACAGTGCTTTGTCAGCAGTTGTTTGATTCCGTGAACTTTCACGCGATGGGTGGAGCCGAGCAGCGGATGCGCAACGGCATGGCCCACATTCACAGGCCGTCGGGTCTTGGCTTCCATTCAAGCTCAACTTTTTCCGAGCCGGCGAATGGCGCCACCCGGATCACCTGAGTCGCGACTCAGAAATGCTTGGCATCGTACGGAGGTACTCCGTATAATGGGTCCCTACTTGTTTCCTCTTCAAGACGTCTCTATTTACGAAGGTAGCGGGCTGATAATAGCAGTGGGTCCGGTATCGACGGCGAGTTCTGGGCTATTGGATGAGAGAAACTGCTGAGAGCGCCCGAGCGGCAACTAAGCTGCGTAGATATAATATGAAAGTAGATACCATATAGTGATATAAAGTATTATTATTATTATTATTCATATACCGCTATGCTCTAGGGCTCGCCGGACCCTCTACCGTCTATTACAAAGGAAAACTATGCCTGCAAGGCTAGACTAAAAACCTTTGTCTTTGTCACGGCGATTGCGCCGTGCCTGCCAGGACCCATGGGTGGAACCCGGCATGTGGAAAGCACGGGCCCCTGTGGGTTGAAGATTCTGCACCTCGCTGCCGCGAGATCTGTTCGTAGCTCCTCGAGCTACGTCTTGACAATCAAGCCTGCCCGTACCTGACGGAATAGAGCCCAGATTGTAGCTTAGCACGAATACAACTGCCATTGGACTATCAGCCTGTCCCGCCCGTGACAGTCTTCTCTATATTAGTCTGAAGTCCTAATCTATCTAGAATAGCGAAAAGAAAGGTGCAGATAGCTAATTAGGCTGTCGAACTAGCATAGTTCTAGCTGCTAGCTAGCCTATACTTCAGGAGCCTCCTAGAGTATAGTAGCTACCTAAATCACCACCCTTAAGCCTTCTCTCCTTGTTCTCTTACTTGTCGAGAGCTCTATACAAATCTCTCTACGAGCGTATCTCTATAGCCGGCTAGGTCCTTAGCTTCGGTGGTTGGCGGCACCATACAGCTAAGTATTGTACTATCTCCCTGCCCAGGCCACATTCGTAGTAGGGGATAGGTGTTCGAGAGACCTTAGCTCGGAAGAGGAAGTCCTTAAGGCCTATTGTCACGGCGGTCAGATGGATAATCCAATGACAATTGTATTTGGGCTAAGCTACAGTCTGTAACGGGCTTGGCCCGTAAAGGCCTCGGCAAACTCTCGGCCAAGACTCGAGATTCGGTGGACTTCTATCTTGTTCGATATCGGCGCACAGGCTAAGGATGTGGAGGTATAAGACGGCAGATATCTTGCATAGTCTTTCACTCTTTTTCTTCTTCTCTCTCCATTCGAGACAAACTCGTAGAGTCGTCACCAGCTAGTTGCAATATACTCCTGAGACAGTTACACTTAGAAGCAGTTATGGAACCTATTACAGGTCTCGTTAACTAGCTGACTAGGAGGCTAGTATCTTAGAAGAGGCCTTGTTGTAGGCCTAGTTGCAGGCCTAGTTGCAGGCCTTGTTGTCAGCTGAGAGGGCTGAGGAGTCAGGAGTGTAGGATTCTGGAGCCTGTCTTCGAAGTCGGCTAGCCTCTTGTTAAGATTAAAGGTCTAGTAGAGGAACCTACGTTTCGGCCTCAAGGTGTCGGGTTGAAGGGGCCTTGTAGGCCCCGGCCACTATCTATAGACTCCTGTTCTGGGCCTTCTGGGAGTCTTTTGCAATGCCCAATGGCTGACCTCCAATGGGGGTAGGCTGGTAGAAGCTTGAAGCTCTATAGGCTAGGGTACTGCGAATGCACTTAGTATAGGCCTTTCTAGCCTTGGCTAGAGCTAGGCCTTAGATCTTAGCAGCTATTCTAGATAGTGCAAAGTCCTGTGTTCTCGCTTTCGTTCAATAACTTCCCGGTAGGCCTTCTAATCTAGCAAGACTCCAAGGAACCGGCTAGAAGGTATAGGCTATATAGCGTCGAAGCCTTAGCTCTATAGGTAGGTCAGGTTGACTGGGTTTGGCTATTGCCTTTGGCCTTATTGGCGTGGATCAGCTCGCTCTTTTCTCCGGTAAAGACTATCCCTCTAGACTCTGCCCATTGTAGGCAGGTCTTCCAGGCCTTCTTCTAGTACCAGCAATTGGCCTAAGGCCCTCGGCCAAATCCTAGGAGGTTAGTATCGTCTGCAAAGCTCACTACAGCTATTCCTAGATGCTTTCCTTCAACGCCCTATATAGAGAAGCAATAAATAATAAAAAGGATTGTCACGGGCAATGCCCGTGCCAGGGTTAGGGTTGTATTCCATGTAGATTAGATAAGGCAAGCTCACTGGAGTGGGTCTTGCGTTGCCATCCTCTTGGTCTGTGCGCAGCCCCACCTTGCCCTGCAGGGTTTTCCCACGGCTGCGCACAGCCCACAGAGTTCTGGTTCCTTGTGCGATCTTAGCAATACTACCAGATCACCTAGTATTGCCTGTCACCACCCGTGATAAGGATCGGGGATAGTAGGGAGCCCTGTGGGATCCCAACCTTGATTGGTATAGGCTTTATAGCTTGGCTGTCAAAGTAGAGCGTAGCCGTTCTACCTTCGAGCCAGGCCTTAGTCTACCGCACTAGCTACCTAGAGAAGCTGCAGACCCAGAGAGTATCTAGTAGTCTTGTATGGTTGACTATATCAAAGCCTCTAGATATATCTAGCTATAGTAGAGAGGTAGTTGCTCCTTGTCTCTAAGCCTCCTGAATCTGAGTAACTACTTGTAACGGTCTCAGGTAGTATATTGCAACTAGCTGATGACGACTCTACGAGTACACTGAACTTGGAGAAGAAAAGGAGAGACGACAGACTCTGGTAGCTCGCAAGCATACTTATCCTCGTCGGCGCGCTGGTCTGAGCGCGTTGCTAGAAGGTTCGGTGTGCTGTGGGGCGAGTGGGAATAGCCTCATCAGGGGTCTTGGTATCGGCCGAGAGTCGCCGAGGCTCGCACCGGGCCCAGCCCGTTACACTACTAGCTGTATAGCTAGTTCATTAGATCAACTAGCTCTATTACCCATCTGCTCATTAGGTAGTAGGCTATTTGTGACGAATCTCGAAGGCCAAACTTCTGAAAAAGACTGCTAAAGGTTATAACTTGTCAACAGGGTGAAATTCGGTGAAGCCAAAAGGTTTACAATAAGTGCACAAGCAAATATCTCAATAGTTGGTGTAGCTAACTGCTTGTATTGCTTACTGAGGAAGCTACCGTGATGCCCGTAGGCCTAGAGATCGTAGACTATATATACCTCCTTTTCCCATTGTCCTTGGGGAGCGCTAGGAGCGGAGGTCGCTCCCAGTCCGCTGGGAGCATTCGACGCTCCCATCGCTCCTAAATGGAGCGAAGACAGGACTTCGCACTGCCCTCGTGATTGGCTATACCCATATCCGAAATGATTGGCTTGGGACGCTCCCTTCGCGCCCCTTCGGGTCTGCATGCGGCTATATCCGTGACAAGTGGCCTTCCACAAACCTTTCTCAGGCCTGTAGATATTTATGGAATATATAACGTGTTTTATCAGCGAATGCACCATATCAGCGAGTGCACTCGCTGATAAAACACGTCAGAGCTTTATAGTACCTTCTAGAATCTGAAATTGAAAATAACATCCGGCTATTATGGCTGCCTGTATCGTAACTCATAAGGTGGAGAAAAAGCCTTAAGCTGCTATTACAGCCGATAGCAGTTGTAGAATACGGTACTAGCTCCCGCTCTTTGCAATATATCGCGGTAATTACCTCCGTACATCTGTCTTGGAGCTCGATTGGTCCAAGACTTGGTGGAAATCAACTACCTCCGTCGGCCATCAGCAATGAGGCCTTCACGTCTTTCAAGAGTGAGCCCAGCATCACTCGCATTTCCCAGCTTGAAGCGGTCAACACAGGATTTTATTCCCATCAGCCGTGCATCATCACCACTCGTTATTCTCGCCCATCGACAATCTTCCTCCCCTCTCATCCTCACCCGGATTCTCGCCATCACAACCGCCCACATGAGCACCGGCAGCAAGCAACAGCCCAGGTTCTCGGCCGGCTCAGACCTGGCCGCCCTCGAATCCACACTCTCTCCCTTGCTTACATCCAATGGAGGACGGTGGAATCTCACCATGGACGGCGAGGCACTCGAGCGCGAGTTCAAATTCAAGACATTTGCCAAGACATGGGTTAGTATGAACTACGACCTGGAGTGTCATTGTAGAGGACAATACGACTGACGCAGTCCTTAGGATTTCATGACGGCCGTTTCCTTGCAATGCAAAATCAAGAACCATCACCCAGAGTGGTCCAACGTGCGTCTCACCTGTGGAATTTTGATCCAAACCCTATTTCCACTTCTTAACCGTCCGTTGTTGCTGTGACAGCCTTCTATGACTATATTTCCTCTTCGTACCCGCCCGATCCCTCATCTCACTCTTCTTTGTCTCTACCCTCATTTTCCTCATCAACCTCCCTTGCCACATAACCTCTCCTACTCAAAGTCGATTACCTCCCCGTGGCCCCCCCCTCTGACTAAACATGCCCACATAGGTCTTCAACACAACCTTCATCCGCTGGACAACCCACCACCCAAAGGGCCTCTCAGCAAAGGACATCGAGCTGGCAGCGCAATGCGACCAGCTGGCCCAAGACTTTGGCGAGGTCGCCGAGCAGGAGCAGCAGTCAACACAGCCATCGCCGTCTCAACCAACAGGGAGAGGACCGCAGCAGCAGCAGCAGCAGCAGACTGGTGGGACAGCAACATGTGGGCTCGCTGGGCTGGCCGCCAGGGCGGTTGGCTCGGCCGGTGATTGCTGCGTGCCGAGAAAGTGAATAATATCAATGGATACTTGCGTCCGTGCCTGCCAAACACCAACCACCGAGCTAGGTCGGGGAGGGAGCGGCCTCACACAGAGCGTACAGGGCGGCAGCCGGAGGCGCTGTGGGGTGAAATCGGGCGGGTTTGTACGTAACTGTTTCGTTAGGTGGGATCAAAAGACTGGGAACGTACCTATGCAATGCAATGCCATTACGGAGTATACACGTGTACAATACCATACAAACGGATGATGGGTGGGCGTTTAATACTATTAATGATTATCATGCACTGCCAGCCGACGAACGTCCTTGCCCAAGACTGCGCCGTCCACTTCTGCCTGCCTTTCCATAGTGGCCAGTGATAGTAGTAGTCTACTTATTGTGTATACCCCCGGGTCTCGTGTGCTATCGTCGCGTCACAAACGTCATAAGTAGATTGGTTCCAATCCCTGTCTTCACAACTTGCCAATAACATCATTGACAAACCGCCTGGCTTGCACACTCAATCCCCACGCGAGAATGCTAAAGTCAGTCAGTCGATGTCCGTTGACATCCTCAGCGGGCCCACGTCCGCCAAAAGGAGGAAGCGGTGATTATTGAGCCTTCTTGGCCCGTATCTCGGCCAGCTTCTTCTCGCGGCGCCTCTTGCTGGCGGCCTCGCCGGCCTCGGTGTCGAGAAAGTAATCCCACCAGCGGAAGCTTGAGGCGTAGTTGCCAATGAAGCGCTCGTGGTGCAGGTCGTGGTGGTCGGCGCCAGCCCAAAAGGGCAGGATGTGGCGCAGGCTCCAGGGGAAGTCGTAGCCCGAGTGGGCGTCGATGGCCTGGAACAGGCGCAGCACGATCCACAGGTACATGGTGATGAGGTGCAGCTCGCCCGTGAGCGAGACCCAGACGATGGGCGACCCGACGATACCAAAACCCAGAAGCATCACCTCGATCGGGGACGCGTACTCGGCGGCGAGTCCGAAAGGCGCGCTGTACGTGTGGTGCAGCTTGTGGATCGCCTTGTACAGCGGGCCGTAGTGCAGCGCCCTGTGAAACCAATAGTGCCAAGCGTCCTCGATGACGAAGAAGATGGCAATCTGCATCGCAATCTTCCACGCCGGCGGGAAGGGAACGCCATAGTCCATGCCGAAGTAGGTCGCCAACGGGTGGAACAGCCAGATCTGGGGGAGCTCAACTGTGCAGTGGCTGAGCAGGACGAGCGCCGCGCACTCCCACTGTTCTTTCCATGTCGGCACCTTGGTCTGCCAGTGGGTTAGCAACGACAGAAAAAAGCAGGACAGGCAAGAACCGACATTCTGCAGCTTGTACTTGTTGAAGTAGGGGATCGCGTCGATTATCATCCATGGAAGTGACCTCCCGAAGTAGACGATCTCGTGCATGACGAAGCTCATGATACCCGTGGCGACAATATCGTTCTGCATCCAGAGGTACCAGGACTGCGGATCGAGTTAAATTGTTTTGCGTTGTGCGATGGGGCACAGGCGGAGTGTACGTACGGCCCACAGGCGCTCGAAGACGTTCAGCTGAACATTGTATTTGGAGACTTCATCGAAGACGGCCGTGAGGGAAGCCGTTGAGCTCAGACCAGTGATGGTCGAGTTCCTGCAGCAGCCTGTCAGTTTCATCTGTCGCAGAGACGCCCGTGATCAGGGAGCCACTACTTACAAAACCGCAGACGCCATGGTGGCGATGAAAGTTGGGTGGTGATGCGCAGTTGTAGCGCGGTATATGGAAGAGGGAAAATGGACAACGCGAGCCCGGAACTGGCAGGCCGAACGTAAGAAGGGAAGAAGTCCGCCTCCAAGGTCGATACTCCGTTGCAAAGGTGATGGTGAAGGGGAAAGAGCAGCATCCGTGTCAGGGGTGAATGGGATTTTTATCGCCTGGAATTGGCGGTCGCAATCTCAAGGATCTCAAGGTCCATCGAGCCAATGGCACCAGAATCGGCCCACACGCGTGAAGGCGGGATTCCGCTTCCCGAATACGCCAAGTGGGGCAGTTGAGAGCACTCATTGGCTGGTGCAGATCAGTTGAACTGCTGAGCAAAGCTCCGGCAGCTCGGTGCCTGCCAAGCTTGAAACAGCTGGTAGGTGCATGCATGCAACAACCTGTGATTCACAAATAAACACCATGCAGTATCCAGTATGTCTCTGGCGGCAAAAGCAGGTTCCCTCTTCATGTTTGTTTGAGCCACGTCATCAGTTAAGTTAAGAAACATAGTCTTGTGCTTTACGTTAAGCTGCTGCAAATGGATATCTTTTAATCGATTCAGTTTCTATGCAACTATGCAGTATTCTGATATCAGCACGGTGTCAGAAGTTTGTTTGAACTTGAAAAAGCTGGGGTCATATGAGATCATGGCCCAGTTTCAGTCGAAAGGGCAACAAGAGCCACCCAGACAGGTCTCTGCATTTCACGTGGACATCCATCCGTTGTTTGTTTTCTCCGAAACTCAACCATCTGAGGGCGAAGGAATGAGATAAACTGTTACCACTCACGCTTTATTCGGCAATTCCGCTAACAACGGCAACTCTGTCTCTAGGACAGAATGGTGTCAGCCCAATATCTTAGGCGATAACCCAACAAACAGATTTTCTCTGGCTCCAGAAGAACCAACATCTCCTCGCTCCACTGTGGACTGATCAACTGGTTTTCCGCCTCCGGAGCTCGCAACATCCGAAACCAACTAGATATCCTGATCGGCTCATTGGCTCAGCCACGCAAACTCGCCACTTTGACGCGCACTTCTTGAGCAAAGCGGAATCGCATTTCCACTCCGGCGGCGGGACGTTCCTCAGCCCCAATTGGAGCATCACACCACAATGTCGATAGTGGCCGAGTTAGTACTATCCCGGCAGATCTCCGCTGAAAAGCGCACAACATTAACCTCAACTTCTCCCGCCTCTCAGTCAGGTCCGCCGTCTAGACACACGGATTGACCGCGTCTCTCTGGTGCCCCTGACACACGGGCCGGATCACGATGGAGAGCTGCAAGCTGTAGACGCCGCCACTGCTGCTTCGGCACTCACCTCGCCCCGCGTCAACGAGCTCCTGGGCATCGTCAAGGCGCTGTCATCTGGCTCCGTCTCGGGTGCCCACCTCTCGTCCCCACGGATCCAGAGGCTACTGCGGCAGTCCGGCTTGACGGGCGAGCTGCCGTCCGTCGAGTCGTTAGAGGCAAAGAGCCAGTATGAGACTGACGTCGAGTGGCTGCTGGTGGGCAAGGCCACCGTGCAGACGTATGGCCTCCTGATGAGCACCCTGCTTGACCAGATCCTTCCGCTGAGCGACGACATCTGGTACTGGGACGAGGTATTAGGCTCGTACTCCCACAGCTTCTTATACACGGTGCAGACGTCGCCGTTGCGCATGTGGAAATGGTCCAAGGACGTCTACTATGAGAGCGTGGATCGCTTCCAACGGCTGTATCGAGATGAGATTGTCGGACAGGCATGGGAAGCAGAAGAGGTGTCATCGGCACCGCACGATGCGAGCGGACAGCGCCGCAAGCCCCAAGGATTCAAGTCCTTGTACCCTTACTTGTCCAGACACTGGCGCCAGTTCTATGGCATTGTAAGGCAAAGCGTCGCTGACCGATCCATCGCGGATATCCAGCGCAAGATTCTCTCCCGCGTGGACATTGGCCGTTCCGAAGCCCGGCAGAAACAGAAACGGCTGCGGAGACTCCGGGAGATGACGGCGACTGGACTAGGCGTGCTCTTGGACGAGGGACTCAACTTCGGCATCACCGAGGAGACATATAGCGACGAGTGGAAGGGCATGCTGGAGCGGAGCGTCGCCCTCATGGACATGATCCTACAGAGCGTCCTCTTTTTAGACCTCTCCGTCTCGGAATTCGAGGACAAGGTCTTTGCAGGCGTCGAAGAAGACCCTGAATTGTCGATCCACATTGAGGATTGCCATCCGGCCGAGAGGCCGGCAGTCCTTGCGCGGCGGCTGCTCGGACTGCTTCAAAAAGGATTACCGAACCATAGTGCCGCCATGGCAGGCCTCGCTCGCCAGAATGGACGGCCGTCAAGGCTTGTCAGATACTGGCTGCCGGCAGCGGCCCTCCTTGTATCCTCCTCTACAATCCTGCGCATACTAGTCAACAGGCAACAAGACATCGTTAACTGGATTCGAGACTTTGGCGCGACCACACGCGACTTCTGGTTCAACTGGGTGGTGGACCCCATCCGCAAGATCATCGGCACCATCCGGCACAACTCCAACAGCGAAATCTCCGTCATGAGCCGAGATAGCCTGAGGGCGGACCGGGAAAGCTTGGAGCGTATGGTGGTGGAGTTTGCGATGGATAATCCCGACATCGCCGTGGGAAACCCGTCCATCACCGAGCACGAGATTGGCGAGATTCGGTCCAGAGTGAAGGAGGGAGACGTTACACCCGTGTTGAAGGCATACGAAAAAGACCTGCGTCGGCCGATTGTGGGCGCTGTAAGAGGGGAATTGGTACGGTCGCTGCTTATCCAGGTGCAGAAGACAAAGGTCGACCTCGAGGTGGCCATCAGTGGCATTGATGCGCTGCTCAAGAGCCAGGAGTTAGTATTCGGCTTTGTCGGGCTGACTCCCGGCATCCTTGGTGAGTTCCATTCATGTCAGCGCCCCTCCTACTATTTTGTCACCTAACGTCTCTTCTTGTCAGTCTCGATCGGAGTTATCCAGTATCTCAGGACCCTCTTCGGCAGCCGGAAGGGCCTGCGCCGGGGACGGCGGGTCAGACGCAGCGTGCGGGTGCTGCGTAAGATTGACAGGATACTCTCCGAGGCGACCACGTCGCAAAACAATATCATCTCGTACCGAGACCATGGCCTTCTTGTCTGCGAAGTCCACGTTCTCCGAGGGCTGGCCCATGACGCGCTCCCTGGCGATGTCGAGAAGGAGTTCATCGAGGACCTGGATGAATTGGCGAATCTGAAGGGAATTCAGGTGCAGATGAAGGCGCTAGAGAGGATACGGTGGGCGTACGCCGAGTGGTTGGGGGGAATGAGGTAGTCTTCTACAAGTTTATAACATGCTTGTCATCTGGCTTAGCGAAGCATTTGGGAACGTATGGAGCCTAAAAGCATAGCACGTCAAAATGGAGTTGGGATTATTCATGTTGCCTGTTCCGCCACGAACATTGTTCGAGCTGAAGTGCCATTGCCGTCGACAAGTTGTCAGTTTCCTCCTGACATGTGTACATGGCGATCTGGTACGGTAACTACTGTAGGTACGGAAGTAAAGGTACAGTAATAATAATGGAGTAAGGATAAGTGGGTCGGCTCACTGACTTGACGATGCCCTGGGCGGGTTATTGCTGGGGCCAGAATGCGCCACTTCAACTCTGTCTCGTCACGAAACCAAGGCTCCCATCCCAAGATGCCAAGAACCTTCGACGTTCTGCATTGCATCTGAAACGACTTGTTGCGGCTCACATCCTGCAAAACGACGAGGGCTCTTGTTGGCATTTCCTTTTCGATTTGCGCCGCTGAGACCATCGAGGATTTACTTGCGGCTGAAAAAGGGCCGCACCATTGAATCAACCTCTTTCTGGCCGTGGTCACTTGGGAAACCGGTGCCTTGATTCTTGGTTCCAAGCTTCCGTCTTGTAGGTGCGTCAGCCGTCCCCGTCCTCCCCGACTGTGGCTCTTACCGCCGCTGTTTGTGTTGGTCTCCGGTACAAGTCACATTTAACTGGTTGAGCGGGCCATTTTGCCGCGGAGTCTCGGGCCAGCATCTTGGGGCGTCGCATCCACCATCGCATCAGCACAAAGCCACGTACCATGCAGGCGCAATACTAACTTGTGATACGGCACTCTTCCAGCTCGACCTTGTCGCACCCTACGCCGGACGTGCGGAACGCCATTGAGACAGCACTTTTGGGTCTTGTTGCATACTGCAGCAGACACGCCGAATCTGTCACGACCTCCGTTCCTGCACTCGAGTTCACTTCACTTCGCCCCGGCCTCCCTGACTATCGAAACGATCCGATTTGTAGCCGGCGCTGCCGCCTCACACCTGCACCATGTCGTCGAGTAACAGGAACTACGACTTCCTGGTAAATGCGGCCTCTCTTATGCAGCAGTTGTCATCGCCCCTCAATGCTACGGATACGGCGCAAGCTGCGGTGTCGCACAAGATGCTGACAATGTCCTCTCTAAACAGATTAAGCTGCTGCTGATCGGAGACTCGGGCGTTGGCAAGTCATGCTGTCTGCTTCGCTTTAGCGAGGACTCGTTCACCCCGTCCTTCATCACGACCATCGGCATCGACTTCAAGATCCGGACGATTGAGCTCGATGGCAAGCGGGTGAAGCTACAGATCTGGGATACGGCCGGGCAGGAGCGGTTCCGGACAATCACGACGGCGTACTACCGGGGCGCGATGGGGATTTTGCTGGTCTACGACGTGACCGACGAGAGGTCATTCAACAGTGCGTCACCAAAGATACACGCCGCTACAGTCTCCTTCCTTCGCAATTATTCTGGCTGACGGGGGGACTAACCAAACACAACAGACATTCGAACCTGGTTCGCCAACGTGGAGCAGCACGCGACAGAGGGCGTCAACAAGATCCTGATCGGCAACAAGTGCGACTGGGAGGAGAAGCGGGTTGTGTCGACGGAGCGAGGCCAGCAGCTGGCCGACGAGCTGGGCATTCCCTTCCTCGAGGTGTCGGCCAAGACCAACCACAACATCGACCAAGCGTTTTACAGCCTTGCGGCCGACATCAAGAAGCGGATCATCGACACGTCGAAGCCCGAGCAGGCCGGTGCCGGGCCGGCGGTGAACGTTGGAGAACAGAGTGGGGGTGCCAGCGGTAAGGGGTGCTGCTAATCACGTGACCGGAGAGAGTGTAAGGTGTCTGGGATGGGGGGCTGTGGCTCATCAGAGGGATTGACGCGGGATGATTCATGACAGTTATGCTCGAAAAGCAGTTGGCTGGGCCCTTGCTCCTTGCGACAATCCTTTCTAGGAATTACCCAACCCCGCCTACGTCCGCTTTACCGAGCTTCATACAACGAGCCCCAATAATTCCGATCTTGAAGACCCAACATTGCGATCATGTTTCCAACACGGATTCGACGAAGGTCGGGCGATGATTTGGTGCCGGTTGCAGCATCGACGGAAAGATGGAGACGGCGAGACGGAGGAGATGGGGAAGATGGGGAAGAATGGAGGTGTTGCTCGGGTTGGGAAAGGGCCAAGGTGAGGTAGACATGCTTGCTTATGCCCGCCTGCTGCTTTGCGCGCTCCATCCCAGTTAGACACTTAGATGGGAACCTTGGTCGCCCTTTCTGATTTTTCTGTGCTGTTTGTAGAGGGACATTGCTGTTTTCGGCGGAGGGATGGAGCAGCCGGCGAGCGGGCTGGCAGCAACCTGGGCAGCAGGACAGAGAGCAGGGACCAACCCTGGACGTGGGGAGCAATATTATCTGGGCATGGAGTTTGGGGCTTTCCTTTTTGTATTCATGTTTGGTACTAATACATTACCTCTCGAGCTCATTCTTTTCTGCTGGGACGTTTTTTGAGTTAGGTGTTTGAGGAACCTGAAAATGTCTTCCTGATATAGGCGGTATGTTTGAGCTGCCAGTTCCCTGTCAAACATGGTGGTGAAAGACAAGCAACCTGAAAAGGGGCAGTAAACTTGCTTGGTCGAATGCGTATTTGTACACATGTTGTGCGATACAGGTGAGATTACGGTACTCACTGTAGTGCTCAAGTTTGTTTCAAGATCTGATGCAGTTCACACCGTTTATTTGTAGAGAGGCCAGTTATATTCTGAAGACCGAATGAGGATAGCTATATCTACTAAAATTTTGAACATTATTATTATTATTATTCCTATACCACTGTGCCCTAGGGCTCGCCGGATCCTCTACTACTAATTACGAAGGAAAATCATGCCTATAAAGCTGGACTAAAAACTTCTGTCTCCTCTATACCAGTCTGAAGTCCTGAATCTACCTACTACAGCGAAAAGAAAGGTGTAAATAGCTGACTAGGCTAGCGAACTAGCCTAGTTCTAGTCGTGCAGCTAGCCTATATTCCAGGAGCCTCCCAGAGCATAGTAGCTACCTCATCACCTTCCTTGCAAGCCTTCTCTCTTTGGTTTCCCATCTGTCGAGAGCTCTGTACAGGTCTCTCTGCGAGCGTATCTCTATAGCCGGCCAGGTCCTTAGCTTCGGTGGTTAGCGGCACCACACAGCTAAGTGTTCCACTGTTTTCCTGCCCTGGCCGCATTCGCAATAGAAGGTAGGTATTCGAGAGACCCTGGCCCAGAAGATGAAGTCTTTAAGGCCTATAGCGCTGGTCTGGGCCTGGGTTAATAGAGAGCTCTCGGTCTTCGTGAGGCCCTCGTGCCTTTCTAGTGCCCTTTTGTCACGGCGATTGCGCCGTGCCTGCCAGGACCCATGGGTGGAACCCGGCATGTGGAAAGCACGGGCCCCTGTGGGTTGAAGATTCTGCACCTCGCTGCCGCGAGATCTGTTCGTAGCTCCTCGAGCTACGTCTTGACAATCAAGCCTGCCCGTACCTGACGGAATAGAGCCCAGATTGTAGCTTAGCACGAATACAACTGCCATTGGACTATCAGCCTGTCCCGCCCGTGACACCTTTCGTCAAGTTTCGGCCAATGACAGATCGGCTGGTTGTACGGTGGGTAGGGTGTGACGGGCACCACCCAAGGGCTGGTCAGCTCGCACATACAAGATCGATATTGCTACAACGAGAGCAAGAGCTAGATGACAGGAATGGGCGTGCAACCAGACCTTAAGTACTGGAGCAGAGGCCTATGCGTAAGCATGACCATAGACGTATGATCAGACCCTATGACGTATGCATAACCGCAAGCATATGACATAACTATGAGAACAGGAACGGGGAATCCCGTGACATAGGGCCTAGCTCTGGGCCCTGTACCGTTGTAGTCGATTAATGATTTCTTGGGCCCACTTAGCCTTCCAGGCCTTATTGAGAGCTCTGTAGAGTCTTTGCCTTGGGCTCTCCAGGCTGCAATAGTCTCTGTAGCTTCTTCGATTGCTAGAGGTTGCATTGGCCCTTTGACTTTCCAGTCCTTTGAAGCAATTGCGAATTCTGTTGCAGGCCTCCTCGACTAGCAGGCTAGGAGACAGTAGAATACTTAGCTGTGTGGTGCCGCCAATGACCAAAGCTAAGGACCTGGCCAGCTATAGAGATATGCTCGCAGAGAGACCAATATAGGACTCTCGATAGATAGGAGAACAACGAGAAAGGGCTTGCAAAGAAGGTAATTAGGTAACTACTACACTCTGGGAAGCTCCTAGAGTATAGGCTAGCTGCATGGCTAGAACTAGGCTGGTTTGAAAACTAAGCTAGTTCGATGGCCTAGTTAGCTATCTACGCCTTTCTTTCATTATAGTGAGTGGATTCAGAACTTTAGACTAGTATAGAGGAGATAGCGGTATAGGAATAATGATAATATTATTATTATTATTATTAACGTTATCATTAATATTAATAGTAAAGCAGATAGCGTATATATAGATAGAGAAATTAATTAGCTTAACTTAAAAATATATCGGTATAGAAATTGCTAGGAGAATAACTCTATAGACTAAGGGTTTTAGTAGAGCTAAATAATATAAGTAGTTAGCTTTCTTAATTTAGTAGTGAGGCTTGTATCGCGCTAAGGTTTGAAACCTCGGTGGAGGTGTATTTCACCGTCTTCTTTAGAACATTTGCTGACATAATTACATACCTGGGCACATGTACTCATACTTCTCCACTGGTGAATTGGAGCATAGTTTGTGGGTCCTCGTTAGACTGCAGACTTTCTGCGGTTGCAGTGGCACTTGCTGGGCTGACTCAGATGAAGCAGGTGCTTCCACATGTAACTGACAGCTTTCCATACCTACCTTGAGTAGCGCCTTCATCTGCGAATCTGATCTCCTCTCAGTAGTCTGTCTGTCTGTCTTTGATCCGACTGATGTTTCGATTTTAAGCCTAAGGCAATCTTGCATCTTCAAACCTTCGGAACATCCATCAGTCAAATCATCAAACGGAATACATCCGCACACGCATAGACAAGCGACAACAATGGCGGGGTCATCGTCACCCGGGACTTGCTCCAGCATTGTGGAATGGCGTGCCCAGGCAGAGGCCATGATGTCCGCGGTCGCCGGCTTGCAAACCACCTCCCGCACAGTTGACATACCAGACGACTCAGACTGGGACGACGACGAGATTGACAGGGCATACGAACCCCGGGACGGGCCCCGCGATGTCTGGGATTTCATCTTGGATGACGAGTTGGACGACATCAACTTTGACAGCGGCGACCTGTTTGACGGCGTGGATGGAGAAGCGTCCGCTGCTTTTGATGTGCACTGGCTAGCAGCACGATGCGCCGACATCGCCTCGCGGAAATCAGGTCTCTCTCCGAGTGCGTTGCAGGATCAGATCATAGAAATTCTCGGCTCCAGCAGGCCTGAGGGCGAACTCCAATCGCAGTTGACGGACTTGGTGGGATTCGATGACCTGGACTTCATCATCGACCTGGCGTCTCATAGGGCTGAGATTGTCGCCTCCGCGGCATCAGAGAGTCTTCGTGACGAGCAGACCGGCCAGGCTCCACGACTGTTGACCAAGGCTCAGAGGCAAGAGGCTCTCCGGCGCAGAGATCTTGAACACAAGGCCATGCCCCTCGCCGCATCGCGCGAGAAAGAGGAGGACTACCCACATGTCTACAAGACATACAGCGCCGGCAACACCCTGAGCCACACCGGTTCCCGATATAAGCTGCCCGTCGGGAGCCAGAGGTTGGAGTTTGAGAAGTACGAAGAGTACGTGGTTCCCGCGGGGAAACCGGGCACACTCTGGCCGGGCCAGAAGCTGGTCAAGATATCCGACATGGACGGGCTGTGCAGGAACACCTTCAAGGGGTACAAGACGCTCAACCGCATGCAGAGTATGGTGTATCCCGTGGCCTACAAGACGAGCGAGAACATGCTCATCTGCGCTCCGACTGGTGCGGGTAAAACCGACGCCGCCATGCTGACCATCCTCCACACCATTGGCCAATACCTGACGCCGAACCCCTTCGAAGACCACCTGGCCACAGACTTTGCCGTCCAGGCCGAGGACTTCAAGATTGTCTACGTCGCGCCAATGAAGGCGCTGGCCGCCGAGATTACAGACAAACTCGGCAGGCGACTGGCCTGGCTGGGGCTGCGTTGCCGCGAGTACACGGGCGATATGCACCTGACCAAGTCTGAAATTGTCCAGACACAGGTCATTGTTACCACCCCCGAGAAGTGGGATGTCGTGACAAGAAAAGGGACTGGCGACACCGAGTTGGTGCAGAAGGTCCGCTTGCTCATCATTGACGAAGTGCACATGCTCCACGACGAGCGAGGTGCCGTGTTGGAGTCGCTGGTGGCCAGGACTCAGCGGCAAGTCGAGAGCACTCAATCCCTGATTCGCATTGTCGGTCTCAGCGCCACGCTTCCCAACTATGTGGATGTGGCCGAATTCCTGGGAGTCAACAAGAAGGCAGGTCTGTTTTACTTTGATGCCTCCTTCAGGCCGGTTCCGCTTGAGCAACACTTCATTGGCGTCAAAGGGAAGCCGAACAGCAAACAGTCCCGCGACAACATCGACGAGGTGGCCTTTGAGAAGGTCCGCGAGATGCTGGAACAGGATCACCAGGTCATGGTCTTTGTTCATTCCCGGCGAGACACTCAGGCAACTGCCAAAATGCTCTACGAGAAGGCCACGGACCAAGCCTGTGTCGGCCTGTTCGACCCCAGCCTGCATGAGAAGTATGAGCTCGCTATGAAGGATATCAAGTCTTCCAAAGCCCGTGAGATCAGGGAGCTCGTGCCCAAGGGCCTGGGCATCCACCACGCTGGTATGGCTCGGTCAGACAGGAACCTCATGGAGCGTCTCTTTTCCGAGGGCGTCATCAAGGTGCTCTGCTGTACCGCCACGCTGGCTTGGGGCGTCAACTTGCCCGCCGCTGCGGTTGTCATCAAAGGGACGCAAGTCTACAGCGCCCAGGACGGCAAGTTTGTCGACCTTGGTATTCTCGATGTGCTGCAGATCTTCGGCCGCGCAGGTCGCCCGCAGTTCGAGGACGTCGGTATCGGCATGATCTGCACCACTCACGACAAGCTTGCCCACTACCTGACAGCCGTGACGGACCAGCTTCCCATCGAATCCAGATTCTCCGCTAAGCTTGTCGACAACCTGAATGCCGAGATTGCGCTCGGCACCGTCAACTCAATATCCGACGCTGTAAAGTGGATCGGATATTCGTATCTCTTTGTTCGTATGAAGAGAAAACCAATGGCATACGGCATCGAGTGGTCCGAGTTTGACAACGACCGCTCCTTGATCCAGAGACGGCGCCAGTTGGCCATCCAGGCGGCGAGGACGCTCCAACAAAGCCAGATGATCATCTTCAACGAGCCTACCGAGGAGCTGCGCAGCAAGGACATTGGCAGGATTGCCAGCCAGTACTATATCCAGCACACCAGCATCCAGATCTTCAACTCGCTGATGAAACCCAATTCCGAAGAGAAGGATATCCTGATGATGATCGCCATGAGCGGCGAATTCGACAACATCCAGTCAAGGAACAACGAGGCCAACGAGCTGACCAGCATGAGGAAGAACAGCCATTTCGTGCCTTACGAAATCAAAGGCGGCATCGACCAGCCGCAGACTAAAACCAACATCCTCCTCCAGGCCTATATTTCGAGAGCGCAGCCAGATGACTTTGCGCTGACCAATGACTTGAACTACGTCGCTCAGCAGGCCGGGCGTATCTGCAGGGCTCTGTTCATGATTGCCCTGAATCGGCGATGGGGCTACCAGTGTCTTGTTCTGCTGACCATGGCCAAGTCTATCGAGAAGCGCATCTGGGCTTTCCAGCACCCCTTCCACCAGTTCGACCTGCCGAAGCCTGTTCTGAATAACTTGGATGCGAAAGACTCACTTGCGATCGAGTCCATGAGAGAGATGGAGCCTGCGGAGATTGGAAACTTGGTTAACAACTACCGGATGGGCACCAAGATCGCGAAGCTCCTCGACAACTTTCCGACGTTGAGCGTTGAGGCCGAAATCGCGCCCCTGAATCGCGATGTCTTGAGGATCAAGCTCTTTGTCACTCCTGATTTCCGGTGGAACGATCACCTGCACGGTACATCTGAGTCGTACTACATCTGGGTTGAAAACTCCGATACTTCCGAAATCTACCATCATGAGTACTTCATTCTTAACAGGAGGAAGCTGCATGATGACCATGAGCTCAACTTCACGATCCCCCTGTCCGATCCTCTCCCCAATCAGATCTACGTGAGGGCCGTCTCTGACCGCTGGCTCGGCGCAGAGACGGTGACTCCTGTCTCGTTCCAGCACCTCATCCGCCCAGACACGGAGAGCGTTTACACGGATCTCCTGAACCTGCAGCCGCTGCCCATCTCAGCGCTCAAGAACCAAGCGCTGGAAGATATTTATGCCCAGCGCTTCCAGTTCTTCAACCCGATGCAAACCCAGCTGTTCCACACGCTGTATCACCGGCCGGTTAATGTCCTCCTTGGCTCGCCGACGGGCAGTGGCAAGACTGTTGCCGCTGAGCTGGCCATGTGGTGGGCCTTCCGCGAACGGCCTGGCTCCAAGGTGGTGTACATTGCGCCCATGAAGGCGCTGGTTCGCGAGCGCGTCAAAGACTGGGGCGCTCGTCTGGCAAAACCGTTGGGCTTGAGGCTGGTCGAGTTGACGGGTGACAACACGCCGGACACGCGAACGATCCAAGACGCCGACATCATCATCACGACGCCCGAGAAGTGGGACGGTATCTCACGTAGCTGGCAGACAAGAGGCTACGTCCGGAAGGTCAGCCTCGTCATTATTGATGAGATCCACCTTTTGGCCGGAGACCGTGGCCCGATTTTGGAGATCATTGTCTCGCGTATGAATTACATTGCATCATCTACCAAGAACGCGGTCCGCCTCCTGGGCATGTCGACGGCTTGCGCCAACGCTACTGATTTAGGCAACTGGCTAGGCGTCAAGGACGAAGGGCTGTTCAATTTCCGGCACTCGGTCCGCCCTGTACCTTTGGAGCTCTACATCGACGGCTTTCCGGAGGTCAGGGGCTTCTGTCCCCTGATGCAGTCGATGAACCGGCCGACCTTCCTGGCCATCCTGAACCACAGTCCGGAGAAACCCGTCATTGTCTTTGTTCCGTCCCGTCGCCAGACCCGTCTCACGGCCAAGGACCTCATCAACCTCTGCGGCATGGAGGACAATCCGAGGCGGTTCCTCAACATGGACGAGGACGACCTGCAGCTAAACCTCTCGCGGGTCAAGGATGAAGCGCTCAAGGAGGCCATCAGTTTCGGTATTGGGCTGCATCACGCCGGTCTAGTCGAGTCGGATCGTCAGCTTGCAGAGGAGCTCTTTCTGAACAACAAGATACAGATTCTCATTGCCACCAGCACTCTTGCTTGGGGTGTGAATCTGCCAGCGCACCTTGTCATCGTTAAGGGAACGCAATATTACGACGCCAAAATTGAGGCATACAAGGACATGGACTTGACCGACGTGCTGCAGATGCTGGGTCGTGCGGGTCGTCCGCAGTTCGATAACTCTGGTGTTGCTCGCATCTTCACTCAGGACTCCAAGAAGGACTTTTACAAGCACTTCCTGCATACAGGCTTTCCGGTTGAATCGTCACTCCACACTGTTCTTGACAATCACTTGTGCGCTGAAATCTGCGCCGAAACCATTGTCACAAAGCAGGATGCGCTCGACTACCTGACTTGGACCTTCTTTTTCCGCCGTCTACACAAGAACCCGTCCTACTACGGTCTTGAAATCTCGGCAGAGGAGCACAATTCGACTGTTGCCCAGCAGCTGGCCAACGAGTTCATGATTTCCATGGTCGATTCCTCGTTGAACGAGCTCGTCGACTCGAAATGCGTCGAAGTCTACCCCAACGGCGACGTCGACCCAACGCCGCTCGGCAAGATCATGAGCTACTACTACCTCTCCCACAAAACCATCCGCCACCTCGTCCGCAAAGCCAAGCCGCAAGCCTCCTTCCTCGATGCCCTCTCCTGGATGTGCCGCGCCACCGAGTACGACGAACTGCCGGTTCGCCACAACGAGGACCTCATCAACGCCGAGCTCTCCCGCAACCTCACCTTCCCGGGCACCGCTTTTGGCCTGCCCATGTGGGATCCGCATGTCAAGGCCTTCTTGCTCCTGCAAGCGCACATGTCGCGCATCGGCCTACCCATCACCGACTACGTCGGCGACCAGACCAGTGTGCTCGACCAGGCCATCCGCATCATCCAGGCCAGTATCGACGTCATGGCCGAGCTGGGTCACCTCAGCTCCATGCTCCAATTCGTCCGCCTCCTGCAGTGCGTCAAATCCGCCCGCTGGCCTGACGACAACCCGGCCACGATCCTCCCTGGCGTGGACGACTACTCTTCCTCCTCCTCTTCTCAAAAGGAGAAGCAGCATACCCCGCTCAAGGACATCGCCAAATTCACCACCTCGCAACACCAGCAATCCCTCCACAAGCTGGCCCGCGACCTGGGCGTGCCGCACTCTCAGACCGCGCGGTTTGCCAAAGCGGCTGCCTGTCTCCCCGATCTGAGCGTGTCGGTAGACGACGTCAAAACGGGCTCGCTCGCGGTTTCGCTGAGGCGCCTCAACCCGGTCGCGGAGCGCGAGGCAAGGATCTACGCCCCGCGTTTTCCCAAGCCCCAGACCGAGGGGTGGTTTGTCGTGGTGTGTGATGCGGCCAAGGACGAGGTGCTTGCTGTCAAGAGGGTTGGGTGGAGGCCCGGTGGTGGTGGTGGCAATGGTGGTGTAAGTAAGAATGAGGGCAGGAGGGCGGTGGTGGAGGTTGGGGAGAGGCCGAGTGCCAGGGCCGTGGTCAGGGTGTCTGTTGAAGGGGAGCAAGGGAGAACGGTGGATGTGCTGGTTTTGAGTGATGGGTATGTGGGCATGGAGTGGGAGGTGCGAGGGGTGGAGTTGCCGGGTTCGCCGAAGGTGGAGTTGGGCGTGGTGGAGAAGAAGGAGGGCGGCGGGTGGTCTGGGGAGGGGGAGAGGGCATAAGTTGGGCTAGTTGGGAGAGTGTGGACTCTAGGGAGTTCATGATGTATAAAGCTAGACATCTGTCTCATGGAGTTGGAGAAAGATACCGGACCGGCTGATCGCTTGGGGCTTCGATGGCACGGTTACGTTATGACAAACATAAAAGAATAATCCCTGAGCGTGTTCGCTTCTATAGACTCAACTGCAGTCTGCTGTCGGCTACGAATATCCCTGAGGTCTGGAAGTGGGTTGGACTTCAGCAGTCAAAGTCAAGATCGAGTACTCTTCTTCTTCGAGTCCGTCTTCAAGACGATTGCTACAAGCACGAGTTCTTCCATGGCATAATCTCTACGCGGAGCGGTGGGTTAAGCCATGTTGATGACGTCTCAACCTATGCCAACACAGCGCCGCCTTGGTCGCTTCCCCATGAATTTGGTGTAAATCATAAGCGCAGCGGGCCTCTTGCATTGCGCTTTCTTCCATCGACCTGTGTGTCATGAAAAATCATTATCTAGATCCCCTACTCCCAGAACCAGAAAAATCCTGTCGGGCTGACCATACCAAACCGACGAGCCTGAGGTAGGTGGGGGTAGAAGGAGTGGTGGTATGGTGGGTTGGGCCGAGACGGGCTGGTTAGGTAGTAAATACCGAGATGAAGACAAAGCGGAAGTAGAAAAGGTAAAGAACACAGGCGAAATAAAACACAGAAAAGCAGCCAAATCCTTGGGGGATACAAATGTGAGATGAATGATATGTAGTAAGGCCCCGCCTGCCACCGTCCGCATAACCGTCCAACCGATCTAGCCCGCCCCATTCCTCTCCTTGTCCAGCCGGACGGAGGGTAGAACAAACCACAACCAAAACCGCGAACCGTAATAGCCGGGGTCCAGAGGAAAGAGGACCCAATGATCAAGACAAACACAATCGCCCCGGCTCCTCTTCCCAGCCAAACACACCGCCAACGCCTTCCCATACTCCCTAAATCCGTAGTTTTGCCGCGGAAACCAGCCCCGTTGCCGTTGGGAAACTTGAGTGAAAATAGCGAGAGTGAATGTAATAACTCCCTAGAAATAGGACATTACCCGTCATGTGTGCGAGGCAAGCCGTGAGGGTACCGTTAAGAGCAAGGAAGGATAAGGGTAAGCCCGGCAAGGGAAAGGCGCATTTGACAGGTAACTTCGAGGGGAAGGTATTCCCACAAGCCGGTGTACGACAACACGTGACTCGTCAAAACGTTGTCGCCCCGTGTGAGAGACAGACAACAACCAACCCAAGAAAGCCTCAACTCCCTCACGCCCCTCCTCCTCCCCCTCTCCCTTCTTCCCCAACCTCAACACCTTCTGTCCCCTTCCCCCCAGCAACAGCCGTTTTCACCGCAGACGCGATGCTAATCGAGATCTTCTTGGCCCCACCACCTCCAGCTCCCCCACCAGCACCACCGTGCACCCCACCGTAACCACCCTGCCCCTGGCCAGAAAAGCTCCTCTTCTTCCTAAGTAGTACGGTGGACCCGACCGACCCGACCGACGAGTTAGACGCGGCACTGCTGCTGTTCCGCCGCTTGTGCTGCTGTGTCAGCTTGTCCAGTGCGTCGTCGTCCTCGTCTTCTTCGCGGCGGCGTTTCTCTGACAGGCGTTCGGGCGGTGGTGTGGAATTTGCTGCTGCTGCTGCGGCTGCGGCAGCCGCCGCGGCGGTTGCTGCGGAGATCGATGATGACGTCGAGGGCGACCGGGACGGAGGAGATGCGGGCGTGCCGTTTGCTGGGGTAGGGTTACCGGATGTGGTTGTTGTGGACGGAGACTGGGGCAGGCCGTCTGGCTGGGAGGGATCTGTTGTTGTGGCACGGACCAGAGGCGGCGATTCGGCGGGCGTCATGACGGTGTCGTTTTCGTCCGTTTCGTCGTCATCCGAGTTGTACTCGACAAGCGGTTTCGACAGAGAGCGCAGTTCTTCCAAGGTTAGTTGCTGGGTGGCGGTGGGGTCGTCCTCGTCGTCCGACGTGTTCCAGTAATCTTCCTGCGCCTGATCGACGGTGAGATGCTCAATCATTCCCTGCGCCGCGCCGTTCGGTGGGCGAGCCCGGCCCAATTCATCCTCCGACTCGAAGTAAGGGTCGATATTCGTGGTGAAGCCCTGAGTCTGATCGTAGCGGTTGAGGATCTCGTTGAAAATATCGATGTAGGCGAGAGCCATCACCTTTTCACGGTAATTCTCCACCATCTGCTTGATGAGCTCTTTCGTATTGTCCTTAAGAATCAGCACGAAGAGCTCAAGAGAAGCGGATGATAGGAGGTTGTCCCGCGGAAGGGTCCGCAGCAGGACGTTGAGGATCGGGCCAAGCACCTGCTTATCGACCATGTGCTTGATGTAGAACTCGTCCTGCATTACCACGAGATGGCGGAAGAAGCGAATCGCAACTGCAAACACGGGTTAGCTCAAACCAGAAGTAGACAACCATTCGCTTGACATACCAAGCTGCAGGTGCTTCTCCTTGCAGGCCAGCAGCTGCACGAAGCGCGAAGCTATGTTATTGGTAAAGACAAAGAATTTGCTCCGGTGGTGATGTCGCTGGATATAGAAGCAGAGGATGTCATTCAAGTAATTGAACACCCCTTCCTCTGACGGACTGAACTTCATCTCAACGCGCTTCTCGAGGTCCAAAAGCGGCCGAAACAGCCTGACAGCCGAGCACTCATAGAAGTGTGACAGAAAAACATCCTGTTGGGGGTCGATACCGGGGTGTGCCCTCAGCCTTGGCTGGCCAGCGATGAACTCTCCCCTAGCTTCTTGCTGCTGCACGGGAGGCGGACATGGGTCGAGTAACACTTTGAGCGCTTCGGCAATCTGTGACTTGACACCTAGGTCTACCTCCACAAGGAGGAGATCAACTAGAGTATCCGTTAGTGGTGGCAGCCGCTTCTGGATCTGCTCGTAGATTGTTTGCCGAACCAGGGACGGGTCGTGGTCGATCATGGACACCAGGACGTCCGTCGCACCAACCCTCACCGACACGTCGCGATGGCGCATGCCGAAGTTGATAGCGGGTAGAAGCCCCTCCTTGAGGAAGTGCATGTACAACCCCTGACGGGCGGGAGGCTGGAGGTTCTTTGCTATAGCGCAGCATTGCTGGATGAATAGAACCGCCTCCTTTTTCCGCAGTGGCTGTTCGTGCGCGTCGTGGAAGATGGCGAAGAGATCATGCATGAACCCGGGCGTAGTGTGGAGATGCTGGACGATGTCGACCTGGTTGAAGAAAATGAGCGAGTTGAGAACCGAGAAGGTCGGGTCGTCGAGGATCCTGGCTAGCACAACGTCCTTAAGATACTGCAGCCGATACGTGATGTGGATCTTGCGGCGGACCTGCTCGTCCTGGATCCTCACCACCTCCTTGTACCGGCCCTGGTTGTTCAACCACTGCCGGTGGTTCGCCTTGTGGCTCGGAAAATCAGGGTCGTACTCCAGGGCGCCCACAACTCCTAGAACACAGTCGTCCGAAACAGCGTGCTCTATGATACTGGTGTCGTTCAGAAGAAGCACCGTCTTCATGATGTTGCATAGCTTGTGAAGATCCGGGAGACTTTCAAGATCCTCAGCCATCTCCACCAAAGGAATCAGCTTGCTGATGTAGTCCTCGGCCATGATGGTCTTCGCAAGCGCGTCGCGGCCGGTGGGCGATTGCGACAGGTTTCGGATCGCCGCGTCCAACTCATGTAATGACGCCAAATCGGCGGGCGGGAGCTGGATCGAAGGCGGCATTTCCATGGTCAAATCATCCGAAAGGCTGTCGTCTGGGCCGGCTGTACCGCCCTGGAAGGTTTGCTGGACTCCATCGATGAATCTCCTATGCAGAGACCGTTAGACAACGACATGTTTGACACGTTGGCTTCACAGAGGCCGACATACCAGATGGCACCACAGCCTTCAGCTTCCTGAAAGCTCAGCGCCATATCCACGCCGTTATCGGTCCATACTATCAGGGTTTCTGCAACAGAAAGACGTTAGACACAAGACGCATGGAGAGACCCCAAATCCAAGCTGCAAGGGGTCACACGTGCCTTGCTGTTTCTGAAAGCCATCGTCCTTGACTATCTTAGTTTCCAGCAGCCGACGGTTGGGCTGGTCCTCGGACTCAACAACCACGTGGGGCTCTTTCGGCTGGCCTTCTTCCACCTGCAGGATGTGCCAGCGCAGGCGGGGGTCAGCAAAGCGAACCGTGAACGAGTATCCCGCGATCAGCGAGGCGCAGAAGCGCAAATGCAACGGGGACGTACCGGCACCCAACAGGCGTAGCAAAAGCCCGTGCCGCGGTCGAACCAGTCATTGTGACGCAGCTCGTAGACCTTGACGCGCCGCTTGTCCGTGGGTTGATGAGGCACGGGCTGTGCCATCATCAGCGGTTCGGGCGCCGCCTCGGGGACAACGCGACTGTCTGGATTCAATAGCGGTAATGGTGCAGCAGCGTCGAGTTGATGGGGCGAAAGCGACAAGTCAGGCTCGGCCGGGCTAAGCAGGACGAGAGCCGCCAGTGTTTCGGGAGGATGCGCGTTCCCGAGTGGGAAGCGCGTTGTTTCGGAAAGAGCGCGCGGGGAGGGGACTGGATGCGGTGTGGGGTCGGTCGCTGTGGTTGATCACTGTGCGATGTCAAGGAGTGAGGAATCCGATGTTGAAGGTCCCGGTCAAGGGACTCGTCAGGTTTCGAAATAGCGCGATAAGAAGCGAGACCTGGCCAGGCACAAGAGCGCGTGCTCACTAACGATCAATTGCCGAGCTAAGTCAGTTTCATCTGAAAGCGATGGTCTGGCGCCTGGCGACGGGTGGCGCAAAGTCAATCTTGCGATGGCTCTTTGCCGAACGATGAATCGGGCGGATGAAAATCGTTCGGGTCCCGATGCTGCTGCAGGGCCCAAGGCGGCGATGGAGAGGGCGGGCGGAGTGCGTGATCGCTGGGTTGCCGGCAAGCCCTGAAGTGGCCTAGCGGCAAGCAAGCTCTGCGCGCTAAGCCAGAAATAAGCGCGCACTGATGTCACAACGCCACCCCGCCGAGCACCGGGACCCCACTAACCGGCTCATCTCCGAACAAATCTGGGCATCTGGGCATGCCGTCTTCTCTTGTGTCTTCTTTCAGTCTTCATTCGGCACAGTCAAAACCCATCCCCGTCATCCCACTACTCGCCGGCCTGGGCTGCAACTCGGCCAACGCACTCGACTGCGCATCTTGCGGCCGACCCGGCCTTCTACGGCGGTCGCGGGCCCCAGTTCCCCTCCTCGACCTCGATACAGTGGCATACCCCGCCTTTTTCTTGTCATCAAACTCCTTCTTGAACCATTATACAACAAAGGCACGCAATAAGCTCAAGTGTCGCCTCTAACATTGGGTCAAATTTCGGGTTCCATGACTCGCATTCTAAACTGGCAACAAAGATCCAGCAAGCCTGCCAGGCCCCGGAAGGACTCGGCTTCGAATGGCCCTGAGTCCCCCCCATGGGCATGCAAGAACGAAACCGTATGCGATTTTCTGTACTGTGTTAGACACATTGAACACTCATGAGATTTCAGTGTCCGTTATTAGAGAAGCCCGCGTAAAGCAGGCATGGTCAAGCGTCAAAGCGCAGATGTCGAGATGTGCTCTTCATAGTCAAAGAGGTCGTCTGACTGCAAGCAGCTTTGATGTCGCACGAGTACTCCGTAGCGTGGCACTTGAGGGCAATTCTATTTCACTAAGTCAGGTAAGGTAGCATATCCCAGCTAGGGTAGGTACTCACTGCACTCGGAACAAACGCCCCGAGCCAACCTGCAGCCAGCCAGCCCCATATCCTGGTTGACGGGATGCCGGTGGATTGTGGATGAAGACCGTCGGGGGATACCCGATTACGTGTGGCAGTAGTGTACTGTAGAGTTCAACCTACACGTAGACTCTACTGTGTAGATCCCGCAAGGGCGTCGTTTTAGCCCTCATCCATTAGTCTTTGCCAGGGACGTCAAGAAGCATCCCAAGCCACTGCACTCAGAGAGGCGCCAGCCGTACCATGCCGCTTACGTAAATGCGCCTGTCCACCGGTCTACGCCTAGGAGGTGTATGCGATGATCGCACACGTCGAATTTCCAGATGTGTTGACCGACTTCTTGACATATACAAGTATCTACCTCACCTCACGAAAGGGCGGTGGATGGCTGGGTATCCCACGTTGCCATGTGCGGTCGTCTCGATGTTGGGCGGCGCCAATCCCGCCAACAACATCAGCTCGCAGATAACACAAAGTTTCTTCCGTTCGAAAGAACTCTCTGTATGTGGTGCAAATGCTGTAAACAGGATCATCTGGAGATGTCACTACCCGAAACCCGAGTCTATATAAGACTGCCCCTTTGACACCTCTTAAGAAAAGCTCGGTTCATGTTGGTTGTCCGAAGCCATCAAGCTGATCAGACTACTACTAACTTACCTTGAGTATTGGTCGGTAGTTGTCAGCTCTGGTTTCTTTCCCAGACGGACGCTATGTAGCCGGTCTGTGGCTGATACTGGATCTGTCACTTCAGTAGATAACTGACATGCACTTCCCACACCGCACTTCGTTCAGGTACAGTAACTATGCGTGATCAGTAGACCGATCTGTGTTGTTTGAGAGTGTGAGATAACGTCCCCATGTCGATGTCGGACACAGAGGTCCAATTACAGTCCAGTCAGCCATGTCGACTTCTATCAACCATCCAATTATCAGGCCCCACTCATCAATCATGTCCGACCCTGCCGTCGAGAACAGGGGTCGATCGGCCAAGAGCGCATGATCGGCATGGCGGCAGCTCAAGAGTCAACAGCGTGCTTGTTTTCCCTGTCTTTTTTTACCATGCGCTGTCCGACTTCTCGTCCAACCCACTGCACCCAGCCATACGATGCAAGTCTCGGGAGGAAAACGGTCAACTCGAGATGCGGCGGTCACCCTGTCTGTTGACAATGTCGCCCAAGCAACCTACCAGGTGAGAGAAACGGAACAGTTTATGACCACAGAAAGACGTGCAAAGTTGGTGATGAAAGCTCGTGGCGGTTCTCGATTCTTTCGTTCCAGGCTTCTGCTGCTCGCAAGCGGCTAGCGCAGCCACTCAATTCAGATTAGCGCATATCGCGGCTTTTTATCACACCGCATCCATCATGATCCATGCAATGTCGTTCCCGGCACCGATAGGAGCCATGTCAGAGGGCTGGGCCTGGGCGGCGCTATTGAATTCACCATGGCACATCGAGGGCCGAGCAGGATTTTATGGATTTCGGGCATCAAGCGACCGTCATCTCCGGAAGTCTTTTTTGTTCGCTTCTGGGCGCTGGTGGATGAAGTAAGATTACCCCAGCACAGGAATGGAAGTGCCATCTCACGACGCCTAGACGCTGTCGATTGTGTTGGTTCGACTTATATGTTTGAAATAGGTGGACAAACTTGCAGTCCTAACAAAACGCTGTCTAGGCAAAGTACCGCAGTAAGTTAAGTCCAACGGCCTCGTCAGGCTACGCAACCATCTCGGGAGGCGTCCGGCACATGGATGGGCCGACTGTGATCGTCCATGCCCCTTGCTGGCCCGGCACGGTCCTTGACGTCGACCGCCCTTGTCCCTGCCAAGTGGTGCGGCTGGGACATGGTGGGCTAGTATGGGTTTTGCCAAGGTGGGCCGCCCCTCTCTGTGTCGCAACCTCCGTTCTGCATTTCCAGGTTACCGGACCCGGTCGAGTAGGCGCAGGCTCAGCGCCTGCAATTGTCGAGTCACACGTCGGCCGCGATCTGCGCTAATGGTATAGGCCTTTCCAGCGAGCCCGGCGGCGATCGCGCCAAGATCCATTGTCCATTGCGAGCCGCTCTGGCGGTAAGGCGCGTTATCGCATTGAGGAGTTCCCAGGTATGCGATATACCTGGACGTCCATGGAGCAATACGAGGGGGCCCGCTTTTTCGTTTCTTGCCTGCGGCATGCGTGGCTCCACGCAAACCAGGGAATGGCCAGCCTGAGATGGAATGCTTGTGGGGCTGCATCTTTCTCATCCTCGATGATGAGACAGTGACGGGGACAGCATGAACGTCTGGGATCCGCAGCCGCGAGACCGCCATGTCGCATTGCCGATCAGCTGTTTTCTTCTTGCACGGATCGCAGGTTGTGCGCGGGAGATCGGCTTTGGTTGGTTGCATTTGGTGGTCAAGAGCGAACCGTCCCATAACCCGCGTCCTTCGGTGCTGCGAGTTATCTTGTCGTCCATTGTGTCAGCAAAGCCATGCATGGCATGGCCGGGTTGCAGCTAGGGTGCTCTGGGCTTGGAGCTGAAGTTGGATCCGAACTTTCATACATCCTTCCAGTCCCAGCTTGTCACAGTCGGGCAGTATCAGCGAACCCCCGCGTGGCTGCTTTCGCCACCCCTGCTTGCTGCCGCAGAGCCCATGTTCGGATGTTCCAGTCCAACCACAACCACATATTCCACAGTTGAGGGCTGAAGGATGCATTGGTCTAGTGGATGCTCGGGTCTCCTTGGCGATTCATAAAATGCTGCCGTGGCCGCCGCAGCCTCTTTCGAGAACCAAGGCCCCAGTTTCCATCCTCTGACATTGCCTCCGTACCTTCTGATCTTCTCATCAGTGTCCTCTCGCTTTCCGTTCTCGGCTCAAGGTGGCATTCAGAGATATTCCCGCCGTCTCCAGTCCTCCAATTCGACCTCGTTCCCAAATCTACCAGCTGCTTTTATTGCTTTCGCCTGCCGTCTCCAGTCGGTGTGGCTCAGCTGGAAATCCTTGTCTTGTCCTCCGAAACCCCAATATAGCCAGCTTTCAAGCCACTCGCTACTCCGTACCACCTGCCGGCCCATGCACCCCAACTCGATTTAATATATTTATACGCACTGCGAGCCCAACCGACGGCCCGTCCATTGATCAGGTGCCCCCCTGATCTCCGCAGCATTCGAACTGCAGCATCGTGTGTCGCCGACGATCACCACCAGCCAGACTCTGCTGCCGAGCGGATCCCGGTCTGCTGATTTGGCCTGTACATCTCGTCTGGCGCGGAAGACACAGGACGAACAGCCATGTCGGTTTTCTCGATGATCAAGCGGGGCCGGCAGGCTGCCAAGGAGCACAAAGCCGAGCTGGCCAAGAAGCAGCAGGAAGAGGCCCAGAAGGCGCCCTACAAGCACATACCGAGGCATGCTGCCATCGACGCCATGTCAGGCGGTCCGGCGGGGTGGAGGGAAAACGACAGGGTCAGGATCGTGGAGCAGAACCGGAGGCGCAGCGCGATGACGGCCAGTGGCATGAACATGAGCGGCATCATCGCGCCGGTGCATGCGGGCCTTCCCCGGGTCCAGAGCGCCCTCTCACACGTCTCGTATCCGTCCGCCTACGCGAGCCCCATCGTTCAGGTACCGCGGACCTACAGCTACAGCAGCATGCCGGCCGGGTGGATCCCGCATGGACGGGAGATGAGCTACAGCCCCATCGACATGGGGTCCGTTTCGGTGAAGGGCAAGGAGGTGGAGAGGATCATGGACTCGTCCCGCACAAGTCGGTCGTCGAGCAAGGTGTCGGCGGGGAGGATCCCGCTTGTGCCGGGAGGCACGTCGGTGGTAGGGGATTCTGCGTCCTCGCCCGTGGAGAGCTCCAGCAACTCGACGAGTTCGCAGGACGATTTGGAAATGAAGCCGGTGGTCAGGCACAGTGTCGCAGTCCCTATCGCCCCCTCCAGCACCACCACCGCCAACAGATCAAACAAGACGACGAGCGAGACCGAGAGCGTTCACAGGTTGCACCCCGGTCGTTCGCGCAGAGTCTCGGACCCCAACCAGTCCGCAGCGGCGTCCCGCAGCTCCCTCGCCGCCGGCATCCCTCCTGTTCCAGCGCTGCCACCTATGCAGTTCGGCACCGCCATAACCACTCCCGACACATTCCCGTCCGCTACGTCGAGTGCCAGCTCCGTCACCATGGTCCCCGTTGGATCCAGCGCGTCGCTCGCTGCCAAGGCAGCTGCAACGCCGGCGGTGCTCAAGGAAGAGGCGGTGGAGGCTCCTCACCGGGTAGACATCGTCACAGCAGAGCGACCCATCGAAGAAGAGGTTGCAGCTGTGAAAACCCCCTCCTCTGCAGACTCGCCCACGAAGAAGGGCCGGAGGACATCCAAGATGACGCGCTTCACCGAGCTCGAGCCGATCCGGTCCCACACCACGGGAGCAGACGAAGAAAAGAAGCGGGCCACCTCCACGGTGACGGTGCTCCCGACCGACTTTGACGAGTCGGCTCTGCCGGCGCCGAAGGAGTTTGTCCTGTCCGCGTCCGCGCCGCCGCCCCCGACGTCTTCCAAGCCGGGCAAGCTCTCCAAGAGCGCCGCTGCTGCGTCGGGCGGGAAGCTGGTTAAGAAGAACCGCTGGTCGCTACGGAGCAGCAAGAGCGCAGCCGTGGCCGTGTGAGATGGTGTCTCGGACCGCGCTGGCGTTTTTTTCTTTCTTTTTCTTTTCTTTAGGCATCGGTGTTGTGGGATTTGGAATACATGCCAGCTAGCCTTGCATTTCCTTTGTTGTTTTCCGAGCGGCAGTCGGCCATCGGCTGTCACGAGGCAACCCCCGCGCAGGGGTTGTTGTCTACTCTTGTTGATTATTGGCGTTGGACGTTTTAAGCGACATGGAGCGTTTGGGTTTCTTCCTCTTTAGTCTTATCCTTTTTCTTTCTGTCTTTCTTAATGACGACGGCAATCAAATCTTTGGCTATGCTCCAGGAAACAAGGGGTAGCATCAGCGATATGAGACGCAAATTAGATTTGGGTTGGAAACATTGTGGGATGGGCGGATTTGGGTGATGCATTTTGGACAATGCTTGGATCGCCTCGGAGGGCCTATCGGAAGGGCTATCTACAGTACGAGATAGTTTGTTCGTTTGTGGATAGTTCTGACTCGCCGTATGAGAGGAATATACCTCGGCTTTGACGACGTTCAGGCTCATTCACGCATGGCAGTTTCACTCATTCTCCTCCCTCCATGGTTGACCTCTGACAGTTCCATTATTCGCATTAGGAAGCATTCTGCCCGTCTTACCTAACCGGCTGGTCTCTCGCCATGCTCATGGCTGAGAAACCATGGGTATTCCGCTGCAGCAGATCCCACCGCGGCACCTAACTAAGGCTGTAAGACTACGGATATGTCCCACTCCTGCCCTGTTGGGCTTGAGTCAATGTCTCGCCAAGCCTCCAATCGATGCAGAAAGATGCAGGATTTGGGCTGACGGTGTTTGTAACCGAGCCAATTGAGCCAACAGCTTTCGGACGCATGCGTCGTTTGTTGGTTGCCAGTCTGACGATATTGAAGGATCTTCGGGCAAATGGACCAGGCGGCCGGGACGTTGGGTGCTTCGGGCTCCAAGGCTTGCTTTCTTTCGTCTCTTCCCTCCCGCCCATGCAACAGGGTCATGCTTCGAAAAATTACCTCGAACATATCTGCTTGAAGGTCAGAGCAGGGCAAAAGGGGGGCTTCTACTACCGGGTAGTGCTCGGATTGTTCCTTGTTTCAGAGCTGCTGTCAGAGCCGGAATTCTGAGTGGTCCAGTACGCTAACGCTATCACGGAGCTTGATGCCGGAAGGAGCTTAGGTACGGAGGGTATTCGGGCGAAAAGCAGATACCGTATGCGTACCTATCATGGAACCCGCTTGTGGTTGGAGCTTGAGCCGCAGCCTTTGGTTTCAAGCAGGCGGGAGAAAAGCGGTTGTAGATTACAGGACACGGGCTTCTATCTCCGCTTCCTCACGACATGTGGACTGATCTGTTCGTCCGGGACTGGGACGGGACAGCGGGTTGATCTGGCGAGTGGGCGTACGTGTATAAAACAACCACTTCGAGTGATTAGTGCCTGGGGAAGTTATTAGCGAAGATCGACGCAAGGAAAAGCCCATTTTCCAGCCCTCACTGTGGCGGCCAGCCCTGCGGTTGACACACCCGCTCCGGTGGATCCCAGATTCCGGGCCTGAGACCCGGGCACCTGGTGTTGACTCCGACACACATCCGGGCCAGCTCCGGCAGGCTGGAATCCTACACAGTGATGGCCTCCCCCTGTCATGTGTAATAAGTCAGTGTGAAGCAGGTATGGAGTACTACGCAGGCCATTATTGTCTCGGATGAGGGATGCTCATGCTCAGCACCCCGCTGCATTCGCGGTGGTGTACCCAGAATGGACGACGGAAGAAGGTGTAAGATGCAGGGGGTCATCGTCACTGACGCAATCGCAAAATTGATTGAAAAGGTGTAGCTGTTACCAATTCTCTGATCGCGGAAATGCACTCGCAAACAGTCTACATGTACCCCGTCCTCGCCTCAATTGATACATGCATCCCCACCCCAGTACACGAACACTTACCTCCTCCGTACAAGGACTTGTTCGCAAGTGTCTGCGTACATTCATGGTGTCCATCGGATCCTGCCTGGAGTGACCATCTCAATTCTGCCGAGAGAAGTTGAGGTTCCATTGTGAGCAAGGCTTGGCTGACTGGTCGTCCCATAGCAGTCAAGAGCAATGGGTAGCATTGTCCTGCCCTTCCCCGCAGACCCTGCAGATGTAAGGCTCTGGTTCTGGATCTCATCTGAGGGAGGGCAGCCGGAATATCGGATTAGGCGCAATACCGGTATGCCTCTTCTGCATATACAGTAGGTGCTTGGAGGCTGACTGGGGCTACCTGGATGTCATGGGTGGGCGCAACTGACCACTGCGTAACACCCTCAAAAGAGGGACCGTGGTTCGAACTGTCTAGTCAAATCAGGAATTGCGCACATGAACCTCACACTTTCACGATCCGTGACACCAATTCATATCTGCAGTTCATGGAGCTGGATTCTGGGTTTCAGGAGAGTGGGGACGGATCGGGCCCATCTGATCCTCGGAGCGCGCCAAGAATAACAAGGGTAACTAAATTACCACACTCCGTACGGAGTAACTTATCTGATTTGCTAGCCTTGCACGCCACGTTGCGAATTCCCAAGCTAACGCCTGCTCGTGTTGATCACCGCATTTCGCAGCCTTGCCAGCTGTCAGAACAACAAACCTACACCAGGTCTGGCCAGCTGTGCGATCAGCAGTGGCCATATCTCAATGACTTCCTCGCTCATGTTCGAATCTCGTTGATTTCAGTGGCCCACTCTCTCCTCCGCTCTTTCACCCGCCAACAATGGCGGCGTCCGAGGGGCTTCTCGGTTCCCTGGAACGGCTGGCCTGGCTCCTGTGGGAAACCGCCTGGGAAAGACCATTCTACTTTTTCCTGACGTTCATTCTTCCGCTCCTTGGACTCGCAATATTTGGTGTAAGACTACTCTACATGTCCGTCCCTTATGTCCAATCTGCTAACATTGGTTGCCCCAGGTCTACATCCTCCTTCACCTCATCGCCCCTAAACCTAGACTGCCCCTGCCCTCCGAAAAGACATACATCACCACAAATTCCGATGGCAGTATTAACACTCCGCGACCCCTCCCGTGCTGGTACGACCGCTGGCACGCCGAGGGCCTACTCAGCCAGGAGTACCCAACCATTCCCCCGGGCTTCCCCGTTCCCGACCAGGCCGCAATCGAACCGGCCGAGGTGGAAGTGAGCGTCGTGATTCCGGCATTCAACGAGGAAGCTCGTATTGTCCCCGCCCTAGAAGAGATGGTGGAATACCTAGATCAACAGTTTGGTCGGCCCAACAGCCAGTTCCTCCAGCCGGAAAGACAAGAGAGGTCCGCGCAGAAAGGGGGCAAGAAGGGCAAACGCGCTACGACACCGCATCGCCTGGTCTTCAAGCCCGACTCCCCAACGTCCGCTTCCCGACCTGGCGCGCTACCGTCACCGCCGGCAGAACCATCGGGGTACGAGATTCTCATCATCGACGACGGCAGTCGCGACCGCACCGTCGAAGTGGCCCTGTCCTTCTCTCGCAAACACAAGCTGCACGACATCTTGCGGGTGGTCAAGCTGGAAAGGAACCGTGGCAAGGGCGGTGCCGTCATCCATGGCCTGCGCCACGTGCGCGGCAAATACGCCCTTTTCGCCGACGCCGACGGCGCCAGCCGGTTCAGCGACCTCGGTCGGCTGATTGAGGGCTGCGAGGATGTCGTGGACGGCTCGAACCGCGGCGTGGCGATTGGGAGCCGAGCGCACCTCGTCGACAGTGAGGCCGTTGTCAAGGTAAACCATTCAAGTCCCCCTCCCCGCTTCGCCCTCTTCTCACCCCTGGTGTCATAAACTGACCAAGGAAAAAAAACCAACCCAGCGCGCCGCAATCCGCAACTTCCTCATGCGCTCCTTCCACTTCGTCCTCATGATCCTCACGCCGCCCGCCACCTCTCGCATCCGCGACACGCAGTGCGGATTCAAGCTCTTCTCGCGCGCCGCGCTGCCGCACATTGTGCCCTACATGCACATGGAGGGCTGGATCTTCGACATTGAGATGCTGATGCTGGCCGAGTCGGCGCCCGCCACGCCCGTGCTGGCCAGCGACGGCTCCGTCATTGGTACCAGCTACGGCATCAAGGTGGCCGAGGTGCCCGTCGGCTGGCGCGAGGTCGACGGCAGCAAGATGAGCCTGGTGCAGGACAGTTTCAGGATGGCCATCGGGCTAGCGGTGCTGAGGGCCAGCTGGATGTTTGGGGTGTATCGGCGGCGGTTAACATGACCTGTCTGTGTTTGGGTAGGGAGATGCAGAGGAATCGAGTGATACAGTTGGTTGGAAATAGAGGTCCCGAGGGCATCTTCCAATAAGACTGACCGTGTGTTAGCTCTTGCAAGAGAGTTACTTGCTTAGATGCCAAAATAAGCAATGCACACACACACACCTTAGTGCTTGGTGAACGCTGTGAAGTCTATGCTGCAGCATTCGATTGCTGCCACTTCGCGCTGTAGCGTCTTGCTATGGGAACCTTGCAGGTTTTCCTTCTAGTGGAGGCTGTCAAATCTGTCCAGTGCCGGGTAAGGGAGACACTCCCATGCCCCTGAATAGGTCGATAATATCACAGCCCAGCTCTATGTCCAAACGTCTCTCATTATTACCATTACCAATATCTACATCCCCTGAAGGCTACTCGGGCACAAATCCATAACAATACACGAAATCTTACTTTGTCTATGTCCCCTGGTATCCCGAACGAAAGCTAAACGGCCGCGCTTCACAAAAGGGCTCACCGCAGTTCCGTGCCAAAAACGGGCAAGAACACGACGCACGCCTTCCACAATATCATCACAGACTGCACCAGCGCGACTGGCAGCATCAGCACGCCCAGCCCGTTCCCGCGCCCGCACACGTCGAGTATGCTCAGCCAGATGGCCAGAAAGGCCACACTAAAAAAATGATACGCCAGCGTCAGCGGCCGCCTCAGGAGTCCGCCCAGCAGCGCCACGGGCTCGTCGGTCCACCCGCGCTGGAAATACCGGAAGCAACCTCGCTGCAGCGCGCGCAGCTGCCAGTCGTCGGCGGCGAAGAGGCTGTAGAGCGCTTGTGCCAGGACGTTGATGATACTCGTCAGCTCCTTGCGGCGCCAGTGGAACGAGGCCATGGCGCGGTGCACGGCCGCGTGGTCAGCCAGCGAGGGGACGCGGGACGGGTCGAGCAGGGACGAGAGCAGGAGCGCGTCGTTGAAGGCGACTGTCATGCCGCCTCCTGTCAGCGGGTGGCGCATGTTGTGGGCGTCGCCGAGGAGGATGACGCCCGGATGGCGGGTCTGTTTTTGGGACGGGAGCCATGAGTTGGGCATGCTCCTGGGGATTTTGCCGTCGGCGAGGGCGGCGTAGACGCTGGGCTGGACGTGCGGGGGAAGAGAGGGGACGACAAAGTTGGTGATGTAGCCGCGCACGCCGCCGGCGGCGGGGGAGGCGCCCGGATGGTCGATGGGCACGTCGATGAGCGCGCGGGTTTCGTGGGTGCCAATTTGGTAGAGCAGGGCGAGACATTGGTCGTCGATGACGACGTGGCCGTGGTTGGCTGGCGGAAAGGGGCAGTCGATAAGTTCGAGGGCGTAGAATTTGGATCGGACGATGGGCGTGGTGCCAAGGAGTTCCTTGCGGAAGGTAGAAGCATAACCGTCGGCGATAATGGTCAGCTGGCCGAAGAAGCAGTCGGGGGTTTTTGTGCCGGTGGCTGGGTCCTTGGTCCGGGTCTGTACGCCTAGCACGGCATCGCTGTGCTGGCCCTTGATGGTCGCGGTGACTTCGGTCTCGAACACGCTGATGTTGGGGTGCGCCATGCATGCCCTGCGCAGCTGCATGATAAGCCTCCCATGATGGAAACTCCTCCCCTCAGGCCTGGGCAACGGCTTCGTATGCCCATTCGCAACCTCCTTACTGCCCGCCCCGACAACCACGCCTCCATCAACTTTCAGCGGCGGATACGCGAATGAAATCTCCTCCCCCCGGAAGAGCACATGGTACCCGTAGCATGGAATGGCATCGATGTCCTCGAGACAGTGTCCCAGCCCCAACTTTCTCAGCGCTTCGACGCCGCCCGGCTGCAGCAGCTCGCCGACGATGCGGTCTGGCTCGTGCATCCTCCGCTCGAGCAGAATGACGCTACGCCCCTGGTTGGCGAGGGAGAAAGCGATCGCACACCCAAATACGCCGGCCCCAACCACAACGACGTCGGCCTCGTGGTGTTTCTCCCGCCGCTCCAGGTTGCGCGCCGCCGGGGAATCGGCCGCGCCCGCCATGACTGATTGAGTGTATGAGGTACGGTGCGTGTGTTCGTTGGCTTGGATGTTGGGTATCCGGCACGGGGATTGTGTCGAGGTCAAGAATTGCGAGGAAGGGAGACAGTCAATCAGCCGGTCGTCGACCAATGCTGGAAGTTCGGATCAAGCGGGTTGGTGAGCGATCGTGGGATGTGCAACCAAAATCCAAAATCGCGGGCAACTGGGCGTGGGGGGCGAGAAACCGGGCTTTAGTCGAGGATCTGCCGTCCTTTTAGCAGCCACTGAATTGATGGGTCGTCAGTCACCTGGCCGCTGTGGAATCCTCGGGGATTTGTTTTCCGTGACTTCCCCGTCAAGACTCGGACAGTGAGGTGAGAATGAAATTATTCGAGACCGATCTCTCGCTGGGATCGTCCCATGCGGCAGGCACCGCGTGCAATGCGGGTGCTGGCGGGCCAATCAGAGGTAAGTCGCAGGGGTCAATTGCGTTGCTGCGCTTGACCGCAGACTTCACATGTCAGGCGATGCGGACAGGGGCTGAGACTGTTCAGCGGCAGCCCCACGGCTGCAGAGTAAGGTATTGTACCTTAGCTAGCTCCCTGATATCCCCAGGAGCTGAGAGCCATCCAAGCAAAGCTCCGGTAGCTAGACTACCAAATTAGATTTCTGAATATTGTGACTTGTACGAGTACTACAGCTATGCTTTTACACTGCCAATATGCAAGAACGTCTCCTTCAGGTTCTATGGACGGCTGGGCCCGGTATTCCGACGTCTCCATCTAGTAAGCCTCAACAGCCGGCGTCCCCGATCCCTCCAGCAACGTCCGTTCCAGCTCAGCATACATCCCTCCGGTTAGAAACCCATCCTCACCCGCTTCACTCTCCGCACTATTCCCGTCACCCTTCTCAGCAGCACCAGCATCATCACCGGCACCCTTAACCCCACCAAGCCAAGGCACCCCCCCAAAATCCACCTCCTCACGCCCAGCATCCAGCGCAGCCCGCCTCATAATCTCGACAGCCTGCTTTTCCAGATGCCTTGCCTCGGCCCTCAGCCGCCTCCTCACCTCCACGACCCTCTCGATCCCCTCCTCCACCAACTCCCTTGCCCGCGCCCTCTCCCCGCAGGAGACGGGCCTCGCCCGCGAGTGCAACACCCGGTCACGGGCGTGCCGCAGCGCCGTACGGCAGGCGCCGTCTTCGCGGTAGTGGCTCGCCAGGCCGCGGCGGATGGTCTCCCGGATCCCCTCGGCATCGACCAGCTCCGCGTAGGCGACGATCAGGATCCTGAAGTTCTGCAGGTTGAAGCACGGGCCGCCGCCGGCGGGGCCGCGCGCGGCAGCCGCCTTGTGCGCGTAGGCGATGGCGCCGCGGAAGTGGCCCGTTTTGAGACACGTGAGGGCCGCGCGGTGGAGCGACGTTTCGGTGAGGCGGATGCCGGCTTTGTGGTACTGCGCGAGCGTCTCTTGGATGATGGCCTCTGCGTCGGATGGGTGCGTAGTGGAGGAGGCGATGGAGCTGAGCTGTTTGCCGAGGAGGTAGTTGATGATGGGGGTGACGTCCTCGCCCCTGGACTGGGCACCACGGAGAAGGCCGTAGGCCCCGTTGTAGTCGTTGGGTGCTGCGGTCAACTCAGCCTGCACGGCCAGCCGGAGGGCCTGTTGGGAGAAGGGCATGTTGAAGTGTAGCGCGCGCTTGTAGATCCAGACAGCGCGGCGGGGCGAGTCGGTCCGCAGCGCCTCCTTCATGGCCAAGATGACATCCTCTACCCGGGCGTGTTTGCCCCTGGCCGGCAGCACATTCGCATCAACGCGCAGAGAGAGCAGTCGCCCTTTGGCCGCTCTGCCGCTGTACCTGGAGTCCTCCAGCGCGGCGTCAGCCATGATTTGCGCCGTGTGTTTGTCAACGAAATCGGGATTCAACACCCGTATTTTTCGGAAGAGCGAGCGGAGGTCTCGAAAGGGAAATTTCCACTGGCGTCGACACCTCACCAAGATGGCGTTGGTGAAAGCAGCATCGACGGGAAAGCCGGCCCGACTGCAATAGTCAAGCCAGTCGACGAGAGAGCTAACATCGCGAATGGCAGCGTATTGCTTTGCCATAAGCGTGACCAGGTAGCTGCACAACGGCACTTGGAGCTCATCCGTGTAAGACTTGAGAAACACCTCCGTCTCGCGAACCGTATGCGATTCAGCATATACCTTGAGCACTGGAACGAAGACCTGTCCGTAGACCTTGCCGGCCGGCCCCGCCGGTGTTCCGTGCTGATTCATCGCCTCAAAGTCGGCGCGGACGGCTTCCCAGTCACCGTCCGCGGCGTGAAAACGGGCAAGAACGCCCAGAAGTCGCACACCTGAGGCTAGAGTGCGGTTCTCACGGACCGCGAGCATCAAATACGAGTCGGCTTTCGCCTCCTCACCTGCCTCCAGAGCCAGCTCAACCATGATGCGATAGATGTTATACGAGCGGGACACGGAATCCTTTAGCCCCGGGGTTTGCAGCTGCTCAAACATAGCCTCGATTTCCTCGAAGTTGCCATGTTTTTTCCAATGTGACAAGAAGAGCCTCATTACCCAGTCCGGGTTAAGCTTGATGTTGAGGCCGGAATAGATGCTGTGCAGTCTCTGCAGGACCTCCTCCGGCCGGTAGTTGTTGGCGAGTTCGACACTGTCGACGACGAGACCGCCCACAGCCTGCACAGAAGCCTTGGTAGGGGAAGACTGAGAGAAGGTCGAGATAAAGACCTTGACGACTGAGACGTAATCCTGGTTCTCGTGAAGTTTTTTGAGAAACCATGAGGTCAGGTCATTTGACTGCTCACCGGCCACCAGGTTGCACCTCCGGTACACGCCGAATATGCGCTGCAGGCGGTGCGCCGAGAAGCATAGCTTGAGCAATCTCCGCCCGAGATTGTAGATCTGGGTGTTCACGCCGGTGAGTCCGTCCTTGAATCGTGGGAGGAACAGGTTGACGGCAGCGTCGATGTTCGCCAGATTGACATCTCCTGATTGCTCGTCCGGCTGTGACCGTGCCAGCAAGGCCTCGATCAAGGTAAAGGGTTCGTGGCTGAGATAATCGCTCTCCTCGAGCGGGCCGCGGCATATGACCTGGTAAAGAAGCTGCGCAGCGTCATCTAGCCTCCCTTCCTCCTGACATGTCCGGCACAACAAGGCCGTCGCTTCCATCCAGGACCGGTCCAGGTTGTCAGGAGCAACGTTGTGCTTCATTGCCTTGAGGACGGTTTGCAATGCTGCTGTGACTCGAAGAGAATCTTTGGTATTGCAGGCTTCGTGCATCTGGGCGATGATCTCAGGAACGGTAGGAAACGAGTAGAACCTGACTACGTCGGTGTTCGCCCACACCCAGCTGGGAGAGGGTTTGCGTGACGCGGTCGGCTTGGGAAGAGGTGTGATCGAGAGACGTGCCGTCTTCGACGTGCGCTGGGCAGTACCCACAGGGAGGACGGTGCTGTTATTGTTGGTAGTACCGTTGCCATCGCTCTCCTCAGTGGCCACGACTTTTTCGCTCTCGGCCGGGAATCCTGTAGTCGATACCTCGGCCAAGGTTTCGGCATCATTCTGTTCACTTTGCTGCACATCCAACAGCTGAGGCCCTTGTCTCTTCCGTTTCGCCGACGGCCTCGGCATTTCCTCCGTATCATGGTGTTGACGCAGCGCCAGACTGATGCCGGCCACCGATCCGAACCGGGGATCCCACAGTGCCTCCTCCTCCATAGCCAAGGCGAGCGCGGCACCTCCCGGACGGTACGCCTTTGCCGACTTGATCCTCTCGCCGTTCTCGATGACGCGCATGGCATTGTTGATTTTGCGGCGGCGGTCCTCGGCAATGAGGGCGATGGTGCACGACGTGCCCAGGACGAGTCCTCGCAGCGCCGTCAAGGCCGCCTTGGACGGAACGGGAAGCGAAGACGACATGGTGTATGCCCGTTTTGCCGTTCCATCTCGTCAACGCATCTCAATTGGGCTTCTCGCGGCGTGTCACTGGCGGTTCATTTCATGGCGGTTTTGTTCGACTCCAAGTGCATTTTCCGGGCATGAGGTGATGCTACACATGCGAACCCCACAGGAGCTTGGTTCAGGCCAATCGGTGCAGTGCAAGTGGGCTGTGGTTGCATAGTTTCCATGCCAAGACAGAGCGACAGCCCGCATTTTGCCCTGGAAAGTTTGCTGAGATAATGTAACGAATTACGGCGATAGTTAACTAACGTTACCACATTTTCAAACTCAATTGTTTCGATTGAGCCAAGGTTGTCGACAGTGTCGACGGTGTCGAGTGAAGAAAGAATGAAGACTGCACATCTACACGTCTATCTCTAGTATGATCTATCCAGCCCACACCAAAACGCCCTCCCATATGTTCCCTCCGCCCGGGGTCATTTGTACAGAAAACAGAAAATAGTACAAATCGTCTCATTATAAATACATTTAACCCGCTAGGCAAGCTCACGCCGCTCCATGGGCATGTACGCCTCCAGTTTGCGCAAGATAGACTGGTAGAGGAACAGCATGCACCCGCTCTGGATGCTGGTCCAAGCAGCCCGCGGGCCGACGCCTCTAAACCACCCCGCAATGCCTTCGCTTTGATAAATCAACCGGAGGCCGGTGATCATTGACGACGTCTGCAACGTGACAGCCCCAGGCTTAGGGGCGTGGGTCGACGGCGACGAGGTTGATATCAACCGTTTTTGCAGCTTATGTGTCGCTGCCTCGGTGTTTGGCTTGGCGGAGACATCCTTCGAAGGCCCCGAGATTGGCGTGTCAGAGGGCGGCGGGCCGAGCCCCCCTGCTTCTGGATGGACCTGAGTCTGCAGTCTCGTCTTGACGACATCAAGCGGACATGTCATGGTGCCTGCCAGACCGCCCGCTGCCGCTCCCGTCAGGAGCTCCAATTCCCACCCAATGTCTCTGCCTCCCCTCCACTGCCGGGCCCAGCTTTGGTTCTGCTCGTAAAACATGAACTGAAGGGCCGAAAAGGGGAGATCACGCCACAGCGTGGCCCCATATCCGTAGAACAGCGCGGATAACCCCTCGGTTCGAACGATGGTTCGAACAGCATCTGTCGTCCCCCTGTAATTATACCCCGATTGAAAGTAGGGATTGTTGTATCGCCCTTGAAGCTGCAGACGGGTTTTGACCACCTCGGACGGCACGTACACGGTGGAGGCGGCGAAATCGCCAATGAAACCTACGAAACAAAACTCGTCAGAAAACGACAACCCCAAGCCGCCATGAGCCACAACTAACCGGCTAGCAGATACGCCAGATGCGGCTGGACGCCATAGTCCAGCATCTGCCGCTTGCTCCACTCGTAGCTGCCAAAGAAGAAGCATGTGGCGGGGAACGAGCCGGCCAGCGCCGGGATCCAGCCACCGTACAGCCCGCGGCGTATCCCCTCCTGGCGGAAGATGGTCAGGTACGACGAGCCGAGCGACGTGTATTTTGGCGGAATGTGCGGGTCGCCCTGCTGGCGGGTTTTGACCGTGTCGAGCGAGTGCATCAGCATGTCTCCGGTGGATCCGCCCAGCCCTCCGGCTAGCATACACTGCAAGTTTGCGAAAAGGGGTTGCTGTCAGCGTGCTGGTGGTTTACGGGTGGCATATGCCAAAAGCAGAATAACCCCAATAGAGGTCGACCCACGTGCAGATAAGGCGGGCGCCCTTCGACCTCTCCATCTTGAGATATCATATTATTATGAGCGCGCGGCGCGAATTCGGGTTCGGCGGTGATGGTGATATGCGACAGGATATGTCCATCGTCGAGGGCGGCGGCCGGGTCCGGGTCCAGGTCCAGGTCCGCGACGGGGACGCTGCGCGCAGGCGAGGTCGGGGGCGAGTCAGCCGATGGAGCGCGCTTGGCTGTCTCAAAACCGAGCACCATCGCCCCGCGGGGAAGAGGAGAAGGAGATTGCGCCGCCCTGGGAGCGGGCAAGTTTTCAGAGTTTCTGGCGTCACGAGGTTGTCGGGTTGGCCGGGCGAACCGCACCGCGAATGTTCGAAAGTTCAAATTTCTGGCTGCTTTGCCGGTCCGATGCGGTTTTTCGGCAGGTGTGTGGTCCGTGCAAAATCCTCGCTCGACGATACGTTGAATGACTGCCAAGAACCCCCGAGTACGGATCCGTAATGTTACGGATTCTCCGTAACGTTATTGCCAAGCGCCCATTTTTTCACTCATACCTAATTCCACGGACCCGTCCTCTCATTCGCTCCGGAGGTTTCCTACCCCTTGTTGAACTTTGTTGACTTTCAAACTCGATTTACCTCATATGCGAACACATCGTTAGACAGCTAACTCAGGCCTAATCCTCTTCCTCAACTGCAGTACGCAATATTTTTAAAGCCTCAACTCAGTGCCTGTGACTGTTGGCAGGTTAATATTAGTCCACCAATGCGCGACTCCAAATCCAAGCTGTTGCCATCTTGAACCTGTTAAAGCACAGCAAGCTGAGACTATCCACCGGAATAAGATTTCTGCATGCTCCCAGCATTGCTTTGCCTTAGCAACTACTATCGGGCTTTTCTTGCGCAGCTCTCGCTACACACCATCATGTCGACCCTTCCAGAACCAGAGCAACCACTCATGTGTCTTGACGAGTACATCACCCTCTGCGCCGACCTTCACAATACCCTCATCGACAAATCTATCCCTCCAGACTCCCAGCCACTAGAAATCTCAACCGATCTCCTCCAACGATACGAATCCTACCGGGCCAATCCCCCTTTCGACCCCTACGCAGGGGTTCCCGATCCCCCCGCTCTAGATTGCCTTTCGTCCATCGCCATCCTCCTGTCTCAGCTTAGAACCACTATCACTCCCTCAAAGGGTCAACACATCCCCCTAACTCCCCTTCTCTACCAGCCCATGCCAGAATGGTTCTTTCCGCCCCTGTATAGCTACGACATCGAGGCCGCCGACTCCCCCTTTCTCCTCCTGTACCCCCAGCGTCTCCCCTCCGAGCCTTGCATAGACGGTGGCCTCTTTGTACACATTTACACCCTCGACGGCATCTGGCTTCAAGCCCCTCCCGGTCCCGCAATGCCTCCCCCACAAAAATAGCTCCCCCTCGATTATCTCCTCGAACCGGGACAACATCTCGGAGTAAACGACTCGTGGGGACAAGCCAGAATCAATGTACATGTACAAATACCATACGCATGACATGAATAGGTGTGAAGGTGCTGGACAAACGGTGCACGGGCACCTTGTGCCATGCGCATTGCTTCATCAAGGCCCAGAATCGCGATTAAAACCCAAGGGCGAGTAAGGTCACTTGGCCGACAGTGAAACAATTATTATAAAACAAAAGTTCCCTTCCTCCTACTCTCCACCCTCCCTCTCCCCCCCTACGCCGCCCGATGCACCCCCATCCTTAGTGGGTGCTCCCACCACCGTACCCTCCCCGCCCGCTCCCACGGCGACAGCACATGCGTCACCCTCCCCGTAACCAGCCTCACCGAGATGGGCCCATAGTAATTGCTATCCTGGCTCTTATCCCCGTCCCCTTCCACCCAGATATGCCCCTCGGGCACGGCCACATAGTCATACGGATACGGGTGCTTAGTCTTAACAACGTCCCCTTCCAAGCCCACGATCCGCTTGACCGTGACCTTGTTGGGATCGTACGGATTTCTACTCGTCTCTCCATTAGCATCGACGAACATCATCAATAATCAGCCCGCATCACACTGTAACATAGATAGAAAAGCGAACCTGAACGTAACAACCATTCCCCTCCTCAACCCCTCCTGCGCATACAGCTTCCAGACCAGACATAGATCCTCACGCAGCGACTTGTTGTACTGCGGGTTCAAAAAAGGGTACATGGACGGCCCCCGGATGAAGGTGACCTGGGCGACGTAGGCGTTGAACCAGATGAGCGGCGGGATCCAAGTCGCGTAGCGGAAGAGGTAGTGCGAGACTTGGCGGAGGAACCTGGACCGGCCGCCGCGGTTGGCTGTCCATGTTGCCATTCGGGGAGTTGGGATGTGCGGGTGGTGATGTGAAGACCCTGTGTAAGTCGGGTGGATGAGATCAACGTATGCAAGTGGTGAGTTGCAGTCATGGAGTTTGGAAATAGCATTTCTAACGTCACAGGGTTTTTGGGCCATCAACCATACCTTAACAGCCGCAATCACAACTCAGTGAAACGGCAACCCGCCTTTCCCTACGTTTCTTCTGTTATCCTTATATTTAATTTTCCCTTCCATTTTTGCTTTCTATCCTGCTGTGTGATTCAAGGTTTCCGTGTCTTTCTAAAGCGGGATGGGGAATATGACGATAAGCAGCCTGCCTCGATTGTTGCATATCACCACGCATACGGCTCCCAGCCTCTCACACACGATCATGTCCCTGTCAAGCATGATTCATTCCCTTTTGTTTTCCGCTACGGCCCCAAGATAGCTACCTGTGTCCGTCTACCGTGTCTGCCCTTTTAGGTTCCCGAGACGCCTCCCAGTACCAACGGTCCTGATGACCTACTCGCTGTCCCGTCCATCGCGGGGTATTCGGTAGTCCATGAAACAAATGCCTGAATCACCATTGCCCGTCCCAACGACTGCGAGACGGTGCTTCGCTTAGACAGGCCCGGGAATGCCTTCGTCGCTCTCGCTCACGCTCTCGTCACCGCTGACCTCGGCGTTCTCGCGTTCACGCTTCTCCATGAGGGCCTGGAGCTCGGCATCATCCGACTCAGTAACGGCCTTGGGCGCCATCTTGACCACCAGATTGCCGCCAGCCGCCTCGATGCTGGCCCGTACGTCGACAATGGCCTCCTCTAGCCGCGCAATGCCCGCGTTCTTGTCGAGGCAGGTATTGGTGAGCCTGTGCGAGTCGGTTTAGATCACAATCATATGGTCCAAGCATCATACAGAGACTTACACAAAGAGAGGGTGAGACACCAGTCTGCACTTGACCCGGCTCTCGGGAGTGTTGCGCGCCTCGGCGGTGCGCAAGGCAGCCTTGATGGCGTCGATGCCCTCGTAGGTGAAGCAGGTAACCTCGATGTCGGCCCGGACCTTGGTCGGCTGAGGCGTCAGCTTCTTGCCAATGTAGGACTTGAGCTCCTCGGCAACAGCCTCGCTCGGGAATTCGATGCCGTCCCAAATATCAGGGTTGCTGACCAGTCGTTAGTAGGGTGTACAACTTTCCTCAGCGCACCATCTCCCAGAACGTACGTTATTGAGAGCTTAAAAGCATCCATGGAGTGGCCGTATTTCTTGTTTAGCGGCCACCCTATTGTCTCATAGAGCCTCTCGATCGGGGTCTGGGTCTTCTCGGCGACGTGCCTCATGATCGAGTGCACAATTTTGCTCTTGTTGTACCGCTCCTCACAGCGGACAATATCTTCGGGCGACACACGGCGCTTGGAAAGGTCGATGTATCCTACAACGACGTTAGCGCCACCGCACATGGCATCCGTGCGCACTAAGGGTGGCCGACCTTTCTCTTTGTCGACGCGCAGAACGACGACAACCTCGTTACGGCCAACCCGAATCAACTTCTGAATGCTTCTGATACGACGCCTGGAAAGTTCGGAAAGCAAAATCATGCCATCGATATTGTCGTACTCGAGGAGCTTGACGTAAGCGCCCATGTCGGCGATCTAGCGGCAGTCAGCGCTGGTGCTACAACAGCGACTTCAGTGGATGCTCGGCAATCTTCCTACCTGTTTTACGTTCACCATCACGAAGGAGTCCACCTCCGGGTATTTCTCCTCGTAGAACCGGCAGTTTGAGAGCGACATGGTGTCGTCGGTGGGTGCCGTTCCCAGGCGGGGCAAGGTGGGATTCTGGGTTGTGTGGCCTCGCGGGGGGTAGATGCGCGGGGCGATGTGGTGCGTAGGACAGTGCAGCGGTCGGGGCCTAGTATAGGTGCTAGATTGTGCGTTCCCGGCTAGTTCAAGAGATGCGTCAAAGTCTGGTTCTCGGTTGGTTCCGGAAGCCTTTGGCCTTGATCGAATACGGACGGATGTCGAGGTGAGCTCAAAGAACAGTCATCGGGCCCGCAGTATTTTCAAAGCGCCCGCCGAAAATCAAGTGCCACAGCAGAGAGAGAGTGGGGCGTGGCTAGTGCGTTTTGGTGGGGTGATTTTTCAAGCGTGGACGTTGAGCTTGAGCCACAACCCCTGTCAGGCCCCTGCTTGCCCAAGACAGGGATGCCAGGCCACCTGCCAGAATTTCAGAGAAGCCGGAAGCACGACGTCAGCGCTTGGATCCCAAGCTCGTCGCCGGTTCTGTCGCAAGCAAGGGAGCTTTCGGCAGGCCAGGCGCCATTTTGACCAAATCTTTTAAAGGAAGAAGGATGAGACCTAGTGCTCCTGGCACCACTTGAAATACACCAAAAACAACAGCGCTAGATTGGGCTTTGTCTCGGTTCTCACACACTACAGTCTGTGGTCTGCGAGGCCTAAGATACTGCCGACAACACAAGAAGCAGAAGGAGGGACTGGGCTAAGCCGACATGTTTCGGCTATCATCGCGGTGCACAACCATTGCGATCTAGGTCCTCGCAGACGCACACCACTCCCGTTTCGATGATAGCGATTTATCTTTCTCCGAGATAATCATACCCGACGCGGTGATGGATGTAGTAGATGAGACTGCCCTCGCGGCGGTGACGGCGGCGGCAGCAGTTGGGGACCGCCGCCCGAACCCACTGTCGTCAGCTGTAGCTGCGGCAAGCGATGTCGCCAACGCCCATGGCTCCTCGTCGTGGCTCGGTTTCTTTGCGCGAGTCGTTCTCTGGATCCTCCAATTTGTGTCGATGGTGCTATACTATGTCATCAAGCTGGCCACCATCTCCATCCCGACCATGCTATACACCCTCTTCTCGACAAGCCTGACGGTTACCCTGAACGCCACAACTCTGTAAGTCACCAAGACCGGCCGTCTTGATACTGGATTTCTCTAACTATGCCCCAGGATGCTCATCGTTACTGCCATGATCGCCGCCATCAGCTGGGTGGTCCGGTACCGCTATCTCAACATGTACTCGCGGCTCCCCCCTGAGCCTCAACGCAAGGAGCCCGATGTTGATCTCTTCCCCGATACCCACGAAGAGAGTATCAAGCCTGGCCTTTCCAACTATTTTGACGAGTTCCTGAGCGCCATCAAGATTTTCGGCTACCTGGAGCGGCCCGTCTTCCACGAGCTGACCCGCAGCATGCAGACCCGGAAGCTCATTGCTGGCGAGACGTTCAATCTCGAGGAGGAGAAGGGCTTCTGCCTCGTTGTGGACGGCCTGGTCGAGATCTTTGTGAAGTCGTCCAGCTATAACCGCCGGTACGTACACAGCGAGAATTTCGCTCCTCCGAGCGAGCTCGCCTCGAGCGACGACGAGCACACTGCCCCTGGGCAACAGCGTTACCAGCTGCTGACTGAGGTCCGAAATGGCGCTCCAATGTCATCGCTGTTTTCCATCATGTCGCTGTTCACCGAAGACATCCCCCTACGACATGCCGACGATGATAGCTCGCCCGGAACGGCTGCCGACACCGCCATCTTCCCCAACTATCCTGCAAGCGCAGATTTTCAAAAGTCACGCATCGCCACGAATTCCCTTCCAGGCACGCCTCATCAACTCGAGCGCTCTGCAACAAATTCCGTCGAGAATCTGCCCGAGCACCTGGCAGCCCCAGGTGCTGACGGAGCCCTGCCCCGAGTTCCCCCTATTTCACTCGACGGGACTGGCTTAACCAAGCCCCAGAGACCCGGGCCCAAACGAGCCAACACCACCTCGGCGCACCCGGACATCATTGCGAGAGCGACGATCGACACGACCATAGCAATCATTCCGGCTAGCGCCTTTCGACGTCTGATCAAAATATATCCCAAGGCTACCGCCCACATAGTGCATGTCATCTTGTCAAGGTTCCAGAGAGTCACACTTGCAACCGCATACAATTACCTTGGGTTGAGCTGCGAGGTCTTGCAGATAGAGCGGCACATGTTCAAGTACACGACGCAGCAGCTCCCCAATCATCTTCGAGGGGATGCCCTCGAGAGGCTCAAGGAGAAGTTTAAGCGGGAGAGGGAGAGGATTGGGGAAGAGGATGTCAGCAAGGGGATAGCCCTCCATAATTCGCGTGCTGGCCGTCGCCGGCGCTCGACAGCAACGCTGCGTAAGGAGGCTGCTCTCCAGGCTTTCTCCAAGCAGCGCCATCTATCCATCAGTGTGAGCGGCTCGTCCTTGGGCATCCCAAGCGCAGGCGACCTGGTGACCCATCTTCAACAGTCTAGGGGTAGCGGCAACCGATCGCAGAGCGTCGCGTTTACGGATGGGCCCTCTCCTCATCTCGACGTGCAAAAAGAAGCCGTTTCTCCGCTGGCCCAGCGCACCTTCAACCCCTTCACGACTCAACGAAACGGCCATATCTCGCTTGACAAAAGAGACGCTCTCGACGAGGACAACTTGTTTCGGGAGTCGACTCTCGAGTGCATGTTCAAAGCCATCGGCTTGACCGGCAACGGCAGCTCGACCAGGGAGGGAGAATCGAACCAAGCCTCGCCGCGGCTCGTCTCATTCGACCAGCGACGCCAGAAAGCCGTCTTCACAAACCACGCCTTCGGGTTCATTGATGGGCTTGATCAAGCGTTTGCCGACGGGGATACGGAATCCGTGACCTCGACGGGCCTTTCTGTGCCGGCCTCACCAAACCCTCATGTGCTTGCGCAGGAGATGAGAGACGAAATGGAAATCGTCTTCTTCCCCAAGGGCTCCGTGTTGGTGGAACAGGGTGAGCGGAACCCCGGTCTGTACTATGTCATCGACGGCTTCCTGGACATCTGCACCCAGGAAGACACATCGTCTTCGGATGTCGTCCATGCTAAGGGCCGGACGTCGCTGCACGCCATGGACACCGCCCAGTCGCTTTGCTCGCCCCACGGTGTTGCGGCATCCATGCGCTCCGGAGACAATGTCGATGACGTTGACAACAGGCCCAAGACTACCCGACGAAGCGTGGCATTGGTCAAGCCCGGAGGACTTGCGGGCTATGTTGGGACAATCTCGTCGTACAGGTCCTTCATCGAGGTCGTCGCCAAGACAGACGTCTATGCCGGCTTTCTTCCGCTGACCTCGATCGAGAGGATCGTCGACCGGTACCCCATCGTGCTCCTGACTATGGCGAAGAGGCTCACAAACCTACTTCCGCGTCTGATCCTGCACATCGACTTTGCCCTGGAGTGGCTCCAGGTCAACGCCGGCCAGGTTATCTTCCACGAGGGAGACGAGAGCGAAGCCATTTACATTGTGTTGAACGGTCGCCTAAGGCTGGTCGAAGACCGCAAGGACGGCGGCATGAATGTCAAGGCCGAGTTTGGCCAAGGCGAGAGCATTGGCGAGTTGGAGGTGCTAACCGAGTCCTCCCGGTCGGGCACACTGCACGCCATCCGAGACACAGAGCTGGTCAAATTCCCTCGCACGCTGTTCAACAGCCTGGCGCAGGAGCACCCCAACATTACCATCAAGATCTCTAAAATCATTGCGTCCCGTATGAGGGCGCTGATCGATGATCCCTCGACCGTGCTGGGGCTCAAGGAGTCGTCGGGCCGGAGCTCGATCAACAAGAGCTCGACCACGCTGAACTTGCGGACGGTTGCCGTTTTGCCCGTGTCGGCGGGTGTGCCTGTCGTCGAGTTCGGCAATAGGCTGCTGAACGCGTTGACGGAGGTCGGAGCTCCCAATGGCGCGACGTCGCTGAATAGTGCGGCGGTTTTGAATCACCTTGGGAAGCACGCATTCAACAGAATGGGCAAGCTCAAGCTGTCGCAGTATCTGGCGGATCTGGAGGAGAAGTACGGGCTCGTTATCTACGTTGCCGGTGAGTTTTCTCCATTGGTTTAGTGTAAGACTTAAGAATGCTGACTCTGAGAAAGATACCAATGTCAATGCTCCATGGACGCAGACATGCATTTCCCAGGCCGACTGTGTCCTCCTGGTCGGCCTTGCTGATGGATCCCCTGAGATTGGAGAGTATGAACGGTTCATGCTTGGCATGAAGTCGACAGCCAGGAAGATCTTGGTGCTTTTGCATCAAGAACGGTATTCCAGCCCTGGACTGACGAGAAAGTGGCTCAAGAACAGAGTCTGGATCAATGGCGGCCACTTCCATGTGCAAATGACGTACAGCCCCAATGCCGTGCCAATACATCCACCTGCGAAACCAGGCGGCCCGACACTGAGAGAACGCGTCCAAATTCTGCAGGCAGAGATCCAGAAATACACTTCGAGGAAAGTTCGGCACAGTCCGTTCTACTCCCCAGACGTCCCTTTCAAGGGCGACTTCCACCGTCTGGCGCGGCGCCTCTGCGGCAAGTCAGTCGGACTCGTCCTAGGCGGCGGCGGCGCGAGGGGCATCGCCCACGTCGGCATCATCCGGGCCATGCAAGAAGCCGGCGTCCCAATCGATATTGTGGGCGGCACCTCAATTGGAGCCTTCATCGGCGCCTTGTACGCGCGGCACGCCGACTTCGTGCCCATCGTCAACGCAGCCAAGAAGTTCTCGGGCCGCATGTCCAGCATGTGGCGGTTCGCCCTCGACCTGACCTACCCGTCCGCGTCGTACACCACGGGCCACGAATTCAACCGCGGCATCTTCAAAGCCTTTGGCAATACCCAGATCGAAGATTTTTGGCTTGAGTACTACTGCAACACGACTAACATCTCCAAGTCGCGCGCCGAGTTCCACACCAGCGGCTACGCGTGGCGGTACGTGCGCGCCTCCATGTCCCTCGCGGGCCTGCTGCCGCCGCTCTGCGACGAGGGCAGCATGCTCCTGGACGGCGGCTACGTCGATAACCTGACGGTCTCGCACATGAAGTCGCTGGGGTCGGACCTCATCTTTGCCGTCGACGTCGGCGCTCTGGACGACGATACGCCGCAGGCGTTTGGCGACTCGCTCTCGGGCATGTGGGCGTTTGTGAACCGGTGGAACCCGTTCTCGTCGGTGCCGAACCCGCCGACGCTGGCCGAGATCCAGGCGCGGCTCGCGTACGTGAGCAGCGTCGATGCGCTGGAGCGGGCCAAGACGCTGCCGGGCTGTGTGTACATGCGCCCGCCGATCGATGATTACGGCACGCTCGAGTTTGGCAAGTTTATGGAGATTTATGCCGTGGGGTACAAGTATGGACAGGAGTTCTTGGGCAAGTTGAAGGAGAGAGGGGTGCTGCCTTTCGGGGAAGATATGGGTGGGAAGAAGGGGCTGAGAAGGACCATGGCCCCTAGGAGAGCGAGTATCTGAGGCTTGGCTGCGAAGTATAGCATGTTTGGCGTTTGCATTGGCGTGGTTAGATAGTGCATTGTTTCTTTTGACACGTGATGGACCGCATTCTTATGAGTCGTCCTTGACGATGACGGAGTTGCAGCTGTGTAGTGGCGGATAGAGGGCGGAAAGATCAGCGAGAGGTCACGGCAGGGGAGTACCAAGACTAGGCGAACAAAGAGAACCATCATACATTCAGAGCTGGGTATATGGGGTCTATCAAATCTATATGTACGCCCTTTTTAACACATTACCCCCTCATCACCTCCTCGGCGACCTCTACCAGCGTCTTGACGGCCGTCTGGATATGTTCCCCCTCGGTGGTCCTCACACCCGTCATGAGACGGATCGCGAACCGACCATCCAGCTCCGTGCTCGTCAACCAGATCTTCCCCGTAGCGTTGACCTTCTCGTAGAGATTTCTCGTTAGCGCGTTCCTCTCCTCCAACGACGCACTCTCCGACTTGGCCGCCAGACGGAAAACAGTCAGGGCAAAGCTTGGGCCAGTCACAATCTCAAAGAGATCAGACCTGACCCTCAAAGCCTCGGCAAATTCCTCGCCCATCTTTATGGTCCGTCGGATGTACTCTTGCAGCCCCTTGACGCCGTACGACCGCAGCACGAACCAGATCTTCAGGCTTCTGAACCGCCTTCCCAGTGGGATCTGCCACTCCCTGTAATCCGTGACCAGGCCCCCGTCCGATGCCTTGTTGCCGTACACGGCTTGGTTCACGCTCAGCGCCTGCACCAGCCACTCCCGGTCCCTGACAAAGAAGCAGCTGGCATCAAAGTTGACCAGCAGCCACTTGTGCATGTTCATATCGAAGCTATGGAACCGGCTGATCAGCTCGATGCGGGTCGACTCCTGTACCTCGGGACACACCAGCGCAGCGCCGGCATAGGCCGCGTCCACATGCACCCACACCTCCCCGGGCTGGCCGGCCGGGGCATGCTCGTCCAACGCCTCGGCAACTCCGGCGAAATCGTCCACGCTGCACACATCCGTCGTGCCCAGCGTTACAGCCAGGAAAAACGGCTCGAGCCCCTGCGCCCGGCACTCGTCCAGCGCGGCTGTCAACCCCACCTTGGTCAGCGCGTACCCGTCCTCTTCCCTGACCTTGATCGCCCGGAACCGACACCCCAGAATCAGCGCCGCTTTCTTCGCGCTCGAATGTGTCAGCGTCGTCGCCAGGGCCACCATCTTAGACCGCTTCACCATGACGGCATCCTCGCGAGCGTCCCCCTCCAAGTGAGCAGGGACTGTCTCGCGGAGGTACTTGTCCCTCGCGGCGACCATGGCCGTCAGGACGGCCTCGCTGGCCGAGCCCTGGATGACGCCGCCGCCCGCGGTCGGCCCCGTCGACAAAAAGCAAGGCGGCAGGCCGAGCATCTGGGCCAGCCAGTCGAGCACGACGGTCTCGAGCTCGGTCACGGCGGGGGAGCAGATCCAGTTGAAGCAGGCGCCTGAGAGGGCGGCCGAGTAGAGCTCGCCTAGGATGGAGGGATACGAGGTGGCGCAGGGGAAGAAGGCGTGGAAGCCCGGGTGGGACCAGTGCGTTATCCCGGGCATGATCTTGGCTTCGACGTCGCGCTGGATGGCGGGCCAGGCTTCGCCTTCCTGCGGGGCCGAGGAGGGCAGCAGCTTGCGCAGATAGCCTGGCTCGACGCGCGAGACCACGTCGCGGGCCGGGAGGGTCTCGAAGTAGGCGATTACTTGTGAGGGTCATGTCAGACATACTTGGCTGATATGAGGCAGTTCGGTATTACCGGGAGAGAGAACATACTATCATCGATGGTGGCGGTGGCCGCCTCCTTAAACTCGTGCGCATCCATCTTGGAGGCCTGGAGCTTGGTAACAGTTGGTTTACTACCTAGGGTACTCTATGAGAGGTTAAATGTTGGTCGGTGTTGAATAATGAATAGACGAAGGAAGGGCGGCTAGAAAGGAGTGGATGCGGAGGTGAGTTTGTTGGCTTAATGTAGGGGCACGCCAAGTCAACCGTAGCGGAAATGCGCCTTTTGGATGACTATATCCGGTCTGAGAATTCATACGGCACTGACATGCATCTCCTTGCTCACAGCTGTAGAAAACGCTCCAAAAATCAAAGATGTGGATTCGAAAAGGGGTCATAAAAAGGGGTCAATGATGTCTTAGGGTTATATAGCTAATCCCTAACCCTCTTCAGTGCCATTTCTCCCAACACGCCCGGTCTTAGAAGTTGGCACTTCATGGGCCTGAGGTTCGGTTTCAGCTCTTACTGAGCTGCCGGTGAAGTGCTCTTATTGAGTGCAATCAATCCGGTAGTTCGTCACCCGGACTATAGCCACTGACAAACCTGCAAATCTGTAGCTCCTGCACTGTCTGGACCCGTGTATGGTAGTTTACAGATTCGGCGACAACGGCAACGGCAAACCTTAACGCTGTACGATACCAACGAAATCCGGACTTACAGGTACAGATCGAGCCCACCCTGGTACTGTAACGCACAGAACAACGGCCCAGACCCTTGGTTGGCGGCCCTGCAAGGTGACATGGCTGCGTTCCAGTGACGTCGTCGAGGTTGCTTTCAATCGTTCCAAGCCAACACCAAGTCTGGCAAAACCGGGGAGCATCACCCACCACCCAGTGATCACTTAAAAGCGTTTTGCAAAACTGCATTGGACGACTTCGTGACATAGCATACTCTCGTATCGCTGACACAATTTCAAGGCCTTGCTGCAGTCATGACCGTCTCTCAGAGCTCGGACAGGTTTAGGGACAGGGACAAGCACTCCCAATCCAACTTTGAGTACGGCGCCCTTTCTTTTACCACTGGTCCAACACCGCAAAGCTAATACCGTGTCCGTCAGCGTCGACTATGTAATTGACTACACTATCCCCCCAAACGGTTCGCTTTCTCTCCCAACCTTTGCTCGTTCCGCCCCTTCCTGACACTCGTCTTCCCCAGAATCCGCCGAAGCAGAGGCCTCCTTCACCCAACTGATTGACGCTCTCTCTTCCGGGGGCTTCGCAACCGAGGTTCGCCCAGGCCGCACGTCCTCATCCCTCCTCATCTTCGTCAAGCTCGCCTCCCAATCCCTCCTGCAATCGCAAATCTACCGCGCCCGCGTCCAGGATTGGCTTTACGGCGTGCGGCCCGATGCGCCCCCGGCGCCGTCCCCGTCCGCTGGCGATGACAGCGACAATGGCGACAACATGGCGCGCTACTTTGCCGACGACGAACCCGTGACCGAGGCCGAGCGGCTGCGGCTCGCCTACATGCTCATAACGCTGCCGCGGAACGAGGGCGGCGCCGGGGTCACGCAGGGGACCGGCCAATGGCGGTTCGTGAAGCGCGTCTTCCCGCTGCATGATCGAGCGTTCAACAAGCAATGGATTGCGGACTGGAGCAAAAAGTATAACCTGGACGAGGGGGACATTGGGCGGATCCGGGACCGGTTCGGCGAGAGGGTCGCTTTCTACTTTGCCTTTCTGCAGTCGTACTTTGCCTTCCTGCTATTTCCGGCCGCGTTTGGCTTCGCCGCGTGGCTGCTGCTCGGGCCCTTCTCGTGGTTGTATGCAGTGGTGAATTGTTTGTGGGCCGTTGTGTTCTTTGAACACTGGAAGATGAAGGAGGTTGATTTGGCGGTTCAGTGGGGGGTCAGGGGCGTGAGCAAGATCCAGCATCCCAGGCCGCAGTTCAAGTTCGAGAGGGAGGGGGTGGATCCTGTGACGGGGGAGGTCGTCAAGGTCTATTCTCCTTATAAGAGGCTGGCAAAGCAGTTGCTGCAGGTGCCGTTTGCCGCCGCCTGCGTGGCGGCGCTGGGCAGCGTGATCGCGAGCTGCTTTGCCATTGAGATTTTCATCACCGAGGTGTACAACGGGCCGTTTAAGCAGTACCTGGTGAGTAAGGCTGAGTTTTGAGACTTGAGGGAGGCTACTGATCCGCACCAGACATTCCTGCCGACTATCCTTCTCACCGTCTTCAATCCTACCCTGACGACTCTGCTCACCCGTCTTGCGGAGAAGCTGACTGAGCTGGAAAACTACGACACTCATGACGGTGGGTGCGGTAATCTGGTTTGCGCAACTCAAGCTGATGGTCACACACAGCACACCAAGCGTCCTTTGTACGAAAGGTCTTCGTCATCAACTTCATCACCTCATATCTGGGTATATTTCTGACGGCCTTCGTCTACGTACCCTTCGGAAAGATCCTCGTCCCCTATCTCGACGTGTTTCAGCTTACCGCCCAGCGATTCACGGCCGAAGGAAAGCCTCTGCCGACCAAGAGCTGGCAGATCAACCCTGATAGACTCAGCAAGCAGGTCATGTACTTCACTGTGACAGCACAGATTATCAACTTCGCCACTGAGTTCATCGTGCCCCATGCAAAGCGCAAGGTGTTCAAGACAGTCGAGAAGGTGCAGTCCGAGCTCTCCGAGAAGAGCACAGAGCACCATCGCAAAGACCACCCTGAAGAAGCCGACTTCCTCGAGCGGGTCCGCGACGAGGCCGAACTGGACGAGTACGACGTCACCATCGACTACCGCGAGATGGTAGTCCAATTCGGTATTGCCCAACCCCTTTTCCTTTCTGCTGCTCCCTTTTAATTCCTCACTCACCGCTAACTAAATCTTGCTCCCGATTCCAGGCTACCTCTCCCTGTTCTCCGTCGTCTGGCCCCTGACAGCCTGCTCCTTCCTGGTCAACAACTGGGTCGAAGCTCGCTCCGACGCCATGAAGATCGCCACCAACTGCCAGCGGCCCATCCCCTGGCGCGCCGACTCCATCGGGCCCTGGCTCGACGCGCTGGGCTTTCTGTCGTGGCTGGGCAGCGTCACCAGCGCCGCGCTGGTGTTCTTGTACCACAGTACCAGCAACGGCGCGCCCGACGGCTCGCCGTGGGATATCAAGGGCTGGGCGCTGCTCTTGGCGATACTGTTCTCCGAGCATGTGTATTTGGTGGTGCAGTTGGTGGTCAGGGGCCTGGTTCGCAAGCTGGATTCGCCGGGCTTGCAGAAGGAGCGGAGGGAGCGGTTTGCCATGCGCAAGAGGCTGTTTGAGAGGATGGCGAAGAGGGATGTGAGTGCGGCTGTCGGCGGCCCGGGGGTCAGTGGGGGAGAGAAAATTACGAGAGAGGCGTTGGAGGACGAGGCGAGGAGATTGAGTGTTGCCGGGGAAGGGACTCCGGAGAAGATGTGAGTTTGTCTTTGCTTCCACTTTCCCCCGGACGCGGTTGCTTCGTTATTCCCTTTCTTGATTTCTTCTCAGCCCTGGTGAGGAGCAAATCCTTCTTTCCGTGAAGGATGGAGTGTAGGCCCGCGCTAACAACTCTACCGCCTAGGTTCTGGCTGCGGCAGAGAGGCGCGAGTGAAACAATTCAAGTCGGTAAGGCTCTTATTTCTGAGGTGAGAAGTCCTGAACGACGCCCTCTCTGAGGCTCAAATACTGATCACCTAAACAGATGACTGCCAACAAGACGAAGGCGAGCAAGGACTAGGAGCAGCCCATCTCTTCACCGTCTCGCAAGAGACTCGCAAGAGTCCAAAGATTAATGGGTGAGATACACGAGGAGCGAATTTGAAGCGATGGGCCGGTTGCAGGGAGGAAGTGTGCTGTAGGCTGATTCAAGCTGGGGTTGCTCTAGCTCGTCATAGGAAAGGAGTCGATGCATGACCATCGACGTTAATTTCAAAATATTTTTCGTCGCCGGATGCTACCTTTTATGTATGGACAGCGACAGTCGAACCTGGGTTTCAAGGAGGCAAACGTTGGGTATTCAGCCTACAGGGAGCGAGGGATCGTGTATTTGATCTTTTGATGGACTGGATGTTAGCTGCCGGGCCTCACGAACAAATCGTGCACTGATGCGCCGTAATGAGTCAGAAAATCGTCGGTGGAAAAGACACCGAGATAACCACGAGATATGACGAAAACGCGAGGGCGTCTCAAAATTCCAACCGTCAGGGACCGCGTACCGACCTGTAATTCCCACATCACGCGGCATGTCGTTCTGCATCGGCTGGCTCGGTAAAACGGTAGTGCGGTCTGCTCCACCATCCCCGCAAGTCGTGGTCCCGAATCGACCCCACATGGGACGACGGCAACGGGCGTTTTAGAGAATGGATTTGCTTCCTTGTTCCCGATCCCTTATGCATGTGCCATGAGAGTACAGGATATCTCCTTTTTAATCGGAAGCACTGCTACACAGTAGTCTTCTTTTTCCTTGCACCGTTTTGCTCGAAATACCACTTCATCCCAATCCCGTTCTTTTCCCAAAACCTTCCTATACGGACATACGGATTAGAGGGATTCAGTTTGTTACGCGCTCGGAGCCAGGAACGCCTTTACTGTTGCAGGCTCGTCTGATCCACACAACCGAGGCTCCTCACGCCACGTACATCGCATAATCTCGAACTGTAAACAGGACCAGAGCAGGCCGCTTAGTGTATACTAGGTGAACATGCCACCATTAACAGGAGTTGAGGTCGCCAAGCACAACAGGTCTGATGACTGCTGGGTCATTGTGCATGTATGGCGCCAACCCCTACATTTCTCCCCTTGCATATCGCTGATTTCTCATCCAGGGGAGAGCATACGACGTAACTGAGTTCTTACCTGGTATGCGCAACCACCCGTGCCCGGTTGATGATGGCAAACCCCAGACTAATACTCCGCAGAGCATCCTGGAGGGACGAAGATCATCCTCAAATATGCCGTGAGACTCGCTTCAGATCTGGGTCTACGTGCTGAATTGCTGACACCTCCCAGGGCAAAGATGCGACAGAAGAGTTCGACCCGATCCATCCCCCGGATACCCTCGAGAAATACTTGCCCAAGTCCAAACACCTAGGGCCGGTGGACATGTCGACAGTCGTCCAGGAGAAGGCTGAGGAGTCGCCGGAGGAAAAGGAGCGGATGAAGCGTATCCAGGAGATGCCCTTGCTCGAGCAATGCTACAACCTCCTCGACTTTGAGGCCGTCGCGCGACGGGTCATGAAGAAGACTGCATGGGGCTACTACTCCAGCGCAGCGGATGACGAAATCGTATGCGTCCCCCTTTCTACATCCATAACAGCCGCTGATAGCCCCCCAAGACACTGCGCGAAAACCACTCGGCCTTCCACCGCATCTGGTTCCGTCCGCGCATTCTCGTTGACGTCGAGAAAGTCGACTTCTCCACCACCATGCTCGGCACCCCCTGCTCCATCCCCTTCTACGTGACGGCCACCGCTCTCGGCAAGCTCGGCCACGTCGAAGGCGAAGTGGTCCTCACACGGTCTGCGCACAAGCACAACGTGATCCAGATGATCCCCACACTCGCGTCGTGCGCCTTTGATGAGATCGTCGATGCCGCGGGTCCTGGCCAGGTGCAATGGCTGCAGCTGTACGTCAACAAGGACCGCGCCATCACGAAGCGCATCGTACAGCACGCAGAGAAGCGCGGGTGCAAGGGCCTGTTCATCACCGTCGATGCGCCGCAGCTCGGCCGCCGCGAGAAGGACATGCGCACAAAATTCACCGAGCAGGGCAGCAACGTGCAGAGCGGCCAGGCGACCGACACGTCGCAGGGCGCCGCCCGCGCCATCAGCAGCTTCATCGACCCGTCGCTCAGCTGGGCCGATATTCCCTGGTTCAAGTCCATCACCAAGATGCCCATTGTGCTCAAGGGCGTGCAGCGCGTCGAGGACGTTGTGAAAGCCGTCGAGGCCGGGGTGCAGGGCGTTGTGCTATCCAACCACGGCGGCCGCCAGCTCGAGTTTGCCCGCTCCGCGATCGAGGTTCTCGCCGAGACGATGCCGGTGCTGCGCGAGCTGGGGCTCGAGGACAAGATTGAAATTTACATCGACGGCGGCATCCGCCGCGCCACGGATATTCTCAAGGCGCTGTGCCTCGGCGCGAGAGCGGTGGGGATTGGACGGCCGTTCTTGTATGCCATGTCCGCGTACGGCCAGGACGGTGTCGACCGCGCCATGCAGCTGCTCAAGGACGAGATGGAGATGGGCATGCGGCTGATTGGCGCGAGGACCGTCTCAGAGCTGAATGCCAGTATGGTGGATGCGAGGAGCCTGTTCAACCATGGTTCGCCCCCGGCCGATAGTCTGACACATGCGGTCTATGATCCGCTAGTCAGTCCGGCGCAGAGGCTGGCGGTTACGGGGGAGAGGCCGGAGAAGGCCAAGCTATGAGGGGGGATGATGGTTGGATAGCGAGTTGGTTCTGGATTCGGCACGCATTCGATTTAATCGGACATATATAGATGAGCAGGAAGAACCCAATTGCAACCTCTTGCATCCTGCCCGCAACCTAGCCAAAACAGACAAAACTAGCACCATTAGAACGAAGTAGACTAGCTCTATTAATCGCTTAGTAATATCATTAGTCGAGGGCTTTATAGTGCCTTTTTAGGCATTACAGTCCTCGTTCCCTTGCACCATTAGTGCAGTCAGCATCCTAGAGTAAGGGCAAGCCGCCCGAGTATAGGGTAGGTTGAATGGGAGTGGCTTTTCGGCATTATAGCTATTAAAATGGCTTGGTCGAGGCTGGAGTCTGGTCCGTGCGGGTCACGTGCGTGTGTGAGGAATTTCAGTGCTGTGAGCGCTGCTTGCACCCTCTTCTTGGGTGCCCTGCGCGGCTACGCAGAGGCTACGGCGCAGGTAAAACTGGTATCACCAGATAGAGTTTCCTGAGCTCTTTCCAAGGGCACCGATTTCGTCTGTTTTGGCTAAGTTGCGGGCAAGATGCAAGAGTTTCTTTTTCCAGCCTCTAGAGCAGTATATATCGACTAACTGGCTTTACAGCTGCTGCTTTGCGTGTTCTGAAAGTCAGTGTGAGGGTCCAGGAACCTCTTGTAATTTAGAGTTGTGTGCAATGTCTCGTAAGATTGCTTCCACCACTCGAATTGTGCTCTCTCTGATCTATACGGCCAGCTCGACTTTGGTTTTCATGTTAACTCTTTAAGACTACTTATGTAGTATCCATAAGGAAGGAAGGGCGATGAAGGGGTACTAAGTTAATGTAAGACCGGACCGTCAGGGTCTATTACGTCATCTAGACCCCCAAAACCCTTAACGCAGGCCAGGAGCGCCGAATCACGCGTCGAAACAGGCTTGTTTCCAGGCTAGCCATACCTGAGATGTGGCGCTCCACCAGCTGAAACACAAATATTATTTGCCGGCGTGCAACGTCTCGACCCTGCAGTGTATTGTATTGAGACCGAGTGCAGCTTGCAACAAGGCTCTCCAGCACACACGCTCAGCGCACGCAGGGCGAGAAAAGTCGAAAGTTCGCATGCATCTTTACGTGTGTGCGCGTCGCATCGCGTGTGTGCTGTCATCGCCGAGAACCGAGCACCTGAAATAATACGAAATCTGGCTGCGACACGATGTCATCGTCGCTGGAGGCCAAAATCGTTGTGCTCGGCGCTCAGGGCGTCGGCAAGACATCCCTGGTGATGCGCTACTGCAAGGGCGCCTTTGTGCCGTCGCAAATCACATCAACCGTCGGCGCGAGCTTCTTGACCAAACGCGTCATCGACACCGACACAGACACAATTGTGCGGCTGCAAATATGGGATACCGGTATGTAAACAATCTCTCTCCTTTCCTCCCCTCTCCTACATGATAAAACACCCGAATTCAACTAACCAACTCCCGTATACAACAAAACTCAGCCGGTCAGGAACGCTTCCGCTCCATCTCGCGCCTCTACTACCGCGGGGCAAACGCCTGTATCCTCTGCTACTCCATCACCGACGCCGCCTCGTTCGCCGAGATGGGTATCTGGCTGACCGAGCTGCGCCGCAACCTGCCGCCCGACATTGTATTGCACGTGGTGGGCACCAAGGCCGACATCGTCGCGCGCGACCCCTCCCGCCGCGAAGTGCCCTTCGAGCGCTGCATCGCCTACGTGGCCGAGAACCTCAACCCGGGCATGGGCTCCACCCCGCCCCCGACAGCCGGCGCTGGGTTCGATAATAATAACAGCAGCAGTCAGGGTCAGGGGAACGGTCACGGCCAGGGCCAACAATCGACATCTCAGGGCTCGACGCCGCAGACCTGGCTGCTACACGGCAGCGGCGGCGGCATGGAACCGCGCAGCCCTTCCAGCAAGCGGTCGTCCGGGTTCTGGGGCCAAGAGGTCGGGTGGGACGCGTGCCACGAAATCTCGGCCGAGTCGGGCGAGGGCGTGGAAGAGGTGTTTCGGGTCGTGACGCGCAAGCTGGTGGAGCAGAACCGCAAGATGCAGGCGGCGCTGCTGGCGGCCGCGGGCTCGTCGGGGGGCGGGTTGGACACGCCGGGTACGGGCGGCGGCAGTGGCGGCGACGGCTCGGGGGGTTACTTTGACGGAGCCAACGCGCGGGGCAGTTTCCGCGTCGGGAGGGACAGGCGCAGCTGGTTGTTCTCGCCCGGGTTCTCGCCGGTCATCGGCGGCGGCACGGTGGCGGAGGAGGATGAGTTCGCGCAGGACGGGGACGGGAGGGCGAGGAAGAGAGGATGCTGCTAGGTTTCGTGAGTATCCCCGCTGCGGTGGTCACCGTGGGGAGTTGGATCTGGCTTAATCTGGATTGGGTGGGCTGGGATTGGGTGAACTGGAGTGTGTGGAGGGGTGTTTGGATGGCTATGAGATTGGGGTTAAGGATTTGGCGCATCGTGATACCATATGGACAACCGGCTTGGTCGGTAAATGTGGACGAAAGGCGTTGGTTTGGGTTTTCTCATGGGCTGGACACTGCATTATTGGGCCGGGATTTGGCGTTCTTGAGTTGGGATTCTGTCTAGCGTTGGCATCTGCTGGGGGCATGGCTGGCGTATCTGCTTTTCAAGGACGCACTCTCTCAGATTCCCCTCTTCAGGGACAGTGGTTAGCGATCATGATTTGCAGCGACGTTAGGTACTGTCTGGCACAGACTCACTCATAGCGAATGGCAATATACTTGCGCTTTGTATGCCTGGGCCCATCGGTGGGATAGGCCATCAACGGCTGCTACCCAACGTGGTGTCACAAGGGCATTGATCTGGGGTCTCCATATTATGTTTTAAGTTCACAGAGGTATGCTAGCTACATTATTGTTGTTGCAAGATCAAGACACCACGTCTGCCTTTGCCCTCCCAAAGAACCTCCTCAACCCGCCCCCTTTGCTCCCTGGCGTTTTCGGCCTTCCGTTGACAGCAGCATCGAACGACATCTTTGGCCTCAGCGGTGGTGTATTCCTGTTGTTGTTGTTGGCGGTCGGAGAACGGTGGAAGTGGTAGCAGTCCTTTTCTGGCACCATAGGAGGTCTGCTCTCAACGTCCGTTACATTCAAACTAGGGTTCTGGGGTCGCTGCCGGTCTTTCTCCTCTTCCCTCTTTCGGTTTCGTTCCCATTCTCTCTTGAAGTCGCGCTGACGTTCCTCTTCTCGTGCTCTCGCCTTCCTCCGCTGCCAGTCTTGCACTTGTTGACCTTTCGGTTCCTGCTGCTTCAATGCTAATCCCTGTCGCTGTTGTGCCCGCTCCCATTCTTCCCTTATCTCATGTTCCTTCCTCCACCCTAAAGTTTGCTGTTGATCTTGAATCCGTTGTTGCTGATTGCTCATTTCCAAAGCAAGCTTCTGCCCCTGTGCCTGTTCCATTTGCCGATCGCCTCCTTCAAAAATGAGCTGCTGGTGTATGTATTGTGCGTGGTGTTGCCTCTGCTCCCTCGTTGGCAAGGGGCGTACCGGTTGTGGTCGATACCGATATTGATAGTATTCCTGCTGTTGGTGTTTAGGCTGCCGCCGATATTGAAAACCCTGCTCCGACTGGGAGATGCTCTCCGGCTCGGACGGCTCATTCGGCCAGTCGCGAACCTCATCGCCGTTTACGACGACATACCAGCGTATCTCCTCGCTGCGCTGCAGCTGATCACGGAGCTGCTCGAACCACCCTTGTCCTTCGGCCGGTGGATTGCGGGTCGGGATCGATATGGCCGGGTAGGCACTCTGATGTTGCAGCTGCTCGTAACGCGATATCTCGTCGACAATGGAACAAGACAGGTCGATACGCACGGCGTAGTCGGCCACGTAGGCGTAAGGCCGCGAGACGGCTGTCAGGTCGTGAGGGTCGTACTCCTCGAGCAGTTTGATGGCGGACCATGACTGGGCGCTGAAGTCGTCTTCAGGAGAGGATGTGTGGCTGCTGCTGCTGCTGCTGCTGGAGCCGTCAGTGACTGGTGGCGGTACCGGGATGGGAGGCAGCGGTTGGTGTTGGCTTGCGCGGCTCTGGCTGCGGCTCTGCCGGGTGTTTTGGCTTTGCGAGCGGCCACGGCCACGACTCCGGCTGCGGTTTTCGGCGGTGGTCCTATTCTCGCCGTCGAGCTCCCGCGTGGGTGCATAACAGCCCTGTTTCGGACTGCAGTACGGGAGGAAGTCGAATATCTCATAAAAGGACTTGAGTATGCATCGCGAACTCGTCGCAGGAATAATCCACTCGGGCGAGGCGTCATCGAGGTTTTGCAGGATGATGTAAACCCGGACACTGCGCCGCTGCCAGCGGAAGCCGTGACAGAGGTAGGTGGGCATCGTATCTGTAAGTGTTGGAGTATTTGTGTCGGGCCCGAGTCTCCATAGGTGACAAATTGAATCCCGGTGATGATGCTCGCGATGGCCCGGGAAAGCAAAGCAAACACGCCGGGGCGCCCAGCGTGCATGGCCCTTGATCCAGGTCTACGGAGTCTGTGCCTAGCTTATATCGCAGTCACTAACTCTTATGCCGTGGGCGGCGTTCAGGTTCAGCAACCATTACCGCTCACATCTGTACACAGACGTCAAAACGCGGAGTGTCGCAGCGGTCAAGCAGGGGGAGGGGCTGCATGTGGCACCGCGGGCGAGCCAAAGCCGGCAAGCCCTTGGGTGCATGCTGACTGAGCGACTGCCTGCACGTAACAGGATAGTGAAAGAGGTCCCATGTCTGTGCTGCAGAAACCAAACCGAATCCATTCTCCTCCCCTGCATATGTTGTAGACTCCAGATGCGAGACCGCGGGTGGTGGGATCTACTGTGTACGGGTGTGACGTGTTGGGGGCGCCTCTGAAAGTTCTGGGAAACAGAATGGGAGGAAGGATGGAAGGGGATGCGACGCAGCAGCTAAGAAACGAGTTGCTTGGCAGCGTCGTCCTGGTCGACAGCATCGGATGGGCCTCCTGCCCGTCGCATCATGCCCTTGTCCCCAGACATTGGTTTCCAGGGCGAAGGTGTTCTCCAGGTCCTCCTTGGGTGGATTGTACAGTAGACAACTGGTCCATCCTGCGTCGTGCGATGCAGCAGGCTCCATGTCAAGCACGTGGTGAGGGTCTTGCACATTCAGCGACCTCGGAACCAATTGCGTTTGTGGCTGCATCTTCTCACACAACACAGTCAACGGAAGATGAGAATGGAGGGCGCGGGACACAGATTTGGGTGCCTCGTCGAAACTCGAACTCGGGATTCGAGAACATTAGTGTTGGAAAGCCAACAGCCACGAATGTGCCGCACCGTAGTGATTGGGTATCAAAAAGATGGGCAACCACTCAATTGATGATTGATGTTCCTGTCTGTGTTCTTTCAGAAGTTCCCTGCCTTTTCCTGATCCTGAGAATCCTGGTTCCAAGCCATTGGTCACCCCTGAACTGCCCTCTCTGACCACCTGCCAAATCCAACAATTAGCCTCTTGGCCCTATAATTCAACCCTAGCTTGTTTGTTAGCGGAGAACTTGAATGCTAAGGTAGGTATTATGGAGTATACTTTTCGTTCTTCACTTTGATTATTAATATTATTCCTATTCCGCTATGCCCTAGGGCTCGCCACACCCTCTACCACAAATTACAAAGGGAAACTATGCCTATAAGGCTGGACTGAAATCCTCTGTCTACTCTATACTAGTCTGAAGTCCTTGTCACGGGATTCCCCGTTCCTGTTCTCAAGGTTATGTCATATGCTTGCGGTTATGCATACGTCATGGGGTCTGATCATACGTCTATGGTCATGCTTACGCATAGGCCTCTGCTCCAGTACTTAAGGTCTGGTGGCACGCCCATTCCTGTCATCTAGCTCTTGCTCTCGTTGTAGCAATATCGATCTTGTATGTGCGAGCTTACCAGACCTTGGGTGGTGCCCGTCACAAGCTGGTGAGCAGCTGGTTATACGGCAGGGCCTAGTTCCGGAGCCTTATATCATTATAGTCAGTTAGTAGTCTCCTAAGCCCACCTAGCCGTCCAGGCTTTATTGAGAACCTCTATAGGTACTAAAAGATAAGCAACTACTCAATTGATAATCATGCTTTTATCTGTCACGGCACTGGACCGCCGATCCCTAGGTCACGTGGCACATTGCACTTAGCTTCAGGTTCATCCATCCATAGCTTCCTTTCCTCTTCATAGAGCAACGCAGTTATCTTCCCAAACCTACTATGGTTCCGTGACATTATCTGCGTTGTTCTAAGCAGTTGCAGCGCCCCCCCTTAACCTTGAGAATTTTGGTGCCAAGCCATTAGTCACTCCTGAACTGCCCTCCCTGACCACCTGTCAAATCCAAACAATAGGGTCCGAATATTATTCAGATTCCAAAACAAGCTTTCCAGGGAAAGCTTCGGTCCCCAAACAGCTCGAACAACACCGACATCTGCAGGAAGTCGTCTGAACTGCTACCACAGGAGCCGGGCCGATGAAGGAGAACGCGATTGACGGGGCCGCATCTTCAGCGCTTAATGCGTTGAGTTTTGGGAAAGGGATAGTGGTCGGATTGGGTAGTGGGATGGATGAGTGGTGAAAAAGGTGAGATTTGTTACCTCACCTTCGGTGTTGGATGTAACGTTATTGGAGTCACTTGGGTTCCATGTACTTGTACAGCTGGGCATTGAATTCATGAAGTGCAGTCAAAGTGACTCGGTCCAATTCGCCTCATGGCTCGTTGGAGGTTGTTGCATTCTTAATGCCATGTAAAGTAGTGCTCAATCCATGACGCTTGAAGATTCTGTTGCGATGAAATTACCTGAGTCAAGAAAGAAAGATCCCAACCAACGGTGCTCAGAGTCAGACCTTGGCGCGCCGACTATCGCAACCCTCCAACGACGTTATCCTTCCTTCAGCACGTCGACTTCAGGCGAGCCCGGTTGATCATGGAAAGGCCTCAATTGCTCCACGAAAGCCTGAGTGTACTATCTGCATGTTAGCTCCTCACAGGAGGACATTGTCAGGTCCTTCGATGCCTCGAACTCGACCGCAATCGGCTTGACAGCGAGGGGTTTGAACTCCGGCCGACGGCCTTGTCTCCGCTCGGCTCCGGAAAGCCCCCCACCGGTCCGGAGTACTTCCGAGCCCCGCGACTTTTCCAGGAACGGCAGGCCGTTAACCGCCCCCCACGAGCAACGGCCATCAGACGGTGTAACTCGAAGGCCGAGACGGCTGACGACATCTGTCAAGTTCAGCCGACAAGCGCTCTCAAGCACACCGTTTCGCATTCAGCTCGTGAACCAGACGTTTGATCATGCTGGCCTCGAGGGTAACCGTTGTGAGTACGAGAGCGGCGTCATTGAACGGCCCTATGCGGTCCGAAATCGGCGGAAGTGCGGTTGCTGACGGGAAGTTCTGAACTAAATACTCGGCCTGAGTCGGCTCTTGGGTGTTCGCAAAGGGGAGCTCGCATGTAGAGGCGTTTGGGGCCGACATCAAGCCTCACTGTTTTCGGCCCGTCGGATGTGGCCTCATATTTGAATCATCGGATCAGAAGAAAAACGAGAAGCCCCGCCTCAGGCCTGCCTGGCACGTGGGGAAAATGCGGCAGCAAGCCTCTCTTTATCTTCCAAGGACCACGGCTGGTTGAAAGCACTGCGCTTGTTTTGTCTTACGCAATCCCAATGCCCAGGACGCGATAGCCGCACTGCTTCCATCCCGAGTCTATCAGCGGTTTTGGTTCACGAAATGCCCAGACCGTGATGGCGGGGTTTTCGAGTAACAGTGGGGCCAGGCTGGCGGTGACAAGGGTCTAAGCATGCAAGCCCGCTGCAAGCCTGCTGCAAATGGCTGCCGCATGTCTGGGGTCTGCCAGACTCTGCCTGACGCACTGCATGTCAATCGAAAGGCGCGAGCCCACCTTTTCCCCATGCAACCCTGCCGCACCCGACTTCGTCTCGTCAAACCCATGGCCCTGCTTGGAGGAACGAGGAAGCATGCTGAAGCAGGTGGAACTGGTGTCCGATATGCCTGCGGAAACAACACCTATTGCGGACGATTGAAGGAAGAGACTGAAATAAAAACTGTTCCCGCCTATTTGGCCGGTTCTGGCTTACATTTGTTCTTGACATTTCCGCCCTTTCTCGACGTTCTCCCTCTTGCCCGTGGTTCGGTCCCTGTAGAGGAGTCACAGGACACGAATTCAACGAACTCCCAAGTTGGGCATGCTGTCCGCTTTTCGAATCCCGTCAGTGGCAACGGATCGCTCTGAGAGCTGTGGATTGAGTGCTCCTTGTCTTATTAGTAAACGCTCTGCACCTCCTCTGCGCGCCCTTTGGTCTGACATGTCGGCAGTACACGGTACATACCCAGTGACACCGACGCCCTTGACGTCCGGAGTCTCGGCAACATGGACGAGTTTGTCAACTGGGATCAAGCCGCCGACTCGGGCCCAGCGCCAGATCCCAGCCTCGATGTGCTGTCGTCGTCTCTGCTGCCCACTGACCGGGCGCTTGAGGACCTCGACTTGGCGCTTGCCGACGTGAACGGCGACGACTTCTCGTTCTGGGCCCTGCAGCACTTTGAGAACAACATCTCTCCCACTCTAGCCGCTGGCGATGAGATTCCAATGCCCACCGACAGGTCCACGCGGACCTTCGAAGACCACCTGGAAATCGCCCTGACCCCCTGCCATAACTGCCAACTGGGCAGCTATGAATGCAAGCGCATCCCCGAGGGTCAGTACAAGGGCTACTGCACCAGCTGCGTCGCCCTGCGCTGTGAATGCAGCTTTGGCCTTGCCTCCGCCTTCCCGGCGAACCCCTGGCCCGTCATGGGAGACCACCCGAGGATGCTCCAGGAAGACATCCACTGCGGCGAGTCCCAACCGTCCAGCTCGGCCACTGACCTCCCCGGCTTGGTGCTTACGTCTGGCGCCGAAAACACGGCTGCAAACGCGGGCTCAAAGGGCAAGGCTGGTGCCCGTTTCTCCAGAGAGTCTGTCAAGATCCTCAAGAACTGGCTGTCGACGCATAGCAAACACCCCTATCCCAACGATGAGGAAAAGGAGATGCTCCAGAAGCAGACCGGCCTCAGCAAGACGCAGATCACAAACTGGCTCGCCAACACTCGGCGCAGGAACAAGAATGCCGTCGTCCATCGATCGACATCGCCAGGAGTGCGCAAGTGGTCAAGCCCTATCGACATCCCACAGAGACGCGGGACTCCCGCATCTTTCGAATTCATGAATCCGCTGCAGCGTTGGCAGCACTCGCCGCCGGAAAACGAACCCGCGTCCGTGACGGCCATTGCCCGCGCCGTCAGTTCCGCCGCCAGCCTCTCCTCGGGCCTCAACAGCCCCTTCAGTGCCAACTTCACCGACGATGGCTCCGGCCGATCGCTCTGCGACTCTAACATCAGCAGCGCCAATACGTCGCACTCGAGTTCGGCCTACTCATTTGGCTCACGCGGTTCCTTTGGCTCTAGCGGATCCATGCCCCGCGGACGTAGGCGCAGGAGGAGAAAGGCTCCCACCGCCGCGGTTACCACCACTCCCACCGGCCCAGCCAAGACCTACCAGTGTACCTTCTGTACCGAAACCTTCCGGACCAAGCACGACTGGCAGCGGCACGAGAAGTCGCTGCACCTGTCGCTTGAGCGCTGGGTGTGCTCGCCCAACGGGGCCCAGGCCTTCAACCCGGAGAACGGTCAGATGTCGTGCGTCTTCTGCGGGCATGCGAACCCGGACGAGGCACACATTGACAGCCACAACTACGCCGCCTGTCAGGAGCGGACCGTCGGGGAGCGCACTTTTTACCGCAAGGACCATCTGCGCCAGCATCTCAAGCTGGTCCACGGCGCCAAGTTTGAGAGTTGGTCGATGGAGCAGTGGAAGGCGACGACCCCCGAGATCCGCTCCCGCTGCGGGTTTTGCGGCACCATCATGGATACCTGGTCTATCCGTGTAGACCACCTCGCCGAGCATTTCAAGAAGGGCAAGTCCATGGCTGACTGGAGGGGTGACTGGGGTTTCGATGCCCCCGTGATGGACATGGTCGAGAATTCGATCCCGCCGTGTAAGTTTCCTTCCCGTTACCTTGGAGGTGGCAATGGCTAACTGTCGTTGGAAGACCTTATTCACGACGAAAGAAACTCGCCAAATCCCTATGAGGCGTCGCGACGGTCGGTAACGTCGGCCCGGCATGCTTTTGAGCTCATCAATACAGAGTTGAACTTTTACATTGAAGACTGGCGAGAGAAGGAGGGCAGGCCGCCCACGGACGAGGATCTCCAACGTGCCGCATGCCGCTTGGTGTATGACTCGGAGGAGGTCTCGTCGGCCTCTGAGCTCTGCAAGGCGTCATGGCTGCGGGATTTGATCTTTTCCTCCGAACGCCTGGCGCAAGAGGCCAGATGGACCAAAATCAAGGGCATTGAATGTTGGCAGCAGCTCACGATTAACGGAAAGGCCACCATTTTTGAGCTCGATCCCATGGAGTGCGAACTCCAACAGTTCGTCAAGGCGCGTCTCTTGCTGGGCTTGACCGCCATGGACAGCGAGCTGCAGGACGAGGCACGCAACATCATCCGGCGTATGCATGATAATTCCAGGCTTGCGTCGGACGAGGTGACACAGTTCCTTCTCCGTCTCGTCAGCAGCTCAACCGAGTGGCTGGCCGGCTTTCGGCAGCGGGCTCACCTGCCACGTTCCGAGGACATCGCGGACGAGCGGATGCGGCCCAAGGACCCCAAATCCATTGACTCGACCGTGTTCAACCCTAGCAGGCTGGAATACGAGCTGGCCGAGTACGTGCGTGAGCAAAGGGCCCTCGGCGTCGAGCCCACCGATGCCGATTTACAGATGAAAGCCCGCCTGATCATTTACGAACTTCACGACGGCTGGAACCAGACGGCTGCGGACGATCCCACCTGGCTGGCGGCCTTCAAGCGACGGCATATGCAGTTGCCAACCACCGATTCATGGCGCGGCTCCATATCGACCTCCAACACGAGTCCCGCCAGCGGTGCCACGTCCTCTAGCAGCGGCGCCAGCGGGATCGCATGTGCCGCGGCCCGGCTTGGAGGCGGCGGCTACTACCTCAACGACTCCAACTGCTACCAGCGCCTGGCCCGCGAGCTCAAGAAATGGGTCGCGTCGACCATGTCGCCCAACAACCCCAACTGCCACGTCCCAAGCGACGAAGAGCTGCAGCACCAAGCCCGCTGGATTGTCTACGAAGAGTGCGCTCCCCCGCCTTCTCCCCGTTCGCTTTCCCCCTAAACCTAAACGCACTAACCTTCTATTTTCCCAGTGACGACCCCTGGAACCAAACGGCAGCAGACAACTTCGAGTGGCTGCGCCGCTTCAAGCGCGACGTAGGCCTGCTCACGGACCCGTCCCTGCCGGGTCTGCCAACCACGCTCGCGTGGAACATAGCCCAGGGCGGAACGGGCTTCTCGCCCCCCTACCTCTTCCCCAACCCCTCCAAGGCGGCACACATTGCGCCCTTCCAGACCCAGCCCAGCCACGACAGCAGCGGCGGCGACGCCGCCCCGCCGCTAGTAGCCGTCACGCTGGTCGAGGGCTCCAAGCCGCTGGCCGCTCAGCCGGCGACGGCGAATCGGTTCGTGCAGGGCTTGGCCGATGTCAAGAGGCATGACCCGCCCGGCGCGGTGTTTTGTTCAAGGGAGTTGGAGAAGGAGCTGGGCGAGTTTGTGAGCAGGGAGGTGGCGGTGAACGGGGCTGCGGAGTTCCCCAGTGAGAAAGCCATTCGGGAGCGGGCGAAGAGATTTCTAGGCGTTGAAAAGACGCCGGCGGATGATGGCGTCTTGCTGGGGAGGTTTGTCGAGATCATGAAGGGCAGGCTGGGGTTGGCGGGTGGTGCTGGGGATGGGAGGGAGGTGCAGCAGCAGCAGCAGATGGGTTCGGTAGCTGGTGGGTTGGGTCCTGCCACTACCGCTGCTACTACCACGGCGGTGGCCATGGGGGATATGGACTTCTCCGCGGTCGAGATGAACGCGGAGCTCAACGATGTCCTGCAGCAGATGGATTTTGATTTCGGGGATTTAGGGGATCTGGATTTCATGGGAATCGCGACGGGCGGTATGCCGATGGACCAGCTTTAATATGCTCGGCGGAGACGGCGACATGATGGTGGGCTAGCGTAAGTGAGCAGCGATGGCACCAGCGAGCTGCTTTCTGAGGTGGGTTCTGGTTTGGGGACACACTGTATACCCCGTATTTGCGCGAAAACGATGGGGAGCATAGTAGGACATTTCGGCCATGTATGAATGATACCTCAACTTTGGTTAGCTGGAAGCCTGGTTCAATGAGCAGGCAGAGTACATAATAACAGCAGGATAGCGGAATAACAATCCACTCTAGATATGTCACTCCCGGCAGACTCATTTGCTTGCGCAGCCTCCCATTGGGCGGCCTTTCTTGCGATGTAGAGATCAGTAGTCGACCTTGCAACGGCTGGGTCAAAAAGTACAACGCCAATTGTTCCTTTGCCAGTATCTCCCTAGTTTAATAGCAAAATGTCGTATCTTGTCCTAAAACTTGAAAGTGTACATACGCTACGAATTCTAGCTAGCTTTCGTTCGTTCTCGTTGGTCTTCGTTCTCTGTCCGTTTATGTACTAATTTTTGCATTTTCAAAATGTAGCCCGATTAGCTCAGCTGGTTAGAGCGTGGTACTAATACTGGTAACCTCCTGTATATGGTATGCCAAGGTCAACAGTTCAATCCTGTTATTGGGCAGTTCTTTTGCCTCTTGCATTTATGTTGATTTTGCTCCTCTGGTTTGAGTATAATTACCTATATACGCACAGATCACCCTGTAGTTGCAGACTACCTTGCACTTGCATAGGCTAACTAAGCAATGCAGAGAGCTCTGGCACGATAACTCGAAATCTCATAAGTTCGCTCACTATAACTCGTTGATTTTTCTGTCCCTTAAACTCGTATAAATAAGAGTAGTTATATGCAAGGAAAGTAAGAATATCTATGCGGAGTATTACTGAGAGGAGCTATAATATCTCAAAGTTCTATGTTTTTAAATTGCTCTTAGAGAAAGACTTAATGAATAGTAAGTAAAGTCAATGATATTTGCAGCAAGATATAAATTATAATAACTTATATAACAGAGTAATAATTATATAAGAAGAGGTAAAATTATCAGCGATTTCGTAGTTAGTTACTAGAGGAGCTCGGCTATATATTATTATTATAATTTCTACACTGCTATGCCCTAGGGCTCGCCAGACTCTCTACTACTAATCACAAAGGAAAATCATGCCTGCAAGGCTGGACTAAAAACCTCCGTCTCCCCTATACCAGTCTGAAGTCCTGAATCCTCCCACTACAGCGTAAAGAAAGGTGCAGATAGCTAACTAGGCTAGCGAACTAGCCTAGTTCTAGCTGTACAGCTAGCCTATATTCCAGGAGCCTCCTAGAGCATAGTAGCTACTTAATCATCTTCCTTGCAAGCCTTCCCTCTTTGTTTCCCCACTCGTCGAGTGCCCTATATAGGTCTCTCTGTGAGCGTATCTGTGACGGGGCACAGGGACTGAACTTGCGTATCCTCTAGTATTGGTGTGGTTGCACGAGGAACCAAACTGTGGGCAGGGTGCAGCCCTCAGGTAAACCCTGCAGAAGGGCTGCGCACTGACCACTGGCAAGCCCCACCACTGGGCTTGCCAGCTCCTCATCGAAGCTACAGGACTGCGACCCTAACCCTGGCACGGGCAATGCCCGTGACAGTATCTCTATAGCCGGCTAGGTCCTTAGGTTCGGTAGTTGGCGGCACCACACAGCTAAGTGTTCTACTGTCTCCCTGCCCTAGCCGCATTCGTAGTAGGGGGTAGGTATCGAGAGACCTTGGCTCGGAAGAGGAAGTCCTTGAGGCCTGTGAGAGACAAGTGGCATCAAGGCGAGGCACTGGGCGCTGCAAATACCGACTCAATTCTGCTAATCGAAAGCTAAGGAAAGGGAGAGGGAGAGTACAAGGATGCGCGTCTGCGACGCGAGATAGATAGGTGGCCGCACAGGCTACCCTTCGATGACCCAGCGATGAGAGCATGAGTCCAGAGTACGCTTTCCGTCACAAGGCCTATAGCCTCAGTTCAGGCCTAAATTAGTAAGGAGCTCTCGGCTTTCGTAAGGCCCTTATGTCTTTCTAGTGCCCTTTTGTCGAGTTTTGGCCAGTGGTCGGCCGGCTATACGGTGCGTAGGGCCTGGTTCCGAGCCCCATACCGTTGTAGTCAATTAGTGGCCTCCTAGGCCTACCTAGCCTTCCAGGCCTTATTGAGAGCCTTTGTAGAGTTCTTGCCTTGAGCTCTCCAGGCTGCAATAGCCTCTGTAGCTTCTTGTATTGCTAGAGGTTGCGTTGGCCCTCTGGCTCTTTGTAGTCCTTAGAAGCAGTTGCGGATCCTATTGCAGGCCTCCTCGACTAGCAGGCTAGGAGGCTAGTGTCTTAGAAGAGGCCTTATTGCAGGCCCAGTTGTAGGCCCAGTTGCAGGTTCAGTTGCAGGCTTTGTTGTCAATAGAGAAGGCTGAGGAGTCGGGATAGTAGGCTTCTGGAGCCTGTCTTCGAAGTCGGCTAGCCTTTTATTGAGATAAAGGTCTAGTGGAAGAACATACGTCTCGGCGTCAAGGTATCAGGTTGGGGTGGCCTTGTAGGCCCCGGCCACTATCCGTAGGCTCCTATTCTGAGCCTTCTAGAGGTCTTTCGCAATGCCTTGTGGTTGACCTCCAATGGGGGTAGGCCTGCGGAAGCTTGAAGCTCCGTAGGCTAGGGCACTGCAGATGCACTTAGTATAGACCTTCCGGGTCTTAGCCAGGGCTGGGCCCTAGGTCTTAGCAGCTATTCTGGATAGTGCGAAGCCCTGTGTTTTCAGCTTTCATTTGACAGCTTCCCGATCGGTCTTCCAGTCTAGGCTTCAATTTAGCCAGATTCTAAGGAACTAGCTAGAAGGTGTAGGCTGTATAGCTTCGAAGCCTTAGCCCTGTGGGTGGGTCAGGTTGACTGGGTTTGGCCATTGCCTTCAGCCTTTGTGCCGGGCACCATCCAAGCTCTGGTCAGCTCGCACATACAAGATCGATATTGCTACAACGAGAGCAAGAGCTAGATAACAAGATGGGCGTGCAACTAGACCTAAAGTACTGGAGCAGAGGCCTATGCGTAGGCGTGACTACAGACGTATGCATCAGACTCATGACGTATGCATGACCGCAGGCATATGACATAACCATGAGAACAGGAATGGGGAATCATGTGACAGCCTTTATTGAAGTGGATCAGCTCGCTCTTTTCCTCAGCAAAGACCATACCTCTTGATTCGGCCCAATGTAGACCAGTCTTCCAGGCCTCTTCTAGTCGCCGACAGTTGGACTTAATATTCTATTATATTGCGATAGCAATATGCACTAAGCTATTCTCTATTTCGATTTAAGTGTAAAGTACTTCTATAGCAAGGCTTAGAACTTCATAATTAGTGGGCAATAAATATATAATAGGCGCTTTTTTCAATTAGTTACTACACTTATCAGAATACTCTGTTTACAAGAATATAGCTCAGTTTGTTACGAAGTTACCTTATCTTAATAATGCTAATTCTATATATACTAATACTTAGGAGACGAAATTTACGTAGTAGAGATATAATGTAATATAATACCTTCTAATCCGTATAATAGCTGCTCATTTCGCTTATATAAATCCAAAGCAGCAGTAGAAACGGATTAGTCTTCTATTTAACAGCTGTAATAGTTCTGTTAGAAGTGATGGCACTTGAAACTCGGAAACTAGGTTGCCGGTGTCGTACCCTGGTCAGGGGGTAATACACGGCTGTTACATAAGGTCAGGGAGATACCCAGGTAACTTGAGGAAGTGTCAGGGCCCCCACCATGAGCCCTACACTTGGGCAATTGGCGGGCGAGACACTGTGGATTTCATGGCGCAGCGACATGACTCGCAGCAGAGAGAGCATATCTGGAGAGCAGGAGACTCAGATTGGAACTTGGAACTTCCCTCTCTCAAGGATCAGTCAGTTGGTTAGTGGTGCACGCACAATACAGTCGTCTTGCCTGCTGCCTGTTGAGGATTCGGTGCATCTTCCTTGGTGAGCTTGTGTGTGTCACCTTACAGGAAGAGACTCAATGGACAGATTCTGGACTGGTCCTAAGCACTCGAAAAGTTCACTGTTTAAAAGGCTCCCATAAAGCGTATTACCGTGGAATCGTGGCTGTTGGTCTTCCAACAAGTTCTTAAGATCTCGATACCTAATACAAATAAAGCTCCTATAACCAGCTCAGATCTTTTCTTCATCTAATCCGTAGACATATCAGCAAGATTACATTTCATGATGGCATTATATCCGCATCCCTATCTTGACACAGCCAGCTATACCAAGACACAGAGGGTAATATATATATGTATTGTTCCGACCTCCGCTTCTGCCTGAGCAGTAAGTAGGCCGACCAGAGAAACGCCGTCCACCCTATGCCCGTATGCTACGTTATAACCGTCAAGTCGAGCCATCCTTTCCCCCAACTCCGCGAAGCAAAGCCAGGTAACGCCCCTATGCCAGCTTGCACTTAGTTGACGTCCCAAATGTTATTTCGCCGTCACCACAATCAGTGAAATGCCAGTATCCCATCCTTCCTGATCTCACCCATCCACCCCGCCAAGTCCATGTAATGCTTCGCCGTCCATACTAGGCGGTAAAAGTGTCTGCAAAGAGGAAAATGCCCACCAGATTTGAGATGCCATCCATCAGAATAAAGGCAAGATATCTCATCAAAACCACTCCCCATCGTCAAACCCCGCATCCGCATCCATCTCCTTCGCAGCCAGCGCCTCCCCGCTCTGTTTCCTCGGCCGGCCCCTCTTCCGCGGCGGCTGCGAGCCAGACCTGGCCCTCTTCTTCTTCGGTCCAGCACCGCCCTGCTGCGCCTTGCGCTTCCGGCCTCTGACTTGCTGCTGCTGCTGCGGCAGCTCTTCAACCTCATCCTCCCCGGCACTGCCCAACAATCCATCACCTTCCGCCCCGTCCATATCCATATCGTCGTCGTCCTCCACGGGGACAAGGAACTCCTTGTCGACGTTCATCAGCTCGACAAACGCCTTGCACGTGATCATCATGCGCTCGCGGTCCGCGAGCGACGTCATGACGGCGCCAATCTCCTCCCACAGCTTGTCGCCCGTGATGCCCTGGACTTTGACGGGCGTCTTGTGCAAATCCTTGGACTGGAGCTTGCCCTTGCTCTCGCGGCGGCTGGTACCCATGCCGTAGAGCCGGCGCAGGTAGCTGCGGACTTCCCAGAGGGCGAGCAGTATCATGGATCCGGCCGTGAGCTGGCGTAGACGGCGAAGTTCAACGGTAGGTTCTGGCTGCGCAAGCGCGGGCTCAGCTGAGCGTTCGGGCTGGCGTTCGGTGGCCGGCTGTGCCTGGGAGGGCGCTGGTTCATCGGCGTCCATGCGCACCTGGAACACTTCCGATTCAATCGCTTGGGCGACGTTGGCGCCGGTGGACGTGACCAGCTTCTCCATGGCCGAAACTATGCAGTGCAGCTCGCCAACCGTGACATACTCAAAGTAAGCGAGGTTTTCGATAATGAAGCGCGAGTACTGCACGTGAGGCGGGAGTTCCTCGGTAGTCTCGAGCTTGGAAATGTCAAAGTCGACCTGAGTGCAAAACTTTTCCAAGAACTTCTGGCGGTTCTTCGACTTGCTGATCTTGAGCGTCTCCATGAGCAAATGCAGCTTGGGGGTGAAGGGGTTGGTCGTAGCGCCGCGGGGATCCTTGACGATATCTCGCTGGTACGCAAAGGCGGACTGGATCGCCTTGACGTACTCGCGCTCGACCACTGTCTCATGCTTGGCATGCAAAGACTTGTGCTCAAGGAAGGCCAGCTCCGAAATGCGCGGATTTGACGACGTCTCGAGAGTGATGAAGGTCACTCCCGTCTCTTTCGGGTGCACCAGGCCTTGCCGGTTGATGCTGGCGAGCACTTCAACAGCCAGGAAGGCATGGTCGTCTTGGGTAGAGGTGGCGATGCGCGTGATTTCCCGCAGAAACCGGTGCGTAGTGGCACTCGCCACGTCGTCGTAGTTGGTACCGCCGATCACGGTCAGCTCGCGCTTCTTTTCGGGTTTGGCGCCATTGATGACGGGCGCTTCGGAAGCTTGTTCTGATCGCTTCTCCTCGGCAAAGAGGAACTCCTTGAGCGACCGCAGAATCATCGTCTCAAGAACCGGAACCTGGTCGTCAAAGACCTGCTGGAAGGTCGTATAAACGTTGGCAGAGACATAGTTCCGCGGCGACGCCTGGCAAATCAGGCCAACCGAGTCAAGTGCTGCTTTCCTGACATCCAACGGCTGGGACGGGGCGGCGAAAGGCACCACCACGTCGACCATGAGCTTCGACGCGGTGTCTCCGCTGAATTTCGGGAAGCCCTTCTTGAACATCTCAAGGTGGCTGTCCAGATTGCAGTGCTTTCCGGCCATTCCGACAATGAGCGAATACCGGTCAAACTGGCGGATCTTGAGCTGATCAAGGGGCTCCCTTTGGCTCAGAATGCGCAGTTTCTGAATAGCGGTCAAGCTCGACAGCACCAATCTGGCCAGATGCTCCGAGGTCTCCAGCAGCGTGCTGATGATCCACAAGCAGGCCATGACATCGTCAAGCAGGGCCCGCGTGACTTTGGACACGACGGGCAGCAGCTCCTTGCGGACGTCTGCAAGGAATTGAACGTGTGCGCTCGAAAGCTGGGGAAGGACCCTGCGGTAGATGACCACTACGGCTCTCGACACAGCCAGATCTTCGCTGCTGCTGATGCTGGTGATGTGAGGCTTCAGGAGACGCAGCTGTTCAAAGGTGAAAAGGTTCGCTTCAGCCTTGGCGAAGATCATCAGAACTTGGAGGACGTCGCGCCCAGATGGGGCAGACTGGTCGCTGGAGTCGACGTTGTCGACCAAGTCAAACATGCTGGCCACCAACTTGGTGCAGACCTCCATTGATGCCTGTGCTGACTTGGACTCGGGCGCCAAGAGCGTCTGCAAGACTTTGTCGAGGACGTTCGCAACATTCCCTCGCTTGACGGTCTGAACCATGAGCGACACATGCTCTGCAAGAGAGATTTGAGACGCTGTCGAGGTCTCGCCGCTGTGGAAAGGGGCAAACCAAATCTCCTCGACCACTTGGCGAGCAAGATCCCTAACGCTCTCTTCCGGGTCCTGGACCCGGTGGAGTAATCCGTTGGCAATGGCGCTCCGGAGGGCCCTGTTGTTGTTGCGGAGGTAAATATCCTTTGCCAGCTTCATGGCTCGCTTTCGCACGCCTGGGCCTGCGTCAGAGAATCTGTCGACGACGGTCTCTGTCATCTTTTCCTCGAGTACCGGCCGCATACCGATACACTTGCCGATGAGACCCAGGGCGGAGTCTCGAACCTGGGTAGAAGAGTCATTGGAACACCGGAGTATCAGTTGGACGACCACAGAGTCGCCGTCCAGAATCGAGGGGTCGGTCTCCAGGACTTGGTTGATACTCTTTAAACTCCTGCTCCTCACCGTCGGCTGGTCGCTAGCCATCGAATTCAAGAGGATGTTCAGGATAGCACTGAAGGCCTCGCAGAGCTGGGACCGCAGAAGAATGATGGAGTAGGACAACTTGGCCTGGATCGAACTGACGTTCTTGAACGAGTACTCGTCGGACAACCAGCGGCGATCCCGTATCATTTCCCGCAATCGGTAGGCTAGTCTCCCCAATTCCTGATCTCGCTCGCGGGAATCATCCTCGTACGAGTCGTAACCAGCGCAAATCTTTGTGCCCCAGTCGGATACAATGAAGGAGATGGCACTCGCCAAATGCGGGTCCTCAGAGAAGCGGCTCTCTAGGTATTCTAGCGTAGCGCGGTAGGGCCCCGTCCAAGCGACCACGTGTTCCGAGCGTGATTTGAACTCGAGCGCTGAAGCTGCCAAATCGGAGAGGAACATGCCGAGCTCGTCCGCGTCTCTAGCGTCCAGGGAACTGGCAACTTTCCTGACGTGGCCGCGAAGCTTTGAAATCGCGGCGCCCATACTGCCGAGTAGCTCAAGGGCCATGTTCTTGGCGGGAACTCCAGACTTGTCATTCTCGACCAGGTTGATCATCATGACCAAGAGCAGCCGGAGAAGTAGCTCAGCGGCCGGCCAATCCGGATTGTCCAGGCAGGTTGTGAAGTCTTCGACGAAAAGATCTAGTAGGTTGCGGTATGGCGTGTCGCCAGATTTGGTCGATTTGAGAGCTCGATTAACGATGAACTTGATGACATATGAGGCATTGGCTTTGGCAATCTCCATTAAGGACGTCGCCATGCTATCAAGTTCCTGGATCGCGGTGGAGTACTGTGCTGCAGCATGGTCTTCGTCCTGGATCGTGAAGGTCTCGACGGCGGTATCGCTGTTCGGTTCCTTGGCATCTTCGACCAGTATGCCCCCGCGGCCCTTGCCCTTGCGCTCATCTCCCTTTCCAGCACTCGTTTGGACCAAGCGCATAATGAGGGCTGAGACAGGCTGGATGCTGTTGCCATCGATGAGCTTGAATGTCCGAGCACGCCTGCCCAGCGGAAGCTTCTCCAATGACGTGAGGATCTCGTCGAAAATCCCCTGACGCTGAGAAGGATTCAAAAGGAAGATTTGCGAGAGCATGTCCATCGCAACAAGACGGAGGCCGTCAAACCTCTGTGTGTCTAGGACGGAGTCCTTTTCGGCGTTGGCAGTTTCCATGAAAATGAGCCGGGAGGCGGCAAACTCCAGGGTATTGGTGACGGTATCCGAGGTGTCAACTTTGGAGATCAAGGCTGACATGAGCGAAAGGAGCTTTTGGCAGTCGGTTAAGAGAGCGACGATCTTCTTCTTAGTGGAAGAGATGGCCCTGAACAGCTCCGCCGTATGTTGAGTGCTTCTTAGCTCCACGATGGGGATGACGACGCCGTCAATGAGGCGCTTGCACAAGTTGAGGCATTGCCCAATCATGTCCTCTGGGTAGAGCTGCTTGTCCTCACGATCGCCGCACATCATTCTCAGAGAAGTACGGGCAGCCCGCATGGCGGTCTCGAGAACTGGGAATTGCTGCAGCCAATGGTCGAATTCAGCGGCCCCCCACGACTCGTCAATCTTGAAGTCGAGAGATTCGACCTGTCTCAGCGCGCCCTCCGAGAGTCTGAGTAGGCGGAGAAGGTGGTCAAGCGGAACACTCTTGTAGCAGTTCAAGGATACCGCTTTCGCAAGTAATGTTTGCGCCTTGGACTGAGTTGCTGCCGTCAAGGTGGCTTCATTGTCTCCAATGAGCAGCACCATATCGTTGGCAGATTGCTGTGCCAACGCGTGGTCTTCGGCTTGGAAGACATTATGTAGGAATAGCATCAACTCGTTCAAAGCAGCATCCGCTCTCTGACGCATGTCCAAGCTTTCTCCGTAGGGGTCATCGCCGTCAAGCTCGTCCCGCTTCCGCTTCTTCAGTGATAGATTTGTCGGCTCGTCGGGTTCGTCTGGAACAGCCATGTACTCATCCCTGTTGAACTTCGCTGCAGTCGGGAGTTCAATGGCGATTGCGGCCTTCTGGGAGGCCGAAGGCGCTTGTGACGCGGTCCTCTTTGCTCCTTCTGAGGTTGACGCTCGCGTGGCGTCATGGTGATTGAGTGCCGTCGAATGATGCGCTTGTTGCTGAGAGTGTGGAAAGGCGCCGGCGGCAGGAACAGGAGGCGTGCTCGTGATATTGGCGTTTCCAGCAGGTTGCTTAGGAGTTGCGGCTGCGACTTCGTCTTCCCGCTGACTCTTGGTCGGTAAGACAATCTCGATCCGCGCCTTGTTGTGTAGTGGTGCCTGTCGGTTGATGGGCGATATGGGGCTTTCCTGCTTTGGCTGCACCGGCTTCTGCGCCACTGGCAGATTTCGTAACGCTGGAACTGGAGTGCTCAATACGTTCGCTTTACTGTCTGCCGCGATAGAGGGCGGAGTGTCGGGAGTCGGATACCGGAAGGGTATCGCAGTCTGGTCGTGAACCATCTTGGAAAACGGCATGAGAGCGGCGGCAAGCTTGGAATGTTTTGGCGTTTCGGAGGAGCTGGGTAATATCCTTGGGCCTGTCTTGAATTTGCTGTACAGTGTCAGCCAAACTCTTGCCCAGGCTGAAATCGAACATACAACTCAGGAATATCTCCACGCTCCAGTAGACGTTGGACTTGGCTGACAGCTTGTTGGAAGCGTTTGGAGAGCGGGTTCTGGGTCAACGCCTCTTGATTTAATGCTGCAAAGTCGTCGCCTGGTACGAGATCGGTGAGCGGGGAAGCCGGAGACGCTACACCTATTGATGGTGACGGAAGAACGCCTGTATGGTAGTAGGAGGATATGAGTCAGAATGCGACCTTTGGGTTGTTTGGTACTGAATGAATGGAGTGGGTAATCAAGAGACGTACTAGAGTCGAAGGGTGCAATGGCGGAGAACGGCGTGTATGGGAGGGCTTCATAGAGAGTGAAGGGCCGCGTGAAAGCCGATGTTTCCGGACGTTCTGCGCCATGGTGGGCAGAAACCGGGACGCCGTGAGGATGGCCATTATGATTGTCGGGCCTCGGGTCTGGCATTGTGGGAAGTGGGAAAATGGCGGTTGAGTTACGATCGAAGACAGGACATGGCTGGAATATCGCAGGACTTCTTCCCCCTAATATCACTGTTCGAACAACCGATCTTACTGATTCCGATTAGTCGTAGCGAACTGTTGGATGTTGCCTTTTCCATGCAGCAATTACCTTCTTGAAAATGTCCCTGTCACCTCTTTGCTGGACATGCGATTGACTTTTGGCGGTGTCCGTGTCTTGTTTGGCGTGTCTGTCGACAAAATGTCCGAGAAGATTGTTGACGATCGTCCTAAGCCAGGATACACTGCAACCTGCAGCCTTGCACACTGCCAAGCGACCTGCCAATCTGCAGCCAATCCGCTTTGGGCGCATGTGGCCTCGCATGTCTTGAGTTGCGCACATGGCCTGTGTGTTCCCGTCGGGGGTGAGATCCGCCGAGATTGCCGGCTGCAGGCCCCACTAAAAGTTTGGCGGATCTCTTGAAACTTTGAGTGATCCAGCTGCCGTCAGGTCTCGAGGATCCGACACTGAATTTGTCTGGGCGAGACGTGTTTGCAATAGCCAACCTGCAAAAATGGCCGCAATCGGTTCCTTGATCTTTTGCACAGACTGTGGCAACCTCCTGCCTGCGTCCAAAGGCAGCGAGAAGAACATTCTTCATTGCGACTGCTGTGGCGCAGAAAATAGAGGTTGGTTCGGAACTCGAGGATTGAGGACGAGCTGGAGAAGGCGCTGACTCGCGTAGATCAACCGTGGAAAGCTGTGACAACAAGAACGAAGCCATCCGATTTCCCATCTGCCCTGCGGCAGAAGTTATCGATTGTCCAAACAGTTGCGAGGCATCAGGTACAAACGGAGCGCATCGATGCGAATACCGAGTGCCCGAAGTGTAAAAAGATGGGCGTGCGGTACTCGGAGGTGCAGCAGAGGAGTGCTGACGAAGGCTCAACCATTATTTACAACTGCGATTGCGGTGAAAGGTACGCAGCGCCACGATCGCTCGTCCAGACCATCTGCTAACGAGTTTCAGGTGGACTATGAACAATTGATATCGCATGACGAAGACGATACCCGAAACTAAATTTCACCCATCTATGGCGCGCCCCTGTGTTACCAGAACGATCTAAAGACATTTGCAAGACCCAAACGTCGGAATAAACCCGATTCAAGCGGTACCTTGAACCTCCGGAATCAGCGCATACTCCGTCTCATTGCTCTTCTCGTACTCGGCCATATCCAGGGCAACGATGACACTCTCGCGGACGACAGCCTCCTTGTCGTGCAGGAACCTCTTTAGGGTCTCCTCGACGCCCTCCTCATCCCCAAGGCTGCCAAGTGCCTCGGCAGCTTCGTGGCGGACCATACTCGCCTCCTCCGTGTTGCTCAGGGCCGCAGTAAGGGCGGGGATAGATGCCGGATGGGAAAGCTGGCCAAAGACAAAAGCGATTTCGTGGCGGAAAAGGGCAGAAGGGTCGGCGAAGCCCTTGGCAAGGGCGAGGACGGCAGGGACGGCAGTCGGCAGATCGGGCGGCGATGCCAAGCCGCGGAGGGCAAACATGGCGCGGTATCTCTTGAACAGTGGCAGGCTTGTATCCATCAGCGCCTTGCCCAACTCCTCCACCGTCTGCTCCCCCTGCCCTTGAGGCATAGGCGGCGCGGGATCAACCGAGGCAAAGTCACTGCAGGGCACCAAGTTAGTTAGCAGCTACCACAATAAACAAATGACACGGACACAAGAAACGCCATTACCTCGCCCGCAACCTCTCCTGCTTCCTCCCCTCCCCATTCTCCCACTCAATCCTCTCCACTGCAATCTCGCACGTCTCCGTAACAACCACCTCCTCGCCCTCCCGATCCCTAAACCTCCTCAGCACATCCAAACTCCCGACATGCCCCAGCGCCCCGAGCGCCTCGGCCGCCTCATGTCGCACCATGGCGTCCTCGCCCAGGTCCTCCAGCACCGCGGTCAGGTATGAGTTGGCGGCGCCATTGCCCGTCTGGCCGAGGCAGTACGCCAGCTCGTGCTTGAGCAGCGCCGACGGCGAGGCGAAGCCCGCGGCGATGGCGTCGATGGCGGCGAGCGATTCTGCCGAATCAGCCGGGTGGGAGCGTGCGAGGTGCTTGAGGGAGAAGAGCGCGCGGAAGCGCACCGGCAGGGGCGTCGTCTCGGCTGTGAGCGTCGCGCGGAGAGAGGAGATCTGCGAGAGGGTTGTAGGTTCTTCTGGGGCGGTCATTTTGAGCTGATGAGGACGGGATTTGGGTGGTTTTGGGTTTGGTGTACGGTACGTCGGGTGCGTGAGGGTAGTCTTGCTTTTTGGGGGTGGGAAGATGGAGGCCGGAGGAAGCTGGTGAATCGCCGACGGTGGGCCGAGCCAACGTCCGCTGCAACGCGGGGCTCATTCAAAATTTGGAGGGGCATTCTTGGCCGATAAGTATCGATAAGGTGCCTGCTTTTGACCCTACCTCGCTAGAGCTTGCTGTTGAGTGTTCGGGGCTGTCAACAAACTTGCTTAGGTACATTGTCAACAGCCAAGAAGAGGCGGACAGCAGGCCCATATCGAGCTAGTTGGATTGATGATGTTTTCAAACCCGTTCGTCCACAGTGCAAGTCGAACATGACCTCACTCGTCGCCTCTGGCCAGGAGGTCGAACGGGTTGCTCGAACGAGGTTTAACCTTTTCTTCGGCCGGTGCCACGGCCTTCCTCTTCTTCGATGTTTTGTTGCTCTCGGGCTTCTGGATGGCCACTATATTGGAAATGATATCCTCATAATCCTCACATAAATTCTTCAAACATGACAAGCCGCCTGCTTCTCTGACCAAGGTGATGCTCTCAGCGAAGTTCCTGGGTGAAGGAAAATCCGGCCATGGTGGGAGTCGCGATAATGACTTGGCGAGTTCTGACATGGTGGTTGATGGCGGTTCGATGTGATACGCTGAGAAGTCGAGTATCTGACGGAGCATCCGAAGTGAATAGTAAGTTGCTTGAATCTGTGCGAGGAAGTGGAGACCATCCCACGAGCACGGGTCCAGTCGTCCCTTGGCATCTTGTCCAAGCACTTCAAGGCTCAGCGCGTAGCCCCTTCCACGCTTGATGGCCATGGTGATATCTTGGTAGATGGCGAGCACGATCCAGATGAGCTCTGGTCTGCTCAGGTCGGCCTCGATCCTGGACAGGAGCGCTAGCAATGTAGCGCTGAGCTCGTCAATCTCAGAAATGGGTGGGATATCAACCTTCAGGCCCGAAGAAACGGACTGGAGCCTTCTCATCTCCGAGACGAAGGGTATGTTGCTGCCTCGAATCGACTGCAAGGCTGCGTACGCCAGCTCCCTGACCGGCTTGCTTGCTTCCCATGCGCTTGTCCGAGATGGGCAGTCGAGTAAGAATGGCAAGTACATCTCCAAGCTGTGCTCATTGCGATCTTGTGCTGCGGGATTGATCCCTGCGGCCGGAGTTACAACCCCTGAGATGCGAAGAGATCGGAGAACAAGCTCAGATATCCGCGGATCCAGTTTGGTGATGGGATCTTTTTCGAGCTCTGAAGCTACTTCCGGCGAGAGATACTGTTCAATAAAGTCTGAGTATTCAACCCCAAAGGCCGAGACTGCCTCATTCCTTTTGACTCTCTCAACGGCTTGCTGTACCGTCAGATGAGGATCCCTGCTGACCTCAAACGCGAGCTGCTGCAGACCCCTCTCCGGCTTTAGTGACAGCCGTCTGCAGAGGTCCACGGGCCGATATTGGGGAGCGATGAGTTTCTGGTTTTGGATGTCGGCATCGATGTCTGCGAAGAAAACAACCCCCCCGGCTTCGCCGAGCTCATGTACCAGCAGGTCCGAGTCAGAGGTGATGACGGTCCCCCCATGCTGGCGGACATGCTGTGCGCAGAATCCGTCCGCTTCACCGGGGACTAGCTTCACAGGAAAGCCAGATTCTGGCGAGTCCCTCAATGCGTCAATTACCGCGGGGACAAGAAAAGCTGGCGGCGGCGGCTTCGCCTGCTTCTCTGTCGACCATGCGCTGGGGAATAACTCGACAATGGCATCAATTGCGTGACGCGGATTTGCTTTCGGTACTCCTGCGGGAAACGCCGAGTGATATCTGATCAGATCTCGGTATGATTTGATGAGCCGTTGTATCCTCTCAGGCCGTTTTGAGCTTGGCAGGTAGCTGTCGAAATAGATGGCTGAACTGAGAGAGGACGTCAGCTCGGGATTCGTATCATGTGCGAACGGCTCAGCCGTACACGGAAAGTCCACATGCTTGGATTTGATGCAGCCAGGCTATGGCGGTCTTGCCCAACCGCTCGTAAGACGGCTGCTCAAACGGGCTGCTTCTTCGGGTGGCTTGTGAGCAGAGGTTGAGAATGTGGTATGCAAGAGCTGGGCCGTCCAAAACTGCACTTCCTGGTTCAACCGGTGCTCTCTCGGCATACGGCTCCAAGTGTCTCTTCAGCTGCGGAATGCCCATTGCACTGCAGTTGTTTCCTTAAGCTCTTTTCACCGGCTAGAGAGAAAAACCGTCATAAACGCGAAAAAGATTGAGCGAGAAATCATGAGCATCGTCTTCCGCCAAATGGAGAACAGTCACCGTCTTACGCGCAATGATCCCCGTCGAAACAGTTTGAAAGGACAGATGTGGCCTTGTGTCGAGACCCTAGAAACAAACTGACAAGCAACTGATTGTGGTACTCGTTGGGGCTCCTCAAACGACCGATCTCACTAGCTGCTAAGGAAGCTAGTTAGGTAAATTGATCTAAACAATATCTATGTATTACTGTAACTTCAACTGAATATAGAGACTTTGACTTGACGTATATTATCAGTGATCAATATCCGTAAGTGGGCCACTCTAATGTATTTTGATCAATTTCATTGCCACAATAATTGAAGAATTATTAGGCAATTTGAGATTTCTTACTATTATCCTATAACTACATAAGTTGTTGGATTTACAGCAGCGAAAATAGTCAGTTCAGGAGTGTCACGTAATAGGTAGACAGGAATATTAGCGATTGCGCGATGCGTATCAAGTTCCTACTGTGGTATGATGGGTAATGAAAATCTCCATGCGCGGTACCTACGCTAACCGAGAGTAAGGTATCCACACTCTTCCACATTAAATACAGTAAACAACTAACGTGTTTTATCAGCGAATGCACCATATCAGCGAGTGCACCACTGGTAAGGGCTGCATATATATTTGGGTGTGCAGCACTAACGACGGGAATAAGCGGGGAATAAGCTGTTAGTACTTCGACTAAGTGTCTGTGCAGCCCTTACCAGTGGTGCACTCGCTGATATGGTGCACTCGCTGTGTGACGGGCACCACGGCAAGGTCTGGTCAGCCTGCACATCCATATGATATTGCACGAAGAGAGCAAGACTACCTATCTAGCGTGTGGGCATGCGACCATGTCTTATGCAGATGCTGGCCCAGTGCAGGTTCGGTGCAGAGGTCCGGGACATGGCATATACATGACGTACGCATACGTGGCCTGCGTGGCCAGATCCATTGCTCGGATCCGTGGCCCGGATACAGGAACAGGAATCCTGTGACACGCTGATAAAACACGTTAACTAAAATTTAGTAAGATGTGAAGACCTTAGTTTGCTAGCAAATCTGTATAGCGGGCTGTGTCTCAGGGTCTCTTGGCAGTGGTATAAGTTGATAGTTATACTTCGGATCAATTCACTTAATTAGCCCCCTTGGCGGGCTGGTCGGGCGGCGTTTTTGGAGCTCCGACGAGTAAATTTGAGACTCTGCTGCCCCATAATGTTACTATCCGTGGAATACCTGGTATGGTCCGTGCAGACATCGGCGGATGATCGCTATAGCCGGCGAATGATTATTGTAGCCAGCAGATGCAGGATCAGGTACCTGTACAATACAACATGGCGCACTATTCAAGTATTCGGCGACGAGATGCTTTCATTGTTTGCTTAGATTTACCACACGATAAGGTATCCTCACAACATCACGGATACACAGATATGTACCGAGGAGTTCTCTTGCCCCTTGCCCACCAACCTTGCGGAAGCAACTCGAACAGAGCTGGACAAAGGGCCTTCTGTCTCGGACAGTCCCGAAGGACGGGTAATTTTCCAACGTTCCGTTAAGAGACATGCCCTGGGCTGGACAACGCTCCTGCCGTCGTAAGTGACAGCATCGTTGGGGTTTGAAGGGCAGAGTTTGCAACAGTGCCTCCTGTAAGGGGACGACTTCCACTGGGGGAGGCACAGATAGACCTACGGGCGGCTGGGCTCCCGCGCTGACCGAAAATCGTCAATTCGGTACCTGAGTGCTCATGCCGTCTAACCATAACCGAACCACCCTTGTGCCAAAAGTCAAAGAGGAGTGCCGCCATCCGTCGCCCAACGCCAACGCTTGTAACCCACACTCCCCAAGATCCAGGAGAAGTAGAAAAATGGAGCCTTCGACCGGTAATCGGGAGCAGAAGAGAGCACAAAATGAGAAAGAGATGCTTTGCCATACTTAGTCCATCAAATGTTGGAACAGCGGCGACATTGACTCGCCGTAATGGTTCCGCCGTATCGCCTCGGCCAAGAGGAACGAGAGGTCGAGCACCACCAGCTTGCTCGCGTTGCGTGCCTTGTGCTCCGGGATAGGATAGCTGTTGGTCACCATGATGGTGTCGATACAGTCGCAGGCCTGCATCTGCTCCAGGCAGTCCCCTCCAAAGACGCCGTGCGTGGCAATACAGTAAACCTTGCTGGCACGGCCGCGCTTAACCACCGTCTCCGCTGCTGCGATCCACGATCCGGGCTTGTCGATCATGTCATCGACAATGAAGACTGTGCGCCCCCTGACATCGCCCACTAGCGTGATCGTGCGCTCGACTGCGGGGTCCTTGAGGATATCGTCCTCCTCATCAGAGCTCGCTCCCGCGTCTCCAGATCCGCCCAGGGCATGAGACTGCGGCGCGAAGAAGGAGGACGCATGCGACATGGTCATGGGGTCTTCCTCTGGCACGCTGGTATCGGCCGCCGACATGGCCGGCGAGGGAAAGTCGTCCGGAACGACGTGTCCGTGCACCAGTCTGCCGTGAGTCACCTCGTGGGCTCGCTGGTCGTTATACTCCAACGCGTCAAGTTCCCCCTCTTCGTCGATCTCATCGATGACGGACGACTGGGACAGCATGGTCTGTGAGCGCCTGGGGGGGGACTTGCGCGTTCGCGAGTGGTCGCAATTAGCACGCATCCGCGGTGACCCTTGAGCATCCGCGGCGGTGCGCGGATCTTGCGCTTGTCCGCTGTCTGCAGCGGGGTTCGCGTTCTCGGGCTCCGACGAGTTGTTACGCACCTGATTGCTGGAATCGAGCCCCGGCTGTCGCTCAAGCCCGTCGAGTATCATGCTGGCCGCCATGCTAGGGCCAGGGCCTCTCTTCTTGTCCGTCGTCACCATGCCGAAATTGAGCTTAAGAGCGTCGGCAAGCGACGTGACCCTCTTGGTGCCGCCCGCGTTTTTGGACACCACAACCGCCTCCTGCCACCTTGGTACGTTGCGCCGAATCCAACGCGCAATCAGCGGTTCGGCGTGGAGGTTGTCGACGGGGCACTTGAAAAAGCCCTGCATCTGGGAAGCGTGGAGGTCGACCGTGATGACGTGCTTGACGCCGGCGACCCCAAGAAGATTGGCCAGCATCCTCGCGGTGATAGCTCCCCTATGAGACTTCTTCTTCGATTGGCGGCTGTAGGGGAAATACGGCAGCACGGCTGGGCCCAGCGCCAGTCAATCTCCTGAACGGCCTGCCTCCAATTGCGGCATTGATGCAACGTACCAGTAATCTTGTTGGCCGAACCTCCCTTGCAGGCAGAGATCATAATGAGCAGCTCCATGATTGTGTCATTGATCTTGGGGCTGCCTGATTGCACAACAAAGACATCCTTCTCGCGGACACTGGTGAGGATGCGGACGCTCGTCTCGCCGTTGGAAAATTGCGTGAGCTCGGCATCGGCCCGCGCCATGCCCAGGTTATGACATATCTTGTCTGTGAGATCCGGGCAAGAGCTGCCCGCAAAGATCAAGGTGCCACGCATGGTGTCGTAGTTCAAGATGGAGTGTTTGGAAGGAGAAAAATGGTAAATTTTGGAGTCCCCTCGATAAAAAGCGGCGGACACGAGTGAACCAATCAGAATGCCAATTCGGAGAAACCCGCGAACGACAATGCTGCTGGCCCTGCAGGATGGTTTACGTTGAGTTGCTCGTCGGACTTTCGAAGTCGCCGATCCACCTAGTCGCCAAGTCGCTCATTTCGAAGCCCCGACGAGTACGGGTAAGATACTACGCGGTAGGTTGTTTCTACGGGTAGGTTCTGGGCCACGGAAGTCGATGGCTAGATGGTGGCTTATGGCACAACGGAGAGAGTAATTTGGAAACTGAACATATCAAGTACCTTACATTTCGAGATTGAAGGCAATTTTGAACTTGGAACTAATAGTGCACATGCTCTTGGTTTTTTTGGGGTCTCGCCCTATGGAGAGCACGGACAACGGCATTCGAGCTGGTCAGATGCCGTGATACGATAAGAGTTAATTAAGGGTATCCCGTTCTTTTCCATTCTGTAATTACTACTTCTCATGTTCTCAGGCAACTGCGCAGCGGGACCATGGCCGATGTTGGTTCCGGTGATGAATTGGATCTTTAACAAAATTCGTATCTGTGCCCAAAAGCTCTCGAAAGCATCCCATTTTGACTACATTCCTAGTAGGCTTCAGGAGACTATTTGGAGTCAATTCAACTGAAAATACCATGCCACTCTTCAGCGGACAGTGGCTGGGGCTGGACGCGCTGCTCCACCGCCCGCGGCCTGGGAGCAATTCATCGCCCAGCCGTGCATCTTCATTGCACACAAGCTCTTACCTGGAGACAAATTCTCCCAGTCAACCTCTCGTCGATCCAGTCTCGGTAGTCTGCGTCTCTGACACTCACAACAGCTAGCCCACGCTGCCATACGGAGATGTCCTCATCCAGGCAGGCGACTTCACCCAGTCCGACTCCTTGCCAGAACTGCAGGCCGCCGTGAACTGGCTGCGTGCCCAGCCGCACCCTGTTAAGATCGTCGTTGCCGGCAACCACGACCTCCTGTTGGATACGAGCTGTGACGACCGGAGAGGTGCTGGGGATGAGCCTTTCAGTATCCTCGCGGCGAGGATGTATGGGCGGGCACGGTACCGCAAAGCATCGACGTTCTGGTAACGCATTGTCCTCCAAAGGCGCATCTTGCCTTGCTGCGCTTGGGTTGCGAGCACCTGTTGCGGGATCTATGGCGGGGCTACATGTCTTTGGGCATGTTCACGAGGGCGCAGGTACCGAGTGGTTGCAGTTTGCTGAGCTGCAAGACGCTTACAAATGGACCGTGCTCGCCGGCGGCGGAATGTGGAATTTCGCGCGGACAATCAAGGTGTTCATCGGGGCGCTCTTCCATCCGACGACGGAGGCTAAGTGCTTGCTTGTAAATCCTTCAATTGTGGGAGGGTTGAGGGACAACGAGAGACGACAACCTGTTAAGGTGGTGATATTGCACTAGCGAGATGAGGAGCGAATTGCTGAGACAGAGCAAGGAACGTCTCATCTCTAGACAAACAGGACGTGAGGCCCCTCCACAGTATTGTTCCTCTCCAAAAATCTCTTGCTCCTTGCCCCCTCTTCCGGCTCCTTGTTGCACTTGTCCGGTATAACTAACGGCTGCGACAGGGCCGCCACCGTAGATACCCAACCCGTTCCTCCTCTAGTACTACCGGCCGGCTCCTCAATTCATCTTCTGCTGCATCGCCAGAAATCATTCCCGGACTACCCCGCGGCAAGCCGCGCTCAATCAGGCGATTGAACGCTATCACCAAGTAGGATGGCAAGACAGCGAGGATGGCGTATCGCTCCGCGTCTGGGTCCGCGGGATCAGGAATTGCCGAGACGGCCCATGACGGCTGGTTGAGAAAATGCTCAATCTCGTTCCGCAGGCAAAAATGTCGCCAACCACCAAATACCCGTACATGCGGACAACGACGCTGTGGGTGTGTGGCAGATTTGCCTGGAGCTCAGTATCGCATGTTTTCGTCACCATGGGCTAAAAACCACGATACAGACGGGAGTGGTTTGCGGTTTCTGATTATTGCGTCTCTTGATTGCTGCCAGAAGACCTTGAGAAAGATAGAGCGGAATTCATTGTTGCGGCTGTCGTTAACAGGAACCCAGTGTATGTGGTGCTGTTGGCAAGTTGGACACAAGGCGATGTGATACTCAATAACTTTACTGTGTAAGAAACCTCCCCAACAACACAACACCTGAAACTTAGTCGTCCACTGCAAATGACAAATTTGGGGACCGCTCGCTGCACCGGGGGTCATAACAAGCGCCGGCCACACCAGCTTATCAGCAGCAGGCCCCTGATCATTACCGCAGTCGAGTTCCTGGACAGGATTTGACGGCTGTACCTGACAGTTTGGGTCAAACATTAGCCGCCCTCTGTCTTCATCACGCTCCCGTTGTTCACGGAGCTGCTTGAACGAACGAGCATCTTCAATCTCTGGAAACCTGAGACGGTTACCGCCGATGAAACCGGACCAGCTATGCCGCCAGTGTCCTGGGGGCGATGCGCAGGAATCGAAAACACGTGCCTTTGAGTTGTTGGCATGTTGGCACCGAGGACGACCCGACGACCATAGGGGCCGGCCAATTTGCAGTCAACGACTTGTGTATTGGAAGTGAAGGGCCAGTCCAGGACATAAAAGACATACAGGAAGCCCAGTGCCAACCAAGCAAGCATGTATATGCAGGCATCGAACTTGACGAATCACTTCCGTGATCTACGAACTCCGCTTCCTCAACAAACTCAACCATCCGACGTGCCCCATCGCTTCCAGCAAGCCCCCTGTGACCTGTGAGAATCGGTCAGCCTTGGACCGGGTTACAGCAACGCCGGTATGCCGACACTCTACCTTCGCTGGCACCTGCGGAGGCCCCAGGACAGGACGCGCCGCTGCCAGACCTGGACCGCAACACGCTGATCTCGGCCCTAAGACACGTTGCTGCCTATACCGCAATAAAAGAAGGGATATGCGACGGTGATTGCCCGTCTGTGGTTCGGTCAACACCATTATTTCCAGAGCCAGGCCACAACCCACGATGTGGACTTCTTCAATAAATACCGGACGGTCACCGACTTCGAGCAGCTCGTCAAAGGCGCCAGGGAAGCCGCCAAGCGCAATCCCGAGCTCAACGAAGAGTGGTTCAACGACACTACCATCTTGTTCATCCCGAAAGACCAGCGGCAGACCCTCACGGAGGAGGCCTTCGCACAACAGGAGGTCATCTTCAAGGAGAGGGGCCTGACACTGCTCGCAGCACCCTGGCAGTACGCCTTCTGCTGCAAGGCGGACCACCTCGCTGGCGGCGGCCTCAGTCTCGCGTGGGATTAAGACCTCGATGACGCTGTGCAGCACCTGAGGCGGTTATTTGTTGAAGAGCGGAGAGGTGCAAGTGCCGAACACGACAGTACCGGAGTGGTTTGTGCAGTATTCGTTACGATGGACGAGCGCCATTGACGGTGTGGTTGCGCAGGTGAATGCGGCTTTCCACGCAAAGTTTCATGTGAGCTACAATGCCATTGTTTGATGTGTGATCGGTACGGCCATGAGTGTTATTCGGCGTTGGGCTGGGGTGTATGATATGGCCAGTTGGAAAGATAAATGGGCGATTTAGAGGAAATGGGAAGTTTGTATTTTGTATTTAATGGTAACTAGGGACCACAGGCTCGCACTCTCGGTACTGTGATGCGTGAACACACTGTTGTATACCGGCTGATGCTTTGCTCCTCCTTTGCTCGCGTTTCACCTCGTGATGTTTATAGATCGTTCTGGCCACTGGTTGATCTGTCGATGAACCAGCCTTGTTGAACTGCTCCATGCGCAAATCAATTCCTCATCTCCCCCGGCCAATCAATACTCGCGTCCGAGCTCTCTGTGCCCGATTTTCGTTCCAACCGACCCACAAATGTCCAGTCGGCTCCTCTCTTTTTACCTTCTCGCACTTTTGCTACCTCTTACACCATTTTTCAAGCCGTTACATCAACTTCGGTTACAAAATGCCCTGGACAGGAACTGAGGAACCAGGGATTGGAGAACATCTCCCAGACGTCGCCCAGGAGCCCGACCCTCCATCATCACCGTCTGCGGAGGAGGAGGATGTCGATGGCGACGGCAGTGAGATGATGGAGGGTGGTGACGATGACGATGCCGCTCAGCCGCCGCCTTCCAAAAGGATAAAGATTGTGGGTACGTATGCACACAATGGAGAGGCGACTGGGGACATACAGCAGGTCCGGGAGGACGGAACGCAACCACATGATGCCAATGGCAATGGGACAGAGAATGAGAACGGAAATAGGCAGGGGTATGAGCAAGGACAGCAGCAGCAGCAGCAGGAGGCGTTCCAAGACAGGGTGCCACACTTCAAGCCTAACCTCGCCGAACCTGACGACAAGGGCGAGAATGATTGCTTCTTTGACACGTGTGCCACAAGGGCGGGAGGAACTGCCTACCTTATGTGGGTTTCTCTTTTTTGTACTGTTCTTGCCGTCACCGTTGGGCAAGTGCTGATAGAGCCGTAGGAAACATTTGCGAGATAAGCATGGGCTCGTCAGAGGCGACCAGGGCAGACTCGAAGGCGGGAAGCGGAAGGCGCCGAAGTATCTGACCCTCTGCCCGACCAACTGGCCCTTCAAGCACAACTCTAGCTCCTCCTGCAAAGCCTGCGAGGATATCGCCGGCGTGTCGGCCGTGCTAGGCCAGCACGAGCACGAGAGCCCCTCCATCTGCTCCTTCTGCTGGACCTACCTCCCAACCCGCCGCGATCTGGTGGCGCACGTCGATCAGGGGCCCTGTCGGAGCAACGAGATGTTCACCCATAAGGTCGCTTTCGTCCGGCACATGTACGCCGAGACGCTACGCATCCCAGGCGCCGACGAGATTTCACGGGCCGCGGCAGGCCAGAGGCAGGCGCATGCTGAAGCCGAGCGCCAGGCGCGCTCCGAGAAGTGGCAGTACGAACAGCAGGCAATGCAGGCCTGGACCGAGCAGATGCGCGGACTTAAGGGACAGCAGCAGCAGCAGCAGCAACACCCCGGCGTTCACCCAGTTTACGCGCCTCCCGACCCATCCACCCCCATCGTCTTCGAAGCCCAGCAACAACGACGACAACAAACACAACAACAACAACCACAGCAGCAGCAGCAGCAGCAAAAATCCCCGGCCGCGTACTCACGCCAGCGCTTCACACCGTCTGCAGCGGCAGCTCCATCCCACGTCCCGGCCACACCCGGCCCAACCCCGGCCTCCGCCCCCTTCCCGTTTCCCCTACCAACACATGCCAACGCAGCAGTGGACATTGGATACGCAATCACGTCGGTCACAGCCGAGGCCATGGCGCGGAGTATTGAGCGGCTGTCGACCGCCGTGGCCGAGCTGACGGCGGCCAACACGCGGCTGGTGCAGGACGTGAGGGTCAAGGACGGGCAACTCGCCGCGAGGGACGAAATGCTGCGGAAGAAGGAGGAGAGGGTCAAGGCGATGAGCGCGGAGAACGGGGAGTTGCATGCCGAGGTGGAGAGGTTGAAGGGGGAGGTGGAGAGGTTAGCTCAGGATGGTGGTGGTGATAGTCCCAGGGGAGAGGTTGGGGGTTAAGTGAGGGATATGATATTGTACCAGTATTGCAAAGTATCCAACGACCGGGAGAAGCGACTGGGGCAGGCCTCGATGTTCATGGATTTTTTGATGGAAATGCGGTGCTGTCAAAGAGGTCCAGAGGATGCCTAGAATGCTGTACTTTGCTGCGTTGAGCTGGTCACTGGATAGAGCACTTGATGACCCTCCTCAGAAACCGTCCGAGCTAAATCGAGCCTGAGCCGGCAGCGCTGCTACCTGCTGTCGAGTATTGCAAGGAACCGGACTTAATGTCCTGATGCTTGCGTTACTTCATCGCGCTTCTAGGATTTCACCAACCGCGAAAACACATGGATTATGCCCACGGCAGCGGATCCTAACTTTCAACTTACATGTCGGTGATGCCATTCCCGACTATTCATACAGACCTTCGCATCCAGGGAAGGGCCCCTTACCGCACAACACAAGACAAGTCCCCAAGACCCAACCCGGTGACAGACTTTTAGACTTGGAACTTGCAACTCACAACCAAAACCAATGCCACGGTTAGGTGGCGATAGCAGGTCATCAAACCAAGCCCAACCAGATCAGATCACTCCCCATCATCACCCCACTCCGTGGCGCCCTCCCCGTCGAAACGCACCCCATGCAACTCCTCCAGCAACCTCTCAAACACCTCCCCCTCCCTCGTCTCCTCCGCGCTCCCGACGTCCTCCAGTAGATCCTCCTGCTTCCACCCGCCACCGGGATGGCTCTGCTGGCCCTGACCACCACCACCACCAGCGGCAGTGGCAGCGGAGGTTGGGCCAGCCTGACGCCCCACATTCCGTATGATCCGCCATGCCCTCCTAAATTCATCCCGAATGTTGACAATCCCAGCGTGCGTGACCGTCCGCGCGACATTATGGTCCAGCTCGAAGGGGTCTTCAATGGCAAAGAGGTAGCGGTATCGGACTTCTTTTACCTCGACATTCTTGGGTTGGATTTTTGGTTGCGAATGGGCTTGCTGGCTTGAGGCTGCGGCGGTCGTTGCTACTGCTTGGGGAGGAGGGCCCGAATCGTTACTCGGCTCCCCACTGGGTAGGGGGTTCAAGTCCGGCGGCGACGGCGGCGGCGGCGGTGCGGCCGCAGCTGAAGACTCAACGACCGTCTTGGCGCCAGTCCAGCCCTTGGCCTGCTTGCTGAGCAGACCGCCATGTGTCCGCAGGCTGATGACGTCGCGGCCCCAGTCGAAGCTGCGGCAGGGGAGCGTCGACATGGGTGCGCCGCCCTTGGCGTAGTACTCGAAGAAGCCGCGCAGCAGTTGGCCCACCGACTCGCGGTTCTGCGTCAGGGCGTTGTCGCGCGCGAGGCGCACGATCTCGGCCTCGTCGCGCCAGAACTGGATGTTGCGGCCCTTGCAGAGAACCGTCTCCTCGATCTGCTGCGGCGTGAGGGTCGGGTCGGGCGGCCGGGCGAGTTGTTGCAGGTTTGGGCAGACGAACGGCTGGGCGATATTGACGAGGTAGTGCAGCATCATGAGCGAGTAGCCGTAGCTGCCCAGCGTGCCGCGGTAGGGGGTGTTGATGCGGCGGACCTTGGCCCAGTGTTTGACGAAGAGGACGAGGGGGCGGACACGGGGGTCGCAGTGGGAGTAGCAGCGAAGGAGCAGCGTGTTCTGCACGGCGAGATGTGCAGAAAAGTTGATGTCGCACTGGACGCCGACGCCGGATTTGGGAAATTCCAGCGCACTGCTGTACCGATCTCGCGGCTGGTTCGGTGCTGCCCGGGACGGGTCGCCAAGCAGGCGGATGTCAGCAAGCAGCGACGCCGAGCCAGGAGGGAGCGGGATCATGCCGTTGGAATGACCGCCAGGAGATGTCTTGGTTAGTGGAGCGCGCAGCAAATCGACATATTGTCGCACTTTGGCCGCGTCTTCGCCCTGGTAGAGCCCCTTTGCCAGACATGCTTCGTATTCAAGGGCAAGCTGCAGGCTTTTATGCCTGCGGCCAATGGCTTGCAGGTTGTTGATGCCGTGAGCTTGCTGGAAGTCCTGAACTTGCTTCCGGATAGTTGGGTTGGAGATGCCTCCCACATAATGGTCAATCAAAGTCGGCAGGATCGTCTCGACCCGGGCGTGCGAGTCGTAGCCGCCGAGGTCCTTTAGAAGTCCCACCGCCCGGGAACAGTAGTTTGCAGCCGATTCGCCCTGGGCCTGGGCAAGAAGTAAGACCTGAATGGAAGGTATCCTCTTCAGCTGTTCGACTGCCAACTGCAGCTCCTTCTGGTACACGAGCGGATCACGACCGTAGTCAGGGCTGTCTTGGATGGCTCTCCAGGACCGCACAGCGGTCTCTGCAGCGGCATCGCGGGACCTATCCTTTTCCTGGAACGGCCTCGATTCCCAGAGCAACGCCATATGTTCGCCCTCGACTTGGGTAAACACTCCCAGCAGGGTGCGGCGATTGGTAGGCGAGCTCAAGTCGTAGCGGTTGAGGGAGCGGTACCACAGCAGCCTGTCCCGCAGTTTGCTGTCGGCCAGGCCTTCGACAAACGCCAGACACACCTGATTTAGAATCGTGACATCTTCTGTCGTGAATTCGGCAGCGTTTGAGTAGGTTATGTCACGCCCGCCGAGCTTCCGGAGAAGGCGCTTGGCAGAACCGTAGTAGCCGGACAAGTTAGACGAGTCGTTCTGCTTGAACCCCTGCAGCCGCTGCTCACGTGTGAGGCCATCCTCCTGCGCCCGACTCTCGGTGGGCTGATTCCCGTCAGCCGTGTGTGAGTCTTGGGCGCCCGATGCCTCATCCTCCTCGAGGTTCTCGGTGACGCCACGTTCCCACTTCGTGCGCTCCCCCAGCAGCGCCTGGCGTAGCTCCTCGGGAGGCTTTTCGCACACCTTGATGATGGGGACGCGTGTCTGTGTGAGCAATCGAGCGCCAAGACCGATTTCAAGGAAGGCCTTTTCGATGAGGCGGGGGATGGGAGAGCCTGGAGCATCGGGTTGGACGCGCGACAGCGGTGACAAGAGGCCGAGGTCCATGTCAGACGCCTTGGTGGCAAAGCCAGAAGCGAGACTACCAAAGCACTTGAGCTGCACGCTCTTGGGAGGGAAGTCGAGAAAGCCGTTCTGGGTTCTCTCGTGCTCCGTGATGACGGACCGGGCCACTGCTTCGATCATGAGGCGGAAGTTCTCCTTCTCCATGATTTCAGAAGGTTCGATCTCAGCGTCGGCGACGATGGTGCGACAGAGACCCTCGAGCAACTCGGCCTGAGCCATCAACTCGTCTTGCCTAGGGCCATTGAACTGCCTCCCGCGGGTGCTGATATTGGGACCTCCTTGTCCTGGGTGCATTTGGGAGGAGCTGTCGAAAGGCATGGGCGGCATGGGAGACATACCCGGCATCTTGTACGACAGTCTGGGGTCTCCATGATGCATCGGAGGCTGTGGCGGGCCAAACTGATTGGGTCTTGCCGCCATAGGGCCGTGGTACGAGAGAGAAGGTTGGTGCCGCGGCCGGGAAGGAAACGGTACCCCTGTCAGAGGGGCGTTCAGCATCTCATTCCCAAGACTGGGCGGGCGGAAGGTGGCCGAGCGCGACTCTTGCATCCTGTGGTGATCATTCCTGCCGTGGCCTCGACCGCCATATGGCCTCTGTGACTGGTGGAACTGCGGGCGAGTGTCGATGGGGATGGACAGCTGGGCTGACATTTGCCGGCGCTGCGCTTGGTTTGGTCGCTTCCGGGACGTCCTGGATGCCGGCCCTCCTCTGTTGCTCGGCGATGACGGGCTCGGCGGGTTTTCCGGTTCCGAGAGCGCGGGAGATTGAGAGACGAGGTCATCAAGCGGTGGTTGAGAAGCACCGCTAATTGGTGGCTTTTTGGCGGAAGGGGTCTCGGAGTGGCTCAGGATCAGATTGCGAAGTCGATCTTCAAGGGGAGTCCCTCCTCCGGATCCTCCGTCGGCCGCCATCCTACTGGCTCGTCCTCGGAGAGCGAGTTGGCTGTTAATTCCCTCTTCACCCTTTGCCAGCACCGGTAAATCGACCACGCCCGAGTTCCTGCCCTTGGAAGACGATATGCTCGCTGCCGTGAGATGCTTGTCCACGGCCGGCAGATGTGATCCTGCCTGCAGCTGGACTCACAGCTCCTCGACCCCGGCCCTCTAAAGTACGGGTGTTGTTTTCAGGGGTTTGGCGAAAATTGAGACGAGGGCTGATGATGTTCTGGAGAAAATAGCGACCCAACAGACCAAGAGCAGAAGATTGGCCAGGCCTGCCTGGGCTTCGGCACCGACTTTTATCTGCTGGCTGGGATATTTACAACTGTCCACAGGATAGTTGCCAATGACGATTTCATGCCAACGGCGATGGTTCGTTGACTTCCAGTTCTGATGATTGCCCTTTACTGTCAGCCAGTGTCGGTGGATGTCTTGCTGACGGGCTGCAGTGGTGGAGTCTTGTAGCCCTCCCAGTCTCCCCACCACAACAAACGGAGACTAAGACTCACAAGTCAACCGAAATGTAGGCGGCAAATCGAGCCAACGGGGCTCTACTGTGCAATTGATACTAACTACATATCAGTTACTTACGGGTTGTTGAAGGAAACAGAATTTGCGCGACCCAGCTGGAATATTTGATCGCAAGTGACTCGGGATGAACCGAAGTCGAATGGAACTGCAAGTATTCTTGAAGCTTGCTTGAGCTCCAACTCCACTGAATGGTGGGGCCAGGCTTAACTCAGTTCTGTACCTTACCTCATTGTAATCCATGACCTGTTCGGAGTACATGTATTGTAACACGCCAGTACGCCTGAGAGTAAACCGAACCTAGGCTGTCCAAAGTGAAGGATTCATTATAAGAGTTGAAGGGGGAAAAAAGAGGCAAATTCGGACTGAAACAGAGATCAACACTCAGACTCCGGAAAACCAGAACAATGGCTACGAATGTCGAATGCTATTGCTGTAAGCAGTTTGCTGTTACACGAGAACTGTACAGTACGCGTAAGAAACAGCCTGCCTTCCCGGTCAGCACTATTTGCGGCTCTTTCCAAGTTCCCGGTCCTGTCGGAGTGTGCCTTTGTCTCCAGCTTCGCGTCGCCGAAAGCGATGCTTTCTCTGATCACCATCATCTGCACCTCTTCGTGCATTTCCGGCTGCGCGCTCGCAACCGCTCTCCTCGCATAGATTAGTATTTCCCTCTGTAGGCGCTCTAACCGTTTCGGCATTTTTCTTATTCCAGGAAACGACTGTGCCACCCTCTCAAATAGGTGCGCCTCGATGACGCGCCACGCCTGAGCGACCATCTCCAAGGCCGAACCACTGCCGGTTGGAATCGTTTCGCTCTCTGACTGTGCCACGAGTGCCGACTCTGTCGAACCGCTGCACATCATGAGCGCCCCTCCTCCCTCCGCCGGCAACGCGCCGCCGCGCCCGCCTGGCCGCGCGCAGTTTCGGCCTAGCAGCACTGCCAACCCGTTGGTGGCGAGAAAGAAACCGAGGCCGCAGCCGGCTATGGCGCGACCACCAAAAACCAACAACGGCCCGGGAGGTAAAGGCGGGCTTGCGGACAAGAAGAAGCTCGTACTCGACGACCCGGATGATCCTACCATGCGGCAACTGGCCCAGATCCGGGCGCAGAACGGAGGCTGGACCGAGAAACCCCCAGAACAGTACACTGATTTCCCTCTGGTCATGACCAAGCGGTCCATGTTGGAAGGGCTGCGCCACCACATCATGCGATTAAGCAACTCGAAAGGGGATTCGAGCAGGGCGAAAGGGGATGCCGTTGTCGACGTTACAAACCAGGACCAGTTCCCGCGCCCAGTCACTCTACTCCGTCGTGACCCCAGGCTCCCCCCTGCATACCGCATGGCCGTAAAGGAAGAGTCGGCCCCGGCAGACCCCGCCGAGGCTGCTGAGTTTGAGCGCATCCGCCAGCTCAAGGCCCAGAAGGAGGCCCAACGCGCCCTGGACCAAGCACAAATCGCTCCCGTACTGAAGGGTCACGAGCCCAAGCCAAAGCAAAGCAACAAGAAAGAGAAGCCCACCGCCTTCTACGGCAGGAACTCGGATGTCCAGAAGAAGGAGTCCAAGATTCATTATGAAGAGACTTGGCCGTGGCACCTGGAGGATGCCGAGGGCAAGGCCGGCGTGTGGGTCGGGTCGTACATCGCCAGCCTGTCGGATACCAACGTTGCGCTCGTCATAGATGGCGCGCGCTTCCGCATGATCCCGCTGGAGCGCTACTACCGGTTCGACGAGAAGCCCAAGTTTGACACGCTCTCGCTCGACGACGCCGAGAAGATGATGTACGAGATCAAGGAGATCAAGCGCTGGGTCATGAAGCAGAAGGACCAGGAGCAGATGGAGCGCGAGAAGAACGAAACGCGCCAGTTCTTGCGCGGGCCCACCCGCGTCAAGACCGAGAGCGCCACATCCCGGCTGGCCCGGCGCACCGAGAGGCAGGATGACTTTGAGCTTGATATCTCTGGTGACGAGTTTCAAGACGACGATGAGGCGCCTGGCTTCGAAGCTGATGAGGACGAAGAGGCAAAGGAAGCTAAGGACCGCATCCGGCGCGAGCAGGTATCGGCCAACACGTTTGGTGAAGGCGAGGAGGACAAAGTCGAGCAACAGGAGCGGGAGGAACAGCTGGAGAAGCTTCGGAGTAAGATAATTGGTAAGCAGACAGTAAAGACTCTTAAGAAGCTGGAGCACGGGCTGGATTATGACGATCTGGAGTCTGGGTCTGATGAAAACAACCCCTTCACTGATGACTCGGTAAGTTCAGCACCGAAATGATGAGTAGGTTCTGATTTCTAACACGTATCAGGACACCGACGAGGAGTCGTCGGATCATGCCGACAAAGAGGATGAAGAGGGCAAGAAGACGGACCAGGGCGCTTCTGGGGCGAACACCAAGGGAGATACCACGCCGTCTGGGAAGCAGAGAACGGTCAATGCGCTCAAGAAGGGCAAGCTCAAGCGGGCCGGCTCCCCCAACATGTCCGAGTCGAGCGACAACGAGGCGGCCCGGAAAAAGCTCAGGACCGGTATGGGCTCTGTTGTCGCTAGCCGCGGCGGCACTCCCATCCCTGGGCGGCCGAAACAGTTAGGCGCTGCCATGAGCGACGGCGAGGCCACCGGGGGTGAGGCATCCGATGCCGGCACGAGGCTCAAGACGAAGCTCAAGACGAAGCCGGGCGTGCGGACGGGTGCTACGCCTTCTGGGTCAAGGGCCAGTAGCCCTGCCCCCACTGGTAAGTATAATCATATGAAATCTGTCCTGTGTCATGTGTGGACGGCGTTGACCCCGCGCCTCAGGATCTCAAGGGCCCAAGACAGGCACCACTACTCCCGGGGGATCCCCGCCCCCGGGCGATAGAATTGTCCCAGTCGGTAGGTTTGCCCTCGCCCAATCTCCCATTCTTTTAAGCACGCTTGCTTAACATGGCTTTAGCAAACCAAGCTCCCAAGGTGGGCGCCGCTGCGTCAGGTGGCCCGGACAGGATCCAGCCCAGAGAAATTGCCGAGGCACTCGCCCCGTATGCCAAGGAAGGCATCAGCCTGTCCAACCTGATGAAGATGTTCCAGAAGCGCATCGGCAAGCCGGGCAACATCACAAAGTCGGAGTGGATACAGATGGTCAAGGCCCATGCGGTCTATGGCGCCGATAAGTTGTTGCGGCCCAAGCCTGGCAATGGCTCGACGTAGATAGTCACCCGGCGTGTGGTCAAGAAGGGATATGTCGGTGCATGCATTCCTAGAGGGTGAGCTGCTTGGCTTTCCTTCTTTAAACCAGTTCCGGCCTTAGATATTGGCACGGCAAATCAGATTCTTTGAAGGTGCCATTGGCGCTCGGCTCATGGAGATAGTCAGGACTGAGCGCGAGTGAAACACGAGGGGTTACACATTTCCTAGCACCTTTTTTTTCTTGTGACTCGAGCGAACGAAGGTAGACGATACATCCCATATCTTGCTCAGGGACCGCGCTTCGCGTGAGTATTAAATTATATACTCCCTTTGTGTCCGAGCCCTTAACATACCGGTTCTGCTGTGACCAAAAAGACCCAAACCCCCCGGAACCAAATCAAGCGAACCTACACGAGAGCAGGCTATTCATCCATTTGCCAAGCATACTCCAGCCCTTTATTCATCTCACGTCTATTCAACGCCTTAAACCGCTCCGCCTCGAACCCATTCCCTCGATCGACCCCGTCCCACCGATACCCCGGCCGGATCCCATACCGATTCGGCGCCGCGGGGCCCTTATACACCGGCCTCCTCGCCGTCAACCCTTTCTTCTTCCCCTTGCCCGCCTTACCAAATGACTGTTGTTCCTTCTGCGTCAAGAACTCAGCCATCGGGTCATTCCACCGCTCCGCCCTCTTCATCTCCTCGTTCATTGACACGTCATCCTTGCCCCGGGCAAGCGGCATTAACGCCGCGTCCTCGAGCGCCTCCCGCCGCTGCCGCGCCTGCGCCGACTGCACCTCGCCCCTGAGCAGGTCTGCCTTGGCCTTTTCGGCGCGCTCGGCCGCGGCCTCTTGCCGCCGGGCTTCAGCGCGCAGAAGGGCGGCGTCGACGCGCCGGCCGGTCGCGTCGCGGAGGATCGTCGAGGAGGCTTCTTGTTCTTGTCGTTGCTGCTGTTGGGCGGTGTTGTGTGCTGCTTTGAGCGCGGCCAGCTCGGCGGCTTCGAGGGCTTGGCGCGCGCGGATCTGGGCGGTTATCGAGGAGGCGGACTGGAGCCCCGCGAGAGTCCCGTTGGACATCATCTGGGGGGTTTCGGTGGTGGCGATGGTGGCAGTTGGGTCGTCGACTTCGTCTGCGGCTGCTAGGGCCGCGGATTCGGCGGCTGCCGAGGCTATTATTGCGTCGGCTGCGGTGGCGGTATCGTCTTTTGATGGGGTTTTGGGGTTAGTGGGCGCGCCGTTGAGGGTTTTCCAGGCGGACTTCTTGGTGCGCCGGAAGTCGGCGGTCGCGCCGGCTATCGTGACGGGGATGTCATCGTCTTCGTCGGCGGCGCTGGGGCGGGCGGAGGAACCCCAGCCGGTTTCGTCGTCGTCGGTGATGAGGAGGCCCGAGGAGGTCGTGGCTTGTTTGCGCTTGCGCCTTTTGGTCGAAGAGGAGGGTTTGTTGTCGGCTGTAAGGTAATGCGCTGCTAGATAGGCTGCTTTGTCTGACGGCATGTTGGGCGACGAGGTGTGTGAATGGGATGACCGTCTCAGTGGCCTTTTGTTTGTCGCCATGCCATCAAGGTGTCTTAACGGAAATTTTGGGGTGAAATGCGCTGCGTGACATCACTGATAAGCAGATACGGAGTAACCAGCAGAGAGGCTTGGCACCCATTCCCGTCTGTTTCAGACCTTACTAGTAGGTTTTTGGGTCTTGCAATGGTTACTCCGTGCATGCTACGAGTGAGCCCACTGATGCCCGACAACAGATCTATCACGGCGTTTACCACGGTATGAGCATCAGCTCTCCAAACAGTTTTAGCTATACGACATATTCACTGTCATGGCGCAGACACGCGCGCGTCCGACAAGGGGATATTCAAGGGGTTCTCCGACGTTAACCTACTGTATAATCGGCGTGGCTGAAATCGGAGGCGTTTCGCGTTTGTTGAAGCGGCAAACTTCAGCAAGGCCGGAATGGAGCTAAAGTGGCTGGTCCTGGCTGGTCGCTCCAGGCGCTTGCAGCTTCGAGAAATCCCAGCTTCGATTGGCAAGATGATGGCGCCAATGTCAACCCCGGAGCTCCTTGGGCTCCGATGGGGAGTATGGGTAGGGCGCCATTGACAGAGTCGGACACAGAAGTGGTGCAGGGAGAAACTCACCTGAGGCTTAACGCAGGAGTTTCCTATAATTCTTTATAGTCCCAGCAATGGCCGTGTTACCGCGAGCCACGTAGTCCGCCAACCCTTGAGGCATCAAGTAGCGATGGCCCACCAAAAACTGCATCCGACTCCTGCGCGTTCAGAAAGGATGTAGTGCCGACGACATCATCTGCCAGCTTTTCGATTCGTATCCAGACAGGAAAGAGGCGTCGCGTACCCGGCCCTCTCATACACCTGGGGCGGCTCCATGCACACGCCAACGGCCAGCTTTCCGAGGGTCCTCGTTGATAGTTAGGAGCTGGAGGTAACGGAGAACTTATACTCGGCGCTCCATCATATACGGTGCCATGATCGCGACGTGACTCTCTGGGTTGATGTCCTCTGCATACATCAGCAACACCCCAAGGAGAAAGGCCACCAGGTCAAACAGATGGACGATGTCAACGCAGGGGCTGAAGACGTGCTCATCTGGTAAGGGCTGAGCAACGCCAAGACTGACGCCGTTTTGGAATACATTGCCTGGGTTGACGCCCGCGCCACGCAGGCCCAGGCAGTGGGAGGAAGAGGTTGGAGGAGTCTTTGCCGCCGCTTCATGGTTTAACGGCCACGGGACATCGGCCTAGAGAACCATTCGGAGATGATATGAACCCTCCGGAAGCGTCAACAAGCACCGTGGTTCAGGAGGGCCTGGGTGCTCCCAAAAGTGGCCAAGCGAGGTCAGCTCAAACTACGTGCGGCTCGTCCTCCTGCCCAGCACGGACTTTCGCCCTGCTGCCGTCCATCCTTTGGTTTGGACGTCGGTGGCGGTACCCAAGCCGTCCTGGATATTAATGCCCCGGCTCCGCAGGCACACAAGGTGGTCCTCAACACGCGATCTCCACTTCCTTCTGCAGAAGTATTCCCACAGCGAGGCCATGTTCGCCCGAGACAAGTACTAGGCATGTTTACGGGACGCATGCAAGCCAAAGGTGTTTTACCCTTGCTATGAGACATGGGACAACCAGGGATTTCAGAACACAGCGCGCTTCATCTTGTTCGGGGAGGCCATCGGTCGGAGCAACATGTACTCGTTCCCAGACCTGACGCTCAACGACTTGCGTCTCCCACTAGTTGAACTGGCGGCGAAGACGCTCAAGTGGGCAGAAGAAGAAGGCGCAAGATACAAATCAGTTCAGAATACGGCGAACCATATGTACGGTTACATGTATGTTGGACGACTGGACTCCCGCGCTGTAGTCCGGTCTCTACTCCAAGGTCCCAAACTGACGTCTTCCTTGTTTGGAAATCTGCTGATGTTCACGCCACTTTCGAAGGAATGAGAAGCGCAGCGATTTGTTTCTTGAAAACCAAAGACAAGTGCGTACATCTCGCGAGGCCCGACTAGCTGACAGGCGTCATACCTTATTGTGTACGGTGATTGGAAAGACTGGTACTCTTAAGAACCCGTTTCTGCCCTGGAGGTGTGACACATAAGGGATACCGATATCCATGAAGTTTCTGAAGCGGCCGGCTTGGTCAGCACCTCAGACTCTCTGGGGCAGAGCCGGGGCTCAGGGCTCATGGTACATGGCTTACCTGCCAGGAAAGCTTACAAGGTATTACCTTGCCCCACTCCCTTGAGCTACCGTTAGCTGCTTATCGGCGGGAGCTTATCATGCGCTGCCTGCCGGCCCGGAGCATCAGCTGCGTGAAATGGGGTATACAGTAAGCAATGAAAGACAGCACCGTCACTATCATCCCACTATTCCCAGAACCAGCAGTAGCAGAGAAGCAAGCGAGCAATTTTTGGAGCCTCTGGGCAGTCGAAAACTATGTGTCTTGATCCATTCGATTCCCACAACACAGCCAAGGCGCCATAATCATGCCTGTTGATGACGCGGGGAGCTCCGGGAGCAGTGGGGGCGGGGGTTCCTGCAGGTGCAGCGCTCCACAGTCCACACGCTGCGAGCTGCACGCAATACTGTAGCCTCGTCTGCGGATCATTCCTTCATCAACCTTCCACAGTGACCACATGCAACCAACCAAACTCGGGTTCGCCAATTGCAGCCCGTGGCCAGAGCATGCTCCCCATCACACAACGAGAGGCAATGTGCTGAGCAGCTCAGCATGCGCGCGCCTCGTTGTCTTGGAATAAGACCACAGCCACTGACGGTCGAAGTCGTTCCACGGGCAAGAGAGGCAGTCATGGAGTGGTCGACTTTGTACGCGACTCCCGGGCCGTGACGCGGGTGAGCTTCATCAGCGCTACGGGAGGCCCTGTTGGCATGCTCGGCATGGACGGCGATGTCCATGAATCACTCACAGTGGGCACGGCTTCTTTGAGCCGCTGCGCTTTCACCGCGTTGACTCGGTCAGAGCTAAGTCCAAAGAAACGCATGTCACCGTCTTTGTACCGGAGTCCGTTTGTCGACGGTATCTCGGTGTTGGAGTGTGTCAGAAACGGGTTGCGTAATGGGCTGTCCAGCCCAGAACCTGCCTGGCCCGCGTGGAAATCGTCATCGGCGTGCGAACAACGACGGACCTACCAGGGCAGCCAAGGCCCGGGCAGCACTTGGCTTTAAGGCCAAAAATAGCATGGACGACATGGTCATCCGCCCACGTCCTCGCCGTTTCCATCCCTTTGACTGACGATGCCGCCAGCTGCGTTCCTTGTCTGAGAGGTGTTGATGGTCATCTGCCGGGCTGTCGTCACTTGGTCATGGTCCCCGGGACCCACAGTCTTTGGAGTTGCGCCACCCCTGCCTGCTTCAGCTGCTTATCCCGGCATACCCAAAACAGTCCCGATAAGTCCCGTCAAGCAAGCTTATAACTGACTGCGCCGTGCTCCTCTTGTCTCGCATCTCTCCTTCTGTAACACGACAGTAGACAGATAAACATTCTCGACCTCTTGCACGGTCATCATCAGCTCCGTTTGACATTCTTTGTCATTTTACCTCACTTAAAAGCCACTCCTGCAGTTTTCCTCTCGTGTCATCTCAGCCTGTATCTTATCGTCACTTATCGACCGAGGACGGCCGCACTGGTCAACCATCCCTGACACTGCGCCTTTCAACTGAGTCACCGGCCGGCGCCCAAAAGAGGCCAACCTCTTTCGTAATAAGACGTGCTTGAACTGTCTGCAGTTGACAGAGGACGCTCTTTCTTTTAAGTGTACACATCAGCAGACCAAGACACTACATTCGTTGTCACTTACAGCTCCGTCATATCCGACAAGCCTGTTCCAGAACGAGAAGGCACTCGAAGATTCCCTCTGCCTATACACCTATTCCAGTATAAACGTACCGTCAGCCTCTGAGCGACAAGCTAGTTCGCCTCAGTGTTGACTGCCTACTTGCTCGGCTTCAACAGTCAGGCAGTTCAGCAACCCAGCACACTCCACACTCCACCATCGCCCTCGGCATCCAGTACCTGGCACATCGAACCCACCAAACCTCAGAATGACCACTCAATACGAGCGCGACCTCCGCTCCGCCAGGAAGGAGTGGCAGCGCTACAAATGCTCGGCCACCAAGTGGTCTCACGGCAGCCGCCACCTCGCGGGCATTCAAGTCAACTGGGCCGGCGATATTCTGAACCCCAACGTCCCAGAACACCAGCTGGCCAAGTCGAGGCCAGGAAAGAAGCCCAGCCAGGAGTAAGCCTTCTGATACCCAATATCATCCAGGCCCCAAAACCAGACAATTGACAGAAAACAATGAAGTGGCCACCCCTACCCAAAGACAAGCCAAAACCTGATCAAATGCCGCCCCAACAACTCCATGTCCGACAGCCGGCGCCGCGGCAAACTGTACGCGCAGCACGAGATCCGCGACGCCGCCCCTTCAACACCAGATCTCGACCTGTCGCCACTCGCCTCCCCAACCGACCTTAACCCAACCCGCAATCCGCTCAGCGCAAGCACTTCTTCCAGTGCGGCGGCGGCGGCAGGAGACCCATTCGTGTATTCCTTTGACCGCACCGACTCGCCCGGCGGCCCGCTCACGCTCGAGGTGTTCGTCAAGCCCGGGGTGGGGCACGGCAAGGGGGACCAGACGGAGAAGTTGGTCGAGAGGGAGTATGAGGTGTTGGACGGGAATGGGGAGGCGGTGAAGGGGCGAAAGGCGAGGGCTGTTTTGAGGAGGGGCGGGACTGGCAGTGTTGAACCCAGTGCGGGGACGGGAATGGGAGTGGAGGAGGCTGGGGAGGAGGATGAGGGGTTCGAGTTGCTTTAATGCTTTTCTTTTTTGTTCCTGGGGTGGGCGTTGTCATCGTGAAGGTCGCAAGGGTGGCCCCTCCTTGCCGGTTGGTTGGCGATGACTGACGGCCATTTGGTCATTCGTCCCGCTGGGTTGAGAGCGTCTTTTTGAGCCTAGTTTCTGCGCCCGGGGGGGGGGGAAGGGAAGCAGGGCGGGCGGGCCTTTCCTCTTTCGCCTCCTTTTTCCTTATGCATCTGTTCCTAGAGCGTTCCTAGCAGCACTTTAGTCGGTGGTGTATTCATATTATGGAATCTTGATCGGATAGGACTGGCTGGGAATCCGACCGCCTCACGGCATGGGTTGCAAACCGAAGCGTCCTCTTGTTGCATTACTGCATGGGGAATTGCACACCTCGCGGACAGTAGTCTTTCAGGATTGGCTCGACCGCAGCTAGAGCACTAGGGACTATCCGGGCTCATAGTAATTGATCATCATCAAAGCCCGCTTCCATCACTCCGATGATCCTTTAACGTCGCTGGTTATCCCTGTACGAAACGACGCGCTTGCAGTTTAGAACCTCGACAGGTCAGCATGCTTGCCATGGTGGCGGGTATCAATTCGTCCAAAGCAGACTATCCTGTTGACGGTCAGCCTCATAATATCACAGGTGCTTGGAGGGTCCTACCACGAAAGCCGTACATCAGCTCGCGTATTCAGTCAGTGTATCTTCTGAAGACATCCTAAAACATCAAATTGACCGGCACTGCTTCCAGGTCTCTGCGGGCTGGTAAAAGTGAGCGAAACCCTAGAGTTAGTGGGCCACTCATCCTGGGAAAGACCGTCCCATGAGTAGCTCGTAATATGTCCTCTGCTCTTCCTCAGTGCCCAGAGATGGATCGAAATCTGGGTCGGTGGACTCCGGGATGGGCTCCGGGTTCGCACCCATGATGTAGAAGTCTGCAATGGTCTCGTCTGGCGCAAATCCGAGAGAGGCAAGTGTTTGCGAGGCCCGGGTGGCACTGGTAGGATGTTAGATAATGAATGCGATGACGCGAAGATGGCATGGTTTCGTACGACTGGGCCGCGTCCTTAGCCACGATATCCGACAGCGAGTCTCTGGGTTGGAAAGGCGACTCCAGAGACAGACGCAGCTTCGGCTCGGGCGGCGCAACAACGCTTGACACAGACTGGCTCCGCTGGCTCGCAGGTGGCTGCGAGATTCTCTTACTAGCCGGTGGCGGGCGGACGGGCGGGGTCTCGTCGCCGGCGTCCTCGTCCTCGACCTCCTGCGACGGAACAGTGACATTGCTGTCGGCCGTCTGCAGTCCTGGCGGCGGGCCATTGTGCCCGAAGAAAGCGCGGAATACGGAGCTCTGCTGCCATGTGGCAATCAAGGCATCCTGCTGGTTCGAGTCCTTGATCGAGCCGACAATGGCCTTGCCGCCGTTGCCCCGTAGGTGGCCCTCAATCAAGGTGTCCAGCCCTGGGATGGCGCCGAGGACAGCACCCCAGGCGGCGGCGCTCTCCTTGTAGGTGTTGAGAGCGGTGCGGTACCCCTTTTGCGGGCCACGGCGTTTGGTGGGGCGCAGGTATAAACACGGCTTGTTGTGCTTGGTACAGACGCTGCATTTCGGCTTGCCGTTGTCGCAGGGCTGGTGGTTTACATGACAGAAGTCGCAGCTGAGATGCCGGTGAGTAGGAGGGTGGGATTTCGTCTAGGCCTAACTTACGCCCTCGATGCCTTTTTCCTCTTGCGCGGGTTGGCTGCTGCCTCGCTCCCGGCATCTGCTCCGGTGTCACTGGGCGGAGCGGGAGGGCCCGGCACATTGCTCCCCGGTGACGGAGCCGGGGGTTGTCGTGAAGCTTCAGCTGGTTGAATTGACTCAGCGCCGATTGCTGGCTCTGCAACGGCTAGCTCCATGTTGTGCTCAGGCGCACAAAGTCCATACGGTCAGATACAATTACGAGGTAAAAACAAGATAGGCCAACGGCGAACTTGTGAGCGCCAAAGAGAGGCTCGGAGAATGCAGCTTTGAGCCGAATCACGGCATCCGAAACGCTGTGAGCCGCGTAGTATGTAGGTGCAGTATGTGGGGTTCAAGGTGCATCCGAAAATTAGGGGGTTGCTTCCCCGGGCAGCAGGCTGGGTGCTTGTACCCGGACCCACTGATGGAGCGAGCCGCACCTCAGCGGGGATCTATGTCCCACCACCGTACCAGTATAAGGTTCAGCGCAGGGTCTACATTTTCCCGGAGCTGCACTCCCGACGGCAAATCTGCCGATACTCGATATCAAGACAGCACTCTCCCCGGCTACAGTCAGTGATATAGCATGCGGTCTGAATACTTGATCAACCATTGTCCATGTCCTCCGCAGCCAAAGAACCATGTCAAATCTTTCTCTTGACGCGACCTGACTGATCCTTCACCGCTCCAAGACTCCAACTCCGTTACTCGAGAACCTTGGCAGTGCAAGAAACCATTTAATTTGGGCAGAATTGAGTGAGCGCGGGAGTCGGCGGCTTGGGTACCCGACCGAGATGGCGCCCCCTAAGAATGAACGCATCTTCGAGCCCAATGCCTCCATTGTCCTCGTCGGCTGCCGCGGTGCCGGCAAGCGCACCCTGGGCTTCATGGGCGCCCTCCATCTCCGCCGCCGTCTCGTCACCGAGGACCACTACTTCGAAAAGATCACAGGGCTCTCCCGGGGCCAGTATCTTTCCAGGCACGGCAGGGAGCACTTTGCGCGCCAGAACATGCACGTCTTCAAGTCCATGCTAGACGCGAACCGGACCGGGTGCATCATCGAGTGCGGAATGAGCAGCCTCAGCGACGAGGCCCAAGATGCCCTGCGACAGTACTCCAGGACACACCCCGTGGTGTACATCCACCGCGAAAAGGAGCAGATATCACGTCTCATGGATGCCGCTGACGCCCAGCAGTTGTTGAAAGCGGATGGCAAGCACCGGGACTGCTCCAATTTTGAGTACTACAATCTTTACGACGCCGCTTCAACGCCCTCTTCAACCTCAGGGACAACCTCGGGAAGAAGCACACCAACTAACGGCCGGCAGCAGCATGGGCCATCGAAACTATTGGGTGCCCGAGAGGACTTTGCCAGATTTCTCGACATCATCACGGGGCGCGGCGCAACAAAGGCCTGGTTGGAAAGCCCCTTCTCCGTCGCAGCCATTCCGCCCGAGTTCCGCTCTTACTCATATGCCCTGCGGTTGCGTCTCTCGTATCTGATGGACATGGACCTGGAATGGGAGGACTTTGAGGCAAGGGGTGATTGCGTCGAGCTGATAATCGACCACTGGCCCGAAAATCTCCTGAATATTATCGCAAGGCAAGTCGCCTTGATCAGGAGGAAACTGGGCGTACCAATCATCTACCACGTTGAGGAGTATCCCCGCGGAGAACGGCGGAGGCCGCCAGATGAGAAAGATGCCATGGACGCCGAGCTGCTCGAGCTGGGCATGCGGCTCGGCGTCGACTACATCAGCGTGGACCTGCAGCGTAGTGAAGCCTTGGTTCACCGCGTGCTACAACACCGGGGCAGGTCAAAGGTCATCGGCAACTACTGGTACATGGGCCTCGGCGCGCTTCCATGGCAGGACGAGCGACAGATCGAGAACTACAAGGCGGCACAAGCCCTCGGCTGCGACATCATCCGCATGGTGCGCTTCTGCGCAAACGACAGCCCTATCGAGTATCTCGAAGACTTTAAAGCACGCGTCCAAAAAACCATTCCCGACCCCAAACCACCACTCGTCGCCTACGACTTCTCCGTCCTGGGCGTACGCACCCCGCTGCAGACGCGCATCCTCGGTCCCGTCAAACACCCAGACACGGAAAACGAGCGCGATCATCTGGCTACCGTTACGGACCACGCCCACGCCTTTGAGCTTCTCTTCCGCCAGTTCCTCCTCGACCCCCTCAACTTCTACGTCCTCGGCTCGCACGTCTCCTACTCCCTCTCCCCGGCCATGCACAGCGCCGCCTACGATTTCACAAGAATGCCACACACCTTTCAGGCCGTCCCTTGCTCGACGCTTGACTCGCTCGACCAGATCTGCTCCTCGGACGCCTTTGGCGGCGCCTGCCTGACGGCGCCCTTCAAGATCGCCATCATGCCCCACCTCAAACTCAAGTCGCACCACGCCACGGCCATCGGCGCCGTCAACGTCCTGCTGCCCCTGCGCGGCCGCACGAGCGGCACCGTCCTGGACCACGCCAACTCGCGCAACAGGGCCGGGCCAGCGAGCGAGTTCTTTGGCGACAATACTGACTGGAGCTCGATCCTGACTTGTCTCCGACGTGCCATCAGCCCGAGAAACTATGTGCAGCCGTCGCGGACCACGGGCCTGGTGATTGGCGCCGGCGGGATGGCCAGGGCCGCCGTCTACGCACTGTATCAGCTCGGGTGCAGGAATGTTTTTGTGTATAACCGGACCGTGGCCAGGGCGAGGGAGGTGGCGGGGCACTTTAATCGGTGGGCTGCTGCTGCTGCTGGCCAGCCCGCGGCAGCAACGGGGACGGTGAAGGGGGGCGGGCGCAGCCCGAATGGGCCATCATCCGGGGCGAGAGAGGTGGTGAGGGTGATTCCCTCGCTGTCGGACTCCTGGCCTGCAGGCTATCAGCTGCCAACCATGGTGATTTCGTGCGTGCCGGCGACGAGCGTGGATGGAAATCCGCCGGCGGATTTTGTGATGCCCCTGGATTGGCTGCGGAGTCCGACTGGCGGTGTGGTTGTTGAGGTGTGTCTACTTCTTACTCTTTCACCTCGTTCCCTTCAATCTCTTCCCCTACGGTTCAGGAGATACAGTGTGCTAATCATGTGAGATGCACGTGTCCAGCTGGCCTATGAACCTCTCGTGACGCCGCTCGTCGCGCAGATGCGCGCGATACGCGACAACCTGTGCCCGTCGTGGGTGGTGGTCGACGGCCTCGAGGTTGTCGCCGAGATGGCGATTGAGGCGTTTGAGTTGATGACGGGGCGCCTGGCGCCGAAGCGGCTGATGAAGGAAGTATGCCGCAAGACGTGGGAGGCGCAGCAGCAGCGGAGGGCAATCACTTAAGAGTGGTTTGGTGCTGGTTTCTCCTCCGGCGGATCCGGGTGTTACTGGAACGGGAGTAGGTTGTGATGTGTTTAGGAATGAATACCCGTATGGTTAGCTGTTAGTTTGGGCTGATTTCAGTTTGGATGGGTTGTGCTGGCCTATACAGCATTGATGGATTGTGGTCAAATCATTGAGTGATCGTCATACGCAGACGTTAGTGGAGTCATCCCATGATGCTTGCAATGCGACGACCAACCATGCTTGCAATGCGACGACCAACCCTAGCCCATCCCTAACTACACCTCTCATACATTGCTGTCCTGCGACTGTCCCTATCTAGCCCCGACCATGACAACAAAACTCCATAGCCCAAAACGCCAGCCGATGCAATGCCCACTCAAAATTTTCCGTCCATACTTCCAACCTGACCCTGACCCAACCCCTTCACCTTCAAAACGGCCAAGCAGCTGAGACAAGCATGTAACCAACCACACACCTCTTACCCCCTTTCCATAATCACCCCACCGCCCTCTCCTGCTCCCGAAGCCAGCACCCCGCCAGCCGAATCCTCCAGCCAGCCCATCCCAAATCCCACCCAACCCCTTCCAAGGTCCGCATCTCTGAGCCACTCAACACGTCGTTCTCTCTCCCCTCGCGCTGAGCGCTCCAGACGGTGTGGCACAAGTCGGTCAGACAGGCGTGCGCGAGCGCTGTGATGCCGAGGCCGTGCGGGGAGGAGGAGGGTGCTGCCATGACGATGGAGCGCTGCGCCCAGGTGTTGACGAGGGTGCCGAGCTCGGGGGTGTAGGACCAGTTTCCGGCGGGGAGGTTTTGCAGGGCGCATAGGCGGAGGATGAAGGTTATGCGGTTCGGTGGGTGGTTCGGTTGGTTGACGAGGGAGAGGCCGTCGTTGTGGGTGTGATGTTCTGCGTGCTGTTCCTCGTGCTGTTCGGAGGGCCTGGTCGGAGTTGCAAGTTTTGGCTGGGGAAGTGGCATTGAGGGAATAAGGCCTGGTGAGAGTGGAGGGATGGGCGAGCTGGGTGGGTAGAGAAGGGAGATGCGGTGGTGGCGGATGTAGGTGAGAGGTGGGAGCTGTGGAGGGGTTAGGCGGTGGACGATTGCGAAGAGGGAGGATCACATACTTGAGGCGGCGTATTCAGCGTGGCCGAGAGAGACGAGCTTTCATAGGCATCTTTGCTGGTGACGGATCCTGGCTTGCTTGTTCGGCGGAGAATCAACACGCCCAAGAGCAAGAGGTCGATGAAGCTAGCCAGTTGTGTTAGCTACCTTCAGCCGTGGGGGAATCTGTTGGGGGGGCATACGCGCTCAATGTAGACATGGCACATCCGACTTTGGACCATGCTGCCACCCGCGGCCGGTTGCTGAGGCTTACACGCCAGGCAAAGAAGGGCAGCGGGCCGCACCAGAGACCGGCACAGACAAGAAGGCCGATAGAGACCACATACAAGTGGAAATTTGGCGCTCGTCTGAAGGCCACGCAGAGGTAGAGGCCCAATAAGCCGTGGAAGACGGTCTGTTGTGAAGGTTAGCTGATGTTCTAGGAGAACGGTTGATGGGACTCACGGTGACGATGGCGAGTGACGATGGGACAGCAGCATAGATGGCAACGATAGCAACCGGAACTTGGAGAAGAAGCAGCCACTTGAAGAAGCTTGGGACCACCACCGGATGTGCCAACATCATCACCTCATGGCAACGAAGCAGTCATCACGAGCGAAGTTGTCAAGGTTGATTCTCATCGATGGGGAAAGGCTCGTTCCCGGGACGAGTGAGGCAAAACGACGGCCATGTTACAGACAAAAGACATGGCGTCTTCTGATCTCGGGTCTAGACTTCTCTTGACAAAGTCGCTGACAACGCCCTGCAGAAAATCAACGTGCCTGGCGTCTGGGGAGTTGATCTCGAAACAGTGGGCAGTGAGGGAGGGCTGCAGCCACAAGGGGCATGCTTGTTTTGATAGGGCGCTGGGGCTCGATGCGCGACGCAGCAGTTCGTGAAAAGGGTCCATGGCCGGTCCAGCACTACAAAGGCAGAATAGCACTGGCACTCCGTAGCGAACCTCATATCTCTATCTTACTGCGGTCCATTGCGATATGCTCTCGACTTGCACAAACAGAATAGCTCCACTCCGTGATGATATCTGGGAGTCTGGAACAAACTGCGTTGGGAAGGGTGGGTTTATTCAGTTTCAGAGAGAATTTTGACGGGACAGATGTGGCTCACAAAAGACTTTCAACCGCTGCCGCTAACGTGGTGTGCAGCATCTGAGCCTGAAACTGTTAGCAGCACTGAGCCCCACTCCCGTTTCTGTTTAGCGCTCTCTCTCTTGCAGTTTCCGGCCCTCTCCCAACCAGCCGCAACTTTCTCCATCTTACTTTTAAACCTACCAACGTACGCCCAATATCAAAGTTGCTGGGTGCGGTTGATTACACAACTGACAAGTCCAACATGAGGTAGCAGGGTCAGAGTATTTTCCCACCCTATGCAAGCATCGGCGGCCGTCTTGTCGACATGAAGCCGACCCGAAACTCGACGCTCAGCCGCACCAACCCAATCCCAACTGCCTCGCTCTTCCATGCCCCCGTCTGATTGGCCACACCCCGACCTCATCTGCCTGTCGGTGTCTGCAGCGTGGTGAGCTGCTGCGCCACAGGCACCCGCGGAACAAACGCACAGGGCAACCGGAAGCACTTGAACGTCGGCAAACTTTCCTCCGATTCTGACAACTTGCTCAGAGTCAATTACATCAGGGTAACTTATGAGTTAATCTTTGCCACTTTGTGCTGAGTTTCAGTGTCTCTCCTCAGAAAGAATTCCAAGTATCAATTGCCTGTTAGGGCAGCTTCCACCTTGGGTTACCTGACGCCGGGGTTCCCGGCCTTCTTGGGCCCGAAGCTCCATCCAGACACAGCCGGACCCGAACACGGGATACCATAGGTAACTCACACACAGGCAACCACTATCATCAGCAGACATGGATTCCGCAACAGAAGCTGCGCTGGAGAAGGCTCGCCTCCAGGAGCAGATCCTGCTCCAATCGCACCGGGACCAGTCTTCGCTGGCATCCACAAGCCGGGGGACTCCCTCCGGGAGCAACACGGTGCCCATGACCGAGGAAGAGCTGGAGTCGCTACCAACTCCCAGCCAGCACTCCCCGATTTCCGCACCCCTCTACCTGTCCCAGCGCTCACTCACCCCGCCACCCTACTCGGGGCCTTCTACGCCAGCCCAGGAACCCACTCCGTCCCAGGACTCTCACCCGGGTGGCGGGCCCAAGCCGCCTCCACGATACCCCGGCCTGCCCGCCCTCGACTACCGCCTCTACAACCCGCCCCTTTTTGACCTGTCCGCGGACAAGACCACCATCAAGTCCACGGCCGCGCACCTCTCGACCAGCGCCGACGCTCTCGTCGCCCTGATCCGGCAGCAGGCCACGGTGCCGCCCAAGCCGCAGATCCACATCATCGGTCGCCGCGGCAGCAGCCCCAACAGCGGCAAAGTCGACTTCTCCATCAAGCTCAACCTGCTCCCCCTGCTGGTGCCTGAGGATCCGCGCCAGCGCATGGACTACCTGCGGTGCGTCGGCCCCGGGGAGGTCGCCTTCCGGGGGGGTAGCAAACCGTCGACGGCGCCCGAGGTGGAAGGGGATGGTGGCGGCGTGGATGCGTGGGCGGCGCGGTTCGTGGCTGACTCGGCGAGCGTCAAGGCGTTTGTGCTCGAGAGGGTCGTGGTGAACCTGGATGTCGAGTGGCTCGAGGGGCAGATTCGGAAACTCGTGGTGGGCATGAAGTATCCCGGCTCGGTCGCCGTGTCGTTTCCCATGACGCATCACCGCGTGGTGGTGCAGAACCCGGATCGGGTGAACAAGTTCATTACGAGTGTTACTGGTTTCTTTGCGGGCAAGAGGAAATATGAGGTGGTTAAAGCTGTGTGGCCGTTTGCGACTATGCCGAGGGGGAGTGAAGGGCGAAGGTGTGCGGTGCAGAGCGAGGAGGTGTGGTGGAAGGAGTGGAGGGGGCCGATTCGCTATGGTATGTCTTTCCTATGGAAGTTTGAGGGAGGTGATGGAGAAAGTGATGCTGACTGACTCCTGAATAGCAATTGCGACAAAGCGCCAAGGCTGGGTCACTAACGAGGACAAGCTGGAGGCCCTCATGGATGGGACGCCGGTGAAACTGCCGGCCGATGTAGATTGGGGTCCCGAGTACTAATGTTGTGCCTAAGGTAGCTGCCTAAGTTTGCTTATTGTGCGGATGATTTTGAATAGTCATAGCGATGGAGTTATTGCTTTTGGAAGGTTAATACACCTGCGGTAATGTATATTGTTTTGGTTGGAGACTCTCCTGGTATGAAGATCGGTGCTGCACCGTGAATTGGATTCATACAGTACATGTCAATTCCCCCTCTCACCGCGTCATGTCCTCGAAATCTCAGCTTCCGACAATATGTCGACATCCATACATCCTCCGCTGAGGCCAATGTGTCAGGAAACCAGGGGTCAAATGAGCCTCAAAGCTCTCAAATGTGGGTGAGTCATCCGGAGAGACCCCTAACATGAGCCTGTGCAGGCCTGTGACACCACGCCGAGCACTCGGCCCCAAGCCTCACCCCTTTGCTACGGGGAACATGCAACCCATCAACTCAAGGGCTTATAAAAACACAAAAAGGTGCATCTCATTGATATAGAGCTTCTTTTCTGGTCTTCCCCTTTGTGAATCCTCTGGTCGACAATTTCCCTCAATCAGGTACTCTTGACATTCCATCTCAACAACACTTCGTCAATTCTCTCACAATTGCCAAGTTGCTCTCAACCACCGTATTCTACTTAATTCATCCGGCCCATCTAGCAGGCGAATTACGCAAGTCTGGCATTGGCCATGGCGGCCTCCGTAGCATCAACCGCCTCAGAGCACTCACCGGACCACCAGCCATCATCATCACCATCACAGCATTCGCCGTTCTCGCTCACCTCACGCGACACAGCCCTCACCTTCATCCCGCCCAAGCACCTCTGGTCCCGCCTCGACCACCTGCGAGCCCTCTACGACAAAGCCTACCCCGAATGGCCGCCCCACATCAACCTCGTGTACCCCTTCGTCAAGCCCGAGGAGCTGGCCGGTGCCGTTGAGCGGATAGGGTCTACTCTCTCTTCTTCACCGTCTCGCTCTCATACTCATACGGGTGAAAGTGAAGAGACAATGGGTCAGAAGGAAGCGATAATTGCCGGGGGCATCCCAGTGAAGCTGATCGAGGTGGGCGTGTTTCCGCACAAACGAGATAACACCATCTACCTGTGCGACGGAGACGCAGACAGACGGGAATCGCTGGATGGCCTAAGGAGGACGGTGCTGGATTCGTTGGGCGTAGAGGGGGTGTCGGAGACGGGTAAGGGGTATAAGATGCACCTCACGATGGCGCAGACTGAGGATGTGCACTCTGCTGCGCATCGGTTTCTGGTCGACAAGATTGGGTTGGTGCCCGCTGTCGAGTGGACTGCTGGAGAACTGGCTGTGTTGGTTAGGGAGCGGGCTGCGCATGGCGGGAGTGCGATGCGCTTGTGGGGGACGGTTGGGCTCGAGGATGGGAGGATCGAAAGGTTGGAGCGGGTGGGAGTGTTTTACCAGGGAGTGATGGACAAGTTGAAAGACGAGGAAGAGGAGGTCGGGGAGATGGCCGAGAAGGACCAGCTGCTGAGTGGCCTGCCGTACTACTACGAGGAGGAGACGCAGCGGTGGGTGCCGTTTCGGCCCTCGGGGTTGGAGACGGAGGAGGAGGAAGAAGAGAGGTCGGCGTTGGTCGTGGCGAGCTACAATGTCTTGGCCGAGTTCGAGTGGCCGCCTTCGGATGCACGGTATCCGCTGGTGGTGAAGAACATACTCGCCGAGAACGCGGCGGCTGACGTGCTAGTGCTGCAGGAGGTCACAGACGGGTTCCTGTCCTACCTCCTTTCCAATGAGCAGATTCGCGACGCCTACCCATTTTGCTCCCACGGCCCCCCCGATCAAGACGACATTGAACCGCTGCCGAGTTTTCTCAACATCGTTGTCCTTAGCAAGATCGTCTTCGACTGGGAATATGTCTCGTTCCACCGGAAGCACAAGGGCTCTGTTGTTGCCAGGTTTAAGCACATCGGCCGGCCCGAGGGCGACAAACTCCTCCCTGTCATCCTCACCTCGGTCCACCTCAGCCATGGCCTCACCGATGGAGCGGTGGCCGCCAAAATGACGGACATCAAGCAAATCACCAGATACTTGTCTGAGACGTACCCCGGGCACCCGTGGATCTTGGCTGGCGATTTCAACATGACGACGTCGTCTGTCTCGATCGACGCTGCTCTCAGAAACAAGACCATCTCGGACTTGACAGCCAGACACCTGGCGAAATTGGACGAACTGTTCACCGAGGCGAAATTGGTTGACGCTTGGAGGACTTCCATAGCGGCTGGAAACGAGTCAGACGACGACCATCTCGCCGCGGGAGAACAAGGAGCCACATGGGATCCTACTGCCAACGTCATGGCAGCTGCCATGACCGCCGCCGGCGGCAACACGCGGCCCCAGCGGTACGACCGTATACTAGTGCGCGGCGAAAGTCTCCTGGAAGCCTCAAAGTTCAACATGTTCGGCTTCCTGGCAGAACAGGGACAGGAATCCCAGACGTTCGCCAGTGATCACTGGGGTGTCAGATGCATCATGAAGATAGGAGGGTTCAGTAACAAAGCCGACCAGCCATCTAAGGAGGTTGCCAACCTCATTGTCCCGGTTCATCTGGAGAAAGCCTCACCGACCCTGGCTCAGCCAGGCCGCGTCGAGACGGCTTTGCTTCAGCTCGGAGTCATCCCGAGCGACGAAGAGGCTGCTAAGCGGAAGGAGGCGATGGATCTTTTGAGGAGCGTCATTTTGGATACATCTGCAGCTGATACAACAGGGAGAGCACAGCCAGCGGTGGTCATCGTTCCGGTTGGCTCTTACGCCCTCGACGTCTGGACGTCTTCCTCGGATATCGATGTTCTGTGCGTCGGTCCCTTCAGCGCAAGCACTTTCTTTGCCCTAGCTTCCCAGCGCCTGCGCAAGGCCGCGGCTCAAGGCGTCAAAATTCTCCGCCGGGTCAGAGCACAAACAGGCACCATGCTCGAACTCGAAGTCCAGGGCATCAAGATGGATCTGCAATACTGCCCCGCCACGTCAGTTGCCGAGCGCTGGCCCGATGTCCTTCGCACACCTCCTTCCGACCCAGTCTGGTACCTTTCCGCACAAACTCTTTCCAAGCTCAAAGCGATCCGTGACTTCGACTACCTGCGCCGCTCTCTCCAAGACCTACCCACCTTCCGCTTGGCCCACCGCTTCATCAAAGCCTGGGCCAAGTCTCGGGCATTTATTCAGCGCGCTTTGGATTCCTCAGCGGTATCCAGATCTCCATCCTCGTCGCCCGCGTCCACAAGCTTCTCACCCACCAACCCGGTGAGTCCATCTCACCCGAAGACCTCCTCACGACCTTCTTCAACCACTATGCCAAATTCCCTTGGTCGACCCACCTGGCCTTCGACCCCTTCTTCCACCGCACCCGTCTCCCCTACACCCGCACCCCACGCGAACCGCTCGCCATCCTAGGCTATTTCCCTCCGTCCCTCAACACCGCCCTCGCCGCCTCCGTACCCTCCACAAGGACTCTCGCATCCGAGTTCCTCCGAGCCAGCGAATCCCTCGCCGCCGCCCCGTCGTGGGAAGCCTTCCTCTCCGCATCCACCTGCAATGCAACAACCGACTTCCTGGCCGCCCATAAGTCCTACGCCAAGATCGACGTGCAGTACTGGGGCCTGTCCCTCTCCCGCGGCGCCCAGTTCCTCGGCTGGGTCGAGTCGCGGTGCGTCATGCTGCTCGTGGACCTGCACCGACGCGCTCCGGGCCTGTTTGTGCGCATGTGGCCGGCGCGGTTCGTCGAGCGGCAGCAGCTTGTTGGTCTGGCTCATTCAGATCAGCAGCAGCAGGAGGAGGAGGAGAAGGAGGAGAGAGATTTCAGGGGGTGTTATCTCGTCGGTCTGGACAAGGGACGCCCGGATATGCGCAAGGAGGACCTCAAGATGGCGCTTGGGGCCCTGCAGACTGCACTGGGCCGGTTCGAGGCGCAGATAAGGGGCGATGTGCGGTACTTTGACTCGCGGAGCTGTTGGCTGAGTGCTGCCGTGGTGAACAGGGCCGAGCTGGGGCAGTTAAAGGTGGACAGGAGGGAATGGGGGGAGTGTACACCCGGGGATGAGGAGTTGGATGAAGAAGAAGAATTGACGGGATGGTGCGGAGCCGACGAGGAAAACGCCGAGTTTACCGTCACCGGTAACGACGACGACAAGAAGAAGAAGGGTGCGGGCAGGAGGCCGATCGCTGCCGTCGATCTCCGGCCGGATAAGACCAAGAAGTTCCGCACTGCGGCCGACGCCATGAACCGCATCCGCTGGGATCCGCAGCTGGACAGCAGCGACTATGTGGTCGGGTACGAGGACCGGTTTTTGGGAGTCCAAGAGAAGGAGCTGGAAGCGTGGAAAAGCGAGCAGACGGACGAGGAGTTCATCCCTCAGCATCGGATCCTCTACTTTCGGCGCAAGAGCGACGGGAGGACGATGTGGGATCGGCGGACGCGATTTGATGAATTATTTGGTAACGGGTCTTGAAGTCTGTTGCTCAGTCCATCAATAGTCGGATGTGTCCATACAAGTTGGATGTTCAAATGAGGTTATCAATTTTCGTCACCACTCTCTGTTCCAATACCAGCTTTCGCCGTCTCCTCCTCCTCTTCCTCTGCCACTGCAAAGTCCATCTCCCACGTGCTCGGCACAATTTCCAATTTGCTCCTCCAATCGCCAGGTGTGCGCGCAAAACTGTTGATGAGATCACCGACCGTCCGCTTCGTGTATCTCGGCGACTCCTCAGGAGCATCGGGCTTGACCGGTTCTGCGGGGGGCTGCCGTCCAAGCATGGCCCACAGCCTCTTCTCTTCATAGTAGGACGCTCTGGCATCCAGCTTGTCCGCATATGCCTCATGGGCCTTTTCAGCGCGAATCCTGTTCCTCAGGGCGGCTCGCGATTTCCCTGTTTTGGGGTACTCGAGCGCAGAGTGGACGAGGACCTCGTTCATCTCGCGCGTAACCGCCCGCTTGTCCGCTTCGTCTTCTTTGGGAAGCGCTTCTTCGCAATCGGAGACATGGGGGGTTCTTGCACCGAGCTCGATGGAGCCGTGGTCAGACTCAGAAGCCATCTCGTCGTCAATTTGATCCTCCTCTGACGACTCCGTCTCTTCGTCAGGCGGAGTTCCTCCGCCAATACCTTCCGGCTCGAGCCCGAGTGCTCCTTCCACTTCCTCGTACGACATGGGTTCTTGCTCATCCTCGGCGTCCCAGCCTGGAATTTCCCCGTTTTCATCGTCATACACATCCAACCTCAACCTTCTCGCGCACTTCGCCCAGAACCGGCGACTATCCGTGGGAAGCCCCAACGACAGCGCGGCCGCCTCGACATCTCGCTTCCGCGCCAAGTTCTTCGTGTATGGATACAACTCCCTCTTCGCCTTGATCCTCGCCTCGCCCACAAATATCGTCGCGGCCACCAACCGCCTCATAACCTCAACAGCCAGCGCGTGGAAGTCCTGCAACGCTGTCGCCCGCACAGCGGGCTCTTCCGCCCCAACCCGCGCCCAGTTGTACTCCTCTACGGCCGAGTTCATAAAGACCCTCTCGCTCAGCCTCAACCAAGTCCCAACGCGAAACAACTCCAAACTCCCCTCCAAGCCTTCCGGCGCATCCCTCTCCAACTCGCGCCAATTCCCCACCCCAACCAACCAGTGATCCCCGCCCCACCTCCGCCTCTCGACCCCCTCCTCATAGCCCTCCTGTCTCACCGACACAGCATCCGCAGCCTCCTCCAGCGCGGCACAGCACGCCTGACTGACCTCCACAGCAGCAGGCACCTCGGCCATCCCCAGCCCCACCACTCCCCCTTTACTCCCCGCCTCCTTCGCCGCGGCCGTTGCCTCCCTCAGCGCGGTGAGATAGGCGGCAACCTCGATCTCGCCCTTCGTCTTCACCCGCCCGGCGATTCCAGGCAGGTCATCGACGCCGAGTCTGGCGACAGCCTCGAAACACAACGCCTTCTCCGCCTCGCTCCAGACCATCATGCCCAGTTGTGAAGGCGCAAGCGTGTCGTCGACGCCACCCCCGGCCTGTGGAGGACGAGGAGGAGGAATGTAGCGAGCCGCGGCGTCGCGGATGTCGTCGTTGAGGAGGGCGAGATAGGCATGGTTGAGGGGCGCGGATCGGTGGCGTTTGAAGGGGCGGGGGAAGGGCGGCAGGGAGGAGGGGGAGAGGGAGCGTTTGAGTGGGGAGGACGCTGACCGCCAATGGGGTTGGGTTGTTGGGGTGGGCGGGACGGTGCTGTAAGGGGAGAAGTGGGGTGCGGGGTTTGGGCGGCGGTGGGAGGTTGATGGTGGTGTGAAGGCGGGTGAGCTGTCGGCCTGTTCTTGGGTGTTGGGCTCTTCTTGGAGGGACTGTTGGTCCGGTGGGGAGGAGGTGGCTGAGGGGCTGTAGTGGCTGCCGGCCGAGGAGATGGAGTGGTGGCGTGGCGAGGGATCCTTGTAGGCTTCATCCTCCTTCCCTTCATTGTCGTCGCCGTCGCCGTCGCCATGACCCTCAGCCTCTCCTTCATCGCTTTCCGGGATCTCGTCAGAGTGTGCCCTCGCTGGCTGTGGTTGCCGCTGGAGTTGCCGGATGACCATGGACACTGATTCCCTCAGGCCGCTGGTGTCCTGGCCGCCACTGTCGCCTGACTGGTCCGAGTCCATAGTGCCGATGTGAGAAACAGTTGTATCGAGGAGAAGCCAGAAGTCAATCGAGGCTCGAACAGCCAGAATGGTGCAGCAAGTCGGAAATGACAGGGAAGAACCTGTTTCCTGTTAGATTGGGGACGAGGCCACTTAATGAATTTCGTCTCGATCGACAAGAAACATGCAATTGGTGAAGGAGGTGCCTTGATTTGTTGTATGCAGCATGTTTAATGGTCATGTATGGTGTTCGTTTGCAAAGAGCTTTGAAAAAAATGGAAACCATGAGTGAGCACACCACACCACCCTGTACGGGTCCCTGAATGCACAGTGTAGCCTGCCAGATGTGGGGAATCCGGATCCTGGGCTTCGTAGGGCTGGAAACTTCGAAGTACTGGTCTGAAGTCTTTGGTTGTGATGGAGGCAGTTGGATCTCAGCGCTCGGCACAAGATGGTCAAAGTGCCTAGCGCTCTGAAGAGAAATGGAATGTCAGGTATTCATCATTTGGATTTTGGAAGGCTACTGTGTAGGTTACAGTTACCTGGAAAGCTGCAATCGTGACACAGATCGTCGGGACAAAGTGGGGCTTCGCTTCCTTGGAGCAGGGATGGGATTGGAGGGATTGGTGGAGGCGAATGGGCATCTGAAAGTGAATTTCAACGTCAACTCTCCACCCAGAAACCAAGAAATGGACAGTATGGCACCACAACCTGTGGTATGAAGTTGAACATGAGGATTCTAGCTCTGGTAGCTACCGGGCTCAGAATACTGCCGAGAGTGGCGCGGCTGGTCCCACGACCATGTCCACGGCGAAGGATATCCAGCTCAGGAAGGCTCTTGGCTCAAGACGAGACTCGGCCCACTCAGGGCCTTACCTTGCGTAGCTACCAAGAAGAATGCATCCAGTCTGTGCTTAGATCCTTGGAAAAGGGCCAAAATCGATTGGGTGTGTCTCTGGCCACCGGCAGCGGCAAGACCGTAGGGACTCCCATCTCCCCTCTGAAGTCGAAGGTAGAAGGAACCAACCTCGTTGCTGACCTCCTGTCCAGGTCATCTTCACCCAACTTATTGGCCGAGTCAAGCCCCGGTCCGAAACGGCCACGCAAACCCTCATCCTCGCCCACCGGCGAGAGCTCGTCGAGCAGGCTGCCCGACATTGCGCCAACACGTATCCGGACAAGACCATCGAGCTGGAGCTGGGCAAGTTGTCGGCCTCGGGAACCGCCCACATCACCGTGGCCAGCCTGCAGAGCATCCTTTCAAAGGACCGCCTGCTGAAGTTTGACCCCAAGAGGTTCAAGCTGGTCTTGGTGGACGAAGCCCACCACATTGTCGCCCCGGGCTACCTGAAGGTGCTGGATCACCTCGGCCTGAGGACGAAACGGCCCGACTCTCCTCACTTGGTAGGCGTATCTGCCACCTTCTCCCGCTTCGACGGACTCAGGCTCGGCGCCGTCATTGACGAGATCGTGTACCACAAGGATTATGTGGATATGATTGGCGAGAAGTGGCTCAGTGACGTAGTGTTCACCACGGTCGAGAGCCGAGTTGACCTGTCCAAGGTCAAGAGGAAGGGGAAAGGTGGAAGCGGTGAGTTCGACACCGACTCCCTGTCCCGGGCCGTCAACACGGTCGAGCTCAATGACATTGTCGTCCGCGCCTGGCTTGCAAAGGCTTCTGGCAGAAAGTCGACCCTAGTTTTCTGCGTCGACCTGAGCCACGTTGCCGCCTTAACCCAAAGATTCCGTCACTACGGCATCGACGCCCGTTTCGTGACGGGCGACACCCCGACGTGTGACAGAGCTGAGCGGCTGGACGCCTTTAAAAAAAGCGAGTTCCCAGTGCTCATCAATTGCGGCGTCTTTACCGAGGGCACCGACATTCCCAATATCGATTGTATTGTCCTGGCCAGGCCGACGCGGTCGCGGAACCTTCTCATTCAGATGATTGGCCGTGGAATGAGACTCCATGCCGGCAAAAAGAACTGCCACATCATTGATATGGTCGCGGGCCTCGAGACCGGCATTGTGACGACGCCGACCTTGTTCGGCCTGGATCCTGATGAGCTTGTGGACGAAGCGTCGGCCGACAGAATGTACGAGCTGGCAGACCGCAAAGAGGCCGAGAAGGCAAGGGAAGCACAAGCCCGGCAGTGTCTTGCGGGACCCGAGTCGACGGGGCGCTCCTACAACGTCACCTTCACCGAATACGATTCGGTTTTCGACCTGATTGCCGACACTTCTGGCGAGCAGCACATTCGGTCCATCAGCCAACATGCCTGGGTCCAGGTCGGCCCAGACAAGTTCATTCTCAATGGCCCAAACGGAACGTACCTGAAGTTGGAGGGAGTTGCCGATGCCGGGCCATCGGATCCGAAGTTCAAGGCATGGGAAGTAAGGGCCCTTCCGCCTGGAGTATCGAAATCCCCCTATGCTGCCCCTCGCTACATCCTGAGCGCAGTAACCTTTGCCGATGCGCTGCACGGCTGCGACAAATATGCAAGCGAGAACTACCCATTCTTCATGATTGGGACGAGGCTGCCGTGGAGGAGGGCGCCGGCTACCGAAGACCAACTTAGGTTCTTGAACAAGCTCAGACCTGCCGACGACAAGCTAGGGCCCGAAGACATCACCAAGGGCAGGGCTGCCGACATGATCACCAAGATCAAGCACGGTGCGAGGGGCCGATTCGCCAGCATCGAGGCAGTCAAAAGGAGGCAGCAGAAGTCGGCCATTCTGGATGAGCTGCACCGTGCAAGGAAACTCAACGAGCAGGTTTCCGTAGGCCCGCTGCCAGCTTGACTTTAGGGCTGTTCGTCCAGAAGGTGGACGGTGACGGCGGTCCGCAGCTGAGTTGCGATGAAAGCATTCGAGCTGAAGTGCATCAGGGAAGAGCCTGAGGGATAAGTATCGAGCTGTGGCGTGAGCATGCTAAGCACCGTCTGCTACACGCCGAGTGGTAATCGCGGTTGCAGAGTAAGATGGACACCAAACATCATTATGCATGTGGGACGTATCTTTCTAACTGATCGCGTTTAATCAGACGCCAAGGAAGCTATTTGGCTCGCGTTTCCCGACTCAAGCTTTCTCCCGCGGTCCCAAGTCGCAACTTCCCTCATCACCTAGAGTCTAGAGTTGCGGTTCTCCGAATCGCCAACTCACACACAACATCGCACCTTCCCGCTCACTGACAACCTCGCACCCCAATCTTTCTCTTCCTTTTACCACATCTTCTGGACTGTCCCATTGGAGCTACGGCCACTCCCAATTGAAACACCAGCGACGTCATAAAACGCTGGGCTGGAGTTGAGCGACGCCAGAAAGTGGCCGACATTGCGGCGGTTTTCCTTTCTGCTGCTCGAACATCCTTTTCGGCACACAAATCTCCCAACCCTCTTCTCCAGCATCGCTTCAGTAACTCAAAAACTCGGGAGGAAGCGGCTACAGCAGAATTTCCCAGCCAGCCGATTTCAGTCCTTCGCCATTTCATCGATCATCTCGTTTGGTTGTCAACACCGATAAACGAACACAGCTCAAAAAGAGAAAGGGCTCCCAATCTCCCACAACTCTTTGAACTTGTGGCGCCGTTACACCGTCATTCACAGTCTTCTTTTACGAACCAGCTAGCACCGCGCGTGATGGAGGCAGAACGGGGTTCAGCAACTCCTGCACGTGAAGTCGTTGCGGAAGTTCTTCCCAGCAACGAGCAGATTGAGCAGAATAACCAAACCAACCAGAACGTCATGTACACGGCGTCCCAAGCGGCCTCTTCGGCGGCTGTCGCCACATCTTACTCTTCAAAAGTGGGCGATTCGACTTCGCTCACTCAGCCCGAGCCGACTGCAGCTCAGGAGAATCACAATCAAGGACCAGGCGATGAGCTGGGAGGCGATGGAGCCAGTGGAGCCAATAAGGCTGCTTCTTTTTTGACATCTGACCCTCGCGACGCTCATCCTGAGCCCTGTCTGCAAGGAGAATCGGCCAAGACGACTATCACGACCGCGTCCTCTAGGGCTGCCTTTTCGATCAGCCCCGACCGGCAGGGCACCAATCTGGGCTCTCTCACTTCACCAGAGTCTTCTCCAGTGCAGAAGCAGCAAGATGAGACCCCTTACAAAGAAGACGCGAATCTCAAGGACGATCGTGATAGCGCTCACCCTGAGGCATGTCCACAGGAAGAATCAACTGGCACGGCCATTGCGGCACCCTCCTGCTCGGCAACTAACCAGCCGGATGTCACTACTGATACCACCGTCACCTCGGTGACAGGCCCTGCCCAAGACAAGAATGATACTTCGGCCGCGGGAGATCCGATTCACATCCCCGATTGCGATGAGGATCGCCCAGAGCCATACCAGGATACCACTCCCGCGATAGTGTCTTTGACACGTCGCGCGAGAACTCCACGGCCTTTTACTACCTCCACAGCACATCGTGGTTCGCATTCCGTCAAGATGCCGAGAAGGGCTGGCGGTCGAATGCTGAGAGCCCATCGAGCACCACCGAAGCCGCAGCCTCAGCAACCATCTCCAACCGACCCAGCCGTCCCAGCGGCTCACATTTTTGCCGAGGCCCCTCGTGGTCGACATTCCGTCAAGACCTCTCACTCGCAGCACACCACAACCAGAATCAAATGGGGCAACCAGGTGACGAGATTTCAATATTCGCGAGAACAGTCTGCCAAACCTGACGCTCACCCAGCCAAGACCGCCATCTGTGACATGGAAGGGGTGCCTCATGTTGTAGGTGGTTTGGTCGAAGTGTCCATCGGCCGTAAGGACGTCCTCTTTGCCAAGCAGGTCCCAAAGAATTCGACCGATCCCTATAACACTCTCGAGGTCGAGCGTCACCCCTTCACTCCTTTCCCGCCGCCCGATATGGGTGAGAATAACCGCGAGTTTGATATGGAACTGGAAGAGAACCGCCCGATATTTGAGCCGTTCAACCAAGACATCATCGACAGGCAAGTCGATGGTTGGGCTGCTCAAACAGACCTTTTTGCGCGGGTGATGAATGCACACCAAGCAGAATTCGACCCCGTCAACGAGCTGTTCTTGGCTCAGAAGGCTGAGCTCGAGCACCTGAACAACGTACGCGAACGAGCGATCACGGCCGAATTTGCACGACCCCCATTGATGTCCGAGTTAGCTCGACGCAAGCTGATCACGAGAGTCGCTGCTGCAGAGAAACCCCTGTTGAAAGAGCTTGAAACCACTCAGCGCGAGCTAAAGGAAATCATCATACGTGGCCGTGTTAAGATTGCGCGCGGCCTCCAGCGAGACCTCAGGGCGCCCAGCGTGATCGACGAGAAGCGGGCTAGAGCGCTCCAGAAGATTGACGTGGAAGAGAAGGAGACGGAGCTTGGGATTGCGGGAGGAACGATTGGGCTGCGCGGTGGCCTAAACGAGCAAGATCACGCGACTCAAACCGCGATTTTGCGATACACTCGGCATGTCGTTGACGAGCGACTGAAGGTTTTCGATGAGACTGATGACTCGCGCGTGCCAGACTGGTCAACTACTGCCCCTCCCGAGTCGAATGTCGACACCGTGATTTCGACTGTGCCCGAGTGGTTCACTATCCTGGACGCCAGGGGAACCGTTCAGCTCTATCGGACAACGCCGCTGGACAGGTTCAAGGAGCTCCTCCAGGTCATAGGAAACACATCCATTGCTGCCAGAGAGGAGCAATGGGCCGACGAGTCACGGCCGAACAGGCACACCTGGAACCAGCAATTCCACAAGGCCAGTCCTCACTGGGCGAACGAGCTACGACGCACCCGTGGAGGTTGGTGGACCTGCCGCAGCGGCCCTGACGCCCCTCCAGCTGAGCGCTACTGCGCCCTCTGCCATGATCAGTCTGCTGCCAAGAGGCGGCCCGCTTCGGCGAAAGAACGGTACCAGCATATCCTTGACGAAATCGACACCGCCATGGAAGAGGCCAAAGAGAGAGATCAACTTAGGCTTAAATATCAGCTGCAGCAAGAGCGTCACGACATCGACGAGTACTGGCACCGGCGTGAATTTGTTCGATCGGGTGGTGGCGTTGATATCACCGAGGTCCTTCATAGCAGAGATGTTAATGAGCTCAACTACCGGCCCTCGACCGGGCGGTCTCAATCGTGGCAGGAAGAGGGCGTCTCGCCTCGGTCTCAGGAGCTGCTAGATAAGGCACACGTCACAGGCCAGGCCTCCGCTCCTCAGTCTAGACCCTCCCCGCCCTCCCAGCACTCTCAGTCTTCGCAGTTATTGAAGTACCTTTCTGGCACACCGTCCAACGATTATTATTCTCTGCCTTCCGGGCTTTCGCAATCCCCGCCGAATCCGAACGGCTCCGGATTTTATGAATCGCTGCTTGGCAGACAGCTTAACGCCTCCCCCTCTCGGCCTGCTGTACCGTCCCAGTCGGCGCGGCTTTTGCGCGGCTCGCCCCTCTTCCACGAATTGCTGGCCGGCCGACAAACTGACAGTCCCGGTTCTTCCGAAGGCATGTCGCCTCACACGCTCCATCGCCTGAACTCCGCTCAGGCCCACGATCTCCTTTCTGGTGTGCCAGCTGTCGAGGTCCTGCCCGGTCAGGTGGCACCGCCGCAGGCCGTGCCGCCTCAATTGCTGCATAGGCACAATTCCTCGCAGGCGCACGACCTCCTCCATGGCAGAGACGCCACCGAGAACTCTGCCCAGGCTGGACGGCCGCAGCTTCGCTCGTCGCTCGCGCCCCCAGGCCCGAAGAACAAGCCGCAAAAGAGGGTGTCATGGCAATTCTGAGCATGTTCTTTCATTTGTCTTTCATTTTCTTTCTTTACTTTTGGCGTTTTTGAGAGACATTGGTCCTGGAAGGCGGGCTTGGTACATACCATGATATTCTTGATACCCAACCTCTCCTTGGGTCTCAATTGGGAGCTGCAAGCGTTGACCATTGCAAGGGATTTCGGAGTTCGAAGGGTGGTTATTGCGTCGCTCTGGGTTACGGTTCATTAATCTTAATGATGAGACCCGCAGGACGAGGGGAGGACGGGAGACTCGGGCAGGCGGGCGTTGTTGATGGAGGCGCTATCGGGGTATGATGATTGAGTGGTGTTTGTGGTTGAAGCGCAGGTGGTGGAAGTGAGAGAGGGCTGGCTTAGGTGAACGTGGAACAGGGAGGATGATTACAGGCGGTAATCGTCGACAGCCTGGAGGCGTTGACTTATGACTGTTCTTGTGCGGCGATGACAGGGTGGACGGAAAACTGTATAGGTGATGGAGCCGCTGCCCCCCGACCACGAAAAATTGGGAATGGCGTCGTCTCCGTGGAGAGGCATCTGTATTATTCTGTAACCATTTGTGATTCAACGCGGGCTTGGTTGCTCCCCTTGTTGGTGGTGTTGCGGCAGGTTATCAGAGCGCTCCTTAGGACATGAACCTCGTCGTTCTTTACCGACCAGCGGATATGGACATGGAAATAATATTTTTGTTGATATTGACACGGTCTCTTTCACGGGGACAGCATAAGATGAGTTTGAGCGGGATGCGAAGTCTCTGTACGCCCCAGATTGGTAGCGTTCAGGTTGAGAGGAGCGTAGTGCAATGTAGGGAACAGTACTAGTGTCTGGTTGAGCGATGTCAGAGGAAATGTGTGTGAATCTGGCTTCGTCAGGTAGTGAGTGATGTTGGTGTTGTTGCAGAGACGTACCGTAGCTGCAATCTCATGTCTCCAAGCTATCTTCTAGGTGCTGCAAATGCTTCTCCTTAACACAGTTGTTTCCCGTTTGGTGATTCTTTCCTCGTAACCCAGTCGATGTTGGCCATTTTCCCCAACGTTGTCTTCTTTTCATAGTAAACTCCCTCGCTCGTGTCCTCATTCTCGCCGACCGTGATGTGATCGGTGGATTCCATCCACTGAAGACAATTTCGCATGTCAGTAAGACAATGCAGCGGCGGTAATCCATCCCGTGTGTCATCACCAGCCTCTTCCCAGGGTACACTCCCAAGATACCTCTCATGAGCAACCACTCACAATGAGTACTTCACAATACTCAACCATTACCACCCTATCTTGGCCATATCCTTACCGGCTCATTTGCCTCCCTACGCCGGTCGATGAGCAAAATACCCTTCCCAGAAACCCCTCTCCCCTTGCGATCGGCTCTCACCAATAGCCTCTCTGGACAAACGCCCTTGCCTCTCCTCTTCCCCTTCACCCCGAACTAGTACCTCCCGAGCACCGACAGACCTCTGAGCATACCCACTCTCGCCCCTGCCGCGGCCGCCTTCGACTTGTCTTCCCCCCGAGTTATTGTTGCTGCTGCTGCTGTTGTTGTTGTTGTCGTTGAGTCCCCACCCCTCAAGGAGGCGGTGCTCCTCGCAGGCCTTGTCGGTCCGCTTGTACGTCAGCCATCTATTGCAGCCTTCGCGGGACGGGCCGCAGCGGTCTGTTTTCAGGAAACGGATGAGTTGTCAGCTAGTTGGGAGGTCTTTTTTTTTTCTGTCTCCTCTTTGATGTGGTGTTTGTGTTTGTTGCTGGGTGTTTCTGCTTAGAGAAAGCCCTTTGTGTTCTGACGGACCTTTTCCCGTGATATATTGTTGAGGTTTCTTGGGACGATAACGGGAGGCACTTACGGGCTGTCGGGGTGTACTCGGTGCAGCCGCAGCGGAAGGTCAGGCAGACTTTCCAGCAGTAGTACTGGCGGGTCATATTTCTCTTTTTCTATCGTTCTTTTCCCTTTCGAATTATCGTCTGGCCCCTCCTGGGATAGAGGGCAGCAACTCTGTGTGTGTAAGGCACTGGGGTGGAGGAAGCGGTGTGGTGGTGGAAGAGGTGTCAGCTAGATGGTCGTGCTTGAGGTGCTGAGTTTGATTTCTGCGGATAGCAACAAGGATCCTCCAGAAATGAGACCTGTTGGATGATGGGATGTTTCAGTTCAGAGGTGAGGAGAGAAAGTAAGGCTGAGCCGTGGTGAGACGGTGGGTACGAGGACGTCGTCCACGAAACGACAGGTTCTAAGATATCGACAGTTGCACTTGAGGAGAGCACACCGCAGAGAGGAGGGAATTCACAACCTTGTAGTCATTTGAGTACTGCGGTAGGTACTGTAGTTATGTTGGCCTAAGCAGCCCCGGGCGTGGCTGGGCCACAACTAACCCCTGGCGCCATAACAACCTGCCACCGCTAAGAACGAATAAGAGAGGATGAGGCTGCATCGCCTGATGAATGTCGCCAATCCAATTGGGAGATGAGCCCGAGTCCAGCAGTTGCGCAGGATTGTACTCCGCGATGCCAGGTCCATGTGCAGCGGTTGAGTATGTCTTCGAGTCAGCAAAAAAGATGACAGGCAGAAGCGGGGAAAAAGACCAGTTGATATAAAGGTCTATGTTCTTGGCTCTTTTTGATGCTGGACTAGGTGCTGCGCAGAATGCACACTGTGCTAGGAAGATTCAAAGTACAGATGTATGCCGGACAAGTAATACCGGATCCCGAGTATCCACACCCGGGCGTGTCCTAGGCTCCACTGCCGTCATTGGCGACCTGGGTATCTACAGTACCTCGACACTTGGACGTCACCCTTCTGCGACTTTCATCAAAAAGCTGTTTTTGAAGACTGAAAAAACTGTGGTGTCTTCTGTTGACGCCAATTCATTACCTCTGATTTAGAAGTGCTGTCCTTTTGATTATTTGTTTTAATACCTCGTGTCACTTCGATCCCTTGTGATTTGTTTTCCCTTGCCCTTTCGTTTCCATCTGACGACTTGGTTCATAGCCCGACGATCCATGGCCTAATCCTCCTTCCATCCCGTTGAAAGGAACCTTCTTGGTTCAGTCCACGCCACCTATTAAAAACTTAGCACAAAAGCCGAAGATGCCGCGGCCGCCTACAACAGGTTACGAGCGCCTAGCCCAGGCCGATCACAGTGACGACTCGGACGACGAACCCCTCGTCGCCAGCTATGCCTCGCTACAGCCTCCCTCTGCCCCGCGCTATGCCCCCATCAGCCAGCCTCGCCCGCACTCGGGAATGGCCACCCCGAAGCGCTCATCATCCTCTGCAGCTACTCTGCGCGATGCCTCTCGCTCGGGCGGCCACCACCGCCGCCAGCGCCGCAGGAATTCAGGCGTCGACATCAAGGCCATCAACGCCCGCCTCGAGCGCTGGGCCGACGAGATTGCCTCAAAGTTCAAGCGCGGACGCAACAAGAAGAAGGGCGAGGAGGAGCGGCTCGAGATCCACCACTCGGTTTTCCAGCCCCCGGAGGGCGTGCGCCCTGTGACGGCAGAGATGCTGGCCATCCCGGAGTCCGGCTACATGACCAAAGTTGAATTTGACGCCATTGTCGACAGCGTCAGGGCTGCCATACAGCAGGGCGTGCATCCCCGCATGATCTCGCAGGGAAGCTCCGGCAGCTACTTTGCTAGGAACCCTGAGGGCAAGGTAGTGGGCGTCTTCAAGCCCAAGGACGAGGAGCCCTACGCGGCAGGAAACCCAAAATGGAACAAGTGGATTCACCGCAACCTCTTTCCCTGCTTCTTCGGCAGGGCTTGGTGAGTAGAGGACTCCTGATGATGTCTTTGTTGCAGGCCTAACATGCAAGATTGCAGTCTCATTCCCAATCTCTCGTACGTCAGCGAAGCCGCCGCATATGTACTCGACGCCCAGTTGCGCACCCACCTGGTCCCCTACACCGACGTCGTTTACCTCTCGTCTAAGTCGTTTCACTACCCCTTTTGGGACCGGTACAATTTTTCCAGGAAAAGGAAGCTTCTACCTGCGAAGCCAGGGAGTTTCCAGGTCTTTCTCAAGGGCTACAAGGATGCTAACCTCTTTCTGCGCGAACACCCGTGGCCAGACCAGTACCTCTCTGGTTTCCGGACAACAGACCCGCATAGAAAGCGAAAGCGACGGTGGGCCGACAGTTGCCGCCCGAGCAGTGCTCCACATGACGACGCCGACAGCGATGACGGTAACGACAGCCCACAGTTGCAAACACCAGGGCCCGGCAACTTCGTCTGGACGCCCACCTTAAAACAGGCTTTTAGGGAGGAGCTCGAAAAACTCGTCATTCTGGACTACATCATGCGTAACACGGACAGAGGGCTTGACAATTGGATGATCAAAGTCGACTGGGAGACCGAGCAGGTCTCGGTAGCCTCTGAGCCGGTCCGCCTCAATATGGACACCTTGGATCCCGAACCGGCGCCGAGGCCGGTCGACCTGTCACCGACTGAACCTTCAGCTCGGGCCTCGTACCCGTACCGGAGGGAAAGACCTATGAACGCGTCGACTCCTGCGTCGAGCACTCCGGACCCTAAAATATCCATTGGAGCTATCGACAATTCTCTATCGTGGCCTTGGAAACACCCAGATGCGTGGAGAAGGTGAGCAATGCACGCCTCCTTCGAGGTTTCAGACCCTGCTAACGACTTCAGCTTTCCGTTTGGCTGGCTCTTCCTCCCAGTCGATCTTATAGGCAGGCCTTTCTCGCAAAAAACCCGTGACCACTTCCTCCCCTTACTCACGTCTACGCATTGGTGGAGCCAGACCCAACATGCCCTGCGCCGGGTCTTCCAGATGGACAACGACTTCCAGGAGCGCATGTTCGCTCGCCAAATAGCAGTCATGAAAGGCCAAGCCTGGAACGTCGTCGAGACGCTCAAGACCCCCGACCACGGCCCTCTAGAGCTCACACGCCGTGCCAAGGTCTGCGTCTGGGACGATCTGGTCGACGTCCCCGTCGCCGTTCCCATGCGTGTCGCAAGCGCAGAAATGCGCCGCCGCGCCACGGCCGAGGCAGACTCTGCGGCGGCCCTCGCCGCAGCTGCCACTGCCCAAGCCAAGCCCAGCAGCGACGGCATCGGCGAGGAGGAAATGGACATTGGCGCCTCCACCCATGCAGCGTCGGCTCCAGCAACCGCCGGCATCACGGCACCCACAGTCGACCTTCTCGGGCTTGCCAGCCCGCCCGCCGATCTTCCGCACCCCGGCCGGTTTGAGTTGGCCTTGCAGGACGAGCCTGGCTTGCAAAGCCTGCTTGGCAACGGCGCCCCGCTGGGCGAGAACAATACCACCACCAACGCCAAACAAACTCGCCCGCACTTCCCCCGCGCCGCCCGATCGCTGAACGTCTACTCCCCCCAACGCGGCGGACCGCAGCCGCCGGAGATGGACCAGCACCAGACGCGCTTCTCGTACATCACCACTGCTGCAGCCAAGCGGGAGGGCAATAGCATTGCTGCCCAGCTCTACGGCCAAGACGGCAGTGGAAACACCCGGCGCGCCAGCATGGAGTACGTAGGCGGGCTCAGTGCTCTGGGTGGAGGTTATGGGTATGAGGAGGATGAGGAGGAAGACGATCTTGAGGGCGGGGATTTGGGGTATGCCGCGGCGACGGGCATGGAGGGGAATCGGAGGAAGGTGATTGTTGAGCGGTTGGAGATGGTCAAGGGGCGGAATCCTGTTTTTACGTGGTGTTGAGTCGTCTGGTCTTGGTTGGTCTGAAAGGGATCGGTCTGGGCTGGGTCGGTTTGACGGGTTGTGGTCAACGCCATATTGGGTGTGTGGGAGAAAACAAGGGGCGGGTGGGGTTGGACGAGGTGATGGCGTTGCAATTTTGGGTACGGTACCTCCTACACGGCTGGGCTAGGCTGGGCCGGGATGCTTGGGAAGAAGTAGAACTGAAGCGGTTCGCCACCTTATCACAACTCTGGGTTGGTTTCTTATCTTCTCGGCATGATTTGAGGACCTAAGAAGCCACAAAAAAAAAACTCACCGATCAGCCCTATCCCGCGCCGGTCGAATAGAGGTGGTCGGGCACGAAAAACCCAAAGATTTTGACTTCTCTCGGAGGGAATCGAACCCACACGGTTTCGATTCCGTTGCTGCAGTTCCAAGCAGAGCTTCTCCCAATGTCGGACTCAACACAGCGTTGGCTCATTGGTCGCAGGTGGAGACGAAAGTGTGGCCACTGCAAGTGGTGCCATGCACCATGGACCCCGCAGCCGCTTAGAGACCGCTCTGGCACGTACAGACAAGAAGCGAAACCCTGGGGCAGGAAAGTGAAGACGGGAATAGAAAAACTGGAAGTTCGGCTAGACCCCCAACCCCAAGCAAGCAACTAGAGCAACCCATAGAAGTCAGCCCAGCCTTACTGAAACCCGTTCAACCTATGTATTCCACCATTTTCCCTCGCTGTTGGCAACGTCACGGCCGCCCCGTGCCATGTACAAATTACAGTGTTCCACTTGCTCAGGGAGGAAAACACTCCGAGGAGAGCCATCACAAAATGAAGACAACGTAACTTAACGGCTAGTTCGAGACATGTTTTTGTGAAAGACGGAATCTGAGACGGACCAAGAACGCGATTTGTGACGAGACAATGATTTCTCTGTTATATGTCAGACGGGCAACAACCGCAGTAGCAAAGAGGGCACATGAACAACCAACACCCGACCCTCAAGTCAAGTAGCCACAGGCCATGCTTACATATGCCTAATACTCCTGGGTGGTGCTTAGTGCTCTCACTGTTTTGGGTGAGTGAGTGGGCGAGCTTTGCTAAAGAATCCGCAACTAGTTACTACATGAGACAAAGGGCGACGACAGGAGGAGGAGGAGGTCAAGCCCCCATGCTTGGCGCGCTCGCCTACCCGACTGGGAAGGTGTCACAAGGCATGAAAGTACTGTATATATGTTAGTATGTAATGTAGGCATGTACTTGGAGTGAAGTCCCGTCTGCAAGGTGAGCTGGCAAGCTTCAAAATGTCGGACGGACAGGGAAGGGCGAAGCCTGGCTGGTGTCGTGGTGTCGTGATGTCGATCGGGATCATGCGGTCCCACTAACATAATGAACGTCGAACTTGACGTAGGATGTTTTGTTGCTTTCCAGTAACTGGTCTCATGTCTGAGGATAGAGTTTAGGTGCCTTTGGGAGGTAGTTATGATGGCAGCCCAGAACATCGACGGCATGCAGAGCTAGTTGCCGCCTGTCTACCCGCAGAGAAGCAGGTAAAGACATGAAAAATATCTCTTCACGCGGAGCGGGGAGAGGGATACAGTACCTGGGTACGTTAGAACGAAGGCGACCAGCCGACCAGCCGACCTCAACTCCTCGCCGAGGTAACATCAGCATCGGAACCGACAGCAGCATTCTCGATTGTCATCACGAGACATTAAGATACCTTGCCACACCTGTCCGTGCCTGGGTACTAGTGCCTCCAACATCAGGCAAACGGGGACGGTGGCTGACGGACGACCGGCTTGCCGGAATTGTCTGAGGCCGGGACGCAGAAAAGAGGACAAAATCAACTAGAACACGGAGCTGCGCGAGTTATGCAAGGTCAACTACTCCGGGGGAAGGCCGTCTCGGAGCCCGTCGCATATGCACTCGCCGTTTCGCAGTCACTCCCTCCGCGATATCATGCACAGAGCGCAGCTAGTCCGTCTCCCGATTCCGCCATAATTGTGCTCTCTCAGAGACGGCGTGAGGATGAGAGCGTAGGGGCATGAGCGCAAAACCAGGTGGTCAAACGAAAGATGACTGCGGTCGTGGGGGTCCAACCAACCCCACCGGTCATAGCTATGCAGCCATTTCTTTTTCCACGTCCCTCCACGAGCGGCCGCATGTCCGAGGGCCCGTTTTTGGCTGTGATGGTGACCGAGAAAACTGGTGCGCCAAGACCGGTCATGTCGGGAGACGTCGCCGAAAAGGAGGGGTGATCCGTCCAGGTCCCACAAACCCGGCCGCTTGGGAAGGCCTGGTGGGGGCGGAGGAGGTTGGTGTCTGAGAACGACCAAAACCGGACGGAGATTGCAGTCCTGCGAGGTGGAGAAGGTCGTCTGTAACACGGCTCGTCTCTCATTGATGAGGTCTTTCGGCAGCTGATTATCGCGCAAACGGCATGTGGTTGCCCGGAACATGAGCTAGTGTCCGCGTGAGGCAAAGGCCGTATCGGGGATAACCGCCCTTACCTCGACAAGGAGGTTGTTGAAAGTGTCAGCCCATTGCTCCTGATGAACGCGCGGCAAGACATGATAGCCGAAAGAGACCGGATGCAAGCTGTGGCAGCCGTACAAAAGAGTTTGTTGGGAATGGGAGGTTGCAAATAATATCCATCCTCGGGTACCGAGGCGATGGTAACAGCGAGGAAGGCCCCTGTCGGTTGCGTCAATCCAGCCCTGCTCGAGGTCTCCCCTTGCTCCATCCCCCTGCCTGTCGCGAAACGCTGTTTGTCGAGATCCGCATAACTATACTGTGTATAAGAAGATCAGAACATGGTGCAGGCACGGAAATCGTCGGAATTCTTGTCCTTGCGGTTGACGCAGCTCCGGAGACGAGGGGCGCTATCTCCCAATACGTCCTTCGCTGATTGTTTCGTTTTGTGCGCAGGATACACTATGTCTGCAAGCTGCATATCAAGTTTCTCCTTGGCCTGGCTACCGTAATATCTGTCCGAATCTCTAGGTGCGGAGGTGGTTGGGAAGTGTGCCCAGGATAGCCCCAAGTGTTTGGCTTGAAACAACTTGGTCCCAGTTCTCGGGAAACCCGGCCATTGTGGCGCCGTGCAAGGATTACGGTTACCGATATGGGGGTATCGGCGACAGGGCCCCCTGCTTCCATGCTCTTCAACAACCTGTCACACGCCGCCTGGATGCAGTCATGCCCTCGCGTGCACGCACTGATTGCCGCCCTGCACTTGAGCCTTCGTTGCGTCCCATGTTCCCCTCTTGCAAGGCAGTTCCGGAATTGCGCCCGCCTGTTCCATTGAATGAATGCAGCGAGCTGCAAGAGGTTCAATGCGCGAATTCATCGCGATGCCTAAAAGCGACGGGCAAAACGACCGTTGTCTCTGTAACGGGGACGCTTCGAGCTGATAGTCCCTCCCTCGGCTGCTTGATAATCTTTAGCCGGAAGAAATATACTGTGGTAGTCCTCGATAACGTTACTTCGAGCAAGTGGAAAGTTGAAACAAACGAGAAAAGTGTTACTCTTCGGGAGAGTTGATCAAGGGTACGGAACATTGCAGTGCAGGTCCACCGTCGAGAGCTGAGCGCCGTTTTTGTTCTTGATAGCGATGATCCGTTTCGCAAGCTGGCCCCTTGGCGGAGGTTGTGTCCCACGAACGACTGCGACCCGTCAGTGTGGTTTGCGCACAGATGTCTGTGGGCAATCTACCAACCGGGCGGAGCCGGCAAGAGATGAGGCGTTCCCCAAGCAGCTGGGAAGGGGTACCGTGTACGTACCACGGACCCCTGCATTTCGGCCCGGTTCGTGATGCTGCAACGCACCTCAACCAATGTGCTTGATGAGGGGGGTTGGTCGCATCCCGAGCCTTTGGGTTCCCGCTCTTGACACCATGCCGCCTATCCTCCGCTCACGCGGTTACTACTTCGTACTGTGATAGTCTCAGAGAATGGGGAATCTGTGGAATGCCACTTATCTCCTGTCTTGGCTCGTCGGCCAGTGGGCAAACAATCATCAGCCTGGAGAAAGGGCAGCGGATTTTCAGAAAAGTGCGTCGACAAGGGTCCGGCAGATGATCGGTGATTTGCAACAGAGGGATGTTAGTGCCCGCCGGGTGTTGGCAAGCGGGGTAATCTGAGAAAAGAATCCTTCCATGGACGGCTTGTGAAAACGAACCCCTGGCAGTACAGTTCCAGCGGGACGGTCGCGGGCTTGACGTTCCGGGTGATCCCAGGACCATGTCCTCGGTTCTTCTAGCCCCCTTGAAGGCTTGGGCAGTCCTCGCGGTCTATTGTACAGCAGTGCAGCCGCAACATGACGAGGTTCCGTGTTGGACGTCAGATCTGTGCGACACCAGAAATGCGGAAAGCCCTCCTGGGAGAAAAGGTCATGATAGCTCGTGTTCCTGGGTTGTTGCAACTGCAGGAATGGTTGCAGTGCCAAGGCTGACGGAGGATTTCTTGCATTCTCCGACGACCCGGTTCGTTTGCGAGATTGACACTGGAAATGCCGAACGGCACGTTCAGACCTTCTTAATGTACCCGCCGTTATAGTCGAGGGCAATGGGATAATCAGCCCAATCACCGCCTTCCCGATCAGCCATCCCGTCTTCAGCTAGGAGAGATGGGTGTGAGTCGTCCACTGAAAAATCCCAAACAGCGTAGCAGAGTCACTGACCAGCCCGAAGTGCATGTCGGCCTGTCGACCCAACCGCGACCTCTTGGGTGCCGCATCAGGTTCAAAGTGAGCGTCTCCACCCCGAGGCTTTCTAATGAACGGGTCGGATTGGCAGTCGGCTTCTCGGGTAGCCTAATAAGCAGTATCTGCAGGATTTCAGCCGGGGCTAGCGTTTACCGGTCGGCCGCTGCCCAGAGCGGATTGTCATCGGCGAAAGGGACGTTTCACCTGTTTGAATAGCGTAGAATCCCGACGCATGCGCGGAGGCTTTCCCGAACAACCCTGGACGCTTGAATCCAGGTGAACCAGGGTTTGTTGATGATGCGCATCGACGAAACGTACCGCCCCGAGGAAGAATGTCAGTCCACGTAGAAAGGGCCTTTTGTCCTGGCCAAAGGCGGTGTAGTATTCCCCGAGCCCGAGATGCCGCGACTGGTGAAGCATGGTCTTCCCACCCGCTTCTCTGGAACCCTTTGTGCGAGTCCGTCCCCGGACAGGCCCTCTTCCCAAATACTTGGGCCACCATGCGCCAACGACGCCTTCTAATCGACAAAACCACCGTGGCGCGCAAACCGCTCTGGCTGGCCAATCTGGATCTTCTGGGGCGGGAACTGGGCCCACCAGGCGAGCATTGTCATTTCAGACGTGGGAGCATCGCATAGGGGAGAGAGGCGCATCGTCCGACACCGTCCTTGAAGCCTGTCCCGAGGCGAGGAGCAAGGGGTCTTGAAGTATCTCCGCCCAGACTCTCAAACCCGCATAAGGCCATGTAGGTCCTCGAGATGCCCAAGCCTAACGTTTTGGTCTCCCCACCTGTGCCCCGGGGACTGTATTTTCCGACCACTTGATGATCTCTGTGCGCCTGCCATCTCTCTGCTCGAGATTTGCCGCATCGCAAGAACAGCAATATCCGCCACACGTTGCTGCAACCATGGACGAAGGGTGTGTCATTCACGGTTTGAGCGTTGGCTCTACAACGTGTCGCTGAGCTAGACATAGCGATTTCCAAACCGTGCCAGTCGACAACACGTTTCGGGAGCTTGTCGTCCACAGCAACAGGGAGTTCCAGCGGTACGCCTTGGAAAACGGTGTTTACTTCGCTCCAGTTGACGATGTAAGCGAGGCTCTGTATGACTCGTTGATCGCGGATCTGACGACAGCTTCGTGCGTGAGCAGGACGAAATCGAGCGCCTCCAATACATGCATGAGATCTTCAACATGATGTTCGACAACAGGCTTATATTCCCGCCGATACCGCGGCCGCGAAGGATCTTGGAATGTGGATCTGGGTCCGGTGCATGGGCGATCGAGGTTGCTGAGCAGTATCCTGATTGCGAGGTACGTGAGCCAGCCACCGAGGGCCCTTCTCGTCTCCTCTGAGGAAACCAATGCAGGAGTAAGCGAGCATGAACGGATACTTCGCTTTCAACTGACATTGGGTGCTGCCGGACTCAAGTTTGTTTCCCCTCTCAGGAGCCCAAGCTGCCGTGACGGCTCCGGAGTCCCGAGGACGAAGCAGCTGCTCGCTGGCGTCGATCTCGAAGCTTTTCTCGACCATGATTCCGTCTTGGCTGACCACCCGATCGGCGCTAGGTAATTGGAATCGACGTATACCCATACCCGGTCCCAGAACACACCCCGCCCAATTTGGATTTTCAGGTGGACGACCTCAACAGTCCGTAAGGCACCTTGGCATTGGGGACGGTTTCTGTGTATTGTTGACATGGTCGCCAGGTCCACGTTCCCGTCGAACTATTTTGATCTGGTGCACAGCCGAATGATGGCGGGAGGAATCCATTCGAACCGGTGGATGAACTATCTAGGCGACATACTGCGCATCCTTCGCCCTGGAGGTTGGTGTCAGATGGTCGAGATATACTTTAACGCGCAGTCCGACAACGGGACCCTTACGTCGAGTGAGTGATGTTCACGGGAGCGCTTTGGATGGAGTGAGGCTGATAGCAGGGCCAGATCATGCGCTTCAAGTGTGGTCGCGGAGCTATATGCAAAGCATACAACCTGCAAAGGACCCCAGGGCGCCGCTGCGGCTGCAAAACTGGATGACGCAAGCAGGTTTCGTGGAAGTCGAGTCACGATTGTTGACTTTGCCCCTGAGTGGATGGCCAGCAGGTGCGGGGCCCAGGGTGCAGACAGGGTTGTCGAGGGGCGACGGCGTCTAACGTTCTGCCAGATCCTCGAGAGAATGCCATCGGCTTGGCCAACAGAGCCAACGTCCAGCGGCTCCTGTCTTCGCTTGCCGTGTACCCCTTCTCGCAGGCTCTCAAGTGAGTTGACTGGATCCCATGGTTTGGCCCAGGGGGCACGGTTGTTGACGATCTCGCCCCAGCATGACGGACACGGATATTCAGCTACTCATAGCGCAGGCTCGCAATGAAGCCGACAACCCGGCCTTCAAGGTAAGACGGTGGCACGCATGCCGCATCTCAGTGCCCAGTAGCCCAATCGCAATGTCGTGGCTGCTCGAGTTCGAAGAGTCAGGGTGGCTGCTAATTTATCACTCGGGATTGTATAGGCTTATTTTCCAGTGTACGTCGCCGCCCTGCGCTCCCCGCTTGCGTATTGCAATGGTGTTGGCTGATGGCTTGGAACCAGGTATGTTTGTATCGGTCGGAAGCCCGGGAGCAGTAGCAGCAGCAGGCAGCATCGACACAGCGATAGCCGGAGCCACCAGTCTTCCAAGAGCGGTAGGCACGGCGAGTCGAGGAAACGGGCGCGACACGGGTAGGTAGCGGAAGGCTTCGAGGGGCGCGGCGAAGGGCGCGCACAGGCTAGGCGGACGGTTGGTTAAGCCTTAGTCAGAGACCATGACGAGCCATTGCGCAGACATGGTATACCGAGGGAGGGGCGCCGATGCAAGTGGGACGGTGCTGGTCTTTGCATTTGGTCGCGGTGATACTCGGTTTTCGGTGTTGGCCACTCTGGATGTCTCGCTCCCTTCAGTGACACGGGAACACTTGGCCGTTTGCCGACAGCGACAGCGATGAGGAAGGGATGACTGAGGATCAATCGATTGATGACCGCGTCGGATATGGCAATGGCATCCAATTGTTCTCGTGTGGTGTTGTACGGGCAGGTATCCTGTGGGAGCTTGGGCATCTTCTCGCAACAAAGATGGAAGTGGTGTAGACGAGGAGGGGGGTCACTCATCGGACCAACAAGCCGTAAAGATGGAAACCAGAACTGGCTCCGGCCGAGTGGGAACCTGCCCTACCAAGTAGGTACTAATAAAGCTCGACTTCCAAACTCTGAAGAGAGAGGCCCCCGACCCTCCATTCTTTGGAAGACCTGGAACCCGGAACAAGATGGAACGGGTAAATAAGTATTGTCCTCGCATACCACGCTACCCGTTCCAAAACACGGCTACCTCCATCTTCCCGAAACGCTCTGGGCCCGCCCACTTTAAGATTGGCATACCCAATTTAGGAGGCACGCGGAGAGACTATCACCCAACAAACATGCGCCATCTGCTTGAGAGTCGGACCAACCTGGCACCTCCGAAACTGTACTGCTGCCCAACCTTGGAGCTTCCAACGATGTCCGCCCATTAGGCCTCTGGCAAACTTCATCCACCCTACCTTGCCTGCAATGTCAATTCATCGCGACGTCTCTCAAATCACACCCACCGATACTCATCGGCTCTTGGCATTCTGGAGCACTAACTATTCTTCTCAAGTGAACAGGAGTGTCCGGCAATGCAACATCTTCCGTTGCTCTCTCCCCACTAGATCTAAGACATCGAATGATTAGCAAAACGATGAAGCGTCTCGCGGCTGCGGCTGTACTCCCCCGACCCCGGATGGTGGAACCCTGTGTTGGAGCCGAGAAATGTCAGGTGATAACCGACGACGTCCGCTCCAACAATCTTCTTTCAAGAGGCATCAGCAATGTCGACCTTACAGACTATCACTTGATCGCCGGGTTTCTATCCGCAATCCTCATCGCGACCATTTGCCTCAGTCAGGTGTGAAAGGCGCGCTTACCTCGCCCAATCCGAGCCAGCAACGATCGGGTTGATCTTGGTGTGGTGAGCAGTGACGTCTGCACGTTAACTAGCATTTTGGTCCACTCAATGACAAGGGGGAAAGCAACCAATCAACGCCGCCACTTGGAGCGTGCCAATAGGCTTGCTTTCCGTGTCGATCATCGATTTCCGGCCGAATTTGGTTTGCTTCTGATTCGCGAAGAGAACAAGCCAAAGCAAGCGTTTCAACAGTTCGCTCAACCGTCCGCCACTCTGCAGCCGACACCGAATTGCTAAACGGCCCGCCTCAGCTTTCGAACCGCCTTCAAAATTGCGATGGCGAGCAAACTTAACCCTTTCCTCCTCCGCACCCTCTGCCGGCCGAGCCCGCGACAAAGCACGTCCTTGCGCGTGTCCCTCGCGGCCTACTCAACCGACGCCCCGCCCCCTCCGCCGCTTCTCGCCAAGCTCAAGGATGACCTCAAAACGGCGATGAGGGCAAAAGATGCGAACCGCCTCGCAGTTCTCCGGTCCATACTGGCTGAGACCCTCAATCGCAGCAAAACAGAAAAGCCCGTCACGACAGACGTGCAGCTCGTCCACCTCCTCCACAAGTCGGCGCACAAATCGCAAGAAGCTGCCGCCGAGGCACGGGCCGCCGGACGGGAAGATCTGGCCGAGAAGGAGGAGGCGCAGCAGCGGATTCTTGAGGAGTATGCTGCCAACAGCGGCCTCAAGGAGATTGGGGAGGCCGAGCTGAGACAAATCGTGGAAAGCGAGAAAGCCAGGCTCGTTGCTGAGGGCGTTCCAAAGAAGGCCTTGATGGGACAGATGATCAGGAGCATTCTTGGGCCAGGCGGGCCGCTGAACAACGCCATTGTGCCAAAGGACGTGATTAAGATCATCCAAGAGAGTTGCAAAGGCCAGTAGGGCTCTCACGACCAATCCGTGGCTCCGCGGGGTCTCGACCCGGCCACTGCATCATATAGTATCCAGCTGCTTTGTACCATACATGTTTTATAGATGCGTTTGCTTGGCCGGTACGGACCGACAATGGGTGGTCGCATTGACCTGGCCAAACGTTTAAGATACCCTTTGATTTGGGTTTCTCTCCTCTGGTCGCGATTGGCTCGATCGTAGAGTTTCGTCATGCATGTCATTGTTGGAGCTCGCGGACTGGTAGGGACCAAACAGGAGCAGCGTATGGCTATGATGACTACACGCTCGTCCCCCGGTCTGTGGACATTGGGCGCCTGACCTTTGTATATCTCGCCGACTTGTCGGACGAAGTCGTCCGGATATGAAGAGGAGGCCGGATTGTGCACAGTTACATCCATGTCGCATCCAACTTCCTACCATCAGTCGTTCGGTTACCGCATCCGTAAGGGCGCCCTCCGCTAGTCAGGGAGGTACCAGACGTGCGATGATACGTTAACGTATGCGAGCAGCTGCGTCGTCGCCGGAGCGTGTGTTCCTCTCCAATTTTTCATGAGGTTCTGAGCGAGAGTCAGCCATTCCAACCCCGCCGGCCTCGCCACATATCCCCACGCAAGCAAGTCCTTGCCCACGAGCTTATCTTAACAACAGATCTCGCCCATATAACTCTTGTCAGAAACACGACGGCAGTGAGCCAATATCAGTGGCCGAATGCTCACCAACCAGGAGCCATGCCAGCCCAGCCCCCGACAACATACCTTGGCGTCCAACGCGACGACATCACCATCACAACCCCGTCCACCACACCCCTTATCATCAGCCGCATCCCCACCCCTACGAACCCGTCCAACCTAATCCCCTGCTTCTCTCTAGACTCAGAGCCCCAACGAGGCCGTAAACGCCTCCGCGTAGAAGACATCCTCCACACGGCTGCCACCACCACCAAGCCATCATCATCACCCTCAAAAGCAACCAGACCCCGCACAGTAGGTAACCGAAAGTCGACCGACTCCTCCCTCGAAACCTTCCGCGGCCGCCCCCGCTACCGCTCTACCTCCTTCCCCGCCACGCCCTCCACGAACGCCTCGACACCGCTCTCCCGCGCCCTGTCGCTATCCCTCTCCCGTCGGGGTACGCCGACCGAATCCGGAAGCAGCGAACGCGGGCAGCACCAGCACCAGCCGCAGCCGCAGCCGCAGCCGCAGCCGGGGACGGTGCGGTTCTTGAGGGTTGTTCAGATCGAGCGCGGGCGGGCAAGGGAAAGGGGAAGAAGGGGGAGTCCCACAGCATCGCCTGTATTAACAGCGGCAGCGGTAGCGGCAGTATCGCCGCGGCGGGTGATCAAAAGAAGGGAGAGGAGGCGGAGGAGTCAGAGTCCTTCGCGGTCGAGGTCGCCTGTGCCTGTTGGGTCTGCTGCGTTCGCGCTTGGCGAGAAATTGCTCGCTGGCCTGGAGTGGAACGAGGGCGGACAGGGAATGTGCAGACGGAGGAGGCAGCGGACGAGGACTCGGGGTCGGGAGCATGGGGTCGGGCTTGGGGCTGGGATGGTGGTGGGTGTGGATGTTCGTGATGATGTCCAGGCTGGGTGCGGTAGCGGTGGGAATGAGGGTGGGGGTGGGTCGGTTTCGTCGGCAGTTGACGGAGCGGCTGGGGAGTGAGGGTGTGGGGTTGGGTGCAGTGTATGTGAGAGTGGGTTGATGGAGGTCAGATGGAGTGTCACGAGGTTGCAGTTGAGAGGAGGCGGTACGAATTTCCATGTTTCCCCTTGGGTAAGTTGGGTGCGGCGGTGAAGTCAGTGACGGATTGCGGTACTTTGGCAGGGAGAATTTTGAGGTGATGTGCTTCAAATCGACTCGGCGGCGAAAGGAGAAGCAGAGGAGGATTTGATTCCAGGTAGTTGGAACCTGACTGCAGTGTCCCATATTTCCGAAAAATTGTCGAGCCGCTTCTTTGGAGTTGAGGCGCTGAATTGCCGGCCTTGGTGCAATGGATGGGCGTACGTATCTGCCTTACGTACCAACTGCACATCAGATTGGCAGACGGACAACATCTGAGAGATTAGGTCTTGGGCGATATATTAGCCTGCAAAGTCACTTGGAGCACCGCTGGCTGCCTTGCAGCTCCCCGCTACAAATCTGCGTGAAACACGCAGGGTCTTGAATGCATCTGGGAACTGACGGAACAACGCCACACCATATACACTCCTGCTCCGAAAAGTACCACAGTAAAATGGGTGGAGAGTTGAACTTCGTAATCAAGAGAGACTATTGTAGCGACGATTTGGAGGGGAAAAAGCTGAGGAAAATCTCCAGGTTTCTGCCAAGGCGCGGTTTCTAGCGCGGCACGTGCCACTTTTGCGCGGTTCAGTTTTTCGAGGGTCACGCGGACCTATCGCAACCAGGCGATTGCGATAAACCTCTGGCAGGCCAAAAACGCGCCGGCAACGGCGACGGCAGCATCAATGCTCGTTTCCTACCATCCAGTGCCATCTCGCTTTTGAAGGCCCTTTTCACGCCTTCTTGCCAGATGTGGCTGCTGGCAGAACCGATGTGATCAAATAAATTTTCTTACCTTCTGGCCCAACGCGCCGGCCTGAAACCCTACCGATATCTTCTCACTGACATCTAATCGACTTCGACCCTTGACTGACCCTCATCTTGGCTAGCCTTGATTACCACCAGTCGTGGCTGTGGGAGAGCCAACACCAGCAATCATCTCACCCCAAAACGCTTCTGAAATAGTCACCTTCTACATTTCAAGCATTCGTTGCTTGTGATGATCGTTGACAACTCCCTGCCACACTACTGGTGACCCTGGCTTGGGAAAGGCGCCACGCCATTGACAAGGCGTTGGTCGCCGGCTTCCACACCGAGGTGAGTCTCCTAGTCCGTCTCAGTACTTGCTCATTTCACCGCCCGAACCGCGGCCTCATTTGCTTCATCGTTCACCGTATCAATCTACATCGATCCTTACCGCGGGACAACGCAGCAGAAAATCGGCCTCATACTAACCTCGGTTGCAGATCCAGCATTTGCCCATAGCGGTCACAGTCTCATTGCAGTCCGCCAACATGTGGAGTCCGGCTGCATTACTGAACCCGAGTAAGGACGGGGCTATCCCGCCGGCCAGGCCACAGTCTGCCGGGGCCATTCCCTCCTCCTCTACTCGCTTTCCTGCGCCGGCGCAGCCAGAGATGTCGTTCCAATTCGCTAGCCCGGGCGAGTCCCTTGCTGTCGACTTCGCCGGCATCCCCGCCGCGTCGTCTGCCACCGCCAGCACCCGGAATATTCCGCTTCACCATCCGCCGACCATGCCCATCTTCCAGAACGGATTTGGCCAGAACATTGATCGTCTGTATAATGTGCAAGACCGCGTCAATGTGCCTCAGCCGAAGCGCAGGAAGACCATGAACGAGAATGACTCGTCTCCGTCGCCCTCGACACACAACTCGTTCTCCTCCGGCACAGGCAACAGCATCCTGAGTCAACACATCAAGCAGCAGCAGCTCGGAGACTCCAACCAACCCAGACCATCGCAGCAGCCGCGCGAAATGATTGATTTGACCGAGGGCGACTCCGGGCCAGTCACGCCGGCCCAGACGCCCAAGGATCCCATCAAGGACGAGGAAGTCTGTTACGGAATGGTTGAGGGCGCCTCGATTAACTGTCACAAGGTTCCGGCTCCGAAACCCGGCATGGTGTCGATTAATGGCGACGGTTATTGGCCGCTGGTCAAAGTTGTGCTGAAGCGAAAGGCGGACGACCAGACGAACAAAATCTACGTCTACGACCACACTCGCCAGATCTTTGGGACGGTCGATGCCAAGACTGCAGAGTGCCTAGCTCCTCTCCTGGATTCAAAGCTGCAGATCCGGACAGACTGCCGGATCCCCCTGAGACGGAAACTGCCCGGGGAGCAAGTCGGCCAGTCGGTTTCGCTGAGTTACAAGTTCGAACTGATGCTTTATGGACCTCGCAAGTACGCCAACCAAGTCGGCAACCACCTGCTCTCGAGGAAAGTACACCTCGTGAGCCCGCCACGGGTGGAGAGCGGTGTCAAGGTTTACAACCCCATAAAGGAGAACAGACTTCCCGTCGTCGCTCGCTTCAATACCCCTGCGAGCAGTTCTCAGACACGCCCACCGCCTGTCATGCGCACGGTAGAGGAAATCCGCTCCGAAGTCTTGGGAGTCTTTGACTCTCTTCCAAAGTCCGAGGAGCTACCCGAGGCGGACCCTGATCCGCGTATCGTGACACCTTTGCTCAAGCATCAGCGGCAAGCCCTCTTCTTCATGACTGCCCGGGAGTCTGAGCAGTTGCCAGATGCCGGCAGCGGTCTGATCACGTCCACTTGGCAGCGCAAGGAAGACCGACACGGCTCCGTCGTTTATTACAACGTCGTCACCAATCAAACCCAGCGAGAGCCGCCCCCGCCGACGCTGGGTGGCATCCTGGCCGATATGATGGGTTTGGGCAAAACGTTGAGCGTGCTGTCGCTTATCACTACAACTCTTGACGCTGCCGAGCGGTGGTCACAGCTTCCACCTGTCCAGCCCAGGGCACCTGAGCGACGAAGCCAGCACCCTTTCCAACAGTTCGATGTGCCGAGACCAGCATCCTTTGACCTGACGCCGGTGCGACTGAATGCAAAGGCATCCCTGCTTGTCTGCCCGTTGAGCACCGTCACCAACTGGGAAGAGCAGATCAAGCAACACATCAAGCCGGACTCATTCACGTACTACATCTACCATGGGCCTAACCGCAACAAGGACGTCGAGCAACTGGCCAACTTCGACTTGGTCATTACCACCTACGGCTCTGTTGTCAGCGAGCTCAACGCGCGCATCAAGAGGAAGCGGGGCGTCTTTCCACTCGAGGAGATCGCTTGGTTCCGCATCGTTCTCGACGAAGCCCACACCATCCGCGAGCAGAATACCCTGGGATTTAAATCAATTTGCCGCTTGCAGGCGAACCGCCGCTGGGCCGTCACCGGAACCCCGGTCCAGAACAAGCTGGAGGATCTCGCCGCCCTTCTTGCGTTCTTGCGGCTGAAGCCCTTTGACGAGAAGAGCAAGTTCTTGCAGTTCATCATTCAGCCCTTCAAAATGGCGGACCCAGAAATTGTACCCAAACTTCGCGTTCTCATTGATACGATTACTCTGCGACGGCTCAAGGACAAGATCCGCCTTCCTGAGCGCACCGACGAGGTCATCAAGCTCGAGTTCAGCCCCGAGGAGCGGCAGGTTTACGACTGGTTCGCAAAGAATGCTTCGGACCGGGTCCGAGCCTTGACCGGTCAAGCCATAGGCCAAGATCGTATCGTGGGTGGTAGAACCATGATACACATTCTGCGATCCATTTTGCAACTCCGCTTGATCTGCGCCCACGGCAAGGACCTCCTCAACGATGACGATCTCGCTGACATTCAGGGCATGACCCCCGACACACCCATCGACCTCGACAGCGACGACGAAGACCAGAAGCCTGTGTTGCAGGAGAAGAAGGCATACGAGATGCTGTATTTGATGCAGGAGGGCAACAGTGACAACTGCTCCAGGTGCAACGGCAAGCTGGGGGCGGCCGAGGTGGACGACCCAGAGTCCGATCGCCAGGACGACATTCTCGGCTACATGGCACGATGTTTCCACACGTACTGCCCGTCCTGCATTAAGTTGGTGCCGAATGAGCAGGACGGCTGTGGTGTGTGCGCCCGGCTCGACAAGTGTTCCTATGTCGAACTGCGACGCAAGCGCGCCGACCTGGAGCACGAATCTCGTGTGGCCAAGAACAAGGGAGGTACAGGCAAGATCATTCCCGACGATCGATACAACGGGCCACACACCAAGACTCGCGCTCTTATTGAAGAATTGCTTGCGAACAAGGAAAAGAGCGCCATGTGTCCCAACGAGCGCCCGTTGAAGTCCGTCGTCTTTTCGGGTTGGACTTCGCACCTCGACCTTATCCAGATCGCCCTGGATAATGCGGGCATAACGTATACCAGACTGGACGGTAAAATGTCCCGCACAGCCCGCAACGCCGCCATGGATGCGTTTCGCGACGACGACTCGGTGCAGGTCATTTTGGTCAGCATCATGGCCGGCGGCCTGGGCCTCAACTTGACGGCTGGTAACAGCGTCTACGTCATGGAGCCGCAGTTCAACCCGGCTGCTGAGGCACAAGCCGTCGACCGTGTGCACCGTCTGGGCCAGACGCGCTGTGTCCGCACGGTCCGCTTCATCATGAAAGACAGCTTTGAGGAGAAGATGCTTCAGCTGCAGGAGAAGAAGAAGAAGCTGGCCAGCCTCAGCATGGACCGGGATCCCAATGACAGGATTCTTGACCGCACTGAGGCCGCGAGACAGCGCCTGATGGATCTGCGCAGTCTCTTCAAATAAACAGCCCACTTCTTTCTCGGCTGTGATCTCGGAAAACCCCCACTCTCACCGGCTCTCACAACATATCAGCTCGACTTGACTTCCCGAATCATACGCCGAGAAGCAGCGAAATGATAATCACATGCATCATACGAGGTCAAAAGCAATGCATGGGCGGCCATGGCCGCAACGAAAATACGATCAATGACCGACGTCTTCCCTTATCAAGCATGAAAACATCATAGCTTACTCGCCGCGGCGGTGGGCTAAAGAGAAAAAATTTACCGGGAGGTGTTCTCTCTATTTCATTTCACACATACATAGTCAGGACACCCACTTCATTCAGTATGGCTTCAGGAGTTCATTGGGCTGGGACAGTGACTGCATGGTACGGCGCAAGCGGGCGGCGGGAGGTTTACCGTTCTCTGGGTGGGTGAGCGCATCGGGTGGTCAGATTTAGGGCTCAAGGATTCCACTCAATCTCGTTCTTACGGCACATAGTTTTCCATTTTCTGACCATGGATTCTCGGATCATCATACATCACTTGGGGTGGGTGGGCGGTATCACCTGCGTTCCAGTTTTACAGACACATAGCATTAATTAGACATTGCTTGATGAAGCCCTGCGTTTGGCGTTGTTCTTGTTGCCCAGCGGGGGTGCGTGTGACGGCCTTGGTTTCTGGTGACGCCTCTTTCTTTCCGCGGGGGAAAAGGGTTTCTGGGTGCGCGGCAGTAACAACGTCCGTATCACAGAGACGCGAGAATGGCTTGATCCGAAAGAGAAGACCTAATCATTGAAGACGCTTGCGAAAATACATGGAAGATGTGCACAAGCCATAGACAACCATCAACAAACAGAACGATGCGAGACAACTCAAACGGCTGTGACACCACTGCAGCTATAAAGCCCTCTTGCACACCTAATGGACTTCATGTCCAAATGTCTTCAACTATGAACTTACATAACATGCTCGGCATAACATTCTTCCCTTCCCCATTACTACCTCCATGCCCCGGACCGTCCCATTCCCAACCTCATTCCTCACACGCTTCCCAGGTTTCCTAACCAGTCCATGTCATTGCAGGGCTATGTTGACCAAGCACTGGCAACTCACCACTCAAAAATGTGTCGACTACCCATCACGGGATGGGTGGGAGGTGAGGAAGCAGGATTGATTTCCTTCTGAGACACCCGAGTTGGTCCGAGTTCGTGTATACAGATCATCAACCACGCAGCGGAGGTATGAGCTATGTATGACTCGGCATGTAAGCGCGCAACAACCGTTTTTCCGAGCGCGGTAACAAGGCATTGCCGATCTAATTCATGCCGGTCAACATTTTGTATTCCCAAACGAGCGCTAGGACCAGGGAAGAAACCTCAAATCTCAAACCAAGTGGTTGGCACCGACGAGGGTGGTGCAGCCCGACTTGTTTATTCTCTACAGCCTTAAAGCTGCACACCGAGTATCGCGGTCAAAACCGTGATATCAATGACCAAGTTAAGATGATTTCATGATAGATTCTTATTTTCGTTCCGACATCCCAAACTTTCATTGATGCAAATAAACCATGCCACTGTCCACACCACGCCATGAATGAGATTACTCCAGACCCCTTAACCCGTTGTCTCGTAACGCCCGGCCCACAAAGAACACAGAAGAACCATTTGCTTCTATCATGACACGTCCCACCACTATTTTCTCTCTGTCTTAGACTTTTGAGGTAACTGGGCACACCACGCCCAGCTCTTTGGCAGCTACTCCATGTGGAGACGTCATGGCCATTGCATTGCTCCTTCCGTCATTCATGCTGTGTCGGCAGTAGTAACGGGCCGCGAGACACGAGTGACCTGGTCGCCCGCACGGACGATGCGCTGGCCGGAGGAATCGGTCACGGCGGCAACGTCCTTGTTCTCGGATTGGGCGCGCTTCCAAATCTCCACCTCGCAGCCGCCCCTCAGGACGCCCACTCTCATTGTCGACAGGAGGTTATGAGCAGCGTTGGAGTGGTTGTAGACGCCACCATTAAAGACTGCGGTGGCGTCCTTGCCGATGGCCGACGAGATCAGGGCCTTGCCACCGGGATGGTCGGCAATGAACCTGCCGACGTCGTGAATGACACCAGCGATGGCGATCCAAGCCTTGCCGTTCTTCGATTGCTCGACAAAGTCGTCCCAGCCGATGACGGGGAGGCTCTCGAGGGGGATGCCCCAGTCAAGAGTGGAGCGCTTCTGGTCGAGCTTCTTCTGCAGCTGTTGGACGCGGCCCTTCTCAATCTCGTTCTGGGGGAAGGTCTTGAGGTTGTAGGCAAGGCCGAGCTGCTTCATGGTCCAGATGAACCACTTGGTGGGGTCGTACTGCCACCACTCAATGGCATTGCGGAAATCGCTAGGGAACTCGTGGTGGAAGCTAGAGAACCGTTAATCGCATTCTCAACCCACAACAAAATCGGACGGGTGCATACTTGTGGTAGCCTTCTCCGAGGGTGACGAGAGCAGTGATGACGTGGTCTCTCGGCGAGTTGCGGTCATCGAAGGGCTGGTCGCCGAGCCAGTGGGCCAAGCTGTTGACGCAGAAGGTGGCTTGCTGGATGAAGAAAATCCTCAGGATGCCACCATAGACAAAACCACCCCAAAAGTCGCCCCAGCCAAGACCGCAGACAAGGGTAGGCACGATCAGGGCCATGGTCACGACCGACATGAGGTAATTCCGATGTTGCCAAACAACAACGGCATCGTCGTTCAGGTCGGTGATATCGGTACGGCCGATGCGGCGGGGGTTCTGCTTCATGACCATCCAGCCAATGTGGCTGTAGAGCAGGCCCTTGCGAACCGAATACGGGTCTTTCTCGGTATCGGTATAGCGGTGGTGCGAGCGGTGAAGACTGGACCACCAACGAGCGCTGCCCTCAACGGCGGCAGAGCCACCGGCGGCGAGAAAAATCTTGAGAGGAAGGGTGGCCTTGTAGCTCGAGTGAGCCCATAAACGATGGTAGCCGGCGGCTGGCAAGCTCGTTAGCACAAGTCACTCTCTATAATGCCCTCGCACTCGTCAACTTACTGATGCCGAGACCGGCGAAGAAGTAGTAGGCGATGGCAAAGATGGCCGTCTTGTACTGCAGCTTGATCCAGTAGGCAGAAATAAGGCCGATGAGCGGGATGAAAATGATAAAGGTTGTGTTGAGCCAGTTGACGTGTTGGTACCAATTGGTCCATGTTATCGGCTGGTCGGTGATGTGAGGTTTGCGGGCGTCATAGTTCTTCTTGCGCAGAGGAACGTAGTCGGTGGTGCCGTCAGGAAAGGTCTCGGCCTCGGCCACGGGCACCTTGGAAGACGAAGAAGACGCCATGGCGATGAAATATGGCGTTGCCGCTCAGCACCAGGTCGGGAGGTCGAGCAGGCGGAGTCGATGTGAGCAACAACGTCGACTCAGATACTCAGGGCCAGTCGACGGGGGTACCCAAGGGCGATGCCAAAGGGAACGAGAGCGAACAGTCAATCAAAAGTGGACGATTGCAGTTTAGAGAGGAAGGAGGCGGTAGGACAGGAAACGTTTATACCGCCTGCAAGAGACCAGGGGGTGTGTTTAAGCGGAGAGCCGAACGTTGAGAGCCGGTCCAAGTGAACAAGACAGCACCTGAGCACCAGGTCACTTGCTTGATTGTGGGTGGGCCAACAATAATTCAGAGTTACAATTGGATAACGTTAGGGAGGCGATTGCAAGAGAAATGTGAAGCTCCTCTGATTGATGATTCTGTAGCATGCAGGCCTGTCATCAACGTTCCAACACCGATGGGATCTCGTTTGCCACTTCACCCGTTGAGCATCAGTTTGCCGAGGCGAAGGAACGCCCGGACATGTGCAACAACACCATTGCCTCCAAATTGCCGTTGTTCCTGCCAAAACAGCCAGTTTGGATGCCAGTCGTTGTTTCCCAAATTGTTGGGAAGTTGTTGGGGAAGGTGCCATGCGCCTGATTGGTCAATTTGGACCCACCTAAGGTGCCTATGTCATCAATTTCTGCAAAAAGCCAACACAGAAAACTCAAAGCTCCCATGCTCCGCCTCAATTTCGTTGCTGTACGGATTAAACTTCAACCTATGTATGATGTGCCCCTCAGAATCACATGCATTTTGTTTTGTCGCCACAAAATGAAGAGGTCGGCTTGTGACCACGCGAGTTCGTCCCATCTTTGTGGCCCCACGCCCATGTTTTCGGTTCCTGAACTGTGCGTTTTGCCCTGGGCCTCGGCATGGAGCTTGGACGCTACTTCGACAGTGCCTGTTACAAACCTCCAGAAGACCGGCTCGCGTGTAGGTATTTTGGACGACCCGAAAGTCACCGAACCTCACCGGGACTCTCCAAGCTGTGCTGCCGTTGAAAGGTGGCACGGCGTCAGCCCTATCAGGCTGACAACGAACGACTCGGAGTCTCATTGCACCGACAGTGTGGCCGGCTGAACCCACTGAACATGCAATCGATGCAACCAGAATGATTCAGCAATGCATTGTTTGAGCGAGCTGGATGGCCTTGATCTCTGCTTACCTGAAACGTAACATGTTGTGGTCTCGAGAGAACTCCCCTAACCTGCGGCTTGGCGTTTCTAGAACCCGAACCCGGGAGCTGTTACCTCCGCACCGGGCGGTCCCCCGTCGGATCCACTCTCTGGGCTCGGAGCGCCATCTAATTAGACCCACTCACCGGCGCATTTGCGATTGCTTGGCGGCGCGGGCCGATTTTGGTGCCGATAACACTGGTTTGCCCGTCAATCAGCAAGTCGTTTGGTAATGAGTGGGGTACTTGCACGGTTGACTCGGCTGTATCATGCAGCAGCAGTTTAAGAATGTCTCGATCGCAGCATAGCTCGAGACCCAGGCCTGCAAAACTCTTGCTGTTCTCCGCCGAGCTCAAAATCTGTGGCAGCCGGCGAGATTTCCAGAAACCTGAACCTCACCCCCGTTGCGACGACGAATCCTGAACCAAAATTCATCGTATATTAAAAAAGAGCTACCAGCGATATCACGCTGGCAGCTCTGGGAAGAAATGATCCGCCTGGCCAATCAACTCTTCCAATGTAAGACTAGCTGCAAGGACAGACCAGATCAGATATAACGAAGATATCGAGAGGGACGTGAAAAGCATGATAAATCATCCAGAATGCCACCCTGTCCTGCCCCGCCCAAGGAACCTCGCGACGGACTTCCCTGTCCCACTATGTGTTACTCCCTTCCATGCTGCATTCAGTTCGTCAGTCACCCATTTCCACCCTCACTTGCACGATCCGTCAGTGTACCGTTGTCCTACTCCACGCTATCTGATGCCCCTTCCCTCAGTGCCATAACATCAGCGCATAGTGAGATAAACTTGGATATGATTGAGGAAAGAAGGTGTCAAACAGAATACAAGCTGTCGTCATGCTGTCGTCGTTGGCAGTGCAATTACTGCTGCTGATGCTGATGCTGATACCGATCATAAACCCCTTTCATCATAATCAGAGGGGACCTCGTGTCTGAGCCTTGCCCTCTGCGGCAAGAGCATCTCCCAGGCTCTGATCCAAGTCTGAACACAGGTCCTCGTCAAGAATTATGTCGTGCTGTCGTTTCTCATCTCGTGCGTCACTATCGTCGGGTCGCAAAGCGGGGCCATAGGCGGAGCCAACCCCCTTCAGAACGTCGTCTGGAGGAGCCCTTCGTGTATATGTATATCCCGGAACTGGGGTTGCTGGACGATAGGCTTCTTCGTGGTCATGCTGTGGTTGTTGCTGTGACGGTACGTCCTTGTGGGTTCTCTCTTCAAAATGATCATTCAAAGGAGTGGTGGCAGTCCCGGTCGCAACCATCTGCTGACCGCTTCGCTGAGATGCAGACTCGGCAGATGATTTGCCGCCCCTCCCGCGCGGAACAGACCAGTGTCTGCTCGTGGCGGGATAACCACCAGACTCTCGTGGCGTGCTAGCCGGCTTCGTAACGTCCTTGCCGCTGTCGACTTGCGAGTTGGACCCTGTATTGCCCCAGCTACCCGGCTCTCGACCACCGCTGTCAGCGTTACCGTCAGGATCGTTCCGCTCCTCCCCGAGACGCCATTGTCTGGGGTGCGGGCCCCATGTACTTAGTATTTCCTGCTGGTCTGCCTCCGCCGACTCGTTGTTGTTGTTGTAGGTATAATGACTCCCTGATATTAACTGTCCCCGTTCTGATAAAAATCCGCCATCTGTGATTGTGTCCGTCGCAGTTCTCCTCGGCGCGTAGGGGCCATCAGCGTATGTTCCCAGAGTCTCACCGCTTGCTGTCGGTTCCGTGGACCCGACTGTTGACTTCCCCGTGAGGACGTCGTTGACCGATGACACAGTCGGTGCATGGAAAATTTTGTCTGACCAGGTGTACGTCCGGTGTCCGTAACGCATCGGGTCGTAGTCTCCCTGATTGCTCGGCATTGGAGACGGCGGAGATCGGCCCCTGCTTGGGTAATAGAAGGGCTCGTCGGCCAGGTGCTGACTCCCCCAGCCAACATATGCCCAGTCGCTAGGCGGGTGCACTGTCTTGATCCGCGGAATGCCGCTCGGAGAGAGGTAATCGTGGCGGGACTTGTTATCGCCATTCAAAGACACCGCGGACCCGTTGGGCCGCCCGTGGCGTGCTTCGTCTTCGGCGTCCGGGAACCAGGAGAGCAGCTGAGCCGCTTGCACTCGGTTCCTGGGGTTCACGCTCAAGCATGTATCCACAACGCGCCTGTACCATGCCGGCACCTGGACTTCCGGGTCGATTTTTAGGGGGCGACCGTACGCATCCGGCTCATCTTCCTGGGTTGCCAAAGCCCAGAGAACCATGCCCAACTGATACAGATCCGACTTGACGCCGATGTACATGGAAATCCGCTGGTTGCTCTCGATCAGCGGTGTTGCTTCCGGCGGCTCCCAGCCGATTGGGCAGCCTCGTCGGTTGATATCGATGATCTTGGCATCGTTGTGCTCGTCGATGACAATGTTGGACAGCGTAAAATCGCCTTGGACAAAGCCGGCTTCATGGATCTCAGATAGGCCGCCGATGATTTGGCGGGCCCACCTCTCGCGAGTCGGCCAGGGCAACGAGTGGTCGCTGTCATAGATGACATCGACAAGGGCGCCGCGCGCAGCGTAGCTGATGAGGAGACCGGTGACATGTTCTTCCCCGTCGTCGACAACGATACCGTAAAATTGAATTACGTTCTCGGCGTGGCACAGCTGGTTGAGAGCGTTGATTTCGTAGAGAAACTCGTCGACGGTATCCGGGCCAGGGATCTCCTTTTTGATGAGCAGCCTGCCGTGGACTCGCACCTTGTAAACAAAGCCAGACATGTGCGAGTCGAAGTGTATCTCGCGCTCCTTGACTCGCCTGCAGTTCAGATGCTGCACCATTCGAATTTGGGGATAGCTGATGATTTCCTGTCCGGGTCAGTGATGACGGTAGTAGAGAGGTTCGCACAACTTACATTGGCGTCCTCAGTGACATGAACATGTAGCCTCCCGTCCTTCGTCTCCAGCTTGAGATTGGTGACGGTGTGGTAGAACTGGATGTCGCCTAGGCTCTCTCGGATGGCTTCATAGATTTTGGCGCTCTTGTCCCTCTGGTATTGTGTGGCGGCCAGGTCAGCCTCAAGCGAGTTCTCGGGGGCATTGCGGTAATCAAGCGAGATGGTGACACGCCGCCAATTGTGTTCGTGCTGGTGGAAGGTGATGAAGAACTTTTCCCGCTTGGACTTGTCCCGGAAGTGCATCGACAGATTGAGAATCCATTTGCGCTCCAACTCGCTCTCGATCAGAGCATCATACTGGGAGGTGGTCATAGACTGGACGTCAATTCTGGACAAGGCATCGGTGTGGTGAAAAGGATTATCGACCAGGTCTCTATCCAAATCGAAGCCGTTCAGGTCCCCAACAGGGTCAAAGTCCTCCAGTGGACTCATGGGGTAGGATGGCGGAGACTGTGGTGCGCTGAGGCAACGGTGCATGAAATCAGGGGCGCTGTTTCGAGGATTACAGTGGTCGAGGGCGCTGATGGGCGACTGCAAGCGTCTGTCCATGGAGACGGCTCTTCGCTCAGCGGGTGTAGGCCGGACAGGTTCCAATCTGCTCCGCACCTCGGAACGCTGCCTTTTAAATGTTTGGGCCCTTGGCAGGCCAGGGATAACTTTGCGCGAGACACGTCGGATGATGCCAGTGTTCGTGTCACGCTGTTGCTCAAGGCCGTCGGTTTTGTGAGCCGGCTCTGATGACCCATCAGCGCCATTGTCCCTTTCCCAGCCGAAGAACCTGCGCCACAGATTTTGTTGCATCTGGCCGTTGGCGTCTGTCAAAGGGACCGAAGCTCTGGGGGTGCTGTCGGTGGAAGTTTGAGCCATGTGGCTCGGCCGGGAGCGGTGCCCCTGATGCCGGTGCCGAGGCCGGGACGGACGCTGCCCTGGGTTTGAGAGGTGCCGTTAGACTTAGGGCTTTGTTTTTCTCCTCCTCCGTCCCTTCCTCAGTGTCAGTACCCGGGTCCACCCAAAACACCGAAGACAACGAGACTAAAGAATGCGGGGACAGTAGCACAAGGGGAGGAGACACGAGAGTCGCCAGGCGTCCATCAGACGTGGATAACGATGCTAACAGTGGCTGCAATGACCATGAGCGATATATGGGTACACCGAAAATCGAAGCCGCACCGCTCAGCCTTGGTGTGCCATGTGCAGTGAGCTCCTCACACGGGGCACCGCAGGCTGACCGCGCGCCGAATTGGCCAAGAGGCAGTTGACGCCGGTTAAAGATGGGAGGACGTCGAGGGGAAGAAGGGGTTTCCTAAGCCTTGCAGATACGTGTCTAGAGCCTCAAAGCCCCGGTAATGGCGTGAAGCATGGGGGACCGCAAGTTGCAATGTGTCGTCTGGCAGCTCGAGGCATGTGGGGGCCTCGATGATTATTCAAGGGCGCGTACGATCATGGCGTAACCTTGAGGTGAGAGACAAAAAGATCGTCCTGCAGACGAGCTCGAGTCGAAGAGCGAGGGCATGTACGGAGTAGGTGTGGTTGTAAGGTGGTAGAACTGGATGAAGTGAAGTCGAGTCGGGATGACAGGTTTCCAGATTCGGGCGGGTGTCAGGCTGAGAACTGCGCCAGGGTTTACCTGGTTAAATTCCCTCTTCTATTTTTGCTGCGGTTTCCGTTAATACCTAGAGAAATCTGGGACAGGACTTCGGGCTTCCCCGCGACATCTTCTGTTTGCTTGCTGACCCTCCTGCATGCTGCACGAGGCAGGAGGGACGGACCTCGACCGGACGAGTTGAGCATTTTCCGCCACCTTCCAAAGTACCTTAATGTGGGCCGATGCGGAGACAAGGGAGTAAGGGGTCATCACGCTATGCTTCTCGAACGTCAGGTCAACCCACTTTTTTTGGCCGGGCATACATCTAAAGGTTGAAATAGGCCTAGATGGCTTAGGATAGCTCAGTATAGCTATTGAACTAAGTAATGCTATAGATATCTCCTAAAAGCTATTAGATTGCAGTGACTAATATTTCAAAATATTGGTTGAAAATTAAAGAGCTTTTTGATTAATAAATTTATTTAGCTTCTAAATATATGCTTCTTTTTTATCTTTTAAGATTACTGAGCCAGCGGAACTGGCAGCCCTCGGTGTCCTTGACCACCCCGTCGTTCCAGACGGGAGCGACGGTATTTACTTTATAATCCAGAATAGCTGCTAAGTCCTGGGGCCTAGCCCTAGCCGAGGCCTGAGAGGTTTATACTAAGTGCATTCGCAGTGCTCTAGCCTACGGAGCTTCAAGCTTCTACTGGCCTAGTCTTATTAGGAGTTAGCTATAAGGCATTGCAAAAGACCTCTAGAAGGCTCAAAACAGGAGCCTACAGATAGTAGCCGGGGCCTATATGGTTATCCCAACCTGACACTTCGAGGCTAAAATGTAGGTTCCTCTACTAGACCTCTATTTTAATAAGAGGCTAGCTGACTTCGAAGATAGGCTCTAGAAGCTTACTCTTCAGACTCCTCAGCCTTCGCAGCTGACAACAAGGCCTACAACCTGGCCTGCAATAGGGTTTACAATAAAGCCTCCTCTCCTAAGATACCAGCCTCCTAGCCTGCTAGTCGAGGAGGCCTGCAACAGAATCCGCGACTACTTCTAAGGACTATAAAAAGCCAAAGGGCCAAGTTGACTAGGTTTAGCTATTGCCTTCAGCCTTTGTTGAAGTGGATCAGCTCGCTCGTTTCTCCAGCAAAGACTATCTCTAAACTTAGCTAATTTATTACCTTAAATAATACTCCAAAATATTAACGTTAAATGAATATACACTAAAATATTAAATAAATATTTAATAAATATTTTAGAACTATATCTACAGCTTTGATTACTTTAATAGCTATACTGAGCTACTATTAGCCATCTAAGCCTGCCCTGACATTAGGTACTTACGTGCTAGCCGAAAAAATAGTGGGTCGGATCAGGAGTTTGAGAAGCACAGCGGTGGCAGTACTGCGTATCCGTGGTGGGGTGCAACACATGTAACAGTGTGATGGGCAGACGGGCTCGTTATTAATGCATGTCCATGGACTTGCAGCCCTGTGTCGGACATGCTCGGGCCAAGGCTGTCGAGTCATTCCTAATCCTTGAATCGACTCTCAAGTCGTTCGAGACGCCATACCGCGTGGCGCGGCCTTGACCAAGGCGGCGGCAACCATCCCTGTACGCAGCTCAAAAACGGGAGGTTGCTGCACGAAGTTGGTATCGGTATACACATTTGCTGTAACTACATCAATGAAACTCGGGTTAAAAGTTCCTCTTCAGTTCCCGTCCTTTACCATCAGCAGTATGGCTTACCTTTTCATTGAGGCCATGTGCTCAATTGGGCGAGTAGCGACCCACTCACTGCTCGTCCTCTCTCTTCTCCTGAAAACCCATCTACTGTGTATTGTACCTTCTTGGATCCATTGGACGTCCCAGAGAGCAGAGACAACCAGAGCAGTCACCGTCATAACGCTCCCTGTTGGTTGTTACGCCTGACCCAAATCTCAACCCAAGGGACACTTCGACGTTCAATTGCCCGGTGATCAAGCCGGATTCAGCAAACACAGCAACCGTTACCCGTCAGAGCAAAGACCACGCGAGGTGAGGGGCGTTCAGACCTTGTCTCCAACATGAGTCCTGAGAACAGATCACACTACTCCGCCAATAAAGGTATGATGAGAACACGACACTTCTCTTATCCATAACTACGGGCCGGCACTCACCAGAGTCTACATGCTCGCATCCGCAGCCGCCATTCATGCGTCTCATCCAGCGCTGCCCAGTCTGCTGGAGCTGACCACCCAATTGTTCTTGAGCAGCCCCGCGTTCGGAGGGTTTCTTTCCACGTAGGGTACCTACCACAGCATTGCTGCCCAAGCACACGCCAGGGGACACTCGACAACCAATCCTCGCGGAAAGCCATGCGTAAGATAGTCACTGGCACGTCAACAGGAAAACAAGGCTGCATGCAGCAGCATGTCCTCGTCCAATACACATCTTACATGAAGTGCTGATATTGTAACACGGAGAGACACAAATGCATGCCAGATCAAGCAAGCAAGACCAACAAATGCTTAACGCCTCGTTAACGCAGTCCCTCACAAGCCCTTTCTAGCGATCAGGGAGCGATCATTTGCCTCCTGAACTTGGACAGGACCAAGTCGGAAAACCTACGTTCGGTCAACCAACAGGCGACGGTTCTCAAGATATGTCATGTCCAGCTCAATTCATTCGGCGGGAAGAGACATTAGACACAAGTATCACGCACTCCTCGCCGAATTACACCATACCTCGCTACATGTTCCCAAGCCTGCCAGCCCAAGAGGCAGACTTTGCGCGGGTGAAACCCCCACACAGCTCCAGTCACTCCAGAACACGCACGACACCCCCCGTAACACGGGCACCATCCAGCGCCAACCATTCTCACGGAAAGAATGGCCTCTGCCATGTACAAATAAGTTGGTTGTCGTCATGGCCGTGGGATCACCGTAGGTAGTAGTTGATCCATGGTCACGGGAAGATCGTTTAGGCCCCGCATTCCTCGATATCACCGCGACGACAACTGTCACGCCATTTCCAATGGGCATCGTTACCACATGGTACACAATCTCCCACCTAAAATATACGTACAATACTATACATAGACAATATCTAAAGCATTACAGAGAGTGAGGATGTGTGGGTGTCAACTGAATCTCCCGCTATGTATCCGTATACCTTACAATGACCCCCGATTCCCATCACCACCTTGCTTGCCTCTCTATCAGCAATGTGATGAACCCGCAAGGAACAACACAAATTTCGATCCACATTCGTCCGTCCACCGTCCATCAATTGATTGATTAATCGAGTTTGCTCCAGGAGCATCTTGGTAGGGCCGGGTTCAAATGCCCCGGCATGCCCGATCTGTCTTTACAAACTCACATCTTTGGCCGGAGACCCCTCTTCACTCGACATCGCTTTCCGCCAGTCAGTCCAGCCGCCTCCTTTCCGATACCCCTCATCCCGCGCTGTTAGGGCATGGACCCGCGTGCATTCGCACTCGGACGCTACCATTCGCGTGGCCATGGGACACTGCCATTGATTGGCACAGGAACGTGGATGGAGGGGGAGGAACACTGGGCCTAGGGCTTGGTTGCTCTTCCCGTCCGTTTCTCCACGACAAATGCCGGTTTAGTCACTCTTATCGTCCGACTCATCCGACTTGTCCTCGCCGTCCTTCTTGTTCCCGCAAATCTTACACCTGTTGGCCTTCTCGCGGTCCAGGTTGGGGAAGATGAGGTCAAACACCTCCGAGTACCAGCTCGCCGGGCGGCCTTCGATGCCTTCCTTGATATTCTGTACCCTCTCGTCAGCACATTCCATTTGGCATTACCATGAATTGTTGTGGGGAAGCAACGGGGCATACCTCAGGAAGCTCCAGCCAGTCAGACAGGTTGTCCTGCGGGAAGATGATCATCTTGCAGCCCGCCCGCCGCGCCGCCACTGTCTTCTCCCTCAACCCTCCGATGCGGAGCACCTTGCCAGTCAGCGTCAGCTCGCCCGTCATAGCGACAGTCGGGTCGACCGGCGTATGGAGGGCCAATGACAGGAGCGAAGTAGCCATGGTGATGCCGGCCGACGGCCCGTCTTTTTGCACCGCGCCCTCGGGGACGTGCACGTGGATCTTAGCTTTTTCCAGAAAATGGTTTTCTGGGAACTCCCTGGCCATCAAGGACTTGGCGAACGAGTAGGCGATGGTCGACGACTCCTTCATCACCGTCTTGAGGTTACCCGTGATTTCAAGCGATGGCCGACTGGACGGCTTCAGAGCGGCCTGGAGGATAGCCTCAACATACATGGCGGCGCCGCCCAGCTGTGTCCAGGCCAAGCCCATGGTGACACCCGGCGGCGTGACATCATACAGCCTGTCCGAGGTGAAGATGGGCGGCCCAACATAGTCTTTGAGGTTGTCCTTGTCGATGACGACGTGCACACTCTCGGGAACCTTGAGCGGCAGCCTGGGTTGCTCGGTGGTCTCCTTCTCGGTTGCTTCCCTGCCGGCTTCTTCCGTCTTGCCCTGCTTCTCCGACTCCTTCAGGGCTGCCTTGCCCTCATCCGTGAGAGCCTTGGCCTCAGGCAGCGCCGCCTCCCCGAGATCCTGGACTATCTTCAGCGCAGACTTCCGGTAGACCTTCTCGATCAACTTCTTGAGGTTCCGGACACCGGCTTCGCGGGCATATGACTTGATGAGCTCCTCGATTGCAGTTTTGCTCATTTGCACATCGACCTGTTTCAGCCCAGCCAGCTCCTGCGCCTGGGGGGCGAGATACCGCTCGGCGATGGCCATCTTTTCATCCGAGACGTAACCAGACAGCCTGATAACCTCCATGCGGTCGAGAAGAGGCCGGGGAATGGTGTCGGTCATGTTAGCCGTGCAGACAAAGAGGACCCTGGAGAGATCGACGGGAACGTCCATGTAGTGGTCAAGAAACGAGCTGTTCTGCTCCGGGTCGAGAAGCTCGAGCAGTGCAGAGGAAGGGTCTCCCTGGTACCCTCGCCCTATCTTGTCGATTTCATCGATGAGAATTAGGGGGTTCTCAGTCTTGCACTTCTTCAAGGCTTGTATGACACGGCCAGGCAGCGCACCAACGTACGTCCTCCTGTGACCCTTGATCTCGGCAACGTCGGTGAGACCACCAACACTAAACCGGTAGTATTCGCGGTTAAGCGCGCGGGCGATGGACTTGCCAATGCTCGTCTTGCCCACGCCAGGAGGTCCGACAAAGCAAAGGATCTTGCCTTCGACAGTTCCACGTAGCTTGCCGACCGCGATGAACTCCAAAATCCGGTCCTTGACATCCTTGAGCCCATAGTGATCCTCATCCAGCACCTTCATGGCGTTCTGAATGTCAAAGTTCTCGGCACTCCTCAGGCCCCAGGGTATCTGGGTCAGCCAGTCCAAGTAATTCCGGGTTACATTGAACTCTGACGCGGCGGGCTCCAGGTGCGCCAACTTGTTGAGCTCCTCGTCAAAAACCTTTCGCACCGCTTCCGGCATGGCCAACTTGTCTGCCTTTTCCTTGAACTTCTCGACCAGCTTGTCCTTGCCGTCCGATTCGATACCGAGCTCTCTCCGGATGCCCTTCATCTGCTCCATCAGCCAGTACTCGCGCTGCCGTTTCGTGATCTTGCTCTCCACATCTTTGGTGATTTTTGATTGTAGTTGGGCATTCGCGAGCTCCTTCTTGAGCACCAAGAGCGCCTTGTGCATCCTATCTTCGACGTTCAGGCTTTCCAGCACTTCTTGAAGCTCAGCAGGCTCACCCGCCGAGACAGCGGCGGCAAAGTCGGCGAGCTTGGCCGGCTCAGACATGACGTTGCCGGCGGATTGGCTGATGGAAAAGGTAGAGATTTGGTCCCTGAACAGGCTGTTCATACTGGCTACCTCCTTGAATACGTTCACGATCTCGTTTGTAACGGCACGGATGACTTGGCTCTTGGGATCGTGTGGTTCTTCGGTCAGATTGTCGACGTTGGCGATGCTAACGGGATACTTCTTCAGGAATGATGTCACCTCGTGCAGTTTCTTGGATGGCTCAGGCTTCTGCTCCACAGCACTCTCCTCAAAACTCGCAACCACGTCTCCTTTCGGCTCTCCCTCGTCCGGCGTCTCAGGAATCGGCTCGGGTATAGGCTCTGGTACGGGCGAAGGTTTCGAGGCATCCGCGCCCCTTGGAGGGATCAACGAAGACAGCCGGATTCTGCGGTGAGGGTAAAGAATCGCCGTCAGGCCGCCTTCGCTACCCTGCGAGTTCATTGGAAATGCGCTGGTGACCTGTGCAAAGACCCCGACGTCGTAGACATCGTCTGGGTTCCGGATCACATCGTCATCGGCATTCTCGTCCTTGAAAAGGAAGGCTCCGACGTACGGCTGTCCCCGCTTGAACATCTCCATGATCGCAGCGGCGACATTAGGGTCCTTGATTGTAATGGCCTTGTAAAAGCCCGGGAAGAGCGGCCGCTTGGCGATGGGAATTGCTAGGACTTGAGGATAAATCTCAGGTACGACGGGCTTCGCGAGGGCCTTGTCGCTTTTCCGACCCCTTTTGCCGCCGCTTGACCCCGAGTCGTCTCCCGCGGAACCAGACGAGGCACCACTGGCAGCACTCCCCTTGCCGTCTGTCGGCTCTGGCGCGCCTTTCCCGTTATTGTTGAATGTCGCGTCGGAGCTGGAAGTCTTGGACTTGGTGGCTTCCTTTTCCTCCGCCTCGGATTTCTCGACGTTCGCTTTCTTCTCCTCCTCTGAAAGAGGTTCGACAGGCCCGTCGAAGAACCCATCCTTCCGCTTCCCGAGGGAAGTATACGTCGAGAAGGTCGAAAGTAATAGAGGCCAGCCCCGTGGGGAGCTCTGCCGCAGTGGCGCAGCATTACGTCTATGTCGTATTGATACCGGGACTGAACACGTGCTCAGCCTTCTCGGCGGCGTGAAGAAGATGGGGCTTGTCGGCGCGGGTAACCGCAGGACACGTTGTCGGGGCAGCATTGTGAGTGGTGATTATAGCAGCTCGAAAACCGTTTGTTGACGTCAGGATTTGCGCTTCTCAGTTCAAGCGGTTCAGGCTCTGCCCGCTCGAAGGGGGCGGCAAGGGAAAATCTATATGCAAGCAAGTCTGAGAAAATGGTAACAAGGCAATAAATAGTGTACAAATTGAATCCGCGGCACGGAAAGCCCCTGGGCGTCGTGGTTGAGGCGTTAATGGTTACTCAGAGAAGGCCTGGGCAAGCCAGGATCCATGGCGATGATGTCTGAATAATGCGATGGAGCGCGGGCGGAGCACAGGAACGATTTTCGGGCGATGGAAGCTGCTGGCAGCAGAGCGTCAATCTTATCTTAGCTCCGATGGCCCCGGCTGGACAAGGTAAGGTGGGCAAGCCACAACTGCGTCAGCGAGAGGCTCCACCAGCCACCGATTGCGGCTCCAGCCTACAGGTCGGTTGCTGTTCTCCACACAAGGTTGCCCCGCCCCCGCGCATCATCAGCCATCTTGCCATGAAATTCGATCATTATGGTTGAATGTTGCATATATCCGTTGTCTGGAATATCAAACGAGCTCTCTCGATCTGCAGCTTCACACACCCGTGCTACATGTGCTTGTTGTCCAGCCACACACTACCCCCGGGCGCTACATAAACAGTATAACCATTCTTTAAAAACCTTCACCCTCCACAAAGCGTGTCCGTCAGTTCCTGCCCTTGTTCTTGTCCAACAACAAATACTTGGCAACCACAAGACATTGTATCCGGATCCAGTCTTGTCAGGATCAACATCAATCGCCGTTTATACCATCTGATTCAAACGCTACTCTCATTCGGCTTCGTTCAACAGCACTTCATATCACAACATACAATCTAACCCTGGTTTGTTTGTCTGCGGCGCGGGACTTGGTAAGGAAACAAGACAACTGTCTAGTATTCACTCTTCTTTCTTCTTTCTCTTCTTCTTGCTTTCTTCTTCTTTTTCATACTTTCTTCTCTTTGTCCTCCTTTCTATCTTCCCATGTTCCTACATTTCTTTACCTCTTCCTTGCAACCCCCTATTCTCCACACTAACAAACAAACCAGAGTTGGATTGTACATAGCTTTCGCCATGGCACCAGAAGCAAATGAAGATCTCCCTTCCACCCTCGGCAAGCTCTCTATCAACACCACTGAGCTAGAGACAGCACCCCCACCACGGACCAAGGCCCAAAAGAAGAAGAGCAGCCCCGTGGCGGACAGCTGGGAAGACGAAGTCGACGTCAACGAAGACGACGACGCAGTAGCTACCCCCGTGGCCACCAGTAGCAGCCATGCGGGCACCTCAGCGCCACCACCAACGCCACTCTCCCCCGTTGAGCACAGCAAGCGACCCTTCCCCGCCCCGGCGCTCTCGAATCCTGGGTTTACCATCCCACCCTTTGATGGCGCAGGCGGTTACCCATCGCCGTCATCATCTTCGACATCAGCAAGCGGTGGGCCATCCAAACGGCCCGAGAAGACAGACGCCGTAGCGCGGCGCATGATTGCCAGTGCGCTGGGCATGAGGGCCCCAAAGCCGACCGAGGAGCAGCGGGCGTATGACAGGGCGGTCCGCGAGAAGGAGAGGAAAAGGAGGGAAGAGGAGAAGGAGAGGGAGCGGAAGAGGGAAGAGGAGGTTGCCAAGGCTAGACAAGCCATATGGGATGATTGAAATTTTGTTGTTTGAGTGTCTTGGATGAATGGGGTCTTGGATGCGGAATTGTTGCAGTCGATTTGGATAATCATGGCGGGAGGGCGGAAGAAATACTGCTCCTGAGGAGTACTAGACGAATTGTGAATATTCGAAGTTCGTGAGGAAAGTTTGATGATGTTGGATTGGATCATCCTTGCGCCCTCTTGTATAAATTCAGAGTGGCTGTTTTCGCTATTATTCTCGGTCAACTTTTGTCCGCACTAGAGAATCTCTCCCACCCACCATTCTAGCTCAGTCGATCTCGGCCAGCTATTCCCGTGTCGAGAATTGAAGATGGGCGTGCCCATTGGGCTGCTCTGACTCCGCCGTCGCATATCCCTTGTCGTATTGTCGTCAGAGCTCATCTGAAATATCCAATATCCCCAAACATACCAGTTCCCTCAAAGGCCAGTCTTCATCAACACCCGGCTCAACCGTTTGCAGTCAAAACACCCTCTCTCAAACCCATTCCTCATCAACCCGCCACCTGCTCCCCCTCCACAAACGGCGCCAAAGCCTTCCCTCTCCACGTCAGCACCAAATCCTTTGCCCCATCCTCAAAGTACCTCAGTCGCACCTCCACCTCCTCCAAGCCCTCTTCCTCGGCCCTCCGATTCCACAAAAACTGCTCCACCCTCCCGGCCCTCGAACACGCCACAAACCCCATCGGCCACCTGCTCCGTCCCAGCGCCTCCCGTATTCCCCTGGTAGCAGGCTTCTCAGCCACCAACAAGCCCACCACTCCGCTCTTGCCCCTCCACCCTGCCGGCGCGGCGGCAAACGCGCCCTCCAGCTCGCGGACGAGGTGCGGACCGGGCCGCTGCACGGCTTTGCACTGTGCGAGCACCCGCAGCGGGCCTTGTCCGGACGACGACGGTGGCAAGGATGGCCAGGTTCCCAACAAGTCGATGCCGCCGTCCGAGACCCCGCCTACGCGTCGCAGAACGAGGCCGTAGCGGGATAGGGACTGGATTGTGGTGTACTCGAAGTGGGTGCCGACGTAGACCGTAGAGGAAGGGTCGAGGTTGGTGCGGGTTGCGTGGGCCAGGAAGGAGGGGAGGTTGGTGTGGTGTGGGGAGGGTGAAGGAGGGTAAATTAGCGAATTGTTTGATGGTGTGGGCGCGATGTGGTCGCGGTCGGGGGAGGTGGCATTTTCGGGTGGTGGTGGTGGAGGTGGTTCAGGTTGACACGATTTGGGAAGGGGCGCAGCTCCGAGGGGCCTGGGGGAGGCGGAAAAACTGCATCGTGACAGAGAGAGAAGGGTTAAGGGGCATAATGGTCTCTTAAGGAGAGCGAGCCGCATTTTAGAACAAAAGTCAAGTTTCCCCGGAGAATTGATGGGAGACGTGATGTCAAGGTTGCCATCTTACAAGTCCAGAGAACTGCTTGCCTGCCGGACTCACAAAGGCGGCAGTTGAGCACTTGAGCTCCAATCCCGGTTTGCCCCAGGGTGGCAAGGGGTCTCCTTATCATCTTATCTAGGTATCCAGGTTGCGCATCCCCTTGTATTCGAACTCACCTCACAGCGACGGTCTTGCAGGCTGGGGCGCACAGATTATTCAAGATGTCGGACATCCTCACCCAGCTGCAGGAGTCCATGGACTTGGTATGTGGCCCAATCTCAACGACGCCTTCATCCCCACCAACTAACCCGGGGCCAACAGCTCTGCACCATGTTCATCGCAGGTCTCTACTACGTCGAACGACATCACGACCTCAAGCAATTCACACCCGCAGACAAGATTCCCGATCTCAAAGCCGATCAGCCCAAAGAAGGTAGGTCCGCTCTCCCCCCAATAGCCCATTTCCACCGCCGCAACCCAGCCTCAAACTAACCCATGCTCCTTGTCCTTCAGTCGACACCCTCGACCCGCAAACGTTCAAAGACGGCCAAGTCGAAATCTCCCGCGACCTGATTTACCAGGCCCAGCGCATCGAATACCTCGTGTCAGAGCTGCCCGGGCTGCAAAACAGCGAGCGCGACCAGCTGCGGATTATCCAGGGGCTGGAGGAGGAGATTGCGGGACTGGAGGCACAAAGACAAGAGGCAGTGCGGGAGAGGGACGAGGTGTTCGCGCAGTTGGACGCGCTGGTGAGGAGCTTGCAGCGGCCTTAGCGGGGTGGTCATGATGGCTTCTGGGCTGGAGAAGAGCGATGCGGACGGGTAGAGTAATTGCTTGCATGGTCACGGCGTTATTGGGGTACCTTACCTGGTCTGGATGGATTTGGGATGCATTACGGAATAGGTAGCGGGGCGGTTGGCGGGGGAATGGGAATGGAACCAAGGGGTTGAATTTATCTACTATGCTGCAACGTTGGCGCCGCAGGGGCGGCAAAATCATCCAATCCAAGATGAAACTTGCATCTTCCTATGGATGTCCGTCATTCCCGATGTTCTCACCCTTCAGCTTGCGTCTGATGAGTCTGGCTTGAAGAACTGCGGGAATACCTTCCGCAGCTCCTCAAGGTGTCTTATCTGGTATTGGGAGGCCGGTGTCGCCGGCGGTTTGACGTCGTCCTCGACGAGGTGAGCCACCGTCCAGCCCAGTTCCTGAGCCTTTCTGCAGTTTTGGTACGAGTCGTCTATTTCTGTGTCAGTGACCGGTATTTTGCGAGAAAGAACAGGGAAATGACTGCTCACCGACGAAAAAGCAGTCCTCGTATCTCTCAATTCCCGCTTCCCGCATTGCCTTGTGGTACATGTCGGGATGTGGCTTACACTTGAACGGCACCGCGCCGTAGTCGCAGTAGGTAAGACCCTCGAAGAACTCCTCTACCTCAAGTAGCCGGACCACACGCTTGGCGTGATTGACGTAGGCGTTTGTCAGTAACCACAGCTTGACCTTGCTCCTGTCAATGTCTGCAAGCAATTTCTTGAGCTCGGGCCGGGGCTTGATGACGTCGTCCAGAGGGAGAGCGTCGTCGACCTTGGCATTGTAATCCAGGGGGTCGATCTGGTGATGCCGTACGAGCCCCTCGATGGCCAGGCCGTAGTTCTGGTAGTACTCCTTGTGCAGCCGCACCGCGTCTTCCCATGGGAGAGAAAGGTGGGTGGCAAAGTATCTGTCGATGAGGTCCGCCATCAAATCGTGGACCCTGGCGCCTGTAACCTGCCTCAGTCGCCGGGGTCTTCCCCAAGGACAAAAAGAGAGAGAACTCACTCTTTGGGTAGAGGCAGTTGTCAATATCACTGTAACCGTGTTAGCCATCGAGCGGGAGCCTGTTGGGGTGCTCCTACACTCACAAGAAGAAGACTTGTCTTGGGGAAGCCCCATTGACGGAAGTATGTTCCGAGTCCATTTGATTGAAACAGCTATGCAGTAAAAGATCCCACTCCTTGGATGAAGTGAGTGTATCCAAACTATTCCTCAACTTAAGGCGCGGGTAGTGTTCTCTGAGCGAGGGGCAGTATGTTGAAGTGCGAGTGAGAGATGGTACAGGTATTGCAGCTGTTAATCCTTGTTGGGCAAGATACCGTGACTGAGAAGCACAGGGACCTAAGTCGTCAATCTATACCCTTTACAGCTAACTCTTCCTTGTGAATCCAGCTTCAACTTTCTTCAGTCCTTGATCTTGGTGACCTTCCATTTGGATCCAGGAATGCGAGAAGTTGACTCAGGCCGCACAACCGAAGACCCACCTACGGTGATGAGGGATGGGAAATCTCGGAAAAACTCTCTGCGGAAAATGAAAATAGGGTTTTGAAATGTAAATTTCATATATTTCCGCTATAACTATCGGTAAGCCGGTAAAGAGCTAGGGTTAGAGTTCTCTACAATTGCCCATTACACATCCCGCCGACAGTTAAGGTAAGTGAGTTGCTGACCCTGGATTTCCTTATGATCAGCAATTAGACCCGTATTTCCATTTCGCCAAGCCTTCTCAAAGGGGGTTTGAATGATAATATTTCAAAGTTTGGCTGAAATTCCGCAATATGAAATTTCATTGCCCATTCCTTGCTGTGATCATGGATTGAGTTGGTCTGTGCGCAAACTCGAGTCTTTGCATTACTCAAACTGCCACTCCCAGAGCTTTGCAACTCGATATTTTCCCTGTTGTCAAAAGAGGCAGCATCTTGTCATCGATATCCATCACCTTCAACCCAGTATCTGCTGTCTTGTCACTGCGAAGTCCTTTGGCCGCCGCTGTATCTGACGGCGTGCTGACGCACTCGAGTTGTCATTCGACGATGCGCACTGCTGCAAAATCTACTGCACATTGGAACACCACCGCTATGGCTGGGACATCTGTGGTGGGAGTGATGGCAGGAAGTGCAGCGCCGGGGCTGGTTGCAGCGGCCAATGCTTCATTGATGGCGTCGCTCACGCAAGAAGAACTTGGTGAGATGCGAGAGTACAGTAAACTGCTGCAGTTTCGCGACCGGATCATCAGCGGCACGCATCCTCGCATCAAACCATCGCATTTACCAGGGAAAGCCGCGCAGGCCCAGAGACCGCCCTCAGCACCTGATTCTTTCACTCCCGCAATGCCCCCGCCTTCGCAGTCAGCCGCCGCAAAAGGCGCCGTAAACAGCGGTCGCCCAGTAGTTGACAATTTTCAGTCTTACCAGGCAAACCAACAACGGGCACAAGTAACCATGCCTCCTACTGTTCCTGGCTTGGGAACACTGTCGGGCGCATCTGGAAAGCCAGAGATCAATCCCGTCCTCTTGGAGAAGTCGGACGACTTGATCAAGGCCGAGATTCAGTTGCAGCGACAGCGAGTGGAACGCGGCCTGAAGGAACAGCTAGAGCAGCGCCGGACGGCCAACAAGGCGTCGGAGCAGCTGGCCGAACTTGATGTCGCCGACATCATGGCGAAAGCCATGTCGCTAGTTCACGCGACTCCTCCTGTCCAGCCCGCTGACGACACAGCTGCTAATGCCTCAGCATCCAACGACTCGGCCGACGATGACACCTTCTACTCGAGCCGCCACGATACTCCCGAATCCAACATGGCATCCCGACTGCCCAATGAGTCCGAAGAGGAAGAAATGAAAGAGGGCTCGCCGTATGAGCCCGTGCTCGATCTTGAGCCCGTCATTCCAGTACAAGGCCAGCGCGCTCCGTTGCCTGCACAACAGGCAGAACCCAACGGTTCTAGTTCACAGCCCAAACAACTTCTTAATCTTCCCGTATCGGTCCAGGTAGCTCCGGCTGCTGCCATCTCCGTACCTGGTCTGTCGCTTGCCGCCAGTAGTTCTGCGGGGTTGTACCAACCTCAACTGCCAGAGGTTTCGGGCGCCGCGCAAAGCAGTTCGGGGAGTCTCTCGGAGGACTTGGGCAAAACGAAGAGCGCACATGATGTTGCGAGAAACGAGCGATTGCTCGAGCAAGCCCAGGCTCGCGAACCTCCTGTTGTCCGTGGCCATAACCTCTCTCCTCTTGCTCCGCAGCCGACCCATGTTGTACAACCGGCCGTCGCAAGGGAGCCGCAGCTGGGTCCTTCTGAACCAGGCGGCAGGCCTCAAGCAGCCCCTGCGCAGGTCACTGCCCTGAGGAAGCGGAGCTCCAACGGCTCGAGCCCAGAGAGCTCTCCTCATGGTAGCAAATCGGAAAAGAAGAAGAACAAGAAGAAGAAGAGAAAGGCTGACCGGGCTGCTGCTGAGACTGCCGCGTCACCATACATCAAGCCAGAACCTCGCTCCCCTTCGCCCCTAACCCCTCAGTATGCTCGCCCGCACAAGCGCCAGCGGTACTCGCAACAGCAGCCTCTAGAAATTCACGATGACGAGCCTAGGTATGAACAGCCACGGCGAGTTGAGGAAGGCTATCAAGAACGCTACCAGCCCAGGATTGTCCGGCAGGAACGGGTTGTAGGTTACGAGAGGGCCGATGATTATCGCCCTCGTGACGGCGAGGAGCCCATCCTCATCGCGTCCCCGAAATATGAGAGGGTCTACTACGATGACTACAGACCGCCGCCCGCCAGCGGTTACCCAACCGGGCCGGAGTCAGCCCAGTACGTCCCTAGGGAAGTGCGTACCGTGCAACCTGCGCCCCGCCTTGTCGAAGGTCCCTGCGAAAAGGTTGCTACTTACTATCGTAACGCTCACGGTTTGTCGAGGGTGAGCGTGCGTCCTACCACGTACGCCGAGCGCTCGCAGTCGCCGGTTGGCTATGAGCGGCCCCCCGCTGCAGCAATGCCTCCTCCCCGAGCGCCGCCCCGTCGCATTATCGTCGATGCCTTCGGCCGCGAGTACTTGGAGCCTGCTCGCCCAGCCACCGTCGTTAGAGAGGAGGTTGTGACGGAGCCCAGAGGTCCCTACGAGCGACTCCTGCCTCCGCGCTCCATCTCTCGACGGCCCGAGCCGCTTGACGACGATGTCGTCTTCTATACCCCGTCATCGCCGGCTTACGCAGCGCCCAGACGTGTCATCACGCAGCCAGAGTACTTCTACCGCGAGCAACCCGGCCCAAGCAACTCCATTGGCACTCCCTCAGCCGAGTACCTTCCGTCCCGGCCAGAGCCCGCGAGGGAATACATCCCTCGGGCCTCCAGTGTCCGCCCTGCCAGGGAATCAGCCCACTACGACGCCGGCCTGCCAAGCCACGAACGGCTTCCGGTGCCCCTCGATGACCGCCCACCGCCCCCGCCGCGTGAGTTCTACCGCGCCGCCAGCGCTCGCCCGACAGCAGCTGCACCCGAGGGAGCTCCAACATTTGCCCGCTATGAAGTCCCCATCGCCTATGAGCGCCGTCTCGGACCGGACGACCCCAGTCCCGTGTACCGGTCAGCCAGCGTGCGCCCTCACGCTCAAGGCACCAGCACCGCCGCCGCCCGGTATGAAGCACATCCTCCTCCCCCTGCGCTGAGAGAGTATGAGTACGCTGGCCCGGCCAGGAGAGTGGAATATGTCCCTGGTCCTGCGCCCGGCCCTGCTCCTGATTCTTCTCCGGCGGGTTATCGTCCTCACCATCAGTACCATCAGCAGCAGCATAAACATCAGCAGGAGTCGAGAGATGGAAGGAGGGAGACGATGCCGCCTCCTCCGGCGCCGCTGGGAAGAGCGTATAGTGTCATGCCTGGTAGCGAACTTGGGCAGGCCGGCAGGGGGCCGGTGATACCTGAAGAGAGATATTATGGAAGGGCTCTGCCGCCGCATCAGCAGCGGAGAGAGGACGAGGAAATGATGCATTTGGAGAGCGAGTATATCTGATGGGGTGGAATGGGTGATCTGTGTGGAGGCAGGTTTTTGAGGTTGCTGGTAGGGAGTGGGTGGGTTGACAGGACGGGGAATGGGAGTGGATATTACTCCGCGGTAGTGTCTGGAGTGTCTTGCATTGTGGTTAGCAGGTGGGGATGGGATGCATGAGGCCTCATGGGTTGTGCTGGTTGGGCTGGACTACCTAGACGTTTTACACGGGCCGGAAGTCAGTCACCTACGTAAGTTTCAAGCTTCTATATTGACCAATACTCTTTCGTGAACCGCCTTTTGACACGAGACAACGGCCCTTACGCTTCATGTCTGGCTGGATCTGTGTTCCTGATGGTGGGTTTATGTTGAGATCCAGGCTAGGGTTTGTCAATTGCAAGGGAACATTGGAGTCCGCATGCGCGCGGCGTCGATGTGAATCCGCCCTGGACACTTGCCTTCAAGATTCTGCTGTAGGTGCCTTTCATGGCCATGGATAACGGCTTGCACGCTACTACGAGTGCGTATTTTGAGGGTTGCCCCTCTGGATGGGTAACGTGTTTTATCAGCGAATGCACCATATCAGCGAGTGCACCACTGGTAAGGGCTGCATATATATTTGGGTGCAGCACTAACGACGGGAATAAGCGGGGAATAAGCCTGTTAATACTTCGACTAAGTGTCTGTGCAGCCCTTACCAGTGGTGCACTCGCTGATATGGTGCACTCGCTGATATGGTGCACTCGCTGATAAAACACGTTAATGTCTAGCGGTTCCACGTTTCCAGGTCCACTCGAAAGATTGTCATGCGGGAATGTCAAATACTGCAGTAGCCTGTCTTTATATTCCCCTGCGTGCCTGTGCAGAAGGCATGTGTCTTGAGTACTCCGTACGTAGCTTGACCTTCCCTGGGCCGGGGTTCATTCCAAAAATCGGGCTCCGGCCGCTCCGGCCAAGGAAACGCCCTGCTGAACACTGCCACAACTCGCAAATGAGCTACGGTCGTGATTACTTACCAGGTACCTAGTAAATCGTGGGGTTACATAAGCGCCGCAGTGTCCGTGACGCACGGCAGGGTTGAGTCTGGATCTGACAATTGAGGTATGGTACCTTAGTAATGGTCCGCACCTTCGATTCTGCATTCCTTCCTGTATGTTAGAGCTGGAATGGAATTCTAGTGGATTTTGTCTGAGCGTGCCGAGCAGCAGGTGGACCAGGGGATAAGCATACAACATCGTCAGTCCATGCGCACTGTCGCCTCAACACCGGAGCTTGGGAGTCCGACTGTCCGAGTCTTGGAAGAAGCTATGGTGGGTCCCAAGGACCGCGTCCTGACCGTGCTTGGCGATTGTGATTTCCATTCAGGGCCGTGAGCCATTCTTCAGGTTGCAGGCTGAATGTCAGATAGTGTTGAGATTATGTTGTCAGGTTAAAGACTGGGAGTACAGAGTAAAGACTGATAATGTCTCGCAGACAGGGGGGAACCACAACGTCACCGCTGGGCGAAGTGTGGCTCCACCAGCAGCTCATCCAGACTTCCAGATGGTCAAAACCGTCCAAGCAAGAGAGCCGGGATATACGGCAGCAGTTTTCTGGTAGTCCTGATGACTTATATGTACTCGTAGGCTGTGCTATTTTATTCTCAGGGCTCATCAAGTCTCCCACACCTGGCTTGGACCAGGAAATCTTCAGTTCAGTGCTGCGGACAACTCCAAGCTCGATTAGGATGTTGACTCAAGCTCTCACTGATGCAGGGACTTGACAGGAAAGTGAGACAAATAGAAATACTGGCATTTGCAGTGCAGGAGCAAGAATGTGTACCCACGGATTGCGGGAGCCTTGGGTCAGGACGTTTCTGTCCGGAGCTCAGCCCAGGTAGGCAACATGATTACCTTCTATCATGCAGTTACCTCTGGAAGCTAACGTACGGACTGATAGCGGGGTACATACCTTAGCTGTACATTGCGCTTTCAATGCCACATGCCTCCTTAACCTCTGGGAAATAGTTCGAGAAATTGCGGTGCATGGGACTGTTGTTTTGTGACGAACCTGGAAGTCTGGAAATGCAAAACATGTGCAGTGGTGAGCGTGAAGTTGCCCTGTCCTGGTGATGCCCGGGCTCGAGCAGCTATCCGTGCCAAGCACTTCCCCCGGCCACTGCACGGGCCAGCGGGCTCCCCAGCTCGCTGTGGCTGGCTCAGTTGCAGCAGGTGCATCTCCACTGCCTCTCAGTCCATCGGGCAGCTTCCATGCCGTTGCACCAATCCCTCATCAAAGTCACGACTCTTCCTCCACCTCCATCTGGTTCCCCTCCCCAACCTGTTGTAGATCCGCAGAAAGGACCCGAGCACACGACAGCTTCGTTGTCCCCTTTATTCTTCCCTTTCCACTGCCCTGCACTTTCCCCCCTCCCCAGAGATACCCATTTTCAATTTGTGTCTTTTTTGCTGGATGCTCAGCATATCGACGAGGCCCGACGTCTGTCTCCTTCAGTCTCTCATTTAGCCCCAATTGCCTCGTTCCTCTACCGCCTCCGCCGCTGCCGTTCCTGCAACTTCAACCCCCACAACCACCCAACCCCGGCTCCCCGACGCTGTCCCAGTTGAAGACGCTCGTCATTCCCGGCTCCGACGCGACGAGCAGACGAACCGAATACCCGATAACCTACATTTACCCACCATAGACACTGGGCCAGCAAGGAATTTAGGGCTTCACGACCTCACCATGAATAAACTGTCAAGCATGCGTCACTGGCCTGAAAGGATGAGTCCGGCCAACTTCAGCATGTCACGGGCGAATATGGGCATGCAGGCAGCCATTAATCCCCGTAGAGACATCGCTGCTCAAGGTCCGCCTCCGATAGCCGCACCGCCCGTCCCCGACGGTCCGATCAATTACTCGTTCAACGTCCCCTTCGCCTCCGATCTTGCCGGCCCCAACACGGAGGACATCCTTCACGCCACGACCGACGCCGTCCTCCGATGGACACATCCCGAGGAGGCTCCCGACGATGTTCCCGTCTACGAGCTGCCCGTGCATGCCATGAATCTGGCTCACCTACGCCAGCTCTGCAGGGAGATCACGGCGAATCCCATGCCCATCGAGGCCCATGTCATCTCGACCACCCCCAAGAGGGTCAATGGCCAGGTCACCACTGTGTGCCTCTCTGGTGCGCCCGACCTGGTTCAGCAGACGAGAGAGACCATCCTGAACCACACGCCTCTCTCATTGGTGGGTTCCTCCATGTGTTGCCCAGGTGCCTCGGCTCTTTGCTAAGAAGAATGCCTGCTGAAACAGCGTTGCACCACTGTCGTCGTGGACGGGCATCTGGTTGCCAACCTCTCCGAGGGTGTCCTGAAGAAGTCGGTGACAGACTTCCTGGACGAGACGTCGGTGTTCTGCGGAGTCGACATTTTCCTGCTCGGTCCTAAGCTCACCTCCCCCACCGGTGACCTGAACGGCGATGTAGACCTGTTGAGGGACCAGCGCTGGAGAGTGGCCATCTACGGTGACTATCTGTCGTCTGAACACGCCAAGACGCGCGTGCTTATCCACATTGATCAGCTCGTGCGCCCTCCCCCCCCTCTCCCCCGGAACCCCCCGGGGTCGTGGCACGCACAAAGCCTGCTCTGCTAACGTGCATGTAGCTTGGGAGAATCGTCGATGCCACCACGTTTGACCCCTCCATGCACCAGCTTTTGTGCGGCCGCAACCGCAAGAACATCAAACTCATCGAGTCCGTTACCAACACGGCCATCTACTTCCCGCCGCCCTTCTCCAGCTGCTACCGCTACTGCCCACCCAATGCCCAGCGTCGTGACCCCACCAAAGTACTGATTACAGGCGAGACTCCGCAGGCCATTGAGCAGGCCAAGTTCCGGATTCATGAGCTCCTTACCCGTATCAGGCTCTTCGTGAAGGATGTGACCATCCCCCCTGCCAAGATCGACAGCATCTTGCTCAGCCGTATGGACAAAGTGCGCAAGATTACAGAGGCTAATGGCTCCTTCATCATGTTTCCGCCACTCGGTTCCAGGAAGGGTATGGTGCGTGTGCAAGCTGTTGAGAACCTGCATGTGGAGCGCTCGCTCCGTGAGCTTATGGCCTTGGTAAGGTTTCAGCCACCCGCGTCTCCGCGACTTCCCGCTTACTCTCAGTCAAGGTCGGCCAGTTCTATACCGCATCGTGGATTTTCATGCAGCCCGACACTCGCCAGCCCGGCAACCAAGATATCCAGGCCATGCTAGGCGACATCTGTGCCAACTCGGATGCCGATGTCTTGTTTGACAGGCAGTCGTTCGCCATCACAGGCTCCGACGAATCTGTCAAGGATGCTCTGATGGTCATCTCACAAATCAAGTTTGCCGTCCACGCACCGTATCAGATCAGGGTCAGGATCGAGCTCGCCAATGAGCACAAGGAGTTTGTGAGCGGCAAGAAGAACGGCAAGATCAACAAGATCATGGGACACAGCAACGTCCAGATCATGTTCGACAACTTTGGCGAGTACAACTTCAACATTGAGGTGATCGCCCAATCCTACGACTCCCTGAAGCAAGGCTTGGCCTTGGTCGAGCAGGAGATGCCGGCGTCAATCTCGTTCCACGTGCCTGATCAGTACCACAAGCGCATCATTGGGATTGGCGGGCAGCACATTCAGCGCATTATGAAGAAGCATTCCGTCTTCGTCAAGTTCTCCAATGCCATGGATCGTGGTGCGTCGGACCCCAGTTGTATGTGTTAAAGCCGAAGGCTAACCTCGCAAAGGCGGTATGGGCCGAGAGGACGATGACAGCCGGGTTGACAATGTCATTTGCCGCACCCCGGCTCGCAATGCCCAGAACCTTGAGCTTGTGAAGAGCGAGATTCTGGAAATGGTCGATCGAGCGGTAAGACCCTGACCCTGAAATCACTTCTTTAGTACGCAGCGGCTAACTGTGACAAGGACTCCGAGTTCACCTCCCAGGTCGTCAGCGTCGACCGGCTCTATCACCGTCAACTCCTGACCCGACTGCCCGAAATTGAAGAATTGGAGAGGACGTGGAATTGCAAGATTGTCTTCCCAAGCACCGAGCAGGCAAGCGATGAAGTTACGGTCACAGGTCCCCAGTGGAATGTGGCCAAGTGCATTGACGAGTTTCTGGTAATTGCAGCACCTTTTAGCTGCCTCTTCCCCGCACAGCTGCTGACAAGCCTGTTTGCAGGGCATGGTCCCAGACAAGCACGAGGTGGTCCTCGAGCGGGCGCCTCAGCTGATCAACTACCTCGAGTCGCCCGACTTTGTCCAGACCATCGTCCCCAAGCTCAAGAACCAGTACGAAGTCGAGCTTACAGTGCACGAAAACGCCGAAGAGCGTACTGAGGACGGCTCGCCGACGGTTACGCTCCTCTGGACCTTCACGCGCAACAACGCCGGCGGCCTCCGCGATGCCATGGAGTTCCTGCAGACGCAGTTTGCCACTGCCGGTGTAGAACCCGTCATTTTCAGGGGCGCCATTCCTCGTCCCAAGTCGGACACGTTCGAGGAGTCGCTACCTTTCTTCAACTCTAAGTTGCTCCAACACGCACCCGCTCCAGTGGTCACCGATTCTCCGACCAGACCCTCTTTCGGCGAGGAGGTTGCGCGCGAGCGGAGCATCCTGGCCTGTTTGCGAAAGCCGGGCAGCATGTCATCCATTTCGTCGTTTCTGGACCGGAGAAAGAACAGCTCGCAGTCGGCGGCCAACTTCTTCAAGGGGTCCAGCAATGTCTCCAAGTCTTCTCTCATCTCGATCGAATCAACGCGCAGCTTCAATGCCGACCGCAACCCCTGGAACGACAGCGGCGTCAACCTTCCAGACGACGAAGGTAACCCGTGGTCGACGGGCCCTACATACGTCAACGGCGTCGACAAGCTCATGGTTCCGCAGCCGGGCGATGTCACGCCCCGCCACCACCCCCGGCAGTCTGCCGACAGCGGACGCCCTTCCACGTCTCACTCAACCAATTCAGGATACCCCGGTCCTCTCGCAGGGCCATTTCGTTAGATTACCACGGTTTCGGGCTTTGCAAACGGTATTAGACAACGGAATCAGTGTTTTGTTTTTTTCGTTGTTTCACGTCAGTTGCGAGGAAAAAGAGAAATACCCCTACGGCTGGATATACCCCTGGCGCAAAATACCCCGGTAGTAGTTGCTCTTTTTTTGCATTTGGTCGGTTGTAGTTGCTTCTCGCTTGTTTCTCTGCTCTGCTGTTTTGCGTTTGTGGTTTTGCGTTTTTCTTTTTTTTTTCCTCTTTCCTTCTCTCTGTGTCTGTTCTGTTCAGTTTTGCGTTAGCAGTGGCCGCGCACCACAGAGGGTTGTTCGTCCCACTGAGGGAGGCTTGAGGCCGCCGAATTGAGGTCTGCCATTGTCCCTGAAAATGCGGCCATGACTGGGTTGATGAATGGGGGTGTCGAGGGGATTGAGGCAGCGAGGCAAATCATGAAGTTCTTACCCGTCGAGTCGGAGGAGGAGCGGTCATTTCTTCTTGTCCGATCTCGACGCAGATCAGCCAGATAGACTCATGATTTTACTGGCATACCTCTTTACATGTTGACGACCATGCTTTGGATTTTTTGTTGGCGATGCTGCTGCTGGTGCATGAAAAGTTGTGTGTTTTGAGGTCCATAAGATTTGCGTTAGGTCCTGAGTTTCTGAAGTGGCTTTACGTATACCCAACAGCTGAAGGAACCGGACGAGGTGGGACAAAGGAGGACCTGGTGGGAATGAATGAGGAGCGGCGTCTTGCGAAGGGAGTGCTGAAGGCGAAATGTGGAAGATCTTGGACTGCCGATCCTGTGTGATTGTGGTTGTTGTCGTGTTTCAGGTTGTTTTGTGGCAGGACTGGAGGATGAGATAAGAGGAGATGAGATTATGGATTATGTTCGTTTGAGACATTGGAAGTAAGATGTGTGGTTGTCATCGTCCTCTGTTGTTGGGCGTCGGAGGTTTACAATGTCAGCTACGCTGGTTGGTGAGTGTTGTGTTGTTTTGGGTCTCCCCACATGAGCTGAAGCTCCGCTCCCTTTGTGTCGGGTTGATCGTGATGAAGGGCTGCCTTGTGAGATGGCGGGATAATGATATGAGTACCCAGCTGATGTGGGGCCTTACAAATGAACAAATACATGTCATTGTTGTTGATTCTCCTGACTAGCAGCGGGAGACCATCCATCCTTACTCTTCCAAAGCTGTAACCCCAAACCAATTTCAAGACCTTGCATACATGTGCACAAGTCATGCCCAAAGACGGTCTGACGGCATTCGACTAGTTCTTCTCCTTCTCGGCGCCTAACTCGGTCACTTCCCTCACCGACTCCGGACGGTCCTCGACGTCCTTGGGCTCCATGTGGGTAAGACCAAAGAGCTCGTCCATTTTCTCGAGACTGACGCCCTTGGTCTCGGGGATGAAGAACCACACGAAGATGCCCATGATCCAGCCGAAGGTGCCAAAGAGGAAGAACATGCCCTGGTGGAAGTGTCAGTTACTGCAAAAGAATGCATATATGGTGAACTTACGTAGCCGGCTGTGCCCATGGTGACTTGCATGGTCAGGACGGTCCGCGCAATGATGAAGTTGAAGAGCCACTGAGTCGCGGCGCCGATGGCCACGTTCAGGGCGCGAAGTCGAGCCGTGGGAATCTCACTGTTTGATGACAGGTATATCAGGAACCACACGTGGGACAACAGGGTTAAAAGGGCGTTAGCATACCTGACGAGGATCCAGCACACGGGGCCCCAGCCGAACTGGAAGAAGATAGCCCACAGGTAGATCAAGACAATGGCGACGTATCCGAAAGGGCTGATGGGCTTCCCCGCCTGCGGCGGCTCCAGCTTGCCGTAGACGCCGACAATGTACATGGAGATGGCCTGGGCGGCGCTGGTCCACAGCAGGCTGCGGCGGCGGCCGAGCGAGTCGGCGACGAAGACGAGGAACAGGAAGCAACCGACGACCTTGACGACGCCGTAGACGCCCGTGGCGAAGAGCTGCACATCGGTGCCCGTCATGCCGAGGCCCTGGAAGATTTGCGGGGCGTAATAATTCTGGGTGGCCCCCCTAGTGTCAGTAGGCTTGAATATGGGAAAAGGGGGTGGTGACCTGGAAGGAAGGGGAGGGATCGGATCTGAGGACGTACAATGGCATTCACGCCCGTCATTTGCTGCCAGATCATGAGCATGATGGAGATGATGGCGCGCTTGCGGTTGCCGGGGATCAACCACATCTCCCTGAGCAGAGCTTTGGTCGTGGCGTCGCCAATCAGCCGGGTTTCGTTGGCGAGCTGCGTGGCCATGTCCTGGACCTCGTTTTGCACGTAGCTGTGGTCCGCGGGGAGGCTGGTGGTGGACAGGATTGTTAGTTGAATGAAGTAGAGGAAGGGCGATGCTGCGTTTTTTGGGTATTACTTGCCCTCTGAGTCTGGAAATGATTCTCGTCGTCGCCTCCCAGTCATCCTGCTTGGCCGTCCAGCGAGGGCTCTCGGGAACGAGGAACATGAAGACGACAAGAAGCCTGGGGCGGCGGCATGATTAGTAGAGCCCTTCCTGTTCGGTAATGCTCCCTGTGTCCGCGAGCGAGTTCAACTTACAGGGCAGGAAGGGCTTGAAGAGCAATAGGCGTCGCATAGGTAGCCACGCCCTTGAAGTGCAGCAGGGCTCCGTAGTTGATCCAGAAGGAGATCATGACACCCGTGACGATGAAGAGCTGGTAGAATGCTGAACCGGTGTGTTAGCACGGCTGATACGCAGGCCTGGGTTAAAACAAGCTGTAGTAACCAGCTGGGACTCACAGGTCAAACCACCCCGAATAGCCCTGGGCGCACACTCGGAGACGTACAGCGGCGTGAGCATGGAGGCGGCGCCGACGCCCAGGCCGGCAATGAAGCGGCCAACGTACATGACGGCGAGGGTGCCGTTGGCGGTCGAAGCGGTCTGAAAGACGACGCCAACGAGCGTGACTAGGCCGGTCGCGATCAGCGCCCACCGCCGTCCCCATCGGTCCGTCAACCAGGGCGTGACGAAGCAGGCAGCGAAACAACCGGCTTGGAGGGTCGAGGCGATGTTTTGGGACATGTCGGCCTTGTCCTTGGCGTTGTGCGTCACATAACCGTACTTCCTAAGGGATGTTGATCAGGTTTCGGGGCCTTCAAGGAATCTCAGGCGAAAGAGAAGCTTACTCCTGCATCGCGGGCATGGCCAATACACCTCCGATGGTGCCGACACTATCCAATGGATCAGCAGGGGGGCTCGGATTGTCGCTTCCAGGCGGGTTGCCACTTACTCCCAACCAAAGAGCAGTCCGCCGAAGCTGGGGAGGGAAACCGATCAGTGTCAGCGTCCCAGGAAATCTCTCGCGTATGCCCTCGTCGGATCTTACCAAGCTATGTGTGGAATCAGATTAGCCACTGAACTGAACAACAACAAGATGATTATCTCGGGATGTCTCGGGAGAAGAAGCTTACCTGCCCAGACCAGAGCAAACACGCGCCAACCGTAGATCTCCGGGGGGCTGCGTCATGTTAGCGTGAATCTAGACTGGGATATCCGGCAGACATACTCCTCCTTCATCGCGTCATTGCGAATGATGAGCTTAAGGATCTTGTATCCTGTGCCCATGGTTGCGACAGGCGGCGAGCGGATCGCCTTGGATGTGAGCAGGAGGCTGTGGTATGGCGTGGAGTCGAGGACGAGGAGGCACTGGAAACGGACGGAGAAGTGAGAGCGAAGAGAGGATCTTGATCACAGCAAGAGGAAGAAAAAGAAGGCAATCCACGGTTGGGGTGTTACAGGCTAATATGGTTCCCCGCATGGAGTCAATCCCCCATACATCCAGAACCGTGGTTAAGGTTGGAACGAAGCTCTTGGCGACGACGAGACGGTTGAATCCAAGAACGAGGGGAAAGGCTGGGCAGTGTGCCGCGCCCGTGCTTGGCCAAATCAGGAGCACCCAAGAACAGGGCAGGCGATACAATATTCCACCCATCGGGATTCATGCCGCTCCTCCTACACAGCGACATGACGCCCTCTTCGGATGAGGCTTGGCCTGGGAGCTGCCCGTGCCGAGCGTCGTCTTCTCCCCGTGATGGCGGTTGGACGTGGCTTGGGGCTTGGAGTACACGGCGATTTGTGGAAGATGTGCAAAAATCTCCGCTTTCTGGGCGCGTCGTGACCAGTAGAGGCACAGAGAATAGCAAGCTAGTCGGACAATTAACGTAGTGGACTGTAAGACCATAGGGTAGCTGCAGGCGGATTTGGGGAGTCTCAGGCTGAGCCGGCTGAGCCAGAGGCACTGCTCTCCCAGAGAGAGAGTCTGGTTCAGCGAGCAGCTCACGGGCCTCCTGGAGGACACAAAATCTCATTGGGGGTAATTTGCGGTGGCCTACCTCTAACCGACTGAGCCAAGCGCTTTGCTATCAAACAGCCAAGTCTAGCCAAGGCTTGTCTTGCCAACAGAGGATAGACGCGGACAGTTCGGGCGGTTTGTTAGTTATCCCACTTCTGGGGAGAAAGTACCAAGGAGCAAGGGTAGCGGATTCAACAGTCAGCAATCGAATTGTTACTAGGTTATTGCCTACCAGAAGTCAACACCATGGTGACAGCCTCACGGTGAACGCATGTACTACTGGCGGGACCAGCTTACCTATGGAGAAAGGAACAACTCTGGAGGGTATCAAACGGCGCTCATCAGCTCTGACTACCATTTGGAAGAGCGGAACATCTTCAGTCCTATATGATTGAGATCAAGGCGCCGCTCGTTCAGAAGTCATAATCGTTGGCTTACATTTGACTCCAACGAAGGCCGCCTTGCCTGGTGTCAAGTTAAATTAACGCGTCATCACATTGTTCCTCGTACTTGATGGTTAGTGTCGGCTTGGACTTGAATTGAGTTTTGCCACTTTGATCTGGGCTCTGCGGGTGCCGTTTCTCCATGTGATTTCAAATTGAGTCTCTGGATTGTTTGGGAAGGAGTCGCACACCCACTTCACATGCAGCATTCTCCTCGCAAGTCCCGCTCTGTCCAGTCTGTTAGTGCAGCCCAAAATAATGTATGTAAAAAAGAAATCATCCTCTCGACTACTGCTTTTAACAGGTCGCGCAATCGAGGTACATCGATCGGTTAGAGCATGACCGAGCATGCGGTTGACCTGTCTCTAACTTTCCAACTTCGGTTAAAACCATTGAAGCGAGTACAGGCATCTGTCGACTGTGTGCACCCGACAGTCAAATGGCGAGTAGGTTGGGCTTGGGAAAAAAACAGGTTCTGTCTGCAACCTGAAGTGGAAGCCAGCAACTACTCGAACCGGGCACGGTTGGCCCCAGGAAGTCACCAACAGGCTGGCAGCACTCACTTATCGCCCGGGCCATGCACTCACTGCCTGTGATGGTCATGTCGATGGAAAAGTCGCATGACAAGTTGATGTGGAGGAATGAATTGGTTTCTTTGGAACAGAGAGGATGATCCGCAGTCTGAAGTCGTGCTCGAATGAGGTCAAAGTTCTCGATATTGATTCTGGTCTGTAAACCAGTAACAACTGTAGCTATTTACCTCGAATCAAATGTACGACTTGCGTTCCAACCTCACTGGGCATCATTCGACAGACACAAATTCAAGTACAATTTCGTCCTAAGAGCCCATGATCCTCATTACACGTCGGGACAAAACGTCTTTCCGCTGTCCACCTAGTGGTACAACGCTTGTCCCCCTTAAGTTATCTAATATCACAACGTCGATGTACCCTAACTCACACGCTCAGCTTCTTTAAATAATACCTCAGCACCCAATTCACCTTCCCCGTCCGACGCTCCAGGCCGGCAATGGACTCGTCGATTCGCGCCTACAAATTGAGGAGAATGTCCCGCGTGTGGTCGAGGGTCCCGAGTCCTTGAGGTTTTGCAGCACCAGTTTCTTGTGCGTGTCACTGCTCCAGCACCTCGCAAACTTGCACCGCTTTAGGTTGAGGGGCTGTCGTGAGGAAGTGGACCAGGGGAAACGAGAACTTGCCCTCCTCCAAATCTTCGCAGAAGCCCTTCTGGGATGTGTGCTGTAAGTTGGCTGTTAGTTTATTTTGTAGGGAGGACATGAGTCGAGAAGGATTGGAGCTGGAACATGCCTCGGCACAGTTGAGCTTCTTGAAGTCGTCCCGGATTTGAAAGTATATGCCCAGCTGATTGACCAGTCGTCTATGGCTGATGTGAGTCTGGTAACCGTGCCAGCGGTCAAACTTAAGGCATTTGGCCATTCCCCTGGCGGTTTTCACTCAGTCAGTATCAAGGTGGTTGCACATGAGTCGCGAAAGAAGGCGATATAGTCCTCCGGTTTCTGTTTTTCCATGGTCAGGATTGCATTTCTTCCTACATATTGAAGAGGACTTACTCTTTGACACCATGTCGGGATACTCCTCCTCGGTCGGGCACCTCGCGTGGCGAGTCCAGCGGAGGTCGTGGCTCTGCTTGATGTACAACTCGCGCAGTTGTTTTTGGAGACTGTTAGTACTCGGTACTATCTGGGTGCCATGCAAACACCAAACGATGAACTCACCAAATGCAATCTCGTTTGCCGGGGGAATGATGTTCAACGACGCGTAAATCTTCCTCAGAGCCTCAACAATAGCAAAGCTCGTCGCGTTAATGGTCTGGGCAACGCCAAACACGCTGTGCGCAGCGGGATTGCCTCGTCGGGTCGGAGCCGTCCTCGATATCATCCTGCCTGCTCGGGGGTAAGAGGGTTCTGTCTCAACACAAAGACCATCGGAGACGTATGCAAGGGTAACATACATCAGGGACGCGGTATGCAGGTCTCCGACCAACTCCTTGATCTGCCCTACCGTGTCTTTAGGCAGGCCGGCCCACAGATTGATTGCGTTGGCGAGCTGGTCTCGTACTCCCTTTGATGGGAGCGATTTCATGTAGGCGAATGGGGCATTAAGATGCTGTGTACAAGTTAGCACATCTGTCAGCGCGTGTTGAACTGTCTCCTTGGTTTCTTCCATGCTCACCTCTGCTCCCAGGACGTTTCTAACAGGAAATTGAATATCAACTGTTATTTTTTGATCGTGCTCATCATTGCCTTCCACTGCCGACGATGCCAGACTAGACATCGAAGACCAGGAGCCCAGAGTACGATTCCACGAGTCGGAGTATGCCGTGTGCGCATCCGAGTCGCTCGAGCCATGATTAGGCGCTGTTGATGCGACAAACCGCCACCTCTGCTCCTCCTCATCGTGGTCTCTGGTAGCCGCCCTTAGATCTACCCCTCTGCGCTGGGCCGTCAAGGCATCCTCATTGCCGGCATTCGGATCGTAGCGGTACTCGGGGTGATAGCGGGGGCAGTTCAGGCTCCAAACGCCATTGCCGCTTTCTTCGTATGACAGCGCCCGCAGGTACCGGTCCAGCTTCAAATCGAAGGGGGCATTGTCCCTCCGGAACCGCTCGCAGAGCTCGCGGAAGCGTGCCTCGTACCTATTCGCGGCCTCGATCACCAGCTGTTTTGTGACGGAGGGATTACCCCCGCGCCATTGCATGTACAGCCACACGGCATTGATGGGGTTTGCAGCTCTAGGCTTGGTCTGGGCTTCGGCCCATTCCTGGTCGAATGAGAAGTAAGCGTTGGTCAGCGCCAGCGAGGTATGGCACGGCCGGACGACATCTGCTAACCGGGCGTCTTCTCCTTGGTCAGGGCCATCCCCATGCCAAACAGCATGACCGATTCGGTCCACCTGCTGGCCAGGCGTTAGGCAACCAGTGATTTGCAAGCTTTTCCTGGGTAAAGGTATCCACACTCAAGCGCCAGTGTCAACGGTGCGAAAATTGAGGCAGCCATCCAAATCAGAAAAGGCCCGGCCTTGTCTCGGAGCGTTGTCGAAAGCATCGTCATCCAGGTGTCCATGATCCTCGCGGCACACACCTTGTCGGTCTCATTCAGCTGGAGCATCGTCTTAGCCTGGAATTGTTTCCTCCCTGTCCTAACGTTTGCACTGGTCAATTCTCGCTCCCCAAGACTGAACACGTCGCCTCCAGCTGACTGTAAATACCACCAGTAATGCTTCCTTGCACCGGGGAGACATTCGGGGGTTCATTATCCTCTCCGAGTCCGCCCCCTTGACGATGGTATCATGAAAGAAGGCATCTAGCATCATTGGCAGCATGACAAAAGGTAGTTGATCAGAGGCAAGGGAACATACACTCAATGACATACGCAACAAGCTTCAGCCGGTCTGGCCGACACAGCGGCATAACCAGAGCAGTGGAATTCCCGTCAAAAGGGTTGCACCCGCCAGACTCGCCAGAAGGTCCGATATAGTGAGCTCAGTCGGTCCTGCCCTCGTGGCAGCCCGCGTTGGCCAGCGACTCATATCGATGGCGCTTGAGGGGACACACCGGGCAGAAACCATGAGTGGCACACTGTGAGATTGCCAGGCTCTCGGCCGTGGCTTCGTCATGGCGGTCCATTCTCGGGGGGCAGAAACCTTGTCCAACGATTGTTGGTATGATGAAATTTAAGGTAAGCTAAGGTGGTATGAATCGATAGCTTTCAAAGGTCTCTTGTCAACCTGATGTGAGAGCGGCTTTGACCACATCTGTCTATACAGATTACCTATCCAAACTGCCTGCCTCACCTGTTTGTCCGCTCAAGATGGGCGATAACGGCCGCTGGTGATGAATGATCTCAGCGGTTGCAGCAGTTGCTCCGTATTGTCCCGACCATCGCGTTTCGCAATACAGCTCGGTTCAGTCATGCCTTCGAATTCACCGCTAGCACTTGAAGATACAAAGAATCATGCACATCCAATTATTCGTGAGTGAGGCTCGGCGGTGATCGATAGAAAACCCCAAATCTGAGTCAAATGACGACAAGGGTCGGCGTAGGGAGGCTGCATTACGAAACATACGGAATCCGAGAGGCCGGACAAACACGCAAATCAGTTGAGCCTCTCTCCCGCACCCGATTGTCACTTATCCCATCTGGATCCAGGGCAAACAATGGATCGGCGATCTTGGCACTTAGCACTCGAACCCGGCCACTCAGTCACATGCTTTGGATTCTCCACCAGACACCGAAGCCGGCTGCAGCAATAGCAGATTGAGGAATCGCTAAGGAGTTGAGAACACCAAATCTGTCGTTTCCCTACGTGTAGTGACGCAATCCGACAAGACGGGAAGGGCAGAGAAGGATCCCTGGCGTTTGATCATTCCGATTCATCAGGCCAATCTGCAAACGGGCAGTGGTATGGACGTAACCGACAATTCAATGGTCATCTCAAAAGGAAGCATATGAGCGCATACCGTCTCTCCAGTCTCCGATCTCTCCAATTCCAAAACCCGGAAGCCGGGTGGTGAGAGAGCCAATATGTACAGAATTAGTCATCAACCTAGCTACCTACCTAGGTACCTCTGGTACTATCAGTCTATTTTGGCCCTATGATCCATCCGAGCCTGCAGTTGACAGTGAGTTCTTGCCTCCGGCCGACATTCTCGTCATTGTCCTAGGTCTACGTTGTTGGGGTTATCCCACGCTCAGGGAAGTCAAGCGTTACAATCATTGTCTTCTGTTAGGCAACAAATTTAATAGCTGCCGTGGGTTGGTAGTGAGTGTACTTGCAGCTACGCACTGTTAGTAGAGGTCACATCATGAGTATACGACTGGTGGGCATCAGTGCCAAGCAAGTCACCTTGGGTGACGAATGCAATGTCCCACAGTCGATCCATTGATTTGAACGTCATTCTCCGGTCCTTACGTGAATCTCGGTTCTGAGGCGTGAGAGATGCGCCGCCGTTGGCGTATTCGCTATGTTGGATGAGCGAGAGGTCCTGTCCCTAAGGATGCGAGAGAGGCAGAACCTCCAGGGTAAGGTATTTATTCGGTCCCTTCGCCCGAGAAACGGCAGGGGTGAGGGGGTGATGCATTGCAGCGTAGTATCCAGCTTGAGGGACCGGCGACAAATCTGCTCCCAGGGGCTTCTCGTCCCACAGGAGGATGTCTGGTTTCCGGGTGTGCCGACCTACCCGGCGGACACGATTGTTACAGTACCTTCCCTCGCCACCCTTGATCCCATCATCCCACGAACGATATGTAAGTCAAGGGTATCCGTACCTACCCTACGTACCCAATAACCTCTCGTCCTCTCTGTATTTGCAGGATGTTTATACCGGATATGTCGCTGAGAACTCGAGTTCAAGTTTCCAGTCCGCAGCATGCCATTGTGTCTTCGCCTTCCGTGCCTGGTGCCTGGATGAAGTGATCCGGCTCTTGCTCCTTCATGCAACGTTGAGCTCATCGGACGGTCGAACCGGGCGGGGCTAGGAGCGGTATTCCTCACGCAGGTAATCAACATCGAGTAGCATTTCTGCATGGCGCGGTCGTTATCGGCAGTTGCTGAACGGCTAAAGCTGGCGAGATGTGATGCGAGACCGTTTAAATCTCCGAGCGATCCTCGAGTGTCTCACTGAGAACCGGCAAGCCCACGGTCTCACCATCTGGTGGTAACGCTGGTATTGTACCCCTTGGGCCAGGCAAGATGCGACAGCATATCGTGCTAGTCGGCTGCTTTCTCGCCCCTACGGCAGCAGCCGTCTTCACCGACTGTCGTTGCAAGCGGACCATTGTTCGAGACGTTGCTGTAGTCGGCGGTGGTGCCTCGGGTGCTCATGCGGCGGTGTGGCTGAGAGATAACGGCCAGAGTGTTGTCGTCGTCGAGAAGGCCGCCCAACTTGTGACCCCCCCCCCCCCCCTTTTCTTGATCGTCCTTTTTGCGGCTTTGTTTGCTGACCCCGATCTCAGGGTGGCCACACCGCCTATTACCATGATGCCGTCTCGGGCAAGGACATCAACGTTGGCGTGCAAGGGTGGATAGAATACAAAGACTCGTTGGACTTTCCCAAGCGCATGAACGTGTCGAGCAGCAGATCCATGTCGTTCACACCCAACGTGGCCCAATACATCGACACCAAGACGGGCAAGCCGGTTCCCAACTACAAGGCGCCCGCGACGGCCGACATGAACGCCGCCATGCAACGGTACCTCGACGTGCTTGAGCAGTACGAGAACATGGTGTTGCCGGGCTTCTTTAACTTTCCGGAGCCAGAGAACATCCCCGAGGACCTGCTCATGCCGTTTGTCGACTTTGTCGAGAAGTACAACCTCTCGGCGGCCGTCCCGCAAGTCTGGGACTCGACCGCCATGGGTCTCGGAGACACCATGAACATGCCCACCCTCTGGGTGATGCAGGCCTCGGGCGTGCCCATGGTGCGCGCCATGCTGGGCCAGGCCGCCTCTGTCGTGCCGGCCTCGGGCCGCCTGTACGACCTGTTCGAGAGCGTCGCCTCGTTCTTGGGCGGCGACGTGCTCTACTCAAGCACCGTCCTCTCGGCGACCCGCCCTGAGTCGAGCAACAATCCCCGACAGGGCGTCTCCCTTCACGTCCGCGGCACCGACGGTCAGGTAACCTGCATCGAAGCCAAGCGCCTCGTCATCGCCATCGAGCCCACCCCTGAAAACATGGCGCCCTTCAACCTCGACACCACCGAGTCCTCGGTGCTGGGCAAGTTCCGCTTTCCCACCGTCTACGCCGGCATCCTCCGCCACCCTTCGCTCCAAACCCTCACAGCCTACACCGCCCGCACCACGGACCCAGCCTCTTACAACTACACCTCCTTCCCCGTCGCCCCCCAACTCGGCCGCATAGAGTACCTCGGCGACACCAAAGACCTCTTCCACTTCTGGGCCGTCGGCACGACCTCTGACACCACTGCGAGCATGCAGGCCCGAATCCAACAATCCATCGACGCCATGATTGCCTCGGGCGTGCTTCTTCCGCCGCCGGACGGCGGCAGCGGAGGCAGCGGCGTCGAGTTTGAGCTGTTCGCCAACCACGGTCACATGCACGCATACGTCAGCGCCGACGAGCTCCGGGCGGGCTTCGTGCAGAAGCTCAACGCGCTGCAGGGCCGCCGGCACACGTGGTACACGGGTGGTGCCTTCTCGGCCGGGTTTTCGACGGTGCTGTGGGAGTTCAACAAGGTGTTGCTGCCTAGCGTGGTCGAGGGGTTGTAATCAGGAGCTGTCGCGGGGTCGTTTTTCCTTTCCCTTCGAGATCCGGGTCAGAATTCCTATGCATCCCTGCGACTTCATCAGTTGTAGTTAGCAACAGATGGTATATGGTTATTATGTTCGGACTTCGAATCCGTGGAAAAGTGTGTCCGCGATATTGAAGGTGCGGTATGTCGAGGTTGTGTGGTGGGAAAATGGAAGTGGGATCTGATGGGCGGGATCATGTTGACTTGCTTCTCCAGTCTTCTTCCATTCCTTCTTCGGTTCATCCCAAGACAGAGAAATACCCAGAGCGAAGAAACCCAGAGTCGAAAAGACAGGGTCATCTTGGTGCGAGGGGGTCAGTACCTGTATTGATACGACATATAGGTCCCGAGCAGTAGAGCATGTCTACCATCGACACGACCATTCCAACCCTCCTCAGACTCCACTGATGCAGCCGATCTTAATATTCACGTATTCCCACTCCTACACGCGCCCCAGCCCTGACCCCAACCCAAAGACGATGCCTGAACTCCTTCCCTGCTTCGCAGTAGTAAACCTCTCAACTCCCGCCACCTCAGACAATCCCATCCTCTTCCCCCCTCATCCCGGCATACTCGGTCCCTTGGTTCGCCGTACTCAGCCTCGCGCAGAGACTCAACAACACCACCGTCTCGGTCGCAGCATAATGGTTCAGCGCGTCCAGCAGAATCTGCAGGTGCCGGCTAAAGTTTGTCTCCCACTTACGCATGACATCAAACAGCTCCCCAATACGCGCCTCGTCACCCGTCCCTGCGCCTCCTCCTGAGCCGTCTGCTGCGGCGGGTTGGAGCGCCGACGAATTGGGGTCCTGCCCATGGGACGTGGCTTTCTGAGTGCGGATCGTCTGAAAGTGGCGCCACTGATCGGCCGTCATGTTGGGCGGTTTATTCATGCCCGACAAGTCCGGGTCGGCCTTTTCGAGCTCGCGCGAGAGCCAGTTGGTGTAGGTTGCAAAAACGGTGCAGGTTTGCATTAGTTTGGAGTGTATCTGAAATGACGACAATTGTTAGGAAACGTTCGAGAACAGGGCCAGAGGGGATGGAGCGTACCCTCAACAGCTTGCTGTTGGTTAGCATGCACTCTTTGAGACAAGTGTCGAGAAAATCCACGTGGTCCTGCATCAACTCGTCGACAGTGCGGGTGACGCCCGTCGAGGCATTCGGTGTGCCGTCCTGGTCCTTGCCACCATCGTTCCTGCGCAACCGCGCCATCAGGTTCTGCCAGTTCGGCTCGATGACCTCGGCGGTACAAAAGTACAGCAGCTGCTGGACAAAGACAAGCATGCGCGCGCGCAGCGTCCACACCCGGCGCTTCCAGATCTCGAGGCTGCGCGCCGACGACTTGTACGACCACACGAACCCCCTTGTGTGCGTCTGCCAGGTTGTTGACAACTGTGATTCCAGGTAGCGCAGCGAGAGAAGGTACCGAAAAAGCGCCTGGTATCGCCATACCGTTTTGCGGCTGATAACGAGCGAGACGGGAAAGGGAACGGCGTAATCGAGCTGCAGCGAGGTGAATCCGTTGGCGTTCTTGTCACTCTCTGGTGGCTGGTTGCTCGACAACGGCTGTAGTGTCTCGCCCTGCTCAATCCCCGTGATGTTGACGACACGCTGAAGCGACTTTGTCAGGGTGATCTCGTTCATCTCGACCTTGACATCCTCCTTGAACGGATCCAGCGATACCACGCTGCCGGGTTGACGCAGAACGAGATCGAGCAACGACTGCAGCTTGCCCGTGTTGACCGACTTGACGGGCTTTCGCAGCTCTGAAGCACCCAATTCGAGGAAATAGGAGAAATAGTCCGACGGATCCAGGAAGAAGTAGTGCTTCAGCGACTGCAGTCGTGCCGGGAGCCCGTGAGCTGTCAGGAGCAGGTGCATCAGCGATTCGTTCGCGTGAGCATACGCGTTGTTGACGTTGTCCAGAAAGTGGCTGTCGTCAAACGAAGTCGGCACATCTTTAACCTGCAGACTAACGTCGACCCCGCCGCACTCCCTGACCACGTTTAGATACTTGCCAGCCAGCAGGACCTTGTCTTTGACGCCCTCGAGCTGGGGCGGAACGTCATGGTCCCTGATGGTATACCGCCGCTCCCAGTACTCGTCGGTGTAGTCCTGCTCCAACCGCTCCCGACGGATACTCCGCTGCTCTTTAATCAGAAACTCGGAATGGGGATCGTTGATGGCACCGTGGTGGAGCCACTCGTTCAGCATCGTCATGTACGGCCGGCTTGCGTCGCGGAGCAGCGATGTCAGCAGAGCGCGAGCTGCCGGATCTCCTGACATGGATTCTAGCCTCTTAGTGATGACCCCGAGCACCACCCCGCCCTTGCATATCTTTTTCCCAGTCATATTGCCCGGTACCAGCTCACCGCCTTCCCTCAGCTGCTCCAGTATGTGGTCAAAGTCGTCGTTGCTGTCGCTTGATTCGTCCGTCTCGTCGTCCAGCAGCGCGTTCCGTTTCAGCAACTCGTGCGCCAGCGCGTAAAGCTGAGCCATCATGTGGCTCGTCGGCATTACATGCACGTTGAGCACATGCAGCGTGAAGGCGTCGTTTGAGAGGAACTGTGTCTCGAGCTGGGCGACCATGACGAGGTACTCCTGCAGCAGCTTACGTATGGACGCACACAAGGCGTGGTTGACCGAGCCAAACTCGTCACGGCTCTGCACGTCGACAAAGGTCTCGAGAGCTGTGTAGTGACTGGCCATGCGCAGCATCGATTGGGTGAGATCATGCAGACTCGGGTCCAGTCCCGGTAGGATGCGCCATTGGGGTCCCGACAAGCGGTCCCGCTCTTCGAAAGGGTTGTAGCCTTTGGCAAATCGGATGTACCGGCCCTCGAATCCCATAAAGACAAACAACAGGTCTTCGATAATGACGGCCTCCTGAGCGTCGAGCGAGAGTTCGTGGAGCGGTTTGGGTTGCAGGCCCTGCGGCGCGGCCGATGCGAGTGGAGGGATGGAGATGCGGCATGCCAGGGGTGCTGTCGTGTGCGGTAGCAGCGTCGCCTCCGGCTCCCATGGCGGCGGGTGAGGTTTATCTTTTGATTCTCTGAAATTAGCACGCTAGTCTTCCAGGGTGCTGAGTGAGAAGCGGGCGAACCTGGCACCGGTGTCTCCTGCCTGGCTTCCCTTGGCCTTGGCTCGGGCGCTCGTTGCTTCGGCCCGTCGGCGGTCCTACCCTTCTCGGTGGTTGTGCTACGGCGCTGCGGGCTCCTCGTGCGGGCTGTGAGGGTCTCTCGCGTGGTCACCTGCACCTTCTCGGTGCGTCGCTCTCGCTCCTCGAAAGAGCTGCTCGCCGAGCGTAGGTTTGGATGGCCCGACGTAGACCGCTTGTGTGTCGCCTCGGCATAGCGGCTGCTGATCTTTGGATCGGACGGCTTGCTGGCGTCGGCCCTGAAGCTTCCACCGCCATCCGACATGCGGGGCCGGGATGCGGCGGAGGCCCCAGAGCCCCGATCGCCGAAGCCCGCCACGCCGCTGCTTCTCTTTTCCGCGTGTGTCGAGGGTCTGGTGCCCGACATTGTTGTGCCAGTCTACATTGGCGATGTGCAGCCCTGGCTACCGTCGGGGGCATGTGTCGGTGCCGTCACTGGGCTTGCTGCGTGAATCGATGATTACTGGCGCGGCGGGATGTTGATGGCAACTGTCAAAGTTGGCATTGGCAAGAAACGTCAAACAGAGCGCCAAGCATGCAGCTCTCCCGCCCAAAACCGCGTCTTGCATGTTAAACGCGACGGTGAGCGCCTTGCCATCTTCGGACTAGCGCGGTCCGTGTGAGGATGTGGTGTCCTTGTACTGTGGCCAAGTACCGACAAGGTCGCCTGGCAAACGGGAGCTGCGTAGACTTCCCGTGCCTGGAGCTTCAGCTGCCAACCCACCCGACGCCTCACCCATCACGCCTACACCCCAACACGCCGTCAACTGCCCCGCGACATTGTGATACTGCCTTTCTGCGATCATAGGCTGCAACAAAAAAAAAATTGAATTTGAGGTACCCTTAATCAAGCCTCACCCAAGAACACCGTCAAGATGTTTATGGCAAGGTCGGAATACGGTGAGTCCACTGCCGAAGCTATGCGACAGCTTCATACCACAGCTCTGCTAACGCCTGCACGCAGACCGGGGCATCAAGTAAGCCTACCTACTCACAACCTCTCCAACCATCTTCCTCGCCTTTCTGGCACTACCTTTCTCGACGGAGACCTCTCTCAACGAACCTGACGGAAGCTAACCTCGTCCCCCCTCACCTCACAGCACCTTCTCCCCTGAAGGCCGCCTCTTCCAAGTCGAGTACTCCCTCGAAGCGATCAAACTCGGCTCGACTGCCATTGGCGTCGCCACCTCAGAAGGCGTGATCCTGGGCGTCGAAAAGCGCGTGACCTCGACCCTCCTCGAGACCTCGTCCGTCGAGAAAATCGTCGAGATCGACCGGCACATTGGGTGCGCCATGTCCGGCCTGCAGGCCGACGCGCGCTCCATGGTGGAGCACGCCCGCGTGGAATGCCAGTCGCACTCGTTCAACTACAACGAGCCCCTGCGGGTCGAGAGCTGCACGCAGGCCATCTGCGACCTGGCGCTGCGCTTCGGCGAGTCGGCCGACGGCGAGGAGAGCATCATGAGCCGGCCCTTTGGCGTGGCCCTGTTGATTGCGGGCTACGACGAGGACGGGCCGTCTCTATACCACGCCGAGCCTTCGGGGACGTTCTACCGCTACGACGCCAAGGCGATTGGGAGCGGCAGCGAGGGGGCGCAGGCGGAGTTGCAGAATGAATACCACAAGGTAAGTCACCGCTGTGCTGTTGCCATGTTTATTTTGGATTATTTGTGCTGATCATGACTTTCTTTCCCTTCAGTCCCTCACCATCGCAGACGCCGAGACGCTGGTGCTCAAGACGTTGAAGCAGGTCATGGAGGAGAAGCTCGACTCAAAGAACGTGCAACTGGCCAGTGTCACCAAAGACCGCGGCTTCAGAATATACACGGATGACGAGATGGCTGCCGTGGTAGAGCGGCTGCCAGCCAACTAAACTTGCCAGTATTGGAGCTGAGGATCAAGGGTGGATGAAGAGAAATGTCAAGGGCCTTTTAAAGGCTTGACATTTCCGGCTTCATGTAACGTGGTGGTGCCAAGCATCTGGAGCAGTAGACGTGACGACATACGACTCTGTAAAGTACTTCTAGCCCTGACTCCGTTACTGCAAGACCCCCTCATCTTGACTCCCTGCCTAAAGTGAGCCAACAAGCGCCTGCCCAGAGAAATCTCGGGTAATCTTTAACATAATGTACAAGTACAACACGTCCATGAAAGTCACATTTCCTAATATGGGGCGGTTCATACCCACTACCCAGGTATCACCTCCCTCCCTCCGCATCGTCTTCAATATCCAACTTGTCCAGATCCTGCTCCACACTCAACAATCCCAGCGCATAGTGCGCCTGTTCCGACTTGGCCAGCACGACCCTATTCTCGCCGGCCTCGAGCTCCTGGATCCGCTTGTCGATCCTCCTCGGCCGGTTCCATATCGAATCCGGGAACAGCGGGCCCAGCTCCGGCGGGCTGTAGTACGGCGGTCCGCGGCCGAGCTCGGCCGCCTTGTTCCACCCGGACTCGCACCCGTCCGCGATCTGCCGCGCCGACTGAAACCCCGTGAGGCGGGCAATGTCGCGCAGCCGGCGAATCGTCCAGTGTCGCTGGTGGAGGTCTTGGAACTGCCACACGTTCATGTTAGCAAAGAACTGTGGCAGAGAGGAAGTGGAACAGGGGAAGAGGTGAGATCTTACCTGTACAGCGGCCACAAACAGGGCGAAGGAGCTCTCGATAAACGCCGCGCCCACCAGCGTGCCGATGGCTGTCACATGGGTGGTGTCCTCGTGCAAGCCTGCCGTGATTCGGGCGATCTCGTTGGCCCACCTGCCCGTCTGCGGCGCCGCCATACCCGCGGCCATCACAGCAATTGGTGGCATCGAGGGGTGGGCCCGATGCAAGACAATGAGGCCCATAAGGTAATTCATCCAGACGCCCGCGATACTGTATGTGCGGTATATGAGGGCGGGGCCAAAGGGCGTCATCTCGGGCGGCGCAAAGTCCGGGCCCATAGGCTCGAAGTCCGGGCCGAGGCGCGCCCGGAAGACTTCAAAGGCCTGCCTTATGTCCTCCCACTCCCGCATCGCCTGGGCGGTGGCGGCGTCTATGTCCATGTCATCGGCGGAATCGCTGGATGGGGGAGACGCGCGTGGGGGAGACTCGCGCGGCGGGGTGAAGCCCCGCGGCACTGTGACGTGGCCTGAGGTTGGCATCAGGCCCGGGAAGGCAGGGGGTGATTGGCCCCTGCCCATTCCAGGTCCTGGTCCGCCAGGGCCGGGCCCGGGACCTTGGCCTGGAGGGCCTTGGGCTTTTCTTGCCTTCCGCTTGCGGGCGAGATCCCGAGATGCAAAGTCGGCTAGCCGTCCGAGCAGCAGCAGAAGATAATCATAGGTTCCGTAGCTATGGTGTTGATTCGTCAGCACAGGCATCCGGCGTCTGAATGCATCTTAAACTTACATCGCGTCTATCTTTCCAATAGGTCCTCTGGGCGCACACTGGGTCCAGTAATGGTACTCCATCCTGGAACTAGTCAGCGAGGGCAACGGCAGCTTTCTTGAGCCGGCCACTTACTGTAGCCGAGTGCCTCCCAGGATACTCTGGTAAACATCCATCTTACAATACCACCAATACAAATCGCACAGATGGCCGTATCGCTCGACATCACGCTCTGTAAGGCGCGATGACCGGGTAGAGTCGCTGACAACACGGCCCTGGCCCATATCGTAAGTGACCTTCCGTCCCGTGAGCTGGAATATCAAGTCGGTATCGACCGCGCTCAAATCGAGGCTGAGATCGCCGTGCGAGGCAAAGCAAAGTTGATTGCATTGATGGTCTCGCATCTGTAGCTCACGTTGCCTCTGCCGATAGGCAAGCACCTCTCTCGTCAGCTGCCCGAAAGGGATGTCCCGTATGACAGCGCGCGCTCCCCACATATGCTTGCACCATTTGTCGTGGTCCGAATTCCAGACCTCGTAGAATCCGAGCAAGAGCGTCGCTGCCAGCGTGGCTGGCTGTGACCGTCTTGTAGGACTTTGATAGTTCTTCGCAATTCTTCTCAGGCTGAGGTGGTAGTGCTTCATCGCCGCGGTTGGGGGCGCCTCCTGGAGCTTGGCCATCTGCAGGCTTCCCAAGGCGAGGATCGCCTGCATCAGAGCAGGGTGGTTGAAGGCCATAATGGGGAACGTGTCTGGCAACATATTAGCGTCTTCTAGCCGTGGCTACACAGTAGTAAGGCCACTAACATGTCCATATATGCTGGCGCTGCTTGGGAACAGGGATGCCTTGAAACATGGGCGTCGGATCAAACGGGTGTCGCTCGTACAAGGACATGCTCTGGCCCGTGACATTGACGAAGTACCAGAAGACAGCTGCTGTTTGCCTGTCATTCAGGGGCGAGCTGGCCGAGGACGGTGTGTACGTGTCGACTACATTGGCATCCGCCAAACAAGCAAACGACCTGATTTGGACCCCGTAAAGATCGTGTTGCGGTTCTAGTCGTTTGGCAACCTCAATACCCAGGTCATTCGCGTCGAGATGGAAAAGGTGAGGGTCGGGCGTTGCCTCGTCATCAGACTCGGCCATGGATGCTTCATCGTCAGACTGCCAATATTCCTCCTCAGCGAAAACGGGCTGAGCCAGGCTTCCGTCACCACTTTGGGGAGGTACCAGCGACTGCTCCGGTCCAGACGCGAACACTCGATGTGAGGTCGAAACAGGCGCTGCATTTGGCGCATCGGAGTCATGCTGGAAACCCAACGATGAGGCTGTAGGATCTGCAAATAGGTTGTCGGGATGCGCGGGTGACAGTCCATGGGTAGGCGGCTGGAAGCGGCCGGAAAAGACGTTGGAGTAAGGGCTCACAATGGGGGGGGTTGGAAGCTGGTGAGGCGAATTGGAGCCGCCGGGGCCTGGGGCTGAAGGTCCCCCGTATACATGACTGAAAGGGAGAGGCCCAGCTCCGTAATAATCTGCCGATGGGGGCTTTGGGGCAATCACGGCGAGCGGCCCTTGCGATGACGATGCTTTGGTCTGCGCCGCAGATATCTGAGCGTTCACCAAAGCTTCTTGGACGTGTCGATGATAGACCGGATGGCCATACAGATGGCCAGACGGGAACGATCCCAGAGGCTCCTTGAACGTGAGTCTCTGACTATACCCTTCGCATTCCCGTTTGGACTTGATGCAGTTGTTGCAGATCGGCTTGCCTTCGTCACACTTTATGCGGCGTCTTCGGCACGCTAATAGTTACAGTGTTAGTGGGACGAGGCAAGGGCAGATTGATATGTGGAGTATTGAGAGAGACTCACTCAGGCATCCGGTCTTGGTTCTCTTCCTAACAGTCGCTTTCTTTGGCGGCTGGGATGGCTGCTCTCCCTCGCCGTGAGACTGTGACGGCGAAGGGGACAACTGTGGCTCTTGAGGAGGTCCCTCATTTGGTGGCAAATCGACAGAGGCCATCATGCAGATGACTGAAGGCCCTAATTGATCGTCCGAGGGGATGTTCGGATCGCGGAGCGGTATCCGAGAAGATGCGCGGCTGCTGAACAGGTGATGGTGAGCCCGCTCCCATTGACCAGCCAAAGAAAGCACCAGCCGGAATTGCTGCCTAGGAAAGCATGTTGTGAAGAGGTTTCAGGAGCTCACCATTCCTCGATGGCAGGGACCGAATGTCAACAGCGGGGGAAGGGGGCGATGAGACGCCGCACCTGTGGGCCAGACTGGGGACGGAGAGAGAGAGATGGGGCCGCGATCTGGAGAGGGGCAACCCGTCGGATGGAACCGAGACAAGTTTGGTGTAACTAGGTGATGGTAAGTTCCCGGTGGCCTCGTTTTCGGGATTCCTTGATGCCACTCTCAGCTCAGCGTTGCAGCAGGCTCCTGAACGGTATTCGAAGCGGTACATCAGCGAATACTAAGCAAGGGCCATTACCAGCTGAATCTGCTCAACTTCGAACTGCCCGGATACCTGCAATTGTCAATTGGGCCCATGCAGCCGTAGCGGTCAGGACACGGTCGAGAGAGGTCTTTGTTCTGGTCGTTGAGAACGAAAGGATGGGAGGGGGCTGTCACAGACGCGAATCTTCCAAGAAGCCCATCCGCAAGCACGGCCAAGAGCGAGTTCCCTTTGTCGAGTGGATGTCGATCCGTAACGTTGATGGCCTTGGACGAGAGCGTCACGGCCTGGTATTGGACGAAGTTGCCGTGTGTGAGGACAGTTCGACGGCCTGCAACCACACCCGAAAGCCGGGCGTAGGGGTTGAGGTTGTATCGCGGCACTTGATGGTTTGGGGCAATCGACAAGCGGATCCGATTCCGAAGCCCTGCAGAAGTGGGGTGCGTCGACCGTCGAACAAGCCACGAGGATCGACAAAGATGGGCTGACGCCGCAATTCGACAGGAGAGCCCCCCAGGCTCAGGGGCCGGATCAGGCCCAGCTCTCCGCAGGCCCGCCACAAACATCCACATTGATTGACGATCGATGCAGTGACGGGAATCGATGCATCAACCGTGACCGTTGTGGCTTACTTGTCCGCTAACTTGAATGTGGAGCGGGTGCTGCAGCGCGAGGAACCGAACCCCGCCTAGCTCTAGCCTCCTCACTGCGAGCCCACCCTCCACTTGAAAGCAGCCGTTCCGCCTGCCATAAGGTAAGGAGGGTGACGGCGAGCAACCTAATTCGGGTCCAGCCTTCTTTCTGGCCCGACTTGGAGGTGACGCGGGTTCCGTCGCACCTACGGAGTGCATACACAGCAAGGGAAGGTAGGTTAGCTTGAGATTATCGTTAGCTGCGGTCACAGGGATAATTCACCTGTTTCCGATTTTGAGGAGTTTAATGAGAAGAGTACTCGCGGCTGAACTGCCTTCCATAAAAACTTCCCGCGAGCTTCCCGGGGGCACTTGGGGGATGGAAACGGAAATTGGAGACCCGTGATCGGGTGGGTTGACAAGACAGCCGGGGGATGGGGGACCAGACAACAAGAACTGCAGCGGATCAATCAATCAACGGGCCGAAGCAAGGATATTGTCGGTGACTAGTTTTTTTTTAACGCGGCACAGCTGGGCGGAACGGTTGGTTTGCGTCTATCGAGTGCTCAGCAACTTACCACTCTGGGGTGCCCACCTCTTGATGTGAGCAGTTGTGGTTGATGAGAGACTCAGTCTCCAAGCTGTTGCAACTTCCATTGCAAGAGCACCACGTCGAGTTGGGCTTAGCGCCATGAGCCTGATAACGACGGGATACCCCACTCAAGTTTTTTTATCGGAAAACTGAAGCTGGCCAGCGTCTAACGTTCGGCGATCCGGTAAGCTAGCCACAGCACAACGCCAAGTCGTCAATTCTGGTGTTGCCGTCAAAATGTTTCCCGTGAAGGGCCTTAATGTATCAGCGGAGAAGCTGAAGGTTGAGATGGGGCACTCAGGCCCAGGTTCGACTTCTGTGTCAAAACCGTCGCGGAAGCGCAAGAGACAGGGAAACACGGAGAATGTGACGACAGCAAACTTCGCAGACTTGTGGGAGAAGGTTATTGAGCACAAGGGCCCAGCTGGCTCGGCGAATAAGGGCCAACCCAAACCTCAGTCCCAGAGGGACACCAAGCGGCAAAAGAAGGAGCATGAGCTTCCTGGAGGCAAGGGCATGGGAAGCGAGGAGCAGCAGAAGGAGCACAGCGGCAAGGCCGAAAAGAAACAGAAGAAGAAAGATAAGACGCAGAAGGGGGATCCACCAGCGGCACCGGCTGAGCAAAGCGAGGACAATGGGGACGAATGGAGTGGTATCGACGACGAGGCAAAGGCTCCTGGAGCAGCCCTGCCGATGAAGGAGAAGGTTGACAACAACAAGAAGAAGAAGAAGAAGCAAAGACGAGATGCCGACGGCAAGGAAGATGTTCATCGTCAGCAGTCCCCAGTTAAGTCGGAGAAAGCCAAAGGGCCTGCCGCTCCGCCAGCACCACCCGCTTCAACCGCACCGAAACTCACTCCTCTCCAAGCGTCGATGCGCGAGAAGTTGATTTCGGCCCGCTTCCGGCACCTCAACGAAACCCTCTACACCCGCCCCTCTACCGAAGCCTTTCAGCTGTTCCAGGACTCACCAGAGATGTTCATTGAGTACCACGAGGGGTTCCGCCGCCAGGTCGAGGTGTGGCCCGAGAACCCGGTAGACGGCTACATTGCCAATATCAAAGCCCGCGCCAAAGTTCGCTTCACGCCCCGCAACCGCAGCAACGCTACCCTCTTCGCTTCCGAACTGCCCCTTCCCAAACCGCCCAATACCAAAACTTGCACCATCGCCGACCTCGGCTGCGGCGATGCCAAGCTCGCCACGGCTCTCCAACCCCTGACTAAAAAGTTGCATCTCAACATCCACAGCTTCGACCTCCAAACCGGCGGCTCCGCTCTCGTCACGCGCGCGGATATTGCCAACCTGCCTCTCGCAGACGACTCAGTCGACATCGCCATTTTCTGCCTCGCCCTGATGGGCACCAACTGGCTGGCCTTCATCGAGGAAGCCTACCGCGTCCTGCGCTGGCGCGGCGAGCTGTGGGTGGCCGAGATCAAGAGCCGCTTTACGAACCCGGCCAACAAGAAGAAAGCCGGCGTGGTACCGCACAGCGTCGGCAGCCGCAAAAAAGCGGCCCCCACCACAGACAAGAAATCCAGAGCCGCGCAAGCCGCGGCGGCCGAAGAGGAGGAGGAGGCCAATGTCAACGAGCTCGCCGAGCAAGTCGACGGCACCGACCAGTCCTCTCTCGCTAGGCAGCAGCAGGGCGGAGAGACAGACATCAGCGCATTCGTTGAGGCCTTGCGCAAGCGGGGATTCCTGCTGAATCGCGATTTGGGCGACGGCGCTGTCGACATGAGCAACAAGATGTTTGTGCGCATGAACTTTGTCAAAGCGGCGCCCGCGGTCAAGGGTAAGTGCGCCGCTGCCGGTGCCGCGGAGGAGAGGGAGAGGAGGTGGACGGATGGTAAGGGGCGGTTGGTGCAGCCACCCAAGAAGAAGAAGTTCATTGACGAGGATGCGGAGGAAGGAGGCGAGGTGAATGAGGCAGCCGTGTTGAAGCCGTGTGTTTATAAGATACGGTAGATGTTTCAGGGTCGGGTTGCCAAGGGGATGTCGGAGGGAATAGAGTAATCAGAATGGTGTTTTGGAGTGAAGAGCGCCATGCTTCACTGACTACCTGATCTGGCCGCCACCTATCAATGAACACAAGATGTCGGTTGATTTAGCTACGCGCAGCCCGGTCCAAATGCGTCTAGAAACATAGAATTGCTCTTCCTTGCGTACCGGCTTTTTGTCTCCATCTGCCATTGGTGCTTCCCGGAATCCCAGGCATCAAGCAAGTTATGGTTCAGCTATGCCATGATGCGTTAACTTGCGCCGAACAGAAACCTTTATATTCCATTCCCCTCCCAGATGAAAAGTTCGTAATCCGTTAGAATCGTCTTCATTTCATTCCCGCAAAGCTGAACAAATTGGATCAGTCCTGAAATATCAAGCTGGCGGCATACTCAACGTTCCCGCCCGTCGCCTCGAGGGCCTGAACCGCCCTCTGCTCCGACGCGCCCAGCGCCATGAGTTGCTCAATATCTTCCCTCGGGAACCTCGGTCTCGCCGGCGCAACAGGACTCGGTGCTGCTGCTGCAGTGGCAGGCGCAGCGCCCGCTTGTTGCATCCCCTGAGCCGGTGCTGCTCCTCCGCTCGGCGCATGCACGGCGCCGGACCGCTGGCCAATCGTGGTCCCAGCGGGGCCCGGGACGGTCGGTTCCCGCTGGTACGCCTCCTCCGCCTCGACGGGGATATCGGCGGGCCCGAGGAACGGAACCTCGACGCCCTGGATAATGAGCTTGTCCTTGGCCAGGTCGATGCACGCCTGGTGCCGCTTGAGCATGTCCAAGCCCAGCAGCAGCTCGACCTGCTTGCCCTCCATGACGGTGAAGCTGCAGGGCAGGAACAGCGGGCCAATCCTTATCTGCGCCGAGTGCACACGCCCGATAATGTTTGCGGTCCCCACGCCGCGCGCCACGCCCGCAAACCGCTTATCCACCAGCCGCATGATGCCGCACGCCTCAGCGCACTGCGGGCTCATGATGGTTGCTTGAGCGCCCGAGTCGACCAGGGCTTTGACTTTGTAGCCGTTTACTTCCACTTCGAGATAGAGCATGTGCACGGTGCCGAATACTTAGGGGCGAGGCAGAGGTCAGCGCGGAGCCGAAAAAGGAGTTTGAGTTGGCGTTGTATTACCTTCCGGGTTGTGCTCCATGGCATTCTGCAAGTTCTCCATGACCCGTTCCTGGCGGATAATCTCCTCGATTCTCGCCTGGGCCTCGATGTCGAAGGGGTCCGCATTTAGCAGCTGAATCTGGCGTTGGCGCTCTTCGCGCTGCCTCCGCTCCCGGTCCAAGCTGTCGGCGAACTGGCGGGCGAACCGTTGCGGGTCCTCCACCGCGGCTACCAGGTCGGGCCTCGATCTCGCCAGCTCGTTCCGCAGGTTCGGGTCGCCCAAAATCTGCAGACGGATCATCTCGGGGTCTTGCTCCGCGGGTGTGCGCGGCGCGGCACGAGCCTGCTGTCCTGGCCTGCCCGAGGCCTGCACCGTGGTGCTGCCTCGCATATCCCGGACGTGCAAGGCGAGCATGTCGCCATCGGAAACGCCGAGCTCGGCCAGAGTTTTGGAGTTGTCTGTGACTAGTTGTCCATTGTGGTAGAGGTGCTGGGCGCTGGGGTGGTGGGTAGTCTCGGCCTGGATGGAGCTGCGCAGGGTCTCTATGGTCATCTCCGGGTAGACCTCCAGGGAGAGAAGGTCTTGGTCTTCGCCCTGGGGCTCCGAGTTCGTGATGGTGAGCGTGATACGCCTGGCTTGGGTAAGTATCCATGAATTGCAGAGTGAAGATGCCAGCTTCAGCTTACATCTTGAAATCGTCGACGGACGGTGCCAAGTCGAGTATGTGGGCTGAGACGCGTGGGTACGGGTGAACAGATAGAGCTCGCAGGAGAAGAGAAGACGGGACAAACTATATAACGACGCTGGGGGGATATGTTTGCTCTTTAGTTTGCTCGTTCGCTTCAGCCCAGCTCCTGGACCGAAAGATCTTGCTGTGATCAGGTATGGGACTTTGATGAGTCGAGGTGTGAAGAGCTCCGGGAGGGTCGAGCAGAAACCCGAAGCGAGCCGCTAGCTCTCAGCCACTTTGCAGGGGCGATTGCTCCCTAAAATTGTGTTGATTGGGCCCGAACCGCTGCGAGATGGAAGGGTCCCGGCTATTGCCTCCCCCACTGCCGCTGACCTATCCCGTAGGTACCTGAGGTTGAAGACAGGCAGGAAGGGGGATGACGTGGGGTCCTGATGCTTTTCCGACAACCCGTCGACATGCCCAAAGGGTGCGTATGCATTCAACATGGCAATTACACGTGTGTATTTTCTGATACCTCAGAATGGAACGCCTTGGAAGGCCGCCGAGTAACAAGTTGTCAGCCAAAGATACCTACCTGAACTCCCTTACTAATTGACCGCCACAATATGACTGGGCAGCATTGGTTGGATGCCTGCCTCCAGACCGGCCATCATGGACGCGGCACCTTCGGATGAAGGCATCGAGATGGCGAACTATCTTAACCAGTCAGCGAATGACGAATCAACGTCAACAGCCAGAGTAGCGGCCGGAGACGCCCAGTTAATGCAAAGGAGGTTATTCTAATGCGAAACTAGGCAGGGCAACAGAGCTTAGAACGACCTGCTGATTGGGCGACCACCTTGGGTCAGGTACGGCAACTCACCTCACATCAACAGAGTCAAGAGACGATGCTATACAGTCAAAAACACGCATTCACAGGATTGACCCTCCACTTGGGGAAGCACAGCCGCCAGTCCTGATTGCACAACACCCATCCTGATCGTTCGAGAGTTCCCGTCACCACCAAAAGTCTGCATCCAGCCGCTTTGGGGAAGCAGGCTGTTTCGACGTAGTACTGATGTTTATTACGCTCGCTCAGGCTCGCCAGCCGCCCCACTACCGGCTCGAAGTTTCAAGCTTCCCTCCCGACCGGCGGCCTGCTCCCACAACGGCTCGGTGCAGCAGCAGGCCCATGAAGCTGCAGGTTCTTGCATTGCAGCTGGGACATGACAGGACGACGATATTCACTTAAAATAAACCGGTGAAACGTAGGGAGGCTTCCCAGTGCACCCAAAACAGTTGAATCCCACTGGTGTCGTGCTGCAGCCGCTGCAAATGAGTCTACCTACAATTCAGCCCTGGTTTGTTTGTTAGCGTGGAACTCCCATGATAGGTCTTTCTTTCCTCTTCCATTTTATCTTTTTCTTCCCCTTTCTTCTTTTTCTTTATCTTCCTTTTATCCTCCTCAAATATTTTACATTCTATCTCTTTCTCTCTCTTTCTTCTTTTCTTACGCTCCTTTCTTTCTATCACGTTCATGTCTTGCCCGCCATGTGCCGCGCTAACGAACAATCCAGGGTTGGATTGTATCTCTCCGCCGCGGAGTCTGCAGAACGTTGTCCCACGCAAACGCGGCCCCACCTTCTCTTCTCTGTTCGATTGGCCCTAGGACGGAACCAGATCAAACACAACGCTTGATCGATGCAGTTGGGGTTGGTTTGTTACAGAATTAAAAAAAAAAAAAAAAAATCTTAAGGCATCTGCTTTGACGTGGCTTGTTTCGATCGAACTTTGAAGGTAGGTTTATATCCACTGCCCTACAGGTACTTCTTGTACCTGAATCAGTTCCGCTGTGACGTCAGGAGGGGCAGCTCAAAGCACATGTACCCCGCGATCTGGAGTCTCAAGCTCCTACGCGGCCCATGTTGACGTCTCGGCCGATATAAGCGCAGTTTCAAGCTGAAAGGGGGGAAATACAGTCTCGATGTGGGATTCTCTGGGGCGAGCAACACAATCGCTGCGCCATCATCAGACTAGAAGATCGAGGTACGAACACCTGACCTTTAAAAGATTCTTAAAATAATCACTCCGGCTTGGGCTTTTAAAGGCCGAGAGATTTGCTGATCAAGGCACCCGTTGCTGCACCTGGTCCCGTCTCATTCTTCGTACATCTCTCAATCTTAGGGCGCCGACTGCAGCCAGGCCTTGTGACTTGCGTTAGTCTTTCCTAACACGGCGAGACATGCATCTCGGCGGGGAATCGCACCATTTCATAACCTCGAGATCCCGACACCGATTCGACTCTCCTGACCCAGAACTACGGTAACATCAACTACACGCTCCATCTCAAGGCATCTTCCACCTCGACGACGTCGCCTTCTCGGCTGCAACAGAGCATCGCAATTTCGCCTAGCCTGGCTTCTCAACCGCTCCGAGTTGACATACATAGATAGTGCAAAGTCTAGGCCGGTCACGGACATCGTGTGGCACAAGCACGCCCCCAGTTCTGCAACAAGAAGAAATTATCGCACTGGAAATAACCTCAGGCGCTCCACGGCTTGGAGACTGGACAAGCCTATCTGAGCCGAATCTCTGACAACCGCTGAGACCGATACCGCTCCCAACCCAACCCAATCTCGCAGGCTCAACGGCCCGATTTAATCAGCCAGCTGCAGCCCTAAACAACTGCAGCACTGGACAGAGGCATGGAAGGCACCGAGAGAGCCCACTCGGAGGAAGACAGTCCTTGCCCAATTCAAGAGGGCCACGACCAGGCAGTAGACGAGTCATCAGATGTGGATGGTGACTTCGCTACACTCCAGAAGATGCTGAGCCAGAAGAGGAGGGCCGCCAAGGACAGCCCTGAGTCCCGCCTGCAGAAGGCCCTCCCATTCATCACGACATTTTCACCCAATATCAGGCCGCTATCGATTTCGGACCTCCCTTCTTGCATCGCCTTGGAGAGGGCGGCGTTCCCTAAACCCGAGCATCAGGCATCGCCTGAAAAAGCAAGTCCTCACGCCTTACCCTCATATCCTTTTGCATCATCAACCATCAGGCGAGCTAACCCTTTTTTTACCCACTATGCAGTTCGAATACCGCCTCACCGTCGCCCCGGAGCTCAGCCTTGGCGTCTTCCTCACCGTCGTTCCAGAGCAAGCCAAGCAGCTGAGCATCGAGACGCTCCCTACCGCCAAGCCGGTCGAGACGGGCCGCGCCGACGGCGCCGTGAGCGTGCTGCTCGCCCACATCCTCTCGACGCGCTGCCGCGGCGACGTGGTCACCGACGCCGACATGGCCTACCCCAAGGACTGGCACACTCGGGGCGGGCGGGCAGCCGAGGACGCTGGCCACCAGGAGGACGGCCGGACCGTGGGGTTGCATTCGCTCGCTGTGCTGCCGCGCCTGCATCGGTGTGGAATCGGGCAGATGATTGTCAGGGCGTTTTTGGACCAGATGAAGAACTCTGGGTTGGTGGATAGGGTGGCGTTGCTTTGTCAGGATGTGAGCTTTTCCTCGTTGATGACTTGAATGGTGGAGTCTACTGACTTGGGCATTTGCAGCATCTTGTGTCCTACTATGAGCGTTCGGGTTTCAAGCATCTGGGCGAGAGTAAGGCGCAGTTTGGGGGTGGTGGCTGGCATGACATGGTAGGCATCCTTTCCTCTGCCCCTGAAACGCCGTAAAAGGCACTCACAGGTTGCCCAGGTCTACGATCTCCCACGTCAAAGCAAGCCGGTACCCGTTTAGGAGAAGGATAACGTGGCGATGATTTCCGACGATCACGAGGTGGAGAGCATGGATTGGACGATTGTCGACCGAGTCGGAGGACGAGTCTTATTCCATTAGACAAACAGGGGCTGTTGAGATCACACTAGCATCGACTTATGGGGGGACTGATACCCCGAGTGCCTCAAAGGGCTGGCGAATCTGAGCGAGATCTCCTACTGCATCTGGCCCTTCTACACCCCCCTGTCCCCCCCCCTTTATGGCATGGGCTACCGAGGCCTTGCCGCCTAGATGATCTCATGCTCTTGTGTAGGCAGTATCAAACCACCCAGCGCGGAACGCTCGTATCAGGGGGCGGGTCCATGATCCTAGGAGGAACCCAAATTCAACGCGTTTACTTGTGTTTCCCCATTCTCCACCTCTAGTCGCTCGCCTTGTATTTCGTCCGGTACTCCTCCGTTCTCCTAATATCATCGTCCGACGCAAGACCCCTCATGCCCTCAATAATATCATCCAGTGTTAAGATGGCTAAGATGGGCAGTCCATATTCCTTCCGCAACTCCCCGATCGCGCTCGGCATCGGCTTGCTGTCATCCCCGTTCGGCGAAGGCAGCTTCTCCATGCGATCCAAGGCGACCACGATCCCGGCCACCACGCCGCCCTCCTTCTCGATCTTGGCGATGGCCTCCCGCTTGGCCGTGCCGGCGGTGATCACATCATCCACAATCAGCACCCTCTTCCCCGTCAGTGGCGCACCCACAATGTTCCCCCCTTCGCCGTGGTCCTTGGCCTCCTTGCGGTCAAACGAATAGCACTTGGCGCCGTAGGCGGCCGCGTCCAGCTGGCCCAGCCTGATGGTCGCCGCCGTTGCCAGCGGGATGCCCTTGTAGGCCGGGCCGAAGATGACGTCGAAGTCGGGCAGCGCGCCGGACCTGTGCGCCTCCGCAATGGTCTTGGCGTAGGCCGTCGCAATCGACTCGAGGAGGTCGGCGCGGTAGAAATCGCCGGCGTTGAAGAAGTAGGGCGAGATGCGCTTGGACTTGAGCTCGAAGCTGCCAAATTTGAGGACGCCGCCTGAGATGGCCGCGCGCAGGAAGTCGGCTTTGTAAGTTGGGAGGGAGGTCATTTTTTTGGTGTAATGACTCTATCTTTGAGGGCAATAAGCCCGAATGTTTGTTCTAAAATGAGGAGGGTAGGTGAGGACTGAATTGAAGTGAGTTCTGTAAATACCTTCTGCTGCCGGCTTCGGGATGGGCAAGACAGACAGAGAACAAGAGTGCCCCTCCATCTTTGAATTAAATTTCTTGGCTGCGGTGGGGTGAGCATTGCAGGGTCCAACAGAGCCCCACTTACCGAAATTCTGATAGCACAATCTTATCTTATCTGGAATTCGTGCGGCCTGCAAAAATATTTCGATGCTGCTGGGACGGCATGTCGACACCGCCCCGCCTGGTGCTCCCGGTTCCATCAACTCGGAACACCCCCATCGCCAAGTTCCGCACAGCACTCTGCAGAGTCGGTCGCCATGGCTTGGAAGGATATTGCGCCTGTGCCGACGTACGAACACATTGAACCTGATTAATCCATCTTCCGGGTATAGCTGACGGCTGTTACAGGGCACAGGAATTCATCGATATAGTCCTCTCGTAAGTCGCCCTCCCGACATGTGCACTGCAAGGCAATCACAGGCTGACAAAATTGCAGACGGACGCAGAGGCGATTGCCTACTCAGAGTATGTTTTCCGGAGCGACATTGTGAGGCGACAGTGTCATGGGATGTTGGCTGACTCAAACAATCAAACAGTCCGCGCTGGGTTTAAGAGTATGTACTGCCGGGCAAGATATTGAGCAGAATCATGGACATTTGCTAACGTATCAAACAGTTAGCAGAATCCGCGCTTTTTACACCCGCAAGGTCAAGTCAGTATCCCCGAGTCGCGATTGACTACCCGTCGCCGATACCCTCGAGTTGTGGCGACAATGGGCCACGAACCGAGCGCTAACCCCGGCATTCAGATTCACGCAGGAAACATGCAGTGAGAAGTTTGGCGCCATTGTCTCGAGCTTCCCTGTCCTCACGGACCAGCACCCATTTCACCGCGACTTGATGAACATTCTATACGGTATGCCTTTACCGGACGTGTTGGAGAAAACGCTGGGATTGCTCGCTCAGAGCAGGGAAGTGCTGATGGTTCCTGTCAGATGCCGACCACTTCAAGGTTGCTCTTGGTCAAGTTTCAACTGCGAAGCACTTGATAGAGACGATCTCCCGGGATTATGTCCGCCTCTTGAAGGTACACCAAAGACTACCCGTCGTTTTAACGGCTCTGGGACAACATGCTAACCCTTGGTCTAGTACGCCCAAAGTCTGTATCAGTGCAAGCAGCTCAAGAGGGCCGCCCTGGGTCGTATGGCGACCCTCATTAAGCGGTTGAAAGACCCTCTTCAGTACCTCGACCAGGTCCGCCAGCACTTGGCCAGGTTGCCCGACATCAACCCGACCACACGCACTCTCCTTGTTGCCGGCTTCCCCAACGTCGGCAAGAGCTCCTTCGTTCGCTCAGTAACTCGGGCCGATACGCCCGTCGAGCCTTACGCCTTTACAACGAAGAGTTTGTTTGTTGGTCATCTCGACTACAAATATTTGCGGTACCAAGTAATAGACACCCCGGGCATTCTCGACCACCCGCTGGAGGAGATGAACACAATTGAAATGCAGAGTGTGACGGCTCTCGCACATCTCAGAGCCGCTGTTCTTTTTTTCATCGATATCAGCGAGCAATGTGGCTACTCTCTCAAGGCCCAATGCAACCTCTTCAAGTCGATCAAGCCGCTTTTCGCCAACAAGATGGTCTTTGTTGTCCTGAACAAGATGGACATCAAGACGTTCGAGGAACTGGAGCCGGAGATGCAGGCAGAACTGCAGGACTTGATAAAGTCGGGCGATGTTGAGCTGTTGCGCGCATCCTGCGCAACACAGGACGGTGTGCAAGAAGTCAAGAATCTTGTCTGCGAGCGTCTGCTTGCCGAGCGGGTGTCCCAGAAACTTAAGGCGGGTACCGCAAGCAACGGTGCTCTTGGGTCCCGCCTTACTGAGGTCATGGCTCGTATCCACGTTGCCCAACCAATGGACGGCGTCACCAGGGAAACCTTCATCCCGGAAGCCGTGAAGAACCTCAAAAAATATGACAAAAACGACCCCGAGAGGAGAATGTTGGCAAGGGATGTCGAGGAGGCGAACGGTGGCGCCGGTGTGTTTAACGTCGACCTGAGGAAAGACTACATCCTTGCCGATCCGTCATGGAAGTACGACAAGATTCCGGAGATCTACGACGGCAAGAACGTCTACGATTATGTCGACCCCGATATCGATGCGAAGCTCGCGGCGCTCGAAGAGGAGGAAGACAGACTCGAGCAAGAAGGCTTCTACGAATCTGACGAGGACATTGAAGACGAGGAAGAGGAGGAGATCTTGCAGCAAGCCGAATACATCCGCGAGAAACACAAGCTGATTCGCAACGAGGCCAAGATGCGCAAGTCGCTCAAGAACCGCGCCATAATGCCGCGCAAGGTGCAGAAGAAGTCCTTCTCGGAGCTCGAGGACCACCTCGACCAGTTGGGCGTCGACACCGAGTCCATCGGCCTGCGGGCGCGGTCGCAGGTACAGCCATCGCGCGGGCGGTCTGTCACGCGCAGCCGTGCAGGTACTGCCGATCCGGACGCCATGGACGTCGACAGCGCTCCGTCGGCCAAGGAGCGCCTCCGCTCGCGCAGCCGGGTCCGCGACCGCTCCGTCATGGCCAGCAACCGCCGCGAGGACGGCGTGGTGGATGAGACGGCGCGCACAAAAGCCGAGCGGCAGGCCAAACTTAGCCAACGCAAGATGAACCGCATGGCGCGCCAGGGCGAGGCCGACAGGCATATTGGTGCCACTATGCCGAAGCATTTGGTAAGTCTCGCTCGCAGCATTAGTATGGCCGTAGCTAATATTTGCGTGTTAGTTTTCTGGCAAGCGTACCATCGGTAAGACGTCTCGTCGTTAGAGTCGTCAAGCCGCTCTCTTTCTACGAGTGGATGGCGGGCTTTCGAGATTGGCCGCCGCCGAGCGCGTATCGGGAATGCGTAGAGAATTGCTGAGCAGGAGAATGGCTCCCGGCAACAGTAGTCTCAAGCAGCGGTCCAGCACGACTACACAGCGCTGGGGTTTTGGATCAGTTCGACAGTTTCGCTCTCAGTGCGGCCCCTCAGGTCCATGTCAGATGCCAGCGGCTGTCATGCTATTCTCTGAGAAGGCGGCGAGTGTGCGATGACTCCATCGTGACGATGTGAGGGCCGTGTTAAGGGATCAGCGATGTTAAGCGTAGGGAAAGATCAGGAAGGATGGAGATATGTTGAAAAGGAAGGAAAGGGGAGTGGGAGGAGAAGGACATAGGTAGGGGAAAGGAATAAATTGCGAGATGCGGCAGATTACCCCCATGTTTTCATGGTCTCGGTCTCTTTTGAGACGTCTATCTGCTACTTCTATCGGCGTTTTGGGAGTAGTCAATGGAGATTTGATTTTATTGTCCGCTACATTCCCCCCCCCCGGGGCCCGTGTTTCCTCTTACCCCGAGCAGATTGACAGGACAGATTACTTTGATTCTATGCTCACCGACTTACAAACTTAGCGGGCTGCGAGAGAGTGTCAGAGGTTTTACGTGCCTTGGGGGGTCAATAGTATGCTTAGGTCCAAAAACTTGCTCAGGTCCAAAAAACTTGCTCTAAACTACTCACCAAACACGTTCTTCTCGCGTATCTCTCCCCTACCGCAAGACTACTTTGACGTTTGGGTTTGGGTCTACCGTTTGTATTGTCGCCGCTCAAAGTCGTACATCCAATTGAGCCCATCCAAACCGAGCAAGCGGCAGCCCATGCTCTTCTTTGATACATCACTCAAACCTCTTCTCAGGAAAATCCGTTTTGAGACCACAACTCGACAGGTTGTAGGTCCATTTCGCGGTGGACCATTCCTTCTCGGTGAAGTCAAAAGGATGGGAGAGCAGGTCAATAGGAACATAGGTCCACGCGCTTGAATTCACTGTATTATCCCTACTATATCACCATCCCCTCACCATCTCAATTCTTTCGCCACTGCACTTGTTCGTTTACTCAGCCGTGACCTGGATCCCTTCCCGCAGCCCCTCCACAACCAGCTCCTCACCAGCCAGACGGCGGTAGATATCGCGCACGTCGTCCGTGGCGGATTCAAAATGGCTGGTGGCGTCATAGCTTTTGGAAATGAAGATGTTGTCCTTTGTGCCGTCCTCGAGGGGCTCGTAGAGCGGGATTGGCGGGCCCTGGTTCGTAAATCGTCAATGTTTTGTTCTGTTGCATGTATATCAGGGAGTGAGAAGAAAAGGGAGAAGTAAAATACCATGAACTGCTCCTCAATGCGGCCCAGGCGCTCGATGCCCGGCGCCAGCTCGAGGTGGTGGTTCGCTGACGTCTCGGCGATGGTGGAGACGATGGCGATCCAATACCCCTTGGGGCAGACGTTGTGGGCTGACGAGACGCACGCGATGTAGATGTCTGGAAAGAGATGTACATGTCAGTAGGGGAGGTTTGGGTGTCGTTGAGAAACAGGGCGCTCGGGGGGCTCACCGTTCTTGCGGCCGACCTGCGACTGTGGGATGATTATCTGGCATGAGTCGGCGTCGTTGGTGCTGGCGATGGGGTGTTTGAGGATGCATATGGCGCGCAGCACGTGGCCGACGACGCGCACCTTGTTGGGGAAGTAGCTCGGGTCGCCGATGATGGTCTTGGCGCGCGTCTCAAACTTCATCTCTGGTTCGATGCCGCGCATGGTCGCCTTGATGCCGACCGCCTTTTCGCCCTCGTAGACAATTTCCTCGACGCTCGTGTTGAGCATGTAGGTGCCGCCGTAGATGGCGCTCAGGCGGGCGAAGCCCTGCGGCAGCTCGCCCAGACCGTACAGCGGGTAGATATACGGCGACTTGCCGTAACGGGCCACACTGTTGCCATACAGGCGCAGGCGCTCAATGGCCTCGGGGGCGCCGCCCTTGACGTCCAGGTAGGCGTCGGTCTGGTAGAGGGCCATAGCATGGCCGGCGAAGTCCTTGGTCGTGGCCTCGAGGCCGAACTTGTCATAGACTTCCTTCATGGTGCAGGTGCTCATGTCAAGACCTGTGGGCCATTGCCAGTCAGCTGCGGTCACCTCCTGAAAGAGAAGAGCGAGAAGAAACGGACCTTTGTGCGTGGCCGAGTCCTTGGGGTCAAATTGCCCCACCCATTCGATAAAGGTCTTCATGCGGCGCTTCTCAAAGATACCCATCAGAGGCGACCTCAAAGCCTCCGCAGCGTCTGAGGGCACCTTGGCAACGGTGGCTTTGGGCCCGGAACCCTGCTGGACGTAGCTGCCGGCGACCTGCTTGAACTCGAGGTAGCGGGTGACGTCGGTCGAGACGAGTATGTTGGTGAGCTCGCCCGAGGACATTAGGAACTTGGGCACCAGGTCGATGTTCCAGTCGTTCAGGCGGCCGTACTGCTTCCAGGGCTCGGTGCCCTTGGCGAAGTTGCCATATTTCTTGAAAAGCTATGTCTCGGAGTTTCATGTTAACAGTGTGTAGGGGTGTTTTGGGGTTCAAGATCGAGGGACAGGGCCATACCATTTCGAGGTTGACCGACGCTGCCTCACTGAGAAAGAAGACACTGTCAGCTATCCACCCCGGGCCATCATCAAACATAGGGAAACGCACCCGCCATAGTGGTCGTTGCGGTCGATGTGGAGGACCTTCTTCCCCTTAACACTGAGCACGCCCGAGAGGATGCATTCGGTCAGCCCTGTGCCCAGCACGATGACATCGTACTCTGGGGCAATCTCGTCGGCCATGGTGAAGTTTGTGTGGCTAGCGGCCGTGGTTGCTTGGAGGAATAGCTACTACAAGCTTCGGTGCGGATCAGGGAAAAGACAACTCCTGCGAAATGTCAAACGAGGGAAGCAGCTAACAAGGAGAGTAGAGGCCTAGGATGACGGAAGTGGGATGAGATGAACACCAGGTCCAAGAATGGTTGTCTTGATGCTCTGGGCTTGTTATGGTTTCCAGTAGTTCAAATAGGAGTCTGGATCATCGACGGGAAGCTGGCAGATTGCTGTGGTGGGGGGATCGGTCTGAGGGGTTCCATTGCGGAGCCCCGCTCTGGGCCTGCTTCCGTTGGAGCTAAGGTGCCCGCGGCAGCCTGTGATTCGACGCTTGTGACAGGCGGTCTGGGGCCTCGTCTCGGTTCATCAAATGCTTAATATTGAGAACGCTGCTCAGACAACGCCTGCCATCTCGGTACACATGGATGATGTTGCGCACTGGGACACTTGGCTGAGACACCATTTCCTTTGACGCTAACGTCCGACAAATATGCTCAATGGGTACACTTATCTATACAGCAAGTACAGCTCCGGCGTCAGCATGTGAACCCGGCAGCGAAGATCTGATAATAGTGCACCGGCACTCGTTCCGGTCTTGCGCCAGGGGTTGGTGCCCGTGAAACCCGCCCTTCAATAGTCCACACTGCAAGTCTGTTTCCTCATAACCTTGGGGCCTCGGCCTGCGGCTTGGAGGAGGATATCGTCACCGGGTCTAGAGCAGCAGCCGGAGCAGCTTCGGCGTTCTGGGCCGTCTCAGCGATCTGCTGCTCCCCTTCTACGGCAGCCGTCTCGCCCTCCTCAAGGTAGTCCCTAGGGACAAACGCCGGGCCGTTGCCCGTAAGGTCGACCTCGGGGTCGTTCTCAGCCAGTTTGACAGCGTCCTCCCACGTGTAGAAACGCTCGGTCAAAGTGTGCTTGATGGCGCGCATCGTAGCCCGGACCTAGAGCAAGACACAGTCCTGTCAGCACGTATACACGTCACCACACCATGATCATCCTCCAGCTCCTTCCACTCCCCAGATAGGGGGAAAAAAGGTCTCACCTCACGATCCCTCCCCAGCGCCTCGGCCTCGCCAAAGCCAAGCTTGCTCTTATTCCGCTCCCAATTGGCCGTGGCAATGCGGTTGCGCTCCTTGACGCACACCCACCACAGGCGGTGCAGGTCATCCCACGACTTGTGGCGCAGCTCCTCGACGGACCAGCTGCGGCCGTGCTTGGCGTCCTCCTCGGGCGTGTTGGCGACGGTGGTGCGGTTGGGAAAGAAGTCCCACAGGCCGTGGTCGGGGTCCGTCTCGATGGCCGGCAGCTGGTCGCGCGGCACGGGCCGCGGCAGCGGCTCGTCCGACATGGACAGCCGCCAGCGCGTGCCCGTGCGCCGGACCGCCGACTCGCCGCGGTGCTTGCTGTGGTCCTTGTTGTCGCGCGCGCCAGGGTACTTGTGCCGCTTCAAAAGGGACGCCGTCGTCGAGAGGGTGGCGGTCTGTGTGAGTGGGCGGAGGATGGCGGTGGTGGTTGGTAACGAGGAGGAGGAGGAATTGTAGGCTGATGATATCCTGCCGAGGGCGCCCATCGAGGGCCGCATGGCAGATATCGCCATTGTCGCGGAACTGGCTGAGAAAATAGAGGACGCAGTGCGGGAGAGTGTGTACTGAACAGGGAATACACGGGCGTGACGCGTCGTCCTCCCTGATTACTCGTTGCTGGACTTACCCGGGCCCTGAATACAGCTCCGGACCTTCGATATGGCAGTGCAGGACGTTCGCACCTTGGTATCCGCGAACTTGAAATTTTGGGTGGTCCGAGCGTTGCTGGCAGGGGCTCCAACTTGAACCGAAAGGGAGCAAGTGCTGACAACTGCTTCCAGGTCTTAACAGCTTCGACCCATTAAATGACAATTCACTACAGCATGCTCAACACCACAGTATATTAAACTCACAAGATTTCACGTCCGTCATTAATAGATGATTGAACTGCTTGCTTCATAATACCACCGCACTCAACCTGAGTCTTTCTCACACCACTCACTACCATCACAATGTCCATCTGGCAGTAAGGGCCCCTTCATCCCCCCAAACCAAACCTTCCCCGTTTATATATATCACTTCACCATAGACTAACGCAAACCAACCTCGCCAATAGAGCATATCAGAACCTTCCCCCCAAAACCAAGCTTGCCGTCGGCGCAGGCCTGCTAGCATGGGGCGTCCTCGGCCTCCAGTTCTCAGACGAGCTCGAGTCTAAACTGGGCTTCATCCCCACTGAGGCCGACAAGGCCGAGCTGGAGAAGCTGGCGCCTCGGATCCATGTCGTGCCTAGAGATGCGGGAGCTGCTGGAGGAACAGGGACATCAACAGCGGGGGGGGGAGAAATGAGAAAAGAAGAGAGGGGGAAAAAAGAATAACATTAGCTATCAATTCATTGGATTTCACTCCAGGGCGGTGAAAAGGGTGTCAATTACTGTGCATGGTTGATGCATTCTGTTTTCGATATGGGTTCATACCATGTGGTTTCAATTTAGCCAAGATGTGTGGGGTTTGGGCTCGGAGGTTTGCTAATGAAGTATATACAAAGGTGGAGGGCTTAGCACTTGGATGATGGCGAGATTGTGTTAGGAGTGGTGTTCTTATACTTTGTGCAATAAGTCCAAGGGCATGGCTGATCCGAGTTTAGGGATTTCCCACTGTGGACGGCGTTCCGGAGACTGAGGTATCGTGCGTTTGTACGAACAGCGATAGTTGGAAAACAGTCCACGGTTGCTCAAGGACTTGGGCTTCCTGACGAGGAGCTATTGGCAGACAGATGCCAGCTCATCAGATATCATCGGAAATCTGCGAAGGCCTAAGTAGTAGAGGGTTGAGGATTAAGCCATTATGAGGCCGCTGGCAAGCCGACCAGCGAATGATCGCCATGCGGCTTGTAGAGGTAGGTTGAATATTACAGATCTCGTAAGCCGGCATCGCGTGGAACCATTACAATTGTCACCAACTGTTGACTTCGCCCACAACATGGGCTCAGAGATGAAGAAATCCTCACCGAGACTTTTGATTGCACCACTGTGCCTCTAGTAGGCAACGCCGACCCCACGCTTTAACGTAACGTATGTAAGTGTCTGACACTAATATACACTCCCTCCAAGCCAGGCTCCAATCCTCCTCCTTTTTGTCACTGCCTCAGAGCGGGGACGCCGTACTTATTTTACTTCATCACCACCATCTACCGCATCCTCCATCACCCGCCGTCCAACAAAGTAGATCCGCCGAGGCTTGAAGGCCGGCCATACCACCGTTCTCTGCGTAACCAGAACGGGCTGGACTGAGAGGACGGATACTCCAAGTCGAAAACGCGCATTAACCCCGGCGAGAAACCACCATCTCCATAGGCCCCCACCCGCGCTTCCCCAAAAGAGACGAGGAGACCCGTGAACCACCTGCCCGCCTTCTTCTCAGTCTATCTGTCGTTGTCGAATGTGAGAAGGTCTCTAATGCAGAAGCCTAGGAAATCTATCCCCGCAAGCCATCCTCGTCATGCAAGCAAACAACCCGCCGTAGTGCCAATCTGATGCAACAAGGGAGATCGTGAAGCAAACCCCTTGGTGAAAGAAAGGGAACAGGACGAGAGCCGAAAGATTCATCAAGAAAACAGAACAAGAAAAAGCAAAAACGCCGTTGATGCAGGGAATAATGAATGTGTGCCGATCGCATCGTTTCAAAGAGATTATTGTTGGCTCTGCATGCTCGCCGTCTGAACAGCAGCAAAGCCTGGCGACTTCCTCGCCCTCGGGAGTGGTCGAAAAAGCTGTGTCATGTCGAGCGTCACGTCCTTTGCTCCGTACGCCGCATCGATGTCACCGACAGATCCCAATTCCTCTCCACGGGAAGCCCCATCTGTCAAGACCCACTGCTTGACCGACTTCAGCAGATGAATGATATAGCCAAACCGCTGGTCGGGCGCCATCTGCAGGTCCGTTGTTCGTGTGCTCTTGAGAAGATACGTCGCCAGCCAGTAAAAATGGATCCCATCCCTAGTAAACCCATAGCGCCGGGGGTTGACGGCCGGAGACGGCGGGAACTGAGTGGCCATGTCATGATCCCAGTTGCTCTTGAACTTGTCGAGCGCAGTCATAAGCGCCTTGGCCGTCTGCGCATCAAGAAGATTGGCCCCGAGATCCAGCGGGGTTGCCCGCCCGCTGGCGCCGGGACTGCCTTGGGCCCCAACAAACCAGGCGTGAGCTGGGACGGGTGTGCTCGAACGATTCAGAATCGCCGAGCCCCCTTCCACCTGGGCCCGTCTCATTATGCCAAGAAGCGCGTGGATCAGTATGAACTTGCCAAAGAGATTCGTAGACCCGGGCTGAATACGGTAGTTGCTGTCAAGAAGAGCCTTCAACACCAAGTGCATCTCTGGCTGATTACTCCGCCGTGTGCCATCAGGATTGCGGATCCTGGCGGCATCCGGCCCACGGAGGCCCAGTGCTTCGGCGCATTCGTTGATATCATTGGCATCCCAGGCTGCATCGTCCGCTGGTAACGGGAGACGAACTTCAAAAGGGTCAAACTCCGGACCCGTGTTGAAGTACAAGCCGAGAGCGATATCGTAGACAAAGATCATGTACATGGTGCGGATGCGCTTCTCCTGTTCTACCCAGGCATGCCAGCTGAACTGGGAGATGGGGAAGTTCGCGGGTGAGAAATGGGGCTGATGAGCCATGCTGTACAGTGAACCGTTGGTTGAAAGGCGAAGTAAACCAGCCTTGCGGGCGGACGAGGCGATCAGGGGGAAGGTTTTGCGAGCCTTTTCGCGCTGCACCGGGGTGCCATGCCACGTAAACAAAACCTGGGTAAGCATGATTGCCTGCAGCTCCTCGAGATCCGTCTTGTTGCTTCCAAAACTGGCAAAGTCATATACTGCCTCTGAGCCACCTTGCATGAGCGACGCAAACATGCGAGACGAGCCTTCGAGCGCCGCTTTCAAGGAGTCGACGACCTCGCGAATGTTAGCCGCAGGGATTAGCTCCGAATAGCACGCGCCCACGCAGCACATGGCTGCCAGAAGTCCGACGTGCGTCTCCATGGCGCGGAACGTGGGGATGTGGAGGATCGACAAGTGAGCATGGAAGTGAGTGTAGTTCTCAAGGAAGACGCGAATATTGTCAGCATGAAAGTAAAAATCGAGGAAGCTGGAGGCGGCGTCGGTGGCAGCGAACGGGGAGCGCAAGAAATCGAGGATTCGGGTCGAAAGTTGATGGTAAGGGCTCGGGTATGACGACGGGACCCCCCACGAGGGGAAGAGGAATGAGTCGGCGGGATTGTCGCCAGGAATGCCAACCGCTCGCGTGGAGCTTTGGCTAGGCTCGGGTTTGATTACGGTCTGCATCTGTCCCTGTCCGGTATTAGATGGGATCGTATTGACGTAGGTGGATTGCGCACCAGCCTGGAACATCTGCGACCAATCCGTCGAGCCTGACCCTCCAAACATGGGCATGCCGTTCTGGTTCTGGGGCATGCTGTAATTCGCCAGCTGCGGGTTGATGTTGGCCGTCATGTTGTTCGCGACTTCGCCGCCGTTGTACGGCTGATCAAAGCTGCTGGGACGCGTAGACGTGGCCATGACGGATGCGGTCATGCTTCTCCTATCGCGGTTCGCGTCGTCGGCTGCTCTGTTGATGCTACTAGACCTCGAGAGCTGGCTTTGATCGTTGGCCACATTGCTCATGCCATCAGAAGCGGGAATGATGCCAAACGGATGAACCATTCCGTCGGCAGGCATGTTTCCCATACCGTTCATATGATTCACGTCGCCTTCTGTGCCCATAGCCTTTTGCTGGGCGGCAGCATTCTTCTTGACGTGCGCTTGGGGGTGCGACAAGTGACTGGCGCCGGTCGGATTGCCGCGGCGGACAGAGCACTTGATGAAGTGACGCTTGAGAATGTCGCTGCGCGAAAAGGTGTCGTGGCACAGAACGCACATGTACGGACGGTCGCCAGAGTCTGCAGACTGTCAAGGCATGCCCATAGCGGCAACGAGAGAAAGCTACTTACGTCTCAGGAGGTGACGCTTCAGGTGCTTCGCATGCAGGTAAGTCTTGGTGCAATGAGGGCAGGGAAACTTTCCGTCGGCATCCTTCTGGGGAACTTGGTTCTTTGCTTGAGCCGATCCAGGAGCAGGCGCGGGGGGTCGGCCGGGGGCGCTGGGCAGGATTCCCCTACGGCCCTGCGAGCCAACGACATGAGTGGGGGGGTCGCCTTCGGCCATCATGGGAGCCTGAGCCATCAGCGGGCTTTGGCCGTAAGGAGAACTCATTCCCGGCTGAGGCATGACACCACCAGCAGGCATGGGTCGGAGAACCGGTGCAGCCCGGCCGCCGGCCGTAGGAGGGGCGGGAGCGATGGGCTGGGGGTGCGAGGCGGCCGTCGTAGTAGGCGGCATCATACTCGACGAAGCGCCGGGATACGGCTGCTGCGGGTAGGTGTTGTTGCTCATGATCGGATATGTGTTGCCGCGACCCGCGTTCTGAGCAGGCGGGGGTGGGTAGCTTGCCATGGTGCTCGTGGAGCTCGGGGTGTTGGGCGTTGCCGGGGTTCTAGGAGTGTGCGGGTAGCTCCCGTAGGGGCCCTGTTGCATAACAGGGTGGCTTGGTTGGAGCGGTGGCAGCGTGTGGGGAGGCTGCTGCTGCGGCTGCTGCTGCTGCTGCTGCGGGGGCAGGTGCGGTGATGCTGCTGTCGAAGAGGGGTAAGAAGCCACTGTCGTGTTTATCGCATGCGCCGAGCCGTGAGGCAGACCTTCCATAATCCGTCGCTCAAGAACCGTGCACTAGAGAGCACAAAAAGACCATCCGAGCCGGAGCACGAAAGGCTTTGTGTGCTGCTGTCGGGGGCCGACGAGGGCGGCGAGCTCAGAGACGCGACGAGGACGTGTCGAGTCCTAGACAATCCAAATCAATCGCACGCGACGCACGCGTCGACTGTTTGCTCGATGAGACCGGCAGATCGTCGAAGTCGATAATCTGAGCTCAGACCAGGCTTGCTAAGCCGTTCGTCGTCTCGATTGCGGGCAGCGCGATGCGATGCGATTGTGATGTGATAATGCGTCGTCTGGGCAAAGTTGTGGGACCTGCAGCCGCGATATGGAGTTGATCAAGAAGCGCGACCTGCTGGTGTGGAGAATACCCTAAGCGGGAAAATGAGGCTCAGAGGGGAACAGACGTGGGAAGTGGAGAGAAATGGGGAGTTTGAGTGGAAAGTCGGTGTGGGGACGGCCACTTTTTTGTGCTGCGAGTCCCTCTTTTCAATGTTTTGGCGGGTGGCGGGCAGCAGCAAAAGGTAGGTTATCCGGTCCGCGAGCAGCCGTTAGTGCCTAGGTGGAGCCAGCCTAGCCGGGACGCGGGAAAAATTCGAGGGTCGCTCGGCGAAGGGAGCACAATCGCGAATTCCGGATGCAGGCGCTTTAGGCACCAAGTGTCCGTAAACAATGAAGCGTTACACGTGAATTGTGTTGAGTTTCCCGCTTCACTTTTTGCAGTGCTGCAGACACAATGTATTGCGCGCGATGTTGTGGAAAAGAGATGGGCCGCACGGGATGTGAAGAGAAAAGGGAAAGTGGGTAAGTCTGAGAGCAAAATTGGAGGGGAGGGGCGCCACAAATACCAGGTGGGTCGGGTGCTCGGACCACTCGAAGGGCGAAGGAAAACAGTGAAGGCGGGAAATATTGAAAGCGAAAATTACGGCAAGGCCACGGTCTGTTACAGGCAACCCCCTGAGATGCATCGCATATTTTACCTCCAAATAGGCATCTGTACGGACGTACGCCCATCATAACTCACATCTGAATTCCTGAGTAGGATATAAAGTGCGCACTCACTGCATACCATAGGATATGTGGTCGTGTCTTGCTGGGCTGTTGATGGTCCGGTATCGCTTATACATGCTGTCCGCCCTCCATACGTTGCTCCTCGCCGCTTTGCGATAGAAGCTCGCAGCATCACAGGTATACCCATCCTGTGCTGTCTTCTGGCTGCTTTATTAGCAGTTAGGGATTGATCACCTCCGGCCACGACAAAGCCAATTGCCGATTTCTCATCGAGGTTGTGAGGATAACCTTACTCCATGCGGAGAAGAAATGTGCTCCGGACACCTTCGCGCTCACCGTGCATCTTCAAGTCGAGCACGCGAATCCCAGGCCGACTCAGATCGCACGCACATGTGATATCAGCTTGCATGGACTGGTACCGTAACACTCTAAATATATTTCACGACTCATTGATTCTCGACCAAACAGTCGAGCTGTCGCGCATTTCCAACACGAACATCAACCACATTTGATATTCTTGGGAAAAAGAAACACACGCTCAAGAGCGAAGTGATCTTGGCCAGATGCTCGAGTTGTTCGTTGACTCGCTAAGCCAACAAAGTGGGGAATATCATCTCCAGGTGGCTTCCGTGACTGTAACATTGGGTGTGAGCTGCCATTACCTCACACTGTATTGTTACAGTACACGTAGTGCGACCACTCATTGCAGTTGCCACTTGGATTGCCGTACTCAGATTTCTGCCGATCGAGCCGAGTGAGGTACATTACCTTAGGCGTCAGCAAACCCGGAACTTCATATCGGTGGCTGACCATGCTTTTGGTATTTAAATGGTATAGAGACACTCCGTAGAGACGGGAGCCATTGGCTGTCCGAGGGAATCGTATGATATAGTGCACACTGTGTGTCACCTGTGCTAGCCAGTACCTTTACTATGGTACGATAGGTAATAAGATCTCCATACGAGGTACCACGCTAGCCCGAATATAGGCTTTGGCATAGCCAGTAATACTGTGGATTTCTGCTTGGCCTTTGCTAGCACGAAATATAAAACCCGAACTCGCTGGCGTTCCTCGATAGTAAGCTGTTTAGTGCCGCTGGATCCCTATGGCTCTGCCATTGTGCTGTTGTGAGTTGTTGAAAACAAGAGATGCTTTGGAAGAGGCTGTCAAAGTGGAAAGTTTCGGCGTGTTCAGCTGATTGGTCAAAACGCGTCAAGTGTTGTGCCCCACGAGTACTGGACTAGGGGTTTTCTTCATGCACGCGACCACAGTATGTGTGGTAATATGTACTGGTACGGCGTCAATGATTGACGTCGTGCTCGTCAGTCTGATGCAAAGGGTCGGGAGCAAGGATCTCCCCACGAATGGGTGAATGGCGACTCGAGCATGAGCGCGCTTGATGAAATCTTTCATCGCTGAGCATTTTTGTTTCCTGATCCGTCGGCGAGACTCGGCATTTGTCTCAACTCGTAACTCTCACGGCGCGTCTACAAACTGAGACCTTCAATGCGATGGTCTCCGACGCAGTACGGAGTTTGCCGGCGTAAAGACACCAAGCGCACGCTTAGGACGACTAGCATTGATTAAGACTCGTTAGCGTGAGAGGGGCTTTGGAGTTTCGCTCTGCTTCGAATCTGCTACTCCTTGTCCGAGCCATCGATTCCCTGATCGTGGAATGAGCGTTGTGGAAGACGCCGGAATTGCGGTGAGAGGGTTACTTCGCGCCTTGTAGCCCGGGTGAGTCGGTTATCTGAGAAGGGCCATCGGATGCTGGAGCTTGCATTCCTGAATCTTGCATCCATATCCGTCCGTACCTTGCTACGGAGTACAGGACCTCTCATCAGGTGCACACATGGTGCCTGACCTTCCCCCTTCCTATCCGTCATCGAGGTAACTTGCGGCATGTAAGCCATGTACCAAGATGAATCCTTAGCGTTCAAGCGAAAACTACCATGCCCCCTTGTGCTGCCACGCATGTGGCATCGAGGTCTCCGCCGTTCCACATGTCCTCCACCGGGGCGTTTCTCCGTTATCAAACTCAAGTTCACAGACAGTGGGACCTCCGGGCCGCGGGTGGTTGTTCCCAGAACGCTCCATCCGCCCGGAAGCGCACTCAAGAAGCGGGATCGTCCACGCGCGTACATTCCTTTCCGCCTCAAACAACATCCGACGACCATGACAGACTCGGCGTAATGATGCGCATTGCCCACGAGTCAAAACGTCGAGCAAGTGGGGCCGAGACACGAATCCATGCCCCAGCTCCCTGTCTGCCTCGGCCTGATCTGGGTGGAAGAACAAAGTTCGGAGTACTCCGAACGGTACCCAAGAGCATGGGGATCTGACGAGAAAATGAAAGATCTTGTATAGGCTCGCACTGTAGGTACGCTTGTATTGTGAATGAAAATACGGATACCGTCCCATCATCCTGCATATGACGACAGCTCGGCGACCCCCAACCTGGAAGGGCTTGCGGAAACGGGAAAAGGGCTCTGTGTGTCGCAGAAGCGAGCCCTGTTGGTGATGTAACACCCGCCCGACGCGCAGCTTGTGATTTGGCTATTTCGGCCAGTTCGCCGCAGGCCCGGCACCTTGCGGCGATATCGGATGTCCCTTCGACACCGGGGCATTGGTCTTTTCTGTGCACACGAGCTTTCCCCAGGAATCATTGAGGGATGTTGTCGATTAGGCACGACAGCATCAGGCCTGAAAATTTTAAGAGTTCATCGATATGTCGCGCTGGGCGTCAGCCGCGCGCGTGGTAGGGGGGAACGGGCAACCGCGTCTTCGCATGGCGTCGGTAGAAAGTGGCCCCTTCAAGGGTCGAAGTGGAGAGGGTGGGCGATCCAAGAAGTGAGGCTCTGGGAGGGTCCTATCGCGAACCCACTCCTGCGGGTTCTGTGCGACATAAAAATTGGAGTTATGAGTTATGAGGGGCATTTTCTAGAAGCCGACGAGCTCCACTAAACGAAGCTTTTCAAATATCAACATTCTGGCCCCGGCCACGAGGACTCATCATCAACAACTCTGGAAGTCGCCCGCGGTCGAAGCCGAGCGTCGAGGGCATCGCCAAGGATGCATCGGGCCTTCTCCGGCTGCGCGAATGTTCCCAAACCGCGAGGACGGCGACGGTACCTGCCACGTCGCCCGCAACGAGTCAAGGCCGGGGCTTCGAACAACGGCATGCAGGTCACCTGCCAAATCGAACAGCGACGAACTCACCTTTTCGACTTCTGGCTCGGAGGCATGTCGGCAGAAGGGCCTGCAATCACGGGGCCTCCCGGTCCTTCCAAACGCACCTTACCTAGCCGTAGGTACCTAGGTAGCCTGGGTTTTATTAGGCTTCCCTTGTGTCTAGATCTTGCGCCCCGCCGAGCTCGCTGGCACCACGAACACCCCTATTTCGGCCTCGGTGGATCAGATTGCGAACTGCCATGGAGCCCAAAAAGACTTGTACGGAGCTAAATCTCCATCAATGTCCCTCGTGCGTTTCCTTGGTATTCCTGAAGTTATGGTTATTCTGCAGGCTGGCTCGGTATTAAAGCCGGGCAAATCCCGCAGCTCCACTCTCGTCGTGTGGCTTCCACACGAACAACCCACTTCCCGCCATTCGGTTCTTCTACGGCGAGAGCTTCAAAGTGGCGATCAGCGGGAACAGACAAGAATCAAAACAGCGTGCGCCAGACAGGCGCGATTTCCGCGCTGAAGTACAGTGTGCACGACCGTACAGGGATGGATGGATTGAATATGCACTTAAAGAACGGTACTGTGTATGTAAACCGTTCTTCTTTTTATATCTCTCTTCACGTCTCCCGGCAAATGACGGCGATTCTCCAGCACGGTGGGTCGCATCATCATGCAATCCGAACTTTGCCCGAACGCCAAGTTGCCGTCATCAAGCATGTAACAAGAACCCCCTGCCGTCTTTTCACAATGGTGGGTTGGTGGCAGCAGCAGTGCGCGTGAGTCCGGAAGAGCGGACCCATCCTCCAGGAGATCTGGGAAGCGAGCTGCCGTACCCCTTGGCATCATCAAGATACTCTGTGAAACGGTGGGTGCTCATCATTCCTGAAGATGGGGGTACACAATGCCACTCACAGTCTCGGCAAGACTTGACGGCAATTGTGGACCGATCACCGCCGAGGAATATCAGTTCCTGTTTCAATGCGTACCCTTCCGATGCACTGCTTCATACCATAACCGGAATAGAAACTTTTCTCGTTCCAGGTTGCGAATACAGCATATGTGGTCCCTTTTCCCGCTTTATACGGAAGCGCAGAGACTCAACCTCAAATTGGGGCGCAAATTCCTCTTGACCTACCAAGGGATCCTTCCGGCAAGCGAGGGAGCGAGGACAGGACTGGCGGCATGTCCAAGAAGGGCAAGCCGCCCCGGGCCAAAGCTACACAGTACGGTATCAGCCCGATCGCCGCTGGGATCTCGCTGTGCCGTTGAAACAGGCCAACCTCGGCCTGGCGGAGCCCGAAGAATGTCCCTTCATATTGGTAAGTTTCTGGAAGGCTCCGAAGCCCCGGAATGAATGACCCAGATGCCCCGATTATTGCAGTACGAGTAATACACAGGATGCGGACACAACAGTAAGGATCACCACAAGAACCTCCATTCATTCATTTACTCGGTAAGGTATGGATACTCCATCACATCTCACGTGCAGTATTCCCTTTGCTCGATCGCCTGATTCAAACGGACCCAATTGGCTGTCATGCAGTCTGACATGGCTGGATTTGCCCAGGTGTGCACCTCTCTGGTCGTCTGACTGGACAAATATTCGTATTCAGTAACTAAGTCACTGCTCTCTAAAGAAACAGGTGGCTGAGTTGACAGCAGAGAACAGGAGCTGATTGACCTACTCCTGTTGGAACATGGAACATCAATAGAGTGCCTTCTCGCCAGCTGTTTCGTCTCAATCTGTCCCAATTGCTATGACACTGGATCGAGTCATGATAGTCCAAGATGACGGCGCCACCTCCGGTAACTTTAAGACTACTCGGACTGAATTGCGTTAATGCATGGTTACGGTTAGAAACGCCACGGTTGTATTTCGGGCTAACGTTCAACCTCATTTTGATAAAGCCGGTCGAGCAGCATTCAGATATGCATATTCCATACTCATAAGAGTCCAATTCTTAATCATCCCTGATGAAGTGATGAAGCTGGAAACTTGTACCAGTCACAGTATCCGTAACCGCGACCCAGAGATTCGGCGACCCCCACGACGACCTAACATTCTTGTTCGTGCATTTTCCATCAAATGTAACTCTAGAGAAACACTGTGAAAACTGAGACATGTCTGCGTATGCGCACGGTAACTATGTAACGTTAGCTTTTCTACCATCCCGCGCCGAGATGAAGGACTGCCAACCCTTTGGATTCAACCGCGCCAATGTTGGGCAGCGGAAACATGCCTTATTGAGGTTCATCGAAAGCTATCTTCCATATCCTGCATGACGGTTGAACGCGGCACACCATACCAGTCACTACACAGTACGTTGATCAACAGCTTGAGCCGTCCGCTCAGCCATTACGTGTCTTCGCTGCACTTCACTCCAAGTTGTGCCGTAGCACTGTGGGCAACATCTCATCGGGCCGTTTCTCCGCTGGTCATTGCCAATCTCCAGGCCGGGCATGCAGGTTTGGACAGAAGGGAAAAAAGACGGCTGACGTCAAAAGAAAAAACACCACATTTGAGGGCACACAGACCCGGCCTTTTCGGTGTATAACCGGATACCCATGACCAGCTGGCACTGGTCACCAATCTCATTCGCGTTCGGCAACACTGTTGGTGAAGGAAAACATTCACCGCCTCGTACACAGCATCAGCTTGTGCTGATTATCATAGGTTAGCTTGATTCAAAGGTTTGCCAATAGCCCGGAAGCGCGGCAGTTGGGTTCTTGCGCAGGAGTTGCCCCCGTTCAGGGTAAGAAAACCCGACAAAACAGAACCACAGGTGAGCTGCTTCGCCATGGTACCCTTGTGATCAGAACACTTCCTCTTATGTCGCATGAGACTTGTAACCGCCGCGTGTTTACGCCCCCAGCAAATGCTTCATGTTTCGGCCTTGTCTAGGCTCAGGGGGGCGGACGCCCCCCCTGGATTTGTCGACTTGACCGACTTTGTCAGAAACTCGGTCAGAAAGGGAAGAAAGAATAAGAGGGAACATCAGATATAATGGGAGATACGTGGTGAGATGGTGGCATGTTCATTGACGCAACTGGGAGTTTTGCTGAGTGAGCTTGACAACCTTGGTCGCCTCCTGCTGTCTGGAATTGCCGTCTCGCAGCTTTGGTTGCTTCTTGGAGGGAGGCCGTGACTCTTGCTTACTCTGCGCAAAGTTGAGAACTTGGCTCGTTGATGAGATCAAAATGGCCTGTTTGCCTCTGCAGCGTGGCAAGAACGAAAGGAGATGATTGCTGTGACTTGCCAGCATCGCAGGGTAGAGGTTGGGGTTTTGGAAAGCTAGGAGTTGGGGAGACAGACGGTGGTCAGCACGCTTGTTCCCGTCCCTCGCCCACCGTGATCGGACAGCTCTGTCCTTGGCCTCAATCATCCCTCAATTTCGTGTTCTTTACCATGGCCTAATGTGGTTCGATCCTGACTGATTCCGGTTGCTCAATGACCAATAAGTGAGAGACGAGTTAGCCCTTGAGCTGGCGAGACCAAGAAAGATGAAGAATGAGAGCTCAAGTCTGAGATACCCAGCTTAAACAAGCGATTCATGTTGCTTGCGTTCATGTGTGGCCTTGATGGTGTCGACTCAGCAACGGGTTCGTGAACACGAAGCTGAATCTGAAACCGCACCTCGGGGGTTATAGGGGTGGGATGGCATGGCCTGGTCAACTTCAATTGGAACTTCGACAATACGTAGCCTTTGTGTGCTGTAATTGTTGGTCAATTTCCAAACCGTCCATCCGTCCAAGCGGCTTGTTCTCCGAGTCTGAGCTCTAAGCCGAAGGGACATGTCCACGGTGCAAGCCACGGAAGTCATGTTCAGAGTGACCTCGAGCCAACAACCAAATGACCCCCTGGACAGAGTAGTTGAGAAAGAGACACGTTGCCTCAAGTGCACGCTACTTTAGTTTGGGAGCAGTGACAGATAAGATAGTCAACAAGCTCGCCATCCAGCTCGGGGAGAAGGTGCATGGGTACGAAATTCCTAGGTTCACGGACTTGCTTTCGCGGGTGGCGGTTGGGGCGGCGAGTCCAACTGGTGTCTCCTTCTCAGGAGGGCGCCTGTCCAGTGGGGCTGTGAGATTTAAGAGCCCCCTTAAATTGGGCTATCGACCTGCTGGAGGTACGTCAGTGTCTTCGCGGTCAAGAATTGGGTTGGAAGTGGGCATTCGCAGGAGGAAACACGGCGCGTTGCAGGCGAACAGAGTACACAACACCTCACCACTGCCATATCTTCAGAAACGCCTCGCCGGTAGTCAACCAAAAGCAGCCGCAGCCCAATACAGCTGGCATCACACAGCAGATCCAGAACTCAATGTCCCCGAGAGCTCGAGGAATCTTTTACATTGCATTTTCGGCTGTGAAATAACTATATATAACGTTAAGTTAAGTTACTCAGACAAATTATTCGGATACTATGGACCAGTTCAAAACGCGCTACGAATCGAAGGACTTGTATTCTAACACGTTGTCATGGGTCTGAAGGCAAGAGATTAGGACGCATGACAGTCCATGCCGCCGATGGGTCCAAACTACCATTATACCTGGGTTGTTTCGTTTCTAGCATGTCTCATACAAACAGATATGTAGCAAAGCATCGGCGAGCAGACATGGATGAGACCGATGCCCATCACCAAGGCCATTGCGTCTATCACAACGAGTATCACATCACACAAGTCTCGAGCATCGAGAAACGGACGCCGGGGTATACAAACGGCTCTAACCAGACCAACTGGTACCACCCCGGCCTCAACCGGAATATGCCTAGCGATCACCTCTGGCATAGAAACCGCCCAAATCCAACCTCACCAACAGCTGCTCCAACCCCGTCGCCTCCGCCCTCCCCAGCCCACCAGAAGCAGCCATCTTCTCGCTGAGCCCCCTACACACGGTAACAAACACCTGCACCTTCCTCTTAAACAGCCGATACAACTCCTCCGCACTCTTCTTCTCCTCCTCGCCCGACGCACTCACGCCGTTACCGCCCTTATTCCCAGCAGCGGTTCTCAACCCCTTGGCAAACACCAACACAACCCCAAACACCTCCTCCAACAGTCCCATAACCGGCGCCTGCCGCCTCCGCAGCAGCAGCCCCCCCAGGATCTCGTCGAGCACCCGCTCCTGCCTGTCGCGGAGCACGCCCGGACTGCAGGCCTGTTCCTTTCTCCTTGTTCTTCCCCGGGACTCTAAATCATCGGTGGTGGTGGTGGTGGTGATAGATTCAGCCTGCACGCCATCGAGCCAGGCCTCAAACGCCCTCCACGGCGCGGTGATGGTGACGTCAAAAAAGTGCGACGCTACTTGGCGGATGAAATGCCGTGCTTCGATGCGCAGGCGGAGGGAGGCGTTGCTTTCGGAATCAGGTGATGATAATGATGATGTGATGGTGGTGGAGGAGGAGGAGGCGGCGGAGTCAAACAGCTCGTTTGCGACGTACAGCATGCGCAAGACGCGCAGCAACAGTCTAAACACGCGGTCGTATCTGACCAGCACGGCGGGGGACATGATGGGCCGGAGGGCGACAGGGGGTTTGTAGGATAACCTCAGGAAGTCGAGGGCCTCGAGGGAGTCCGGGTCCATGCAGCGGTCGATTTCCTCGGGGGAGAGGTCGCGGACTGCGAAGCTGAGGTCACCTGGTAGGTTGGTGGTGCCGAGATGCGGTGTGGAGGTGGATGTTTTCGGGAGGGGGGTTTCGTAACATTCCGATAGGATGCCCATGAGGGCCAGTCGCAACTCGGAGCTGGCTGGCGGCCAGGTTCGACGGCCGCCTAGGCGGAGGCCGATCGTGGCCCCGCCGAGAGCTACGCCGGCGCGGCGTTCCGCAGTGGAGAGGTTTGGGTCGAAGAGGGCGTGGGTGAGGCGGCTGCAGAGCAGGCCGTTTCCGAGGAGAAAGTATTGCCTCAGAAGGTCGATGTGGGCGCGGAGGTGGTGGGCGCTGAAGAGCAGCTTCATGCATTCTTGATTGATCAGGCTGGACTGGGCCTGGATGACTGGACCAAAAGACAGCAAGGGCAGCAAAGTCCAGTGAGGGGTGAGGTTGCAGGATTCGATGGGTGTGTCTGCTTCGCGGTAAAGCTGGTCGTGGAGAAGCGTTGTAAGTCCGTCCTGTGGCCCATGGATTTCCAGAGGTCGGTCGAGCTGGCGGATAGAAGCAAGAATGTCTGCTTCCACTTGTGCAGCATCCTTTCCGAAGTAATCCAACTCGATAGCTTCGAACTTCCGCTTGTTAGCACCGAGAGATGCGCGCTCTCTTTGCGATTCCGGAAGACGCCCCTGGATGGCTCGGGATACTGCGTCCCGGTACTGGTTCACTCTCGCCTCGAGCTTCGATATGGCGTCCCAGTCAAACTGCCACTCGAGCCTCGGCGGCATCGCCAACGAGAGCACGTCTGGCCTAGAAAGCGGGTGCTCCGGGTGGTGTTCGCGAAGGAATCGGACGTTGCGGCCAGTCTCAAACATGGTCTGGGCCAAGTCTTCGGAAACAAAGGCCGGCAACTTAGAGTCATTCAAGAAGTAGTCGGCTTCCTCCAGCTCGAAGCCTTGATCATCGATCCACATCTTGTCTGCAATCTTGACAAAGCCTTTCCCGGACGCTGTTTTGGTCGCGGCGGTGCCCCCTTCGGCCTTTAGACCGACCCATTCCTCGACGAATTCGGTCCACGGTATGGACAAGATGCGCAACACTTCACGTGTAGCCTCTTTCAGGAGCTGACTCCTGTACTCGGAGGCTTGGGCCTCCTCGAAGAGACAGGACAAGAGCGCCTCGTCCGATTCCTGCCGGGCCAGCTTCTCGAGGAGGCCTTTGAAGTAGGCTAAAACTGCATGTGCCGGCTTGACGACAGACTGCAGCTGAAGAATTGACCTTGCCTGGCGGCCATGATCGCTGAGCTCGGATCCGATGGCTGTCACAAGACGGTCGACTACCCCCGCGAGAGCGACCCTGGTTGGAGTAGAGGCGGCAGAATATGTGGCTTCCGCAAAAGCCTGGAGATGCCTAGCAGCATTTCCGCACTCGATACAGAAGCTGTCGACAGCCTTGATTGTGTCCAGCGAGATGCCCGAGGTGCTCAAATGAGGGGTCGTCTTGACAAACGAGTTCTTTCCGACATCCCAGCCAAAGAGGACAGAGCTCCGTCCCAAGGCGACGTTCAGCAAGGACGTGCAGTAGATGGTGGCGTCCAACACCTCAAGGGATTCATCCGTGGGACTTTGACCGGTCGCCAACAGGGCATCGAAGGCAGCAGGGCCGGCTTCGGATATGAAGAGGTGCGAGCCCTGGGCGTCCTCGGGGTGATCGAAACTCTCCCAGGTTTTGAGCTGCGAGGCCGTGGCGGAATCGCCAGTGGAGAAGAGCCAGAAGTCCTCGTCGTCGTCATCCGAGGGCGAAGGCTCGGATTCGGGTTGAGGGTGCTCAATACTCGGAATACTCGGCGCGTGCAGCTTGACATGTCGATCAGCCAGCTCCAGCAGGAGAGCGGGCGTCTTGAAGAAGATGTTGCTTTCATGGTGAGGCCGGCTAAGCGGCTCGACTGTTCCAATGTCTATGATGCCGTCCGATGCGAGCTGACGTGGCGTGTCTGTGATGTGAACATTGAGAGCGAAGAAAGGGTTTTGCGTTGCGCAGTTCTCGCTGGCGTTGAGTTTCTGGCCGAGCCATGTCGATGGCTCACAGAAATTGGGAATGGAGAAAAGGTCCGGGGGATCCTCCTCGCCAGCCATAGTCACTGATGATGCAGCCTGAAATGGCTCTGATCTATGGGCGCTCCCATCTTCGATCATGTACTTGTACCAGTCGCTTGTAGGTGAAGCGAATGGACAACGATTGGTTAGAACGCGTTTGGAAGTCGCGCAAACGGACGGCTTTTACCCTAACCCTGATTAGTTAACATGCCTGCCGGGAACTTTGAACTACCAAGGTGCCCGCCCAAGCTTCCAGCTTCACGAGCTAGAACCTTTCGCAGGGAGCTGATTTCAAGGTCGCTCCTTTACATGTCTTATTCCGCCCGTCATTCTCCAGGCCCCCTACCATTTCTTACGACAACTTTCAAAACGGGGTTCACGGGATAAAACCCAGGTTTTTGACAAGATTTTGGATGGACTTGGGCCATTATTAGCTTTCTCAACATGCCACCCAAGAAAAAGGGTGGGCGCGCGAGCACCCAGGCGGGAGCGACGCCGTCTTCGTCCCGCGACGACGATGCCATGGACGTTGATACACCCACGCAGACGCCGACAGCCCCTGCGCCGCCCCAGCCACCAAAGATAGTCGCTGATCCGTGGACAGACGATCAAATCGCATCGCTGTTCAAGGGCGTCATCAGGTGGAAGCCTGCGGGTAGGCACCTTGCTCTCGGAGCCTTCCTTCCCCGGTTGACCCTTTCTCCCATCCAGGCATGCACAAGCACTTCAGGATACTAGCGATTAGCGAGCACCTGCGCAACCACGGCTTTGACCCCGACACGTTGCCGCACACGCGGGTGCCGGGCATTTGGGCGAAGCTGGGCGAGTTTTACAACCTCGAGGCTGTCGACGAGCGGGAAAATAACATGGATCCTCCGGATGAGGAGGGCCAGCCGAGGCGGTACCACGACTTTAGCCTGCCCTGGGACGAATACGGCGACATCATCCTGCAGAGGGCGCGCGCCGACCCGAGCGAGGCGCCGACCAGCCCTGCTCAATGGGACCCGAACGGCCCGACCGGCGAGTCCAAGAAGCGGAAGCGAGGCGCTGTTGAGTCGAACTCGCGCACCCGCAGCAGTACTGTCGAAGACACCGAGAATGAGACACCGGCGGCGAGCCCGACGAGGAAGTCGGGCAGGGGAGCGAGGACAGCAAAGCGCACTTCTAGTAGAGCGCGCAAGGTCAAGGAGGAGTCGTCGTCTGAGGAGGAGAGCGCTGAGGAGGAGCACGAGGAGGAGGAAGAGGAGGAGGAGGAGGAGGAGGAAGAGGAAGAGGGGACCGGGACCCCCGCGTCTGCCAAGGGCGGGAGAGGAGGTGCGAGAGGCCGTGGGTCCGCCCGAGGGAGGGGACGAGGGAGAGGCCGAGGCCGCGGACGATGAAGCCAGAGAGGCAGCTCCATCCATCATCATGAATGCTGGCGCTGCTTTGCAGCCGCCGGCCTGTACTTACAAGCTGGCATGGCGTCCTCGGGTTGGCTTACGATAAGGATACCCAAATCACCTGGAAACTAGCATAGAGACGAATCAAGGGCGTGTCCCTTGTTTCTCGTTCCTCACATGCCCTCGTTCACGATGTGTTGTCGGTCTGAGCCGCAATGTTGTTGCTGCTTCTATCCATGCCCCGCCACAAGTGACCCCGCAATCGCGCTGATATCAATGACACGCGCGTCTTAGAGAATGGGTCAATCTTTCCCCTGACACCGCGTTGTTGACATATCTGTGAAACCACAACACCCACCATGTCCCGCCCTGGTCCCTCAGCGTCGAGGGCTCTTACGCTCACCGAGGAACTCGAGAAACTCGAGCAATCTATTACACTTACTCTGCAAGGTTAGGGCGAGCACTTGCGTGGTCCTATTCGCCCTCGACTACTGACCACTCGCAGAGATCGACCACAACTTCAGTAAGGCGCATCGGATTGTCACGACGAATATCCTGCCCCTCGTTGAGCAGTATGGCGAGCATTCGCGCTCGGTATGGGGGGCGACCAAGGTTCGGCTCTCCTGTTTTAGCTGGATACCACCACACCGGACTAACCTCACCTCTTCAGTTCTGGAAGCAGTTTTTCGAGGCTTCTGCCAATGTTTCGTTATCGGGATACGAAGAACTGGCTGGGAGCGAGGAAAATACCGTCATAACCGCCGAAGAGGGTACAGTCCACAACGAGACGACAGCCGATTACACCCCACGACCACGAAGCGCCGGCGACCACGATGCCACCCTCACCACAGACCTGTCGTCATCCATGTATCACGAGCACGAAACCCACCAAGATTCGTCCGCTCTCAATGACGACGACGGCGATCTCACAGGCAGCACACCCCGCCCGCCCGCAACGAAGACGCTCTCCCTCCGCCCGCAATTCGCCGACCTCTCCTCGCCATACGAAGCCCTCAAGCGCGAGTACGACGCCGAGCACGGCGCCTGCAGCGGCACATCGGACACAGCCGCAGCAGCAGCAGCAGCCGAAGAGGAAGAGGAGGATACGGAGCTCCTTTTCCAGCAACACACTGCCCGCCTGCCCGACATGTCCATGACGCCACGAGGATCACTCAACCACGCCAGCGGCCCGGGGCACCGCCGCGACGACGATGGCGGCAGGAGGGACCTGGACTTTTCCAAGGACAACAACAAAAACGAAGACCCGCTCCTCCACCGCATGCTCAACAGGAACTATCGCATCGCGGCGACCCCGCACAAGACCGCCGCCACCGCGGCGAGCTTTTCGCCCGTCAAGTGGAAGGTGGACAAGCTCACCACGACCCCCGCCGGCGGGAAGGGCAAGGAAAAGCAGCGGCCGATTTGGGAGGACTCGCCGACGTCGAGCCCGGAGATGGCGGTTCCTCAGCTGCGGAGTGCGGCGTTCATGTCGCCTGCCAAGGCGGTCTATAAGGGGAAGCTGACGGCGGCGGTGGCTGCTGCTCGGGGGGCGCCGAGGACTCCCGGTGTGAGCGTGCAGACGCCGGTGACGGGGCGCAAGACGAGGGATGTTTTTGCTGGCGATGGCAAGCAGGGGACGGTGTCGAGGAAATACGACGATGAGATCGCGTGGGAGAGCGACAGCGAAGACTTTGGCGGGATGAGCCCGCCTAAGACGATCCAGTTTGCGTTGCCGCCGTCTAAGCTGCTGCAGACGCCAGGTACGTCCCTCGCCAGTTCTTCTGCGTTTGGGTCGGGCGAGAGAGTTGCTGACTGAGATGGACCACTAGCCCGCGAGGCAAGCAAGCGGATTGTGGACGACATCCTGCTCACGCCGGGCGAGGATCTGGAGGATCCATCCGAGTACTCTCCGACTGTCGTTAAGATGAACCAGGATATTTTGGACGACACATTTTGAGGGCGGCAGATGTGAGGATGTAAACGGTTTAGAGTATGAATTAACCAAAAACGAAGTGATACCCCTGAACAAAGGTACCCGTGTCTATCCAAGATATCCCTTCTATGTGCCCGGTCGTTCCCAACTCGTCGTCATCTCCGCGTACCCAGACCCGCTTCCGCATCCGTTCCACTGTCCGATGCGAACCCGATTCTCGAGCTTCACCCTCCCGGCGCGACCCTCCCCTGTCGGAGCCGCGCCCCCTTAACGAGGCCATGCTCGCCGTTTTAGCACCCGCGCGCTTCGCGCAACCCACCCTCAGTGAGCTGCGCGGCGCAGCATTGGAGCGTCTGCTTCGTTCATGATCCCATCAGGGGATAACCAAGGGACCGTACCAAGCCACTCCCCCACGATACTCCGCGTTGAGGAACTGGGGAGGGGGCTTTTTCAAATCCCAATCCGGATTTGGTTCCTCAAAACAGCCTTCTTGGCCTCCTGCTCCTTGTCTTCCTTTTCCTTGGAAGTCGAAGAGCGGAGCTTGTCCTTGAGCAGGGTGATGCGGCTGGAGAGGGACGAGGCGGAGGCCACTGAGGCGGCGTCCGAGGCCGGCATCGTTGTCTCGGAGGTGTTAAATGTGTGCATCTTGGAGATGGTTTGCGAAGCGTACTGGCGGTCGGTGGGCAGCGGTTGGTTGTGGACTGTTGAGGGTGGTTAGATTTGGATTGTTAGAAAGGGAGACGAGGATGGCGTACGGTTCTGGGACATTTTGAGTTGAGGATTGTGGTTGATTGCGGTGGTGGTGGTGGGGTGAATGGTGAGGTTGGTCCTGATGTCGACGTTGGCAGGGTTGTTAGGGGGGCAGCTTGAACGTTGATCAATGAAGTGATGAGAAGACACTGCAATGTCTGGGGCGACTGTTGACTGCCTTGGTTGTCTGACTGTCTCTGATGCTGACATAGATGAGACATCCTGAGGCACGTCAGGCCGTGGCCTATATACATGTTATCCTCGATTATGTCCCGGGCTATTGCTGCAAGCTGCCTGCCCCGCCTCAAACTCCAGCCTTGGCTAGAAACCAGGCTGGCGTCGCAATCCTGTCCCATGTCGGCGTCAGACAGGCGTCGGCGCATACGTGAGCGTGTGCGTAGACGGCGAGGAGAACCTGGTTGGACGGCGTGAGTCACGGAGACCTTGGAGAAAAGGAGCACTCTTCTTGGCGAGGTACTTGTCGACCATTACGAGGAGCCAAACCACATGCGTTCTAGAACAATGTAACTAAAGTGTGGCTTGCGCAGGGGAAGGTGTGTCAGAGGATGACAGTGTCACGGAACAACGTCAGTTCGAATGAACCGAAAATAGTTACTCCGTAGCAATGCTCACGCTGCGTAGCCAAGCTCAATGTAGCCACATGTGGACAGATCTGACGGACTCTGCAGGGCGTGGTGCTGGTCACTTGTGGCTAGGCAGATCAGAATGCTACAGACCTGAGTGGAAGGGCACAAGAACACTTCCGAATTACAAGAGCCTCATCACAGGTTTGGGAGTTTTTTTTTTTGGGCTTTTGTCATTTCATTTCTGCCTGCTTCATGCTGACAGTTTGCGCTATGCGTAAACCAAGCGGTGGGGAGAATCGATTGACTGAGATGAGGAGAGACGGGCGTCGTCATCAAATCGCTGAGAATGACAGCGATTCTTTGTGAGGGACTGAGGGATTCATCAGCGTCAAGGTGGGGCTCTGCTCTGCGAGGCCACACTGGATGCTGTGTTCTAGATACCTGAGTGCGTGGCCGTGGGTGCCTCAGCGATCAGTCACCAGCAGACATCACCGTCTAAGAGAGGGTCTTAGTCTGAGATGACGCATCAGCTTTGTTGGCTGCACACTGACTTCACGTGCTTTTGGTTCTGTCGAGGGGCGGGGGTTATTGTCCGAAGTTGGCTGCCCGATGACTCATGAATTGTCTGCCAGTTTCGCCAATTTGTAGCAGAGGCTCTCGAAGAATGGGAGGTGCAAAATGACAAGAAAAGCTTTGCCAATACTCACTGTTCCAATTGTTGAAAAGCAACTCGACATTGTGAGAAGAGCTTCGTACTCTGGCTGAGCATTTGACTCGCAACCTTCCCACAACCTGGGTGCTGTCTGTACTGTGTATCTGTGTGAAATGAGTTCAAACACAAGAATCGACTGGAACTGGGTTCTCTGAATTGTTGTGATATGAGAATCAGATCATGCCGTGCATCGTCGGCCCGCCCGGGACCTCTGTATCTAGGATTGCGCTAGTCTGGTTTCTGCCTAGTCTCCGAACGTGGAATTGTGGAAGTGAACCCGTAGACCACCATCTCGCTGCGCGTATCGAGCTATTTCGACATGAGAGCATTCTTCATTTCTGATCACACTGCACAGTAATGCGTGGGAGGTGCAACGACTGTAGTCTGGAGGGCCCGTCGCCGCAGGTCCGAAGAAAACCTCTTCATCCAGAGTCCGGCTCTGTTGCTCCAGGCTCCGGGAAGAACTATGACGGCGAGCTTGCTGAGAGAGCAAATCCGATCAGTTGTCATCGAAAAGATTTCGTCCAGCCAGGCTGGGGCTGAAAAAGCGGCCTACGCCTTGGCTACTCTCTCGCCAATTCCCGATGAAGCAAGCCGTTAGTGTCATAGTTGACAGCCCTTGTAACTACCTGGAAACGGTTGATCAGGGGCTCAGCCCTTGTGAGCTCCATCGCTTCGAGTACAGGTACATTGAGTGTCAAGTCGGTGACATGAGCCTTCCGGACGAAAGGCCATGCAAGAGAGCACCGCTGTTAAGCCAGCGGACAGCTATTGATCGGCCGCCTTTGATGCCGATACCTCGCGTCAGACAAGATTCTCGGGCGTTGTTCTGGGGGTGGTTAGAAGATCCATGCCGCCCAAAGAGCCGCGACAAGGCCTCGAGGAGCTGCGGGACGGAATCCTCAAAATCATGTTCCCTTCAAACTGGTTATGTCGACAAAGGACGGCATACCGGGCCTGCTGTATTTGTGTCGCCCGGTCGTTTCGTTCTGTCTGCTGTGCGGCGCTGTGGACAACAGCACCAAAGCTCTTTGGTTGGCCTGCATGTCTGTATTGTCAGCTACGGCGCCTTGTTCGACCACCACTCATAATGAGGCCATCTGGGCCTTTCGTCCGAGAGCTTCTTCTGAATCGTCAAATTAAGATCCGACATTTCTGGATTGGTAGGCGGAGAGTCGAAACCCCTGAAGAAGCCCTGCCAAGCTTTGACGCCTACCAGTACTCCCTACTTATCAAACCATCCATGGGCAGAGACCAAAGAAGACCTACTTCTAGGTACGCTCGGTTGTCGCCAGGCATGGAATGGTCGCCACCAAGACGATGGCAAGCAGTTAAAGGAGAAACCATGCCCCAGACTGTAGAAAAGAACGCATCACTGCGAAAACAACAACGCAAGCTGTTATTCTTGCTTTGTAGCATCAGAACCTCAGGGACTCGTTTTCGTATTCCTTAGCATTCGATTGGTCAATTCGAAACATGCCCCACCTGCCGCTCGCAGCACTCCCAACTCTCATCAGTCTTAACCCGCCTGTCGGTTAAAAATGCTGGGTCCCTAAGTCGATATTAAGCGAGACTTCAAGAGTACAGATGCTACTAGCGGAGCAGCGATTCACTCTTGCTTCCCATACATTAGAGGGGTACCGGCTCGTATGTCTACCGGTGTGAAGTATATTGTCTGTATTCTCTGCAGCCCCGATGTGCTTTGCGGACCCCAGTATCGCAACTTTGTCCTGGACGTGGTGAAGGCGGTGTCACTCTCTTTGATAGGCCCATCGGTACCGTCCTCATCAAAAGCAGGAACCCCATCTGCAAAGAAGATTTGGCGCCCCACACGAGTCTTAGCACTCGGAGCAGGGGTCAGAGTTTCCCAATCCCTCCGTCCCGCAATTCAAGAACCTCACTTTTTTCCTTCGCGCGGTCCCGGGTTAACTCCACAGCCCGCCGTTCCTACTTCCACCTTTCCCCCCACCCTTCTTGACAGCCCCTGGGTGCGTTGCTGTCTGCGCAGCGCCTTCCACAACCCAGCTTTAAAACCTCGCATCGCCGCGTCCGTCCGCCCGTCCTCTCGCTTCGAAGCTCCGGTGACGGTCTCAGTTCAAGCCCAGTCGCGCAATGGCTGCAAACGCGACAAGCTCGCCATTGGCGACCATCAGATTTGGGGCCGCGAACGTGGCGCCCCAGCTCGAGCATGTCGTCGACTATGTCTCCAACGCGAGCGCCTGGACCATCATTGCGACCGTCCTCGCGGTTCTCGTTGCCTATGATCAGTGTAAGTTGGCTGTGGTTCAGACCCGCAACCCCTGGCAAGATCCGCTGACAGGTTGCGCTCGCAGTCGTGTATCTCTGGAACAAGGGATCGATCGAGGGGCCGGCGTGGAAGATGCCCTTCATTGGGCCATTCCTTCAGTCGGTGAACCCGAAGTTCGAGGAGTACTATGCAAAGTGGGTGAGCGGCCCGCTCAGCTGCGTCTCGGTCTTTCACAAGTAGGCCACCCTCTGGTCCAAACGGAAATGATCCTCTCTGCAGCCCCCTCGGGTCCTGACACACGATTTCGCCCAGGTTCGTCGTCATCGCCTCAACCCGTGATATGGCCCGGAAGGTCTTCAACTCGCCCGCCTATGTCAAGCCCTGCGTCGTCGATGTCGCCCACAAGCTGCTTGGCGCCGACAACTGGGTGTTCCTGGACGGCAAGGCCCACGTCGAGTTCCGCAAGGGTCTGAACGGCCTGTTCACGCGCCGCGCACTCGAAATCTACCTGCCGGGGCAGGAGGAGGTGTACAACCGGTACTTCAAGGAGTTCCTCGAGATCACCAAGCAGGCCGGCGGCAAGCCCGTCCCCTTCATGACGCACTTCCGCGAGGTCATCACGGCCGTGTCCTGCCGCACCTTTGTTGGCCACTACATCTCGGACGATGCCGTCAAGAAGATCGCTGACGACTATTATCTCATCACGGCGGCTCTCGAGCTGGTCAACTTCCCCATCATCATCCCGTACACCAAAACGTGGTACGGCAAGAAAGCGGCTGACATGGTGTTGGCCGAGTTCGCACGGTGCGCGGCGAAGAGCAAGGCCCGCATGGCCGCCGGTGGCGAGCCCAATTGCATTATGGATGCCTGGATTCTCGAGATGATCAAGTCCAAGAAGTGGCGAGAGGCGCAGGAGAAGGGCGAGTCGGTCGAGGGCCTGGAGAAGCCGACGCACATGCTCCGCGACTTCACCGATTATGAGATTTCGCAGACGGTCTTCACCTTCCTCTTCGCTTCGCAGGATGCCACGAGCAGCGCCGCCACGTGGCTCTTCCAGATCATGGCCCAGCGTCCGGATGTGTTGGATCGCGTGCGCGAGGAGAATTTGAAGGTCCGGAACGGCAACATTAACGCCCCCGTCGATATGGACCAGCTCGAGTCCATGACGTATACGCGCGCCGTCGTCCGGGAGTTGCTGCGCTATCGCCCGCCCGTTCTCATGGTTCCCTATGTCGTCAAGAAGCCTTTCCCCATCACCGAGGCCTACACCGCTCCCAAGGGTAAGTGAAGACCAACGAACGGATCGAGTCCAATAAGAGAGACACTCACATGCAACAGGCTCCATGGTTATCCCAACGACATACATGGCCCTGCGTGACCCCGAGGTGTACGAAAACCCGGACGAGTTCAACCCCGAGCGGTACTACACCGGCGACGCCGAGGTCAAGGGCGCAAAGAACTACCTTGTGTTCGGCACTGGCCCGCACTACTGCCTCGGGCAGCAGTACGCGCAGCTCAACCTCGTCCTCATGGTCGGAAAGGCGTCGCTGCTGCTCAACTGGAAGCACCACCCAACGCCCAAGTCGGAGGAAATCAAAGTGTTTGCGACCATCTTCCCCATGGTGAGTTTTCGTCTCTTGAAAGGGAGCGGGAGTTTGGTGGGGGTTCGCTGACTGAAGCAGGATGACTGCCCGTTGACATTCGAGGAGAGGAAGTGGTAGTGGCATATCTAGGATAGGAGGAACGGAATCGTGGGTATTAAATCACTTAATCGGGACGAAAGGGAGGGGGTGGTGATACCACAAGGGTACGCTCGACCTCCCCCTCACATCAAGGATGGATAACGATGTGACTGGTTTGGAGACGTATTGGCCGCGGCCGGCTTGAAGTACGGCTTGCGAAAGGTCCTGACTCGGCCGACGACGACCTATTCAATTGTAATTTTTAGTTTTGTACATAGGGCAACTAGAACCGCACATGTTCTGCAATGACAAGGAGAGAAATGGAAGAGAGAGAAGGAGTGTGGGAGTGCTGAGTGAGGCGAAAAGCCAGTAGTTATACGCTAAGGTCCCGTGGTCCTTCGCGCCTCGCATCCGCATCAAGGGAAGCGAGTGCTGTGCCGTCCATATTATGTTCACCCGGCTTATTTTAAGGTTCGGTTGGTTGGTTCAGTCTGTCAGTTATTGGACGTGGGCAGCTGATCTCGTCGAGGGGCGTCACTAGTTGACTGATCCGACTGGCCACGATGCAATTCGAGACTCGGCGTTTCAGACAAGGACTTGTGACCAGTTGATGTGGTCCGAACTTGGTCTCCGTCGTGTTGCATGACTTCGCGCCAAGTATGTGCGTGGGATATCCAACCTCGACATGGAATCTAAAATGCATGATACAATGTTAACCGCAAACCATCAACTTGCATAAAGTTTTCTTCAAGTTTGTTGGAGTGCCCGAGATGCAAGTTCTCGGTGACGTCGGTGAATGTGTGGGGCAACTACCCGAGCCGATCCCGGCCGCGTCCTCGGATAAGGTATCGGGCTGTCCCGAAGTACTAAGCTCCAACCTCGATACCGGCCCGTCGTTTCATCTTCGCCGCAAATAGCCGGCACCCGCTGTGTATCACGATTCCACCACGTTAACAGCATTCCACCATGGCATCTACACGAGCAACCGTGAACCTGGCCAAGGCTTCTGTGCCGTGCGCCAGGACAGCAACGACTGCGCGGATTCGAGCCAGGGCGCAACTGGCAACGTCGCGACAATGCCACAACCATCCCCAGCGCCAGCCGGTCCGATTCCTCCGGCAGTCCACAGCGTCGCCGTCACCGCTGCTCAACAAAACTGTCGATACATGGGCGACAGCGACGCGGCGGTACTCGACCGATGCACTGAGGAAACCGCATAAGATATGGGACTTTGAATCTGTACACATCCAACCAACTGCCCGCCACGTCTCAACCAAAAACACCCAGCTAACCATCGTAACCTTCTAACTCCAGATCCAAAAGCTGACCTCCACCCCGGACTCCTCGGTAACCATGATCGGTACATACGGGCACTTCCCCTCCAACCCGACCGCCCAAAGCAACGCTCACTAACACCGCATACCTCCCCCTTCCTTTTCACAGACGTCCGCGAGCCGCACGAACTCAAAGAATCAGGCCGAATCCCTGGCGCGCTCAACATCCCGGTGGCATCGGCGCCCGACAGCTTCCACATCACCGACGAGGAATTCGAGGACCGGTTCGGGTACCCACGACCGGCGCGCGACGCCGAGGTGGTCTTTTACTGCCGCGCCGGCGTACGCAGCCGGGCTGCCGCGGGACTGGCGAGCGATGCTGGATGGGAAAAGGTTGGGGAGTACCCTGGCAGCTGGCTGGACTGGTTTGAGAAAGGGGGCAAAGTGGAGAGGTAGGGTTGGTTTGCTTGTGGTGTTGTATTCGTACATCGCCTTGACAAGAAAGCGAGGGAGGGATAGGTGCATAACATGCGCCGGCACTGTGTGTCTTTGCTTACAGCGCTGCAAGAACCGTGTTTGGAACTGTACTTGGAGGAATTCGCTCCCGCAACTCCGAGGTGCCTTTCGTACATATATACTACACACCGCGGTCTGCCCTTGCTATCCATCCGCCCTAAAATAGCCTCCCGGGCGCCGGATCCGTCTTCTCCGGCCCTCCATCATCCTTCAACGCCGGGCTGCCGTGCGCAAAGAACAGCACTTTGATCGCGATCGCCAGGCCAAAGTGCAGCGCCACCACCAGGATCAGCAGCACTTTGCTGGTCTGGCGGTCCGTCGCGCTCAGCACGGGGTACAGGTTACGCAGCAGGAACGCGACCGACAGGCCGAACCCGACCCCAACAAACACCCAGTTCAGAATCGCAATCGGCGACCAGCTAATGAGCGCGACAGGGATCCAGATCAAGTTCCCATACCCGTACAGCGCCCAGCACTCAAGCAAGTTGGCGCTTTCTGACCCAAAGTACCGCAGCGCGAGGTACAGCACCACGGGGATCACAAAGGTATACCCGTACACCAGCCCAGCCGCACCTATACACCCCTTGTTAGCCTTCATCCCCAGTATCTCACCGTACCAGTGGAAAGAAAGAAGGCGCAAACTTACCGCTCAACAATCCAAAATCATACGCAAATGTGCCCCTGCCCTCCCTCGCAAGGTAATCACTAATGGTTCCCCCCAGGAACAAAATCAGCACCACTGTCGTGGCAATCCAAAACGGCCCGTAAAGATCCGGGTTGCCCTCGAGCACGTCCAGGAAGTTCGCCCGCGGGTACAGCGCGGCGCCGCACCGGTGCAGCACCGACGCCGTGTCGACGTCAAAGAACTGCCCGTAGAACGACAGCGTCCACAGGAAGCGCTTGCTCCCCCCTCCAGATTGTGACGACGACATGTTGGCGGTGGCCGGGAGCGGGAGGGACGGAGAGGCAGCGGAGGACTTGTGGCGGGTCGAGTTGGTGCCGAGTGCTGGGGTGCTTTCGGAGAAGTTGGAGGGGTGAAATTCGAGGTCATCTTGGAGGTCTGTGTGGCCTAGGTCGCCCTGTGGGAGTAAGGGTGGGTTAGTTGTTGGGGGCGTGGATGGGGAGCGCGCGGAAACGGACTTCGTCGTCGACGTCTACGACGGCGTCGTAACCTGATCTAGACATTTTTTCTCTGGTCTCGCAGTGACCTATTGGGTCTTGAATATCTCAAGTGTTGACGTAGGCTCGGAGTGTGGTTGTGAGCCGCGTAAGTCGTCGCGAATACCAGTTCCCGTTCTTAAGCTGGAGCTGGAGCTCATGACAACTGTTGCAACTTGCGTGGATCAGTTGCGTGTTCGGCCCCACTTTAAGACAACTTGAAACAGTAACTCGAGCCAAGTGCTAGTCACGTGACCTGATCCGCCGCCAGTCTGTGCCAACTACGGTGTATATGAATAAGGGTATTTCACTCCGAGGGGCTTATAGTCAAGGTATAAAATATCACCGCTAGCCGTGCAAGTCATTCAGATGGTCAGGAGTCTTGAGCTATGGTCATCCGGAATGTACAGCCAGAATGTGCCGTATAACCCCCTGCCAACCCTCGCAGAACCATGCAATGCCGAGAAAACCGTAAGACGCCAGACGACCGTGACCGAGGAGAGTAACCGCTTATTTGAGCTTCTTCTTGGGGCGCAGCTGGTTGGTGTGGCCGCACTTGCGCTTCCTGCAGTTGGTCGCACGAGGCGGGAGGCGGGCCTGCCATGGTTAGCCATCGGATCTGCAGCGCATGCAGAACAAGGCGCCTTACATAGCACTTGCGGCAGATCATCTTGTCGCAATTGAACTTGGAGGCGAGAGCCTTCAGCGAGGGCTCAATGATACCACCGCGGAGGCGGAGCACGAGGTGGAGGGTCGACTCCTGTTCCAATGTCAGCTCTGCCTGATATGGAATCGACCCTTTCCGAGTCGAGCTTTGAGAGCCGCGGGATCGACTGCATCCTCTCCAACTTTGAAATATTTCCCCCTCTTAACACCATTGCACCACACAGCTCCCGTTCCATCTCCGGCGGCCTTCACATCGGAAAACAGTCTCGTGCGCATAACTGACCTTCTGGATGTTGTAATCCGAGAGGGTGCGGCCATCCTCGAGTTGCTTGCCGGCAAAGATCAGGCGCTGCTGGTCGGGGGGGATGCCCTCCTTGTCCTGGATCTTCGACTTGACATTGTCGATGGTGTCCGAGGACTCGACCTCGAGGGTGATGGTCTTACCCGTGAGGGTCTTCACGAAGATCTGCACTGTCCATTGGGATGAAATGTCAGCGTCTCGTCTGCAATGTCAAGGACGTCGGCGATGCCTTACTTTTAACCGATTTCCGTGGGCTTGCTGGTGAGGATGACGGAGAGTTCGCACGAGCCGGAAATTTTGGTGGGGGTAAGAATCGGCGGCAATTGGGCCTAGGGCTCGTGGCCCGAGAATTGAGGCAGGTACAGTGTGTATTGTGGAATACACGGTGCTTACCTCCTACCCGAACCCTGGCTCAAGAGACGGACAAGATGGTCACCACATTCAACCCAATCGTACTAACTCGAACCCCTCCCCCCCCCCCCCTCCCCCCAACCGGCCCCCCGGAGACAGGCGTATTGTACATTCAGTTGGCATCCTTGGGCGTTGTCGCTTCATATAAGGAAAGGGAGTAGACACCGTTCTTATGTCCTTCATTCTCCATCTCCCACTTTCCCCCCCTTCAGTCGACGCTTCTCCCTCTGCTGCCAGGCCATCAGCAGCTGCTCAAGCCTGTAGACTGCTCGGACAAGATCTCGTAGTCTTAACCCTGCAATCTCTGCTGCCACCTCGAATAACCGCTTGGCAGTCCCCTCAAGCTCATCCAGTTCCTTATAGCTCCGGTAATCTGAGCCCAACCGCTTGATGGTCTCCCCCATGGCCTCTGTGTCTGCTCGTGGTTCTACTCTCTTCATGGCACGCTGAACTCTTTTCACTCTTTCTTCAAGTTCCTCCTGTGATACTTCTGGTATCTCAGGAAGTGGCGGGATATCCTGGAGCGGGAAGAGACGTTCCAGCTCGGTTTCGTCTGGTGACATTAGTGACGTTCGCGAGAATGTCTGGTGCTGGACTAACCTGTCGGTTTCTTTTCCAGCTGAGTCTCTTGAAACCAATTCAGCAGCTCATTCATGTCCTCTTTGGTTATGGACCATATCTCCTGCGGGTCCATGTGCTCATATTGCAGTATCCCAGGCTTCTTCTCAGGGTGTTTCTTGAATTCTGATTCCCATACTGTCCAGTCCATCTGAAGGCAGAGAGGATCGCTGGGGTCACGAGGAAGCCGTTCAATGCCGTCGAGGGGGTAGTTGTGTTTCGTGGCTACGACGATGGAAGCCACCAATAGCACCTCGGGGATGTCGAAGATTGAGTATCGTTTGGGGGAATGGCCTCTTGTCGGGAAGGAGAAGCTCATGTCAAGACGGCAGATCTTCTGAGCTACTGGGTGCACCTCGGCTGTGGAATGAGTTAGTCCTAGGATTATATCACATCCTAACGATTGACCTTACGAGGGAGTGCCAAGTCCCTGACGTAAAGAAACAGCAGAGGCGCTGCCGGTATCGCCGGGAAGACCAAGCCATGGTTTTCTTCGTACCCCAGCATCAAATCCATGACCGCCCTGTGCAGCTCGCCGCCCTGGAACCTGGCATATCTGGTCAGCAGAGCGTGATGAGCCCAGCCAGGCAACCGGTCCCGCCACTCTTTTGGTATGTAGTCGATCTGCCTCAACGGTCAGCCGCTATGCCATCAACAACCAGACCAGGGATTCCACTCACCGCCCCCAGAAACGGTATCTGGCCATTCTTCGCCCACCGAAACAGGTCCCCCATCCTCACCGGCTCCTGCCTCAGCACGCACCCCAAATACACCAACCCCAGCGTATCCATCACTCCAGGCAACGCCCAAACCTCCCCTCTCCAGCTATGACTCCTCCTCGCCCACCCCATCTCCTCCCCTTCGTCCTTCCCATTCCCTTCATTCTCTTCGACCTTGGCCTGCGAACTAAACATGACCAACCCCTCCCCATCCCCTCCATCACCTCCCCGTTCCGCCGCTTTCTTCCCTTTTCTGTCCCTAGAGAGCCCATCAAACCCCCTGACCCTCAAGTACCACAAGTCCCGAACCACCGCCTCCAGATCCGGGTGGAGGCCCTTCCGCCTCACGAGCCAGAGCACCTGCTTCCGCAGCAGCAGCTGCAGACACTCGAGGAACAGCTCGCGGGCCTCGTTTCCCGAGAGGTGTTTTCTCTCTCTGTGCCGCGCCTCCTTCTTTTTGCGGGCGATGCGGCCTGTTTTGCCAAAGTTGTCATCCTCGTCGATGTCGAATTGGACGTAGCCCTAGTCTCGGATCAGTAAGGTGATTTTCTCCAATTCTTTTAAACTTGCTTTTGTCAAGGTTGAGGTGTACAGTACGGTGTGCGGTCTGCGCCGGGAGGTGATGAATGGGTGTATGTGATGGATTTGGGTGCTGGGTGAGGAACGGAGGCATCCCGGGCGGTGGAAGGCAGTTTATACGAGTGTGCTTACCTCAACTTGATGACCATTCTCACAGTACCGAAGTCCGTTTTCGTGATACCATCTCCGCGCGGGACATTCGGAGCAAGTCTCTCCGCGAGGGAAGCGGTGCTGGCGACGAGGGGCCATTCCCTGGGCTAGTCCGATCGGTCGAGTGTTAAATGAAAGGTTGAAGGGGCGTTGAGCGGTCAGGCGTCCGAGCTTTGACCGAGATTGAGGGTTTGTTCAAGGCCTCTCCGAATCGCTTGATATTTCCCCGCTCCTTTTGGCGTTTTGTTTTCTAATACGAATTGGTACATTGGCTCATTATTTACCTTTGGGAGTTCATTTCGCAGTCAACTGGGTCCTGCATCGTCACCACACTTCAGAGCGATACTTCCACATGCGCAACTAAGACCTGTCCCGCCAAGTCAGAAATCATATGTGCACAGGCTGATGCCGCTAGGAAGGAAACTCTCGAGACTGTTTGATTGAATCGGACGACGCTCCCGCGGCGCGGCCTGCGAGCCTACGCTCGAGATTCGCAAGAATGGTCCATGCACGGTATAATAGTAAGCGCAAGAAAAGCAGTCGTCACTTCCATGCGTGCTGTAAGCCTGCCGTCCTAGAACCGGTAAAAGTGCCCAGATAGGCCTGCTGGGCAACCAGAGAGAGCAAGGGCCCTGGAACAGCTCAAGAAACCTCAACCGATATATCTCAGCCGGCCAACCAAGACCCAGCGATGACAAGTTCATATTGCTACCGCCGGGCCACGACCGGGCCACTCCAATCACCCGGCTCCCTCCCCTACTCTCCCTCAAGCCAAAGATGCGACCGCTTATTTGTTACCCTCCTTGGCGTCGACAGCAGCCTCCTCACCCATGGCGGTCTGGATGGTAACGACTAGTGAGGCAATGTTAGCTCGCGGGTTTCCGGATGGCTGCTTTAGCAACCCAGACGCTGGTCAGACTTACGGGTTTCCTTCTCCTCCTCCTTGAAGAGCTTCGTAATCTTGGCACCAACTTCGCCATCGGGCAACTTGACATCGTCCTTGGTATCACCATCAGCGGTCATGAGGCTGAGGTAGCCATCATCCGAAATATCAATCTGTTAGTCGAGTCAGCATCCAAAGTTGTATACAAACAACCATTCATGTAGCTTGCTTACCAGCGTGTATTCGCTGCGCTTGACAACGGGAACGTCCATGTTGTGGGTCGAAGGGCAGAGATCCTCGAGCTTCTTGCCAGTGAAGATGTCGAGAGCGACGAGATGGACCTTGGCGTGACCGTGCTTGCCGGTCTTGGAGGTGGACATGTCGACGATCTTGCAAGGGCGGCCCTTGATCACGACGAACCCGTTTTTGCGCAGGGCAGAGCACTGCATGGGATAGGTGGCAGAAGCACCGGCATCGCCAGCGGCCTCGGTCTCGAACTCGTGGTGCTGGGAGCCATCGAATTAGCACCAATACGGGGAATTTGACCTCTGTAAGTGTCAAGCGCTTGTCGCCAACACTAGCCAGAAACCCGATTGCCATTGTGAACACAATTTGCGAGTATGCTGGTGGGCATCGCGGGGCTCGTGCCCAGAGTGCGGGGTGTTGTGTCTGTCGCCCAAGCGAGCGGAACAGCAAGAAAGAATGCAACTCACCTCCTCCGCCATTTTGAAGTAATTCGCAAAGGATACTGGGCCTGTCGGAAGAAGAAGATGAGGCAGCGAAGCCCAAGAAGATGTCGAATGGTCCAAAAGGAGAGTGGAATGTGCAGGGTCGATAACCTGAGAGGGGATGGACGGGAGGAAAATTGTGGTTTTGAATGACCCGAAGCGAAAAAAGGGCAGGTGTTTCCCCGCCAAGGTCAGGTAACTAGCCCCTCCTTAGCAACGCCGGGACGGGGGTTGGCCTGCGCCTGCCTCAAGACCACTAAATTTTTTTCTTATTTTGCGCTCTGGACCCATAAAGGCCATTGCATCTCAGAGTCTCATATCGATTCTTCCCATACTCTCCCAGCGATTTCTGCCTCTGCTTACGAAGAGGTAACGACAGGTACTTAGCCATCGCACACATTGAAGGGTTTTAGCCTGGCATGCGGAAACCCGAGCGTGATGCACATCCAATCAAAACGGCCCCTATTGGTGCGGACAGTGTGGCTTCAGTTCGGACACATGGTTCCGTGCGTCACAGGTTACCTTGCTTTACTCAACATACTCAACTGGCACGTGTGTACTCCGATTCCAGCTAGATATTGCTTCTTGAAAATTCCATAGCTACATACCGCATTCCTCCCTCTAATTTTAAGCTAGCAATAAAAAAGGTTCTTATTATCGCAATTGCGATCGTAAGGTAGGTAAGGTACCTAGGTAGGTAGTGTGAAATGTGCCTCCCAGTCTGTAACTATATGGTACCTGACCTTCTCTCTGAGCTGCGACCCCACACTAACTCCCACAGCCTGGCCGACCGTTGTGGAGCACCGGTATTAGATCAGCCAGTCATCAACCCCCTCTTCTGGGTCCCTAGCCGACAGCCTCGCCTACTTTCAGCTACCCCCAAATGTCAGTAGCTCCGTCTAAGACTCGTTTGAATGAGGTAAGGTAACACGCCAGAGACGGCTTCCCTCAACGCATCATTCACAGCCTAGCTACGCGCAAGAAAGCTAGTGAGCTACGCGCTGCTACGGCGAGCTCGGGAAAGCAGCGATACACGATGTGGCTTGACCGGTTTGCTGGACAGCATCCACCTGGAAGCGCCCCCTTGCCGCCGAACATTCAGAACCGGTCGCACTCGCCGCTTCCTCGCCGGACGTCCAGTGCGCGGGGACCTTATGTCACGTCGCAGCAAAGACCGGGCATTCTGTCAAGGGGCTCCTCCTTGTCCCTAGCCTCGAACGACTCTTCGTCCTCGCTCCTCGGCGCGTCGAAGCGGACCAACGGCTCGGCGTTGAAGCAGTCAACAATCGTCGGCGACGCCCCGGATCCAGAGGCGGTGCTGGCTAGGATTTTGGGTCCCCTCCACGATCCAGCGACATCAGAAGAAGATCAAACGCGGAGGATCACCGAGGATGATTTGGACTTGGACTTTGACTTTGGCGGCCTCTCACTTCATGAGCTCGCCGCTGCGGATGTCGGCCGGGCGGCGGCAGACACCTACAGGCCACAGACCGTAGAAGACTGTAGGTCGTCCCAAGCCCACATGGCCCTCTTTTCGTGTACTTAAAGCTTTGTAATAGACGAGCGAGACAAAGTCAAGTTTGAAGAGCTCCATCAATCCATTCGAGCATGTGACGACATCCTGAGCTCTGTCGAGTCCAATCTCACCAGCTTCCGCAACGACCTGGCCGCCGTGTCCGCCGATATCGAGAGTCTGCAAGCCCGGTCCAGCGCCCTGAATGTCCGGTTAGAGAACAGAAAAGCCGTCGAGAAAGCATTGGGGCCAATCGTGGAGGAGCTGAGCGTATCCCCCGTGGTTGTGTCCAAGATATCAGAGGGTCACATTGACGAGGCATGGGTCAAAATCTTGGCCGAGGTGGATAAAAGGTTGATGGCTCAAAGGAAAAGCTCCCAGCAAACACTAAGCAAAGCGCTAGCTGACGTTGGGCCGTTGCTGGAGAAACTGGTCCTCAAGGTACTTGCTGGCTGGGCACCGATCAAGGCATACTGCTAACCTAGGTTCCCAGGCTGTCGAGCGGATACGCGACTTCCTCGTCGCCCAGATCAAGGCGCTAAGGTCGCCCAACATCAACGCCCAAATCATCCAACAGCAAAATTTTCTCAAGTTTAAGGATCTGTTTGCTTTCCTTCATCGACATCAGCCCGTGCTCGCGGGCGAGATCTGTCAGGCCTACCTAAACACCATGCGCTGGTACTACGTGAACCAGTTCACCCGCTATCAGAAAGCCTTGGAAAAGCTCAAGCTCCATGTCCTGGACAAAAGCGATGTGCTCGGCCACGAAGATACCTCGAGAAAAACAACGGTCCTTTCGGGCTCCAAAATCACCACAGCGCCACACGACGCCTTCAACCTAGGCAGGCGAATAGAAGTCCTCAAGACCACCAACCAGCTCGCCATATCCTCCTACCTCGCCGAAGAAGACCGGTCGAGCCACTACCTCGAAGTCCCCTTCCGCAACTTCAACCTCGCCCTCATTGACAACGCTACGGCCGAATACTCCTTCCTGGCAGCCTTCTTCAGCCCTTCCCTCTCGTTCGCCACTATCTCGCGGCACTTCAACTACATCTTCGAGCCCACCTTCGCCGTGGGCCAGGCGCTCACCAGGCAGCTCGTGGCCGACACGTACGACGGCCTCGGCGTGCTGCTGTGCGTGCGGCTGAACCAGCATCTGGCCTTTGAGCTGCAGCGTCGCCGCGTGCCCGCCGCCGACGGCTACATCAACGGCACCGCCATGGCGCTGTGGCCACGCCTGCAGAGCATCATGGACGCCCACACCGAGTCGGTCCGCGTGCTGGCCGCGGCCCTGCCTGCCCGCGCCCCGTCGGCTGCATCGGCCAAGGCGGCCTCGGCCGCGCCACATGTCGTCACGCAGCGGTTTGGCCAGCTGCTGCATGGGATTCTGGCGCTGAGCGCCGAGGTCGGCGGGGATGATGAGCCGGTTGTGGCTAGTCTGAGGAGGTTGCGGAACGAGGTCGAGACGTTCTTGGCGAAGGCCAGTCAGGCTTCGTTTGGGCCGGATAAGAGGAAGCGTGATCGGTTTCTGTATAACAATTATAGCTTGATTTTGACAATTATCAGCGATGTGAGCGGGAAGCTGGCGTTGGAGGAGCAGGAGCATTTTGAGGCGTTGAAGACTGGGTATCAGGAGGCTGGGTAGCCAAGGCGAGGCCCGGCGTTAGGGGTTGTCTTTCTTTTCCCACTCTGGTGTGAAAGGTAATCAAAAGGGAGGATAACCCGTTGATGGATCAATGAATATCCGCCAGGCTTCTCAGGTGGTTTGCGAATCTTGCCCATCAAATTCCACATACCGGGCCTGAGCCGGATGTCATCGTAATCTAACCAAAGATAACAACGCAGGCAACAGAATTTACCGCCGCCACCTCGCCAACAGCCCCGATACATACCCCAGCCCAGACACCACCGGACCGGGCAACGGGCCCTTCTGCAACAGCACGGCCAACACACCGACCAATACGGCCGCCCCAACCATGCCCGCCGGCCGCCGATGCTTCCAAACCCACTTCCGGGCCTTTACTTTCCTTTCCTCCCACCGCAACTCCTCGACCTGGTTCTCGAACCACACCCGCCCCTGTTCCACGCCAACCTGCGCATCCTGCATCCCCCCACCATCCTTCCGCCGTCTCGCAGTCTTGAGCACGCTCCACCTCGATACCGCCCTCCGCCACGCGGGCAGCGTCTCGGGCGGGAATAGCCCTTCCAACTCCACCGCCGAGGCAATCAGCCCCTCCAGATCCAGCGGGGAGGGCAGTTTGGACAGGATGCTGTGCAACATCTCGGGCTCGTCGCGGGGAGTGTCGAAGAGCTCTCGTCGGCGGGACAGGATGATGGCGGCGAAGAGGTAGACGGTGAAGACGGGGTCGCGCGCGAGGAGCACGTCGAACAAGCGCGTGATCTCGCCCAGGGTGGTGATGTCGTGCGCGTACATGGTCAGCGTGCCGGACAGGGCGAAGAAGGGCTGGGTGAGGGACAAGTGGTGCCACAGGGCCGGGTCGGCGAGGGAGAGGATGGCAGGGATGAGGCGGAGCTGGGCGATGGCTGGGGAGAGGGACGGCAGCATGAAGTCGCGGATGTGAAGGTGTGAGAGGCGGGTTAGCGCCGGGAGGTGGAGGCTCGGGGGCAGGATGAGGAGCAGGACTTGGGCTATGTCGTGGTAGCCTTGGAAGTAGCACAGGTAGGGGTGGTGGCGGAGGAGCGAGACGATGAGGGTGGAGAGGAGATCCTTTTGGTGAGCGAGCTGGGATGGGGTTTGGTTTGGCGGGTAGTAGATGAAGGCGCGGTTGACGTCGAGCTGGACTTGGTCCTCATCCTTGTGGCGCGGGAGGGATTTCCAAGAGGAGGAGACCGCCCCGTCAGATTCGGACTTGTCGTCCGAGCTGGGTGAAAGGCCCAACAGGAGTGGCCCTAGAAAGAGAGAGAGATGGTGAGATTCTGGAGGACCGACAGGGGGGACCTAATACAGGCAGACCACTTACATGCCTGCTGACGGATACTGTCTGTCAAGAAACCTCCCGGTGACTGTGCAATAATCCTCAATGCGTCGAGATCCCTTTGACGGCATGCTTCTAGAATGAAGTCCTTCTTATCGTCTTCTGCATCAGATAGACCGTTCTCATTGGCCGTCTTCTCGTCGTGGCTGGGCTCGATGGAATCGTCCATGATTTCGGTTGACAGCCGAACTGTGTGTTTGCGTCGTATGTGAAATGAACTTGACGTGGGCTTTTCCTGCGTCAAAGCTGGCTCTCTCCTCTGTCCCGCGCTAATGATCCCTTGAAGAGATCTCTCGCTGTTGATGTAACAGTACGACCTAAGGTAGCTGAGGTTGAGGTGTCATGTCTCTGAATCCCCCTTGCCGCGTGTCTGTCTAGATCGGTGACCCACAGCCGAAAACAGATGATCTAGTGATGGTAACTTTGAACGACTCAACCGTGGATCTTAAGACGTGCAAGCGAGATTGTTAGGTGGTCGGACTTCCTGATCTCTGATGCAGATGCAGATGAAGAGACGCCATCATCCATGTGTGTCTCTTGCATGTTACAACGCGTAAGGGACGTTACCTTAGGGTACCTTACCTGTGGGTTTCGGCATGCAGTGGGCCGAGAGTTACGCAACGTACATGTACTGTAATGAGGTCGCGTCATTGCAAAACGAATCAGGAGACAGCGAGCTACGGTTAGAATCTCCGTATGCCGTAAGTGCCTGCATGGTGCAACGCCAAGCCCTCAACCGGTGAGCCGGGCAAATGTGATCCATCACTTTTCCGGGTTGTCTTTGAAGCAGTGCTGAGTGCACTCGACAGTTGTTTCGAGGCTGAGAAACAATGTATTCATTACAGCGAACTCGCGTGAGACAACACGATATTTGTAGAGCAAGGAACACAAAGGCGTTTCGAATTGGCAAACTGAAAAGTACCTCACTTGCCCGGGCCTGAATGAAGATAGCTGCTTGATGTAGAAGTCACAGGTTCCCGATGCGTAAAACAATTGAACGCCAGGGCCCCGCGCCTGACCCCTCTGGGCTGTTCACGGCAGAGTGCGGTATTCTGGCCAACAGATCTGACATAGGTTGACATGACGTTAATATTTCGAAACCACGGGTGACTGGATGCAGGTGCTGTGAAAAGTCGCTGCAGGCAGAGCAAGAAGCACGAGTCGTCGTCAGATCAACGTGAGGCTACAAGAAGCCAATTTGGACACCGTTAACTCACCCACTCTCCGCTTCACGCCGGTCAGGGCTGCATGCAGGCACCGTTCGGGGACTGAGACGCCGGCTTGCAGTGGTCTCAAAGCTGCCTGCTGCCTGCATCCAGACATCGACCACAGGGCTTCCCCCGGCGCGCAGTGTCGACGGCTCCAAGTCGAGTTCCTTTCATCTTTTTCAGGGTTATTTCTTCAGATTCAACCTGATTTTGCCCGTTGAGTCTGATTTTGCCTTAATACTTCATTGCCCCGATCTAAATACTGAACTAACCAACCGCACCCTTCCTTACCCGCAACCATCGACGCAGTGCTCGAGCTCTCGATCCCTACCTTCCGAGCAGCAACCAACCCGGACCCGTGTTAGGACATAACCCCCGTTTCCATGGCCTTTCAGACCAACGTGTTCCGAGACGGAGAGTGGGTGACTGAAACGGTCAACCTGCACTCAGTCCTGAAGTCGCAGAAAGAAGGTCCCAGGGCTTCCGCAAGGAAGGATCCTCAGAAGCCCCCGCGATGCGGCTTGCTCACGAGAACCCTCGTTGAGAGCGCTCTCGCCAACTTCATTCTGCCCGTTAGGCTGCGGTCTCCGGATCACAACGACATCGCTTTCGTAGGGGTGCGTGTGGTGACTCTTTTTGTTCCTTGTCCAGCCCTCTGTGCTAACATTGGCTCAGGACCACTTTGTTCAGATTTGCGAACTCCAAAAAGAAGGTCGGCTTAAAAAAATCATCCGAAAGAATGATTTTGGATACCGCATTCGGAATGCCTGCGTCGTAGGCTCCTTCGCCCTCCCGGAGCTCAACGACGAGGCCGTTGCAGGCCCTTCCGCCTACCCTACGATAAAGCCAGAGGACGACCACGTGGACCCGTTTCGCTTCGAGTCGCCTAGACAGCCAGGCATGAGCATCGAGCTGCCCCCTCAGCTGCTGGTGTTAGTCTTGGAGACCGGGGACAGTGTCTTCCTCTTCGTCCAGCCAGGGCACAATAGCCGACCCAAGTTCGTTGTCTCACGCTTTGGAAACCCCAAACACATGACAGGACATCTTGGCTTCCACCTGGCTGTGAATCCAAGCTCCCGCTACTTGGCCATGGGGGGCCCTACAGACCACTTCGTCGTCCATGAGCTCGAGCCTCATCACCTCCTAAACGAGAGATACCTCCGTAATGAGCCCCTACGACCCATAAAATCCTTCCGTCTTCGCACCGTACGGGGGGTGATACACAAGATGACCTTCTTGCACCCGCGGCCGGGAGATGACCAACACATTATCCTCCTGCTTGTCATCGTCCGACATGGCAAATCGAGAACCGTCATCTATGAGTGGGAGTTGGGGGATGACCTGAAAGCCGTCTTTTACGAGGAGAAACAGGGCCATCGAATGCCTGTTGAGCATCAGATGCCGCTGTTGCTGATTCCGCTGACGGTTCAATCTGCCTTCATATCCATTTCTCCCGGTCATATCGCTATCTGTACTGAGTGCCTTCATGGCCCGCCCAGGTTCGAGAACAGAGAGATGGCAACGCCTGCCCCCACCATCATTCACCGGAGACACCATCAGCCGCTGTGGACAGCGTGGGCTAGACCTCCACGACTCCAGTCCTACAACAAGAATCACGACTGTCTTTATCTCGCGCGGGAGGATGGCGTGGTCCTCTTCATAGACGCGGACCAGGACGGCGAACTAGCCAGCATCCATATCATTGACCCGTTCCCTTGCAACATCTCCGCTGCTTTTGCCTGCCTCCCTGATTCCACTACCGATGTCCTTGTTATCGGCAGCGACTCCGGCCCCGGAGGATACTGGAAGGTTCGGAATGCCCAACCCCCCTGCCGATATCTCGCGCTAACAGCATCATAGATCCCTCCTAGACAAGCTGCTGTACTCCTTGGGACATTGCCAAACTGGGCACCAGTTGTCGATCTGACAACCACCGACGTGGGTTCCGGGTCGCCCGAGGAAGCTCACAATGACACGGCCTTAATTCCGTGGCAGCAGGCCAAACCTCGGAAGCCGGACCGCATCTTTGCCACCTGCGAGGGCGGGAACAAGGGCTCCATCACAGAACTCAGATACGGGCTGAAAGCGAATATCGGTCTAGACCTCGAATATGGGGCAGGTATGAGACAGGCCTGGTTTCTGCGCTTCTACGACCCGAGCTCGTTCGACGGGTACCTGCTGCTGCTTGCAATGCCCGACTCCACTGCAGCCCTCCTATTACCGAGCGACTTCTCCAGCGCTACAGCAGTAGCGGCCGGAATGATACCGTATGACCTGTCATCGACCACGCTGTCCTTGGTGGTTTCCGGGCCCCTAACCACACAGACTACACGTCACAACATAGTACTGGTGAATCAACATCGGAGGTATGCACGGCCAACCGCCGAGCTGAATCAAACTGCTGACCTGGATGCAGCGTCTTGCTTCCATGGCATTCTCTGCCGGGGCTTTCGGAAGCTTTCGTGTCGGACGCTTGCGTCTACGATGACTGCGTTGCGGTCTCAGCACATACAGACGCGCAATTTCAAATCCATGTGTTCAAAATTGATCCGGATTGCCTCACGCTGGCGCACTTCCATACACTGAACATCGATGGGGAGGTGACTTGCCTGTCCCTCGGCGCCCAGTACACCATCCTTGCTGGCATCCGGAAAGGGACCCAAACCCTCCTGGCATACGCTTCATTAAAGCAGCCCGTGGCCGGTATTGAATTAGTCCATCTGACCCATTGTAAGCCTCCCTCAGTTGAGCTTTTGACCCTATAACTCTTCCGCTACCGAAACCATGCCCGCTCTAACATTGCCTAGACCTGCCAGCCAAAGTCGGGATTTCCGGCCCTCAGACTCCCTCTTTGTTGGAAGGTATCGAGAGCATCGTGTCCGCCCGGGATACCATCATCCTCGGTACCCGAAGCGGAGAAGTAGTAACGGTGGAAAACATCTCCGGCCTTGGCTCTGTCAACTGCATAAAGTTCGGCACGTCGGCGGCGATTGTCAGCTGTGGGTATCGGGCTGGTGCAACAGAACCTACAATTCTCGTCTGTTGCGACAACGACCTTGTGTCTTTCCCTCTCGTTAAACATGGGAGTCACAGTGGTGATGGCGTCTCGCTGAAAACGAAACTTCGGGTTTGGCCCGTGGATGCTAGCAAACCGGAGGCCGTTCCGCCGCCTATACACATGGCCAAAGTCGTGGATATGCCGTCCGACGATGGCATTGCGCCAATCCTGATGATATCCGGCTCAAGGCTCTTGCTCGCCGACATGTATGAGGAGCCGGGACCGGTGCACCGAAGCATTCCCGTCGAGGGCGCCCCCAACAGGGTGATATACTGCCAGTTTACGCAGTGCCTTGTAGTGGCCGTGAACCGGTATGATGGGCCGAATCTGGTTTTGATCAACCCTGACACCGGGGAAGACGTTGGCAAACCGACCGACAAGAATAAGGTGCCCCAACCCTGCATCGCAGGCTTGGGAAAGGAAGGAGACCGGATCTTTGGTCTAGCAGAGTGGAACTACAAGAGGGATGGCAACGTTTGGAACTTCATACTCGTCACCACCAAGAGCGGCCGCCTCATCGTCGTCACCACCGAGAAACTAGCCTCTCGCGACGGCGGCCAAACAACATTCCGCTACTGGACGCGGTTTCGAAAGGAGGTCGCCGACCCGATCTACTCGGTCATCGGCTACGACGAGGGCCTGATCTACTGCGCCGGTCAGACAATCCACTGGGAGGTGCTCGACACGCAAGAGAAGCGCCTCAAGCCGCTCAAGTCGTTCGCCCTCGGCTCCCCCGCCACGAGCCTGCGCATCTCCAACGACAAGCTCGTGGCCCTGACACACAGCGAGTCGCTCGTCGTGCTCGACAACCTCGACACGGACGAGGCAAACACCCGCCTCTGTCACGTCGACCCCTGGCGCCGCAACGGCTTTGACTCGATCGAGATCGCCCTCCCGGACCTGACGCCCAAGTTAAGATCCGGCATCAACCTCGTCGCCGATAGGGAATGCGGCGTGGCAGGGCTCTGGATCCCCTGGGACACGCCCGACAGGGAGTGCGAGGTGGTGTTTGAGGCGGAGCTATCCTCGTCGATCCGCAGGTTCCGCCGCGCCAGGACGCGCCCCGTCTGGGAGCAGCAGCATCATCGCCCGCCTAGGTATGGCCGGCTGCCTGCCACAGCGGACGACGCCGAGATACTGGGCGTGTCGCTGAATGGCGCCTTGTATGGGTTTACGCTGCTCTCCGTCGAGGCCTGGCGGCTGTTAAGGTTCTTGCAGAATCTGGCAGGACAGAGTGCCGAGCTGTGCCCGTTTGCCACGAGCTTGTCGCGGCAGAGGGCCCAGCTGCACGGTCAACCAAGTCAGCAGCAGCAGCAGCAGCTGGGCGAAGATGGGGATCCGGAACCGAAGTTGGCGTATGGGCTAGAGATGCAGGTGGATGGGGATGTGCTGAGGCGGTGTCTGGAGAGGAGGGCGCTGGAGAGGTTGGTGTGGAAGCAGGGGCATGTGAAGAGGCTTATGGAGTTTCTGGCGGACCTCGATGGGGGGCTACATACGGCTGGCCTGGCGGAGGGGGATCATAAGGGGTATTTCCAACTGGCTTATCAGGTGCTAGAGTATTATTTGTCGCCGGCGCTGTGATGAGGATGACGGAAAGGCCGTAGAGAAATGAAGGGGGATGCCGTTGTGACACTTATAGGGGGACGTTGTGAATGGTAATCGAGCTTTATGGTAATTCACCGCTTTGAGGCTCGATGGACACAAAATAAAATTCGGGCCTGTGCGCACAAAACCCCGCCGAGCAGCGTCTGGTCCTGGCGGGGCGTCATTCGTCTCGTCTCCACCTCCTAGCCCTGTCCATAAGGTACTGTGTATTCCCCCCCTTACACAGCAAAGACAGCCTTTAACAGCCTGCACCAAGCACTTGGCGGAGATCTTCTCCAGAGTATGTCTCGTTTCTGCTGGCTCGGGTGGCATCCCAAACTCGAGAAATACTTAATCTCGCGGCGTTTGTCTTGAAAATCAAGCTGTGCAAAGGAAAACAGATCGAAAGAAGACTAACGGTCGATAAAGGTATGGTATAACGTTAACCTGGGACTTGCTCTTCTGGCATCCGCCGATAAGGTCGGATATCGCCGCCCAGACTTGTCCCGCCTGCCCACAGAGACCCGCAATCCTCCTTCTGGTCCCAAGACAGGACCACGCTGACCTCCGCTAGGAACCCCTACCGTACAGCTTTTTTTGCTGCATAGAGGTTCTGTTTGCCACGACCACAATTCGGCTACTTTCTGCCGATAGAATTTCGCAGTTCTTAACAGACTCGTTGGGCCAGCACTCCTTTGACACGACTTGACTGCGTGACAACGAGCCCGACCATCTGCATCCACACAAAGAACACCACAGGAACAAGAAAGAACAGCGACTCAAAATGGCGCCCAAGAAGAAGGGAGGCAAGAAGGGCGGAAACGACGACTGGGAGGCCGAGCTTGGCGAGAGCATCGCCCCGGCCAACGCCGCCGCTTCTCCCACCGCTGATGCACCTGCCGACGACGACGAGGACTCAGTGGGCGGCGGCGGTCTCATGAACCGGATGCGCAAGCTCAAGGAGAAGCGCAAGAAGAAGGGCCTCAGCGAGGACTGGCTCGATGGGGAGGACGCTGCTCAAGGTGGTGACGCACAGCCTTCGGACGCGGCGCCCGCACTACCGGATCTCTCGGCCAAGCAGGCCGAGGAGGCGAATCTCGACGACGAGTTTGCGCTGCCGGATAAGAAGGGCAAGGGCGGCAAGGGCAAGCAGCAGCAACAAAAGCCTGCCCCCGCTGCTGCTGCTCCCGCCACCGCGAAGGATGAGGATCATGACGCCGAGACCGGGAGGGTGTTGACCAAGGCCGAGAAGGAGAAGTTGAAGAAGGAGAGGGAGAAGCAGCGGAAGAAGGAGCAGGTATGATAACCGCTATCTTCCAGTGACACCATCACCAAAACTAACACCTGCTTGACAGGCCGCTAAGAAGAAGGCCACCGCCCCAGCCAAGGCGGAGCCCGCGAAGCCCGCCGCCGCCGCGGCCGCCGAGGAAAAGAAGGCCGAGACACCAGTCGCCGCACCTGCCGCTGCCGATGCCGGTGGCAAGAAGAAGAAGCTTCCCGCGCACCTGCTGGCTCTCCAGAAGCAACAAGAGGAGTTGCGGCGGCGGCAAGAGGAGGAAGCGCGCTTGCGCGAGGAGGAGAGGAAAAGGATAGAGGAAGAGGAGCGCAGGGAAGCCGAGGAGCAGAAGCGCAGGGAGGAGGAAAAGGCGCGCAAGAAGCAGAAGGAGAAGGAGCGCATCGAGCAACTCAAGCGCGAGGGCAAATACCTCACCAAGGCCCAGAAGGAGGAGAAGGCCCGCAACGAGCGGAAGTTGCAGCAGATGATTGCTGCAGGCATCAAGGTTGGCGCTCTAGTCGAGGGTGAGGCTGAGGAGAAGGAGAAGAAAGAGAAGGAGAAGAGGAAGGCGGATGCTAGGAAACGGGGTGGCCGGTCAAAGGTATGTGCTTTGCTCAAGTTCATTATGTCCTTTGAGTGTCGGATGACTAATCCATCTTTTAGATCGACGAAGAGAAGGCTCTGGCGGAGGCTGCCGAGCGGGCGAGGTTGCAGGCTGAGGCTGCCCTCAAGGAGGCAGAGGAGAAGGCTCGCCTTGAGCGGGAAAAGGCCGAGGCCGAGGCTGCTGCGAAGGCCCAGGCCGCCAAGGCCGCCGCCGCCGAGGATAGCGTAGATGAGGACTGGGAGGCTGCCGCCGAATCGGAGAAGGAAGACGTTAAAGATAGCTGGGATGCTGAGACCGAGGACGAAGCGGAAAAGAAAGAGGAGGCGGGGAAGAGCAGTGAAGCCAACGGTAAGGCGCAGGCTTTGCCTTCGCGGCCGAAAGCCAAAGAGGAGGAAGAGGAGTCGGAGGAGGATGATTCCGAGGAAGAGTCGGAGGACGACGAGAAGACGACCCAAGCCAAGCTTGCCGAAGCCCAGAGGAAGAGGGAGGCTGCCGAGCGCCGCGAGAAGGCTCACCAGGCTGCTCTTGCTGCTCGGTCAAAGGACAATTTGCGCTCGCCGATTTGCTGTATTCTCGGGCACGTCGATACCGGCAAGACCAAGCTGCTCGACAAGATCCGGCAGACCAACGTCCAGGAAGGCGAAGCCGGTGGTATCACTCAGCAGATTGGTGCCACATACTTCCCAGTCGATGCCATACGGCAAAAGACTGCTGTGGTCAATCGCGACGGCAAGTTTGAGTTCAAGGTACCCGGTCTCCTCATCATCGATACCCCCGGTCACGAGTCCTTCTCCAACCTGCGATCTCGCGGTTCCTCGCTCTGTAACATCGCCATCCTGGTCGTCGATATCATGCACGGTCTTGAACCGCAGACTCTCGAGTCCATGAAGCTGCTGCGTGAGCGCAAGACGCCCTTCATTGTTGCGCTCAACAAGATCGATCGTCTGTACGGCTGGAAGAAGATCGACAACAACGGCTTCCAGGAGTCGTTGGCGCTGCAGAACAAGGCCGTGCAGAATGAGTTCAAGAACCGCCTCGAGCAGACCAAGCTTGCCTTTGCCGAGCAGGGTTTCAACTCGGAGCTGTTCTACGAGAACAAGTCGATGGCGCGATACGTCTCGCTGGTGCCCACTTCGGCCCACACAGGCGAGGGTATTCCCGACATGCTCAAGCTGATCGTCCAGCTCACCCAGGAGAGGATGGTGGGCTCGCTGATGTACCTGTCGGAGGTCCAGGCTACCGTCCTCGAAGTCAAGGCCATCGAAGGGTTCGGCATGACCATCGATGTCATCCTGTCCAACGGTATTCTCCGCGAAGGCGACCGCATCGTCCTTTGTGGTACAGAAGGTGTCATCAAGACAAACATCAGGGCGCTGCTCACGCCTGCTCCGCTCAAGGAACTCCGTGTCAAGTCGCAATACGTGCACAACAAGGAGGTCAAGGCCGCGATGGGTGTCAAGATCAGCGCGCCCGGGCTCGAGGGAGCCATCGCTGGCTCGCGGCTGCTCGTCGTCGGCCCTGATGACGATGAGTCGGATCTTGAGGACGAGGTCGAGTCGGATCTTGCCACTCTGTTCAGCCGAGTCGAAAAGTCGGGTCGCGGTGTCAGCGTGCAGGCGTCGACGCTCGGTTCGCTTGAAGCCCTGCTCGACTTCCTCAAGGATTGCAAGATCCCCGTCGCCAATGTCGGCATCGGCCCCGTGTACAAGCGCGACGTCATGCAGTGCGGCATCATGCTGGAGAAAGCGCCCGACTACGCTGTCATGCTTTGTTTTGATGTCAAGGTCGACAAGGAGGCGCAGGCGTATGCCGAAGAGCAGGGCATCAAGATCTTCACTGCCGACATCATCTACCATCTTTTTGACGCCTTCACCAAACACATCCAAGAGCAGAACGAGAAGAAGAAGGAGGAGTCCAAGATGCTGGCCGTCTTCCCATGTGTGCTCAGCCCCGTGGCCGTGTTCAACAAGACCAGCCCCATCGTGGTCGGTGTAGATGTCGTGGAGGGCTCGCTCCGGCTCAACACGCCCATCGCGGCCATTAAGACCGACCCCACGACGGGCGCCAAGCAGATTGTCGCACTCGGTAGAGTGTACGTTCCCCTCCGTTTACCGAGCTCTTTGTTTCCACCACGATTACTAACTATTTGACATTAAAAACAGAACGTCTATCGAGCGAGACCACAAGCAGATTCAGGTGTGTAAGAAGGGCCAGCCGTCGGTGGCTGTGAAGATCGAGATGGGTGGGCACCAGCCCACGTACGGGCGCCATCTCGAGGAAAAGGACATGCTCTTCTCGCAGATCTCGCGCGCCAGCATCGACACGCTCAAGCAGTTCTACCGGAGCGATGTCACGAACGACGAATGGCAGCTCATTATCAAGCTGAAGCCTATGTTTGACATTGCGTAGGTTGACGTGGTTGGGGTATCGCATTGCCGGGACAAGAACGGATGGGGTTGTGCAGTGGGTGTTGAATGTAGATTGAGGAGGGATGGGCAAATCGGGCATGGGGAATAAAAGAGTAGCACAAAAGTCGGGGTATGGTCCATTGATGAACGGTTGACGATGAGGCTTGTGGGTGCATTTAACTCTTAAACGTTGTACTACTTTGAGCTAGTTCATGCACACTTTTATGGTTGCCTTTGCTGGACTTGTCTGGATGACTCGTGATCGTGTCTGCGCTGATGAACCACCTATCCACAGCATCCGTGTTGAAAATGATCTTACCCTACGTATGTACTGTACATACACATTGGTACTCGGTATAGAAATCCAACGCTGCTCTCCTCGTACATTCCCTCCTTTGTTCTGCTTCCGGCATGACAGCTCATTCGTGTGAACAGGGAACGGGGCCACGACCTCACCGGGTGGGCAAATCAGCATTGCTTGTTCTGGGATGGTCTCGAGGAAAGCTGTAAGGCACCATCAGGTTGCGAACTTTGCTTTCTACTGTTTCTATGCTGGATCATCAGATCACCAGCGTCAATCTACGGGCAACTTACGCGCATCTGGTTGAGGTGATCAGCCTGAGTCCATGATCACCTAGACCAACAACATGACCACAACCTTCTGTGAGCCCTCATAGAGAGGAAGAAGCCGTTTCTTCGGAGGCTCCTATAACCTCCTTGCCACTCTCAGATTTCTGTCCAAAAATCCAGAAGTGTCACCTCTCCAACCGAGTTCCGCTTGACAGAAGGGAACTTGTCTCCGGGATACCCCAATACCTTGCCTCCACCTCCATCTCGTGGTCCGGCAGCCCTCAGAACGGCCGCTGCCACAGAGTGAACAGAAAAAAAGGCAGAGCCTTGGCGCAAACCAATTGACAGCTAAGGTCAATGGGCGGCTTGCCTCATGGCTCTCTCCAGCGCGGTGGTAGCTCGTTAAAGAAACAGACAAGGGCCGTGTGCTCTCCGCCACAAAAGGCCAGACGCTCTGGTTGTTTTCACTCGCTATGCCTCGGTCAACCATACACCACCTCGGGAGCCGGCTGATAAACCGAGTCCCAGTATTCGATGGCAGTTCCGACCATATCGTAAAGCTCCCCAGTGATCAGATGGCCTGCTCTCATCATCCACCCGTCGTCGTCCTCCTCCTCCTGCTGCTGCTGCTACTTCTCCTGCTTCTTCTCCGGGGGCCGGCCAAAGTCGTACTCGTCGTAGCACCGCACGAGATATACGCAGCCCACGTCCAACGGACCCTGTCCTATCCACTGCATGACGCTGCTGAGCGAGTCCTCGTCCACCTGCACAAAATAAAGATAGCGCCAGCTCAAGATCGCAGCATCCGGGTTCCTCCGCGGGTTCCCAGCCCGCACGGCCGTCGTGCGCCACTCGCAGAAGCGCCGGCGGAGCTGCTCCCGCGACGCGCCGTCCAGCGTGGCCTGATCCGACATGAAGGTCTAGTCCAACGGGCGCACGACGGCCGCGGGCACCTCCTCCTCGCCGGGCCTGGATGGTTGTGACTCACACGTCCACTCCTGGACGCAAGCCTTGAAGCCCTCCCAGGCGATGTCGTCTTTGTACGTGGTGCGCTAGATGACCCAGCCCCATTTGTTTTCGTTGAGGTCCTGCAGGTCCTACTGGATCCGTTCAAGATACTGGGACACGGAGCGAGAGCGAGGGCATGAGGCAGGCCGGTGCCGATCTGTGCAAGGTGGCTGGCTGTCTGATGAGATGGGGTGCGGGCTGGAAGTAGCGTTGTCGGACAAGCGTGTGCCAAAGGGCGGGGGTGGGAGTCCAGCAGAAGGTGGGCGGCATTGTGTCAGGGATGCGCTGGTGTTTGTCGCGAGTTGATATCCGGTTTCCCATAAAAGCATAAGTGCCAGTTTATGTATTGTACGTCACCGGGCTGAGCAGGGGTTTCTGCCGAGAGAGTGAGCATAGATTTCTTGTGTAAATAATCCGTACTGGAGTAAGGAATGCGCTTATCGGAGCGTGTCGATCCCTTGACCATTTTCGACCACCCCTATAATCGGATGATCCTGAACGACATGGTTGCAGTTACCTGTTGGTCTCCCTTCACTTCAGATTATACCATACTATACTATACCAGCAGCTAGATTCCAGGCCGCTCTTTGAGATGTGGTGTGTCCAGACCAACAACCGTCCATTTACCTCTACACGCACCTTGTAAAAGCCGAAACTCCACCATCATCATATTGCCTCTACGCATGCAATCTTCCTTTGGAAACCCTCTACATCAGTCATTCTACTCTCCTAACAACGAGATTCCATAACAGCGACAAATCATCGACGCCCAACACATGCTTTCGCTTCATATTCCTATGAGAAGAGCCCATCTATCAGAAGACCACCACATGCAGGGCTTTTTAGCGCCCTCACATTCACATCCCGAAAGGGGACAAAAAAAGAAATCCCAAAGAAGCCATAAGAACCATGCATAGGTGGGTCCTTTACGGGTCACCGGCCTCCTCGACCTCAGGCTTGGGCGGGGCATCCGCATCCTTCATTTCCTCGTCCTTGGCCTCGCCGCCGTTGGCGCCGCCTTCTTGTTGCGGCTTCTCGCCCTCGGCAGCCTTGCGCGCCTCGGCCTCGGCCGCCGCCTTCTTGGCCCGCTCCTCTTCCAGTCTGGCTTGGAGCGCCTGGCGCTCGGCCTCGACCTTCTCAAAGTGGCGCTGCACCACGGGGCCGGCCAGGGCACGGATCTCGTCCATCTTGGCGATGTAGACAGCCTTGGTGGCGTCGTCGCCCTCGTCGTAGAGCCAGTCCTACACGCCCGTGTTAGCATTCACCCTTCCGTTCCGTAAGCGTGTCGGAATGAGCTCAACCTACCTCCGTAGAAGTGAGCTTCTCGCGGATCTTGTCCTTCTCTTCCTCACTCGCGAACTCAGCGTACTGGTCATCCAGCTTGTTGCGGAGCTCGTAGATGTACGTCTCCAGCTCGTTCTTCTTCTCCTCGGTGTCGGCGACCAGCTTGTCCTCCATGAGCATGGCGGCTTCCTTCTCGGCAAAGGCATTCTTGACCGACGGCTCTAGCGTCTGTGTGGCGCTGACGATGGGCAGCTCGCCCTTACGAATTTGCTTCTTGACCTTGCGCGTCTTTGGCTTCTCATCCTTGGCTGCGTCTGTGTCCATGGCCTTTTGCGATGACTCAGTGGTTAGCCTGTCTCCTGTCTGCTCCTCACCCGCCCCGCCCTCGGATTCGCCAGATGCAGGAGCCGCCGTCTTGCGACGCTTTGATTCCCTCTCAGACATCTCGTCCGGCCCCCCCGTGTCCACCTGCACCGAAGCCGTCTGAATAAGAATACTCACATCGGGGTCCTTCTTCTCCCCACTCTCCTCCTTAATCTCCTCCTCCACCTCCTGGTCCTCGACGTAGTAGCCGCTCTCGACATTTAGGACGCCGTGGATGTTGACGCGGGCCTTGAGCTTGCAAATCATGAAATCCTCGGGCCCGCCGGTCGCCTTGACTCCCTTGACTGAAAAGCGACCGATAAAGGGCGAAACCTTGCCGGGGAGACCCTCGGGGTTGGCGTACCTGGCTTCGAGGTCAAACGGCTGCTTGCGGTAGAAGGTAAGGATCTTGGTGGAGGGCATCACATTGCCCTTGTTGAAGACAGTAAGACTGGTGTCCTCGTCAGGGATGTCGGCATCCTTCTCCCAAGCGAACTCAATCGGGTAGCTGATGACGTCCTGAACGGCAAAGTCGCGGACCCTGAAGACGGGAGAGAGGATGGCGCAGCTGAAGGCGCACCCACGGGCGATGGCCTCGTCCAGGTTCAAGGTGAAGGAGAGCGGCTTGCCGAAGAAGGCTTGGATGCGCTCCTTGATGGCGGGCACACGGCTGCCACCACCGACGACCTCGATTATGTCAATCTCCTCCTTGGACAGCTTGGATTCGGCGAGCGCCTGCTCCAAAACGGTGTCGACGCGATTAAGCAGAGGCTCGATCATGGCCTCGAATTCCTGGCGGGTAATCATGGCACGGACGTCGATGTCGTTCATGAGCGACTCAATGTTCATGGGCGCCTGCTGATTGGCCGACAGCACCTTCTTGAGTTTCTCGGCGGCGGCGTAGACGCGCGTCAGGGCCTTTGGGTTGCTAAAGATGTCAATTTTGTACTTGCCGTGGAACTCCTTTTGCAAGTGCTCGACAAGCGCCCAATCAAAGTCGCGGCCGCCAAAATGGCGGTCGAAGGCGTTGCCCTTGACGGCAAGCTCGCCCTTTCTGAACTCAACGATGGAGCAGCTGTAGTCGCTGTAGCCAACATCGACGAAGGCCACACGACGTGGCGTCTCTTCGGCTGAAGGCAAGTCCAGCTTGGTGATGCCATAACCAAGGGCGGCGGCAGTGGTGTCGTTGATGAGGCGGAGCACTTTGAGGCCGGCAATGTCGGCGGCATCGATCAGGGCGCGGCGCTGGGCGTCGGTGAACCAAGCCGGCACGCTCATGACCATATCCGAGACCGGGAGCTTGAGCTCGGCGGCCGTTGTCTGCTTGATCTTGCTAAGGAACATGGCGACGAGCTGTGTCGCGGTGAAGCGTTCCTTCTTGCCGAGGTAGTTCACCTCGGCACCAACCTGGCCATCGATGTCGACCAGTGGCGCAGAGATGTACTTCTGCTCGATTTGAATGTCGGGATCATTGAAAGAGCGTCCCACAAGGCGCTTTAGGCAGCCGACCGTGTTCTTGAGGTTGGAGATCTCCTGCGTCTTTGCGGGCTCGCCGAGGTAGCGGGACTTGGGCCCGAAGCCAACCAGTGACCTGTTTGGGCAACGTTAGCCGCTGGCTGCGCGAGGCGGCGCAGGACCGATTGAGAGGTTATACGTACGGAGTCGCTCGGTTGGAGACCTCGTTGGTGATCTGTACGGCGAAAATGTGAGTCTGCGTGCCTACTCTGATACTTCGCCGATCTCTTGTAAAGATGGTTGTCCGTAAAAGTAGTGGGGGACCTGACGTACCACATCGACACCGCGATTCCTGGCAACGGCGATGACGGTGTTGAGAGAACCGAAATCGACACCTAGAGCGCAGAGAACAGGTCAGCGCCAAGTTCCTCGCCTGCGTGGAGGCCACCTGAACCGACAATCGCATACTTACCGACGACACTCATGTTGGGCGGAAAGTGAGGGGTACTAGATGATCAGGCCTTGTGTAAACAAATCGGTCGAGGATTGAGACGGCGAGTCGCGTTGGTAGAATCGGAGGCAGGCTCACCAACTCAGTTAAGGGCGGTGTTGTACGTGTTGGGGGATGCAGGTCTGCGCAGATGCAGGATCCGGCAGTTGGTATATCGGGTGCAGAGAATGGGATTTGGTGTAGTCGTCTTCAAGCTCTTGCAAAAAGCGAGAAGTTCAATTGGCAGCAACGCAGAAAAAATCAGACCTAGGTGCCCGATTCTGGTGGTGCTGCTTCAGAGGCGGGGTTCTCTTCCATGGGCCTAATGGGGTGTATCGATTAGCCCTGCACAAGGGTGTAGACACAGCCAAGACATCCGGAACCTAGGAGAATCTTCGAAACTGACCTAAGAAAACCGAGCGTTTATACCGATACTCTTTACCCAACATGGCTGCCTCAGCGGTACAGCCCAAGAATGAAAATTTCCGTACTAGTGAAAACTTTATATGGAAAAGTATTGAGGTGTATTCTGTTGAAGTTAGAAAACAGTCAATGGAAACTGACCGTGGAGTGTTGCCTGGACGACTTACGACTTACTCTCGAGTCCTGCCCTGCCAAGCAAGGGATTGAAAAGTCGCCAATGGTCTTATCACGCTTTACACACCCCAGGTGTCCTTATCCCTATCACCCCACTTCCAGTTTGCCGCAGTCAACAGCACACCGCCAACAAGCAATCAACTTTCAAGCAGCAGGCCTCCACACTTTCTGTGCCCCGCCATCTTGTGCTGAAGTAGGTTGTGAGAGAGAGCTTCCTCAGAATTCAACCCATGCACCAGTCTTTTAGAGCGGAGGAGCATCGCCAGTTGACGTGACTGACTGGCCCGGCTGGTCAGCCTTCCTTCCAAGTGATAGCAATTGCGGGGCGTCCCAAAGCACCCCAGACTTCAAAAGGCACTGACGAGTTTGCGGCTTCTGTGCCCACACCACAACCGCACGCTGTTTGTCATTCCTTCGTCGAAGACCCCGCAAATGTTGGGCCCCAATAACCCATAACAACTCCCTGCTGGAGAGTGCAACCCAAGGCTTTGGATATCTGTTTTAGCAACAATAACTGCATTGAGGAATTGAACTCTGGTCCACGGCCGGTCGCAGAGCAGCGGTACTGACATTGCCAGCAACCTCGCGGATGGTCTGACACTGTATCAGCCCGGCTGGGGCCAACACGTGTGGGGAATATGCCTTTTCAAGTCGCAACATCAAATGGCTGACCTTTTCCCAGGGCTTTTTCTTTCTCTCGTATGGGGCATACATGTATGTACGGCTTGTGCGGTTGCTGATTGGCTTCGCTAGGGCGAGGAAGTGGGAAAGATTGCAACGGACAATGCCATGAGGGCGAGTCGACTGTCGCCTTGTCTTCTTGGTTTGTCCTTTCCCGACCTACATGTACCCCCTTTCCGAGCCGACCTAGACACCGGGGCTAACGGATACCTACCTGCCTTTGCCTGACACAGGGGAGGTGGTTTTACTGCTCAAAGCGGTGTCGGCGCTTGCAACAGAGGACTCAAGGCGTTCTGTTGTGCGGCCAACGACTGGGCGGCGACCACAAAAGGCTGCCGCTGGACCGACTGGTAAGCATTATGGATCATCTTGACTTTCTCCCCTAGGTAAACACTCGCACGCACCATTGCTGACCGGACCCTGGCTGGCCAAGTGATGGGAAATGTGACTCGGCGACCGAGGAGGAGCGGGCCTCGGTAGTTGACTGCTCGTGGCTCAAGAGCAGCAAGTGGCTTGCCTGGTGATCATAAGCGACGCCTGGATGGGTTGTTTCTGGAGCCGATCCAAGCCGCTTTGCTGCCGTGTTCGCAAGCCCAAACTGCCCGATTTGGAGTGCTCCGTGTCGGGCTGCGCCCTCGATGCCCAGATATGCAGCGGCGAGATGGACCATAACGGCAACTACAAGCGCGACAGCGATGAGAATGCCGTGGACATGGACATGGACATGGGCTGCGCACTGGACAAGCGCGGGGCGGCCCAAGGATACAATGCCTGGGTCTATGGGGTCGAGGTGGTCACGAGGGAGCTGCGCTACGACAGCCAGGCGCACTGGATGGAAGCCTTTCGAAACAGCGCCGCGGGTATCGCCAAAGCCTACTGGTACATGCGGTGGAGAGAATGCACCTCTCCGCAGATGCAAGCCAGGCCTTTTCGAGGACAGGGAGCAGGCGCCCCAAGAGGTGGACCTGGAGCACATCATCCCGGCGGTCGTCCCACTGGGTCGCTTCGTCGCGACCTCGATGAATTGGCCTTGTTCCGACCTGTCCCGCTGGGCAGACAACGCGTGGTGCCGGAGGGAACGAACAACCGTGCCGCGAACCAACACCGAGTTTTGGCGGAATGTCTGGAACAGCGCCACCTTGCCCAGCGACGCCGAGTCCTTGGGCTACCAGATGCCGTTCGAATTCATTGCGGATGAGCTTGCTTCGACCCAGAACCGGTCGATCATAGTGCTTCTGCAACGGTCCGTCAACGGCCTCAAAGGCAGGCTCGAGGTTTCCAACAGCCCCATGGCGAACAGTACGTTCCAGGCCTTGGTCCGACAAACCATCAACGACGCAAATGAGGCGGCCGTAGAGGCTTTCTTTGGCCCCATGCCCGAGGTAGGACCCCCCCTTCATTAGAACGACTCCGACACACGGGACACCGAATGCTCACTGACCCGCAACCCCCTCAAAAATCAAAGACGATTGCCATTTTTGAGTACGCGAACCATCCAGAAATAGGATCTCGCGCCGAGAATGTGGCTCTCGAAATCCGCCGCCGTCTGGGGCGAATCAAAACTGGCTGTATGACAGGATTTCCTATGTCCGGCGTCAGTATCAGGCCCTACCGGACTGGTAAGATTCTTCCTCCTCTTCGTCTCCTTTTTTGGTGCGTCCCTACTGTCCCCATCACTGACATGACGTACGTGACAGCGTACTCGCCGAGCTCAACACCATCGAAGGCAAGATCGAAGATTGCTACTACCCCCTTGAAAAAGCCGGAAAACAAGAATCAGTAATCAGAGCAACCGTTCGCTAGACAATCAATTCAATCTAGATTGCTCACTTTGCCAGTGGGATACGGCCCCTGGAACATACACATGTCCCCTGTCAAACACTCAATCAACCCCAGATCCCAGTGCCTAAGTACTATCAACCTGCACCACCCCAGTCCCCGACTACCAGCCCTTCCCCCTCTGATCCGCCTGCTCCTTTCCCACATTTGACGGCGCATTAACCCCCTCCATGGCCAACTCGACCTCATCCCTCGTAACGGGCCTCGTCCAGCTCGCCCGTCCCAACGGACTCCTCCCTGACCGCCCACCCACAGTCTGCGGCGGCGGCGGAGGCGGATTCAGATGCGGGATAAGCGACTGCCTCTTGCCCGCAGTGCCTCCCTCTTCTCCAAGCGAATCCGTCGACCCTCCCTGAAATTGCGACTGGGATTGCTGTTGCTGATGCGATTCATGAACCGACCCAGCCCGCGACGACGCAGACCCCGAGCTACCGCCAGCGATCATCATCATCATCTCATCGCCGTCGCCGTCCCCCACCTCATAGACTATCCCCGTCGTCGTCTGCTGTGGCCGACTCAGGGGAGTCAGGGAGGAGGGCGGCCCCCAGACCCGCGATGACGACGGTGACAGCGACGCAACGAGTTGGCTCTGGCCGTGGTTGTGGCTGCCGCTAGCCTGTGCCGCGAGCTCGTATTTCCGCCTGTCCTCCTCCCCCATCAGGCTCTCCACCCGCTGCGGCATGTACACCGACGTGTTGCCTGTCGTGTAGGCTGACAGGGCGCTGTCGAAGGACTCCCTGCTGAGGTGATGTAAGCCCGTTGTTGGGTTGTTGCCGGGGTGGTGGTGATATGGCGTCGTGGTGGTGGTGGCGGGACGGAAAGTCAAATTGTATCCGATGCTGGCCACTGAGTCGTCTGGGTGCTGATACCAGCCAGAGGGGGTGCGCTCCGGCGCGGCGAACTTGCCGATCAGTTTGTCGGGCGGCTGGAGGAGGACGCTGCGGGTGCGGTGGACACCTGAGGTGCCAGAGCCGGTGACGGTGGTGGTGATGCCGGTGGTGGTGATGGTGGGCTTTTGCTTCTTCATGGTCTTGGTTGTGAGGATGGTGCCCTCTTTGCTGGCTTCGGCTTCGGCCAGTTCTTTGCGTTCCTGGGCGGCGGGAATGAATGACTCGGGCACGATGTTGAGGTCGTCTCCAGTCTGTTCGGCTTGCTCGATGGCCTCCTGCGCCGTGGTTGTCGCGTCGGCAGCAGCGGCGTCCGCGCGCGGTCCACCCCAGGTGCGCTGACCGGCTGTGAAGATGCCGTACACCATGTAGTACCAGTTAAAAAAGGGATTTAGCACGAACATCAAGGGGTAGAGCCAGATCTTGAAGCGGCGGAGCTTGGCGCCAAAGTAAATCATCATCAGCCAGTTCAGCCCCAGCGAGATGGCGATGAACCCGACGGGCAGGTCGTTGATGGTTTTGGTGGTGGTCATAAGCGCAAGAACCATGATGAAAAAGAGCAGGGCCGTCGTGCGGATCGTGTTCTGCATGAAGCGGACGAGTACGAGGATGGGATACCGCTTCCACAGCCGCCAGTCGGTCAGCATGCACACTTCGTTGGTGATGAACCCAAGAAACCACCGGCGGCGCTGCTTGATGAGCGAGCGCATCGTCTGCACGGCCTCGGTCTTGCAAAAGGCCGACGTGCACATCTGGATCTGGTACCGCTTCTTCGCTCCGATCATGAACAGGTGCGTCAACCAGCGGTCCTCGCCTAGGTGGCTCTTTGCGAAGTCAAAGAGGTCCTCGCACTGCTCCGCCTTGTCGGCGAAGTAGTACTTTGCCATGCGTCGGAAGGCTGAGAAGCGGAGCATTGTGAGGGCGCCGGGAAGACAAGTGACGGCGCCGCAGCCCGATTCCACAGTCCGCTCGAACAGCTGGCCGTGGATGTACTCCATGTCCTGGAGAAGCGTGATGAGGCTGTGTTTTCTGGTCGTGGATGTGATGACGCCCGTCATGGCGAGCATGTCCCTCCTGTTGCCGGGGCTCAGCTCCATGTCGTAGACAAAGTTCTGCAGGCAGACCCTGTCCAGGATGCAGTCCGAGTCGATGAAGAGAATGAAGAGGTTGTCGTTCCTCCTCAGGTACTCGCGGTACACTTTGTCGATAAGCTTGAACGTCATTTTCTGACAATGTCTCTTCCCTCCGTGAGGAAATCTTGATACCGTGATCCGAGCAGCTTTGTACGTCACATCGATGCTCTTGGGGTACGACTCCAGCGTCAAGGGAACCCCGAGCTTCTCAATGGTGTTGAGGTACAGCTCGTCTTCCTGGTCACCGTCGAAGGAGAGGAAGACGTGGATGCAAGAGGGCGGGTAGTCGCAGTCGACTACTGAGTTGATGGCCGTGACGAGCACCTCGGGCTCCTCTTTGTAGCAGGGCATGACAATGACAACCTTCGGAGCGGACACTTCGTCGAGGACCTGCTTGATGCGCTTCGTCCTGCCGAGCTGGTGGGTGACGATCTGGTAGACGCAGAACAGCCAGGGGATTGTTAAAAGCCCGGCGAAGCTCCAAAAGGCGAACCACTGCAGAAAGGAGACCATGGCCGGAGGCCAGATACGTACGATCTGGCTAGGGAGCGGCAGAGTCACGATCATGATGGGAAGAAAGATGAATCTGCAGCTTGTCAGCCACATTGACTCCCATTACCCCTAAGGAGCTGCATCCATACCTGAGCAAGGTAAACGCAACCCCCACCAAGACTGCGAGAACCCGGACGGTCCAGTGCTCTGCCTTGACAAACACCTTCCACAGACAATAAAGGAAGGCGGCTATCCAGAGGAACCACTCCAGCAAGGCGGCTAGCATCACCAAGCCAACTATTGCGGTGTACACAATCTGAGAGCAGGTCAGTCGCCGTCTTTGCCTCGTGAGATTGAGACCCAAAAATACGTACCTCTCTGAGCGGCCATGTTTCCTCAATATTCCCGACCATGTCGTCGAAGCGGTTGGATAATAGACCTCAGGTTCACAAGGTGTCATCGAACCCCCGCAAACGCGATTTTGTTTGGGAGGAATGGTAGTAATAAAGACAGCAAAAAACCGAGTAAAACCAAGTACGACCCGGAGGGAAGTTTGCCTGCCAACCCGGGATACCAAGAGCGCGGTATGGAGTTGAAATAGCGGTCGACGGCAAGGGACACAAACCGACGGCTACCTGCAGCGCCGTCGTCCACCCAATTATCAACCCCGGCCACGGGCAAACCCGCCCTTTCGTATTGAAGACTTCCCGGACGATGGCCGGGTTTTCTATTCGAGGAAACCGGCGTGCACGCGCCCACACGCAGACCGTGTGACTGTGTCAAGCATCTGATATGAGAAGAACAAAGAAAGCAGGCGAGAGCAAAACCGGGGAGACTGAAGCGGTAAGCACGGAAGAGTCAAGCAGGTAGCAGGCAGGAGACAATAGCCTCTACCGACTCTTCCGCAATCACTCCCCAGCCGGCCGCAGGCCAGGTCATGACTACGACAGCGCTTATCATCCATTGTGAAAACACCTGCAGCATCCGGCGAGAGGGAAATGAGACGGGGGTGCAAGCGCAGTGAGCCAGACGGGAGAAAAAACAATATCCCCAAATGAATCAACAGTTTAGCCGGCCGAGTGCACAAGGCTACGCTCATCTGACGAAAGTAAGCAAAATAATCTCTCTCTCTCGCAAGACCGGCGTCGAATAATCAAATCAGCATTCATTGATGAAGTGAGAAGATGGTACACAGTCGACGCTATATAACCACGTTGCTGTGTCTATCCCCTGGGCCCTGGAGCCGGAGAGTAGCCAGCGCCAGGACGCCGCCCAAGAACGAGGCACAACCAGCAGCCGGACGTCTGTGGTGACAACCAAGCGAAGGAACCAACCAGGCTGCTTGCCTAGGCCACAGACAAGATACCCGCTGGGTGCCGGGACTCGACAACCCCCAAAGCTCAGGAAATATGACACGACACCAAGGTTGCTGTCTGATCCTCGCAAACCCTTGGACCAGACAACGACCACTCTGACACGGCCATAGTATGAACTGCCAGGAGACTTTCCTGGTTTTATGGTAAAGCGAGCGGAGCGGCAAACCACCAGCCGGACCGATAGCCGAACACAAACGAGACGAGCGAGCACTTGCTCTGTAAGTCGTCAAGCGAGTAAAATGAACGATAACATCCGTTCGGGCCCGGGACGGCCAACCCGCAAGGATACCGTTTAACCCGGACTTCAGGATCCCCCGCCTCAGCAAAAGCGCGGCAGCACGCCAACCAACCTAGGAGCTGGGAATCTGGAATTGCCGCGCTCTTCATGTCGTGCTGGACACCCATCAGAGGGGCGGCAGTCCACCAGAACAGGTGAATCGAGAGATACCCGGCCTTGGTCTGGAGTTCCCGAACGTTGTGAAACACTCCTGAAGAAAGAAGAAACGGAAAAAAAAAATAGAAATATAACAAATGAGAACCAGCTAGCCCGTATACGCCGCCATGTCAGACAAGCACGAACCTTAAGGACAACAGAAGACAAAGAAACAAGATCTGCCGAGCCCGCCATGTAGGCTTGGGAAATCCTTGGAAATGTGCGGGGGGCAGGGGCGGCAAGCAACCGGCAACCAAAAGGCGTGCCGCCTCTTGAAGCCGAAAGCCAAGCAAGCAAGGTCGGCAGGGGGCTGCGGGAGATCTCCCAGCCGGCCCAACTTCCGTGCCCCATGGTCCAAATGCGTACCGGTGCAACTCCAAGGACACAGCAGCAACTCCGTAGTAAGGGCACAATACCACACTCGGGGCCTCCACCTTGAAAACCGAGTATTAGGGGTGCGTCACCACTTACGGGAATAGATCCTCACGCTCCACCTCCAGTAATAACTCGGTTTCCACAGCGGCCCAATGTGATCTTTCCAGCCGCTAATGTTACAGATGCAACAAGACCCGGTAAATAAAGGGGAAGGGTTGCGTAGCTCCGTTCGCGCCATGGCATCTCGTGTCGAGGGTCATACAGCGGCAGGGCGACATCGTCACACAGCATTCAACCACTGCAAACAGTCGTCTGGATCCATCAGAAACACGAGAGGAAGCCCCCGAGAGGGAGAAAGGGACGGGAACAAAGGTCGTGTTGAATTCTGCAATCTGTCGTGTATTACGAACTATGTCCGCTTCGTCTGGTCTCGAACCCCTCCGTCCGCCGAGTACACCGATCAGGGCCGACGCTGTCTCACAGACAACAAAGCTGTCTCCTGTGTTCTACACGCGGAATGTGACGCTGACCAGCGGTCCTCTACCAGTCGGCTAAACCGACGGGGTGGTAAGCGACATTTGGAGAGACGCGCCGGTTTCAGTGTCGACTCTCGTCCGTCGATGCGTTCCGTACCCCTCGATTGTAACTGGCTTCCGCGTCGCGTCCATGACTTTGACCCGCTGTCGGTCAGGGTCCTGTTTGGAGAATCCGTATCTGGGTGTCAGTTAATCCGCAAAGCAGGGCAGATCCGGAGACCGCTGGGTCAGTTGGCATGTCGGCACGTTTCGGTCGGCGACCTGCATACTCGGCGGCCAGAGGCACCGGCCTGCACCAATTCAAAGCGCTGGGCCCGTCGCTGAAGGAGTCGGATTTCCTCTGGCGGAATGGATGTAGTCGAATGTATTGCCGGAAGAGTCGATATCAAGTCCTATCAAATGCCGCCCGGCGCGGCCTAGTTAGAGAACTTGCTATTCGATGGACTTGGTCTCACTGCAAACTGCCCGGGCCTAGTGTCTGGTCCTACGCAAAGTAGAGTGCATGCGATAGGGCTAGTCATGCTCTTCCTTCACGGCCACGCGGCGGACAGACGTCGGCCAAAGGCTGCGACGTTGCCGGTAGCTGGGACTCTGTCCTTCGGCACGCCCTTGACCGACGTTCGGCACCTGGTCTCGCTCGTAATGGGGTCTTGTTCCAGGGGCATCATACCAGTCAACATCACTGAGTTGGAGCTTGCGGACCCGCTGCCCGCGGTCCTTGCCCGACCGATTTTCAAGCCGGTTAAGGTGATGATGGGAAGAAGCCTTCTCGTTTCCTGCGGGGATGTGATGAATATTGATGCTAGGTCCGTAAGGGGTCAAGTGTTCTTCACCGTCGTTATCCTCGTTCTCCCGCAAATCGAGGTTCAGCACCAAGTTTTTGATGCGCTGCTGCTCCTCCTTCGCCGCCTGCCGCTGGGTGATCATGGCCACGGCAAAGTTGGAGTCCGAGGGTAGTTCAACCGTGCGGGTCTGCCACATTAGCCACCACAGCCAGCACTTACAGAAAGAAAAAAGCCAGACTCACCTGTTGGCGGTTTCCTCTCTTTGTGAGCAGGGAGAAAGCCATCGTCCCGCTCGGTGTGCCTGGCCCGCTCTCGGCGGTCTCGCTGCCGCTAGGAGCCTCGCGGTTCTTGGGCCGAACGGGGAGGGGGATGTCGAATTGTTGCTTCGGCTGGAACTTGCGCGTTTCGAAGCTTTCAGCCATCATCTTCGCATACTCACGGTCAAAGTCAGCTTCATCTTCAGGGTCAATTTCCTCTTCCTCCCTGGTGACGACAATGGCTTCTTCTTCGGACTCGCTGGCGTTGTACGACGGCTCCTGTTCAACGTCCTGTACATTTAGGATAGGGTTAGTCACCGTCAGCTGGCTGGAGTGCGCAGTCGGGCGCCCTACCTCAGCCTCTGCCTCCCCGTCCTCACAGCTAGACTCATCGTCATCATCCTGCTCCGCATGTTGCAAATCGTCCTCGTCGTCGCTGTAAGCCCCGCTTGCCCCGTCGTCCTGCTCGACGACCTTGTCCAGCCCAGATGTCTTCTGGTCCTGAATCATGGCAAGCTGGAATACTTTGGTGGCCTCCTCAATGTTAGAGGCCAACTTCCACTGGGGTCTGGTCAGGGCGAAGATATCCTGAACGAGAAACTCGATATCCATTGGCAGAGGGTTTTTGGTGTGGATGTAGTATTGGAAGAAGGAGAGGAAGTAGTCCAGCTTCTTGCCTGCAGCGCCTTTGTTAAAGAACATGCCGCAAGTTTCTAAGATGGTAGCTATCAGGCGGATGCGGAAGAAATCGTCGGGCTGATCGAAGGGGTTGATACGACCAGGCACTGGCGGGCCCCCTGGATGCGGAAGTCAGCGAGCCCTTGCGTGCTAGGAGGTTAGGTTACATACCATGGCCGAAAGTCATGATTTTATACATGACATCGAAGATCACGGGATGTTCGAGCATCCTGTAGTTGTAGAGCTCTCCCAGGTACTTGACTTCGGCCACACGGCGCTGATTGAACTTGAAGTCATTTTGCTCCAAACCGAACGCGATGGACTCAATCACCGCATCAATGACCCCAATGACAAACTCAGGATGGTACCTGTGCACGGCGCTCAACAGAATCGCCAGGAGGTGAATGTTACCATATTTAATCTTCCCGGGCTTCGAGAAGACTTTGTGAAGGACGGCAACGACCTGCGAAGCGTTAGACCACGATACCACGCTTCGGAGAGCCGGTGGTGAACATACCTCTCTTTCCTCCCAGTGCAGCCTGCGGATTTGCCTTAAAACCTTGCTGTAATTCCGCTTGGTCAGGTCCGTGTAGGTGAGTTTGCGGATGAATAGTTCCATAGGCGTCCTCTCCTTTTGTTGGATGGCCGGACGCTGGGGTGGGTCGACGTAGTACACGGCATTCTCGATGAGCATTCTCTCGGCCGGCCCAATGTGCTGCACAGACTTCTTCCGCTGAAGCGTCTCCAAAAAAGACGTCATGCGAGGCGATGTCTCTGGGTTCCGCAGAAGATAACGGCCACAATTCTCAAGCAGGTTGCAAATGATCTCGATGTTCATGCGGGAGAAGTCGTCCAGGCTGACCTTGAGGCAATGGAAGACGACGTGTTCCGGGACGATGCCAAACTTGGTCAGTTCAGCGAGGTAGCGGATGTTGCTGAGCCTGACTTGGCCTAAGAATTCCTTCTCCTTACGCCGCTGCAGGCTGCGGAACTCGGCATCAAGGTACTCCACCAGACCTTTGGGGATGTCCAACATGTACTGGCCAAGCGTAGCAACGAGCCGGGCCCAGCAAGGGAGGAGGTCACCACGGCCCTTGGGGACATCAGTCAAGGCCTTGACAAGCCGGTTCCTCGAAGCCTTCGAGTTAAGGTAGCAGAAGTCGATGGCGGCCTGGTCGATTGCCTCCTTCGTCGTGAGGTCTGGCAGCCGAGAGAGCAACGCATCGACCTGGGCTCCAATCGTCTTGTTCGCGATGGCTACGGATTGATCGTCGGCCGTCGTGTCGGCGGGCTTGGACGTTTCGGCAGCTTCGGCCGGGTCGACCTTCTTACCAACCTGCTCATCTGCGTCGGGTTTCTTCTTTTTCACTTCCTCGAGAAGAATGCTGGGAACTTTGCCTTTAAGGTCAACGAGGTTTTCGTAAAAACGACGCTCTTCTTCGTCCTCCCAGATACCGGCGCCGTCTCCTTGACCTCGCAGATACTCGCCGGCCTTGACAATGCCAATGGAGCCGTTCACGCCAGAAGAAGGGTCGTCGTGATCCTTCAAGTCCGGCATCTCAGCCCCAATGACGTCGGCAATAACCTGTGCGTTGGCGACAAGGCGCTCCTGCGCCTTGACTTGTTTCTCGAAGTTGGCTTGGCGGTCCTCAAATACTTCACCCGACTTGACATAAGCCTCGGCATTCTTGCGAGACTGACTGTAGATGGCTTTTTGGTCTCGGATAAGGTGGCCCTTGACGTCCTCAAAGTAGCGCTTCAGAACCTCTCTGAAACGCTCCTGCAGCTCGGGCGGAGTGAAGGGAGGGTCTTCGAAAGACGGTTCAGGCTCCCCCTCTCGGTCCTCGGCCCCTTCTACTGCCTTGGTCACGCCATCTTCACCGACAGTTTTGCGTCCTTCTGAACCGGCGGCCCTAACGCCCAGAACATCCCAACTGAAAGCCTTGACAAAGACAACGAGCAATGGCAGGTTGGCATGCTCGCGGTCATGGCCCAGGAGGTCCTTGAGAATTTCAAGAGGATATGGCTCGGCAGCACCCCCTTTCGCGGACGCGCGGGACTTGACTTCAGTTTGCTTGCCAGTAATTCCATTGGTGGCATCGTCAGGACGTTTAATGTCGTCGAGGGTGCGGAGGACATCGACGAGCCACAGCTCGGTCACGACTCGCAGGAGGATCCGTTGCCGGACTAAGCGATCCTTTTCCTCCTTTTCTCTTGTTTCCGGAGAGAGGGCCTTGAGGGCGGCCTTGTCAGGTGTCGCCATTGACCTTCCCAGGAACCAACCGAGGTACGAGGTGAAATCTGCAGGGCCGAAACGCTGGTGCAGCGCGCTGACAATTTCTACGCCGGCATCGATTTCACCAGGTGTCTTGAGTCGACACAGGCCTTCGTGACAAGCCGAGACAATCTCGGAGAGGTACTTGGACAAGCTGACGGTCTTGATCTCTTGGAGGAACGTGGCCAGGGTCGCGGGGGAGATGGCGGTACGCAGGCGCTTGATGAAGGCCGTGTTCTTCTTCATGGTCGAGTCGAGGGAGTTGCCCACGGGGAAGACATCTAGGCCAAACACAGTTAGCAATGTTTGTCCAGAAAGCAATCGTGGCAACGACGTTTTCGTCCTCACCCTTGTCCCCATTCCAGGCCCTCTGGTTCAGCTCGCGCAGCTCATCTGGTTCCGCCGTTAGCCATGTTGACAGGAGCAGCGGTCGATGCCAGTAAAACACGTACGCCGCCTAGCGCGATCCATGGCGGGCCGTTCTCTTGGTGTGTGCAATTACGGTAGAGTCGGCAGCGGTGGTGCATTCGGAGTTCGAGATGCTAAGGGTTGAGGAATCGGAAGCGACAATCCCCATCAGTAATGGCAGGCATCGGTGACGCGGGTTGCGAAGCAGCCTATAAAGGCACTTGTTGTTGGTAACTCCGAAGAGAGCGGGGACCAGCGATGTCGCGCCGTCGTATGCCTGGTTGCAAGAACCTTTCCGTGGCCAAGGGTTGAAGGTTCGGTGACGGAATTGATAGTGCCAAAGTTTTGGTGGAGATGCTCTCCTCCATCACCATGAGCCGGTGATTGGATCGTTAGGCGCGCTTTAGCGCTGTGGTATGCCTGCGAGCCGCAACGGACTGCCCGCAATGGTCTCGGCGCAGGAACCCGCCATGGCCCGAAGATCTTTGCGATCGAGACCACCCGACATTTACCTGTCTGAGCAACCGACACAATGGGATTACTGGACAATTTCCATGGTTCCTGGACACCTTCAGACACATGGCAGCTCATGGAATCCCGGTCCAAAGCACGACGAGATACCTATTGAAGATCTCTTTATCCTCGTATCTCAGTTTTTTGCTACTCTTCGTTTGTCATGCTTTCCTCATTACTACACGTGGCATCAACAGGCATTTTGTTCGACGATACCTGATTTCGAGTTCCACGCGAGCAAGCAAGCAGCAAGGGCTTGAGTCTGTGTGGAAAAGGCGCGGTTCGAGAGCTCAGCGCTCTTTTAATTCCCATGGGCTATGGAATTCTCATCGGCGCTTCTAAACCGCCAATCCACAATTTTCGAGGCAACCCCGACCAAAGGCCCCAAGTCTCTGTCAACAATTGGATTTTGGCATTTAGATATAAACCGAAACACATACGCACTGTCTTGGCGAATACATCCTAGGAACTTTGATTTATCCGCCACTTGTACTCTGCATGTAGCAGCAGTCAGGTTAGCATTCAAACTTTAGAGATCGGCGCTCCGGAGCACGGGTCTTGGCAGGGTCGCAGCGTGCCGGGCCGGAATGGAACCGGTCGGGAAGGGGCCCGATCGGGCAATGCTGCTACGGCTTCGCTCGGACATGGAGCCCAACCTGGGAATACCTATTTCGGCCACGGCAGCGCAAGGTCATGTCCTCGGCAACCCCTGCGTTTGTACTGTAACCTTAGTATCCGGGGCCCCCCCCAGAACAGGCATACCTATGCCGCTGATAAAGGCAACGGGACACAGCACCATCCCAAACTCGAAATGGGAACTTGGGACAAACTTGGGCGTGGGGGTTCCACGCCGTGCAAGTTAAAGGCCTCTGACCTCACCACATTGCCTTCTCGATTTCGAATCGACCTTCGCCTGATTCGACAGCAACACACACAGCGTGTCTCCTCCGTGGCCCAGCCTGTCTTTGGTCTTGGCAACGTGCAGCGCCGTGGCCATCTTGATAGAGCTGATTCGAGCATCTCCGTCGAATTGGGCAGTGGGCCGCCTTATCAATGATTGCCCTGCCATGCCATGGCCGACAACTGATAAGACTGCGCGACCCGCCCGTTCCGTTGCTGGCGGCGATCGAGACATGTCCGCGGAAACAGTAATCACGTTGCCGCGCGCTGTGAAGTGTGATTTCTAGCGATCTCCGAACTCCTCGGACGGTGGAATTCGCCAATGTGGATCAATTACCCTTACACACTGCTCAAGTTTCTCACCACGGAGCCTTCTCGCCCGGCCTGCCGCCTCCAATGGTCCACGGGGGTCCACCAGCCAGATCAGCCCGCGACGAAAGGCCTGCCTATGTAGAGCCTACGGCGGGTTTTCATCAAGACACAGCCAGTTGTCTTTATCGTGCAGGTCCGGCCAGCCCACGGAGAAGCAGACACTGCGTCGGGATAATATCGCAAGGATTCTCACTACGGATGGGGGCGCGGGAATAAGGCAGTTTATACGGATTGGGATATGAATACCATCCTCTACTTGGAAACCCATTGAAGGAAGACCGGTAGTTATTTCATGTCGGCTCGCCGTCTCATCCAAAAAGCATTTGAACGCTCCATTTCCAGCTAGCGTGCCAGGTGTTTGTGTACGCTTCATCGAGCCTACCTTCCTTAAACTACATTAATACAGACTAGATGGACGGGATGTCTTTGCCGGACCGTTCCCTCAACCTTTCCAGTGTTTCATTCCATCGGTTTCCCCCGACACCTCCCCTACAAGAGTTCGATGAGTACGATAAACAGAGGCTCGTCTTGCCGACGCATATCGATGGAGCATCTCCCATCTACCCACTACCGCCAACACCACGGGAGAACAAGGTCCTGCCCGAGGACCTTAAGACGCCCGACAACCACGTGGAGAGGGACCCGCGACTGATCCGGCTCACCGGCATCCATCCTTTCAACGTCGAGGCACCCCTGAGCGACCTCTTCGACGAAGGCTTCCTCACCACCAAGGACCTTCACTATGTCCGGAACCACGGCGCCGTGCCCCTGGTCGACGACTCGTCCGTCCTCGACTGGGAGTTTACCATTGAGGGCATGGTCGCCAACCCCGTCACCCTGACCCTGCGCGATCTCATCCAGACCTACGACCAATCCACGTACCCCATCACGCTTGTCTGCGCGGGCAACCGGCGCAAGGAGCAAAACATTGTCCGCAAGACCAAGGGCTTCTCCTGGGGTGCGGCCGGCGTGTCGACTGCGCTCTGGACGGGCGTCACCCTGCCGGATCTCCTCTCGCGCGCGCGCCCGTTGCGCGGCGCCCGGTATGTCTGCTTCGAGGGCGCCGACCGGCTGCCCAACGGGTACTACGGCACGTCGGTCAAGCTGGGCTGGGCGATGGACCCGGAGCGCGGCATGATGGTGGCGCACAAGATGAACGGCGAGATGCTGCACCCGGACCACGGCAAGCCGCTGCGCGTGGTGATTCCCGGCCAGATTGGCGGCCGCAGCGTCAAGTGGCTGAAGCGTATTATTGTCACCGCCGCGCCGAGCGATAACTGGTACCACATCTATGATAACAGGGTGCTGCCGACCATGATCAGCCCCGAGGAAAGCGCCGACTTGCCCGAGACGTGGAAGGATGAGCGGTATGCCATCTATGACCTCAACACCAACAGCGCCATCTGCTACCCGGCGCATGACGAGAGGGTGGAGGTGGGTGACGGGGTGTACAAGCTGAAGGGGTATGCTTACGCCGGAGGCGGTAAGCGGGTGACTCGGATGGAGGTGACGCTCGACCAGGGTAGGACGTGGATGTTGGCGTCGTTGTCGTACCCGGAAGACTTGTACCGGTTGGCGCCCGAGGGAGAGGTGCTGTATGGCGGGCGGCTTGATATGGCGTGGCGTGAGAGCAGCTTCTGTTGGTGTTTCTGGGAGCTAGATGTGCCGCTCTCCCGGCTGCAGGAGGCAGGGGACGTGATGATCCGGGCCATGGACGAGGCGATGATGGTGCAGCCGAGGGATATGTACTGGAGCGTGCTGGGCATGATGAACAACCCGTGGTACCGGGTTGTCATCCACAAGGAGGGCAATACCCTGCGATTCGAGCACCCCACACAGCCGGCACTGGTACCGGGTGGGTGGATGGAAAGGGTCAAGAAGGAAGGGGGAAACATTACCAACGGCTTCTGGGGCGAGAAGGTGACCGGCGAGGATTCGGCGCCGGCTCAGGAAGCGCCAGCCAAGGAGATCAGCATGGTCGACGAGAAAATCAATCGGCAGATCACCGCCGAGGAGCTTGTCCAGCACTCGGGCGAGGAGGAGCCATGGTTCGTCGTCAACGGCCAAGTCTACGACGGCACCAAGTTCCTCGAAGGCCACCCGGGCGGCGCAGCCTCCATCATCAACGCAGCGGGACAAGACGTCAGCGAAGAGTTTCTCGCCATACGTAAGTCGTCCCGTTGACACATAAACCTCCAGTTAGCCAATTTACTAACCCCGACCCAAGACAGCGAAAACGCCAAAGCAATGATGCCCACCTACCACATCGGCACCCTCTCCACGCCCCTTTCCTCAGTCAACTCGCCATCCTCCCCTTTCACCGAAGAAGACACCACCACCTCCAGTGTCTTCCTCAACCCCAAGAGCTGGCGCCGCGCCCTCCTGGCCTTCAAGACGCCCATCTCCCACGACACCAAGATCTTCCACTTCACCCTCCCCTCCCCCTCTCAAACCATCGGCTTGCCGGTAGGCCAGCACCTGATGATCCGCCTGCGCGACCCAGCAACCCGTGAAGCCATCATCCGCGCCTACACGCCGTTATCCGAAGGCTCCGAAACGGGCATTCTGCGCGTTCTCGTCAAAATCTACCGCGACACGCCCGCCCAGAAGGGAGGCAAGATGACGCAGGCGCTGGACGCGCTCCCCGCGGGTCACGCGGTCGAGTTCAAGGGCCCCGTGGGCAAGTTCGAATACAAGGGCGCGGGACAGTGCGTGGTGAACGGCAAAAGGAGGAAGGTGAGGAGGCTCGTGATGGTGTGTGGCGGGAGCGGGATCACGCCCATCTTTGCTGTGTTGCGGGCGGCGGTGAGGGAGAAGAGTGCGGAGGATGCGCCGGAATGCGTGGTGCTGGATGGGAATCGGGTTGAGGAGGATATTTTGTTGAGGGGAGAGTTGGAGGAGATGGAGAGGGAGGCTGGGGGAAGGTGTAGGGTTGTGCACACGCTCAGTAGGCCTTCGGACGGGTGGACTGGACTGAAGGGGAGGATGCATAGGGAGTTGTTTGAGCGCGAGGTTGGAAATCCGCCTGCGGAGAGGGATGCCATGGTGCTGATTTGCGGGCCGGAGGGGATGGAAGAGGCGGCAAGAGAGGCGTTTTTGGGCATGGGCTGGGCCGAGGACGATTTGCTTTTCTTTTAACGAGCAAAGCAGCGCTTGGATGTTGCGAGGATTACGGCGTGCACTGTAGGAGTTGGGAGTTCACTGTAGGAGTTGGGAGTTCACTGTAGGAGTTAGGAGTTTACCTCAGAATATGTACATGACTGAACCAGGAAACATTTGATGAGTCTGAAGCAATAGCGTAGTGCTTGCGGGGTTCTTGAAGCTTCTATGCCGGAACAAGATGAATTGAGATTGAGAAGACGGTATGGGCAATGAGAGAAGCAACTTCAGTCATTTGCATCCTCGGTAATCGTGATAAATAATTGAATGCTGCGGAAATCGATCCATCGTGAATTTGGATACTCTGGTGCAGCTATGTCCTTGAACGCCTTCAGTCAAGCTAGGTTGATGAGTCCGGCTGGCAACTGAAGCTCTGGAGATGCCAAGAAAGCAGTCGTAACGTAGAATTCCCGTCGTAAAGTTGTAACGTAAGAGCTGTCACGTGACTCCATCTCTTTACCGTGGCAGCCTTGGCTCCCGAGTCAATTGGCGGCAGCTGATGGCGATGGCCAACAGAAGCTCTGACATCGGAAGGGGTTAGCAACATTGAGCACTCCCGAGCGAAATCCCGCTCGACGGCAGCAACAACACCACATCTAATTGGGACGCCGACGTCGTCAACCACCCCGAAAATATGCGCGCAACTCTCCGTCTCTTCGCCGCCGTCCGACCAGCGGCGCGGTATCTCGAAGCCGGCACACCGACGGGCCTCACAGGCATCTACACGCACGCCTCGCCGCGCTCGACCCTCCTCTACCTCTACACGTCGACACTCGACAAACTCAAGGCCGTGCCCGAGCACTCCGTCTACCGCCAGTCAGTAGAGGCCGTCACGAAGCAGCGCATGGCCCTCGTCGAGGCCGCCGTTCCGCCCTGGTACGAAGAGTGGGCCGAAAAGACGCACAAGCTGATCAGCGAGCACCCGGAGGAGTTCACTGTCGCATCCCACCACAGCGTCAGCGGCGAGACGGCCGTCAAGCTCGAGCGCGACGGCAAGGCATTTGTTGTGCGCCACATTCCACCGAAAGAGGACATGCGGTACGAGGAGTGGGACGGCGAGGTGGACGAAGGCCCGGAGCTTGAGGGCAGCAGGACGCTCGAGGAGAAGCAGGACCTGAGGCACATCTTTGAGAGGAGAGATCCGAGCGATATTGAGCACGTGCACTTGGAGCCGGAGCCGCAGCTGACGGCTGATCAGTAGGTTACAACGACCACAATTGGAGAAAAGCGAATGTGCTGATGTCTTGTGCAGGATCTCGGAGCTCGAGACCAAGATTGGCGCGGGCCTGATTGAAGAGGTTATCCAGGTTGCCGAGGGTGAGCTCACGCTGGTGGACACCATGATCCAGGCAAAGGTGTAAGTGCTGAATTGGCCCGCTTCTCCTTTCGAAATTGCTGACACGCATCTTAGCTGGGAGCCTCTCGAGGAACAGCCCGCTGAGGGCCAATGGACCTACTTTGAGCGGAAGCCGTGAATGCGGGGCAGGTGTACGACTACATCAGAGACTATACATAAACAAATCAGTGCAGATACATCTTCGGCCAGTAGATAAGTCCAACTTGGCTTAGCCGAACGGGCAATGTGTCTCCTGCTTGAGCCGAGGGGGGGCTGCGGATCGAAGGAAGGGATGGAGCAGACAATACCATGATGTGTACGCCGTTTCCCAGGGCTGCAGTGTGTGTACAATGAAGATAGATGTTTTTGGGGTGCATCTTAGTCAAGATGTCATGGACAAAACAAAGGCAAATCTCTGTGACTTCAGGTTGTGTTTATAGCTCTGTGGTTTGTGGTTAAGACCAAGATTCGGTCACACAATGACCAAAATCCTAGTTTGAGAACGCCTCACTCAAACGTCTCGCATCAAATTCTTCATGCGCCAGAACTCAAATCACACGTTACCTGCATTGTAACGGACCAGCTACCTAGGAGATTCAATGTTGATTATCAATGCCTTTCAGGTTGTTCACGAAGAAAAATAGTAATACCCAATTGCCGTGTCGTCCCATCACTTGACGCAAACTCAAACAGAAACTCGAACCCAACCGCCAACTCCCTCCACACCTCTCTCACACACAACAGCAACATCACACCCCTTTGAAATACCAACCTCAAATAGAACCTTCCAAATTGCAATGGCCACCATCCAATGCAAACGAAAACGCGCCCCCTCGGACGCAGTCATCAACCCGCTGTCGCATACTCCAGACACGCTCAAGCAATTCGCTGTCGCCGGCTACCCCGCCGAGCAGCCCCTCCCTTCCAAAGCGTTCTATCCCGGCTTCCCGCACCGGCCTCCGCGTCCTAAAACCAAGGGCCCAAAGAAGCTCGGCTGCAGCGGACCTGCCGATGCTGATGCCAATGCCGATTACCCTGGATCATCATCATCAGCCCGAGCCTTGCAGGGAACCCCAAGGGGTGGGTCGCAATCCGGCGCGGCAAGCGACGCTGACGTCGAAACTAACGGTGAGGACGGGGAGGAGGACACGGAAACTGGGTGGTGGACGACTGATTTTGATGATACCGAGGATGACAACTCCAGCCGACTCACGGTTAGTGGTGAGAGAAAGAGGAGCAAGAGCAGCAGGAAGGAGGGCAGCAAGGGCAAAGGCAAAAATGCTGCCGGCTTTGACCGCCGCGCACACGCCTACCGTGCCCGCGTGGGGTGTTTGGCAGCTGTCGTCCGACGGTGCCTGGCCGAGGGGGACATTGGCACGGCCAAGCGGGCGTTTGGGCTGTTGGCGAGGGCAAAGGTGTATGGGAGGAACGTGGACCTGCGGTGGGAGCGGTACTGGGAGATGGGGGCTGAGGTATTGATGCGGGAGGGGGAAGCACCCTCTGATCGGGTGGATCAGGAGGGCGTTGATGAGGAGGGCGATGGCGCTGAAGATGGGGGAGTAGAATGGCATGGGGAAAGGGAAGTTCAGGAAGGGGAGGAGAGGTTGGCGAGACTGAAGGCGTACTACGGCTACCTCATCCAGCAGTACCCGTACAGTAAACAGCAACCTGCCAGCGCTAACAGCGTGCTGGACTTCCAGGTGGCGATGTTTAGCGCCGAGATGGAGGCGGCGTATGCTGCGCACAAGAGGGGGTTGGAGAGCTTGCAGAGGGATGGTGGGTGGGAGGACGATATGGACGTGGAGGAGCCGATGGACTACGACCTTGACGATGGACAGGAGGGGGCGGGAGATGGGAAAACGCGGGATGATCTCCGCGGGCTTAGCCGCCGAGAGCTGAGACTGCGGGGAAAGGAGGACGATCTTCGACTTGCAGCGCTGCGGCGAATGGTCGACGTCGCGCAGCGGATGGACACTGTGATGGAGATGGTACCATTCTCCCGTGACCACGAGCTGCTGAGGCTCAGAGCCATGGTGGCGCTCTACATGGGAGATCTGTATGTGCCGCCTGCTCCAAGACCCGCATCGGAGGATAGGGACAGCAGGAGAGCGCGGGCTGGTCAACGTGCAAAGGCGAAGGGTTTGTTGCGACGGATTAAGGAGGGCGGAAGGGAGCTAAAGGACCATGATGAGGCGCTGCTCGAGTCTCTGGCGTCCGATGACGATCGGGACGAAGAGGATGAAGACACATCAGTGCTCCCCATGTTTTCTTCGTTGGAATTCTAGCCTGGCTACCAGACTTGTCCAAAACCTTAGATACAAACTTCCTGTGATTCACTACACCCCAAACAAGGCTCAAGCAATCATCGTACCAACGCCTTTCTCCTTCCCCCACCGCTGGTAAATGAGTGCCCTGTTCCGGTTCCCAACCACCACGCACCACTCCCCCTCCGGACTCCAGCCGACCTGCCTACCAACAAACCCCCCGTCAATACCCAGTGTCCGATGCGCTTTGACATAGCCGACAGGATTCGACAAGTCATACATCTCGGCCCATGCCTGCAGCGTCTCGCGGCTGTACCCCCAGCTCGTGCCGCTTTCCGGGTCCGGACTGGCCGAGACCATCGACTCCTTGTCAGCCAGTGCAAACGATCTCAGGCTCGACGTCCCGTCCCCGACCGCCGCTGTCTGGGTGGCAACCGCGTTCGCAGGCGTCTTCTTGGCCCTCTTGACCATCAGCCACGAAGGTTTCTTGACCATCAGATTCTCGTCAGCAGCTGAACCACCACCGCCACCAGCAACTCTTGCCCCACCAGCCTTCTGTTGCGCTTCCTTCAAGTCCCTCATAAACGCCCTGTACGAGCCAAACCGCGCAAAGTCCCAAAAGAAAGTCTTGCTCTTGGCATTGGCAAACGCCAGGATCGGGTGCTTCCCCGGACAATGAAACACGCGGAATCGCATGAAGAACTGCACGCCGCAGTCGGGCGTGTGGAACTGGGCCAGGCGGGTGAACATGGCCGGACGGTCGTGCGACAGCGTCGGGGCAAAGTATGAGAGCGTCTGCTTGGCCATGTCTGTCGGCGTGGGCGCGTCGAGCGGGCCCGGGATCGGGTCCGACGAGGAGAATCCTTCGATGCGCCAGAGGACGATCTTGTCTTCGTGGCAGGCTCGCGAGAGGATCAGGTCGCCGTGGAAGGCGACGCTGTTTTGGGGGGGTTGTTAATCTGGGAGAAGGTTGGGGGGAAAAGGAAGTGGTTTACCAGTCGACGAGATTGTTGTGTACTTCAGAGGAGGAGAAATGGGGGTGGATGATCACCGAGGGAATATCGACGTGCTCTGTTGGGAACTCGGGGAGAGCCCACTGGAGCTTGTCAGTTTGGTGTGAGATGACGTGGGTTTGGAGGACTCACCAGGTTGATGACTTGATCATGGCCGGCAGACAGAACATATCGGCCGTTGTCGTGGAAAGCCTGGCAGTTGTTAGCGATGCTGCTGAAAAGGACGTTTCCAACAAGGGCAACATGCCACGCTGAGCAGGTCGTATGAGTGACTTTCGCCACCAAGGATACAGACACATGGCTGCTTGTCATGGGCTGGTGCTAAGCTCCATATCCTGATGGTCGTGTCATCGGATGCCGAAGCGATGATGAGTGGGTTGTCTGGTGAAGTTGCCAGGTCGTTGATGCCCTGATCCCAATGAGTTGCTGCCCACGGGCTTAGTTTTCCATCCACTTACACCGCCATGACCAACAAGTGTCTGCCGAGGGTCAGAAGTCGTGCTCAAGTTGATTGATTACGTCCTAAGCTCACCTTGACCAACTTCCCCTGCTTCACATTGTATACTTTGACGTTGGAGTCGTTGCCGGCGACACAGAGCCAGGGTTCTTGTGTCACAGGGTCCCTGGACCAACAGCTCGCGCAGTTGGCGTCGTCCTGCTACATGGTTAGTAGAGACGAAAATTGCGACACCATGAGTGTTTGCTTACACTATCATCTCGGATGAGTTGTATGATTTCGCATGGGTTGGTGTCTTTGTCGGTCGTTTGTGTCAACCGGCAGATAACCGCCTTTGGCATTTCACAGCCATGTCAGCTCATTTCGAGGCGCTGTTGAGAGGGCCGCTGTTCTTATCCGTACATGCTTCTTGCTCGTGGCAGCAAAGACGGGAGGCGCTCCTGGCGGGTTGTATGGGTAGAACTTCACATCAAAGAACTCGGCTAGATCTGAGAGCATGGGTGAGGGTATAGGTCAGCGATTCCCCATCTGTCAGCGGAAGCGCCACCACATACCTTGACTAGCTTGCTGATCATTTGATGAGAGGTATTTGTAGTCGTCCTAGATAGCCGTGTGAGGGCTTGGGAGTCCTAAAGGGAGCGCAACGAGGAGAGAACAAACTTGAAAGAGGAAGGATGCACGCAGTTTGGGGAGCTCCCACTCCGCCGAGTCGGTGGCCGGCATCCTTGTTTTTTATGGTGAAAAATGGCTGGCGAGAGCTGCAGATGCGGTGCAAGGAGTGCAATGGCCTGAAGCGATCCCGTGGATGGATGAGATGATCGGCTCTGGCTCCCGGGTCCAAAGTAACGCGGGGCCAGGAGTAGCGAGTTGGTATGCTGCTGAAGCTTGTCAGGTATTTGGGCGGCGTATTGGAAAACCGAAATTCTTGAGGTGCAATTGGGCCCTGCTGAGATTAGTTGCGTTCCTTGAGTCTTACTGGATCATCTAACTATTTCACTGGCATGTAAACTTGAATAAGAAACTGAGATGAGTGTTCACCGGCAGTGACCTCGTCCTGAGGTCCGTGCAGTGGGTCCTTTTAAGTAAACACCCCAAACGCGACGCGCGACGCGACTTCAATTGATCTCAAACTCATGATGCCCCGTCCTACTTCCATCTATGGGCAGTAAGTACTTTAAGTAAGATGATGTACGATAGCATGTTGAACTGATAATAGTGACAGGCTCCAATTGGCATGTGCTAAAGCGGCGTACTGTTACTTAGCTCACTAGGGAGGTAACCTGCGGATTCTCCACAGCCCACGACACTAAGAGGCGCTCAGGGTCGCAATCCCCAATTCTCGGTCTAATAACGGCTGTAAGATACGGACTGTTATTCATCCGTTGTTTTCAGACTGTACTGCTCGTTTGATTATATAAAGTGGTATCAAGTCCGTCTTCGCTTCAGTTTGATTACCTAGGTTCATCTCTGCCCCCTTGGCAAACTCGCCCAGCAGGTCTCGGACACGAAGCCATGCAGTTCAAATACCTCCTCACTGGGGCTCTCCTTCCCCTGGGCCTCTTGGCAAGTCCCACGCCGGAAACAGAGGCCTCGCCCGATGCCTTTAACAGCGTCAATCAGTCCCTGAACCCCCGGGAGTTCACCCGCCCTCAGGAATGCAAGATTATCGGCAGCTCCACGACCGTGAACTGCCGCAGGGGCCCCGGCACAAAATATAGTGTCGAGCGCACACTGCGTGTGGGCACCACATACGACTTCTGGTGTGTTCGCACTGGAGAGTGCGTTACTATCAACGGTTTTCGAAACTGGTATGTGACCCTCTGCTTGACCAGAAGGGGCCAGGTAACTGAAAAACTGAAAGCGGCTGGGACTACTCGAGGCAGCTCGGCTGCTATGTTAGCGGGCACTATACGAGCTCTGCGTGCTCTCTTGGTAAGAGGAAGATATGGTGCATGGTTGATCTTGATACTTTACCATACTAACACTTGTAGCTGGGCTTGGCGGGTGCGGTGGTGCCGACGACGAAGACGCTGCAGGCCCATTCAGCTGAAAGACCAAGCTCGTATGCGAATATCCAGGGAGCTACACTCTAGTTGGCATGTCCTTTGCCAAGAGGGGGTTGGCGTTAATCGTGGATGGAAATGTGAATAGGTGAACTTGAAACCATGCCAGGAACATTGGGTCGCTTGTATAGGCCTGTTTAACGCTATTAGTATCCTGTCACATTTTCCTGTTCCGTGGTCTTGACCATTCCATGAAAAGCGTTGTCAAATCTGGTGTCAGTGAGACACCGATCATTACAGGCGCCGTAAGCTGTTGGGTCCGGCTTCCTTTCCAGTCCTCCGACCTATTGATTTGTCGCTTCACATTCTTGAAAGCTACTTAGTCAGTTTCAAGTCAACTCTTCTCCCTTTATAGTACTCAACGCCAACGTCGCTTTGACAGGATTCAAAATTTACGTATAATCAACTTGATGTAAGCATTCACTCTAATGAACTGTGAATCAATCCCCTCAAGGCTCATCCTTCGCCTCACTCCACAACTTGAGCACAGAGTGGGCAAACGCCTCAGTACATTTCAGCTACGCCACCGGAATCGAGCTTGACATCTACAGAGCCTCGGGCCGGTCGCTGATCTTCTCGAGCTCGTCCCAGTTTGAACCAGTTGAAACTGTTGAGCATGGCCTTGCGCAAGTTCGCGAAAAGCTCGCTTCACTGTCCGGTGGGCTAAGTATCAGCTCTGCCGCGTCGGACACCAACAATAGCTAGAGGTACAAGTACTACTGGTGGCGAAAGCGGGCTCCAAGGAAGGAGAACTTAAGCCGTTTAAGGTTCTGAGCCGCTTTCAACCTTGGTCATTTGCATAGTACCTAGGTAAGGTAGTCTACGGCATGAGATCATGGTTGCCTTTCTGTCCAACGCCCTGGAATTACTTGCAGTTCCCCAAGTCAGATCTGTCTACTCATTCGACTTGTGATTGATCGGTGTGGGCATGGTATCTGAGCCGCAGAGTTTGCATTAACCTCATTTTCTGCCTTTCCCTTCCACGGTTTCTCTAAGTCTTGAGTCGTATCGAATCAAAGAGCCAGAGACACTGCCCTGGTCGACCGGGACTAAAACCGAGCTACGGACCGGCACATCGCACCTGCTTTGGCTAAAGTAGGAACATGAACTAAACGAATGTCAACTGTGGTTATTCGCAATAGGCAAGCCTTGATGTAGCTCGTTTGATTTTATTCTCAAGGTGCTGAACATCAGAGATCTGAGTAAGAAAGAACCTAATCGCAATCCCAGTGGCGCAGTGCATGTAGTGAGATGTCAGGCTCCCGTGAGATGTCAGGCTCCCGTGAGATGTCAGGCTCTCGTGAGCCGTGATCTCTTAAGGTATGATCCAGCCCTAATGTCAGGGGTGTCAGCCAGCTTGTCATGCCGTTTTTAAAAGCCGCAAGCTTGTTGCGCCTCAATCAAGATGCGGCTGTTGGATTCCATCAACCCGTGACGGGTAGCAGCATGACGCATAGACCACACGGACACTCGGACAGGACGGGCAAACAACGAACGTATCGGGCACGTGAGAGACGATTCGATATCATACTCACGCGGCCGAGCGAGCAAACTGGGCACTGTGTCTGTCCGTTTCTCAAGCACGTAGCCGGGCAATCGATCCCAGATCCTTGGTGACTCTGGTCCACTGAATCCGCGGTAGTCGCGTGAACGGCTGCTTTGTCTCATTCAGTTTGATCCCGGGCCACATGGAAGGGTTTTGCTTTTCTCAGCTTGGCAAAACGACAATACAACCGCGGAAGAGCATTGACGAGTGCCATTTGCCCGATCACATTCTTGAATTGTCGATGGGTAATTTCAATTTCAGCATTCCCTGTGAGGCCGAGATCTTCACTCACCTCCTGCCCATTGGACGCTTCGTAAGTTCTCCAATGGTTGCACGGAATAGGGCCGCTAACGGAAGATGCCGCTCCCCCCTACCGGTACAGCCCGGAAACTCTCGACTCCACTGTTCCCGTCCACTTGAATCCACCAGCCAACGCCAAGGAGACTCGGCTTGTGAATGTTAATTAGAATGAACACAGCCCGAGTAGAGACTGACACTGTCCTTCTCAGAGTCCGTCCATCTGGAACATCCGCCATGGTAGCCATCACCGTTCTCAACGTCTTTGTGTAACTGGGAAGTCACCTTGGAAATATGCCTGGAGGCAGTAAAAGTAGCGAAGTGCACGGAAGCGGAAGGCTCATTCTTTCCGCCTGGGTCGCAACGGTGGGGCAGGATCTTCCGTCGGGGTTGCAACCATGCCGGCCCTGACGATCATACAGAGAAACGGAACGGACAGCCCAGAGCTGATCATCAGATAGTAAAAAGGGATGAAGCTTCTTCTGGATTGTGAGCCTGGCGTTCTACCTTTAATTACAATACGGGACAAATGGTCAGTACCTCCACTTAGTCACGGGCAGTCATCAGCAGTACCTGTAACACAAGCACAAGACGTTGCCAGGGTCGGGTCACCACCCCAGAAGTCTACTCCGTACGCACATACTGTCTCGGCCAAAGCCGTATTGATGGCTTCCTCTACTACGCAGTATGGGGTTTGATCCGGCACCAGCACAAAGCATCATCTGTAGTAAAGATCGATTCTTTTATAGGTTTGTTTTTTTTTGGCGTTGCTTTCGGCGTCTTGGGAGCGAATTTCGGAGACCGTCCTTGCCATTCTCCTGTGTCTCTATAAAGGCGTAGCTATCGTCTGGCAAAGACAGGGAAACCATAACGTTACCTTGACAGGCAGCTTCGTCCCATGTCGAGCATTCGAAATCAGACGCTTCCAATAATGAGGCGCATACGATCTTGTAACATGCAAGCTCCGCAAGAGGTCCCGTCCACGAAGGGCTCAGAAACAGCACTGGCAGTCCAAGGTAGTTCACCCTTTGCTTTCAGAAGACTGAACTCAAGGTTCAACTTATGGCTCAACTTGAAAGCTTGCACGTTGTGACAGGTGCCATCCCGTCCCGCTCATGCCAAGACCCCTCCCACAACATGAACCTGGGCGCCCTCCGTTCCCTGGTCCTTCCCAACAACAGGGCTGCCCTGCCCTGGCTTCTTTCCGCTCCGGCAAGCTGCACTTGCTGTGGGGAGGAAAAATTGCGATTCTGCCGGCGGGTTCGCATCCGCCCACTACAGAAGCTCCAGGAAGCTCCTCAACAAGGCGTGGAGTCGACGGGATCTACGCCGAAGAGATTCGAGCCCTCACCCCCATCAGAGCCGAGTTCTCTGCCGCCGTATGTGACAGAGTCTCTTTGCTCCTGTCAATCTTCCACTTTCTTGACTTCTCGTCTGATACATTGCCAGTTTGCGCTGCATCAGGCCCGCATCTCCTGATACACCCAATACCGCGTCCCCGCGATCGATTGCAACGTGCTGTGCTACAGTCCCTTCCCGTCTCACACTCAGCTCAGATCCGGCTCCAGTCTCTCTCGACTTTCCAGAAACCGCACAGCTGATACACACCTCTTCTAAGTCCTGCGTGCATCTCCCCACCACTGACAGCTTCCATTATCACGCGAAACCGTCACTCGTTTGCCTTCGAAGGAAAGTGAATTAGCGAGGACAATTGACAACAAACGCAACGAGACCGACACTCTTTCTGCAGCACTCCGTCTCTGCAACACCAACAATTGTCGGCCGATCACGTTACCTCACAACCCAACTGACCAGCAGTCCCTCACGTTCCCCGCTGCGAGCACTGCCCAACCCTGCCTCTGGTGCTTTGGCTGGCTGCAAAAAACCGAAGACATTGCTTGCAGTGTGACCTTGCCGCCCGGCGCTTTCGGTTACGATTTCGGTCTGTGACTCCGAGCCAGCAGTTGACGGCCTTCTCCTCCTTAGTGCATGCTGCATTCTGCCGCGTCCCAAGGCTTCCAACAGTTTTTCGGGCCAGCTTGTTCACTCCCCTCCCGCCAGTTCCAGAAACAGCCCGCGGTGGAACGGGTGGCCTTGATATCTCCGCTCCCAGGTTACGGCGGGATCTCTGTGCTACCATTTCGGTTGGGCCAAACTGAGCACTCAGCGGCCGAGGACTTCCACGGACAGGCGATACCGCAGAACACCGGCCTTTCTTGCCGCACGCTCTGTGGCGTCCTCCCACCTGTCCTTCTCGTCCAGGAGGAGTCAGGAACCACGGCGCACGATCTGTTTTCCCATGCCGCGAGCCCTGGGACACTACCTCAACACTCTGTGGGCGCACTGCACGACATCCTGTTTTGTGCTCGGCTCGGCGCCTTCCTTTTGAGATTAGCTTCTCCTGCTGGAAATCATCACTTTCCCGTTAGCTCATGGAGAGCATCTCGTAACCACACCTTTGCATACCAGGCCAGCTCGTTGGAACGGCCTACCATAACCAGCCCGCTATGGATCCCCGAGACCAGACGTTCATGACCATTCACAGTAGGTCGAACCACGCCTGAGTTCTCACCTGCCGGCTGACCATTGCATCCTCCAGACCTCACCCCGGATGCCAACATTCTCTTCGCCTCGGACTCGATCCTTGATATTCTGGGCTACCAGCCCGACGAGGTCAGGGGCAAGTCCGCCTTTGACTACTTCCATCCCGATGAGGTGCCGTTTGCCCGCTCGATCCACAGCAGAGGCATCCTGCTAGACAAGGCGGCCGTCCTCCACTACGCGCGAATTCTCTCCAAAACCGGGCAGTGGGTTGGCTGTGAATGCTGTTTCACCGTGGTTCACAATGTGCTGGTGGCCTCGACGAGTATATACTTCAAGGGTGAACGGAGCGAGAGTATGGCTTTGTTTCCTGGCAAGATTTTGCAATCTGTGGCTGACGTGCACCGCTAGGGCGGGCCAGGGACGCACCACAGATCAGACGTATATTCTCCAGCTCGCCACGAGATCCCCGGTACCACATGCTCGAGCACTTGTCTCCTAAATTCAAGATGCCACCCATGGAGCGAGAACCTCGCGCTGCGCTCATACTCAACCGATTCACGAGGAACCTGACCATCATGTATGCGACAGATGCTGTTGCGCAGATTTTAGGGGTACGCCCCAATGAACTGCTCGAGAGGCCGTTCTACGAGTGTATCCAGCCGAACTGTCTTGACGAAGCGGAACGGTGCTTGGAGAGCGCCAAGGCGAACGAGTCGATTGCGTACTTGCGTTTCTGGTACAAGGATCCCCGGATCGATCCCAATGATCCCGTCAGCGAAGACGAGGTCGATGGCATGGAGGGTGAAGGCGACGACGGGAGCAGTCCGAGCGAGAGCGAGGCCGACTTGAAAGACCCAAGTCTAAAAGATCGCTGCATGGATCTTGACCAAGAACCTGGACCTCAGACGTGCGAGGAGGACGATATTGAGGGGGAAGATGGGGAGTCGAGGAGTGGTGCACGCGCATCAACACCACAGAGGTGCCGGCCGCAGTCCCCTCAGACTTGTGAACTCGAGGCTGTCGTCTCGTGCACATCCGACGGGCTCGTCGTGGTGCTGCGGAGAGCCCGGCCTCCTATTCCCGACCCACAGCCGCCCGTAATTCCGGCCGCCTTCAATTTTGAGAACGGCCTCTTCGCGGCACCGTGGGGCCTCCAGCCCATTGAACCCTACATCTCCCCCGAACTACTCTACACATTCCGCCCACCCCTCCTCCCGCAGTATATGCCGCTGCGAGAGTGTGTCAAAGCCGCAGGCGGACCTCCCCTTGACCGTACGTCTCTTTTTCCCCTCCTCTTCACCTTCCCCAAGAAGTCCGTCTTTCTAACCCCCGCAATCACAGAACTGATGCGCTCAATACGCGACGTGGCCGTCTTCGCCTGGGCCGTGACCGGTATCAACCCGACGCTCGCCAACTACGGCCATGGCCGGCCAATGATAAGCGCCCCACCACCGGTCGACGGCCTCCCCACGTGGGAACCCGATTCCCGCCCAACCATGTACCCACCGCCGGAAGACCTCTCCGGCACCGGCACCGGCACCGGGAGCGGTAGCAGCAGCAGCAGCAGCAGCGACCTCCCGAAGGAACCGGCCTTTGGCCGCGCCTCCTTCTACTCTCCTCCAGAGGCTGCCGGACCCATCCACGGCTACCGCACACGGCATGCTTCGCTGGACGAGAATATGTATAATGGCGGCATAGCGGGATGGCACGGATCGGCGCCATACCACTATGGTGATGGTGGTGATGGTGGAGGCTATGACTCGGGAGGGTATAGTCAGCATGGCCGTCGGCCGCCACTGCGGCCAGCGTTTTCGTATGACGCGCTGCAGGACCACGCGAGACATCAGCAGCAGCCGCAGCAGCAGGGGTGTTATATACCGTTGGCGGCGGAGGTGGCAGCGCGGAGGTGCAACCTTGGCGATAAGCCGTGGACAGCTGGGGCGAGGTACGCTGCGCGCGAGCCGTTGAGGAGGGCCGCGGGCGGTGCGGGGGGAGGGGGTGGGAGTGTGGGTGAGTCGTCAAAGACGACGGCGGCTGCGGGGAGGTACTTTTGGTAGAGCTAGGGCGGGCCTGTTGCCCTGCTCCGCAAACTCGCCCACTGACCATGGGACGGTGGTTGGGTTGGAAAGCTAAGGTAGCTTGCTGGCTACTACATGGGACATGGTTTGCACGGTTACAGTTGGGACATGTTCTGGGTTGGGACTGGGAAGGGAACTAGGGAAGGACGGAATATTGGAATGGATAGGTGGTGGTTCAAAATCGGGTATACGGGATAGCTACCTCTGGGCACGACTGGAAGTATTCGTTATTATAATGGTGGGTTTTGACTGTGTATTTCGCATCAACGGCTGAATGTCGTTGGAGATGGGGAGGAGTGAATGTTGATGAGATGTTGGCCGTGGGCATCAATCTTGTGCCCACTTGGTGGCATCGATGTGTCTGTTTGTATTTGCAGAGAGTGGGTCTCGGACAGATGATGTGTTGGATGAAACTACAAGATTGATCGAAGCGTGGGGTATCTTCATGGATGGAGTGTCGAGTCCGGGTGGAAATACCAATATACTGAGGCACTGCCAAATGTCCGAGTTGAAATCACTGGTCTTCGTTGAATATGGGCGGTTGTAATGTTCTGGGTAAGTTGCTCGTGGATGACATGGGTTTGGACGATTGGACACACTGAATCTGGTCTGATTGGGCTCTCTGCCTGGTTGTGAGTGGAAGCCATTCTGGCTGGGGCGGCCCAAGAAGAGGAGGAATCCGCGTCGCGATAGTAGGAGTCTGGAGAAGCGTCTGTTATGAGCCCTTCGAAAGAGAGTACAATTCAACCTGTTTGTGTTCGTTAGCGAAGAAAACTAGGAAGAGTAAAAAAAATAAATGAAATATAAAGCACAAAAACAAGAGAAGACGAAAAAAACAGGAAGATAAAGGAAGAGAGGAGAAAGATAAAGAGGAAGAGGAAGAGGAAGAGGAAAGGAGGGCAGGAAGAAAGGAGGGAAGGAAGGAAACAACAAGGTCGAAGTGAAAGATGAGGTGGAATACCTAAGTTACATAGTTACCAACAAACTGGAACCTATGGTTGAGTTGTGGGTAATGTGGTACATTGTACGGATCCGTATACACCTTTACGATTTGTTGATGCCTGAAATGTGCCCCACGAATTCCGCTCCAGCAGGGAGCTTGGGCCAGCCCGCCAATGTGCAACGCCAATCGACTTGCGTAACGCGCGCACCTTGAGGATACCGTGGATGTTTTGGTGAGCTAAGTGATACCGACGACAGCACCACCTATTGCGCCGCACTTCAACGAAGTCGTCAGTATTCATACACAAGCGGCGCTTGTTCAGACGGACAAACCACGACGACTCCCTCATCCACCAACATGGCCTCTAACCACCACGACTACCAAAACGTCTCAGGCGTCGACCTCGACGACGGCGACCTAATCGACCCGGATGACGGTATGTTTCAAGTTCTACTCCATGACAATTCACCGCCATTATCCCCATCGAAGCTAACCAACAAAAAAATCACCCAGCCGACCTCAACACCTTCGACGACCCGCTCGCCAGCACCACCCAACCCTCCACCTCCCGCACACCCCTAACCGGCACCATACGGTCCTCCGCCTCCTCCTCCGCCGCCGCCGCGAACAATAACAGGAACAATGCAGCAAGCTCCTGGACCTCGCGCTTCCCAGGTGAAGACCGCACCTCCTCCGCCCTCTCGACTATCGACGAGTCCGTCTGGGCCACCCTCCGCCGCGACCTGCTCGCCGTCTGGCACAAGTTGAGGGAAGTGCTCTACCCGCGGCACCTGTTCTCGTCCTGGGGCGGGACCGACTCTATCCGCGGTGCGTACGCCAGCCTGCGGAGCGGCGGGTTGGCGAGCGCAAGGGAGGAGCTGGCTGGTCTTGCGGGGCGGGTCATGGATGCGGAGAGTCTGTTGGAGCATGGGAATGGTGGTAATGGTGGTGGGGGTTTGAGGGATTGGGATTTATGGGGGCCATTGATTTTTTGTTTGTTGCTGAGCACGTTGCTGTGTCTGCGCAGTCGGGATGACCAGCGGGACATGGTGTTCAGTGGCGTGTTTGCGATGGTGTGGGTTGGAATGGCGGTAGTGACGGTGCAGATCAAGTTGTTGGGGGGAAATATGTGAGCCATCTGGAACCCCTGGAGAGTGAAACTCTGTACTGACACTGCTGGTATAGTTCGTTTGCGTCGAGCATCTGCGTTATTGGGTACACGCTGTTCCCGCTGGTCATTGCGGCGCTGCTGTCGGCGCTGAGGCTGCATTGGATTGCGAGGATCCCCGTCTATCTCGTGCTGGTGGCCTGGTCGCTGGCCGCCGGCGTGAGCATCCTGGGAGGTAGCGGCGTCGTCAAGAACCGGGTTGGGCTGGCTGTCTATCCGCTGTTCATCTTCTACCTGGGTCTCGGCTGCCTGTGCTTCATCAGCTAAGTCGAGATGGTTGGAGAGCTGGGTGTGGGGAGCTATGGGCGTGGTGCTGACGTGTATTTCTGAATCATCCTGACAATTGTATCCGTAAGGGACAACGGCATGGACTGGTGGTTAACATCCGTATGCGGCCCCAGGAGTGGGTTGCGTATTCCCCCCTGATTTCTGTTAGCGGAGACACTATGATATTTCAGTCTTGCCTCAACTTCGCGTCCCTTGATCTCTCGGTACGTAAACTCCCGCCGTTCTATTCGATGCCACTTGCTAACCACGCCCCAACATACGTTCAAGGCCGCAGTGACCGCGCCGCGCATCGTGACTGTCGGAGTGGCGTTTCGGGCGGTTCTGGATGCGGGTAGTAAAACGCCATGGCACTCAGCAAAGCTCCGGCGTTGGTCACGCCTGATCCGGGCTACCTCAGCTCAGCCCAGGTCAGAATATGCCGCCTCTAACTTCCCCATCAATCCTTGTTTCTTAGGGCTCCTGACAACTCTTCTCGAGATAATACAAGACGGTCGAAATGCGTACATTCCATCGACTTCAATCCTATTACATTGTCCTCTTCGTTCGTTCCGCGTCTAGCGCTGATGATGCTGGCGGCGCGCCCCAGGCGGTGTCAGCTCCGTGCCATACCCCTCCCCAACTCTGCTATCAACACTGACCACGCCATCGACATCAGTAATCCGCGCTCGACAGATATCTCCGCAGCCTACTCGCGCATGGCCAAGCTGCGCGCTCCCATGATCAAGCACATTGCGATCATCCAATGCCGGCGGCTATTTCGACTGTTTGTACTATGGGCAAATCTACGAGACCAAGTATCTCACCGACTGCGACTGCACGTACCTGTCGACGTGCACCCCATGGTGCACTCAGGAGCACGGATCTTCCCAGCTGAGCTCAGCATACCAATCGTGTAGTTCATTCTGGCCTCACATGGGGATGGAACGGCTTTCCAATTGAGAACATCCTCACCCGGAGTGAGCGGAACAACTCCGCCCCTAGGATAGGGAGTGCAGCGGTGTCACTGACAGACGGACAGATGCTTCTACTCACGTTACGCCCGCCTTAAGGGTACTGCTGTCGCAGCCTGCTCCCACTGGTTATTTTGGGAAGGGTACCGTATGTGCAGTGTCCATGAGCTCCATGCTTACAACGACAAGCTCTACAGTCCGAAACTCCTCAGTGACCAGTCGTTCAAGCTCTACAACGTTAAGCTCAATCAAAACAAGACTCACAAACGCGGCAAATGTCCTCGAAACGATCGGACCCAACTATCCCAGTTGCGCAACCGCAATGGATCCGCTCTGTCCAGCCCTCTAAACGCGCGCGGCCACCTGCTGGGACGCCAGCCCTAGTCCCACCTCCTGGCTTTGCGAAGCTCTCATAGCTCCCAGCGTCTCCTGCTCCTCCATCCGCAACGCGTCGGGAGAACCGCTATCCTACCTCCACTGGCTGCGTCAAACCTGCCCCGACCTACTCCCTTCCTCTGTCAAAGGCAACCTCACCACCCCCACACAAATTCTCTCTGGTCGAATTACGCCGCCTATCAAAGCCTCATCTACAGGGACTTGATCCCCTGGTCGTGGCACGTTGCCCCCTCCCGCTCACCGCCCTCAAACTCGACACCACCAGCCCAGTGCCCGAACAGAGCAACAATATTGGCCTCGTACGCCGTCATCAACGCCCTCACCCTCTGGTTCACTATCATGCTCGGCCGCCGTACAGTGGTCCACTATCTCACTCGCGGCTGGCTCGGCAGTCTCGGCTCCCCCTGGTGGCCCGTCTCGGCCGTCCTGGCCACGGGCCTAACCATAGGGCAGACCCTTTCTCAACGCACACTTAGTGCGGGCCGCGCCCGGGTACGCGCCACACGTCCCCGCGCAGAGCTCGCGCTGCTGTGGCTCTGCCGGCAGAGGATCGCGTGGGTGGCCGTGCTGCTCGCCAAGTGGCGGCTCGAGGAGGGCATGTACGTGGGCGTGGCGGCGTCGGCGACGCTGCAGGAAACCATCGTGCAGGCGCTCGGGCTGGGTTACATGGGCATGACGGTGGACTGGGGCCGGACGCTGGGGTTGTATGAGGTGCGGAACGGTGGGTTGTGGGAAGTTGTCCGGGAGGAGTGGCGGGGCCCCGCAAGGATAATGTATGCCGGAGCCATGCTGTGGATGGCGTCTGTTTGCCTTGTGGTGATCCATGTGGTGGTCACATTTATGGGGTTGGGCCCCCTGATTGGAGGTTGGCCAGGTACTTGTGCGGGCTTTCGAGGGGGGGGGAGTGAAAGGGGTGAAGGGGGTGACAACTGTGAATGAGGGCTTTGGTGGCCATCTGAAGGATCTGTGGCAGGCGATGAAGGAGTATATGAGGAGGGGGGTGTTTCGGAGGTTCGCTGAGACTATGCCGCCGTTGGAGGTAGCGATCGATATGCTGAGAAGCCAGGGGCTGGTTGCGCCGTCCTCGTGCGCTCATGGTGTGCCTCAGATGGCCGGAATGATCGAAAATAGGGATGAGGCACGGCAGGTGGAGGCCATTTCACAGGAGCAGGCAAAGGGCGAGACCGAGTGTGTCCCCGAAGACCAGCACAGTTCGGGGCCGTATGCCTGGCTCTTCGGGATGGGGTTGTCCCTCGCCGGCGTAGGCAAAGTGGCAAAGTGCAGGCTGTCTTTTCATGGATGGTTCTACCATTTATTGGACAGTGGCTGTTCTGGGTCGGATTCGTCGATCGTGCCCAAGACTTGTTCGTGCTCCTGCTTTCGGGCAACCAAAAGGAGATTTGCTTATCGGTATGTAGATACTGCCCTCCAAGCGTGTGGCAACTCATCGCCATATGGGGTGCTGGGTTGGCGATATGTAAGTCGGCGATAATGAGCGACCTTCCGAGGACTTTGTTAACCCTAGCCACAGCCTCGTTCATCCGTGGTGGGCCCCCCTTGACACCTCGGACTTTGGGTTCATGGAGAGTCTCAACAAGCGGTCCGTTTATGAACGCTGAACAACCTGCCTCTTGCCCTCTTTTCATCCTGCCCCTGACCAACGCTAGCGGCGGGTGACGTCGTCTTGACGACGCGCCGCCTCTATCAAAGATACCAGATACAAACGCGAAGACGACAAAGCCCCTAACGATGCCCAACACTTCCCTCGCCCGCCTCAGCTGCCGCGATAATATGTGGATTCGGGTAGTACAGCGCCGCGACGGCGATGGCAACGTACACCAATACGCACAGCGCGCCCTCGAGGTAGTTGCTCTTCTGGTCCCTCAGAAAATTACCTACGGTGAGGATGGCCAGCAGCAGAACCACCAAATCAAACACCTCAAAGTTAAGGCCCATGGGCTTGTCGAGCCCCCAGCCGACGATGACGACGAGCGGGGCGTTAAAGAGGGCCGTCTGCAGCGTGGCGCCCAGCACGTGCGATAAGGCAAAATTCATCTGGTTGTCGTACGCCTCGTCGACAGCCGTCAGGTGCTCGGCCGCTTTCTCGACAAGCGGCACGAGGATGAGACCGACAAAGGCATCCGAGACGTGTCGCTCCTCGACAAGGTAGTGGATCTGGTCGACCAGTGCAATCGCGATGAGGGTGACAAGGGCGATGGAGATGGACAGGGCGAGACAGCACTCGGTGAAAGTCAGGCGGTAGTGCATCTTCTCCAGGTGCTTATCGGCGTCGCGTGCCTCGTCGGCGACGAAGACGTCGTTGTAGATGCCGTGATGGGTACGAGCTTGGAAGAAGACGTATATTAGGTAGGCGACCATTAACAGAACGGCCGAGCTGCGCGAGATCTCAATCGTTTTAATCATGAGCTCGCTGTCTGGGATCTTGCCGCTCAGAGAGTGCTCGAAGACCGTGGGGACGGCGAGGCCGAAACCGCTGCGTGGCTGTCAACCTATGATTATTCAGGGGAAAGGCAAGAAACTCACGCCGTCAAGAGCAGCCCGCTCCCGGCCTCGCTCACAGCCTCAGAGAAGTGCGTCTCCTCCCGCTTCAGGCCTGCCGCGACGAAGCACAGGCCGAGACACAGCAGCATGGTGGCCAGCACCGAACCCAGAATTGCCGCCTTGATCACCTGGATGTAGTCGACCACCCCGTCCTCAGGCCGCGTGATCAAGACAACGAACATGATGATCTCGACCAGGCTCCCAAGCCTGTTACCATGTCTGTCAGTCAGCCAGGCATTCTTGTGTCTTCACACCCCCATCCATCCCTTCTCATTACTCATCCCCTCCGATTACCGGTAGGTGGAGGCTAAACTCACGTGGTCTCAATAATAACCCCCATGACATGTGGAAACTTGCGGCTCAGCTCTTGCCCGGCAAACCCAATCAGGTTCGCGCACGGTACCATGGCCAAGTAACTCAGGATGAAGATGACGAGGTGGTTGTTTGGCATGGCGTACCGCACCGCAATGGCGGCTGGCACGACGGGCCAGAGCACATTGACGATACGCGAGGCCCACGAGGCGGAGCGGAAAACGTTGCGCAGAAAGATCAGCGGGTGGATGCCCGAACGGCCAGACTCGCCCGTCGGGCGCACCGCCAGGGTCCGCTTGATCTTTTCGGTCGGCGTGGGTTTCCTTGCGAGGGGTACGTCGGCGGTGTGCAGAGGGAGGTGGCCATTGTTGGTGGTGGTCTGGGAAGGCTTTTCCAAGGTTGAGGAGGGAGAGGTTGTTGGCGGGACGGCTGGTGATGACGAGGGTTGGTGTTGTTGTTGTCGTTGCTGGGGTTCGGCCGTGGGCGGCGAGTCCGGGGTCATTATTACGCACTCAGTGTTCGAGGTGAATCTGTCGTCAACTGAGAGTTACCGAAGCATGGGCTTGGCTTTATCGTTGGATTGACAGCCAGGGTCTGTGTAACGCCGTTGAGTCGTTAATGGAGCAGCAGGACCTGCGATGAGACGAAACATAACCGCGAACTCGATGCTGGGAGATCCAACCTCTAAAAAGACCTCGATCCGGAAAGAAAAGGTCTCGATTGAGCCAAGATCAGCCCCACGACGGGCCCAGCCGTCAAGGGCTTGATCCCTTGGCTCGCTTGGCAGCGACGCCCGTCAACAAGCATGGAACATGCGTGCCGATTCCCACCTTCGCAGGGCCACCTGGCGTTCGTTGCTTGGCTCCTGTTTCAGGAGTCGGGAACGCGGCATGGAAAGCTGGCAGCCAACCCCATCACACGGGTAACAGGACAACACGAAACAAGGCGTCGCCTTTGTGCCATCTTTCGTTAGCCTTCGCCGCCATGGGCCGCTGCTGTGCAGCAGCAGCATCATGAACACCAACAGTCTCAGCGCTCTGAGACAGGCAGACGGCCACAGCACAGAAATCTCACGGAAAATGACGGGGCTGCTGCCCGCCCCAGTGCTGTGTGGCATTGTTGACTTTTGAGCTGAGCAAGGGTTCTAGACGGATCAGCAGGGATCAGACAAGGCTAACCTTAGCGTTCCAATGGCGGGCTCGGCAAAGCAAGGTGCCGAGTCTTCTGCGCTCTCTGTGCAACTTTTGTCTGAGACAGTTGCAGTGAGAGTGGATGGCATGAACGAAGGCGGTTGAACCGTTGAAGAGGCACTAAGCCGGTGCTTATACGAATAGTGAGGGGATGGTGCCGTCAAAAATAACGTCCGGACCTGCCGGATGCCGCAGCGGAGCCCTCCACGACATGGGGCCGGGTCTAGGGTTACGGAGGCCGATAGAATACCACACTATTCGGTGCAAGGGACCCGGCCATCACCGTCCTCACCCTCAATTATCAAGCCCTTCCCATCCTTTGTCGGCACCGTACCCGCCAACACAACCGTCTCCACCCCAGCCGGACTGCCCTCCTCCGGCCCCATGGGCAGCGCCTCGACATCGATCTCCTCATCGAGCAACGCCTTCAACATTACTTCACACCCAGCCTTGCTCATGACCTCGTTCATCTCCTTGCACATCTCGGACGCGCAGCACTCGATACAACCCCCCTCACAGGCACAGGCCTGCACCCTCGCCAGGGCCTGCCTCAGTAGCAGGTCCACAAACTCAAACGCCTTGGTGTTGATGCCGCACCCGCCCGCGCCGCCCTTGGCGTCGTAAAACGTCAGCCTGGCGGGCCTTTTGCGCGCCGTCTCGCGCTTGGCGAACTCCTTTAGCCCGCTCTTGCACTCGGTCCGGACGTCGCCAGGCATGCTGACGACAAAGTTGGGAATGAGGCTCATGAGCGCGTGCTGGGCGGCGTGGATGGCGGCCGCGACGTTGAGCCGACGGGACACGAGTATGTCGAGCGCGTGTTTCGGCACGTCGAGCCACATGCCCTTGCTGTGGCGGACGACGGGCGGGTTGCCGACTTGGACGGCGTCGAGCACCCGGTTGCCGCGGCGGGGATCAACCTTGAAGTAGCCAAAGACGACCTGTGTGATGCGGATGGCGCCGTAGTAGGCGCGCCAGCGGGAGCGGGCGATGCGCTTCACCGCCTCGGTGCAGATTGGGTCCACGTCGGTGTAGTCGCGCTGCTGGGTGAGCCAGTCGACCTTGACCTTCTCGACGCGCGCTAGCTGCTTGTCGGGGTTGAAGTCGCGTACGAGGTAGGTGTTGCCTTGGTGGAGGAAGATAGCGCCGTCATAGATGGTGAAGGTTGCGCGCGAGGCTTCGAGCTCCTCGAGTACCACGTTTCGATTGTTGGTGATGTCGATAATGGCGAAGTGGTCGTCTTCCGTGTCGCGGATCGAGACGAACTTTGAGGGCAGCGGGCGGAAGCGGGGGTGGCAGTGGTAGAAGCCAGAATCGTCTAGGATGAGCCGGTCGGCGCAGATTTGGGCGAGGTCGCTGCCAAAGTAGACGGCGTCTTCGGTTGGCCGGATCGGCATCTCGTAAGCGGCGCACTGGATGTGCCCTTCCTTGACGAGCATGTTGCCCAGGTCAACCTGCAGCTCGCAGTTCGGCTTGGTGAAGAGCTCGTCCGGGTTTTGCATGTAGTATTGGTCCGTCGCAAAGCCATCCCCCACCAGGATCGATAGTGAGTCCTTGTTTCTTCGGCCCGCCCTGCCACTCTGCTGTCTGAGGTTGGCGATGGTGTACGGGAAGCCCCATGTCAGCACGCAGTCCAGCGTGCCAATGTCGACACCAAGCTCGAGGGCGGTGGTGGCAATAATTCCGAGCAGTTTGCCTTCAAACATCTCCATTTCAATTCTCCGACGGTCTTGGGCAGTGTAGCCGCCGCGGTAGCCCATGACGCGAGCAACCACCTCTCCCCGGCCGAGCGTCTCTAGCTCCTGTTTGACAGCGCCGACCAGTTTCTCGCACTGCTCACGGACCCTGCAGAAGGCGATGACCCTGACGCCGCGGAGGATGAGCTGAGAGAACAGGCGCGAGCACTCAAGCATTGCATTGCCGCGGCCGCTCGCCGGATCGCCGGGGTCTTTGTACGGCGTGTTCCAGCAGATGAACTCCTTGCGTCCTGTACAGCCGTTAGCGTGTCGTACAGTCTCTACGTAGGGCCTTCCTACCTGACGGAGATCCGTCAAAGTCGACCAACCGCACATCGTCGATGCCAAAGATCGTCTTAAAGTGCTGCTCCGGGTTTGCGACGGTCGCCGAGCACGAGATAAACTTGACGTGCCTGTTCCCAAGTGCCGCGCATGTTCGCCGCAGCCTCCTCATGATGAAAGCGACGTGCGAACCCATCAAGCCGTTGTAGTAATGTAGTTCGTCAACTGCCGCTGTGAGCCGGAGTCCTAAATGAAGTCAAGCTCGATCTTGAGAGACTTACCGACCACATACTTGAGATGTTTGAGGAAACTCCTCCACTTCTCTTCCTTGGGGAGGATTGTAATATGGAGCATGTCCGGATTTGTGAAGATAATCCTCGCCTCGTCGCGAATCGCGTTTCTCTCATTCATGGGAGTGTCCCCGTCAAACGTCTCGACTAGCACCTCTTCCATCCCTGGCATGAAACCCATCATCTCCTTCAGGCTCCGCCTCTGATCCTGAGCCAGCGCCTTGGTCGGAAAGATGTACATGGCCCGCGTGTTGCGGTCCTGCTCCAGCGCGTGCAGCACGGGCAGTTGGTAGATCAACGACTTGCCGGAGCTGGTCGAGGTCGCCACGACGACGTTGTAACCCTCGTGCAGGGCGTTGATGGCCTCGGCCTGGTGGGCATAGAAGCGTGTGATACCCTTGGCATTGTACAGCGCATTTACCAGATCCTGGCTCAAAAGGAAGTCTAGGTCGCCATAAACAGCCTCTTGCGCTTCAAACACCCTGTGCCCGTCCGGCACTATCTGCCCGGTATACCATGGACTGTCCTTGATCTCCTGCACGATCTCGGGAATACTCTTCCGCTCGCGGGGTATGCTCGGGGGGAGGCTCACCGTCAACCGTTGTTCTTCCGTCTCGACCTCGGTCATCCTAGGTATATACCCCTCCCTCATATCCCTCAATACCATTTCAGGGTCCAGCCCGTCGGCAACGCACCGCTCCACGAAATCATTCGCCGCCAGCAAAAACTTTGCGTTGCGCCGTTCAATCAGCCGCATCATCTGCGACTGGCTGAAAACAGGCATCTTCATGCGGTCCTCTCTGTCCCGGACTTTGCTGGCCTTCGCATCCGACCTCAACTCACCGTCCAAGAACTCAAACACCAGCACCTCCTTCCGCCCCGAGCCGGGTTCGTCACCGTCCTGGAGAAAATACTCCCTTCCTCTCTCCGTCTCGGCGCCTCCCATGGACAGGGCAAGCTCCACCTCACTGACATACTCAAACCTGACCCCGCCGCCTTCGTTGCCGTGCGCATTCCTTTGCGCTCCATTCTTTTCTCCAGCGGCCGCTCCACCTGAATCCCCAGTCCACTCTCTACCCAAACCATTACCCTCGTTTTCACCATTCCTATCGCCGCCGCCGCGATAGCCGCGCCTCCGCAGCCCAACAATAGCCGCCACGTCCTCAACAAGCAGCTCGCATTTGATGTGGCCTTCGACAGCAGGCTTCAGCGTGTCAAAGGTCGGAGCCAACGTGCCGCGCCGGGCGGAGAAGAAGGTCGACACCAGGTTCAGGGCGCGGTGCGTCTTTTCGAGGTGAGTGAGGTACGCCGGCCAGGGGCCGGCTGGTTTTATCTGGTCTGTCGTTTTCTGACGACGGGATTTGGGGTTCGACTTTTGCAGGGTTTCGGATGGGGTTTTGGGTGTGGTTGTTCGACTTCTTTTCTGGGACTGCTCCTTCCTTGCGGGGCGCTGGCCCTTGTCGCTGTCTTGGGATTGATCAAGTGTCGTTGTTGTTGGTACGTGTGCTGATGTTATGTTCATGGTGGTGTTGGTGGCTTCGCCAGGAGAGATCGCTTGAAATGATAGCGTTAGGAATGGGCTTTCGGGTGCCGTCGTGGATGCTGGGGCCGGCTTGAAAAGGGAATCTTCCTCGGTTGCGCACCCGCGCTTGCGCTTGCCTAGGTTACTGCCCATGGCGGCGGAATCCTTGGATGAGGGCACCTTTTTTGGGTACTTGTCGGTGTGTTAGAGAGAGAGATTATGTGGAGTGGGAGAGGCGACGTCTTTATTCAAAGAAGCTGAGAGGAACTCGTTGAGGACGTGTGAAGTGGCTCGCGAAAATGGCGGGAAAGCACGTGCTGGCCTACTGGTCTTGTATAGAGCATATCCACGGACGCCTACCTGTACGGATCCGTATGTGTACTATACAATACCTACAGTACAGTCCAGCCCCTGGTATCTTGCAGATATTGACGTTCTCGTCAAAGACAACGAAGGAGAAGAATTATAAAGCGAGCTGTTGAGAAGAAGGTTAAATTGAGGATGGAAAGAACAAAATAAAGTCGTAGTTCATAATAGTCCAGCAATTTATCTGAAGCAACACGGTAGAAAAGCTCTTTGTCCGTAATTTTAAAACTTCACGCTAACAGATCGGGTTAGCTCGGTTCTATTCCAGGGGCTTGATAAGTCGAGGCTCGACTGAGACACGATGAGAGTCCAACTGGTGAAGACCGAACAAAAGCACTGATTGCAAACCGGTCCGCCCCGTGTCAAGACGCTCTATCCTTCCCACGTTACCTCGCCATCATGCTGTATCTGGCATCGTCGCCCGTTAACCTGACCCTCGGCACTACCTCCTTCTACCCACAGAGCAAGGCAGGATAGCCACAACCCCCCATCCAAGCGGAGTGCATAGTATATACAGAAACCATCAAGTGCCTCCGAAGTTCCCTCCGCAGGAACGGGCAATCAGTTTCCTCAGCCCCTTTCCACCAACACCCCTCCTCGCCAGATCCCGACACGAGATGGGGAACTCCCAAATACCGCAGAACACCCTCCTCTTGTCTGAAATGCATGCCCACCCCGTAAGCCCGACTCGGAAGATCGTAATCTCAACCAGGCTAATTGACCTGAGAAAACAAAGGGAAGAAAGGGCTGCTGTTATCGTATGGTAGGCCCTTATCACAGCCGGTTACCGAATTGTACCTAGACATCTGCGAGCCGTCTCTTCAACATCTCGACGAGCTGCGAAAAAGCTGTGGCGTTTGCCTCGCTCAACTGCGCAGCGTTAGCATAACCATAGAAAGTAGGCGAGGAAAAAGGCGGCCCACGCCGACGCACCTTCATCTGAACCTGCCGTCCCTCCCCCTCCTCAAACGCAGTGAACAGCACCGTCGACGTTTTGAGTCTGTTAGTCACCTGCAGCTTCATGGCCGGCAGGACTACCGTGTTGAGGATGACGCGCAGCGTGTGGTCCTGCCGCATGATGAGACGCACGTGCTTGCGCCGCTCATCGTGCTCGTCCCCCAGCACCGAGGCGTCGAACGAGGCCGGATCGGGCAACCCCGCCGCCTCGTCCAGGTCGACCGTCTCCTTGGGCACGTTGACCTTGAGCATGCCCGCCCCGCGCTCCTTCCACTCCCCGGCGCCCTTCTCCATGACGTACATCTTGGCCCGCACCGAGAAGATGGTGACTTCTTGGCCTTCGCCGTCGTCGACCACAACTGTGGGGCGTTTAGTAAACGAAAGGAAGATGAGGGATTATCGGGCGGACTCACTCTTCTGCAGCTTGAGCTTCTTCTTATCCTCGCTCGTCTTCGACTCGTCCCTCTGGCCTTCCTCCTCCTTGACCTCCCCTTCGTTGGACGAGGCGTCACCCTTAGTGTCCTCCTCGTCGCTGCTTTCCCCGGACTTGTCCTCGACATCGCTGTCCGGCGCACCAAAGGGCCTGGCCGGCTTGTCGCTCTTAAGGACCTCGCCGGGCTTGCCGAAGTTGAGACGTGGCCCAGGCAGGGCGCTGCCGCCGAAAGCGCTTGCGAACGGACTCGACTTCAACACGGACCCACCTGTCTGCCCGTTGAGCCCGGCAAATGGAGATGAAGCTGCTGCCCCACCGAAGCTGAGTTTTGGTGGTGCTGCAGGGGCTGACGGTTTGGGGCCGCCGACGACGCCGCCCAGCGAGGAAGATGCTGAGGACGAGCCAAACAGGCTGGGCTTGCCTGACCCGCCGAAGCTTCCAAAAGGCGAGGTTGACGAGGCTGCAAGTTTCGCGAACCCCGAGTTGGCGAAGGCAGAGGCGGATGCTTGCTTGGGCTGCTCTGTTTTGCTCGTATTGGCTGGCTGCTCCATGCTGGATCTCGGCGACGTGCTGGCGGAGAGAGGTTCCTGCTCTGCGTTACTACCAACTGTCATGATAGCGTTGTTGAGCGGGCTCCTTACGACTTCCTCCTTTCCACCTTGTACCGCGGACGCGCTCGCCTGGCGATCGCGTGGCCGCTTCTTCTCGGGCTCGGACCGGTCCGTCCTGTTCTGGGCTGTTGCTGAGCTGTGAGTATTGCCAGATACACCCTCGAGCGGGGCTTCGGCAACATCTTTGTTCTCATCGAGCTCGTCGTGGGCTCGCTTCTTCTTTGGCGACGAGATCTGATCCTTCAAGGCATCATCCTTTCCCGTGTCCAAGTCGACTGGCGGTGTGATGCGAGGGGCAGCTTTTGGCGCATCGTCATCTGAGGCGCTCCTATTGACCTGTGATAGCTGCACATGCCCCGCCTTCTCCGAGATGGTAGTCTGCTTCAGCTCGCGGCGTGCGGCCGTCGTCTCGGCGTCCTCGCTAGTGGCAGCGGCGGGTTCGGCAAGGTCTGAGATGTCGCTTGTATTGTGCGGGTTGTCGGCCATGATGTCAGTGGTCATCGGCTCGTTGGGTCAGAACTGTAGCACACGGCAGACGGCAGGTTCTGGACCAGACACTGATTTTCTCGGGCCGTTTCTCTGTTTCTTCGAGTGATCGGTTTGGTTTCAAGTTAGTGCTAGGGTTCGAAGCAGAGGTTGTATGGCGAAGGTCGTCTCAAGCGATATCATCCAGCAAAGAAGTGCTCTTGGGTCTGATTAGCTACGAAGATTGCAGAGGGTTGGCACAAAGATAATGCCCGTTGTCGTGCTTGGGTCGAGAAAGGAATAAACAAATGGATCAATGGCAACGACGACGGCATCGGCGCTGGGACCTTGTCATGAAGAGCTGTGGGGAAGGATTAGCCCAGGGAGCCCCACAGCAGTAGAGGTCCCACTCACGCACTGCAATGGCCCAGAGAACAGCGGGATTGCAGGTGCGTGCTGTATTTCCATTAGGTTGTTTCATGTGGGCACGACCTTCCCAATCACGTCCCACGCATGTTCAATCCTTTTTTCTCACTCACAGCTCGATCTGTCATCCATCAATGACACCTAATGACTGCGCATTAAGCATCAATTCTTTGGGGAGGTTTATATATCGTCCTTAAAGGCTTCGGTATCCGTTTTGGGATCGCCATCATCAACTGAAGGCCATGAACGCAAGACGTCTTATTGTTAGGTGCAACTACCGTACTGCCTGAAAGCAGGCTTCAAGTTGTTGTCCAGCTTTGACAAATATGGAACGGCTACCATAGCCCCTCTCTGCCTTACGCCAACACCCCTCTGGCCCGGGGTGGTTCGACATTGTTCGAGCTGAGTGACTCCGACGGTGACCACCTCGGAGGCCAAAGACCATTCCAGGCGGTTGATTGCCTGGACAACGGGCCAAGTCAGAGACGTTATATACCTTCCAGCCACTTGCCACCACGGCCCTCGCAGCGAGGGAGCGGGCACGCAGCAGAGCAACCGTCTACTAACCAGCGGTGACTTAATTTCAAAGCACCTGTCAGAAGCGGCGGTTGGGAACCGAAAACACAATTCGGCGTGGCTTCGGTGCTCACGGGGATGCGGTAAATGTCATAAGGCTGAAGCATTTCCCGCTTCTCCCTGGGGCCAGTTCCATCCGAGCTTCCGCTCCTGTTTGACCGACTTGAGAGCCGGCCGCATCGCAACCGTGACGATGGTGTTCTTGCACTTCGGGAAGGATTCATTTTCATGGACCGTGGGAATGATTGCTACTCTTTCGAGTATGCGGAAAACGACGGCGTCCCAGGACACCCGCTTCACTCCCTGACGAAGTCGCTAATGACAGTTGCGTCGGTACAGTCTTAGTGGCGCCCTCAAGACCGAGTGGGATGAGCTGGGGTTCGTTTTTCACGACAAGTCCATGGCCGGCACTCGCATCGAATGCCTGTCAAGCTCGCCCGACGGCAGCTCCTGCTTGAAGGAGCGGAATGACATGAGTATGGGCCCATACCCTCTGACCGGCGTACCTGTCTACCATTCAGCATCGTATCCTCGCCCTGATTTCAGTCTACTCAAACTGCGTTGATATCATTCAGCGATCCGTCAGGCGAGCCAGTCCGGGCCCAGCTGGAATCGCTACACGATCGACCATGTCAGTTTCTCGCTGTACGGCGCCTGGATCCTCAGCGTGCGGCCGGCCCTTGAAGAGGGCTAGGTACAACTGAGCGCCCAAGGCCGGTTCCCGGACAGTTCCACCTCCACGGCCGCGCCGTACCTCGACTTCACCAAGCGGGGCCTGATGCAGTTATCCAAAGATTCAGTATGTCTTCTTGGCGCTCAAGGCGGCGCGCAGATCAGGTTCTCCAATGAAACCTTTGAGTGGGACCGTCTCGGCACCGGTGTTTCTCAACATCTCAATAGCGCATGCGGCATATTGTCAGGCCTTGGGAGGATGACCGTCGGCAGGAACACCATGTTATGCCCCTACGATTTCACTAATCTTTAGGAAGATCCAGCTGGTGCCCATGTTCCCAGGGCTGGGCCAGGGAGAAAGCAGCACATGTCCAAGCTAAACCGAGTTAGCAGTCAGTTTGGGGATGTGAAGCTGAGGGAGTCGTTGATGGACCACCGTCTCAGAGAAGCCCAACGTCTAGTGGGACGACGTGGCTGGGCTTGACCCTGCCAAAGAGGAGCTCCAGCAGGCCACAATCTTCCCACTGCGCTTCCGACAGCCCTTCCAGGGAAAGCGGCAGGCACATCGCGCAATCCTGCTTTACGGACTTTCCGGGACCGGGAAGATCTACCTCGCCAAAGCTGTCGCAACGAGGAAGAGCACACGGTTCGGATGAAGACAGAATTCCTCGTTCAGATGGGTGGCCGCGGCAAGGACAACTCGGACGTCCTGATCATGGCGGCAACAAACCTCCCGTGGACGCTCGACCGGCGGTGCGTATTTCAGAAGCGCATCCAACTTGCGCTGCCGGATGCCGAGGCGGGAACCAGTTTTTCAAGATCCACCTGAGCAGTTCCTGGCGAGAAGTAGGTGCAGCGAGAAGGACTTGGACGAGTCCGGCAGCCAGGCTTCTCGGGCAGTAACATCGCCTACCCCGTCCAGGACGGCCCCATTGTGCCCATCAAGAAGATGCACATGGCGACTGACTTTTAAAAGGTGCAGCACAACAGCTCCCAGTACTATACCCCCTGCGACAAGAACGGCCCCTTCGGCAGGCTTATGACATGGAAGAAGGTGCCGCCCAACAGGTTGAAAGAACCGCCGCTGACGGTAGGGGACTTGTTTGCCGTCATGGAGAACGTGAAGCCGACGGTCGCGCAGGCTGAGCTGGCGAGATACCTCGAATGGACACAGCAATTTGGGTTGGTGGGTGCCTGATGAATGTATGTACCGGACAGTCAAGAGAAACATGAAGTACGGTTTCCCGAAACCCATTCGCCCACTGACGGAGACCAAAAGACAGAATTCAAGTGTGCTCCGGAGTCAGATGTACTGATGGGCTTAAGATAGCACACCGAGCGTATATCCTCGTCAGGGAAGCCGAGCCGGTGCTCGTCCTGGTCCGTGGGGAGAGATCTGGCATTCAAAAGTCTCCGCGCCAGCAATAGCCTGTCGGCTGCTAGCCTAGTTTCCGGTGTTTCAAAACTTGAAGCCGTAGCCAGAAAACCAGCAAGGTACGACAGAAAGTCGGTTTGTTTCATTCCAGTGGCTCGGCTAAAGATATTGTAGAGCACCTAACGTATCTGAAGCACCTTAGTTCGTACTTGGGTCATGGCAACTGCCAATATTTGTATGACGACCGGAGTGTTGCCTGGACTAGCTCACTCCATCCCCCCTTCCAACCCCTCAGTTGCATCACATGCTCCTGGCTTCGGCAGAAGGCAACGGAGCACCAAGGTGAGGGTCTGTCGCGGCATCATGAATAAGTTGATTCAGATCACACCGCAGTGGGAGAGCTGCTAGATCTGCTTGTAAGCCAGGAAATCGTCAACCTAAACTATTAAAGCCGAGAACCGCTGTTTTTCTTTACAGCAATCTAACCACACCGAACCAAAACCTTCTCGCCTCTCCGCACCGAGAGGCCACAAATCTGTACTTACCTCGCCCCAGGTGGCTGCTTTCATCCATCTCAGGTTTTTCCCAACATCGGGGGCTTCATCTCCAACATAGTAATTAGACGGCAGTTGCCCTAGGGGCTTGCTGATGGGCACGGGATCGTGCCAGAGAGGAGTGTCAAATAATGGAATGACACACGCCAATGTTGGCGGACTAGAAGGAGCAACATGGCAGCTTGAATTGTTTCGGTGTCTGCTGATTAGGCGTTTATGTCTTCATATTCAACGTCATTCGAAACTACCTGCAATCCTGCATCAATTCCCCATAAAGATGGACGTGGCCCTGAATGCAAAGAAGCCAGGCCTGTGCCGCTTCCACAACTTGACGCTATACCCGACTGGCTATCATCTTCAGGGACACGAATCACATTGTCGGCGCTCAATTTGGCAGGATTTACTGTATGTTAATCCATTCAATTTTTCAAAGTGAAACTGTTCAGCCTCAGTGTGACCTCGATGCTCAATGGAAGCAGCGCCAAGACCGTCGTCGTCGACTCCCAACCGTCCCCTTTGCGAGTCATGATGGGGGTGGCGACTGGTATTATACTGCAAAGTCCAGCATGGAAACTCGGCTTCCGGTTTCCAAGATCTCCATGGCCGATTGCCAAGCAGTGTCAGCTAAGCCTCCTTGGCTATCCGACCCTCCCGTCTGCGTCTTTGCGGATCTAGGGGTCGGTTGTCGCAAGCTCAAAATCGCCCCCAATTGCCTTTTTGGGGCGATGATCCTTACGGTTTTCCCCTGAACGCCCAGAGCCATGAAACCGACAACGTCCCGGAAATCTGGACTGCCACCTTTGCCGGGGCCAAGAAGACGTCAACTTTTCAGCGTCTGCCCAGCCACTACTACCCGTCATGCTTCGACGATCAGACGGTTAAATGTCAATCAACGTCCGTCGAGAGCGCCGGTCGGAGATTTCCCCTTTCTCTCCTCCTCTAACCAGGTAAAGATGCCTTCAACCTGACGGCCTTTTGCACCTTGGCACCGGCCATTGCACTTCGCTCCTTTCTTTTTCATTTGCTTCGTTGGAGTTCGCCACGATGCTGGTCATCCGCGTCCTCTGGCTGCAGGCCGCGCTGGCGACGGCCCAGCTTCTTGATTTGAATGGGACCTTGGGAGGAGGAAACGGGTCAAGTACCCCGACGGTTGAGGATGAAGTGGCCCCGGGGGCGGACGGTCCGGGCGATTCTTTGGATGGACTGGCCGGCGACGCAGGGGCTGGATCCGGCGGAATCCTCGACCCGGTCCTCGATGCCGTCATCGGACCGACGAAAAGGTTGGGCAACAACGAGGGGCCGGCGGCTACCTCTGTTCAAGCCCAGAACCCGCCTGTCACCACCATCGCCGAGCCCGCTTCCGAGCCCGAACCGACAGTGGTCGAGCCCGCGACGGAGACACCGGCGCCGGCGCCGACTCTTGAGCTAGCTCCGGCACCAGTTCCAGAGCCTACATCAGAGCTGCGCCCTGTGCCCTCGACCGTAATTGAGCAGGTCCCATCGGTCCAGACAACGAAGCCGCCTGCAGAGCAGCAACAACAACAGCCTGCCCTTGCCCCGATTCCAGTGCCAGAGACATCAACCACGCCAGAACCAGCGCTTGTACGAGCGTCTTCTGCCGCAGCAGCACCAGCGTCCTCGCCAGCCGACTCAACTGTCATCCAGATACCGTCCCCATCTGCTTCTCCGGCCCAGGGAACGTCATTCCGGGAGATTATAGCGCCTGTGCCAGTCTCAACAACAGCCAGACCTTCCCCGCCCACAGAGGAACAGGCTTCCCCCTCCGGCGAACCCATTCTCATGCTAATAACCGCCTCCGGTTCAACCTTCATGTCTGTTTTCGTGCCTCCCTCACCCACAGGGGCAGTAGCAGCCATCGACGGGGCCAACGACCTCAGCTCCGGCCCCAATAACGGCGACACAGACCCCTTTCAAACATCCCCCGAATCAGACCCCGATGAAAATGGAAACAACACCAACGCCGGCCTCGGCGGTGGTACCGCCTCCAACACAACCCGAGCCGGAACTGACAGCAGGGACACCAACGACAGGGCCCCCTCCGACATTCCGCTTCCCACCAGAATAGGCATCGGCATCGGCGTCGGCGCGGGTAGCATCCTCACCGTGGTGATCATCACCGTCGTCTTCTGGAAGCGGCGCATGTCTCGCCACGGTCCGCCGTCAGACAGCGAGCGCGGTATGTCCCCGACGCCGCAGGACAAGGCCAAGATGGACGTTGAGAGCGAGCACGACCTGGCGTTTGACTTCGGCGGCTTCTTCCGCGACCGGGTCCGGCGCAATCCCAGCCACGGGAGTCAGGGAAGTTTGGGGTCTGTGAATACTGTTCATAACAGCATGCAGGGGCAGGCTTATGGTGGCGATGTGAAGGTACCGGATATGGGGATGTCGAGGGCGTATGTGCAGGTGCAGCAGCAGCCGCAGGCGGTCTTGGAGCTGGATGGAGGTGCGATGCCTTTGTATCGCGGTGTTGTTGGTGTCGGACGTTGAGGGAGATGTTAACAGGTGAAGAGGCTGCTAGTGGCTGTTGGATACGGAGGGTTGGTATGAGCGAAGCCTCAAGTCATGACATTCCAGCCTGTGCAACACCAGGCCCCATGTAATTAGCTGAGGGCTCGGGTAATAAGGTGACTGGCCAAGGCGTAAGGTTAACATCTCTCATGGGATCCGTGGGTATTTCTCAGTATATGTGTCTGTTGTTTTGAAAAACTTCAATGAAGCCCATCTCAATGTTGCGACTCCTTGTTGACCATCGACCACATCTGGACACTGACAGTTGACCCATCTGCGACCCGCCTCCCAATAATTCAACTGACCAGGTGAGACTTTAGAGGCTTCAAACCCTCTGACTGCGCCAACCGATGCGTCAATACCATTCCTGCAGGCCTTGATCTTGAGCGCGCATATCCTCACCAAGGCAGGTTGGACAATACCACGGACAGCCTCCACCGCAACGAGCATCGCAGAGAATCCCTCAAGACAGAACCGGCCCAGAAAGTCATGCAAGCGCTTAGCGTCCGTCAGGTGCGGTCTTCACGTCCTGGCGATCGTGTTGCGCGATGATATCGAGGGTCTTCTCGTACCCCGTAACCGCTCGACTTAAATCGAGCAGAGACCAGTTCTTGGTGCCGCGGCGGGCGCGCTGGCTGCAGAAACGCAGACCCGGGTGACTGACGAACTCTGACATCGTGTTTAGAATAATACATGGAAAATTTTAAATAAAAAAAAAAAAAAGAGAAGCCACCCACCCCCACCCTACTTCCCCCACATGGATGAGTGAGGCAGGAGCTTCCGCTTCATTTACTGGGCAGAGCCACAAGGATTCCATCGGCGTTCTCCTTCGGTAGGACCCTTTGGAAGGAGATACTTCGTCCGTCGTCAGAAGACGGCACCCCCGGTCCAGTTCTTGACCAAGAGGTTCGGCTTCAAGTGGGTTCTGCCCAACATGGTACGTGCTGCACTCCCGTACTTGTACTCTAATGTGTCGTCGGGCTTGCAAACTCACCGTCCTATCCATCACAGACCCGTTCACACAGTGTCCAAGTCTCGCATTTCTCCTCTACCCCCCTTTTTCTTGGTACAAAATCTGATCACGCAGTACCAAACACATCCTAGTCACGGAATGCTGCGGTATAGAGCTGCGAGACACGGCGATGCATGAATTGCTCATATCTTCGAGTCAAAGTTCATAGGGCGCCAGTGACATCTTGGCTGGTGGTGTGCCCGAGAGAAACGGAGTAGCTATGCACAGAGAGCCCTTTCGCACAAACAGCGACGGAGGACAGACTCCTAAATACGACAGCAACGATTCCTCCCATGACCCGCAGTTCCACGGCCCCAAGAACGGCAGCCTCACAGGCGGCGAAGTGATGCCGAAGGGCTCGACCTAATGGACAGGCTGATAGCCCATGCAGGGGGCTCGGCACCATTGATATTAGGTGCTCGCCCCGGGATTTTCTCGTATCACTGCGGCGTTGCAGTTCTGGGTCAACAAGGGCGTCCTCCGGCGTGTCGGGTGCGCGCCGAAGACCTACGGATTGTCGGCAAGGAAGTCGTTCTAGTATAAGACATGATCCGGTCCGGCTTCCTCAAATACTCGCTCCAAGTCCGCATGGGTCGGATGGATGGCATCTTTGATTTCTTTCGCCACTGACCCGTTTTAATGGGTTAGGGTGCTCCTCTCAGCACTAGGCCGGCAACCGTCTGCATGGGAAAGACGGGCTCGATGCTGTGATACTGTATTCTGCAAAGACGATAATGTATTATTATTCCTACACCATTGTGCCCTAGGGCGTGCCGGACCTTCAATAACTTACTATACAGGAAATCGCGCCCTCGTGGGCCGGGTGAAAAACCCATATCGACAAGACGATAATGCATTGGCGGCCAAGTGCTGAATGGGATACGGACCGCGTAATTCCCACGCTTCCAGGACAGTTCGGGTTGCTGTCGACAGACCGACCTGCTCAACGGGGTAGTCGACAGGTTGATTTTACATGTAAGGTATTATGTGGGCCGCACTAACAGCTGGGACGGATCGGTACTTTCGAGCATGCTGCCTGGAGAAGGGTGCGCTGCTCGGACAACCTAAAAGGTTTGGGACACCATGGGCAAATTTGGCATCCATGATCACTGTGCAAAGGATCTAGCGCATGACTTCCGGCGGATGATCCTCGAATTGGCAGAAGAGCTTGCCTTCCACAATCCTGCTCGAGTCTTCGAGTTGCTCGCCGGCCTGTGCAGTCTGGCAAGCTCAAATGGCTTGCACGGGGAAAGGCACGGCCCCGACGAGGTGTCGGCGAATGTCACAGCGGTACACATGGATAATGCGGCTGTCGATGGGGTTTCTCGTCCGAGCCTAAGAAGGAAGTAGGCGCCCTATTGCCAATGCTGCTGACAGGAAGTTTGGATTATTTGGGGGAAAATGGTACCTCGAAGAGTAACGTCAAGTATGCGTTCATGCCTGAGATTCTGAAAGCTGCTGTGTTAAGCGAACAGCACCGCAAGACGAAATGTGGTTGTGAGTGAGATGGACATTGAGTCATGCTCGGAACGTTGTTCAAAAGCACTTGAAAAGGAAACCCAGATCATGCGACTTACAAGACGGAGTGTCTGGTTTGCCACTCCAATTCGTTTGCTTCAACCTTGTAGGTGAGCGTTCCAATTGGTCGAGGTCACTGTTCAAGACGAGGACACGACGTGCCAAAGTGGGGCAAGAGAGGGCCGCAGCTTGCATTCGCGGTTTATCCGAACCGATAGGTGCCGATAGCAGAATGCCTCTTGCGCAACGCCAACTCGCCGCGCTGAAATTATCCAAACCCTCTCACTCGATCACGACAATCGACAGCCGGCATATAGCCACGATTGCGCCGCGATCGGCGACAACGGAGTAACTCAGAGAGACAAGGATAACAAACCGATGGCACAGCAGGGTTATCAGTACACGCTGCAGGGGTTGGCGCCTCCGCAACAAGCACAACCCCAGATGCATCAGCAGTTGCAACACCAACAACAGCAGCGCCATCAACAGCAGATGCACCAGCAGATGCAGACCTCTCAAGTCGAGTATCAGCAACCACAACAGCAATCATCACAGCAACCGCCGCAGCAGCACCAGCAACACCAGCAACAACAACAGCAACAGCAACAAGGCCAGCAACAACAGAGCCAGCACCAGCAGGGTCAGCAGCATGGACGCCCCCAGATGGCCCTGCTGCCGCCACCCCAGGATCGCCTGTATAACACATGGAATGACTTGAGGGAAGACGTCAAAGCCTTTTGCAAGTCCCAGGGCTACGCAGTAGTCATCATCTCGTCGCTCAACCGCGACGCCGAAGGTAACTACCGCCGGTACAACATGTGCTGCGCCAAGGGCGGCAAGAACTACACGTCCCACAGCAAGGGGCTCCGCCAGACGCAGTCGACCAAGACGGGCTGCCCGATGCGCTTGAAGGCGATCCGCGAGAAGGCCTGGCCGTACAACGACAAGTGGCACGTCATCGTGCAGTGCGCCGAGCACAACCACGAGCCCTTCACGGGCGGGCCCAACGCCAACGCGCCCTCGCAGTTCCGCAAGATCGAGGCCGACGGCATGCGCTGGCTCATGATCATGCACCGCGAGGCCCAGTGCGACCTGCGCCAGCTGACCATTGGCATCCGCATCTCGTTTGGCGACAAGTACCAGTACGTCAAGAAGACGGACGTGCGCAACTGCCTGGCCAAGATCAAGCGCGAGGAGGATAGGAAGGCGGCGGCTGCCGCGGCCGCCGCGGCAATGCCGGCCAATCAGCCCTACACCATCATCCCGGCGTCTCACCTACCGCCGCCCCCGCCGCCTGTGCAGGTCGAGAAGATGCCGCAGCTGCCGCCAGAGCTTCAAGTACCGGACCCTGATATGGAGTCAGATGATGACGACGACCAAGAAGACGAGGAGCAGCTATGAGTCTCAAGGGCGGCGGGCAGCCCAGCGTTGGTGGGACAGTTTCGGCTGAAGGTGTAATGTGTCTTGGGCATCTTTGGCGTTTGGCAACCATGGGTCTAATTATGGCGCTGACGGGCCATTTCGCGGATAACGAAGTGTGTGGTGAACAAGCAAGGCTCATTTTATAGCGATAGCATGTTCTCTGATTTCCAGCTTTATGTTCGCTTCCTCTCGGCAAGGTTAGTAACGGTATTGACGTTTCCAACTCCGTTGACAATACGAACCGCGGGAGTGAAGCTCGAATTAACAGAGGAGATTGCCGGGAGACCCCCTGACATTGACGCCGTGGAAGAGGTGGCCAGGGAGAAAGGGCCAGGGAGCTTGACTGTCTAGGCCACCTCGCCGGCCTCACGTCTCACCTCAAGATGGAAATATCCCCAGGCACCAAATTGGCACTGTTGAGAAGACTACCCGAGGTACTAAACAAACAGTGCCGCAACAGGCGCAGGAAAGGGGCTCGCGACTGGTGCTTCAAGACAGCAGACGACCGGTGTGGCTCAGTAACGACTGGACTCGACGAGCTGCTACAGCAGTAAAGACGAAAACCATCAAAAGGTACAACCAGACAACAAACCCCCAAAGACCCCCAACCTCCGCTCAAGACACAACCCACCGCCAACTCCGTCAGCCCATGTGATGGCGTGAGGACTATTGCCCCCACACCGTTTTTCAAGGGACGTCGAGACCGCCTGGCATCAGACCTCGTTTCTAGGATCGCCGTAATGACCGATAAACCTCCTTCTCCTTCCCTTCCCTTCCCTCCCCCCATAGTCACTCCCTTCGTTCCTCTCGCCTCTTTCCTTTCCTCCCATCAATCCACCAACCCGTGTATCCAAGCCCCCCTCTTCCATTCAGCCCAGATCCTTCTCCTTGCTAAGCTCTAGATGGCGGATGCGGATGCACGAACCAGCCCGCAAGTCTTCATATGCCGCTTGAGGTTGTCCGCACGCATCTTGCGCCCGCACCCAGCGCAGGGGGCGACCTCCTTCCAGTGAGCCTTGTTGTCGCGCACTTGCGGCTCATGCGGGTGGGCGCGGCGGAAATGCCGGTTGAGGTCTTTGCGCTCGGCGCCGCCGGGGAAGGCTTTGCAGTAGGGGCACTTCCACGGGCGGGTGTGGTTGTTTTGGTGCTTTCTGTTGTGATGAAGGACGACGAGAGGCTGGAGTTAGTCAGTCATTCTTGGTGGGATGGGGATTCCTGTTGTCAAGTGGTCTCTGGCGGTACTCAGAGGCAGAACGGGGGAAAGAAGGCCATGACCTCAAGGGAAGAGGTAAACAAAAATGACCTGGGGCATGGGAGGATGGAAAAAGGGAAAAGGGGCTGCTTGCCTAAGCTTGCATGCAAGATTGAAAACCTTCGCCTTGCTCTTGCAGTTGGGAAAGTCGCATCTGTATTCCTTCGAGCCGTTGCTGTCGGAGGAGTCGCTGTTTGGATCGGGACCTGGGGTCTCTGGAGAGCTACCGTGTGTTGTACCAAAAGGAGTGTCACAAGAAACAGGCGAGTTTGATGATATTGGCGTCACAACGCCAGAACTTGAAAGGAATGACATTAATTGGGTTAAGACGGGATGGGTGATGTCAACGCCACCTGTGTGACTGTGTTGAGCCGGGGAATCCGAAAAGTCGCTGTTGATAGTGAGAACCGGAGCGTGGGCAAGGTTGCCGTTGCCATCTTCCGCTGGACCTCCAGCCATAATGCTAACCATGTTTTGCGGAACCTACTCGTCCGAGACGTGGCTGACCTGGGGGAAAGTCACTGGAAACACGGGAGCACCAGGCATGGAAGCACCGGCGGGATAGCAGAGGGCGCAGCCAGGGAAAACTCCGGAAAAGCCGAGGGAGCAGGGCGCTGCCGCGCAGTTAAATTCGGAGCCCCCTTGATAGGTTGCGCCCGGAACCGCCTCGGGAAAGACGATGGCAAGGTTGAGGTCCAACGGGGTGTGCTGACCACAGGAGCCTGTTTCAGGGGCGCCGGGCAAGACGGCACCCAAGGGCAATAAATCCTGCGGGTTTACGGTGTTCACCCCCCAGATCCCACGGATGGGAGCAAGTTGGGCAATGCTGTCCCCAGACAAATCCGGTGATTCGGGTCCCAGTGCGTCCCAAGCATGAAGGAAGCGATTGGCCTCATGCCCGAGAGGGCCGAGACACTCGAACCCGTCATCCTCCCGAGGTAGCCACTGTGGATCCAGTGCGTCCCTTTGTAAGTCGCGCGTCGGTTTCCTTGCTCAATCAGCATGTGGCAGCCATTGAAGGCGTCGACTTACATGGGCAGTAAGACCATCCTCAATTCCCTGGCATTCGGCGCTAGTTCCACGAGCCACGGGACAGCAAAGGGGGGAGGAACAGGGCTAATACGACCCGAAAGCGATATTGTCTCCACAAAGCGCAGCGAGAGCAAACGTCGAATTGATTTGGCATCACCGCCAGTGTGACGGCTGATGTCGTAGTGCTGAGTACTCGGCGGAGGCCCAAGAGCTGGTTGAAGACGCCAGCCCGCGTGATGCCGAGGGATGCTGACTTTCAAATATTCTAAATCCGTTCGGATTGCGCCAGCGGGAGCCCTCCAGCAAACGGAGGCATCCTCTTGACAATGTGCCTCGTTGTGGCTGACGTCGACGGAGACCAACAAACGGGCAAGGTAAAGAAGCTGAGCTTGGCCGAATCGGGACGGGCCAGTGAGACCCACAGATGAGGCCCGCCATTTGAGGCCCATTGCAGCTCGGCTCAGAGCAAGGGTTCGATTGGTTTCAAACAGTCAAGGAGACCGTCGCCAACCAACAACATCTTGGGTCCACAGACGGCCACGGCAATGCTTGGACACGTTGGAATACTTTTAAAAAGGTGGGCGGGGAATGCCCCGAGTGGCTCAGCGGCTATTGCGGCCGTCTCGTCACGCAGCCACACAGTACATACATACATATGCATTCCGTACGTTCAGAGAGCCCTGTCTGCCTCTTGTCTGTATGCCTTTGGTCGCTCGGTCCCAGGCTGCCTCTGCGAGTCTGCCTCTTGTACTGACTAGCGGTCTGTGTATCTCGGCCTGCATTGACGGCTCTGCCTCAATGAGCAGCGAGCCTTCTACGGCGCAAGAGAACATGGATTCTGGGAATGGCTGGCCATCTGTGCCGGTGTTCTCTAGCAGAACATTGACTAGGTACAAAAGGGTGTTTGCATACTCACGTTTTCGGCTGAGGTCAGTTGAACTTCTAAGTTTCTCCACCGATTTTGGAGAGCTCCAATATTCTACCTATCAAGCACGAATCCCATCCGACTGGGTTGTTCTCCTCCTCCATATCTAGGTTATCCGCCATCAACTGAATTGATTGTTACCATGGCCCAAGCCGACGTGCAAGACGAGCTGCACTGGATCCCACCCAGCCTTAGGAAACGGTTCTATGAGCCCGTCGTCCTGCTGGACGCCCTCCGGTCCATCTATCTCAAAGACAACACCATCTCGCAGCCCGACCTGGAGGGTGGGTCGGGAAAATCCCCCCAGCAGACTTACTTCTGCTTCCTGAACAAACTCAGTCAAATCTGCGACAGCGAGCCCAAGCAGCCACTTGGCAAGACCGTCAGCGCCATTGTCGTGCTCGACTCTGGCACCCTTGAATACCGCTTCGCCTCCAATCAGCGCGACGGCCGTGAGTTGGACACGGCCAAGGAGTATCTGACTTCCATTCTTGATGTTCTTGGAGGTGTCACAGATGACGAAATCAATGACCGGGCCTTCATGGGCCCTATCTTCTCCGATATTTTGAGGAAGGTGCTCGCCTTCAACCGCCCTCGAGTGGAGGATTACATGAAGGCGTTAAGTGACCAGCTGGATTTCTGTATCAACTCTTCAGTCGTCGACCGGACGAGTGAGGGTAATCAGACCATCTCCGTGTTCCAGACTAACACAAGGTAGCTAACAACCCTTTCTCTTTAGGAACTGCTGCTGCCAACGCTCTTCGAATGCTTCAGCCGCACCTCGAGGCAGCAAGAAACGCACCAAGGCTGGGCCACGATGAATGTAGGTCTTTGGACGCACTACACACCTTGAGTACATTCGGCACCTGTTCTAACACGTGGAACCCAGTCGCGCGCCATTCTGAGCAGTTCCTCCAGACAATCAGCTCGCACTACGAATCCTCGCTGGAGGAGTACATGAAGAAGAAGGCCCACAGCAACAACAACCTCGTCGACAGCCCCTGGAGCGAAGTCCGCCACGCGCTGGGCCGCCTCCTCTCGTACTACATCGCCATCAAAGTGCTCATCTCCACCCGCAAGTTCTGGCCGCGCCTCTTCGTCGATTTCACTGTCACCACCATCCCCTCCAGCGCACCGCTGTCCAAGCCTCCCAGTATCCGGCGCAATGCAAAGGGCATCATCAACCGCATGTCCCGCAGCAAGTCCACCGTCGAAGCATACCAACGCCACGCCGAGCACTTGCAAGTCCACGGCGACCTCGACCAACGCATCCGCCAGCGCGCAGATCCAGCCCGCTTTCACCCCATTGTGCACGCCGAGGTCAACCTCCTCGCATCGGTCCTCCGAGACCAGGCGGAGGCCGAGCGCGAAGGTGAAGACCCAGTCCGCTACTTCCACCAGGCCGAATTTGGCGCCTACATCGGCTCCTCCAAGCCCACCTGCCTGCTGTGCTGGTTTTACTTTGCCGCGCACCCGTCCGGGGTGGGGTGCCGCGAGAGCCACGGGAATCTGTACTACAACTGGCGGACGCCGGATGTCGTGCCTCTGTCAGTTGCTGCTGCTGCTGCTGCGGCTGCTGCGGGAGAGGTGCGGGAGCAAGGAGAGGAGGATGTGCAGCTGCAGAAGGATATACTGGAGCAGATGGTCAGGGAGGTCAGGAAGGAGGCCGACAGGGCCATCAAGGAGAGGTCGTACCCGCGGAGGAAGCATGATTCGTGGGATACGCCGTCGAATCCGTTGCGGAGTACCACGGCGGGCGGGAGTTGGGTGGCGGGAAGTCTGGATGGCGGATCGATGAAGGGGCGGGGTGAGGAATTGCAGGAGGCTACGCCTGAGAGTCCCGGCGAGGAAGATGGGTTGGATCTAGTGGAGAGGATGGGGCAGGTTAACTTAGATGGGGCAGGGCTCGGCGTAGGCCAAATCGGGAATCGAGGATGCGGCAAACGGATCCGGGCGTCAGCGACGAGCCAATGGACTGACAAATCGGAGGAACCGGAGCCCAAGACTTGTCAAGCTGCTTGGCCGGATGATGAAGAGGAGGATGACGATTGCGGAGGTGCTAGGTTGTAGGTGCAGCGTATCGTTTCCACCCCAGCCGGGTTTGAATCCTGCTAGATAGATTTCAAAAGGGTTGAATGGCTTTCATGTTAGGAGAGCTCCGAGCACTCGGGTAGCTTTCTCTAATTCTATCGGCATGCTGTTGATCTGACGTCAAGTGAACCTCTATCATTCGTATCTTATCTTTTCCCAGAACGCCTTGCAATTTCAAACCTAATTCATGCGCCATTGACAACCAGCTCCCCATGCCGGACTACCTCCAGGACCTGCTTCAACCACCACACATGTATCCTCACATCGCCCGTCAACTCTGGGTGAAAGCTCGTGCCGAACACGTTCCCTTGCCTGACGGCAACGATATCCCCCTTCCCCTGCTCACTCGAATTATGTTGACCCTCCCCCTTGTAGACACCCAACACTTCCACCGGCGCCTTTCCTTGCCCCTCAGTCTGACTAGGACCTGGAGTGATGACGTCTTCCACGACGGGGGCACGAATAAACACAGCCCGAAACGGCTGCTCGCCCTCCCCGAGAAACCCTAAGTCGAGTCCGGCAACAAAGCTCTGGATCTGCGTCCCGTACCGGTTGCGCAGCACCCGCACGTCCAGCCCGCCCACAAGCTCCTGACCGCCCTGCTTGGTGGCGGAGGCCTGCTCGGCCAGCATGACCAGCCCTGCACAGGTGCCCCAGACAGGTTTGTGTTGCACTCTGTTGTTTTTGTTTTTCAGATGGCATCCCGTCAGCGTCCGACCTTGATGATGCAGGTAGGAGGGGAGGAGAGGTTAGAAATAGGGTTTACTGACTTGACGAATTCCCGGAGAGGGTCGAGAAGACCGAGGCGGCGGGCGACGATGGCCATCGTGGTGGACTCGCCGCCGGGGATGATCAAGGCGTCGCATTGGGCTAGTTGTGGCGTTGTGCGGACTTCGGTGAAGATGAATTCGACGCCATCATGAGATTTGGGTGATGAGGACTGGAGTTGAGACGCGGCTTTGCGGAGAAGGTTGAGGTGCTCGACGACACCTCCTTGGAGGGCGAGGACACCGACCGTGATGTGTTTGATCATGGTTGGATCCAGGGAGTTCAATTGTCGGTGTTGTTGGTTATGTTGATGAGGTATTCAGCCCGAAATGATAATCCAAGTGGGCAACTCTCGTCCCAAAAGATCCAATGGATGGCCGGGGGTGTTAGATGTCAGACTGTCCTGCCGTTGTTGAGTCACAGGATTGTCAACTTGGGGTGGCTATTGGTATTCTTCACAGTGAAGTCGGGTGTGATGGAAAGGGCACTCGGATCGGGCCGGTTAAGGACGGCATACCTTCCTTACCCGAGTACGGAGTATGGGCAGTTGATTTTAAATGCCTCGCCTCTCAAGTAAAATTCGCGACATCGGCACACCCGGAAAGGCAAGTCGTCACAAAATGTGCTCTTTCGCCCCAACTCGAAACGACACTGTGCTCGGCCCTTGACGTTGCAGCGGCAGTGGAATTAAAGTTGGCGTTGGAGGCGTCGAGTCCTTCCCCGATCACCATTGGACACCGCTGAGGGAACCCCACATGGCTGTGGCTGTTTGAGGAAGCTTGGATGTGCCGTCAGGGCGCAAGGTTGCACAGAGCGACTGGAAAATCACATTCGAGGTTTTGTTCATCTGGACTTCCATGGGACTTCAATGCCCATACTGTGTTCAAAGAATATCTCGGTCCTAGTATCGGGTCTGAATACTGATTGCAGAAGGTCCAACCCCATTGCATGCGCTTGTCACCATCAGTCCGGATCAAACTCCGAGTCGGAGGCGGGGGCACGTGCAAGGGGCTGGCAAATGGAAAATAACGTGGGGTTCGAGACCATCACAGTACATATACACTGTGTGTCTCCCTCATCTCTCATGCACTCGAGGGGCCAACGACTGACTCACGCAACAGCTTCTTTAAAGAGCTGCTTTGCAACAACTTCATAGCGGCAGGAAAAGTAACAGTCCCTCCAGCTCTGCATTCATTCCGTGATCCTAATCACACAGGCCACGCAAGTCGCACCGTACCCGGCCCAAAACAAAATCCCATTAACTGTCGACACACAACGCCCTCAACTCAGACACAACTCACCACAACCACAAAAATGGCCGCCAACCTGCACCCCGAAACAAACGGCACCGTAAGCGATGACTTCACCATCAAGGCTGGCCTGGCCCAGATGCTCAAGGGCGGCGTCATCATGGACGTGACCACCGCCGCCGAGGCCCGCATCGCCGAGGAAGCCGGCGCTGTGGCCGTCATGGCGCTGGAGCGCATCCCCTCCGACATCCGCAAGATGGGCGGCGTGGCGCGCATGTCCAACCCCGAAATGATCAAGGAGATCCAGGCGGCTGTGACCATCCCCGTCATGGCCAAGGCCCGCATCGGCCACGTCGTCGAGTGCCAGATCCTCGAGGCCCTCGGCGTCGACTACGTCGACGAGAGCGAGGTGCTGACGCCGGCCGACGACCAGTACCACGTGCAAAAGTCCGACTTCAAGATCCCCTTTGTCTGCGGCTGTCGCAACCTCGGTGAGGCCCTCCGCCGCATCAAGGAGGGCGCCGCCATGATCCGCACCAAGGGCGAGGCCGGCACCGGCGACATCGTCGAGGCCGTCAAGCACATCCGCACCGTCAACGCCGATATTGCCCGCGCCAAGGCGGCGCTCGCTACCGACGGGGACCTGGGCATTGCCGCGCTGGCCCGCGAGATTGGGTGCGATGCCGCCCTGCTGAAGCAGACGGCTGAGCTGGGCCGGCTGCCGGTCGTCAACTTTGCCGCGGGCGGTGTGGCGACCCCGGCTGATGCAGCCCTGATGATGCACCTGGGCTGTGACGGCGTGTTTGTGGGCAGCGGCATCTTCAAGGACGCCGAGACACCTGAGCACGCTGCCAAGAGGGCGAGGGCTATTGTCAAGGCGACGGCGCACTACACGGACAAGCAAGCGCTGATTGAGGCCAGCATTGAGCATGGTGTGGCCATGAAGGGCATAAGCAATGCCGGGTTGAAGCCCGAGGAGAAGATGGCTGGCCGGGGCTGGTAGGAAGCGCAAAGGGGATGATGGTTGTGTTAATTTTAGGCTGTCTCATGAATCGTTGGGGGTCGTGGACTAGAGTCTCAACACTGCAGCCCGCGGCGGTTGTGAGTTAAGAACGAGTCATAGCGAGGTGGGATCATGATTCAATGTAGGAGCGTTAACGGTGCTTTCTCAACATCATACCGGGCACGGAAGGATAAGGGAACAAAAGTTCATACCAAGGGACAACTCACAGTGCATCTCTGTGCGATATACAGGTTCATTTCATTCCATCACGCTCTCCATCTCTGGCCGAGTCTTCGATGCGGTTATGGATACACCTGGTCTGCGGTTTTCTATCATTCGTATTTCCATTCAAAACAACTGAAACTAGAATCCGATATGCTTCGGTTTGACGTGTCGGTGAACGTATGTATCATCGAAGTCGTCTGAAGTTATCCGAGATCTTCCTCGAATACCGTCAACACGACAACTGATCTGCAACTGCGACGGAGTACGAACACTGCCACTGAACTCGACTGTCCGTATGCACAGGGTCGGATGGGTGTGTTCGCGATATGGCTGTGTAGCCTGTGCGATGAGCAGGTCGAATCATGATTGAGGGTTTTGGCGTCTTAACCGTTGTAACTGATTGCTGCCTTGCATCTTCCCATGTGTATACATCCGGGACATAGCAGCCCGAAGCCTCACGGCCCTGCAGACCCGGAACATGCATATCACTGTTCATCTGCTAGTATGACATTGAGGACGCGGAAGCGAGGCCAGCTGGCTGCCTTTGTGCCCCTCGAAGTTCTTACTGCGTCCTCAAAAATTCCCTCTGAATCCTGATGCACCATGGTTAGGAATGTCCAAGCGGACGGGCGCAATGAACCATGGAGCCACTTTCAGCACTGAGTTTGGCTGCGGCCGTCGCTCAGTTTGTTCACTTCGGCGTCAAGGTCCTCGGCAATGCGCGCGAGATCTACGGCTCCCTCTCAGGGGCCACCGAGGAGAACAACAACCTCGAGAATGTTACCCGCGGGATGCAACGCCTCACCGATAAGTTGGTTGTGCCCACCCTCGAGAATCTGACAGACGATGCCGCGATGCTCAACACCCTTGTGGCCGAATGTCGCTGTCTCTCACTGCTCAAGGAAATGAAGCTTAAGGATTCCGAGGCTAAAATCCAGTCGCTCGAGCAGCACTGAAGAGCAAGCAGTACGAAGGAGAAAGAATGCCAGGCTTCAGCAGCGCCTGGACGAATGCTAGAGTTGATTAGACCGGCTGCCTGGTGCGCTTTCTAGGTATGCGCCAGTTGAGGCTCTGGTGCGGGATCTTGAACAACTGATCATATCGTCTCAAAGCAGCGCCCAGAACGTCCCTGCTATCCACGCACCCTTGGACGAGCTTCACATCAATCTCAGCTATCCTAGCCATGGGATCCAGGACGAGCTCCGAAATCTCATCCTCTTTCTCCAGAGCAAATACGTCGAAGCATAACAGCAGCGTGTCCTTGCTTCCTTGCTTTTCCTGGTATGCGATAGAGTCGCACGGTGGAGAACGCTCACAAGGCGACCTTCAGATGGATATTCGGCGACGACGACAGCGGCAGCACGGATAGCGTCCCTAGAACCAGCGGTAATGAATCAGGCAACGAGTGAGCTGGTGTGTTCGACGAGGCGGCGCGTGCAAAGGTCGACTCTTTTGTCCAATGGCTATCCACTGGTACCGGCGTGTACCGCATCGCAGGGAAGCTGGGCTCTGGGAAATCCACCTTGATGAATCACTTGTGTGGACATGAACGGCTGCGGGACGAACTTCAGAAATAGGCCGGTGAGTCGTTCTTAGACAAAACCTGCCACTTCACTGTGCCAAATTGATCGAGCCATGACGTCGGCCAGGGAACACCCAGCTCGTTGTCGCGAGTTTCTTCTTTTGGAGGGAGGGGACGCTCCTCCAACGGTCTTTTTCCGGGTTACTACGGTTTTTGCTTTACGACGTATTGTGGCAGCGGCCCGATACTATATCAGATGTGTTCCCCGACCTTCGCCACTCTACAGAATTTCGGACTCGAGCCAAGGCAAATACAATCGGCATTTATGCACCTCATTTCACTGTTCCTCGTTGTACGACACGTCCAGATTTTGTTTGTTCATTGATGGATTGGATGAATACGAAGAAACCCTCCCAAGACAACTACAAAACGGTGGTGCAACTTTTGCTCTGTTGGACCGAGACAGCGCTACACGGGGTCAAGCTCTGTGTATCCAGCAGGGAGTATAACGTCTTCCTCAAATTCTTCTGCGATGACAAGTGACTACGCCTGCATGACTTACTTTCGCCAACATGAGGTGCTACGTCAGAGAAAGGTTGCAGGATCTTGACGAGGAAGATCTAGGCTCCTTGGTCGACGTTATCACTGAAAAAGCGAATGGAATCTTTCTTTGGGTTGCCTTGGTCGTCAAACCGATAAGAGCCCATTTGGAAGACGGATGGGAGTTGTGTCTGATTGCGGAGGAGCTCGACTCACTGCCGGATGAGTTGGAAGCTCTTTTCCAATTTATTCTGGAATCCATCAGCAGAACCTACCTGAGATGGGTCACGCCGACGACAATTTATAGCGGCCCCAACTGTCTCTTTTAGTATACAGTTCCCTGGATCAGCACAGCCTTGATTGGGAGTTTGTTGAGAAACCATCTCACATGTTTGGAGCAAACCATGAAGAGGGACAGATCCCAAAGGGGAGAAGTTGCACGGAAAAGGTTGAATGCATGCTGCAAAGGCCTTTGTCGAAGACAACCGGAATACCTTCGTTATGTTCATGCACCGCTCAGTGGCCGAATTCTTGACCAAGCACATCGAGAACACTTCTCTGGCTAAAGGCATGCTGACCGCATTTGAGCCGGTCCATGCCTTGTCGCAACTCCTACTAACTAGCAGAAATGTGATCTTGGCCGCACGATCAATACTGGCTGGCGGCACAGAAATGTGACTTCGACCCCATACACATAACACACCAGATTGAAGTTACCATGAGGATGAGGTACAACAAAGGACTCGATGCTCGCCCCCTACTCGTTCCTCGAAGGCTTGCGCTCCACCACCTTTCCGCCATCTCGGAGTATGACCCCACACACACCGTGGCACGAGCGAGTCTAATCCGTACAAATGGGTAATGCCAGGATTAAAACCGGCGTCCGTTCTTGACTAAGCTGCACACCTCGGAATGGAGGGCTATCTTGACTGGGTAACACGCAAAGACCCCGACACCATTGGTGGCAAGTATGAGCTTGGTGGTTTGGCCTGGCACTCACTCCAGGGGTCGCATGATGTCTGGGGTTCAATGTCCGCTAAATTGGATCGGTCCCGTTTGAGTGCTCTCAGTGTGCTGCTCCAGAGAGGAATTCGACCGGATGCCATCATACAGACTGAGCGCAATTCCGGAGGAACGGCACTCAGCCTCTGGGAAGTTTTCATTGCCAAGATTACTTCCTGCGCTCCACCTCATAGACCAGACCGGCACGCAGAGCGTAAGACTATCCAGGAGTTTCTGGAGAATGGGGCAAATGCGGATATCCACATCGCCATCCATGGAAAGCTTGCGCATGTTTCTGGGAGCCACGAATGGGAGCCTGAGCTCGCAAATCTGAGCAAGAATGGAGCGTGGAGCGCTGGAAACAACAAGCTGCCAGTAAACAGCGACGTCTTCCAAAATCAAAACGGGGAATTGCCAGACCAGCCTGGAGGCTTGTATTCGGGCAGGGCCCAGGAGATCCTAAGGCGGTAAACGCTTCTTGTGGGCGTTGTGGTGGCACTGGTGGAACGAGGTTCCTGTCTGACTCGAGTGAAATCGACTACAGCGATGAAGGCATCCGCCACTACAACTTGTTCGCTTCAAAGGGAGGCAGAATCTCCTTCGAGGACTGGGTCGAGTACTACGACTTCGGAAACAAGGAAAACAATTCTTGCGCTTTGTGCTCGAAACAAGCGTGCTTCAGCACCAGCACCGCCGCCAACCTTCACAGCAGAGATGGATGCCCGGTGGGACGCCCCTGAGCCATTGGACGTGGTTGAGGAGGATGGTAAAACTCAGAAACATGCTCAACGATGCTCAACGTCACCGCCCGAGGAGGACAAACTGACCGGATAATGCTCGAGAAGGCCAAGGGGAAGGAGACCAAGGAGACCGGAGCAAATGGACCGGCGCTAAGGATCGAGGCACTGGAACAAAATTGGACTCGACAGGAACTCAAGGGTAGATTTGTCCATGTTGTCCTCGGTAAGCAAGGTTCCCTTACCACCTCACGTGTGTACGAGACAGGACTGATTGCAGCCCCTGATAGTGCTGCTAACGGCGATATTGCTTTTATTGCTGATGGTCAGCTAGGCTAGAATGAGCCCGTCCGCCTTCGTTGGCGAAGTCAGGTATTTCGTCAGGGTCTTTCTTGCTGGGTTTGTTCAACTTCAAAGTCCGCAGCACCTCAGGAAACCAGCCTGCCTCAATTGACTCCTTGATTGCTTAAAAGAACAAGCATGTTTTCCAGGAGGCGAACCTTGCACTATCATATGAGCCTACTGAACAGTCTGTTACAGCTTGGATTAACATTATTTCATCCTTTCCCTCTAACTGCCGTGTCCAATGCCATACCTAAATTCCGTACGCACCAATGCCAGGGGCCCATGACCAACCCACTCGAAACAAAACCAGTACATGACCCAAGATATCAACGCCAGGGGTATAATCAAACCACGCTCCAGCAAACCCGAGTCAAAACCAAGCCTCAACTTATCGAACGTGCGGTGACCTCCCTTCCCAAGTCTTCTGTCCGCTCCGACACAGCACAAATCCTCGCCCACGGACGTGGCCTGTTCACCTCAACCTCCCAGTTCTTGGCCATACTTTTCTCGGCCGCCGGCGGCACCTCCCCTGCACCCTTTTCCTCCACCTCCCTTCCGTGAGTTCGAGTCCTATCCGCGTCGTGCATTCCACCTCCCCGCTGCTGCTCAATATTCCCAAGCATGACCTCCTCCGCAACCCCTTCATCATGCCCATACCGCTCCCCAGTCACCACCGGCGGCAGCTGCCTCGACGGCTTCGACCCAATCGTTAACGGCGGATCACTGCCGGTCGCACTCGGCCCCTCGTCCTTGGACGAACCGCTGCTGTTGCGCGGGGAGAGAACATTCGGAAAGAACTTGGCGACCAGCGGCTTCAGCGTCATGGTGCACGCGACGACAATAGCCGTGTGGACTTCGATGACGGTCCAGTATGTGAGGTCGATGTTGCCGAAGGTGAGAGAGTCGAAGTCGGTGGAGTTCTTGGCTCGAATGAGGATGGCGAGGCGGATGAAAGAGACGAGGACAACGCTGAACAGGAACGATCACGGAGTGTTAAGATGGTGGAGATGACGGTAACGAGGAGTGGCAAGGTGTGTACAAGGGGGGAGGGGAGAATGCGGATGGCTTACAAAAAACCGACTGCGAAGATGCCGACGACGACGAGCTTTTGGCGGCGGGGCAGCCTGAGCGGGAGAACAAAGGGAATGGGGAGGAGAAAGATCATGATGTCGGTTGCGATTATCAGCCTGTGGCGTTCGGTTTCAAGGTTAGTATGCTGAGGTCTGGGAATGCGGACTCCAGGGACGGAAGCTCACGCTGTGTTGACCCACCACACCTCCTGGGGCTGGCAGAATGAAGGAGCGATGGTCAGATCCCAAACAGCCTCGAGCGGGATGCAATGCGTGAGGGTCATGGCTGTGGCCCAGAGGTTGTGTACGACGACCATGGCAAGGACGACACAGCAGGCTCGTCTTGCCAACTCGAGGGTGAAGATGGTGAGGTAGAGAAGGCAGATGGATACCTTGGTCAAGGCCAAGCTAAGGACGTAACAGAGCAGCGAAACCCACCAAGCCTACGTGCAAGCGTGTAAGTCTTCTGATTATCAGGCAAGGGCATGCTGTTGTGTGAGAGGAAACGGTACCTTGGTCATCGGGGCGAAGTGGAGAGCCAGGTCAACGTCCCAAAAGTGCTTGCCCAAGCCATGCTTGACTTCTACAACCGCCAGTGAGCGTTACGATCAGGGGTCTGTTTGGCGGGGATTACCGACGTTCAACCTCACAGACGCAGAAGCCTGCTGCTGCTATCTGTTCCAGCCGTCGTCAGATCATGTGCCCTCAGCGTCGAGTGGGGGACTCCAGTACCAGAGACAGGGCAATAAACCAGTCTGCCAGGCCAAGCGCGTTCATGATCCTAGCGCGAGTGTAAAATCGGAGAAGCACGAATATGAGGGCGATGGTCCAGGTTGTCCACGCTGCGGCGAGCACATTTGGACCAAGATCACTGTGGTCCAAGTCGGCCATGGAAGGCCCGGCGCCAGGGCCCCCAAGCGTTCCTGAACTCATGGCGGATCCTGTGGCATCTGACGCCTCGGCCCCGAACCCTCCCTGCCCGCGCTGTAAGATTAGTGAATGGCTGGAATGATGTCGTGTCGGTGGGAGGCTGGGACTATGTGTCGGGTGGTTGCTATGTCTCTCAATAAGAGTTGAGGGACTGTCGAGAGAAAGCTAGAGACCTGGCCCATGCAGATCATGGAGCCAGGGCCATTTAAGGATCTAGCATGGGGCTGCCTCGGGACCGGAATCGACATTGCGAACCCGTCAGTTCGGTCCAGGGGTTGGGCCTCGTGGTGGCGCTCGGGTGTGCCATCCGGTCGCCAACGGGCCAATCCTACCACGGGATAGCGGCTCGGCATGGGGTGATCATCCATCTTGTCACTGCGACTGCATTCTGCGGGGAACTTTCATCAGTAACGTATCCCATATCCCATTGACCATGGACAGGCCGCTCGCTACACCGACCCCTTTGTGCGGGACTTCGTGGACTGGGAACTCGGAAACCTGGAGAAAGAGGCGGTGGGAACTGACGGTGAGAGTTGAGCATCAGCATCAACGGCTAGCATTGGCGGCATTCGCGCCTGCATGTCGTATCCGTACGGATGAACCCGCTTTGACCTTCCAATCGACATGATGCTTGTTCCCCTGCATCTCTCGGCTGGGTTGGCATTTGAAGCCGACACAAATTACCTTTAAAGTTGGTTCCGTCCACCGTTTCCTGGTTCGCGGTCAGGTATCAGGCGCACCTAATAACCATGCAAGGCGGCAAGGTGGCAGGCGGCAGGCGGTTGGCTATGAGATGGCAGCATGCCGTGCATACGAGCTCGACATGGCCCATGTCTAATGGGCTTTGACCCGTTGAAGTCAAGAGCGGGAGATCTTTCTAAATTTTCAAAGTTATCTGACAAGTAAACGCACAATAGCCTATCAACGAAGGTCCGATGGTGTAGTTGGTTATCACGTCAGTCTAACACACTGAAGGTCTCCAGTTCGAACCTGGATCGGATCAGAATTAAACGAAAGAGGAGGCGTGTGGTAATCCTCCCACCCCTCTTCAATTCTGTCTTTTTTTTTTCTCGTGGTGGAGTCACTGGAGTGAGGTCCTGATACAGGCAAGGATGATTGAGTTTTATGCCTCTTGCTGCCCCACTAAAATTTCCAGATCGCGGGGCAATCGCGACGGGGGGCTGCCAGCCCCAGCTACACAGCATCAACATCGCACATCTTCGCAGGGTTTCTGGACAATAAAGCCTACCCATCATTGACTACAGATTGCAGCTGCTTGCTAGCGCTTCCCGAAATCAGATTTCCTAATACGACCAGAACTCTACACAATGGCCTCTAACGACGACGACGACCCGGTCGTGGCCAGCTATTGCGTTTTCATCAAGCCGCCTCTCCCCGAACACCGCAACCTCGTCGTCTTGCAATATGTGACCCGGACCGCCCAAGACGCAAGCCAAGTCCGCATCCCCCGTATCACCGAGCTGCGCGTCAAGCCCAGCACAGGCATGTACGAAGTTGACGTGCCCATGGACACGGGCGAAGCCTATGACAAGAACAAGGGCATGGCATGGGGCACAGCTCTGCAAAAGTCCATGGAGGCCAAAAAGGGCGGCAGCCTAGGTCTAGCAGGTGGCTTCAACATCGTTGCGACACCCAGTACAGGACGGGGCGGCCGTCGTGCCGGCAATGACGACGAAGCGCCCCCCAACTGGGCCGAGGCCTTGCGTCAGGACAAAGTCTTGCGCACTCAGACCTTTGGCGGCAGCCGCAGCGCCGAGGAGAAACACACCCGCCATATGATCGGCGTCTTCCAAGGGAGTAAGCCACCCTCAATTCTCTCCCTTCCAAATTCCGACACTAACCCCGACTTCCTCCCTTGCCAGAGAACCTTCACCTAACCCCCGTCTCCTCCGCCGTGCACCTCCGCCCCGTCCCGCACCACCTAGACGCAGCAACAGAACAAGACCGACTCTCGCGCGGTTCCGCAGCGGGCGGCGTCAGCGGCGAAAAATCCGGCGCGGCCGCGGCCGCATCCGCCGCCCGCGCGATCCACATGTCGATCAAATCCGCCATGGACGCCGAGGGCGGCGTCGAGACAGAAACCATGGCCGACCGGCTGCGCAACGTGCAGACCGAGACGTGGAAGCGCATGGAGTGGGTGCACGACGAGGCCGAGATGGCGTGGGAGGCCTACAACGAGTGCTTGCTCCTGCGGCCGGAGAGCAACAACAATGCCGCCGCCACCACCACCACCACCACCAATACGGAACAAACGGAGGAGGACAAGGGTAAGGGGAAGGCGGTTGAAGGGAGCGGTGCAGCAGCAGCAACAGTACCTGCAGCGGCGGACGAGAGCGGCGCGGCGGATTTGGTGGAGAAGGTCGCCCAGCTCAAGACGGATTGGGGGGAGCAGGAGCTGTTGCGGGCTATTAACGGGGTGGCGGCGGAGGTCGAGGGTCAAGAAAAGGGGAAGGGCAAGGGTAAGCCAACGGTGGTCAAGACTGAAGAGCAGCAGCAGCAGCCGGCACAGGCGGGTGGGGCGGGGAGGAATGCCGGTGCTGGCTCTGCTGGTGCGGCTGCGGGCGCGGCTGGGACTAGGAGAACTACAAGGGGGAGGGCAACAAACAAGACAGCTGCAATGGAGATAGACTAGAGACCCGGATGTACTATATTGGATGTGTGGACGGGGAGCGTTGTGCACTGTCAATAATTGCGTTGCTAGGTGTTTGGTTAATTATTTCTCGCCTTCATAGGACTCGGGTTTGGTGCCGTGACTGTTATTAGAGCTGGTATATGGTTTCGCCAAGAAACTCATCGCGATGGCAGGGCTTTGACTCTGATATTCCTACCCTGCTGTGCTCAAGTATCCATACAAAATCAATATGCATCTTCGCTTTGCCTGCGATCCTGTGGCTGCGCAACCAAATCCGCTCACCTCACCCATCGCCCATGTCCATCCCCTAGTTTATTGGATTGATGTCGTTCCGAAATACCGTCCTCGGTGGTAGCACGCATAACGCTCTTTCCACACCGGGTCTCCATGGCCAATTGTACCTTTTGTTTTTGCCAGAAACCAGGGTCACCTCAGCCGCCTCCACGAGGCCGTAGATTTAGAAGATGCGTGAACAGAGCTCATTGAAGCAACTCGACATCCAAGCCAATCGAACGCATAAACAAATTGACGTTCTGAAGCCGCTGAGCCGCCAGGTCCTGAGGTAGCGTCTTGGACAGCGCAACCGTATCCATGACACGGTCCTTGACGGCGAGCACCAGTCTCTGCTGCTGGTCGGGGCTGGCGCCGATTCCGAGGGCGGCGAGGAGTTGCCAGACATAAAAGTCATCGCCGGCGGTGACAGGGCCGGGGAACATGTGGGGAAGAGTGTGCTCAAGGAGATCGAAGAACTGCGTGTAGGTCGCATCCCTGGCGAATGTCAGCAAACCATTTCTAGACAGGGAGACCAACAAAGCTCACCATGAGCGCCAGGACTGCTCACTGCCGCCGCCGCCGTGCTTAATGATCTCGGCCCGGCTTAGAATCATTGTGAGCATCGAGGCGCCAATCCGGCTCTTGGCGATGATATCAACATTGCGGGTGCAGACTAGGCCCAGGATCCCAGCAACGAGGTCCAGGTCGAGCTCGTTAAGAACGTTGAATAGGGTCGACATGACGGCAACAACAAAGAGCTCAACGTTCTCACGCATGACTGCGTTGAGCTGCGTGGCGTCAGGTGTCACCTGTGCATTGCGCACGACCTCCAGGTTGTCGAGGTTCACAACGATGAGGGTGAGAATCGTCGTGCGTTGCTCGTGGCTAAGATGCCGGGAAATGCGCGGCATTGCCTTCATGCCCTTGCTATACGATAGGAGGGCGATGAATGGGTGAACAAGGCCGTTTTCAGGATGATCGTGGATCCGCAGGCTCTCCCAAAGCCTGCTATTGAGAATCTGCGCCTCGCTGTTCCAGGACACAAACCGCTGGATGACCTCAGGGCCGGCTTCATTGGCCGGGGGCGCAGGCATGCTTCGGTCGTGGTCCTCCATTTCCATCAGCGTGGTGTAGATGCGTTCGATGGAGCGCAAATCGCTCTTCCTGTCACCTCCACTCGGAATGTGCTTGTGCGCGCTGGCCGGGCGATGGGCCTCGCCGCTGCTCTCCGTACGCTTGATATTCAGCAGCGGTTTCGGCGTCTTGGCGTTGCTGAACGATATTTTTCCAAGGCTGCCCTCGATCACGAGTTGCTTGTTCTTGGGCTTGTTCTTGGCTGCTTCAACGGCACGCTGGACCTGCTGCTCCATGCGCTGCATGTGGTTCTCCGGTCCACGGTGGTGACGGCGCATGCCGCCCTGACGACTCCCGGTCTGGAAGAGATACGTCTGTGCGAAGTTGTTCAGGGGTTGGTTAGGGTGTTGGCGCTGACCACCCTGGATCTGGCTGTGGACTTGATAGTAAAAGTCCTCGGTGAGAGACTCGTCAGTGCCATGTTCGTTGGGGTTGCCTGCAGCGGCAACGAGCTGCTGCAGCTGGATGCGAGTCACGAAGCTCTTGTCCTGTGGCGTCATGAGGCCATTGTCGCGCGACATGAGGAAAATTTTGTGATTACGCTTGGCCCTCTTTGCTTCCTGCTCCAAATACGCCGCCTTTTCCTCCTCGCTGAGTTGGGCAAGCTGAGATGGGTGAGTGATGATCTGCGGCTGCCGGGAAAACGATCCCTGCTGTCTATGGATGGGATGCGTCGGGTAGGTAGCCGGCATCACCTGGGTGGGATGCTGGCGCATGGCAAGTCTAGTTGCATCCCCAGAAAGGCGGTTGGGGTTTTGCAAGATCTGTGTGGGCGGCATGCTGGAGGATGGCTGCTGGCGATGGTGAGCAGCTGGCTGAGTCGGCGGCTGGGGCGACGGTGCCTGCTTGTCATGAGGCCTTTGCAGGATGGCAACGGGTTGTCCATGTCCTTGGGCGTGGCCTTGATCCTTGCGAGTCTGATCAAACTGCTGGGGAGTCTGGTGCTGAAAGTGCTGCGGAAACTGATATGCTTGATCATAGTGCATGGGCAGGGGAACTTGTGGCTGAGAAACAGGCGGAATAGCTGCCGGTTGCGGAGCCGGGGACGGAGTGGCCTGCTGCGCAGCCTTCTTGGCCTGAGCTCGCATCTGAGCTTCAACCTCCTCCAAACTCAGCACTTTCCGTGTCGGCTGAGTCGGAACCGAGGTCACGGCTGGCGACGCAGCGGCGGCCGGCTGGGGCTGTTTCTTGGGCGCAACGCCCCAAAGTGCCGCATCGACTTGTAGCTCTGCCACGGGTTCGCTACTGTACTTCTCGTAGCCAGTTCGAGCGGGCTTGTGGGGAGCCGACTGGGGGACATGACCGTACGACGAAGGCCCAAGAGCAGACGGCAGGGGTGCGGCTTGGGAGGCAAATTGAGTGACCTGCTGTGGGACCTTGGCGGCAGGCTGCTGGCGAGTGAAGCGGACATGCTCCTCTTCGATGGCGTTGGCGACCTTGGCCGTGGAACCAAAGAAGTCGAAATCTTTGCCTACCGGTCCGGCATCGAGGGCGGCCGTGTCCCCGAAGGTATCGTCATTGAATGCGTCGCCCGTTTCCTCCAATTGATCGCCCAGGCCATCATAGGTCTCTTCAAACTCAAGAGCGTCACCCTCGTCTTCACGTTTTGAGAGGCCGGCGAAAGGGTTGTGGGCTTGGGAAAAGCCGGTGGCCGCCGGGTTGTGGCCGGTGGTATTATTGAAGCCAAAGTAAGACATGGCAGCCCAGGACGGTTCAACACGGGGCGGTAGCGGAAAGGGTCACTGCTAAACTGATTAGTACTGCATACTCTGGTCTTGAAGCAGTGCCAATATCAGAGTAAACAGAAATGGCGGGGTCAAGCGTCACCCAACGCCACTACGCTGGAGAATTCAGCGGGCATGATGGAAAGGCGCACCATGTGGCGCACATAGCAGACGATGCGGTTGAACTTGATCAGTGACTCACAGCGCGGAAAATAAGAATATCGGGTCAGTAGAATCGGCCAAGTGACATGGTGATCAATCAACGCAGCCAGATTCTGTGGAGAGCGCGCTGATTAAACCGAGGTCGCGAAGACTGTGCGTAACGCGGAGATGATGTCTCGCGGTCGAATATCGACCCGCGAAGGAGGAGAGATTGTGCGTTGGGGCGAGTGTCTCGAACAGGGGAACGCGCCGCGTAGCTGATGCCGCAAACAGGATGAGGTCAACTTAGAGACGCAGTCTCTCGGTGGGCCAAGCTGGAAGCAATGGCGGGCAAGTGGGATGTCGAAATTATCCGATAAGCCAATCGGCGTAAGTCTCAAAGGTCGCTGCCGCCGAGTGCACGGTCCAGACGACAATGCAGGGGTGAGTGGCTCTGAGAGGCCAAGGGATATACAGACCCCATTTAGGTAGGATAGGGGCGCAGGGGAGGTTCACGACATGAATATCCCAGTATTAACGAGAACGGGATACAACCTTTCCCGTTGACTGGGCTCATGGGCTCTCGTCTGTCGTAATGACAACCGACATAGCTGGCATTTTTCAGCCATCCCTTTCTTCCATGTCTCATTTATGGCCTCCTCACGGCAAGCAGCTTGGTTTCCTTTAAGTGCTTGTGCAAGTTTCTATATCTCTCTACTTGGTAGGAAGACGCCGAGGGTTACTCCGTGTATTGTGAGGTTGTGATACTCTATCTGAATACCCGACCTTATGCTCTGTGTTTGTTGGGAGCAGCAAGGTCCACAGCCGTCTGCATTTTCGTCCATCTTCATTCATTACCGTCGGGTCGAGCACTTTGAGAAATTGATTGCGGGACACCTCAGAGCAAGACGCAATGATTTTATCAGCCATGCAGTAGGCGCTGGTGCACATGTACCATGTCCTGTGGTAATCGTACATGTAAGACGGCGCATAGTCTGCCGATTTTTTTCGGTCCCCAAAGTTCCGGGAAAGTCAGTTGATTTGCTCCGTATCTTTTGGAGGAATGCAAGGGTCCGCATACGAGGTCAGCCAGACGCTTACGTACGTTACCAAAGTACTTCTCTATTTCAATCGCGCTTTCCCCCGAATCATCTTTTGCTAACAAAATACCAGCTCACGCCAAGATTGGGACAGCCCTCAAGGTTTTAGCGTCGCGCGACTGACCGCAAGGGGTACTCTGGAAGCTCAACTACCGTACCGCAATTCGCTGCGGCTGGCCTTTTCGATTCCTAGGGCTGTGATTCTCTCAGCAACACTTCTCTCGGTGTTTGCGTCAATTTCACGGCTCGACGATACCATCAGGCTTTGGTGGCTTCAGTTCAGGGAGCACGATAATGACCGAGCAGTGAAACGCTTTGTCTCTCGGACGCGACGTCCCCCCACTAATACCGTCAGGCTCTGGCCTCGCCAGCTTGCCACCTTCAACGATCCGGCTTCGAGGCATCTCAACGACTGAAACCGTTTGACGGCTGGACCGCCGTCCGCAGCCCGCAGATCTCTCCTGATATATTTCCATCGGACATTCTACACCATGGCGACCGGTAGCGCTCGCTACGTCCGCTACATCCTCGTTGCTTTCTTTGTGAGTGTTGCCGCCCGGCGTCAGATAGTCGGGCGCACATCTGGCGCTGTCCTATGCCTTATCGGCTTCTGGATTCGACTAACACTGTGTTAGATTCTTGCAGTCTTCTACTATGTATCGAACTCGGCAGACGTCAGCAACCTAGGGACACCGATTGTCAACCAAGGCAGGGCCTCCTCCGGCACGACGCAGCACACAAGCGCCGGCCACACACCAAAAGACTCACCGAATGCTGCCAAGGTCAAGACAGATTACGATGCCTCACAATTTCCCATGGCCCTGACGCCGAATGACCCCGGTTGGGATGATCTGTCCGGCATCAAACCCGGTCCCAGGATGAACGCCACGTTCGTGACTTTGGCCCGCAACTCGGACGTCTGGGAGATTGCCAAGTCGATCCGTCAAGTCGAGGATCGCTTCAACCGGCGATACAACTACGATTGGGTCTTTCTGAACGACAAGCCGTTCGATGACACTTTCAAGAACGTGACCAGCTCGCTCGTCTCGGGCAAGACGCACTACGGCCTCATCCCCGAGGAGCACTGGTCCTTCCCGGAGTGGATCGACCAGGACAAGGCCGCGAAGGTGCGGCAGGACATGAAGGAGGCCAAGATCATCTACGGCGACAGTATCAGCTACCGCCACATGTGCCGCTTCGAGTCGGGCTTCTTCTTCCGGCAGCCGCTCATGATGAATTACGAGTACTACTGGCGTGTGGAGCCGAGCGTCGAGCTGTACTGCGACATCCACTACGACCCGTTCCGCTTCATGCACGAGAACAAGAAAAAGTACAGCTTCACGCTCAGCCTGTACGAGTACCATGAGACCATCCCGACGCTCTGGGACAGCGTCAAGAAGTTCATGAAGAACCATCCAGAACACATTGCCGCGGGCAACTCGATGGCGTTCCTGAGCGACGACGGTGGAGAGACCTACAACAAGTGCCATTTTGTAAGCACATATCAAGCACCCCTCACATCAGCTCCATATTTCTTTGCTAACCTTCTCGTCTAGTGGTCCAACTTCGAGATTGGCTCCCTCAACTGGCTGCGCTCCAAGGCCTACATCGACTACTTTGAAAGCCTGGACCGCGACGGCGGCTTCTTCTACGAGCGCTGGGGTGACGCGCCCGTCCACTCGATCGCGGCGGCTCTGATGCTGCACAAGGAGGAGATCCATTTCTTCAACGACATTGCCTACTACCACGTGCCCTTCACGCACTGCCCAACGGGCCAGGCCCTGCGGAGCGCGCTGAAGTGCCACTGCAACCCCGCTGACAACTTTGACTGGAAAGGCTACTCATGTATGTGTCCCCTCAAATGTTTCCATCCATCTGTATCTGGCTGGGGTGAGGCTAACCGTCTTGGCGAACAGGCACTTCTAGATTTTTTGAAGTCAACCACATGGAGAAGCCGGAGGGGTGGGAGCAGGAGAAGAACTGATTCACGCATATTTTGGGTTGCATTTTTGATCTGTTTCCCCAGTTATTGGAATGTCTCGTTATCTTGAAGGAGGTCGATGCTTCTTTAAGACGTTGATCCGTGGGCGAGTTCAAAACAGCACGGGCACACACAGATCCGGGGAATTGGGGCATCATGGGCTTGGAACGTAGAGGCCATCTGAGTCTGAAAGTTCAGCCGTGTGAGTTGATGTTTTGCGTTGGCCACAGTTGCTCGCCAGCATTCGTCGTACATATTCCGTATCTGACCGGAGGTCAATGATGATGAATTCGCACGCCTCGCTGGATATTGCCAAATGAAGCCAATTATTGTTCCTGGCATTTCTCGATTATACGCGTAATAATACAAGGCCTTCGTTCCGGACCCAGCGTTATGGCTGTCGTTCCCTCTCTCCTCTACGTTATCCACTGTTCTTCCCAACCCAGCTCCGAACCCTAGCACTCCCGCCGTGTATCGTGCTGCCTTAGCCAACAGACGCCTTCTTAGGCTTCTTCGTCCCGTATTTACTCCTGCTGCTCATCCGGCTGCCAACACCGCCCTGTCGGAAAGCACCGTCAGCCATCCCTCCCACAACTATCATCCCTTTCACTCTTTCGGGGATAATACTCACCAAATCCAACGCCCCTCTCACCAAATGGTACCTCACACCGGGACAGTCCTGGCTCCGTCCGCCGCGCACGAGTACCACGCTGTGCTGCTGGATGTTGTGGCCCTCGCCCGGGATGTACGCCGTGATAACCTTCCCCGTCGACAGCCTCACACGGGCCGTCTTGCGCTCGCCCGAGTTTGGCTTCTTGGGCTTGGTGATGCCCACCTTGACGCACACGCCCTTGAGCGCGGGTGCCTTGATGGCAGAGAGAGCGGGGGAGACGGCGTGGCGGGCGCGTTGGGGTTTGCGGCAGCCCTGTTTTGTTTCGCGTTTTCGTTAGAGGGGATTTGTCTGGGGAGAAGGGAGGTGGATAGGCGGGTGGGAGGTAGCGTACGCGCAGGACTTGCATGAGAGTTGTGCTCTGGGATGGCGTGGTCGAGAATGTGCGGGCTATCGGGGTGGACGTCGGCAGCGCCGGCGGCTGGTGACGTATGGCAGGCCGCAACACGAGGTTGCGGAGGAAAGTCGTCGCCATGATGGTGGTTATGTTGCTGGTGCGACGCGGATAGCCACCGGTCCTCGGTCGTCGTCGTCGAGCAGCTTCGGATTCGATCTAGCAATGGATTCGAGCCTGAAGTGGAGCCCTGGCCCACTGAGGCTTTTCGAGTCACGAAAGTTTTCACGTGACAGCTCCGGCAATCATCGGCTTTGATGACGCACGAGGTGGCCGGTGCATGGTCACATGGTAATCTTGCCCCTGCTTCGACCTGGAGCGGCTTTGTGGGGAAGTCGTTGCGCATGGAACGGACGACCTCGGCATTGGTTGTCCCTGAGACAGGGCCGGGGACCGGCGGAGACAGGAGCCCTTTCGACTGTCTAAAACCGCAAGCCATCACCCTGATCCTTCACTTTGTGTATAGCACATGCTCTTCAGTGCCTCCTCGTCCTGCTGGATGGAGACCTACTAAACTTTTCAGGTTTCTTCTCGGACGATCCACGGCCGTCTCATCTTGTATGCGGGCCGCGCTTCTCTAGCATCGTTGTTGTTCAGTTCAACCTCCCTTTTCCCTTCCCTATCTGTTAGCCACCTCTCCAACAAGATGAGATCGTTTGTGCGAGCGTTACGTCCCGCGGCGCGGAGGAGTCAGGCCGTGTCTGCTCCCAGGATACGACAGCCGGGCTTGGCTGCTGTTCAAGGGTGGGTTTGAACGCCTCACTGAAGAGATGGCAGAGCACCGACAGAACAGCACTCTAACGTGTTTGACAGCGCCCGCCCGCTTTCCTCAACCGCCGCCCGCCGTGACGCCAGCCTCGCAGATGTCGCCCCGACACCCATCACTCACTTCTCCGAAATCGAGACCGCCATGGCCGAGACGGTGCAGAAGTTCGCCAACGAGGTGATTCTACCCAAGGTGCGGGACATGGACGAGGCGGAGCAGATGGACCCGGCGGTGGTCGAGCAGCTGTTCGAGCAAGGCCTGATGGGCGTCGAAATCCCCGAGGAGTACGGCGGCGCGGGCATGAACTTCACGGCTGCCATTGTCGGCATCGAGGAGCTCGCCCGCGTCGACCCCTCGGTCTCGGTCATGGTGGATGTGCACAATACGCTCGTCAACACGGCTGTCATCAAGTGGGGCAGCCAGGCGCTGAAGAAGAAGTACCTCCCCCGTCTGGCCACCAACACAGTCGGCTCCTTCTGCTTGTCGGAGCCCGTTAGCGGGTCGGATGCGTTTGCTCTGGCCACTAAGGCCACCGAGACAGAGAGTGGCTTTAAGATCAACGGCAGCAAGATGTGGATCACCAACAGCATGGAGGCCGAGTTTTTCATTGTATTTGCCAATCTTGACCCCAGCAAGGGCTACAAGGGCATAACTGCCTTTATTGTTGACAAGGACATGAAGGGCTTCAGCATCGCTAAGAAGGAGAAGAAGCTCGGAATCAAGGCGAGCAGCACGTGTGTGCTCAACTTCGACGACGTTGAGGTGCCCAAGGAGAACCTGCTGGGCGAGCGAGGCCAGGGGTACAAGTATGCCATCTCGTTGCTGAACGAGGGTCGCATCGGCATTGGCGCGCAGATGACAGGTCTGGCGCTCGGCGCATGGGAGAACGCGGTCAAGTACGTGTGGAATGACCGCAAGCAGTTCGGCCAGCTGGTAGGCGAGTTCCAGGGCATGCAACACCAGATTGCCCAGTCGTACACCGAGATTGCCGCGGCTCGTGCGCTGGTGTACAACGCGGCGCGCAAGAAGGAGGCCGGCGAAAACTTTGTCATGGACGCCGCCATGGCCAAGTTGTATGCGTCGCAGGTTGCCGGGCGCGTGAGCGGCCTGGCTGTTGAGTGGATGGGCGGCATGGGCTTCGTACGCGAGGGCCTGGCGGAAAAGTTCTGGCGTGACAGCAAGATCGGCGCTATCTACGAGGGTACCAGCAACATCCAGTATGGCTCGCCATTCCTTTTGACGTCGAAACGCAAGCATACTAACCTATGTCCAGGCTCAACACCATCGCCAAGTTGCTCCAGAAGGAGTATACCGTCTAGTCGTGTGCAGTGGGCGCAGAATGCGGGTTTATGAACGGAGTTCGGCATTGGCGACTGAGGCTAAAGGGTTGGCTGGGTTAAATTTCCCTTGTTTGTACATTGTAGATCAATGAATGGCATATCTGCAATTCTGATCGGATACCTTCCATGTCGTTTACGCCGTTTGGCTCGGAGCCCGGGATACGGAACATGTCCTTGTCGTTGTCCGGACTTGCGACCTGCCCTTTCAAGAGATACCCAGAGGTGACTTCATCCTTTCTCGTGCACACTCTGTCCTTGTACTCTGGGCGGCCGCCGGGTGAGGCGGATGTCAAAATTCCATGGCGAGATGCCACATCGCTCAGCTTTACAACGTGCGCATTTCCAGGTCTTGCCTGCTGATAGGCCCGTCGTATCGAGCTCATCCGAAGTCCTACACTGCTGTGTCCTAGCCATAGCCTTTTTACTCAGCCGTAACTTACAGTTGCTGGTCCCGGATTTGTCTCGAGACCCAACGCCACATAAGTGTCCCGAACTGACAGATTCTGCGAAGTAGATGGATTGCAGCCGGCGGGAACAAAGGCCCAGTTTCGGCCTGTCTTGGAACTTGGGGGACTTGGTGGTCGTGAAGGGGAAGGTACTTACCTTAGCTGTACTGACCTTATCGCAATACCTGTAACATTCGAACCTCCAGCTGCCCCCCTTCTGCTCCATTTCTGGGGTATCGCTCTGAATACGACTGAAGATGATCCTGAGTATTTGTAACATGAGATACATAGCAGTTAAACAGTTCGTAGTATCAACACTCAGGGCACCTTCTGTTTCTGCATATTCAGTGTGAATCGTACGAACCCTGGTTTGATCACTGGTATCAGTCCCGTCCTGCGCACAATGACCTACCCCGCAGCGCCTTTCCCTACCCTACCTTCCATTCTGTCAGACGTTGGGCCCGGTTTCCGGCATTGTTTCTCGTTCCCGTTGTTGCTCCAGAGGCAGGACTCCACCCACCCACCTACTTCTCCCATGGAAACTCAGCTACCATAACATAAGCTTTTCGACGACCTCCCAGTCGAACCAACCCGCTGTGTTCGACCAGGGTCGAGGTGTTGCGGCTTTTCATCTGCATCAACAAAAGGGCTGTCACCTTTTGCGGACCACAAAGCCCCGCCATCGTTTGTCGTTAACGAACCCCACAATACCTCCCACAGGCATCCTCCACCACGCATCAGTGCCAGATCGAGCGCGACCGGTTACTGCGTCGGACCAGGCACGAAAGCAGCTCAGCTTGCCGGAGGAAGGAAAAGAGGAAACAGTGCCATCCATACATTATACAGTCTGCGGCATTACCACGGTAACCCCGCCCTTGTCAACTGCGCCCCGCCGCGCAACACAGCCGGAACCATGGACGACGACAACAAGATATTGGATATTACCAAGAAGATCGAGCGCGAGAAGGCTCTGATCAATGCCGCCAACCTCATGCGCCAGCAGACCAACAATGAAGCCGTCCGATCCAAGCTCGACACCCAGATGCGCGAGGGGCGCCGCAACCTCGAGTTCTTCGAGGAGAGGCTTCGCGAGCTGCAGATGCGCCGTCTGGGACACTCAGTTGACACCATGTCGCTGGGGGGGTCAACGCTGGCGTCTTATAGGAGCCAGGAAGGTGAGGAGGGCAGTGCCCCGGCGCCGCCTCCTAAGGACGGTTCGCATTATCCACAGTATGGCCAGGGCGACATGATGCCTCGACGCGGCCCATTCCCGGGCCAACCTCCGCACTCGGCTATACCCAAGGCTCGGCCAAACTTCACCAAGCTAGGTAGGTTGGGCCAACAAACCGCCTCGCCGACAACCATGAACAGTTGCTGACTTGGCCTTCTCACAGATCTTATTAAATTCGACACACCGTACCTGGGCCCGCGGATCCAGCTGATGCTCTCTCAGATCCAATTCAAGCTCAATGTGGAAGAGCAGTATCTCAAGGGTATCGAGAAGATGGTACAGCTCTACCAGATGGAGGGCGACAAGAAGAGCAAGGCAGATGCCGCCGCCCGACGCATCGAGAGCAGTCAAAAAATTGTGCTGCTGAAGCAGGCCCTCAAGAGATACGAGGAGCTACATATCGACATGGATGCAGATTCACCGGATGGTATATTCGCCTCGCACAGTTTTTCATTTTCCCGCTAACCTAGCCCCTCCAGACGATAGTATCAACATGCCGAATTTGAGAAAGCCCCTGACCGGCCAACTATCTGTCCGTATCCTGGCCGTCAAGGACGTGGATCATGCGCCCATGAGCCGATTCTCGCGTGGCCCCGAGACGTTCGTGACCATTAAGGTGGAGGACAACATCGTGGCAAGAACGAGAGCCTCTCGTAACGACAGATGGGAAGCCGAGTATCACAACATTTTTGTCGACAAGGCCAACGAGGTCGAGCTTACTGTCTATGATAAGCCGGGCGAGCACGCACTGCCCATTGGGTTGCTCTGGGTGAGGATATCCGACATTGTCGAAGAGCTTCGTCGCAAGAGGATCGAAGCCGAGACGAACACAACAGGATGGGTGTCAGCAGACCGTCTGGGCTCTGCTCCCCGGATTCCTCCTCCGCAATTCCCGATGGGCGCCCAGGGCCCTCAGTTCGCCGGGCCGCCTACGTCTCCTGGGCAGCCCGGTCCATCTTTTACACCACAACCGCCAGCGCCTGCACCCGTCATGACCCAGCCGATCGACGCTTGGTTCAACCTGGAGCCGACAGGGCAGATTCACCTGAGCCTCAACTTTGTCAAGGAGAACAAGGTGCCCCGGCCGATGGATGCTGGTCTGAACCGCAAGGGTGCAGTTCGTCAACGCAAGGAGGAGGTGCACGAGATGTACGGCCACAAGTTTGTCCAGCGCCAGTTCTACAACATCATGCGCTGTGCTCTTTGCGGAGACTTCCTTAAGTACTCGGCCGGCATGCAGTGCGAGGACTGCAAGTATACTTGCCACACCAAGTGCTACACGAGCGTCGTCACCAAGTGTATCAGCAAGAGTAATGCCGAGACTGATCCTGACGAGGAGAAAATCAACCATCGGATTCCGCATCGCTTCCAGCCCTTCTCCAACCTCACGGCCAACTGGTGTTGCCATTGTGGTTACATGCTTCCGATCGGCAAGAAGAACTCGAGGAGGTGTGTGGGTATGTATACTGCTCGGTGCTCACCCGTGTGTTTAGCCGCTTCATAGTACTGACAAAGGGATACAGAATGTGCTCTCACAGCCCACGCCCAATGCGTGCACCTTGTTCCAGACTTTTGCGGCATGTCGATGGCCGTGGCAAATCAGATTCTAGAAGGCATCAGATCGACAAAGAAGACGCGCCAGCAGAAGGCATCCTCCATGTCCGACCGGACGCTAAGAGCAGGGAGCAAGGGAACCACGAGCAGTGCCCAATCAGGCGCCTCTTACTCTCCGTCTGCCTACAGTGGCCAGACAGCATCCCCTGAGGCTACCGAAGCTGCCAAGCTCATGTACAACCAGACGTCAGGCCAGAGGCCTGCCGGGCCCGATCGGACATCGACTGCCTCGACCACCGCTTCTGCGGCAGCTGCGGCGGCCATGGCCCCAAAACCAAGCACTCCCCCGCAGCAGCAGGTCGGCCAGATCCCCGACTTTGGTCCTGGACATTATGGTACTGCTGGAGGCTATGGACGCACGGCACAGCAGGAAGAAAGTCCGTACGGCGGAGGACAGCAGCAGCAGTCGTATGGTCAGCCCCAGCAACGCAAGTACAATCCGGCAGATTACGCCAACATCGGAGTACATCCTGGTCAGCCGCCTGTCCAGGCGCGTCCCGCGCAGCAACAGGTTGTCCAACAGCAGTATATGCAGCAGCAAATGTACCAGCAACAGCAGCAGCAGCAGCCCATCGCTGCGCCCAAGCCGCAATCCATGGAGCCGCAGATGACCACCGTTTCAGGGATTCCGGTGCCGACAAAGAAACCCCTTCCCTCAGCAACGGATCCGGGTACGGGTCAACGCATCGGTCTCGACCACTTCAACTTCCTTGCCGTGCTGGGTAAGGGTAATTTCGGCAAGGTCATGCTGGCTGAGACGAAGCGGAGTCGTAAACTGTACGCCATCAAGGTTCTTAAGAAGGAATTTATCATTGAGAACGACGAGGTCGAGAGCATCAAGTCGGAGAAGCGCGTCTTCCTGATTGCCAACCGCGAGCGCCACCCCTTCCTTACCAACCTGCACGCCTGCTTCCAGACCGAAACGAGAGTCTACTTCGTGATGGAGTACATTAGCGGTGGGGACTTGATGTTGCATATTCAGCGCGGGCAGTTTGGCCTCAAGCGGGCGCAGTTCTACGCTGCCGAGGTGTGCTTGGCGCTCAAGTACTTTCACGAGAACGGCGTCATCTACCGAGATCTCAAGCTCGACAACATCCTCCTGACGCTCGACGGGCACATCAAGATTGCCGACTACGGTCTTTGCAAGGAAGACATGTGGTACGGCTCGACGACCAGCACCTTCTGCGGCACCCCCGAGTTTATGGCGCCCGAGGTAAGTCCTCTGCCTCTGTGACTCTACCCAGCTACCCACTAACGTACCCCAGATCCTGCTGGACAAAAAATACGGCCGGGCCGTTGACTGGTGGGCCTTTGGCGTGCTCATCTATCAAATGCTCCTGCAGCAGTCGCCCTTCCGCGGCGAAGACGAGGACGAGATTTACGACGCTATCCTCGCCGACGAGCCGCTCTACCCGATCCACATGCCGCGCGACAGCGTATCAATTCTGCAGAAGCTGCTTACGCGCGAGCCCGACCAGCGGCTAGGCAGCGGCCCCACCGACGCCCAGGAGGTCATGTCGCAGCCCTTCTTTAGGAACATCAACTGGGACGACATTTACCACAAGCGGGTCGAGCCGCCGTTCCTGCCGCAGATCAAGAGCCCGACGGACACGAGTAACTTTGATAGCGAGTTCACCAGTGTTACACCCGTCTTGACGCCGGTACAGTCTGGTATGTTTCTTCTCGTCTTCTTCCCTTCTATTTCTGTGCGGTTGGTGGATGACGCGTGCTAACGTGGTGGTGCTTGTAGTGCTTTCGCAGGCTATGCAGGAAGAGTTCCGTGGCTTCTCATACACGGCCGATTTTGAGTAAACTGCCCATGGTTGATTGGGAACCGGTATACCGGATCAAGTGTACAGCTTGCCTCGGTTGTTTGGTTGCCGAAGTGTTGCCGATGCTGACATTTCATGTCTTGGGAGTGCCTGTTCCGACTTGAGATGCAGAGATACCCATTTCAGCTGGCTCTTGTTCGGTTGGCATTCTGAAGCTGGTGTGGAGCGAAGGGGGAAGAACGGTGAACGCACTGGTGTGACTGCGGTGGTAGAGCGTTGTGTTGGACTGGATGGGGTTTTCTTGCTTTTGGGGAAGGAGGTTGGTAGGGCAGCTGGAGGATAGCATACCATTCACAGCAGCTGAGGTGGTCGTCAAGTGTACCAAGCTGCTGTGATGAAGCGACGGTGGCGAAGCTTTGGTTCGAGTCTGATTTCTTGTATTGCGAGACGGCGACTGGGGAAGCGGAGTGGACCATGCCAGGCAAGGGCGGTTCTCTGCAGGTTGTGATCACATTTCTTGACGGCATACTTAATAGAGTCATTTCATGGATTGCATGCGTACCGGGTCATAAAGCATGCACCACTGTCCGAGACCGCGTCAGGTCCTATAGAGGTCTTATGATCGTACATAGTGTACAGTTGTCTATTATGTACAAATGCTTATATAGAACAACACGCTTGCCAGATGAGGGGAATTCATGTGCTGTGCAATAAAGAGACGGCGAGCACCGCTGCCACGGCTGCCCCTGCCGCAGCGCTCTGAAGAGCAATCAGCGAGGCATCGCGCATCCGCAGGTCTATCCTCCTGTCGCTGTACAGATCTAGAACAGCGTCCCTCAGTAACTCCGGGTCCTCCCAAAAGTCCATAAGGATTTCTTTCCATGGTCTTGGAGGCGCCAGCTCCTCTTCCATCTCCACGGGTGCCAGCATCTCAGGGACGGCCACGCCCGCACTCTCCTCCACCGCAAAAGTCTCCCCAGGAGCAGGTCCCTCGCGTGCTTCAATTCGCGCCGCCGCCTCCTTGGCAGGCATCTTCCTCAGCCCGCTCGCCTCCAGCGCGGCCCGCACCTCCTCCAGCTCCCTCCTCACCTCCTCCATGACCCTCTTTTCGTTCTCGGCAATGTTCCGCATCAGCCTCTTGCGCCGCCACGGCTCCGCGACAAACTGCAGCACCAGGAACAGCACCACGTTGACCCCCATCAGCCCCCAGGTGCCCCACGTCGACTGCCGCCGGATGCGGTCGCTCCAGATCTGCTCCTCGTGGTACCGCTTGAGGATCCCCGCGTTGAGCTCGCTGCTAAGCTTGGCCTCGTCCGTCTCGGCCTCGGTCAGCTCCGCCGCCGCGGCGCCGACTTGGGCTTCGAGCTCGTGGTCGAGACGGTAAAGCGTCGTGAAGCGCTCTAGGTCGATCGGCGTCCAGGTGTCTTTGCGCGCCAGGAGGGTGGTGACTTCGCGTTGGGTGGAGGCGCGGTGTGAGGTGAGGGCTTTGTAGTTGTGTCGCGCCTCGCGCAACCGGTGTTGGGCGGTTGAGAGGAGGGATTCCAGCTCGGTGTTGCGGCGCTTGATGGCTTCGATGGCTGAGTAGCCGGTTAGGTCGTTAAGGGTTTGGGTAGCCGTGACGGCACGGGATTGGAGGTTGTCCATAAAGGTGCTGAAGCGGGCTGAGAGAGGGTTGCGGTGGGCTTCGGAGAAGGAGGGGAGGGCCGGATTCGGGGTGTCGTTAGGAAGCGGAGTGGGCGGGCTTTCAGTTTCGGGAGGTGGTCGTGGGGTCTGAAATTCCCTGGATGATTGAGTTTCCTGAGAGGTCGAGGAAGAGGGTTCAGCGTCGGGCTCCTTGGCTTGTTCGGGTTGGTTGGGCGGTAGAGGCGATGCCGTAGATGGGGCATGTTGGGGAGCGGTTGTCTCTGATTCTAATGTTGGCCCCAGTTCACTGCTCTCTTCAGGACTAGGTTGCGGTGGCGGCGGAGGATAGCGCGGCGGAGGCGGAGCGGTTGAAAAGAGGCGGACGTGGCCGGGGCCAGACCGACGTTGGAGGGCAATGGTGCAGCGAAGGCATATTGTCGGGCGATGCGACGCGGCTTTTGGTGCGGTTACGGCCAGTTGATCGAGAAATGCAACTCCTCGTAGAGGGCGCACAGCTAGCCGCAGAGCTGTATGAATTGACATTGGACATGGAGTTCGAGCCCTGCGGGCCTGGGAACCACCGACGGTCGAGCTCGGTAGGTGTTGAAAGAGCTCGAAAGAGAGAGTGGGTAATTCGATGCTGTAAATCGGCCCATGCCGAAGTCGCATTCTGCCGCTATCCACCGCCTTTCAGACGTCAGCCACAACCCTAACCCCTTTCTCGTCTCGATCGTTAACTGGATCCGGGTGTTGCGTACCAACTTCTGACAATATTTATTCTAGCTAATAAGGGGAAGAGCAAATCTCTTAACCTGGTTTCTCTCGGCCATGACGCGCAGATAACGAAGAGGTGCACCTCGGGGGTTGAGACTCCAGCTGCCCCAACTTATTCTGCCGAATTCCCGTAGCATTGCAGTGAGGTTCGCTGTTCCACCACCAAGTGATTCAATCACCAGTTTTCGGCCCGGTATACTTGAGGTACGTAAACACGATGTCTCTAGCTCCATTCACTTACATGCTTTTCTACCCATCGTCGGCGTTTTGTTCAATCCAGCTCTGAATTGGAACTCGCTGGATCCACTTGCGTTGGGGGTGAGAAAGGAGGGTTATCCTCCGGCGCTCGGTAAATTTAAGTTGTCACCAATCCACCTGATCTTGCCTTGTCGCGAAATCATCTTGCAGACGAACCCCTCATTCTCATCCTCTCTTCCCAACTCTCTATTCTATTAAGTTCCCTTCCACAATTCCTCTACCATGGCCCTCGCCGCTCCCAGCACGGACGTAAGGATCCCCCTCCCCCGCAAACCCGAAGCGCTCAATAACCGCCATCGTAACTCACAATTGTCATGACCAGCCGGCGGTCCTCATCGCCCAGGAAACTAGCGATGAATACACCTTCCGCAGTTTCACAGCGGAAACAGCCTGGACCCTAGGCGTCGCTCTGCGCGAGCGGCTTCTTTCCCTTCCTCAGGGCCAGCGCAAGCCCGCGCTAATCTCCATTTCGCTGACCAATGGGCAAGTCGTCTTCCAATGCGCGACCGAGCCTGGCACGGTCCTGGACAACGAGACTTGGGTGCGCCGCAAGCGCAACACGGTGCTGCGCTGGGGCGTGTCGAGTTGGGCCATGCGCATGAAAATGGCAGCGGGACTCGGTGGGGTAGGTGTTGCGGCGGCGGATGAGGTCGAGGCGACGTTTGTGAAGAAGTTTACGCTGGTGAGCTCCAATGGCGGAGCCGTGGCGGATGACTACTGCATTCATGGGGGCGGTTATCCTGTTCGGGTGCGTGGCGTCGAGGGGTTGGTTGCGATTGTTGTGGTGAGTGGGTTGAAGCAGGAGGACGACCACGCGGTCGTGGTCGAGACGGTGAGGGAGGTTGTTGCCGCACAAGGGGAGTAAAAAATGAGAGGAAGGGAGGATTATCAAACATGGTGAACTTCTTGACACCTTGAGTCACCTAAAATTCAACCGTTTTGACAAAACACGGGGACTCGGACGACACCGTCTCCCTCCATATCCATATCGTGCTGTCAACCCAACCTTCAACCACCAAAAAACTGGCCCCGCTCCGTCAGTGTATCTACGACGGCGGCAACTAGGGCCGGACCGCCGACCTAATTATCCGCCACCAAAGAGTTTACTGAGCACTTCCGAAGGCACCGGCCTGGTCTGCATTTCAAATCACCCCTTCGACTCGGTCTCCAAATTACTCAGCTAGACACTGTTTTCCTTACTGTTTTCCTCTTTCTCTTCCTCTTCCTCTTCTTCTTCTTCTTTCTTCTTCCTCTTTCTTCTTCCTCTTTCTTCTTCCTCTTTCTTCTTCCTCTTTCT